TATGCGATTTGGTATTGGGAGGCCTACCACACGAGAGATAAGGCTATAAGTGTTTTGCCTAAGCCGTATATATCCGCTAGGATACCACCGGCCACTAGACTTGCTTCCTAGTCAAGTATCCACGATATAGCCGTGACTTGCCAAGGCATAAGAGTCGTAGGAGGCACTCTATACGTGTTTAGGGGGGCGATAAAACTATCACTATTGGAATCAATCGAGATATAGGCATAGGCGAGACTATCCGTGAAGCTTCGCGGGGTAGCAGAGATAGTAAGACTTAAGCGTTATTAATAGACCCACTCGGGTAGATCTAGGATCTATAGGGGGCGATCGTTATAACTAGTCTTTAGCTACCGGTCCCGGTAAGTGTGCTTCTTGGCGTTTTTATTGGCAATTTCGGCTAGTGTTTCGCTCGACAAGATTAGCTTATTAGCGGAAGGGGTTTTTAGATTAGCTAGGAGGTCCGATACCTAGGAAGTCTTGGTAGAGGGAGCCTAGTAAAAAACATATTTCTATGCCTATTTCCCCTTAGTGAGGGCGTAAACAAGGCTATCACGGTTAGCGGGGATAAGTAGGGCTCGAGCTAATAAGCTTATTGTAGGGTGAGCTAATACATAGGCAATACTAGTGAGTAGGGATAGGTAAGGGGCGCCATCGAAAAGGGTTATATCGAGGAGGTCGATATCTAGTGGAAAGGTGTCTTCGGTGTTAATAGGATCTATTTAAATGCTGTTAAGGACAATAGCGTTCTCTACACTTGATATAGTAGCTATAGTAGCTACGGTAGAAGTCGTGCTAGTCTAAAGTTTGGGCACGGCTGATTGCGAAGACTAGGGTACTATGTTAATATAATTCTTGTTCTTCTTGATATTGTTTGCAAAGAAAATAAGAGTCTTCTATATATATAGAACCTCTTTGGCGTCAAACGAGAAGGGGGATTTAGTGACCTAGGATGCCTTAAATATATCGGTGTTACGGGTGCGTATCAATCGAACAATCCACCAAAGTGTGCGAATCTCGAAGAGGTAGGACGTATCGACATTGTGCTTTCTAACTATAGGGCGCTAAGAGTCAGCGAGAGCAGGACTCTATTTTAGGGCATTATTAAAGGCGTGTTTGATAATAGAGAAGCGGATCTACTTCTAGCTAGCGGAGAGATTTAGATAATTAAAGGAGTTAGCACGATTAGCGGCGAATTGATCGATAATATCGCGAGAGTGTTTGAAGTTTGGGTCGAGGCTATAGATTTTGTGCAGAGAGGCTATAGTTAGGAAACCATAACAACTAGCAAGCTTTGAGGCTAAATTCTCGATAGCCGTGATAAAATCAGGAGTATAATTGATATTACTAACTAGCTTGGAGCGGCGGGTTAAAGCTATAATAGTGTATAACGCGGGGAGATATAAGAAGGGTGATTCTAGTGGTCAAATAATAGAACGGCGATAGTGTTGGTAGTAAGGATACTATAATAGTGTTAGTGATAATTCATAAAAAGCCTTGAATTCTAACGGCCGTCAAAGATATAGGCTAAGGGATATCAAAGGTAGATAGGTAGGAAATAGCCTTAATTTCTGACGTCCGTCAGAAATATAGGCTAAGAGGATACCAATAGTAGGTAGGTAGGAAATAGCCTTAAATTCTAACGGACGTCAAAAAGGTAGACTAAGAGGTATCAAAGGTAGGTGGGTAGAAAAAGCCTTAAATTCTGACGGACGTCACGTATAGTAGTGATAAGGGTGGGGAAAATAGAAGATAAGGTTTGAAAAGGGGGAGGACTTCGTATATATACCTTCTAATCTAGCACTTATAAGGTTATTAACCTCTATAAGCTTACTTTCTGACGGACGTTAGAAAGTCTAGGTACGGGATATTAGTCGATTTATATCTTTAGTATAGTCTCTACACAAGAATATATATATATATAGTATCCACAAAAGAAGTTTATTCAAGTTAGTTGTAGTGTGGTGTGCAATAAAATAGTGATAATATTAAAGACAATGTGTTAATAGTGCGATAAACTTGACCCTAATAACGACTTTGTAGTAGACTATAGAAGTTAGTTAAGTAGTTCTTGCCTTAGACCTTATTAACACGGAGCTTGACCTTGCGGAAAACATGATCCTTGTTATTCTAGAGATCGGCTAGGAGCCGGTAGCTCCGAGCCGCCGGTGCGGTTAACTAGAGTCTTGCCGCCTAGTAGCTCCTATTAAATTATAAAGAAGAGAGAATTAGAATAAGTGTTGTATTAGCTAATTTATATCGTTAGTGATATAATAATATTAGAGTAGGTTTACTTAATACTTAGAAAAGCTTCACTTTCTAATTTAAATTGAAGTTTCTTTTATATAGATGTCTCTATTTTAGCCCTCACTTTCTAAGATACGTTAGAAAATGTGATAGATTAGTATTAAGGATAGTTAGATAACGAATATTGATATTGGAATAGGTGTACTAGATGCTTATAAAAGCTTCGCTTTCTGATTTAAATTGAAGGTTACTAGGTATAATATCTCTATATTAGCCCTCACTTTCTGAGGTAAGTCAGAAAGTGTGAAAAAATAGGATCAAGGTAACGAATGTTTATATTAAATGATACTGAAGCTATACTAAATAATCACAAAATTATAGTCGGAATATATCAAAAATAATGAATACTTAGTTGGTTTGGATACTCGCTGAAACACCTTTAAATTACCGTATTCTATCATGATAACTCAGCGATTTATCCATCATTATTATAAAAATAATGTATAGATGGGAAATTTTTTTAGTCCCATGGGAGTCCCACGGGAATTCCTATGGCGGGACCAAATTTTTTTTTTACTCCCATGGGAGTGGGTCCACGGGACTAGACCTCTGTAGGAATTCCCATGGGACTAAGTCCCATGGACATGGGACTAGATTTTCGCTAGTCCCATGGGAAATGTCAAGGTCTAATACTAGTCACCACTCAATATAGAGACTACAACTTACTAATAGGCTAACTAGTCTATCTATCATCAAAATCACGTGTAGCATACTATACCTATTCCTAGGTATTCAAGGAAAAGAGAAATCGTGATTATGCTTACTAAGCGAGAGTATGATCCGCCAATCCACCCGGCAGAGGTTATCCTATACGTATATAGCTTTATAAAGGGAAAACCCCTCCGCGCTAAAGGGTATTTTCTGCCTACGACTCACTATCCCTATAATTACCGTAAATAACCACGAGACTAGTAGTATATAATTATTCAAGTAGTAGAAAGTTTATTAGTCAACAAGTAGATCTTGCTAAGACAAATCCGCTATTCTACTTTCTACTCATCTACTATAGAAGGACTCGGGGCACTTATTCATATATCTAGGTTAGGGCTTCGTGTTCAATCCTACATCGTTACTTATGTTTACTATACACCCGACAGCAAATAGTTCTTATACCATTTGTTAGTCTTTAGTCTTGCGGGAGCCTTCAGTCCTACAGGAGCCTTTAGTCCTATAGGAGTCCTTAGTCTTGCGGGAGTCCTTAGTCTTACGGGAGTCTTTAGTCCTGCGGGAGCCTTTAGTCCTACAGGAGTCTTTAGTCCTACGGGAGCCTTTAGTCCTACAGGAGTCCTTAGTCCTACGGGAGTCACGGGCCTACCCGGCGACTACTTAGCGGCTAAGTTGTTGACGATAATAGGATTAGGCGGGAAAACTTTTATCCGAAACCTATATTTGCCTTAGAAACATAGCAAACATAAAACCGCCCTACCAAGCCAAAATCGAGAGGTTGCTATAGCTCGGGGAACCCACTCCTCGTTCCCAGGAGCTATATCATTTACTCCCGGGAGCTATAGGTCCTCTAGGAACTATATATCTGATCCCTAGGAGCAACCAAGAGCGTGCCTAGGAACCATGCTATAGATTCTAGGATCGAATATAATCCCAGAACGCGAGGGTCTCACTCGCGAGACATAAAAGCGGGATCTAGTATGGGTAATCAATATTTGGAATGCAAATTAAAACGCGGGCAAAGCGCAAAGACTGTTTGAAGAGACATGATATTGATGAACAATAACTTGCAACCAACGATTTATTTGGGAGTTGACCGAAAGCACAATCAATATCAACGATGCTTTCCATGACAATCAGTAAAATGAACGAAAATAGACACATAGTCTGTAAGACATCGTCGACGAGTAGTACAAGACCCACAGTGGTGAAAGATGAAGGTCAACGGCAAGCAAAGCTGCAGCTGTTGATCAAACAGTTGGTTGTCTCAGAAATGCGAGGGTAGAAAAGAAAAATCAAATGATTTAATCATTTTCTTTTTACATACACTGAGAGAAGTAGGGTGTTTATTGGATATCATTGGGTAGACAACTCTCCACTCCATATCACGCGCATTTTTCCTAATACCTAGGCACCCCCCAAGTCCACAGCAAAAATTTAATTCACCCAAACAGCAAGCCCCGTGCCAAGCCTATTTTCTGCCATGTTTTCCGGGCCCCATTCCAACCCCTTTTCCCACCCTCGTACTGTACCTTGTTGGCTTCTAATAGTTCTCTATAATAATTAACAGAAGCCGTGCTGAGATGCCATTGGAGCTCAGCGCGGATAATTATTCTCCAAGTTGTTCCGGTGTATCCTTGTCAACAAGCTCCAGATCCTGGTCGGTTACTAGTCTTGGGGCTGGATAGTAGGAGTTTTTGATTGGTCAGTCGACTTTTCCTCAGAGACATACAGCCATTTGAATCGGATGACACTTCTGCTGTCGTACAGTGATTCTCGAAATTGCCTTGACCAATACACACTCAAACGCTCTTTTCTGGCCCCATCGCCAAGGGCTTTAGAGCATATCATTCAACGAGCGGCTCGCATTAAATTGAGGGACACCGTAAAATGCGCCCTGTATGTTACATTACATATCTTCGTAATATTATACTATTGGCAGTATAGAGCCGTATGAATTTCCCTCTTTTCCCAGAATAAAAAGATAAGAACATAGAGAAACGAAAAGAAACCAAAATCATTCACATCTATGTACAAAACCTGATAAAGGAAACCCGCCCTGATGCGTGTCCCAGGGCGAGTGTATCACCATTAATCTCGAAACAGGTTGGCCGTGACTCGACAGGAAGCCAGAGAATCTTTTCACCATTCAGGCCTATCCATTTCCCATGCTCAATAGAAATACCGATCTTCGGATGGGGCGGATGAGGCGGGTGAGGGGTAGGAATGTTCCTGGATTGGATATCAAGAATGCGAGCATTGGTGTGGATAGATAAACCGTCGGAGGAAAACTTTACTGTGGAGACCATTTTCCCAACATCCCAAGTTTGTGTCAGGGCGCCTATCATCGGGTCCCAGAGCCGCACAGTGTTATCGATGGAGCCGGACGCCAGCAGCCGGCTGTCCGGTGAGAAGGCAACGGACCAAACCGAATCCAAATGGCCTTCAAGCGTCTGTTTGAGCGCGCCAGTCGCTGGGTCCCAGAGCCGGACTGTGTCATCCATGGAACCGGACGCCAGTAGCCGGCCGTCGGGTGAGAAGGTTACCGACAAAACCGAATCTGAATGGCCTCCGAGCGTCTGGGCGATCGCGCCTGTCGCCGGGTCCCAGAGCCGCACAGTGTTATCGATGGAGCCGGACGCTAGTAGCCGGCCATCAGGCGAAAAGGCCACCGACCAAACCGAATCCGAATGGCCTTCGAGCGTCTGTGTGAACGCGCCTATCGCCGGGTCCCAGAGCCGTACTGTGCTATCACCAGAGCCGGACGCTAACAGCCGGCCGTCGAGCGAAAATGCCACTGACTGAACCAAATAGGAATGGCCTTCGAGCATCTGGGTGAGCTCGCCTGTCGCCGGGTCCCAGAGCTGTACTGTATTATTGCTAGATCCGGACGCTAGTAGCCGGCCGTCGGGCGAGAAGGCCACCGACCAAACCGAATCCGAATAGTCATCAAGCATCTGGGCGAGTGTGCCTGTCGCCGGGTCCCAGAGCCGTATTGAGTTATCCTTAGAGCCAGATGCTAGCAGCCGGCTGTCCGGTGAGAAGGCCACCGACTGAACCGAATCTGAATGGCCTTCGAGTATCTGGGTGAGCTCGCCCGTCGCCGGGTCCCAGAGCCGTATTGAGTTATCCTTAGAGCCAGATGCTAGCAGCCGGTCGTCAGGCGAAAAGGCCACCGACCAAACCGAATCCGAATGGCCTTCGAGCGTCTGTGTGAACGCGCCTATCGCCGGGTCCCAGAGCCGTACTGTGCTATCACCAGAGCCGGACGCTAACAGCCGGCCGTCGGGCGAAAAAGCCACCGACCAAACCGAATCTGAATGGCCTTCGAGCATCTGGGTGAGCTCGCCCGTCGCCGGGTCCCAGAGCCGTATTGTGTTATCCTGAGAGCCAGACGCCAGCAGCTGGCCGTCGGGTGAGAAGGTCACCGACAAAACCGAGTGCGAATGGCCTTCTAGCGTCTGGACGAGCACGCCGGTCGCTGGGTCCCAGAGCCGCACTGTGTTATCGTCAGAGCCGGAGGCCAGCAGCCGGTCGTCAGGCGAGAAGGCCACCGACTGAACCCAACCCGAATGGCCTTCGAGTGTCTGTAGTTCTGCAGCCCATCTTTCCTCGACTCGTGGTAACTGGCATATCCAAGTTGGATTCTCTCGTTTGAACTGTGCACGGATTATTGCTGTCTGGGGTGCAAATATAAGGCCTGCACAATAAACTTGAAGGGGCGCTAGATCAATAATCTGGTGGTTTTTCAGAATAAATCGCTTTGCATCGTGAAGAAAATCCGAAGTTAGGGGAGAGTCATTGCCCTAGAGCTGTTAGTGCGATCCATATGACCTCTCTGCGCAACTTACCGATATGGCGCCTTGCAGCCGATCAAGAATGCCTAGGATTTCCGATGTAAGACCGATGAGGCTCATTGCTTCCACCCAATGTAGGAAATGTTTCCGTAGGAAATGCCTCTCGAGAAACAACAGAGCACTATATATCATATTATCCGAGTTCGCGCATTCCACTAGATGGTATGCCCAGTATCGACAAGCATACTGTAACTCCGGAGGAAGGTTGTTATCGACGATCTGGCGATCAATCCCTGTACGTTCGGTTCCATCACTTGGTAGTCCACAGATATTTTTCTGTAGACTATGACATATCAGGAGGCATTGTTTAGCCAATCTATAGTGCATCTCTGTCTCGTTTATCCCCAAAGGGGATTTTTTCCGGGTGTCTGGATCAAGCAGAAAGTCTCGAAATGACAGGTGAAAGAGCCGTATAGGTACCGTTTCGTAAACTGGCACTCTTAGCACGGAGTGTAGTGGGTCTAGTCGAAGGCGAACAAGCCGCTCAGGAAGGTCCAGAAGCTTTGCAAGTGAGAGAACCGAGAGTGGACTCTCTAGTGTCACGATAGCTCCGATTACTTGCTGGAACTCGGAAACGAGTTTTTCTTTATGTTTCTCGTGTTGTCTGCCTAGAAGACGATCAAGAACCGGAAGGTACGTCCTATCTAGCTTAGATTGGTCATTCTGGCGTGTTAGGATCTCAGTGAGACTGTCTATCGGGTGCCAGTCAGGTTCCTCAAATATCCGACAGATAGTGGCAGCGAAAATGAATAAGGGAACAGATAATGCCACAAGCCTTTGTAGAACTTCGTCTCCGGGCCAGTTTGATGGTAGAAAGCGTTCTTTTCTGATCTCCATTAAGCGGTAATCAAAGAATAGCGATATGTCATGCTTGATCGCTTCAAGAGGTATGTCATGGAGAACGAAGTCCTTATGGTCATCGTCCGCAATCTTTAAAAGCCCCATACGAATCGGGAGATCAGGTCTGCTAGTTAAAAGAACTCGTAGACGCGCAGCCGCTAGATTTTGTAGCTGGGGGAGAAGTTGGAGTATTAGCCGAATATCACCATCTCCCTCACATTCATCTAATGCGTCAATCACTATCACCATAACCTGGGTAGGGATTTTAGAACGCTCGAGGCTGTGGAGTGGCTGAAGAAGGAGTTTTTCGAATTGCTCCCGCATTGTCTTCGTTATGATACCTGGGTTCTCGCGGACTGTTTCCTGGAGGAGTGGGGTGATCTCAGGAATGCTGATCGCCAGTTGCCTTGCGATGGTCGGGAAAAGTTTTCTTGCATTCCCTCGATCCCCTTCGCCTCTCTTGAAAAAAAAGCTTGCTCCTAGTGACTGGGATAGGCTAAATGATTTTGCCATGGTTCGAGAGATGGTCGATTTTCCTGTTCCCGCTATTCCATTCAACCAGAATATGCATCTGTCCTGTGGTGACGAAGCCCATTCGCTGATCTCAGAGAGGAGATCGGCTCTTGTGCCTGGAAGACATCGATCTTCATGCTGATCTACGTATGAATCGAACGCAGCCCCAGGCACAGGGGATAACTTGTCGTCAAGATCTGCGTAAAGGTCAGCATGATCAACACTACACAAAGATTCTCAAAGAATACCCCATGGAAGATGAAATTCGTTAGTGACCGAACCGTAGTTGGCCCCTATCTGTGATCCATAATTGGAGCCACGGAATGATGCGGCTGAACCCATGATTCATGGAAGTAAAGGAACCTTGGGCACTCAGAAGGACTGTGTGGGGTTGAACGGCCTGAAGTGACACGAATCGCGTGTCTGCGTGTCAGCTTCTGGTTCCGCCATCGGAAGGACCGTCGGCCCGAACCAGCCTCAACCAGCCTCAACCACGGTCACTTCAGCGCCATTTGCCAGCCCTGGGTATGATGTCATTCGATTCGGATTATTGTCGGTCCGTAAGGGAGCTTCTGATCTCGCGAGTCCACGTAGCAGCAAGAGGTATAACCGCCTCACACCAACCAAAATGGCGTCGAATTTGAAACCACCTCGTCTCGAATTTATCCATCATATGATCCAGAGTAACTCGCTAACATCGTCTTAGATGGCTCATGCCGCGGACTGTAGCAAACAATCTATCCTCCACATTCGCTCCAACCTGCGAGTGTTCGGGAACGTTAGAGCCCCTCGAAATGGCGTTGGACGACTGCGGAGTATCACGCCACCTATGCTAGAAGCGCTTTGCGAACATTTAATAGAGAAGCCGGCGTTATATCAAGACGAAATGGCCCTCTTTCTCTGGGATGAATTTGGGAAACATGTGTCGATTCAAAGCATCAGCCGGGCGCTTGCGTCCGTGGGGTGGTCTAAGAAAGCTGCTCGACAAGTTGCGAAGGAACAAAATGCGGAGTTACGCGATTTCTACCTCCGCAACCTATCTGGTTTTCGGTCGTACCATCTGGTTTTTGTGGATGAGTCAGGTTGCGATAAAAGAGCTGGATTTCGACGAACTGGCTGGTCCCCTCTCGGGGTTACGCCGGTTCAGGTTTCCAAGTTCCATCGTGATAGACGCTATCAGATACTTCCTGCATATTCTCAGGACGGGGTCGTCCTACGACGGGTTTCCAAGGCTCTACGGATGCCGATGTTTTTGAGGATTTTATCGAACAACTTCTTCAGCACTGCAACCAGTGGCCAGCGCCAAAGTCTGTTCTTATCATGGATAAGGCTTCTTTCCACCGGACGGAGAACATCCAGCGGATGTGCTCGGATGCTGGCGTTAAGCTGGTATATCTGCCACCATATTCACCGTATTTGAATGCTATCGAAGAGTTCTTCTCCGAGCTAAAGCAATTCATCAAGCGGAAATGGATTGAATATGAGGTGAACCCAGATCAAGGTTTTGGTGACTTTCTGGAGTGGTGTGTTGACGCGGTTGGATCAAGGGTGACGAGCGCGGAAGGTCATTTCCGAAATGCGGGTCTGATAATCGACGAACTCTAATCTCAAAACTATCTAGATATAATGACCAAACTAGTACCGAATAATCAAATGCACGTAACTGCCAAAAGCTTCCTATCACTCACACAACCATTATATTCTCCGCCCAGAACCTAATGTCCTTCACGAAACGCCGAGCAATACCCCACTTGACCCCACGCTTCGTGAAGTACTCTGGATTTTTGTCCTCGTCAATCTGCACTAGGTCTAGCCCATCATCCAAGGCTATCTCGCACGCCTTTTTCACCTCGGCTTTCAATGCCTCTTCCCTTAAACGGGACTGCTGCCAGATGCTATATTCCCTCACGGCAACATCAAGAAGGCCAGAAATATGAAGGTCAGGGAGTCCCGTTGAGGAAGTAGCGGTGTTGTCTGGATACGAGGGTATAGATGACCCCGCTGCCTGTGGGGTCTGGGCCGGAAGGACGTTTGTGATAGTGATGGGAGGGCAGCTTGACTCGGACGTAGTGCAAGTATGAGGCCGAGGGCGTTCAAGCCGTTGCCTCTCTGCTCTGTATATTTGTTCCCGAATCATACCAGGCACATCTTCATGTGAATGTAGAAGTCCACCACTTTGCACATACTTAACCAGATTCTCCAGCTGATCCCGGTAAAGCTTATAGTGCTTTTTCCCATATGGATCCTGCCAGCAGTGCGGGCCTAGATCACAAGATCCAGGACAGCGCATTAAAGCATATACCGCTTTCCAGGCGGGGGGCTCGCCAGTAACTTCTTCCTCGGCGCGGAGCTGTTGGTCTCGCTCTTCAAGCATGCGCTGAGTGGCAGATGAAGCTCCTCGTTTATCAGTTGTCCGGCGACTGACAGTTGAACTTTTGGGGTTCTCTATATAGTTGAATGAGATAAAAAGTCTCAGTTTCTTGCCAGCAAGAAAAATATCTCCCCAATCAAATAGCTGTTTCTCTATAGAGGACCAATCAATGTCCGTCCCATCAAATCTTAGGGAGAGGCCTCTCTGCCGCGTGGCCGATACGACAACAGAGGTGTCATCCAATTCGAATTTCCGCTGTGGGTATTTTCGAATAAGTAGTTCCTTTAGCTTCGGCTGTAGAAAGAGTCGCCAGTGAAACCGAGGGGCTAGAACTAGATCTTGTTCCGTATCTTTCGCCACCGTTCTGTTATTGAGAGTGACCTTCCATTCAATCAGGTAGTGAATACAGGTTGGTGGATCCTCATCATACGTCCGACCTTCCTCCCAGTCACCGAATTGGAGCAAGGGAAGGCTATTCGTTTGCGCAGCAGTTCGTTGCTGAGAGGCGGGATCGATGGCAGGGTCATTGTTCATATAGCTTATATTTGAAGGAGAGGCAGGAGAACCATCGAAGTTGCCAGGTGTTGGTGCATATTGCCATGCATCGTTGCATAGATCAAACGGTTCACTTTGTTGAACGTCGTAATCATCATAGCGAATGAACGGACTGGACCTCATTTTCATGGGCCAACTGTAGCGACAGACTTATGGTTAGTGATTATTAGTTGAGGCTTACGCCATCGGCTGCCGAGAAGGCTGTTGCTCGCCCGCAAACAACAGAACCTGTCGTTAACAGTGTTCTGCCGATAAAATCAGTCGTTTGAACGGATGATCCCTAAGCCAAAGAGACACCTCTCAGGAGTGACGACTGGCAAAGGGGATACATGCCAGGTATCCTGTGAGAAAAGTTGGGGACACCTTTGGGAGAGAGGGGGAAGGGGGCAGGCAGGCCTATTCGGCTCTCTTTGACTATTAGAGATCCACTCTAGGGTTCCATGGAAGTCGACCGGATTCTCATGAGACTGGTGTATTATTACCTCGCTAGATACCGTATCATACCACGTGCAATTTACGGCAGCCCTCAACTAAGTATGGTCTGCTCAATAAATGATCTGCGCTAGGGCCTTGGCGGTGGGGCCGAGAAAGAGAGTCTCAGTGAGTACTGGTCAAGCCGATTTCGAGAATGACTGTAGTTGGAAACATACTAATTGCGAGCCAAGGAAAGCCCAAAATCCCGAAGCATCCGCTGATAAGATGAATACTTGGCCGGTTTCCCGAAGGCGTATGCCCACACAGACATCAGCATCGCACAATTTGCTATATTCGGCCGCTTTTTTCATAAGGCTGGATTTTCGACGGCCTTGTTTTTGGCGCTTGGACTTTCTGATCGATTTATTTTGATTGGACTGGGAGAGTGAAGTAGAAGCCATATGAAGAGACGCGTCACTGTTAGAAAAGACTGAAGGAAACCAGGGCACTAAATAGTCGCAGGTATAGATCAAGTGGCTCTCGGGGATTTAAAGGCTACAAACAGGTACAGAATTAAATGGCCGTCATCATGTTCATGGTTTTCGCGTTAAAAAAGGAGTGCTGCGCTCCAGAAACCGTAGTCTTTAGCGTTCATAGTCAACGAACACCTAAAACGGTCTCCTACTAGGTGATAAATTCACAGCAGGCAACGAATTTACGTTGAAAACCACAGCCAAAGGCAATCGAGGTCAATCCGCGCCCCAGAAACTGCGGATTTTCGAGTTCATGACCCAGCAAAACTCCGAAACGGTCACTCTAGCAGGCGATAAACGTAACATGTCCCTAGCGAGTTTATTGCCACGCCCATTTTGGCGTCTGGGTGTCCGAGGAACGCATCAAGTTGAGGTGAGTTTATAACCGGGAATTTCTGATTTTGAGGGCCAACAGTAAACAATGAATGGCTACTTTGGAAAATTCGGTCAACGGTACAGCGTAGCTAGCCTGAGGTCTGGCCTTTAGAGCCTTTTTTTATTTTTATTTTTCCCAAAATAACTAGCAAGGTACTAGTTAGATTGGAAAGGAAGATGACTTGGATTAAAGGCCTAGGGAATATGGCAGAAAAGTGGGCATGCCACGGCTGTCCAAGGGTGGGCAGGTTGAAAAGACTCCTGCATTAGACTTGGGGGGTGCCCGGGTATTGAGAAATGCGCGTGATTTGGAGTGGAGACTGTTGTCTGGCCAATAATGTTCAATGAACACCCTACTTCTTTCACTGTGTTTAATAAGAAAACGAATGAATAAATCCGTTTATGTATTCTTTTCGACCTGACCATAGACAACCATTTAATCACCGTTTGCTTGCCCGTCGAACTTGAAGTTTTTACCACTATCTTTCTATCATTTTTCTAGCTGATATTGTGGAAAGCATTGTTGAACATGGATATTCGGTCAATTTACAAATAAATGTTGCACTTGATCGTTCGTCAACATTACAGTACCTCGCCTCTTCCTTCTGTTATGTACCCGCGTTTACTGCCAGCGTTTTAATTTGCATTTCCAATATTGATGACCTAGATCCCGCTTTCAATTTGGCGAGTGAGATCCTAACGTTCCTGGGAACATATTCGACCCCAGGATCCATAGCATGGTTCCCAGACATGCTCTTGGTCGCTCCCAGGGGTCAGATCATAGTTCCCAGAGGATCACCAGCTCCCAGCAGCCTCAGAATTTACGTGTACTCATTGTCTACTCTCTTGGGATCTAACTCCGGGCTAAGCATTGTGTTTAAACCGAAAATGAATGGATTGGTCATTTTATTTTTCTTTTAAAACATTATTTCTGTACAGTCACGACCGTTACTGCCTTCCATGTCGGAAACACATAGACGCTCTTTCAAACCCTAATCACATGCTGCGCTAATCCAGATATGGTTATTGCGTAAATACCAGGTCTCGTGCGTACAGTGTAATAATACACGCCGTTTATGATACTAGTATGAAAGATTCAAGGACCAAGAATAGCATACTGGAGCTTCCATGTGGTTCCATGCAAAACAAGAAGCAAAGGCGGCGCTTGAACTAGCAACCTGTCAACAATTCTCCTGCATCTCGCAGTCGCTTCACTGCAGAGCCTCGTCCTTCCCTGAGGGTCTATCCGGGGTCAGGCTGATAGGCAAGGCTCGACAGTAAGTCATCTTTCCGTAATCTCAGCCATGCTGATTATCATGCTGCAGCTTTAGATCTTACTGGACGTCAGAGATTCCTGGCTAGCCCCTTTCAGTTAGACTTCCGCATAACCTAATTTGGGTCGAAGGTCTCGACCCAGAACCCAACCCAGCCTGGGTCCGGGTCGAACTTCATTGACCCGGACCCAACCCGGACCCAATACTGGGGCCCCAGTAAAACCTAGTTCGGGCCCAACTCGACCCAACTTTTGCATAATTCCAATCATAAAGCTGCTCTGTCATCAAAATAACATACTGTTTTTTACATCAGTTTTGGTTTATACCTTGAACTACTGTACATTCCTAGTACACTCCTTTGGAAAAAGTAAGAAATAAGTCTGTAATCTGAGATGGTTGATCTTTCTTATTGTTAATTACCTATTTGAAAGCCAAGTTTATGGTGATAAAGTGGTTTTTTTAGCTCGGTGAAAGTTTTCTTGAATTAAGTGTAGATATATATATTGTAGTGGTGAATCTCGTGACAGTAGTATTTTAATGGCCTAAGGCATCTATGATGCCTCAAGAGATATGCAGTCTTCTCCTACAGAGAGAGAGGAGCATAATCTAACAACCTCAATATAACTATAGTTACTCGCAAAACTTCTTGATTCATGATATAGCATCAGGTTCGGTACGATTTACACCTTTAGGGACCGCTCTCTACGCCTTCAGGCCATAGGAGTGGTTGTGTGATCTCTTCATTAGTATCGACCCGTCTGCTATATCAGACTGCTATCGTGCTATCCCTATTTCAATATCTACGATATATTACACTGGTGCATCTTTGTAGACTTAATATGATTATTATAGAATTCTGTCAGTATTGCTTCAATTTGTTTATAGTATATTTAAATATTATGCCTTTATTATTTGACTATACTAGACTAGTAGGTAGTAAGGCTATGTTAGTTGTAAGGTCTTTTTCTAGTAGTGTTGATCTCTACCTAACAATGGACCTAGCCGCTAGATGGTCAGTTATAAAGGAGATGGTTTTTCCGCCGAAATAAAATCGGTCACGTGCCTACAGAGTTCCGCTAGACCTAGAAGTGCCAGCGTTTAGTCTACCTTAATATATGGTATTACACGCATTATACTAGGCTTCTACTTCACTTACCTATTCCTACACCTAGAGACTACTTGCGTGGTTACATAATAGGTAAGGTGAGATGAAATTTTTTCATGATTAGGGGTAAAAGTTGGGGTGGGAATTGGGTTATTATTGGGTTTTCTGGGTTATTACTAGGGTATTGCTAGGTTTTCTAGGTTATTACTAGGGTTTTGCTAGGTTTTCCGGGTTCTTGCTAGGCTATTCGGCTAGACGTACATAAAGGTAGAGTAATCTAACCAATTAATCGCGAGGATACGTCTTAGAGTCCTTTTCTTTATTGATATATCGTATTTGCTAGATTCACTCACTATTAATAGATATTATTACTTTGTAAGTTCTCTATTCTCCCTTTCTTCCTTACTTTACTTCTTGGTTAATCTATCATATCGCAAAACTAGTAGTCTGACTTCGTATCCTCTCTTTACGATAGTGATCTAGATAATCTTAGCTATCTTACACTATTAAACCACCTAGCAACTCTATCCGGTAGCTAATATACGATCGAAACCGTCGATCCTAACTTCCTCCGACCGAATATCCCACTAATAGTCCCCTCCTACTTAATACGCGTTAGACCCGACCGAAGGAAAGCGTTTGTTCTCTACGATAAAATGTTATATAACGACTAGGTAGACTAGTGGTTACAAACCGACTTTGGAAGAAAGAGCAAGATTAAGTGGGACTCGACGCGCCATTCGGAGATTTGGAGCCACTATAACTAGGTTGCTTATAGTATAGATAGCGCACCAAAGGTTATGTGTCAACGTTATGGCGCTATTCTCGAGCATCCTTACATAGTCAATCCAAAGGCTGTAGGCAAAGTGCAATATCATAGCATATCAACAATACAGAAATATTTGAAGATAGCGGGATATCTAAGGAGTGAGTAAGGGAAGAGAGTAGAGATTACAAAATTTCTAAAGGAAGGGGTACGTTCTAATTTAGCTATTTATTCTACCTTACTAATTGATCCTAGCTACTAATAATAGGGATAAGCCGAAATACCGTTCTCGCAAGAAGCCTAGGAAGAAGATATCCTATAGTTTATTACACTCAATCGGCTTCCACTTCATCTGATTGAGCACCCGGCATTTCGGCGTCTTATTTCTCGGGCTCGCTACACCCTATCACCTCCGATCATTCCCTCTGCCGATACAATCCGTCGCCGACTAGAGAGTATTATCAAAGATCGGCAAGAGCGTATCCTTCGTACACTACCTATTAGTGCGAAGATATCAATTGCGCTTGATTGCTAGACATCTCTATTCTCGCAGGCGTTTATAGCAATCACTAGCTACTTTATTGATATTAATTAGGTCTATCGTGAGGTGCTACTTAGGTTCAAACCTCTCCACGGTACGTATATAGGTACAAACCTAAGCAATATTCTTCTTGAAACTCTGATAGAGCATAACCTTGAAGCCCGAGTATTCGGGTTAACAACGGATAATGCATCTAATAATAAGACATTATTTGATTCTCTACAATAGGGCCTATTAGATAGTGTTATTATTGTTCGAATTCTATGTCTTGCTCACGTTATCTAGCTTAGTCTAAACTAGCTCCTTGATCGTATTAAGGTAGTTCCACTAAATGACTTAGCTAAGACGAGATAGACAGAGAAGCAATCAAGATTAGCCTATTTGAACGCGCAGCATCGGAATCGTGAGATATCCTTTATATTGAATAAGGTCCGCTTTCTTGCAATCTATATAAACGCAAGCCCTTAGCGCCGGGAGACGTTTTACAATCTCTAGACAATAGCCGTTAAGCTAGTGCCGATCTAAGATATAAGAACTCGATAGAATTCGATATTTCTAATGCTTCGCCGGGCAAAGCGTCTACGTCCTATTTTTACGCTATTTTGTGCAGAGTACGATTGCGAAGAGATATTACTCTACGAGGAGGAGTAGCGTTAAGTTAACTATCTTCTTTATATCACTAAGCCATTCTTCGACTATACAACTTAGCTATCAAAGACTCGAGATATTACTGCGTATTATATGTTCAAGATTTACAATAAACTCTTTGAGTATCTAGAGTAGTCAATAAAGCAGCTACGACGAAAGCGTGTGCCATAGAAAAAATAGATGCTTTATGCACTTAAAGCTAGTCGGTTAAAGCTTGATAAGTACTACTCTCAAACTAATAATATTCGAGGGTATATCTATGCGATTAGCACAATGCTAGCGCTAGTGAATAAGTTTAAGTTCTTTCTTACGAAGGACTAGGATCAGAAATAGCGTGATACGTATCGCAAATCCTTCTAGGAAGCTCTAATTCTATACCAAGAGTAGCTTTTAACCCTTAACCAGTTATCGGATAGCCCCCAAATAATAGCTCGGCTAGGATCGAAGCTTGATACGATGTTAAATAGAAGCAACGTATAAACAAGCACAGCTACTAATAAAATAGCTCAATATCTTAATAGTGGTATATTTAAACAAAGCTATTCAGGATTCTTACTAACTTAGTATTAGATCCTATTTATATTGCACCTCTTATATTCTAGCGAGAGAACCAAGCTCGCTTCCTAGCAATTGCCGCCCTTGCGCGTGATATCCTCTTATTCCCTGCAATAGGTGCAGGCGTTAAGCGGCTCTTTAACACTACTCGGGATATCTGTCATTACCGCCGAGGGAGGATAAAGTCTTCTACGATCGAAGATTTAATGATATTTCTTTGTACTTCAAGATTTAATATCGAAGAAGAAGAGGCGAGGGTTCTTGAGAAGTTCTTCTCTTATAATAAGATAGAAGCGGCAAAGGAAGAGAAGGATAAGAAGCTTGACGAGATTGAGATCGAGCCAATCAGTGACACTGAGGAACAGGAGACTACAATTGATGAAGAGATAGAGGTAGATGAGGTTTTATCAGCTACGTTTGAAGAACAGACTAGACGTGAATCCTAGGTGTAGTTACCAGGGAACAACACCTAAGTGCGCGCGTTAGGACGGAAGCGAAAGAGTCGAGAAGATGATATTTTTGAGTACCATTAGTTAGCAGTATAGGCAATTGATATAAACTATACATTTCATCCAATATTTACTACTTTATTTCAAAATTAAAATGTTAGTTCTGATTCAGCTGTAATAGAAATACCTAATATAACAGCCAAAAATTGCATAATTTATGTAGTCACGGGCCTAAGCGTGTTTGCAATGTTTATAACCTAAGTTGGGGCCCCAGACCCAGTACTGGGTCAGACATTATAACCCGGACCCAGTGCTGGGTCGAAGACTCTGACCCAAAACCCAACCTAGCCCGGGTTGGGTCCGGGTTGGGTCCGGGTTAGGTTGGGTCATGCGGAAGTCTACCAATTCCTACCCCAGCTTCCACCTAAGATCGTCAAAAAGTTTTATCCTGTCTTACCTATCCGGGTTTATACAAGTACTTAAAAAGACCTACAATCTATATAATCTTACTAGCTACTAGTCGAATATAGTGGAATAATAAAGAATATAATTAGTATATATGATATATAAGATTTAAAGTAACAATACCCGAATTCCATAGTGGTTTTTTCAAGCATTCATGGGTATACAAACACTGTATATTGTGAAATATATATCCGTACACTATATATATTTACACTATGATTTCTAACAGCCGTCAAAAAATCAGTACTAGGTTTTAAGATAAACCTTAGTTTAATAATTTCTGACGGCCGTTAGAAAACCTATAGTGTCGCCTATAGAACTTATCTACGTATATCTAATATAAGGTTAATAAAAAAGTCATAAGTTAAACACTATGAAAACCATAGCAAAGTCTGACCTTTCTAAGCCTAAAGAACCATAACTACTTATTTAAGGTTGATTCTACGCGTTTATAGCTTTGAACACACTCTAGTTATACTAGAAAAGTATAGTGGTTCAAGGTATAGATCAAAACCGATGTAAAAAACAGTGAGTTATCTTGATAACTGAGCAGTTTTATGATTGAAATAATGCAAAAGTTGGGCCGAGTTGGGTCCAAACTGGGTTTACTGGGGGCCCAGTGCTGGGCCCGGGTTGGGCCCGGGTTAATGAAGTTCAACCCGGGCCCAGGCTGGGTTGGGTTCTGGGCCGGAACCTTGGGCCCAAAATGGGCTTTGCGGAAGTCTAATACTATTAAATTTAATTAGTAATTAACGTATAACAAACTACTTCAAGTTGAATTATATAAATGTTTATCTAAATTTCATTTAATCTAGATATAGAAGTCTCATTAATAAGAGTTAGAACCAGAACGGCGAAAAATAACAGTATTTTATTTTGATGATTTAGCAGCTTTATGAACGCCAAGACCTTGATTTTATGCAAAAATGGGCTTTCATGGGCCCCCAATGGGGGCCCATCGTGGGCTGGGGGTTGGGTCTTGGGCTAGTGGTTAGGGCCCAAGCCCACCGTGGGTTGGGCCATGGGCCGAAGTCCTCGGCCCATTCGTGGGCCCTGATGAAGCCTGCTCTGGGTCCCGCTGAGCTGGGTGCCCCACCCTACAGAGACGAGTTAGCACCACGCGTGAAAATCGTATGGAAACTTGTGACGGGGGCTGTACCTACCAGGTCAGAGCATGATATCTACAACCCCTAGGCAACTGGTTCTTGGAACAAGAGTGGGTGGAGATGGCAGAATATTTAATGGGCAGACAGGGGCTCATCTAGACTTGAGATGCAAGACAGACTGGTGACTGGACCCCGGCGGCGAACCAGGTGCAGATGAAGCAGCGTTCCCACTTAATATATTTGCTGTATCTGCTGAATCTCTTGGGCTGCGGTATCACATCCATCCATCCGTGATTATGTTATTCTTGAGCTAGGACATCTCTAGCTGGGAAATAATGCCTGAAATGCCTGCGCTCTCTTGTACCTCTGGGCATAACCCCCCTGGTCCATAGCATACTGATCACGAGCGCCGTGTGCTCGCTCAACCAGCGAGCCGACCGCATCGCAAATGCCGCGCCCAGTCGCGGGCGAGAAACCGACAAAGCGACAGTCCCGCTGGGTTGCAGCAAACGCCTCGGCTTCCGCGTGGGACACGGCGGCTTCTTCACCTGGATCTTGACCTTCACCTTCACGCATGGCGGCGATCATTGTCGCAAGGAAGGGCCGGACCCCGGCTTTTTCGCAGCGGCTGCGTATCCCCTGGCAGGCGGCGACTGTTTCGTCCCACGATTCCCTCGACGAAGCATCGTACGTGAAGACGAGGCAGATATGCTGCATGAGGGTGAGATATGCTGTGCGAGACCCCGCGTCGCTAGGCGGCGGGATGAAGTAGACAGTGTAGAGATACCCGTCGCAAAGGTAATCTGTGTCGAAGTCGTGTGTAGGGTCGAACTCCCAGCAATCCTTCTCTCGCTGGAGTAGCTATAATGAACCGCGCGCGGGGGTGGGGTGAGCTCGGGGCCGGCCAGGGCAAGGGTTCTCGCAGCAAGATTGTATTGCGCTGGGTGGGTACGTACCCTGTAAAGGTCCAAGTAGCCGGCGGCACCCTTGGCGTTCGCGACGATAATGGTCATGGACTGTTGATCGGAACCGGGCTTGCGGGGTAGTTTGGTGGGTGACCGGCTCACGTCACTTATATGGATGGCGTGAGGGGGTGGGTCAACAGGTTCGCTCTCTGTTGTCGTAGCCAGCGCTGATGATGGCGCGGGCTCGTTGCCATGACTGCCACGACTACGAAGCTTGCGGAACATGAGCCTAGCGCGCGATAGCATGGGTGACAGTGGGCAGTGGTTTCCGATGCGCTGCGTCCACTGCGATAAATATCCATTGATAGAAGATAGGTTACAAAATACTAATAAACACAATGATCTACTTAACTAAGTATCTCGTAGTTCTAAGCAGAAAGGAGGACGTTCATCTCAGCAGTAAATATGACTAAGCGCACGTGACCTCTCACAGCCTCCGAGCGGATCGGGAGAGCGGGCATCGTGCACTTCTATTCCCCTTCACAGGACTCGTCATTCTCGCAAAATGGGTGCTGGCAACTCTAAGCCCGATGCTTCGGCCGGCTCACAACATGTGTTCTCCAGGTAATTGCCCTCTGATCTTGCAGCTTCCGCCGCATTAAGTGCTGGACAACCGAGGGAGCAGAAACAACCTCTCAATTGACGTCAATTGGGAAGAAGACATGAGATCTTCCGGGATGAAAGCTTCCTCTGCTATGCTGTTACCACATGCGATTTTGCGAGGCACCCTTAGAGAACTCTACAGCCATAGCTAACATTCATGTACAGCAACTCTCCCGTTCAATTCTCCTCGAACCTAGTGGACGCCCTCCAGTCCAACTCGGAGGTATGCATTATCCCACCTTAAGCTAGCTCCCAATGCCAAACAAAAACTTACCAACAATCAATCCACTCAGACCGACTCTACCCGCTCCAAGGCCCTGGAACTGGAAATCCAAAACCGCGTCGCACAGGAACTCCAACGCCTCCGCGAACGCGAGCAGCAGACCCTCGCCGAGATCGAGAAGCGCATCGCCGAGTCAAAGGATACCTCCTCCCTGCCCATCACAGCCGCCACGGCCCCGGTCACATCCAACTCCTCGGGATACCCAGCCGGCTCACTGAACCTGGACGCACCACGAATCCCCTTCGCTGGACGGGAGCACGACCCCGTGGCCACATTTGCCGCGCCGCAGGAACCCGCCGCCGCCCAGCCGGTAGCCAAGCGCGACGTGTCGCGCAACGCGGTAGCAGCCGAGATTGAGCAATTGCGCACCAAGCTCGATGGACGGAGGAAGGTTGCGGATCTTGACGACGGCGTTGCCAAGGCCAAGTCGGATGTTGTTAGCTGCCTGCGGTTGAACGATCGTCGGCCATTGAACTGCTGGGAGGAAGTTGATGCTTTCAAGCGTGAGGTTGCGCGCTTGGAGGCTGCCTTTGTGGATCGCATTGTGGGTTAGATTTAGCCGGGGGATGAGCGGATACAAGTCAAGTCTCTACGATTGTTTGGGCCCTTTGGTTTGATTGGGCTCGTTGCTGCTGCTGTACTGTATGTATAGAACGTGCATTTTTTTTTCTTTGTTCCATTTGATTTCATCCAGGTAGGATAGAATAAAGCAATGGATGAGAGTGGATCTTGGTCAATGGCCTTGAGTAGTTCTACATCGCAGAAAGTAACTTGTTTAGACTGTATAAAGCCAGTTTACTGGGATAGTATTGCTGTAACCACAACAGGGTATCTTCGTTGTAAGTGTTCTTCGATATCATACAAAATCCCACATCGCTAATCGCCCACTCTTCTGTCCAGAAGTCCGAATTATACACATCCTTCTCTCAGATGATTTGACATCAGACTCCAACACCTTAGACAGCTGAATGCAGCCCATTCCTGTCCCCTTGGCTTCTGAGAGATTATAATTACCCGTAGTAACAAATCCAATCAGATCATCTTCAGTAGGAACATCCAGATGCTCAGAGTCCGTTTCTCCAGCAGCAGAGCCCAAGACGAGAGATTCGGCAAGGAGACGTCGAGCTTCCTCGGAAGCAGGCTCAGATGTTGCCTTCTTTGAGGTCTTTGACGGAGTAGCCTTGTGACGCACAGAAGCAAGATCAAGCCATTGCCGGCGTAGGGCTGGGTCTGTAGGAAGACGGTAGATTCGGGCATGGGATGTAGGAGTTCCGCGCCCAGTGAGATAGATATAGACAGAGGCGAGTGTGGAAGCATTAACGGATGTTTCACTGAGCTTGCTCAAAGTGACATGGGTATCCACCGGAGCAAAACGGACATTGTGAATGTCGAGTGGTGGAACAGCAAGACTGGCATTTTCATCTGTGACCTTATCCTGAGACTCGGTAGACTTGTCGTTGGAGCTCTTGTCACTGGTCTCGACTTTCTCGATCTTGGAATCAGGAACATCTGATCTGGGCCCTTGAAGGAGTCGTTCCCAATCACAGGCCCAACCACGACCAATCTCGCCCTTAGGACGGCCCTCGCCCAGTAAGATATTATCATATTCGGCACGACGGCCCTTGGGACGCCGCTCCCATTCACGTCGGGATTTTTCAGTATCACGTTGTCCCCATTCCCAGCCAGCTCGTGTTCCTGGGAAGTCTCCAGGAAACCAAGGCTCGCCGGCTTCGAAAGCAAGCTGCTGTTGCTCCTTCAAACCACCGAGGCATGGGTTTCCTCCGCTTGAGAGCGGGTAATACATGATAGAGTACCAGACTGGAACGACACATTTCCATGGTAAAAGAACGGTGAGAGATCCGGGAGCATTGCTGCGCTTAGACCGAGCTGGGGGCTTGTTTGCAAGAATAATGACCGGAATTTGGGGGTCAGTAAGTTGCGTTGGCGGGAAGTTACCAGGTCCAGCGACAGTACGGCGTCTGTTGATGGCTTTCTGGCTTGGAAGTAGACGAGACGCCGTCAACCGACTTGATCGGTCAAATAGCGAGGACGGTCCTTGTGTTTTGTCTGGGTGCCATGAGGCGAGCGCAACAGCAAGTTCGGTCATGTGAGATTCGTTATCGGGGACATGAATAGTGCGTGAGGGGAAATGCAGACGTGGATCGGAAATATCAAAGGAAAGGAGGGCATTTTGTGGCAGTGAAGAGGGGTTTGATACACCAATAAGTGATCGCCAGACAGCTTCCGGGCTGCAGTCTGGGGCTTTGCCGTCAGCTCCAATAATCGGCTTCAATGCTGTCAGCAATGCCTCTACAGACCCTGGCCCGGTGATTTCAATGCTGCCAATTTCAAATCGTAGATCTTCTACCATGACAGGGGGATTCTGCTTTTTCGAAACATCAAGAAGATCTGTCCACAGTTGAAGAAATGCCGAGGGATGGACCCGAATGAAGAGTTTTCGGTGATTCTTCTTTGATGTTTTGTGAGATTGAACGGCGTCGACCATCTCAGCATCTTCTTCTGTGGGGGCAGCACACCAGAGCAATGTGACAGGCGCAGTAGGACGCTTTGCATGATCTTTTTCAAAGGTCCAGGCCTTCAGAGATCGAGTTCCTGCTCTCCATTTCTTCCCTTTCGTACCCCATGCACTGTCCCCGTTGACACCAACAGCCATGAGAGCAGCCTGGATCGCTCCTTCCGTGCCCTCGAGCTGAATAGTAGACATATAACTCATATCCCACGCCACAGCTCCCCTAGCGCCTCGAGCCCGATGAGTGGGTCGGTAACTCTTCTCCGTAGGAGATAATGGAATAGCAAAGCGCCAGATTGGGTCTTTGCTTGTTGCCATATGGGCACGTTTGGCATGGTATAAATGGGTCGGAAGCCAGTATTTGCACTTCTGGCGCTTGCGGTACTTGGGCTCTGCCGGCGTCGGTCGAGAAAGTTTGTTCTTCTTGATCTTGGGAACCCGCGGTGCGATATCAAAGGTATGGCTACCCACTTTTTCCAGGCTTGACCCATTCTCTTGGTCTCGCTTTTGCTTCGCAGCCACACGCCGAGCCTTCGTCTTGGCGTTAATAGCTTGAAGACGGCGAGCGGTTTCGAGTCGAATGCGCATCATATGCGATGGTTTGCGTCTGCGCGCCGTGACAGTGGGCGTGTTGTCCTCGACCATCTAACAATTGCATTCGTGTGTCAGCCAACAGCCCTTCCGGATCAGAGATCACTACCAAATACCTCTCGCTTCGCCCGAGCCCTCAACCTCCGCGGAACACGCTTGACATTATGACTGGCCGTTCGCCGGCGCAACTTGCGGGGCACTTTCTGAAAAGCTCGCGTCGTCAGGACATTTTTCGACCGTTGCATTCCCTCCTCTAGCGCCTGGATTTCGAATGCGCGAGCTGCGGAGTAAGCGGCCACATCGAGCTCGCCCGTTGCGGAGAGGGCGGCGTCGGTCGACTGCACGGCCAAGGTGCGGGCGTCGAAAGTTTTGGCCCGTTTGCGAGCTGCTCCGGATGCGCCATTTGCAGGCTGACCGAAGGGCTTCCGCTTGGGGGCGTTGGAGACCATTGCTGGTGAGTAGTGTGTCGAAGTTGCGAGTTAAAAAAGTTGCCGGGCTTGGCGCGCCATGATCGGCCCCACGAAGTACATTGGTTTGTATACTCTGCCAATTATTGATTATTCAATGTACAAAACCTTGTAAGAATGTACCAGTCCATACATTACCTTTGGCTTTCTCGGGCTTCCACTTTTCTACTTTCTTCTTCGCCTTCTTCACCTCTTCTTAAGTCTCTTTTTCCTTTTTTTTTTACCCGCTTTCGAGTCCCCTAAGTAAATCAATCAGATTATATAAAGGCAAGGTAATAACAGTAATAATAACCATTTCAATGTTGAAGCCATACATGCAGTGTACGGTGCTACTGTCACGAGGCCCGACAGAAGTTCTTTCACCCCCTACCTTTATATGATCTTTTTGATTTACCGGAGACAGTCAAAGGTAAATGGAAAGCTTGAAAAAGGACGTGAAAAAAAGAGTGCTAAGAAAAGGCCTAAGAAGGCAAGCGAAGGAAGGAAGGTAGGGCACAAACAACGCATAAAAGTAAGCCACTCGCTTCGAGCAATTTGTTACGAGCACTGTTAATGAAGACCCATGTGATATGATGTTACCAGAACAAAGTTGATATCTCATATACAAGCTATTTACATATCCATTCTCACATCACGACAGCCACATGGTCAGTCATATACTTCTTAATGTCACCCAAGAAGCAAGCAGCGATGATTGAAATACCACCGAAAGCAATGCTAACATAGTACACCCATTTGTATCCTTCAGCGTAAGCGAGCTGACCAGCCCCTATAACCATCTGGTATGCAGTCTCATTGCCAGCAATGCCAGGGACGTGGCGGATCTCGTCTAACAATGAGGCACCCGTCAACTCGATTACTTCGCCAATTAATTTGACGTCGGTGATGTTGAGCTCCTTCATCATTACTCCGCCGATGTAGTATGTAGCCTTGGGAACGAATTTGGAGATGAAGACGTTGTAGTAAATGGTGTAGCCGATGCCGCCGCCCACCACGCGGATGGAGAGAGTGAGTGCAGAGATTGTGGCAATGAGATCCTGGAAAAAAAGTTAGTCTTGATCAATACACTATTCTTTAAGGTCAACATACATCGGGACAAATGATGGTTGTGATAATCGAGGCTGGCACCACGATTCCTCCAATTCCGAGACCGGCAAGGACGAGGACTCCCCAAAGCTGATACATATTATCAACTCGGCCAATTGACATAGCACCACATCCTGTTAGAGAACGTTAGCGTTCTCTCATCGGAACACAAGCTTGTGTTCAACACTCACCTGCGGTCATCAGAACACTACTGATAATCAAAAGCTCCTTGTTGTGTCCTCGGAAGACACTGAGCAGGGCTAGCACGATACACGCTCCCGCCATGATACCGAACCCAATAGGAAGACTGCGAACTCCAACCATCACAGGATCATGACCGTATACGTTGAAAGATTCGGTGGGCCAGAACATGAGCACAGAGAAGAAGTTCGCACCGGAAATGAAAGTGATGACGAGAGTCAGACCCAGGGTCCGGGGCTCTTGCTTCAGACGAGATGGGAAGATAGGATACTTGGCTCCGTAGACCTCCCAGAATCCAAATGCGACCAGCAGTAAGAATCCGATGATCAATGGTGCGAGGACGTGGGCAGAGCTCCAGGGGTACTAAGCGAGGTCAGTAAGATTAACATTGAAGGGAGTTTTATTAAAGCATACCATATATCCGCCCCATTGTAGACCTGCAAGGAAGACAATGAGACCGGTGATACTGAGGAATCCACCAACGAAATCAATACGGCCAATAATCTCCTTTCGGCTCATTCCAACAGAGTTGACACGTGGAGGAGGAAAATAGAAGAAGATGGTCACCAACAGACCAAAGGCACTCCATGCTCCACAGAACGCTCCGACATAGCGCCAGTGGCTGTAGTATGCGATAAGCTGAGCCCACAAGACCGAAGGGCAGAATGGAACAATGGTGAAGATAAGAGCAGACACGTAGACACCTCGCTTGCGAGTGGGGGCCATTTCAGAAGTAGCAGCTAGGGCAGTCAATTCATTGACTCCAGCACCGGCGCCAGCAACAGCCATTCCAGCTATAAGGGTGTCAGTGAATGTGTTTGTAGTGGCAGCGACGAGACTAACCGATGAAGTAGTTCATTGAGTTCACTGTGCTGCAGACAATCATGCCAATAACGATCAGGGAGGCGCCGATGATTGCGACAGGTCGTCGGCCGATGAGGTCGGATAGGGAGCCTACGAAAGGACATACACCAGCGAGGCCAAGTAAGTTTGCAAGAACCTATGAAGATAGTTGTTAGTTCATCGTGTATACTCTCTAAAACTATAAGATCTCCACTTACAAACCAGACCCATCGATCCGCTCCACCAATGTCTCCATAGATGTAGGGGGGAATACCACCTGAATGAGCATTAGATAATGAGCTTGGTCTCTATTCGGCCGGTCATACCAAACAAATAGACGGGAATTTGGCTTCCAGTCCACAGGAAAGCCATAGCAACGAAGCCCATGAATCGACGGAATGTCATCTGGCTATAGTTAGTACATCGCACCATAAATTGCACAAGGAACACCTACTGGGACATCCATCTCCGACTCATGCAATCCTTCCTCAGACCCTGAACCAGCCATTTCCTGGTGACTGAGGCGTCGTTCAGAGTCACTATTCTCCTGGTGCCGCACCACGCTCTTCTCATCGACATGGGTCGCCATAATGGGCAGAACTCAGAAAATAAAAGCCCAACGGTGGGGAAGTAAAAAGAAAAGATGGAAGGTGCCCCAGAATATACCAAGAAATCCGGGGGATTGACAGGCCCACCGAACTAAATAAGTCAATTCCGACAGATCAAAAGTATAGGAAATGAACAAAGACCAAGCGACGGGTCGAAAATATAACCCCAGTTCCACAACGGGGTCATGACCTAGTGTATCGGAAATGGCCGCTTGGGAGACGAATCAAAAGGCCAAAATTGAGCCTGTCGTAGACTAACGAGGAGTCAAAACGCCAAAGCTTGTCAATTATGCGATAGCCGGGATGAGAATGCTTGAAATCGAGAAAATGCCGAGGCAGCTTGGCAATTCGCGTACAAATCTCCTCATTTTGGGCCGATTCGCCCCCCGGAAATGCGGGGGAGAAAACGTGGAGAGAAGTATACTCTTGGGCCTCGATCTTGTTTCGGAGGCCATACCAGAAAGGGATCAGCCCCGAAAGTGTAACAAGAGTGTATGATATGTGCATTAAATCTATGTATAATGACAAAATCTGTGAGATAGCCCGTGTAGGCAATGATTGTTCTACATGAAACGTGAGTCTTTAAATATTCTGGCTTCCAGGCTATACAGCCTAGCAAAAATGCAGAGATCCAAAAGACGAGCCGATGAGATCGTAAGGCAGAAGCTGGCGAGACGCAGAAGCTTGCGAGTCATACGGGCAATGACCCCATATCCGTCGATATCAAGCCATCATTGATCCACTCAAAAGTGGTCCCCGACTTTAGCGAGCTGCAGCTTCTTAGGAACAACGAAAAGACCAGTTGCCTCAACACAGAGTCGACCTGCCATATCGCGGACTTCACACTTGGCATAGGCCTTACGGTCAGTGCTCCGTTCCTGGTCTAGTGTTGTATGCAGGGTATAGAAATTGTCCGAGTAGACCGGGGCGCGGTAGTTGAGGTTGAGATTGGCTGTAACACCAGTTCGCGCTGGGAAGTGCCGAATAGCAACTCGTCCCAAGTTCTCATCGATGACCGTACCCAGTGCGCCGCCATGAACCATCGTTGGCCAGCCCTCCAGGCCAGGCCCAAGGAAGACCACGCTAACGATTTTCTTCTCCTTGTCGTTCCAGAATACTTTCTGTCATGTATGGAAATAGTTAGATCAGACGGGATCCCGAGGTTCGGTAGTTGGAGACGTTCGGTATTTGCATGATAGGGCACACGGGCACCAACCACTGCAGACGCCATACGCCAAAGGAGGTCAACCAACCTGTAATCCTAGACCTCTGCTGCCAGCCAAAGGGCCAGAAGTCAGGCGGTGTTCCTTATGGTCCTCCGAGAAGTTCTCGTAGACGTCCTTCTCCACATAATCCGGTTCCCGGCGCAGCTCCTGTACGATAGGCAGGCCAATGTCGAACACGCGTTGGACTTCCTGAAGTTCGATTCGGTCCACTACAGACCCTGGGGCTGGTGGCGCTGAGATCTTATCGTCCATCCATTTCCCTGCACCTACGCCAAGAGCTCCAAATATTCCTGCATATATTAGATGGCGCGGCCACCGCGATGATTGGGTCCGGGCATTGGGTGTGGTGCTGGAGTTTCGGATCGGTACTCGCCAAGAGGGCCGCGTTCGTGTCGCAGATTGTCGCAGAGCCGGAAAGATGCGAGAATGGTTCATTGTGATCACATTGTCCAGAGATGAGAATACATTGATCGGATTTCTTGAGAGCCGAGGCCGATGTCACGTGAGACCAGTATATTTCGTCATTGGTCGATGCTGTGCGAGTATTCTATCTACAAACTACGCAGTTAACGCTGCTACAAATTACCTAAGTGCTAAGTGAAAGGTAAATGAATTGGTCACATAATGGCGGGGGACGAGCATCACTCATGTTCATCGTTCTATTCATCTAGACAACATTGGAAGATTTCATATGAATAGATCTTCAATCATACAATCACGATCTCTCGAATTACTCCGTAGGCAGGTCAATGGCACGGTAAAGACAGATGAGAGCAGAATGAGATTCACCTATTATACTGTTAGTTATGTCTCGTGCAGAATGTGGTATGAGAAAACTTACCACCACCGGAAAGAGTCTCGATCTTCTGGGCCTCGACCTCGGTCACGGTATCATCGTTGAACCACCACCACTTATCATCCTGCTCACGGCGCTTGTTGCCGGTCTGAGCCTCGTCTTTGTTCTGCTTCTTAACATATGCCGTGTAGTGACCGCTGTCGGCACTAGCACCCTGGTGGGTAATCACAGCACGAAGCTCGTACAGACCAGACTGGTTGGTGCCACTGTCTCCAGAGCCCTGCTGCTTGACCAGCTCTTGGAGTTCCTTCTTGGCAACGCGGATAGACTCAGCCTTCTCGGCTTCATATTCGGCGTCGGTCTTGAAAGTCTCCTCCATCTGACTGTCGCCGTCGTTGTCCTTGGACTTAGCCTTGCTCTCCTCGGCAGCCTTCTTCTTTTGCATGGGCTCCACACTCTCCCCCAGGTTAGTTTCCTTCTTCTGGCGCTCTTCGCGCTCCACAGCAATTCTTTGACGCTTCTGGGCACGCTCGACATCTATTTCCTCCTTGCGGATCTCACGAACCTTATCCCGAATGGGGATGAGCTGCTTGCGTAGGTCGTCGGTGCAGAACTCCACCACATCCAGCTCAGCGGGGAATGTCACCTTGCGCATAATCTTTGCCTTTTTCTGAGTCTCACGCTTCCAGAAGAAACGGACAAAGTGCACCGTGAGATACTTGGGTAGGCGGGCGATACGAGATCGTTTTTTGTATAGAGAGTTGGTGCCCAGAAGAGGAGAGTTCTTCTCAATATGTTCCTCCAAACCAGACAAGATTCCATCCTGCAAATGGTTGGTTTCCTTTCCAATATGACAATCAAGCTTGTAAAACACATCGGAACTTTGGCTTGGTTCCTCGCCGAGTTCCTTGGCCGCTGGGTCCTCGCATTCAGTGATGGATTCGAATTGTCCTGCGAGATATTTGTCGACAAAAGTGGTTTTCGTGGCAGACTCTCCCTCGCCTTCCGTGATAGTCAACTTGGCTCTCAGCTGGTTGATAATTTGAGAGAAAGCTTCCTCGGCATCCTGCTGGGCGTATCCTTGTCCGTTTCGGTCACGCTGGGCGAATTGAGGGAAGACGGCTCGGAGGGCGTTGAGGAACATCAACGGAGGGATGCCTTCCTGGGTCTCGGACATCTGCTTGAACAGGTCTCGTAGAGCAGCGGCCAAGTCTCGCGAACCTCCCAAACCACCAAGACCAAAGCTACTGAGATCGGAGAGACCTGAGCCGCCAGCTCCTGGGGTTGGGCGATACCGAAGAAGCTCGTCTTGGAGCTCCGGGACGCTTCGCAAAGCTTGTAGAGAAGAATTGAGGTAGCATGTGTTGCCCAAATTCTGTAGACCAGCCGGGGTAGCACCCTCCTGCTGGGCCAGATCCGCCTCGGTCATATCCTCCAGGAACTTGACAGTCTCCTTCGGCCGACCGAGATCAGCGGAACCCTGGCCACCGGATGGCGTGCCCATCATCATAAACATCTGGCCGGGTTTGGCGTTCAGAGAGGAAAGTGCGGTATCATCTTTGAGCTGACCACCCTTGATCAGAACCTTTTGACGATCGGGTTCAACACCGGTCAGGGAGAACAGCTGGTACTTGAGGGTTTCGCCGTTGGAGGTCGGATCGAGCTCGACTTCGTGGCGCTTGCCCGCATGCTTAACGATGACTAGGTTTGTCAGTGATCGTCGGGAAATAGAAACTCATCCAGACTCACTCGGTATAGCTGCCATATTTGATGAAACTAAACGATAACGTTTGAAGAATAGAGAGCTTGAAAGAGCTGCAAAGGTAAACAGCGAGGCAAGGAAGCGTGGGGGCAATGCAAACTGCTCAAACACCATCATCACCGCCCACTCGGACGTCAACCTCCCCCTCTGCCTAGACACTCTGTTATCTTTGTGTTCTACGCTCACTCTTCAATTGTTCAGGGTCTTTTTTCTTGAGTTACTGGGGTCGAGCATTTCACTGCACGTACTCCGCTACTTTATTCTGTTGTTTCAGCTCCTGTTGGGGCATAAACTATCCGCGAGCTACCCTTCTTACTACCCGTGGAAGCTACCAATTGCCTTCCACCATGGTGAGTCCCGTTCGCCCAAGATTGATTACTCTGGAACTGACACTATCTCAGTCGCAAAGCTTGAGGCCATACCTGCAGGCCTGCCGCTCCTCCCTCACCGCCGCTCTGGCGATCTCCAACTTCGCATCCCAAACATCGGAACGCCGTACGTCTAGACTTTAGAACATACAAGGGAGACTCGCCTACTGACCTTTTTTTTTTCTAGACAATGTGCCCGAAATCGAAGCCCAAAGCAGTCCGGAGGTCTTGCTGAACCCATTGACCATCTCCCGCAACGAGAACGAGCGCATGCTGGTCGAACCGAGTGTGAACAGTGTCAGAATCAGTCTGAGGATCAAGCAGGCAGATGAGATTGAACACATCCTGGGTAAACATATGATATGACCCGTGAGTGAAGCATAGATGCTGACTTGCTTTAGTTCACAAGTTCACCCGTTTCCTGACCCAACGAGCTGAGTCGTTCTTCATTTTGCGCAGGAAGCCAGTTGAGGTAAGTTGCACTGGTAGGTTGAGAGTGTCCAAAGCTAATTGAACCAGGGCTATGATATCTCCTTCCTCATAACCAACACCCATGTCGAGATGTTACTGAAGCACAAATTAGTGGACTTTGTCATCCAGTTCATGGAAGAGGTAGACAAGGAGATTTCGGAGATGAAGCTCTTCTTGAATGCGCGTGCTCGATTCGTTGCCGAGTCTTTCCTGACACCGGTATGTTTACGATGACTCGCAGCTATTGATGATTACTAACCGTGGCACAGTTCGATTAAATTCCCTAGCGTTTCCTTGTTGCTGACTCCGAATAATGAATGACCTTGTGTTTCCCTCCTTCTCCTGTACAGATATCACAGGCTTGCAATGATTCAGAGAAGCTTTTACCGGTCCCCGTCCACAATAGTCTCTAAGCCTATATGGGAGAGATAGTAGAGTCATAGAGATACTTGTAGTAGATTGGGACCATGCATGCCTGTGTATGAATGTTACAACGAATATGTCGTTGGGGACAGGGGCGGCATGGCAAGGTGCTTATTTGCACAGATTGGATTTTCAGAGCGTAAGAAACTACATAGTACAGAATAAGACAATATTAACTTATCTCCTTGTTGCTACATGTCCCCTATGAGGTATACAACGCTGGCGTTATATCACGATAGGTTTATTTTCTTGTGTCGAAACCATGTCTGATGATCCATTTAGCTAATAAGTACCACTGTCGTGCTGTTTGGCTATGATATTGGCTTCAAGGGTAGAATGCCACACAGCGACTATGCGACGAAGACCCACATTGCCCGGGAATAAGAGCAATTCTCTAAATGGGCTGATCGAAAGGTGTCTCAAATAGCAATCAAATTAGAGCTTAGTTAATGCTCTACGATCTGCAATAGATAAAACGCGATTTAATAAGAATCAGTTGAGTTATGGTTAAAAAGCAAGTCTGTCTGGTGAACGCCACAATGCGGATGTGCAAGTAAATACGTTAACAGCGGGGCGGTGCGTGGCCCTACGCCAAACCACTGACTCGGGAACCCCTAATATTGCTGGTACGCCTTCACCTATACCAACTTGGATGAATTACACTGGCAGATGTATAGTAAACATAGCCAAATACAGACTCTGCAAGTTTTATCACCATTAAACCTTTGGGGGTGTAGATCCAATGGTGGCAGTAAAAAGGCAGAATCCACAACCCACGCTCTCGCAACAGTACTCGATCTCCCCTCGTCGATTCTCTGCCACACCGCCCAGCCTCGTGCACGGACCCAGTCCTACTGCCACGGGGCCGCTGAGCCCTAACGACTTGAAGCATGTGCTTCATGTGGCTACGGGCCATTCAAGAATGGCTTTGGCCAAAGCCAATACAGCTGGATGAGCTTCTGGAGCTGGGGAGTATTGAGGGTAGCAATCGCCATGGTGTCTACTCCGGCGATTTTGGCTATGTGCGTTCAAACTCCCTTGGCATTTGCTGGCATAGACCATAGTATATAGGAATGTGTGCTAATCGTGCAGTATTTTCAGGACGATGCAATTGAGGGCCCCCTGCTTCACTGGACTAGTTGATGCTGTCACTGATGAGCCAGCAATTTTCTTGTCTTCCTTACCAGAGGAGTCTCCTTCGGTGGCCCAGAAGTTTGTGCCTGCCTTTGGAGGAGACGGGGCCGAGGAACAAGGTGCTGAGGAAAAGAAAGTGGTCGGTGCTGCCTTGGGTTTTTATCTTGAGAACTTTCGTTCGACATATTCCCCCCATCTCCCTGCGCCTTTTCTCTCTCCTACCCCTCCCAATTCCTGACCCTCCACATCTTCTCCATCTACTCCTTTTCCCAACTCATCTTTCACTGCAACTGGTCAACCCAATCGTCCTCATCGTCTAGATCATCTGGCTTTTGGCCACCTGCAAGAGATGGCGTGGCCCTGTCATGGCGGGGAAGATTCCCCTGACATGAAGGGCTTCGACCTTCTCCGACGGTCGACAATTTATGACCTCCTCAAGGAGACTCGTATCCCCTTCGTCTCCACCGTGGACACGGTCAAGCCGTGCACTTTCGGTGTTGTGCTGATCACCAGCGTAAGTGTCTTTCCCACTACCCCACGTGCAACTCTGGTTGTCTCGCCAGTTCCGTTTGCTAAGCATCTCCAGATTCCATACGGTATCACCCGCCAAGAGGTCACTTCTTTCCTGGGCTCTGAAGCACAGTGGCTGGCAAACCACAATGGGGCCTGTCCTATTCATATCATGATGGAACGTTCCACTGGCAAGACTATGGATTGCTACATTGAATTTGTTTCTGAGCAAGTTGCTGCACGGGTAGCTTATCGCCTCGGTAATGCCTATGATGCTTACAGTTCCCCTCGAATGGGTAACCGCCACGTTGAGATTTCTTTCAGCAACCAAGATGCCTTGCTCAAGGCTATGTTTCCCTTAGCCAAGTGTGTCAAGTGGGTCAATGGCTCTCCTGTTATACTGGAAGGCATCCCAGAATGGTCAAGTGGCTTTGATGGTTTTCTGACTGGCGAGGAGCTCTACTGCCTTGGTCGTCATTCGGACACACCTTACCGAGTATGTCTTCCCGTTCTTGGATCGTTTGTCATTCAATTTTACTAACATAGTGCAGAGTGTGTTCGCAAACAGAGTGCCTCAGCGGTGCTACGAATCCCTCATCAGCACTATCTGGAAGGTAATTGCTATGGTTTGCCCTTCCCGTTGCCGTTTGTTCTGTCGATCTAATCATGTTGTCTGCCCTTGCAGTTTCCATGGTATGCAACCGGCATGTACACCGTTCACGACCGCAATCAACTCTTTGAGCTCTTAAAGCAAATGGTCGACAATCTTCGCGCTACGTCGCAAAAGGAAACCCGAACCGTGGGACTTGATGAACGTCTACTCCGCGAGCTTACCTGGTGTGGAATTCTTTGCCCTGGCTTCAACCCACGCCAGAAGTACAACATTGCCAGCAAGTCTCAGCTCCCCGAGTTTGAACACATTCTGGACCACGACTGGTGCCAGTACTTTCCCTTCGACACCTTGGGCTACGCGGATGAGTACTCCCTGTTGGACTACCAGGTACGGAATGTCATTGCGAGACTCACTTGTGAACAGTGCTAATTCCCGAATTCTTCAGATTTATGCCTACTTGACGTCTCAGGGTGAGCTCGATCGCATCAACATCGAGAATGAAGGATACCACAATGGCCACATAGATCCGCGTGTTCGCAGACTGTTTGGTGTCAACTGGTTCTCATGGAGGGCTGACACTGCCAAGCTGAAGCTGTTTAAAGATGCGGTCGATTACGAGAAGTGCCTCCTCCGTCAGCTCGTCATCACTGGATACAGGAGCTACCACGCTATCCCCCGTGGTGACGAGGAAGACAGCTCCTCTTCGATTGGGACTGCACCTCCCGATACCCCAACAGTTACGGTTACCGAGAAGTCTTTTGACAGCCAGAAGACAATTTCTGCTTTTCCTCGTGCTGCTCCGATTATTCTTGTTCCTCCTCCTCGTCCTCCTCCTGATGCACCACCTATTTCAGCTCGCACCGCTCAAGTTCTTGCTGCTCCTTTCAATCGGCGAACTCAAGCTGCTCAGCAGACCGGTGAAAGCGGAAGTCTCCAGTCTCGCACCCTACGTCATTTGTCTGCACCTGATTTTCGCTTCAGTGCCCAGCCGAGCTCCTCCAGCCCTCAGCAGGTCATCGAAACTGTAAACAAGCAGGCTCACTTGCGACGCAACATGTCCACCCCCGAGCAGTCTAATTCACTCGTTCCATGCAACGTTGAAAACACCGAGAGTGGAAGCTCGCGCAATGATGACGGTTCTTCCAAGGAGTCTGTCCAGACTACGCCTCGTCTATCACGCGTTCCGCTGAACTACACTGATGTCAACTTCCATCGGCCCATTTCACCCCAGGAAACTCGTTCCACCTCGCAGGGAGTACGCCCCTCTGGTCAACTTGAAGTTGGGGAAACTTACTCTCCTTTTAATTCCATCCCCGAGCCTCATATGTCCAATTTCATAACCAGTGGTGAATTTGATCGCGAGTGGCGTTTCCCATATACTTCAAGTGCTATGGATGTTCCTCCCCCAAGTTTTATCCCTTACCGCCGTGCCATGCCGCGTTCTGCGTCCCAGTTCCTCCCATTCGAGGCCCTGCCGTACCAGGTAATGTTCCGGGATGAGCCTCCTTCGTTGCAATATTGCCAAGCTCAGCAGTCTCGGGCTCACCAAGCCCAGTCTCAGGAGCAACAGTCTCAGGACTCTCAGGACTCCCAGGAGTCCCAGGAGTCCCAGGATCAGCAGCCCCAAAATCAGCAACACCAGGCTCAAGAACAACAGTCTCAAAAACCCCAGTGTCAGCAGTATCCTCCACAGATGTACCTGTCTTACTGTCCCGAGTTTCAGGATCCTCAGTATTACCAGGCTTCGTGCTATCCCCTGCAGCACAACCTCGAGTATCAACAACTGCAGTATGAGGCTCGGCAGCTTCAGTCTCAGTATCTCCAGGCCCAGCAGCTCCCGGCCAAGGAACAACGGTCCAAGGAGAAAGGAATCCAAGACGAACAGGCTACTCCGGTTCCTCGCTACCGCACCCCCCATCACCGCGCGACAAGCTCGACTTACAGCCAGATTCCCACTTACTACGTTCCGCATGCTACGGCACAGAACATCCGATCGCACTCTGATCCCTTCGCCCCTGGTCCCTATGAGCCAGCTAGTGCTCGTTCCCGATCTGACATGCTCACTGACAACCCCCCTGTCAACACGCCTTTCTTTGATAGTGTGCGTCAAGGTCAGCGCCAGCGTCGCACATACCAGCCCCCTCACAATTCTTCTCGTGGTTCTTCTCGTGGTACTTCCAGATAATCGATACGGCTTTTCTCGAACGGTCTCCTCTCCCGAGGACTGACTTTCGTTCTTCTGACACGGTAACAGTCAACGTTTCCTTATGGTTTTTCCCCCGGCTTCCGCCGTCCTCGGTTATTCCTTGCGTCAACTGCCCTTTTTTGACGATACCTTATGCGTTTCATTTTCAACACTCCACTGCGTTATTCTTGCCTTTTTTTCCCTGCTTTCGATGTTTGACATCCACAGGCTGACAACAACTCCTCTCCACATGGTTCAAAAACAATAAACCCACAAAAATAGTTCCTTAACTCAGGGCTATCAATTTTCTGGCTTCGCGGCACCACCCTGTCTAATATCTCTAGGGAGCTGGGGCCACCAGTACAGCAGTACCCCAATTCCGTAAATTGAGATTTTGCGTTTTGTTTTTATCGCAGGACATAGCCAAAACTGATGAATATGAAATTGTTGGGAGAGTTCGCTCCGGAGAGTGGCACTGGGCGCCTTACCAACTACACGAACCCACAGAAGGGCGTGTCCTAGCTTACCAATAAGATAATATTTTGTTGATTTTCATCTTTTGTAGCTTTCTTTGTAGTCCTTGTTTGTAGTGCATGGCGGATATGCCCGGTAAGATGCAGAACCCATCAGATATTGTATCACTTTCTTTTTTATCTTCTGAATCTGGCAGACAAACGCCGCTCAGATGATATAGGTCCCCTTTGCAACACAAATATGCTGTTTGTAGGTGCATCTAGACTCTACATGACCAACAAAAGCCCTCTTCTTGGAACGGCAATCGACAATCGGGATCGATATCCGAGGTTAGACTGAGGACACTGCCTCAATCTCAGTTATATTCACAAGAATAGACATCACCGGGCCATAGAACTCCTCTCCTTGGAACGGCAATCAATCGACGCGGGAGATCAATATCCAAGGCCAAGTTGATGAGGCTGCCTCAGGACCAGATCTCAGGCACCAGATTAGATACTACCAAGTCAAGTTCATAATGCAAGGACTCAGCCCGAACCAAACGAGCCGGCTAAGAGCAGAAGGGTCGGGTTTACTGTAGGCTTCCAGACATGGAAGCTGGCATTCGCTCTCGGCGAGGTTTTTAGGCAGATGCAAATGAGACGAGAGAGAGATTGCAGTGAGTGTGGGTGTTTTTGAAGTGCCCGAATCAGAAGCTATTACGGTGGAAACTGTTAGGTACTGAGGCTCGTTGGGCATTGCTTTGAGATATGGCTAACACAGAATAGATCGGATGTCCCTTGAGAGAACCCCCCGAACACGCCATACAGTCCAAATCTAGGCATGTCGGATGCTAAGTATAGTCCATTTGGGGACTTGTTATCCCGCGGCATCATTTGAAAGCGAAAAGCTCCAAAGAGAACACGCCGGGGTCGTTATATCGGCTTCGGGCTCAAAGTGGGCGATTTGAAAGCTGTTGAGCCATCACTTGGCCATGAGGCCTTTTTTACGAGTTCAAATACAATGTCTGTGGCTCGGGGGTCTTGTTAGGGATAAGGGCAGGGGTTTGCGACCACGTGAACACCTGCTTTTCCTCGGAGGATCAGCATACCGACCGAATGATAACGAATGATAGATATTGTGGGATGCGCATACATCGGCATATGTTTGTTGCATACAAAATTTCAAGCTCTAGCTTGTCCTATATGCTATAATGCTAAACGATCGAGCTAGAGGCCCACATACTTCGAGATTTGGAAGTCCGAAGAGTGCTGCGTTTACGGAGTAGAAGCTCTACTTGTCTTTTGGAGCAAGACAAGGCCCACTATTAACCCATACAACGATATGTGTTCTTCAGCATTTCAAAGAGGTGAACGTAAAGTTGCGGCAAGGGTTTCGGACAAAAAGCGGAGCCGTTTATTACGCAAAGCCGGTTTTAGGCCCCTTGGGGATTTCTTACTTTACACTTTCGACTCTACATCTCTCTTTGTTTTGCTTTTTTTGTAGCCGATTTCGATTTTGGAAATTTCTTGTTCTACGAAAAACATAGAAAAAGCACGTTTCAAAGGTCAGTGTTTAGTTATTTAGAATGCCTCGCTCGTCTCGGCCTGTTACCGCGTCGCCTGAAGCGCCTGTGGCGCCAAAGCGACGCGCTTCAGCTCGACTTTCTGCCGGGGAACCAGAGGTCAAACGGGTCAGGTCAAACATCGGCCTGCCCAACCGCGGGGCTAAATCCACGACGAAGAAGAGCAAGTACTTCGAACCGGAAAGTTCTGACAATCCTGGTCTTGAGTCCGATGCCTCGCAGGGCGCCGACTCCGGCTCCGCGTACGAAGAAGGAAAGGAATCTTCCTCAGATGAGACAGAGCCGGAGGAGCCTTCCGAGAGCGAGGACGCCAAACCCAAGGGTAGCTCGCGACAAAGCGCCGGTAGCGCTAAGGGCCAAGAACTTTGGCGCGAGGGCGTCAGAGCCGGTCTAGGACCCGGCAAGGAAGTTGTCATCGCGAAGCCCAAGGCGCGAGAGGCGGGCGATACCCCATATGAGGATGAGACATTACACCCCAACACCAAGCTGTTCCTCATCGACTTGGCGGAGAACAATGATCGCGAATGGATGAAGGGTAAGTGGGAAACATCACTCGCGGGTATGGAGTGGCTGGTTGACTTTGCGCAGCGCACGATCCGGATTATCGCGCGGCAAAGAAGGACTTCGAGACGTTTGTTGAGAGTCTCACATCCAAGATATCGGAAGTGGATGCTACCGTTCCCGAACTTCCTCCAAATGACCTGGTAGACACCCCCAACCATGTCACCATGTCACCTATATCACCCACATGTATCCTTGACAGGCCCCTCACTGATGTTCCTAGATCTTCCGCATCCACAGGGATGTTCGCTTCAGCAAGAATCCACTTCCATACAAGGTATGCATTGTGTTCCCTCCCTAGGTTCCAGGTTCCTGTTGCGTCTGACGAATGTGCTTGTGTGACTGTGATCTTCATTAGCGGCGCTTATGCTGACAGTGACCAGACCCATTTCTCTGCAGCTTGGTAAGTGTCGGCACTAATATCTGGAGTAGTCCACTGAACGTCATGCAGGTCTCGCACTGGTAAAAAGGGCCCATACGCCGCATATTATGTGCACTTTCAACCTGGCTCTTGTTTTGTCGGTATGTCTGACCATCCTTCCTCTTCCATCATGATCACCCGACCGGCTCACTGTGTGCACAGGCTGTGGTCTGTGGAACCCAGAGGCAGAGCCTCTTGCCATGCTCCGAGAGGACATCGACGAGCACGCGGACCGCTGGAAGGAGGTACTCCGGGAGCCCGAGCTGCGCCGCGAGTTTCTGAAGGGAGCATCGGATGACGACGACGCGGTTGTGAATGCGTTTACGCATCATAACAAGGAATCTGCTCTCAAAGTCAAGCCCAAGGTAACTATCCCTGATCAATGGTCTCGATGAAGAGACCTTACCTCTCTTGCTTCTTATCACTTCCCCTATCACATCTTTCACCGGTTGCATCAACTGGTGATGCCTATGGTGCCTGAGGATGCCAGTGTACCAACCTAGAGGGTGGGCGGATCGTAGGGTTCGCCATCGAGTCGCGTCCATCACGTCCATGTCTCTCCGACCGGTGGCTCATCGATCCGGAATTTTTACATCCATCTCGATCAACGAGTAACATGAGTGCAATGACTTGATGAGATCATAGAGATTGGATGGACTCCCGATCTGCCAGAAATTTGGACTGTCAAAATGCACGCGTCCATGGCTCAAACCCGGGTCATTCTCCCTGGACCGAACCAAGACGAATGAATAGTTCCAGAGTACTCCTCTTTACTGTGCACTCTGCAGTGAAGACATTTTGCCCCCTTTGTCGGAGAAATGGACCGGGATGGGTTACGCCGTCGTTGGTTCCATGGTTCACAACCGCGCCAGGCTCCACGTTACCAAGGTTCAACATGCTGACAAACAACTTAGGGTTACGAGGCGAACAATGAGAATATCAAGTTGCTACGTCTACGCAGTTTTACCATGGGAAAGCCCTTGGCTGATGAGGATTTGGCTGGTTCAAATGCCCAGGAGAAGATAGCTGCTTTGATGGCTATCATGGAGCCCTTCGTAAGATCATTCCAATTTTGCCCCTCTCGACTAGTCGGTTTTCCCTTCTGAGCTAGCCACTTCGGCCGTGCCCGTCCCTTTTTTTTATCCACCGAATCACGCTTCATAGCCCGCCCTTTCGAATTTCTGTACGCTGACCGCTTCTCTTCATGACAGGTGACGTATCTGAACAGTGTAGTTATGCCCGATCAGTAACATGATTGGGACTGATAAGGAGAAAGAGATCTGGCTTTTTCTTTGGGGATATCCTGCATTACGTGTCATTTTTTTACTCTTTTTTATACTGGGAAGTACAGAGTGTACGGAGTATGGGCTCGGGTTTTTTGTCTCTCTGAGACGTGAAACCGGATCCCCATCGACGCCCTCCTGCACACAGCCTTTCTTGGGTCTGCCCCCGCCGCCAATTCCTGGTGCTGCAGACTGGCCTTGGAGTGAATTATCACTGCACTTGCATTACATCTAGCTACTGCACACTGCATTGCCCACAGAGTCAAGGGTCCAGATTCGATCCTTTGCGCGTCCTTTCCTTGCCTCGCCTTGCATTGTGCTTTTTCCCCTCCTTGTTCCCGCCCCAAAGCCACAACCCCTCTCAACAGTTTACATATTTACAGTTTACCCTTTTTGCAATTTCAAGTCCAGAACGCCCAAGTATTTCTAAATTAATATGCCTGACGCACATTATATCGCCACCGCAAGCGCCCGCGTTCGGCCCGTTGTCGGGCATGCCCGCTAGACTAACCTTGGGAGTCTGTGGATTAAGGCCCGGGTCTGCTCCGCCGGTCCCAGATTGTGGTTTTTGAAAGCACCTTCCTGGTCTGGAATGGACTGCATTTATTTGACTGGTTGTGTATTTGTATTGTTTCGGTTGCATAGTTGGGCTTCGTAGTGGAGGTTGGTTGGTATCAGGCAGTCATGTAGTCAATGATCATTTATTGTCATTTTCTGGTGTAACTTGATTTGACTTCCCTATTTTCAATATTCTGGGTAGTCGACCATTGATCTAATTGACATGTCTTGAGATATATGCTATGGATTTTGATCTATGTTAAGATCGCCACTCCCGTCGGAAGCTCAGCCCCGAAGATCCTGGATCCTGAGTAGTTTCCTTAAACAAAGTACCGAACGTACGGTCTACTAAACTCTATTATTTGTTTCATATCGAGCGGGAAAAGTAAGTTATATTCCTGGTGGTATTTTTGATGCACGTCGAGAGACTCGAAATATTGAAATTCCACCTCGTTGAAGTTCCACCTTGGTCATACATTATAATATGATCGCATTCAAAGATATTTCAACGAGAGAGCAAATTATGTGGTTTGTGGACAAATTGACACTCAGATCGTTTGGACTGGAGCGTGAAATAGTCGAGACGAGACTGCCCGAGTTTCATCAACACCAGTGGCAATGTGGTACAATCTCGACGTTTGAGACGTGAAACGATCTTACTTTTCAAGTAAACAAGCATGTAATTTGACGATCTCAATTGTCTTTTACTATGAAGAATAACATCTCCCGCTATCTCTCAAGTATCGATCAAGATCGCTAGAGCACCGAGCAATAGAGACGGTCCTGATCGTCATGTACACATGAGCAATGTCTACTCCATATACTCCGTACTTCTCATTGCTGATATATACTGACATAGATTCAAGTGATACTGTAGACATATATATAGCAGGAAACCAGGGCAAGATTTATCACATGTTATGATTTGTCGTGTTTGCTACCCAACCCTAGTGATTCTCAACGGGCATCATGTTTGTTTCGATGACCAATTAGTCAAATCTGGGGACCAACCAGCGCTAAATGCGCACGCTTAGCCTTGAAAGCTACAACTAGACTCGGTTTCAAAATTGTCTCGAGTCAGTCGAGTTAGATTGGTGATACCGGTGTCCTAGATCCATGTACAGTATGCACATCACACGAGCATGACGCCCTGACTCGGGCAGTTTGAAATCGACGAAGTCAAAGGAACACCTAAAAAAACAAAAACAGTGCTCCAATTAAGCCTCCGATAGATCCAATGTGTCAAAAATGTCACTAGCTCCACGCAAGGTCCCGAGCGACCAGTTGCCGAGCAGCATCCATAAAAAGCAAGGTGAGATCGACTCGCTTTGTCTCCCGAATGGCGCTCCCGAATAGAGTTGGCAAGGCCCAGCTGCAGCACAGCCTGGTGTCACCTGTGTGACGAGGCACCGACCGGGGTGAGCACCAATGGGAGACATTCACTAGGCGAACTACCTGCATACAACAAACCACCCTCAGAAGGAAACCATTAGAACAAAGGTAGAAAAGAAAGTTTGCAGGCTCGGCTAATAACGAGTTCTATTGCATGCAGTAACCCAGGATCAGGTAGTCATCAGGTATCTCTCATCACACGACCTGCAAGCCGTTCAACCGGTTCGTGTACACCGACTCAAGCACTGCCTCATTCCGGCTCGATGCAGAAACCCTCCAAGATTTTAATTTTTTTTTTTCCAACAAAAAAATAAAAAGACAAAAATATTTTCCTCGCCACGTCAGATCCTGACTAGCACAGACCTCTTTTACATAGGCTGTTCCCGTGACCGTAGATGCATGCGGGTTGCGCCTATTAGTGCCCGACCCGTCTCCATCCCTGCTGATAGACGCGCTCCCGTGTGGGTAAGGGAGGGGTATGGCCTCAACAGAGAAGGCAAAAAAAAAAAAAGAAAATGAGAGGATTACCTAAACAAGCAACTCGGCAAAAATGAATGAAACCAAGTAATAAAAAAAGAACAAAGTCTCAGAAAATGACCCGGTCGGAAAATAGCGTTGGGTCCTTCAAAGCAGGCGCTCAGTCCTTTCCTAGTTTTGAGGAAGACTAGCGCGTCCCCAGGACAAACGGCATCGAGTGGCCAGCAGCTTTGGATCAAGTGGGTCTGGAGATTCCGGAGAGGGTACGCTAAGAGAGCTAAGTCAGGCTGAACCGGCCACGCCAGAGAGTGGGGAGCGGAAAGATGCGGACGGCAATGCACTCGATTGGGTTCGAAAAACGTGGCCTGAAAGGGTAGTGTACAGTAGCGTGAAATTAGTGTATATCCTTGTCGGGGGTGCAGGGATTGCACTCCGTGTGCTGAGGGTTACGATGTAAATACAATGAAAAGGGAAGTCAACACTTTAGGGCTAACATGCCACACTACTTGGGAGGCCAATAAATTTACACTGCCACACTCCCATAAAATACGGGTGTATGGTCACATACCAGATGGCCATGCATAGATCGGCGGGAAGGCCGGAGCGGCCCGTGGGACAACCCCGAGAGTACTGTTACTGTATTCAGTACGAAGACTTCGGGATTGGCGACGGTCCACTAAATCCCGTACAACGTGGTTGTGGCTCCTAGGAACCCGCCCCCTGTCAGCGCTGCGCTAATGCAGGTTACCTTGGCCCATGGGCTTTCCGGATCCAGTGCTACAGCCCTGGGAACTTAGGGCACTCCACCCCCTCTTCTGCCTAGTTTCTTTTTTTCTCTGACTGGCTCCGCTCTTTTGCTTTGGCATGGTTGATTTCGTATCGGAAATGAGTGGCGAGTGGCCCAGCTGGAACCCCACTCCTTCAGCTGGTGTCTGATCGCCACACCCAGTAGGGACATTCACCGCTACACTTCTCTCGAAACCAGATATACATGCAGACGCCCCGACCCGAGCCCATGTATCGCGGGGCCGGATGCGGTTGTGCGACTACGGTCCGAGGCGCTCCATGGTTACGCGAGAAAGAAGCGGTCGCCGTTCTCGGGTTCCTCACCGAAGACTGGTACCCTAAGGCAGAACCATGGTTCGATAATACCATCCACAGTTTATTCAGCTTCCCAGTCATACTAGACTGTATCTCATACACGGTACTGTCAGGGTACTGGCGCCTCCCGTCTCCACTTTCTCAAAATCCCTGGGTTTTCCTGCCTTTTTCCAATCAAAAAATTCCCTGTCTATATTTCTTGCTCACGTCATAATCGCCGAGGCTCTTTTCTTTTCTTTTTTTCTTTTTTTCTTCTTTTCTTCTTTTCCACCTTATTTCCTTTTTTCCCTCTTGCCTATTCTGGTCCCTAACCCCCCTGGACCGCGCTATGCTCGCTTTGCCCGAGTGAATATCCCCCTTTCATCCCTGTACTCATCATCTCTTTCAACCATGTCGGGCCCCAACGACGAGCGGGAGGATCCGAATCGTCAGGATCCCCGCTGGAATCGGGACGAGCAGGCTCCCTATGTAGGTGACAATGTGACGTGCTGACAGGCTTGGTGTGCTGATTATAGTGCACAGTATCCCCCGACCACTTATCCTCCACCAGACGAGCAACAACGTCCCTACCCTTACCCGCCTCAATACGCGCCTCCTGGCTACCAGTATCCTGGATATCCCCAGGCGCAGTATCCAGCTTCGCAGTATCCGCCTCCACCCAACATGGCCGCTGTTCACGGACAAGATCCCTACCGTCTGCCTCCGCCGCCTGGTCCCTACCGTCAAGATCCTTACGCGCCCCCTCCAGGGCCTCAAGGGCCTTACCAAGCAGCAGCTCCTCGCCAGCGAACCGCCATTGCCTGTCGATACTGTCGGCGCCGGAAGGTACGGGAGATTGGGTTACCTGGGGAAAATGATCACGCGCTGATTACAACCTAGATTCGTTGCTCGGGATTCGACACTTCGGCTGATGGACGGTGCAGCAACTGTGTCCGTTTCAACCAAGATTGCATGTTCACCCCAGTCTCGTCGCAAACACAGGCCTTTGTGCCCGCGCACGCTGCTTACCCTCATCTACGAAATGGACCGACAGCCGGGGGACGACAGCCTGTCCTGTACGGCGCCCACGGACAGCCACTGCCACCTCAGCAGCAGCCGCAGGGCACCGACACTACCCTTCCGCCTCCCCAAGGGATGTACTATCAGAACGGACGACCTCCCATGGATGGTGCCCCGCCGCCCCTTGCGTCAGGCATGCCCGATCCGGTAAGGCCACCATTCCTAATCAAGCGCGCGACTGAGAAAGGGTCCGATCTAACGATGATACAGAGACATCGCCGAGGCTCCAACTCAGGCTTCGAGTACCCTGATCCTACCAATCTGGCACCCGTGACTCCCGCAGGCTCCGCACCCGGATACCAGACTCACACCACGCCGAGTCCTTATAATTACCCCCCTCCACCGGTGCACGATCGACGCACCTCACCGCAGTCGGCCTATGCATATGATGCCCGCACATCGTCCTCGCCGCACGGATCGCCCTTCCCTCCCATGCAGCCTCACCAGGCACCTGTGACTCCTCACTCGGCTGCCCCTTCAAGCAATGTTCCCCCTCAATCCAGCGCGACCCCTCAGCCAGGCGGTGTGAGCCCTCCTCCCACCTCTACACCTGGTGGCTCGCAGCGAGCCGGATTGAATGTGCGCGACATGCTCAACCCCGGTGATTCCCAGGGTCGATCTAGCACTGACAGCGACATGCTCAATGCACTGAACCGCCGCGGCCCACAATAGCCAATTCTTCGCGGTCAATTCTAGGAAACTAGGGCGCGAAGAATGCGATTGTGATAGCGGCGGGGAAATAGTGTTCAATGGAATGAGGCCGTGTGCTGGCCGCACGGTCTAAGAGCCAAGTGTTGAGTGTTTGGAATCGAAAGGAAAAATAAGTGGTCTTGTTGGATCGAGCTTGACATTTCGAAGATGGAACCCGAGCTTTCCCGAGCTATTGAGACAATCGGAGCAAGGGGAGACTCGAGATACATTCCAGACTATTCCGAGCACGCAGGACGATTGAACGCGACAGCAACGTCGCTCTCCAATCTGTTATGAGACCACCATACGCGAACCCACGAGCTTCACGAGCAACCTGAGAACTTGATACCGAGACTCCCAGACTCAGTTCTCGGGTATGATCGGCCTACGAATTTTTATTTTCTATTTCTTTTTTCTTCTTTCATCTTTATCGACTTCGATATGTGATTAACTGCAGATCCATTTGGGTCTGCAGAGAGGGTTCGATCATGTTAAGCTTCCCCCCCCCTGGATGCTCGCATGACGTCTAACTCGAATTCTCAACCAACAATCTCCGTCGTTCTGGTATACATCTCCAGAGTGACAAAATATGACTTTGCGTTCCAATTTCGGGTGGCTATTTGAAATCTTTGCATGCGTTTGGTTTCCACGTCATTGCACTTGCACTGTTGTCGGCTTTTTGCTTTTTTCCTTTCTCTCTTACATCGGGAAGGCTTTCGTCTCTTTGAGGATGTATGTTTGGCCATCTGTTTCTTCGCGCGAGTAGAAGACCGGGGTCGGCTGTGTCATCATTTACCCCTTGATTGTGATTTTGCACTGGAGCTGTTATGTTTCTTGCCCTTTCTTTTTCTCTTTCTTTCTTACCCTTTACTGTCTTTTCATTTTCTGTCCGTTTTTTGCTTATAGTTATATCCGGGAGGCTGTCTGATCAATCTTTCTGCTATTTAGTTATTGCATGTTTCTTGCCCGTTATTGTTTTGCTACTATTGTTACCGTCACGTGTTCCATGTTTCTATCGTTTGGACCTGTGTCCCTGAGCGCTTTCTGATGAAATTATTCCATTATGCGACTGATATCTATATCGATACGTCTTCTATCCGTCCTCGTTCTCGAGTCCATGTTGCCTCGACTCAGATTTCAACCTCGAAACTCGAATCTAGGAGTTTCCTCTGAGATCGTTGCATCTGGGTATATTTTCTTCAATTCCCGTACTCATTAATTAATTGCTCTTTTCTTTTCTCTTCGAGAGTGAAAAGTTACATGGAGTACGGCCCTAGCTCTGGCCCTGGCTCTGGGATTAGACTGGGCTTTTTGTGGCGTGCTGCATCCTGCGAGGGAGGCATCAGGTGGCCTTGGCTGCATAATGGAGCTCGAGTGTCGCAATCAATACATGTCCTTTAGTGGAGTATCCGTACTGCAGAGGTTTGTCTAAATTACTGAAGATCTGCGGCGCGTCTGCATCTGTGTAGCCAAACCATTCGACTGGGCTCACCGATGGTATGGACGGCCACGTGACAAGCCCTAAGTTCTAGGTCTGCAGATGGGGTGCTGTAGGTTGGATATCGTTGTAAAGTGCTTCAGGTTGATGGCGTGTCTATTGAATTGAATGGGGACTGAATACAGGTGAAATTCTGATATTCAGCTTCCAGTGCAGCGGTCAGTAACCTGTGCCTGTGATTCGAAAACAAATAAACGAGTTGGTCGGGGCCAAAAAGTACTACTAAACTATCCTCTCGAAGATTATGTATTATTGTTGCAGTATCTTAAGATACAAGCACAAAGAACAAGAGGAGCAAGAACTGACTATGCTGGAATTGAGAAAATGATTAAGGAACTCTTTAAGACCAACAGAACTGGATGATGAACAAGGAGAAAAGGTGGAATCACAAGCAAAAGAAAAGAACTTGAAATAGAGACTATGGAGGCGACAAGCAAGACCTGCCTTGAGATGGATTCTTGGTCTTGCAATGCGATGTGAAACGAGCGTGTCAGGTAGTAAGGCAAGAAGATGCAGGGAATGAGCTTTTGCAGTGCTAAATCGCTAGGGCTTGACGAGCGTGACTTTGAAAGTGAAGGACGATAGTTGGTTGAAGTTGTCTGATAAACAAGGAGGGTAGAATGAAAAGCATATTAACGGAATCGATCTTGTGCTTATTTGTGGTTGGGGACAGAGTCCAGAACTTGGATCATCTTCTTTGCGCGAAGAGGGTCTTCGACAGTCATACTGCGGCGCTTGAGGGTATTCTCCACGGCTTCCACTACCTGGTTGAATGATGAGGCGGCACCACGCTCTTGCTTGAAACGGACCACGCCCAGGTTGCTTTCCAGGCCGTGTTCGAGAACAGTATAGAATTCAGCGGTGAATTCGACTTCCCGTAGACGCAGGACTGACATATGGTGAGTATTACGAGGGAGCAAGAGGGGCCGGAAAGACTCACAGTTCGCTTCACTGACACGACCATGGACGACGCTATTGGCCTTGTCAAGCCAAACATCCTCCATTCCATAGTCTCGCCATTCGCGAAGGAGCTTGTATAGCTCTCTGCGGCCTTTCTGCTTGGAGCAGTTAAGAGCGATGACCCGGCTCGCGGGCTTGATCTGGAAAACCCGTGCAAACCAGTTTTGATTAGCTACCGAGCGGCGCTTGGTTCGGAAGGGGTTCTGGTTGTCATCAGATTCAAAGGAGCTTTCGGCATCGGGCATTCCGTCGGAAACGATTGAAGAGTGACATTTGTCTTGAGAAGACGTGACTGGCTTTTCCATCTCTTGCTCTATATATTGGTTAGGTCTGTTAGATGGGTTGGCGATGGTGATGTACTGACCAGTCAAATTCTCTTGCATGTTCTTAGCAGATTTTTTAGGCATGAGCTTCTTGAAGATACCACCCGCGAAACGGTCCATAGATGTCTTGCGAGTGGGAGCCCGTTGCGCATTCTCAACGGAAGTCGAGTTTGACTCCAGGGTGATGGGCTTGTGTACTGTTGACCCTCCGTTGGGAATGATCGGGTGTGAGTCCTTGGGTGGGAGAGCCGGAGGAGCGTCCGAGCCCTGGGAACGGTGCTTGAACCATGACCATTTCTTACCCTCTGCGCGTGTGTTCTTTCTAGTCGGGGATATGGGTACTTCATCAATGGGTGCCAAACCGCCAGAACCTAACGCGGGAGGAGCCTGCCTCGAGCCAGTAGAGAAGTTCCGATTGCCAGCCGATGGCGGGCTGTTGGCAAAGTCATGAGTATCCGATGACAAAGGCTTGTCTGACTTTTTCTTACGGATGGTCAACGGCTTGACTTCTTCCATGGAGCGGAAGGAGCTGTGAGGCACCATACGGATTGTGTTCTTGACATCACCACCCTGGGACGCAGAAGCTGAAGTCCTGGAATTAAGCATACGGCGAGGACTGACGTCGCCTGCACAAGTGGGACTGGCAAGTTCTTCGCTGATGACAGGCAGAGAAACGTCATGTGGAACAGAGACAAAGGGATCATGGAAGGAGACTTCCTCCGGTTCCTTGTGAGTACCATTCACAGCTTCGTACTCTTCAATCAAGCGATCAAAGTGGTTCAAGACACCAGAGATGTGGACAGATGCACTGTCCTTTCGTCCCTTGCTTTGCTCAATTAACTTCCGGCGGGTCTCTGTGAGCTCCTTAATACTGTAGGACTTGGGTGTTTTGGAGACAGGTTTGGTGGCAGATGCTGGACGATTCTCTGGGGTAAACATCGACACCGGAGTTGCTGGAGTTTCATACCCAGAGCCAGCGCTAGCAGTTCGGATGGTTGAAACAGAGCTACCATTGAATGCCTCCTCGCAAATTTGACTGAGCTCATGGGAAACCTTTCGTGTATCGTCTCTCCAAGTGTAATCGGAGTCCCGAAGCTTACGCACATGGCGCAAGCTCTTTACCTGTGGACCATGAGCCCGAACCACCGTTGGCTGAGCCGGCAGGGGCGGGCTGCTGGGCATATGAGGCAGGTCCGCAACGTCTGCCATGATTTGCAAGCTGCAGGTGCTAGGTGAGCGCTTGATTTCATTCGGTTGATTGGGCGCTGCTGTCTTTCTGCGCTTGGGCTTTGTGGTTCCTGAACCATTAGAGCGGTTACGAGCATGACGGAAGGAGACATTTCGACGGTAGCTGGCAGAGTGCGCCGTCAACCCACGGACACGAGAGCTCGAAAGTGGTACTCGAGAAGAGTGGAAAGACTTCATGGAGCTTGGTTTGTGCTTTCGCTTCTGGAGGATAGTAAATGGTGAACCATCTGGCATATCCGCGTCTTCTAATTGGTCTTCCTCAACCTCTGCAATTGAGGGGGGAGCCTTGACTACCTTTGAAGGCTCTCCTTCCGTTGATGCTCGGTGGATGGTGATTTGGGCATACTGTGGCTCCGATTCTATGGCATGCTTCGGTGATCTATAGGGATCATAGCTCTCCACTGTCCCAGAGGACATGGGTTCCTTGAAAGAGCTCATGCGCCGAGGAAATTCCTTCACGGGAGTATGCTGCGCACGGCGCTTGGAGTTTCCATGGCCAGACTGGCTTCGGCCTCGGTGGGCTCTGACCCCAGGGCGAGCGATGTGATGGTAGTCACTTGCTGAGTACTCGAGAGGTTGCCCTTGATAGTTCTCTAATTGCTCATCTCTGAACTTGACCAAGGCATTATAAAACATCCTTTCATGGGTGGGCCTTAAGTGTGGTTAGTTGAAGAAGGTTCGGATAACAGAAATGATTTACATACTCGATACACAATATACGCTGGACAAGGTCTTCAGCCTTGACATCATGCCAAAGAGTTTGGAGGTTTCGCAGGATATCTAGGTCAATGTCTTCTTGGCAGGATAATGTCGGTCCACAGTCCTTGACGGACAAGGGGGGCGGAGGTCCAACATAGTGGTCGACCATGGCATTATGTAGCTTTTCATACTTTGTCAGAAGAGGATGCAGCCAGATGTTTTGCATGGAGATTCGATCCTCGGGCCGCTTTTGCAAGATGCGTTGGATGAGATCGGCAGCCTCGTCGCTCAGCTCTGGAGGAATCGTGTAGTCTCCCTTCTTCACTAGACGCAAGGTGTTCCCAAGGTCACCTCCATCGAAAGGTAGATAACCAGTCAAGAGAGCATAGAGAATGATTCCACAGCTCCACATATCAGCCCTGTCACCACGGTATTTTCGTCCGTAGATGATCTCCGGTGCTGCGTAGTGAGGACTACCACACGAGGTGTTCAGCCAGTGACCAGCGGGCTGGAGAGCAGCCATTCCAAAGTCAGCAAGCTTGACATTGTGGTTTCCATCAAGAAGAATGTTTTCGGGCTTCAAATCACGGTGGCAGATGTTGAATCGGTGACAGTACCCGAGGGCCGCAATAATTTGGCGGAATAGTCGGACAGCTTCTTCTTCGGGGAGAGGTCCGTTGTTGGAAACGTAGTCGAACAGTTCACCTCCCTCAACGTACTCGAGGACGAGATATCTATGTCATGTTAGCTAATTGGCCATTGTACACGTAGTGGGTACGAACAGTTCTCCTCGGTTCTCCCAAACATCGTATAAGCTGATGACATTAGGGTGTTCAATCAGCTTCATGATGACTACCTCGCGCTCAATCCCACATGGCATCTGGCGTGTGGTGGAATTCCCTGTGAATCGACTCGCATTTCGATCCATTGCTGCAATACTTTCACTCTGAACCATGGCGGCTGATTTCTTCGAGACGATCTTGATAGCAGCGGTATTTCCGGTGCCAGCGTGCTTAGCAAATCTGACGCGACCAGTGGCACCTTTGCCCAAGTCTTTTCCAAGATGCCATGGTCCAACATGTGTCTTTCTCTTCCCTCTGTTTGACAAAAGAGAAGCCGCAGACATCACTGAGCTTCGGGCCGAGACAGGCTGGAAATCAGTTGCTACAGACAGTCTGTTGTTCTCTTTGTTGGTCTGTGGCGTGGGTGTCATCAAGAAGGACATCCTATCGGGGGTCTTCAGCTGTTCCGTCTCCGCTATTGTGACGCATGGCGTCTCGGATTTGGGCGATTTGGAGTGGTTGATGCGGCTGGATGCATCTGTCAAAGGCTGGCGCCTCCTATGAGGGTCATTAACATCCAGCATTATTTGATCCATTTTGCTAGCGCAGGACATGTTGGCGATGGGTCAGTGAGTATGCTGCTGGGACTAATTGTCTATATCATGGTCAGCTAGGATGATAACAATGGTGACGGCGTAACGCACGAGACGAAACGGATAAGTTCAACACTCAAATTGTTGAGAAAAGAATTTTTGTTAAAAAGGCAAGGGCCGACAGTCTCTGAAAAGTGAAAAGAGTGACTAGTGACTGGTTAACGCATCTCGAAATGGCAACGACGAAACGGCAAACGGCGAAAAGCGAACGAAAGATGAAAAGACGATGTCCCAGATGGCTCCCAAGAGAAGAAGCAGAAAAAGGTAAGGCTGTCAGAGAGAATCGAGGCGGTTTGGCATGCCGGGTGTGGAATGAGGATTCCTTCGCTGGCTATGGAATGTCAACTTCACCAACAGGTACCTCTGGTCTTCAACCCGGACTGTTTACTTTCCTTGATTTTGCTTGTTTTGTCTCGCTTACACTACTATTTGGGTGTTGTCCCCGTTTGTTTTCGCTCTTTCGCTCTCGACAACATCATCTATACTGCCTGGCCTTCATGGCCTTAGGCAATCAAGGCCTTTCTCATGAATACAATAATTTCAACACTACATGGAAATCCTACAGTAACAACTAAGCGTTCTTCAGCCTGTTTCAAATTTGAGGCTTTGTGTTTCCAATGGTGATTCAAGCTGGGGAGGTGCGTATGCATTCCACTCTAAAATGAACCCCAAATGAAGGGAGAGGGACAGGAGCAGATCATGTATAGCCTTATCACTGTTTGTCCATGGGAAAGGGGCAATCTTCACTCACATTCCATCCCCCTGAGGATCCAAAATTCTAAGATCTGGTTTTTGGGAGAATTGTTATATCTAGGGTCCATATAGAAAGCGTTATAGGACTGGAATAATACAGCCATTGAATTTGCATTCTGTGTCGAAATTTCGACCCAAAGTGCGATACCAAGATCGAGATATTACATCCATGAGGTATTTCTATATTTAGATATTGAAATTAGACCCTGGGCGTTCGGTGTCATTCCTACCGGTGCTGCTGGCCAAGATATTGTTCATATCAACTGCCATTACACACCAGCACTCCTCGCCAATAAGATTGTTCTGAATTCAAAGATTGCTTCCTTTTGTCTCATACTTGATCGTCTTTCTAATTTCCGATTAAAGATCCTATCATTTGGTTCACCGCAGCCCGTCTTATGGATACACATCAACCTTCCATCACAATACTAACGTCTCCAAAAGCACGCAACTCGTTTCAAATTCAAGATTTCCCCAGTACTTTTGTTATTCTATAAGGAACGAGACTAGGCTACTCCAGCCTCGTTAGAGTGCATCCCTCCGAATGCACAAGATCAGAGCGTACACTATAATCACCCACTACGTCATGTTCTTACTACTTAAGTAGAAAGATTGGCGGATCTCCTCAATAGTCCTGGATAAATTAAAGTCTCCCTGGGCGAGGCATGCTCGCAAGTGCCCAGGGCGCCGCACAGACAAACAACACAGGGTTGTAAGAACGCAAGGGATGAGACCTCCGAAACCCTTTTTCTCGGCCACATGGTCTGATCGAGGTCAAATCAGAATGGACTCGTGACTTACCATGTATCCTGTATATGCTACGCTGCTTGGCTTTTTACTATAAGGCCTCGGTAAACCGCGGCCTAATGTTTGGTGTTTTCGGAAGTTGGCGAGATATCGTTTCATGTCTCCTTTGTGGTTACCACAGACTGAAGGGATGAAAGATTCAGGCTTACTAGCAGTCGACGAGTTATGTTGATGCTAGTGGTTGGATTATGCATAGGCCCAGGCTATTACCACAACAATCGTTAGAAGTCCTCATAGGATATCACAAAGAAGCTACATAGGATTCTATGGTATAGATACATGATGACAAATCGATAGCTTTACTCCGTACATACTCCAATCACCCACTTCCCAATTGTGAGGTAGAACTACCAGGCTTTCGCGGTAAACTCAAAGCCTAGCACTTATGTACAGAACCACCAATATGAAACACAGTGTCCTGTTTCTCAGTAAACAATGATGTATTTGCTACCATTGACAAATATTTATTCCATAATATAGCGGTACAGTTTGTGTGATAATGTTGCACCTTGTCGCGTCGTTTGATATATATATAGCCTGGTGAAGCATCCAGTGTACCTAGCTCAAAAAAAGTCCACCCTACCAATCATCTCAGATCACAAATCAAAAAGAGCCAGTACATAAGATCAATCAGACAGCAAATAGTATAATGTATCGAAATCAACGAAATCAAAATATTCTTAGTGCTTAGATCTGTCGCGTATACTTTACGTGTTCCAGGGCGCCAAGACCGGGCAGTCTCGTCTTTCAACTGTAAACAATCACCTTTCACGTCCTTTTCAAAAGCATGCCAAAAAATACCCAGACAAAGATCCAATGCAATCTATGGTCCCTCCCAAATTAATTTTGGTTAGTGAATCCTATCAAACCCTCGTCCAATCCCCACATTGCGCGCCACTTCTGTGCGGTCATTTACAGCGCGTCAGGCATCAGCAGCCCGGTCTGTTTGATGCAACCCTGTAGACCGAACCATCTGTATCCCTGTCAGACCTTGGCCTGAAATTATGGTCTCTATGACTAGTGCTTACAAGCGTCCGAGCCCGACATCAGCGTGGGAGGTTTCATTCTCGAAGGTAGCATTTCCTTCAACTCCAAATCTACATGGCTGGGCTCTCGATAATGTGCAAGCTTTGAGGTAGAGCCCTATCATTTTAACATTAGACGGAGTGACGTGCTGCTGACTAGCAGCCCCTGGGTCGTATTGCTACTGTTAGCGAAACCGAGCACTCTGGCATATACCGGGCTCTCCGAGGAGGTGGCAATAACTTTGGTCTAGTTATCAAGTTCAATCTCTGTACGATCCCAAACGCGATGATGAGAAAAGGCGCCAAGACCTTTGTCCAGGACCAATTTACAGCATTTATTAGTGCATTTGGGAATGCTGTCAATGACGCACCAACAGATGGTAATGCCCAGGAATGAGTACCTTTCTTGAAATACCAGAGAACGAAAACGGCATCAGCCGAACTGACATACGCTAAAGATGTTGCTGACCCTGGCATCTTCAACCCGTACAGAGATATCTATCCCTGCGGTTTCGGATACCACAACATCCAAAAGTCTGGTCCAGTATTGCAAGGACATTCAATCCAACAATTCAAATGGCCACCGCGAGGTATATTGGCCAGTTTCAACACAGCTAAATGAGGTGTTTGCTCATAGGGCAGTCGAAGCGTTCTTCTAGGCCTTACCACAAGTCGCGAACGTGACGGGCATACTTCCCGTACTCATCTATCACGCCCTAACAGAGCCGACCTTAGAAAGAATGTCCGAATTCGGCGGAAATGCACTAGGCCTTAATTCCAAGGGCCCACTGGGGTTCATTTACCACGAATTGCCTGCTGGTGGGCGGACGAGTCGGACGATGACACGGTTTATCGATTTGTCAACAGCTACTGGGGAAAAGTGCGAGAGAAAGCGCAGGCTATGGGAAACAACAACCACTTCGCCTATATGGATTATGCAAGTCAATTTCAGGATGTGATTGCTGTCTACGTAGATGCCAACGCGGCTCGCTTGCAGCGCATTCTTCGAAACATGATCCCAAAGCGATTTACCAGAACCTTCAGCCTGGGTATTTCAAGCGTGGACAGGCTCCCGGAAACTTTGTACTTACGTCTTTTGGCGACAACAAATAGAAATTCCATCGGAGGACGGAATAAGTAAACCTAAAATCGATGTGTTCATGCATAGCTTCTTCCCACTGAGTAAAGTCATCGTGTTTCGGTTTCCTTGTAAGGGACTTGTGTTTAGAATGTCTGATTCTGTGGTTTGCAAATAATGAGAGCAATCGATTCGAGTTCAATATGAACAATGAGAAGGGACATATAGTGCATGAGACCCAATACGGACCTACAGAACAGACAATGCCTATAGTGGCTACAAAATCAGGCACGCTTTCAGGATCTACCCTAGTACGATATACTGGAAGGACCGGCAGGGGTGTTCACTTGATCCTTATGAATGCGAATTTAACTCTGTCTTGCTCGCACAAGTTAGGCGTTGAGAATACTCAGTGCTACAAGATCATAGCTTCAGGCTCTGACCCCCCGGGGCAATCATCACAAAGAGAGAACAGCTGAGAAATTTCACCATTTTTGCAGGGCCATTGTTTTATTGTCCCACTCTTTGATTCACACAAAGAGGTTCTCTACCAGCTTCCCGGTTCAATGGCTTTATAATTTCTGTCTAAATCTGGCAACCCTGGAAGATAAGTGCAAAGGCCAGCCCCCATTAGATCTTTCTCAAGTATCATCTATGGCTTCTAATACCCTGAGCTGACCTCTGTCCATCAACACAGGCCACTCCTCTCTTCCTGCAGTTCCATCAGAAGAACCTCGAATTATCACACATACACCCTGCAACGTACCCACACTGCCGGAGATTCTCGTCAACATGTGCATGCTTCGCTACAAGTGGTACCGTGGGTCCATCCCCTCTCCTGTCAACGAGCGCATCCCGGGCTGCGGACACACAGAGGGATGGAGAGTCGAACGCTGTGATGAAGCCCGAGCTCGTTGCAGGGGCGAGTACTGCAAAAATCCACAACCGATTCTTCGCCACGAGGACTCCTACACGATGGGAGACTGTCGTACATGCAGGGGCCTACGTCCTTTTGTTCTTGACGCCCCTCTATTTGAGCAACCAGACCAAGTCTATGGTCCAGAATACCAGGAACAAGAAGACCGAAGCAAAGCAGCAGAAGAGGAGCGGAGAAAAGAGCAAGAGCAGCAAGAGCCGACAAAGGAAGAAGAACTGCTCCAGTATGACCCTCACAGCCCAGAAGGAAAAGCGATTCATCAGCAGAATGTCAATCGATACGAAGAAGAAAGGCTACGGAAACGAAGTGAAGCCCACCAAAAATATCAGAAGCAAAATGCTGAATATCACCGATCGCAAATGCGAGAAGCAGCGCTCCGCAAACGACGAGCGGAACTACATGCAGAGAACCGGCAGCGGAGGATACGTCAAATGGAAACAGAACAAGAGCGATTGCGAATGGAGAGGCTAGGAATATAGAATCATGTTGAAACTTGATAGACGAGGTCTAATATGATGTGCGATTCTACACTCGACACACAGATTCTAATCACGCTTGGCTTGATATCGTTTCTGCCGTCATTGATGAATTTGAGGACACCTGCCTCGAATATGAGAATGTGTCTCACAGCATATCAAATTTTATTTTCGCAAATGTCAGACATCCATGCATATCTGTGGTGTCCACTCAGATCGATTGCGATCAGCCTCATTTAGGCTCACTAGTATGAGAGTGACCCCAAATTCAACAGTATTCTCAACATGCTAGAAGAGTACTTATTCATATACGGGTCATAACTAGGTACACAAGGCCATTACCGAGCTAGTCTTAGACAAGTCCTTGCTGATGGTGCCCGCTCTTCGATGACGGCGTCACGCTTGTAAATCTCGCTGAATTCATCATCGCTCACTAGACTTTTAAAAATATCCTCACAGTCTCGCCAAATTTTGCGGTAGAATATCAGACAACTCTTTAGTCTTGACAGCGATTGGCTGATCACTCGTTGCTCCTAAGAGATCCAAGACCATAGACCCCACCAAAGAGAACAAGCTAGAGCCCTGTCCCGAGCATTTGCAGCTGCTAGAGAGTAATATGACGGAAGAATCTTGTGGCACGTAATTGACGAGAGAATGCGAGAGGTTGGTGTACCATGACAGGGGCGTAGCCAAGGGATCATGCATGGGGTCAACTTGAGACATTGGGTGGCTATCTCCAGCTCCAGCCTCAATGATGACTAGGACTGAGCTGTAGAATTGACCATCCTGTGTGCGAATGCCCGCGTTCTTCCTCCCGGTCAAGGTGCTCACGTATACAATCTCGTCGACCTGTTGTCCCGGAAAAAACTGCACGCCTGCGTCTTGGGCTGTGCGATAGACCTATATCCAACGTCTCGTAGTTAGTGGTTATTTCACCAATTAATTGTACTCGGGCGCACTACAATTGACAAGTCTCCCGGAGGGACATCATCATTCTTTCCGAACACCGAAACGTCGGTGTAGCCTCTTTGGGCGAGATGAAGAGCCGCTGAAAGGCCCAAGGATCCAGCCCCGACAATAATAATAGGATCAGATGTGGAGGGGCCCATGATCGCAAAAAGGAAGAAAAGAAAAGAAAAGAGAGTAGGAGGACTACTTGTGGGACGGAGAGCAATTATAGGCCATGCAACCGATTGCCCAAAAGCGTCATCCGTTGCGGAGTTGGAGATATCTATGGAGCCCTTTCCAAAGCTATCGTATAACGAATGTTTTCCTCTGATAACATGAGGAGACGTGAGGGGGAAACTAGTGCTGATCACCGGCAGGCCACCCGATCATGTGCTTTTCTCCAATTTTGATCAAAAGTTGGCTATAACACTTTCAACAACAGGTCTGAAGGCTTTGCGTGCGATAGATGTCAAATTCCGAACGAAATATCTCGGTATTGGGCTTTAGATTCACAACCGCAGCGTCCAGATCTATACAAGTGGCGGTGGAGGCCGTGAGGGGAAGAACTACTTCACAATGGGAGAATGCCTGGGCATTCAACATGCCATTTCAAAGACCAGGGTACTATGCGACCTCCTTCGAGGATGAATAGGACACTCTTCTCAATTATTCCACAAAAGAATGCTATCGCAGGAGCATGCTGACAACTATGTTCGGCTTGAAAATGGACTAGCAGTACTGTGTGCCCTCGGAGTCAACCCGAGGAGACTATAAATCCTCTACTAAGATCAATCGAAACAGAAACCAAGCAAGATGCAATCAACAATGTTGGACGTTGAAGTAGCGGGGCTTGGACCGATTTCTCCACCGGAAGCACTCCCGATGTTCTTCAAAAAGACCTGTTCCGCTTCTGCCTCGTCCATATGTCCTTCTCCATTGAATTTGACTCTACTCTGATCTGATATTTCTGTATTCTACAATGTCAAACATTCAGAATGGTACCCTTTGCATCCTGGGGTGTGGTAAGTGCGCGGCTCTCCACACAACAAATAGCCATTGACAGTAATGATAGGAAATCTGGGCGTTGCCATCCTAAACGGCCTGATAAATGCGCCCGCAGAGAAATCCAGCGAGCTACCCTTCACACAATACATCGCCTGCGTGCGCAGTGCATCCTCAGAGAAGAGGCTGAACGAGCGATTCGCCCAATCAACGAACAAAGTATTCGTCTCTCGCGGCGACAATGTCATAGCCATCCAAAACGCCGACGTAGTCATTCTAGGCGCAGACCCGGCAGACATTGAGGATGTCCTAAGCCAGCCCGGCCTCTGCGAAGCCTTAACCGACAAGCTCCTCATCAGCATCGCGGCAGGCTGGACCCGCCAGAAGCTCGAAACAACCATCTACGGGAGTGCCACAACTGCCGAAAACACCTCCGGGCGCGCATGGGTTGTGCGGACATTGCCCAATATCGCCGCGCAGGTCTCACAATCCCTCACGGCAATCGAAACATCCGAGCCCGCCTTGCCGGAGCGATATCTCCAAATTACAACATCGATCTTTGAACAAATCGGCAAGGCAGTACACATTGACCCCAGATTAATGAATGCGACGACAGCTGTCGGAGGCTCAACACCAGCCTTCTTCGCCGTAATAGTCGATGCGATGATTGACGCCGCAGTTGCGGTCGGGGTCCCCCGCGACCTGGCACACACGATGATCTTCCAATCCATGCAAGGGACGGCGAGTATGCTGCAGAGCGGGATGCATCCTGCCCTTCTGAAGGATCAGGGGACATCACCCGAGGGATGTACGATTGGTGGGTTGATGGTTATGGAGGAGGCTGGGGTGCGTGGGCATGTTGGACGGGCGCTTAGGGAGGCTGTTACGTTGGCTAGGTTGATGGAGACGACGGATCATGTCAATGATACCAGGCATTAAGTTCACAGTAGAGTGAGATGTAATAATGCATACGAAGTGTATAATGAAGATTATACGTTGACAAGAGTAGAGTTGGACTAACCACCAGCTATCAAACCCGAAACTAGTTACCAACGATACCCTTGAAGGTATCAAGAGTATGCTGCCAAACTTTTCCCCTCGTTCCATCCTCACGGTATCCATGCAGGACCTTCTGGTCGGGAACCGTCGCCGAATCCGATCCAATCAAGTAAGCACCAGAGCCCTGCACCCCGTCCGAGCCCAGCGCAGCAACACCTCTAGCAGTCTCCTTAGGTGAAAAGATAGGGCTAGTAGCCGTATAGAGATGTCGCTCGCCACTCTCCTCCAAAGGAACAGTCCATCTCGAAGCAAGGGTAAGCATCGCATTCACTGCAGCCTTCATGACGAAATTATAATCCCGCGCAAGACCCGTCTTCACAAGACCGGGGAAGGCATGAATGAATGAGGTAGAGGGATGAGCCGCAGCAAGCTCTTCCATAGACAGCGAAGTCATGGTAATAGCGTGATTGGCAGCGTTGCGCAGCGTGTAGTTATCCTTCAAAGACAGGTCCTTCAGAATGAGAGGTGCATTACCGCGTGCATCAAGAACGGAGACGACACTCGATAGATTACCCCGAATTCCAGCCGGGCCTTCAATACTAGTAGCAGCTTTAGTAAGTTGAGGAAGGAGGTTATTCAAGAAGCGCATGCGCGAATAATAATGCAAGCTGAGCTTCTTATCCAAGCCTTCATCAGTTTCTGCGAAATGTCAGCGGAGACCAATCAAGGGATCAGATCAGCAGGGAGGAAACAATACCATCACGCCCCTTCGTAGTCAAAATGCCAGCACTCAAGAACAACAAATTAACCTTCTCCTCCTTAGCTTGAATAGCCTTACAAGCCTCATCGACATCATGCAGTCGCGAAACATCACTCTTGACAAAATTGATCTGACCATCCGGGTTCGAGGCACGAAGTTCCTCAATAATCTGCGACGCGCGACTCTCACTCCGGCCTACGAGGTAGACTCGCGGAGAGAGGGTTGATCGGACGAAGGCGCGGGCGGTTGTTTCGCCTATGCCGCTGGTGCCGCCGACTGGGGAAGTTAGTAGACGATAGGGTCGAGGATGAATGGGGGAAGGGTCTTACCGAAGACTGCTACTAGGTTTGGACCATACTCTTTCAGAGTGGAGTTATTCTTTCGTACTTCTTCGATGGAGACCATTTTGATACAGTATGCGGTTGATAGAAAGACTACGTCAGCGCCGAGGTCAGTTAGTAGTGTTGGCTAGCGCCATCTGCACCCCGGGTCTTGGCGCTATTCGCTTCATCTTATGGACAGTATCTATTGTTGGACAAATAGTTCAATAAATGATATTTCTAGGTCTAAGCCAACTTGACAGATACTCAGGAAATTGTGCGCAGCGACAATGAAGTTACAGAACTTGAAGGTCCCTCATTGCCATCTAATTTCCCTCAGCACCCTGAGCATGACACAGCTTCTCGCAGTAATAAGTCATCTAAAACCATAATTAGCATGTATGAATCGCTGTCAGTGGAATGGACTTGCCTCATCGCCACCAATGTGCCACCCAGCAGAGTTGCAGTAGGCACCATCCTAGAAAGTATCAGCCTTGCCCTCGTACTTAACAAGTACCAAATGAGTAGATATACATACAAAGGTACAATCAGGACACTGATCCCATTGATTATTGCCAGTATTGCGCTGCCTGTAAAAGTCGCAGGCACACTTGGTCTCAGCCGGTAGGATCTCATAGTCCTTAGACCATGTATTGCTGGGGCTGAAGGGAGTGCCGCCGATTTCGGAGTATTTTCTGCCGCTGACGCAGACCGCGATATTGTGCAGGTCTGCGACGGCTCTATATTAGCAGATAAATGTTAGATATCTTTCTGGTTCTCGGGGATTTGGGGATGCATACCCTCCAAGGAGGAATAAGAGGGGGAGTGCTGTTGTCCGCATGCTGAACTGTTGGTAAAAGGATTAATGGATGGAATGAAGACTTATGGTAAAGAATCCACGGGATTGTAAGGGTATTTATTTGTCACCCCTGTCCAACTAAATTGACCTGATATCAGAAGATACGACATGTGATCCAAACGTTCGACTGCAATAGCATCATTCGCAATTTAGCAATTGACTTCTGCCTATCTACTGGCAGTACTTTAGATGAACAGAAAGCTTGCTCATATTGAAGTGTCTCAGAAATAAACTTTAAAGCCGACCGTTGCCCGATCTGCATAACGAACGGTAGATCAGGGGAAATCTCGGGGAATCAGCGCCCAGCTGCAGCACCAACGATTTAGCGAAACTTCGGCTAATCAATGAAACCCTCATAAGAACAATATATCGCATGGGGGCCAAAAATGAGACAATGTGACAGAATCATTTCCGCCAAACAGATGTGATCTGAATGAGGTATGAGATCGGCGGTGGTCCATGGATTCTCTCCATGTTATGAGAAGTATATCTATCTGACTTTTGCCAAGAGAAGAATCATCGCGAGGAACGTGTTAGTTTGACAGGGTCGCGAGACAGAGGTTTGGGAAATGCGATAGAGGACCCTGGGGATATGTGAGACCAGGTTACCAGGAATCATCTTCTGAGCTGACTGCTTAGTTCATTTATTTCTTTTGGTTAGAACTTTCTGTTGAAGAATGGAAGACCATAGGATGCTGAGGTATTTTGTCTCCTCTTGGTTTCCGCGGGCTGAAGGATCAGAGACATGCACATCCTGTCCGTAACAGGCAGTCGGTCCCAACGTGCAAGATCCACAATGGGACTATAGGTCTTTGAAAGGTGAAACTGGTGAGCGCCCTCGGTCATAGATGTCGCGACAAGTGAGTGCATCTGTTCATTATAAAAGTAAGATATCTCCCGAAGATCACGGTATATTCCCATCACTCATCGCTTCAGCTTAACATCCATCCTCTTTTCTTTCACGATGCTCTTCGTCAAGGCCATGGCCCTGTTGGCCACAGCTGCCAGTGCGGCACCATTTGCTGAACGCAGTCTCAACAGCACCAAGTGGACACCGGAGCATATTCTCCAGCCAGGAGAAGTCATCCTGTACGGCGAAGGCCGCAGTAAGTATCCAATTTCAGAAGCCAAAGCATGAACGACTGCTAATCTTGAGATTAGTGGAGGTTGTCCATGAGAGCGTCTATCACGAGCTTATCAGCTCGCAAGCGCTTTCCGATCACCCAGGCGACTTTAACGATGCCGAGGGGACCTCTTCTGCCGGCAACAGCTCCAAGCTCCACTCCCGAGACTCGTGTGATCTGACCACCGCAGTCATCACGGACTCAACCCAAACATTCGTCGACTGGGACGTCCAAATGTCGCCCGTTGTAATTGGCACCGGAAATGGCCTGGACGTCTCCGTCAGTTCGGGTTACTCCGTGGCCAACAGTATCAGCGTGAGTGTCGGAGTGGACCTGGATTTGATCAAGGACAAGCTGGGCGGCTCAGCTGGTATTGACTACACTCGTACATGGACTACCCAGACGGTGGTCACTGTCAAGGGAACCGTTGCCGACGGTTATTCTGGTGTTATGATCACCAAGCCTATCAAAACACGCAAGAATGGTCGAGTCCTCAAGGGTTGTCTTGGTGCGCAGACTCAGGAGGGGACATTTTCTGCTGATTCTTATGAGGACGGGTATTATGCTGGAGTGAAGTGGGTTTCTGGTGCAATCACGATGTGCAGCAAGAAGGAGTTCCCTCTTTCGAGATGCTCTGGAGGTGGATACTTTGTCTGATCGGAGTGTTGGTGGCGAGGTTGATGTGGATTTCTGGTGCGATCACGATGTGCAGTCAGAAGGAGTTTCCTCTTTCGAGATGCTCTGGAGGTGGATACTTTGTCTGATCGGAGTGTTGGTGGTGAGGTTAATGTATGGTTAGAGTTAGCCAGGTGAAATAACGTAAGAATCGCATGGTTTTTATTATGCTGCGTGACCGCTAACTTTAAATGCCCCATAAGTGGATGCCTCGGGTATGAGGCAGCAAGCGGACTCATAACGTTGGCAAGCGCACGGGACCTCACAGTCACCTGTGACTAACTAACTTGGGTTAGTTACACTTATTGGCCCTGTAATAGAGGCAGCAACACATGACATCCCACCTGGTGCCCGAAATATCAGGCCTGCATAACATCATTGCCCCTCCTAATTCGCCTCAATCCCTAATTCTCCACTCAAACCAGTCAGGAATACGAAATCCGAGTCTGATTGACTGGAAGCCAATTACTGATACCCTAAGCCTATCATATGATTTCATCTTATTAAGCCCAAGGCCCTGGACCGATAACTGTAATCAACGGTTCTCGACGGTCTTTCTTGCTAATCCACACGGTTCGGTATCTTTCTACTTCGGATCACCTTATGGCCAATGCCAGTCTGTTCCTGTCCCACTCAATCCCGATGGGCCGATATGTGTAAGCGGTGTAATCTTAAATACTTCTTCGCCTCCCATAATTTGACTTCTTCTTTATCTATCTTCAACCACTATCTTCAACTACTATCTTCTTGTTCTCTCTCTAACTTCCAATCTCAATCAACCGCCAAAATGGGTAAGGGTTTCAACGCTGGTGATGCTTTCCCCGAGAACGTCGTCTTCTCGTGAGTACCCTCCATGGCCAATCCACTCAATCGTCACTAATGAAACACAGCTACATCCCCTGGTCCGAGGAGTCCGGCGAGATCACCTCTTGCGGTATCCCCATCAACTACAATGCCTCCAAGGAGTTCGCCAACAAGAAGGTCATCCTCTTCGCTCTGCCCGGTACGTGACCGCTCTTTTGAAAATTTCTCTCCCCCTCTCTTCTGCATCCCATCTGCACGTCCGCAAGGTTCTTAATGCTGACCGCCATCTCCACAGGTGCCTTCACCCCCGTCTGCTCCGCCAACCACGTCCCCGAGTACATCCAGAAGCTTCCCCAGCTCCGCGAGAAGGGTGTCGACCAGGTCGCTGTCCTCGCCTACAACGATGCCTACGTCATGAGCGCCTGGGGTAAGGCCAACGGTGTTACCGGCGATGACATTGTACGTTCTCCTCTATTCCGCTGCATGCAATCATTTGCAGAATTTAGCTAACACCGTCCAGCTCTTCCTCTCCGACCCCGAGGCCAAGTTCTCCAAGTCTATCGGCTGGGCCGACGAGGAGGGCCGCACCTACCGCTACGTGATCATCATCGATCACGGCAAGGTCACCTACGCCGCCAAGGAGGCCGCCAAGAACACTCTTGAGCTCTCCAGCGCCGACGCTGTCCTCAAGCAGCTGTAACTTTCTCCAGTCTGACTGGCAGATAATGGCTGCTTGTTGAACATGGGTTGATGGGAGTACAGCAAATGTATTCCCTGCTTTTTTAGCGCTTTAGATTAGATCGCCCTGTTACTTGTCGGTCATGGCATAGAGTGAAATACAATTAATGAAGCTACGAGTTCATTTTCATTATCTTCGTACATTCCTCTGTAGACTACATGCAATCCATAGATGCCGTGTAACCAGACTGAGCTTGTGTGACCAGTATATGATTGGTTGCTATTAGTGTTGGAGGCCAGTGCTCGGGCTGTAGATCAACGGCCGAGACCAGTCGATTCCCTACACCGACTACACGCCATAATCTTACATAGTGGTATCAAAAACAAATAAACAGAATAGGTATATGTGATCCAACGCCAATCCAATCCAATCCAATCCAATCCAATCAAGAACGCTTCACATTCGGAGCCATCGCAACTGTCTTATTCTTCTTGCGCTCTTCCTTAGTCCGTAACCCGCGACTCAACCCACCACCCAAACCCCTGGCCAGCGAAGCAAAAGGCGAAGTCTCCTGCCACAAATCCAATTCATCTTCAAGTTGACCAGTTCCAACCCGAGTCTTCAGATCTCTTCTAAGCGGATCGACAGCAACAGCAGGCTCAGATTGTCTCCGACGAGAATGTTTCTGATGAGCTGCTTGACTAGGCGACACAGATGTAGATGCATTATGCCCAGGTTGCAGGTGGAGATTAGGGTTTGGGGAGGGCGACGGTGATGGTGTTTCCCATGATGGCATGGGGACATTAACGACCATATGCTCAGAGCACTGGCAGCCACAACCTGTCGGGCAAGACGGAAGGGATTTAGGATCTTGATCTGATGAACCGTCGAATGTATCGCCTGGTCGCAGGAACCATTCCCGGTGGCAGTCGAAGCAGCTGACATGGCCGCAGCCCAGGCACGGTATCAGCATACCGTCTACCACTTCGCGACAAATAATACAAGGTAATTTCGTCGGGAGAGGCTGGCGCGGTTGACAATTCGAGCATCGCCTAGCAGATGATTTGCGCTGGTGGCGTTTCGAGGGTGTATCAGGAGCCACGGGGTGTTTATTAAAGATGGAAATCTGCAGCGCATGGCCGCAACTAGTGCAATGGCGCTGGAAATCAAGGTTCTGGGTAATTGGACCGGGCGGGTCTTTCAGTGAGGTATCAGTTTCGGTCGTGCTATTCCAGCAATGGCTGGCGTTTATGTCGTCTACTCGATTGGTTACTGTTCCAATCTTCATGACTTCGCTTTGTTGGACTGGGAGGTCCCAGATTGAGAGGAGATCGGCGTATGCGGCGCGGTATGCGCGGTAAAGAGATTCTTTGGTTTCGTCGAGGAGTGAGTCTTGTGTTGAACCGTCGCTTTCGAATGCATTTTGGTTTTTCATCGTGACTTTGAACCTTGCGGGTGGCTTGTGTTTGGGTGGTTCGTCGCTTTCATTGTCTGACTGGGCCTCCGACTATATGGTGGTTAAAATGGCTATTGGAAAGTGGAACTGACTGCATGGAAAAACTTACGACTTGTCCTGTTGTCACCACGCTCGGACTTTCCCGTGGAGTTGGTTTCTTCTTGTCCAGTCTACTTGTCGGTGGGGATGCGGACGATGGTCCAAATGTGAATGAGCGAGATAGTGACGACGCCAGCACCGATCCAAATCCAGATCCGCTCCGTGGCTGCGATTGCTGGTCAGGCGATGCAGCGATGGACATAGTCTGGCTCAAAGGCTTCCGGTCAGCTGCAATGCCACGAGGGCGAGAAATGAATGGAGGCGTAGTGCCCGTTGAATGTGGTGGTGTGGATTCAAGTCGCCATATTTCGCTAGAAGACCGGGCTGATGTCTGGGAAACAGGTATAGCCTGGATATCTTTTGGAACAGATGAAGCAGGTGCCACAGCTGGCAGCTTTGCTTGAACGGTCGATGCGACAGAGAAATCCAGCGAGAAAGCCTGTTGTCCAGGCTTCTTCTTCTGCTTTTCCAATCCATCATCTTGGTTTGCTTCTTGTAGAACACTGGATAGCATCGCCACCATCTGCACATCGCCGATGCGCTCGAAATGCTCAAAGAGAGCAGGGACAAGCCAATGACTGCCGAGGGGGTGATCTCCCCAGCGAATGATACTGCCGGTCAAGTCTCTATAGAGGCCATCGTTTCCGATACCACCAAGCCCACTACCTTTCCTCTGTGTACGCCGCTGTAGCAGTCCCGACTCGGGCAAGGAGCCGGGGTTTTTTCGAACATGCAGAATCAACTTGATTAGACCCCAGATTTGGGCCAGTTCGTAACAGCCAGCGTCAAGGGCGACAGCCGCGTTGTGAGCACATACATCTGGTCCTTTGCCACAAATGCTATACTGACTAGCCAATTTCCGCTTGACTGGTTGCAGATCACTTAAATCATGGATAGATATAATGTTCTGAGGCCCTTCTGATTTCACTGTGGCTCCACCTCCGGTGGATCGCTGGGAGTTATCTGTTGATCTTGGCCGGTGCATACCATAGCTGCCAGCACTGCGCCATGTCTGGGGTGCTGGGAAACGTGTTGGCAATCCTGAAAGCATATCAGACGAGCCTGAAGAGCTTGATGTCTCGGAGTAAGAATCGTCCGAGTCAGATGATGCACCATCTTCCGTGCTGGCAATTGTGCCCATTCCGCCGCGTGGGCCGGGAGAGTTGGTCTGTAACCGACCAAAGCCTTCAAAGACCTTGTCTCCTCGGGACCATCTGGTCATCTCTTTGAAGCCCATGGTCTCGAACAGCTCCGACGATTTGTCCTTCTTTGGTGGGAAGAAGCACACAAGGCGGCCGTCATTTGCCCATATTGCGCCGCAGGCTTTGGCCACAGGGACCATGACATTGGCGTTGACAGGGCGTAGAAGCTCTGAGCTCATGCCCAGCTCTTGGCTTTGGGTCATGCCGACTTCATCCTCGTCACTAGATTCGCCTTCTAGTTCGCCATTGATGGGAGACTTGATATTGTCACCTGTTTCGCCAAGGATCCAAGCAATGCTTTCCTCCAGGCTGCTCTCGCCCAGAAGATAGCGCACTGCGCCTTCCAGACACCCTCTGCTTCGGGACATGTAGGTCTCAGCAATTGTTCGCAGTTCAGCGGTCATCTTTGCAGCCCATTCATCGGTAACAGCCGCCGTCTTTTGGAATGCAAATGTCGGGATGGCAGTCTTGGGATAGCTATTTGGGAACTTGATGTCCACTTTCAAGAACAGAGAAGCGCCATCAGCCCCCCAAGGCCCATTGAGAGAGATCGTGATCTTTCGTTGTCGGACATCAACCGAGTCGAATGCCACCTTGGTGAATTTTTCACCGACGTGGCTGATTTCGTCTCCCAGTGTCTCAATGTCCCAGCCTGATATCTTAACACCACGCATCCAAGCAATGGGATTAGTATCAGCTCTCAAATTTGATCTGGGCAGCATGCCAACTCGATCAGCATGGCCTCCTTTAATCCAACCACGGGAGTGGGGGACTGATATAGCATTCATCCCAGAGCTTGTCGATTGATTTTGATTCTGAGCACCAATCGAGGAGGCTGTGTCGATGTCGTCGAATTCCAAGTCTGAATTCACATCACGGAAACTGCGATATACCGCACCGAGGCGTGTGACTGTTCGAGTCGAAATAAAGGACTTGCCCTTTTCGTAGCCCACACGCTGTAGGATTTCAGGGTCAACTCTGTGTAACCGAAGCTCCCTGTCTGTTCCCCACGTCACAAGTTGGAAGTCGCGGTGGTCGATACCATCCTCCACCCCTCCACGGGGTCTCCAGAGGAACTCTTTGACTTGTCCCTTGTGTCCCGGGAAGCTATGCGCTAAGGGTAGGTCAGCCTCTTTATTCGAGCCATCTTCAGCTCGCCGACTATAAAGATGTAGATCATTGTTGCCTCTCTGCGGCATTGCAAGTACACCCCATCCGAATGGCGTATTCCGTGCGCGCCATACCGGGAATGGAGTATGAATCTGCTTCTCGGGGACATCGGACTCGGAAGTATAATCCCAGAACTTGATAGTCCTATCAAGTGAGCAAGTCACTAGCGCGCCACGTCGGACACGATTCCAATCGACTCCGTAAATCTTAGTATTGTGAGCTTCAATCGATTTGATTGGGTACGCGCCCATGCGGTCATCCCAGATCCGAAGAAACCGGTCATGGGAACTTGCAATAACATGAGGGTCCTGACGGTTCCATTTCACCTGGGTTGCACCAGTAAACCAATCAGAGAAAGATATGGCGGGACGCGCCGGACTGCGCAAATCCCAGCAGTGCACAAAACTGTCCACTGCACAGGTGGCGAGAAGATCCGGATGAAAAGCCGAGAAATTAATATCGGTGATGGCGCGCGAGTGGGCGTGCAGTACAATCTCAATGGAGTTCTGCCACGTCTTCATTGCCAAGTTCCAGACCAACGCCTTCTGATTGGACGTACTGACAACCCATTGGTCGCGTGCTGCAAATGGGGACCATTGGACATCGGCTACCTCCCATGGTGTGTGGTGAGGGAGATGTCGTGGCGGGGAATAGGGTGAGTCTAAATCAATGACATGTAGACCCTCCTTTGATGCTAGCACAACGTCTCGGCCACAGGGGGATATTGACATTGCCCCCACGGGCTGCTCTACATGGAACGAGCTATCCTCATCGAATGTCGGGCTCTCAAACGCCGAGGTGAGGGGCTTCGGTTCCATTGAGCTTGACATCTTGAATTGAGATGCCCGTTGGGCTCAACCTGGTCGCGTTGGGTGCCGACGCAGGAATTTTCAAGTCACTGTATACAGGATTAAAGAGCATCAGGAGAAAATGTGTTCATTCTTGATGCAAACACCATCTCCTATACAGGAGTGAAGGTATTGTGGGATACAAGTGAAGCATGGAATGATAAGATGTGGAGATGTGGCTGGTGCTGTGGCGCACACGTGACCTATACGGAACGCGAAGAAACCCCGCAATGCAGCCCCTCGGCCGGTTACGTCGCTACGTTCTGGAATCTTTTATTGTTGATTCTTCAGGATATTCTTCTCTTCAATCTCTGCTCTTGATCTTGTGGTCTACAATAAATAGAGCGCATATTTTTGCAATACTTCAGGAACACCATCTTTCAAAGGAACCAAATCTAACAGGACTCGACCGGATCGCCATGGCTTTGCCCAAGAGAATTATCAAGGAGACGGAGCGCCTGATGGCCGAGCCGTAAGATATCACAAATTGCATACAGGCTCGTTCAAATGCTAACACCCGGTGCCTCCTGCAGCGTTCCTGGCATCAATGCTGTCCCTCACGAAGACAATCTCCGTTACTTTGACGTCTCTATTCACGGTCCTACACAGTCTCCATATGAAGGTATGCGCGCGCAAACCTCGTATCTTCACTTCAATCAAAGGCTTACCTGCCTTCACTAGGTGGCATCTTCCGCCTCGAGCTCTTCCTGCCCGACGACTATCCTATGACTCCTCCCAAGATCCGCTTCTTGACCAAGATCTACCACCCCAATATTGACCGTCTGGGTCGCATTTGCTTGGATGTCTTGAAGAGTAAGTAAAACGACTTTATTTTCCGTACGGTATTCTGACTCGGTACAGACAACTGGTCCCCAGCCCTCCAGATCCGCACGATCCTCCTGTCGATCCAGGCCCTCCTCGGTGCCCCCAACCCCGACGATCCCCTTGACAACAATGTTGCCCAGCGGTGGAAGGACGATGAGCCCGCTGCGATCCAAACGGCTCGGGAGTGGACTCGGACTCATGCTATGGCCTAAATGCGACGAGGTGTAATGTGACCATGAAGTGCAGGACAGAACTTTCTATTCGTGAGAGCAGGCATTAAGTGCCTAGCGTTTGTTAAGCGAGCAAGTATGTTATTTAGAGCAGGGGACAATCTGCTCTTTGCATGTCCTTATCTTAGTTATCTGGGTGTCCAGAAGGCGTTGCATAGAATCAAACTTGTTTTCTGCAAACAGTCTCTGTGGCTGATATTTAGGGCAACTATAGAGTCATGCATGTATCTGCAGTCCAGTTTCAAAGTCACTTCCTGAAGAGCTGGTCTTCAGTGAGAATGGGTAAGTAGAGGGGTAGATGGATAGATAAGCAGACGGCCCTATTGATAAGACATGGAAATAACATAAATGTCGAAATCAAGTCAACACTTAGTACAGGCCATATGGCAATATAGTGACGGAATTAAAGTACTACAACAAAGTACAAATGTATATCAAATAAGAAATAGGTCATGTGATCTTATCGATAAGCCAGGGCAGCCGAGATCACGTGTCGCACATTAGCGAGTGCCCGCACCACAATTGGGTCAGCAAGCATCATCGCGATCCCCGATTTTCGACAACCACTCAACGACAAACCCGTCAGCGCATCTCCATCCGACAAGATGCGTACCTACGACGACTCCTTCTCCGGCCAGAAGATCTACCCTGGCAAGGTGCGTTTTTTGTCACCCCGTCGCTTCGTGGAGGAATTGTGTGCGACTGAATAACGACCCGGATTCGACTTCGACATTGGGCTTTGGATCGATATTGCAGTCGCTCTCCGTTGGATCGAATCGCCGCACACATTTTTATCGCCTGGTTGCCGTTGTTTAGAGGCTAATATTCGATGTGTTTTAGGGTAAGCTGTTCATCCGTGGTGACAGCAAGATCTTCCGTTTCCAGAACGGAAAGTCCGAGTCCCTCTTCCTCCAGCGCAAGAACCCCCGCCGCATCGCATGGACTGTTCTCTTCCGTCGCCAGCACCGCAAGGGTATCTCTGAGGTCGGTCGCCCCTCCCTTGAATATTGGATTTTTGGATTGTGTGGTTGGAATACGGTCGGCTCGGGATGAAACAGAGCAAGAGAAGGGATCATCACTCCGCCACACAATCATGATTGCAACGAAGTGATGGACCTGCGACAGATTACTGACCTGTCTACACTATATAGGAGGTTGCCAAGAAGCGTACCCGCCGTGTTGTCAAGAACCAGCGTGCCATCGTTGGTGCTTCCCTCGACGTGATCAAGGAGCGCCGCTCCCAGCGCCCCGAGGCCCGTGAGGCTGCTCGCAAGCAGGCCATCAAGGAAGCCAAGGAGAAGAAGGCCGCTTCCGCCGCCACCAAGAAGGCTGAGAAGGCCAAGACCGCCGCCGCCAAGGGTGGTGCCCAGCGCATCCAGAGCAAGCAGGGTGCCAAGGGCTCTGCCCCCAAGGTCGCCGCCAAGTCCCGCTAAATTTCACAATAGAAATGGTTGGGAATGGAGGTGTTCTGAATGGAGCAGCGCTGAGCTAACGGTTGCGATATGATGGAACTTGCGGGCACCGGAGCTGGAGTACTGTCTGTGAGATACCTTGTTTCTGGAAACAGTTTTTATGCAATACAACGCAATGCAGAAAATGGGAACAAAGGAACAAAAATATGAATCCCCATGCGAGTATCAAATGAACTCTGCGTCTCTTCGGCAATGAATCGTTTTGCTTTTCTGGTCATGTCATGATATGATCCGGAATTGCCATGTAGTCAAATTCAGCTTTAAGCTGTACTTAAATGTTATTCTGTTAAGCGTACACCAAGTTATGTGTACGCGAGATCGAGTCGTACAAGTAGTATGTCAACACGAGTAGTGGTAAGAGTATTCATGCAATCTATAACTAGACCAAGTCTAATCTCTGCATCCCCGTCCCCTAAAAGTCTTGTATAATATACTTGGTGTTACAGTCTAAGAGGGATTCCAGTAGCAAAAGCATCAAGACCAAGTTGATCCAGCGCTACCAAGTCTTGCCCGCTCGCCTCGCGCCCATATATAGTGATGTCGAGCAAAGCGAGCGATACGAAATTGTATATTGGCTCGTCCAGTCGAGAGGCCAACGCAAGCCGGATTGCAGGATCAATAAATCCCATGTCTCAAACGTGCAATCAAAGCATGATTTTTCGCGGTTTATCATGTATAATGCGCCCTCAAGAAGCCCAGCCGGGCAAATCGAACCTCATGCCCTAAACGCCAGATGAAAGCCCGGAGTAAACCGGGTCGAACTACAATTCAAGATTGCACAACCGCTCAGTAGTAGTGGGCCATTTCCAAACCGGCACGCTTGAAACCACACTTGACGTAAAAGCCCTCGTTTGCTTCGGAGCAGTCAAGGATGCTCTGCAGACCAGTTAGTGCAGAACACAATACTGCATGAATAGAGAGAGAGAACATACCTTGTAACAACCAACCTTAGCAGCAACAAAGTCCAAAGCCTGAATAATCCTCAAACCAAGCTTCATGCCCTGCTGCCCCTTCTCAACAGCAATATCCTCAATATGACCAACCATACCAAGCACATGAATGAACTTGCGCTCAACAATCAAAGAGCCAGTACCAACAACACGGTCCGCACCATCGCAGACAACAAGCATGTAATACTCATCGTTGCGCGAGGTAATCCAGTCATAGCGCTTGTTCCAGGCATCCTCAGAGATGTCGCCGACGGTAGTCAGGACGCGCAGGACGTCCAGGTAGCCGCGGCTGTAGTCTGAGCGGCGGAGAGGGCGGATGGTGTAGTTTTCTGGGAGGATGGCGATGACTTCTGGGGATATAAGGGTTGAAGGGAAGAGGGGTCCGTCGGATTGGGGGCTTGGGGTGTCGATTTGGGTGATTGTTTCGTTCATGGCTTTTGCGCCGTGGAGGGTTGCGATGGGGGTGGTCATTTTGGTGGGGGTTGTGGTGTTGGGTTGGGAGGAATTAAGGGAGAGTTGTTTATTATTTTGTAAGGAGGTGATTGATGTTAAGATTGAATTGAAGCGAGAGTGTGAGAAACGAGGAACAGGAAGATTTAACCTTGGGAAATACTTGAAGGGATCCAGGTACAAGGTGAAACACTGCCCCAGGGGTTCTATTAATACTTTGGTGGATTCCTCACTTCCATATTGTACAGACTATTTATTAGTCTGCATGTCTAAATTTTCATACTCGGCATCTCCGTCTTATTTATTGCTTTCTTAGTTGGTAAATACTCGGCTTGTTCTACCTGCTTAAAATCCTATTTTTAACTCGCCTAAATATCCAGGCTCTATACTCGGCACGACATGCACTCAAATGTTCAGATCAAATATAAAATTCTTACATCATAGTCTATAATGGCACAGAAACAGCAGTGCTGTTGATTTACTTCAACTCCTTAGGAGCAAGCATGAGCTCGGGGCGAACGTACTTGTCGAACTCCTCGGAGCTGAGAGCCTTGAGCTCCATAGCACTCTCCTTGAGAGTGGTGCCCTTCTTGTGGGCGTTCTTGGCGACCTTGGAAGCCATGTCGTAGCCAATGACGGGGTTCAGGCAGGTCACAAGCATCAGACTGTCAAAGCGTTAGAATTTGCCACCAAATGTAAGGGGGGAGGGAGTACATACCTCTCGTGGAGAAGGGAGTTAATGCGGGACTCGTTGGCCTCGAGACCCTCGACGAGGTGGGAGCGGAAGCTGTTCATGCCGTCGGAGAGGATGCGTACGCTGTGGAGCAGGTTGGCGATCATGACGGGCTTGAAGACGTTCAGCTCGAACTGGCCGTTCATGCCGCCGACGGTGGCAGCGACGTGGTTACCCATAACCTGAGCGCAGACCATAGTGAGGGACTCGCATTGGGTGGGGTTGACCTTGCCGGGCATGATGGAGCTACCGGGCTCGTTCTCGGGGAGGATCAACTCGCCGAGACCGCAGCGGGGGCCGGAGCCGAGGTAGCGCACATCCTGGGCGATCTTGAACAGGGAGCAGGCAAGGGTGTTGAGGGAACCGGAGGCCTCGACGATGGAGTCGTGGGCGGCGAGAACCTCGAACTTGTTAGGGGCGGTCTTGAACTCGGTGCCGGTCAGCTTGCTGATCTCAGCAGCGACGGCCTCGTCGAAGCCCTTGAAGGTGTTGAGACCGGTGCCAACGGCGGTACCACCCTGAGCGAGGAAGCGGAGGTGGGGGAGAGAGGCCTGGACACGCTCAATGTTGCGGTCGAGCTGGGCGACGTAGCCGGAGAACTCCTGGCCGAGGGTGAGGGGAGTGGCGTCCTGCAAGTGAGTACGGCCAATCTTGATCAGGTGCTCGAACTTGTCGACCTTGACCTGGAGGGCGTCACGGAGACCCTTGAGGGAAGGCAGGAGGGTCTGCTCGAGCTCGACAACGGCAGCAATGTGCATGACGGTAGGGAAGGAGTCGTTGGAGGAGGCGGACATGTTGACGTGGTCGTTAGGGTGAACGGGCTTCTTGGAACCCATGGTGCCACCAAGGATCTCAATAGCACGGTTGGAGATAACCTCGTTGGAGTTCATGTTGGACTGTGTGCCGGAGCCGGTCTGCCAGACAACCAGAGGGAAGTGGTCCAGCAGCTTACCCTCGGCGACCTCCGCGGCAGCCTGCTTGATGGCCTCACCAATCTTGGGGTCTGATGCTAGTCAATAATCTGATGTCGAAATTTGCTAGAGCATCACATACCAAGGCCGTACTTCATGTTAACCTCAGCGGCAGCACCCTTGAGGATACCGAAAGCCTTGACCACGGGGGCGGGCATACGGTCCTGGGGCTGGTTGATGTCGAAGTTGCCCAGGGAGCTGTTTCCATCAGCGATCCGTTCTCTCAGTTTTCTGTAGTCGATTCGCGGGTCGGCTTACCGCTGAGTCTGCGCACCCCAGTACTTGTCGCCAGGGACCTATTCGAGCATCGTTAGTTCTTGTAACTCCAACACATTGAAACGTCATAGTCACTCACCTGGATCTCACCAAAGGCATCGCTCTCGGTACGGGCGTCAACGGACTAAAAACCATCAGCTGTCTGTGTATTCCAAGAAACTTTCTCTCCTACCATTCTGGTGGTGGTTCCAAAGGCACGCTTGTTGAGGGTCTGAAGGCGAGGGAAAGCGAATTGACGGGTATTGGAGCTCAAAGACCGAGTAGCCGGACGAGCGATGGACAGAAGGTTGCGGGCTGCGGGGGTGGCTCTGGTCGCATGTGTTAGGGTGGCCATAGAGCGCACCGCGGCTCGGGAGGTAGAAGGGTTCATGATGGCTAAAGTGGACAAAAACAGGCTCAATTGATCGCGCTGCTTCAAGGGAAAGATCGCAAGTGTCCTCAAGAAGCAAAAGTGAAGATTAAACGACGAGTCGCCGGCTCTCCCCAACCGAAACTTCCCGGTATCGGCAAAACACAAAATAACACGGACTCCTAGCTGTCAATGTGGTATCATTGGTTTACTATGGTATTTTGATTACGGGTTGAACACTCATCCCTTGAGTTGTCGCTTCATCGTCTCAACCACCTTCGCGTTGTATCGTCGACCTCCTTCTAATATACCATCCATCGCAGGGAACAGGTGTGGCGCACCCATGACACGATCTACCTCCACGAATACTCCAGCAGCTTGAAGTTTAGCCGCATACGCTTCTCCTTCGTCGCGCAATGGATCCAGCTCCGCGGTAGACACCAACGCAGGGGCCAAATTCTGAAAGTCAGGAGCGAGGATCGGCGATATTTTCCAGTCCTACAGAGATCAGCATACATTGGCAACGATGGAGGGGTAGGAACTACTTCATCAGACTCCGCCGGTCGAGGCACTCCCAGGAACTGTCGATGGAAGTATGCCATACGCGCTGCAGGTAGTGCTGGCGCAAACTCCATTTCCCGGTATGAGTCGTAGGGACAATTCTCTCGGTCAAACTTCCCTTCGGGCGTGAAGACACTGTGCAAGTCCGTCGCTGGCACAGTCAGTATCTGCAATCGCAGTGGAATGCCTTCATCGCGACAGAGATGGCTGATGACGGCCGAGAGTTGACCTCCTGCTGACACGCCGCCCACAGCGAATCGGTCTACATTAAGATTGAACTCGGTTGCTTTGGAGCGGACCTAGGTCGCATCTCATCAGTTGATATTCGCCTATTCGCCAGGATTCTGGGACTATACCCAATTGAAAGCAGACCAGCAATCATTCACAGGAATTGGATACTTATACTCCGGTGCCAGACGATAGTCGACATCAAAAGCAACCAAATCTCCTTCAAGGCCATGGACAACCCGCTTGCAAAAGTCATGGTCGTAGACTAGCCCGCCAAATACCCAGCCACCTCCATGGAAGTTGATATAGGCCGCTCTCTTCTTCGGGTTTCCCTGCTCGTTCAGCTTAGGTTCTGGCTCGAAGATCCGAATAGTAATCTCCCCACCATCGACCGGGCACTTCTGTTCAGTGATACTGTAGATATCCGGGCCCCTCGCTCGGCCATAGGAGATGGTATACTGGCCTGGATTCTTGCGGAACTCTTCTATCGGGACCTCGTGTGTATGGAGTCGCCCGGCATTGTACTTGTTGTAGTACTCTATGTAGACTGGGTCGTAACGAGGAAGTAGTTCTGTCGGGATACTGTTGTGAAGGGGTTGAGTGATCATTCGATTTTCGAATGCATATAATGCTGGATCACCGGTAGCTGCCAGCTTGGAGGTCATTGCGAATCGAATTTGTTACAGTGTAAGGCTATGTGGCTGGAAGGTGATGCTCGTTTTCGCGGAAGTAGACACCACGCGCGGGGTACGGGGTGTCAAAGTACGCTTTGTTCAGGTGTGATAGCCATAGGTCAATCTTATGCATAAAACGTCAGTAGTGCATTATCCCTGGTCTTGTTACGAGTAGTATGGGGGCTACACCAGGGGTCATACATTTGTTCACGATGCCATAAAGTATCAGATCAGTTCTTTACGAAATTTCAATGCAAGTCTACCATTTGATGCATTCTTCCCACCTCTTTTTCCGCCTCTTTTCTACCTATTCTCGAGTGCCTTATGTTGATCTTCAAAGATGGAGGGGGGAGGTGAAAAGACTTGTCTCTTGTCTCTGTTGTATGCTACAGCATGGCACAGTATACCGATAACAACACTCAGGAGGCATCTAGTAATAACAAAGCACATATTGACGGTGAAATGAATATTATTATCAAGAAATAAATCGGTTATTACATGATTGGTGGTGGAAGTAATAAAAGATGATGTGCATGTTATTTCAATCTATATATTTATGCACAGCAGTCATCCACTGCATCTACCAACTACAACTCCCCACCAATTATTGAATTACGAATGAATATCTTCCACTCAATATTTATGTACTGGTCGTATTCCCATGTGTATTTACATATTTTCACATCAAACCAGGCTGTTTATCCAAAATAGACGTCAGCAGACGCCATGTCCCCAGCTGACCAAGGGAAAGTGTCCTTGATTAACCAAACCAGGATCAACAGTCGCGATCTATTTGATTCTGCTCCAGGATATACGCGGATATCCGTCCTCAAGCAAGGAGTGTATGATGCTTTACCTCTCACGAACCGCTATTAAGCGGGAGTTCCCGCGGGGCAAAAAGAAATGCGATATCGGGTTGACTCAGCGATCCACGATCGATCTTGTTCTTTGATCGACACTCTTCCCACACAACTTGCTCAAATCCATTGAGCTCTCATTCAATCGCAATATACATCACAATGGCTAACGTTAAAACTCGCCTCAATGTGTCCCCGGTCCCCCCAGACGAGATCTTTGCCCTGAACGGCGCCTACGCCGTCGACACCTTTCCCCACAAGGTCAGCCTGGGAGTGGGTGTTTACCGGACCGACGATGGCAAGCCATGGCCCCTGCCTGTCGTGCAAAAGGCCGAGAAGCTGCTGGTAGCAGACAATGACCTTATGCGCCACGAGTACACAGCTATCGAGGGTGACGTGCCCTTCCTCGGAATCGCGCGGGATCTGATGTTCGGATTCGAGGGCAAGCAATCCGAGGAAGAGGCCAAGGCACGCATTGCAACCGTACAGACCGTTGCTGGTACCGGTGCCAACCACCTGGGTGCCCTGTTCCTCGCCCACCACATGAAGCCTCGCAGCGTCTGGCTGTCGAACCCATCCTGGGCCAACCACCAGACCATCTGGGAGCTTGCCGGCGTGCCCCGCAAAACCTACCCTTACTACCGCGCCGCCACCCGGTCCTTCGACTTCGAGGGAATGATGCACACCCTTGAGAACGATGCGGAAGAGGGTGACGCCGTGCTCCTGCACGCCTGCGCGCACAACCCCACCGGTCTGGACCCCAACAAGGAGCAGTGGATGGCCATTGCTGATCTCTGCGAGCGCAAGAACCTCTTCCCATTTTTCGATTCGGCCTACCAAGGCTTCGCCTCAGGCTCCGTCGAGGAGGACGCCTGGGCTGTCCGCTACTTCTTCAACCACAAGCCCGACATGGAGATGTGTGTTGCACAGAGTTTCTCCAAGAACTTCGGTCTTTACGGCCAGCGTGTTGGTGCCTTCCACTATGTCACTAACCGCAGTTCAACCTCCATTCGCGACATCGTGGTGAACAACCTCTGCCACTTGATCCGTGGCGAGTTCTCCATGGGCCCCCGTGTTGGCTGCAGCATCGTCAAGAAGGTCCTCACCAACGAGGAGCTTACTGCCGATTGGCACCAGGACCTGCAGGTTATGAGTTCCCGTATCAAGACTATGCGCCAGGCTCTGTACAACGAGCTGGTTCGCCTGCAGACCCCCGGAACCTGGGAGCACATTATCCAGCAGGTAAGTCTCCAACAGAACTACCTACAAAATTGAAATATATACTAATAATCCATAGAACGGCATGTTCTCTTACACCGGCCTCTCCCCCAAGCAGGTCTACGCCCTCAAGGACAAGTACCACATCTACCTCCTCAAGTCCGGCCGAGCCTCCATCAGCGGCTGTAAGAAACCCGAATCCGTATCACCAGAACACGAGCTGACGCAGAATACAGTGAGCGAGAAGAACGTCGCATACGTCGCACAGGCAATTGACGATGTCATCCGCACCGAGGCCTAATTTTGAAACAACCCCGGACTGGACGAGTTTTGATTTTCATTTCATTTTATTTCAGTTGCATGCCCTGAGAGGTACTCTCAAATTCGAGTTTTTGGTTCAGACTTTTGCACTTTGCATTGGCGGGCCATGTTCTGATTTTACGACATTTCATGATAGATTTACATTTAGAGAATCATTGCCAGTTTCGGTCTTACTTCTACTACTTTTTTCCTTTCTTACATATATAGAATAGATAAAAGAGCTAGGGCTGCATTAGGAAGACTATCTACTGTACATACGATAAAAATGAACAATAAAACAGAGAGATCGGGCACATTCGTAAGAGACCTTGTCTATCTAGGTATAGAGGCGCGTCGCCAAACACAACATCGTAAGACTGTACTGGAAAAGTTCGTAGACGCCGCTCGACAAGAACAGATACAGGGGAAGGAATTGACGGAGCAAGGAGAAGAAGAAAAGAGAAATATTACAGAGGGACTTCATTGAAGTCACCCTCACCCTCTTTCCCTTTGCTCTTTGGAGTACTAGAACTTGCAGCCTCGGAATCATCATCGGGTCTGTTCTGTGGCAGCGTAGTCCCCTTGTCTGAATCTTCGTTGCTTTCCGCCTCAGCTTCAGGCTCATGAATCTGGGGCACAGACACGGGTTCGGAGTCTCCATTTGGAACAGTCTCATTTGTACCCTCTCCCTCATCTTTTGGAGGGGGCGGTGGAGGAGGGGTCTCATCTTCGCCCGCGGATCCAACCTCCTCTGTTTGCGCCTGCGGTTGACCACTCATGTCACCACCAGGGAATGGAGTCAAAGGAGGCTCCTCAAGCACCTGTTCCTGCACAGGACTCCTGACAGGCTGGGTGCTAGGTCTACCAGTACTAGGCCTGCCCTGATTAGCCAGGGTAGCAGTAGACATGGTAGAAGTAGTACGCTGATGCGAGGAGCCATGAATAACACCCAATTGTCGAGTCTTAGGATCAGCATTGAGATAGTAACCACGCACACCAACAATCGTACCCTCAGACTCGCAGGCATCGACCCACTCAGGCGTGACAACAGGAATATTCATCTCAACAGCCTTCTCCCAAAGCGGGCCCCGTCCCTCTGTGCAAACAAAGTGCGTAGTATCAATCCGCACAGAGTCAATCATCTTACCACCAATCCGATCAAGCGCCGAGCCCAACGCCTCTTTCTGCGCCGGATCCAGCACTCCCGTTGTAACAGTGATACCGGACAGATCGGTCATCTTATGCGTGCGACACGTCAGCTTCTCGGACTGGTAAGTACCAGCAGTGGTCCGAAGGACGAGATGGAAAGTGTATTCAGAGTGAATAGCCAGGCCGGAAATTTTCGTACTGCGAGTTTCCAAGGGACGGGGTATGGAGCCGGCCTTGGAGCCATTGCGGTAGAGGGAGAGTGATTTCAGGGATGCTGTAGCCAGGTCGATAGGGTCCCATTCGAGGACGAGGGAAGTCTGCGTGGCATTTCGGAGACGCAGGATCGGAGGCGAGGGAGCTTTCACACCGTAGGTGTTGAGGATTCGTTTCTGGAGGGATTGGAAGGCTGTTGCGCTTGCTGCTTCTGCGGTGTGATTGCGCGAAACGGTGATATCGACGATGCTGCCGGAAGCGATATTGTTTGGGAGGAGGACGGAGGGGAATTCAATCTGCGCGAGGGGTGATTAGCTATGTTTCTCTTGGGGTTGAGCATGGCTTGTTCCTGTCGCAGTCTGGCTGCTGGTTGGAGCATGCCACCCAGGGGTTGTGGCTTACGAGGCGGTTGTCTTGAGTTAGGAGAACTGCGACGCCCGCGTCTACCTTGCCGACTGTCAAGGAGACCAACATTTTGGGAAAGGAAGGGAGGGTTCGGATGAATGGTGGTTGTTGTAGTCCGTGGAGAGAGTTGGGGTTGTTGATTCCGCCAGATCGGCATTTAGCGAGTGTCGGGAGCTAAGATGCGATCTATATTTACTTTGGTTCAAGCCAACCATGTTGTATGCAATTCAAATGGGTATTCTTGCTTGATAGACATAGTGAGTAAAGATAGTCTGACTGTCTTTGTCAGATAGCCAATTCCATAAACAATTCCAAACGCCATGACTGATGCTTCCCAGATAATGTACAGTAGTATGATACAAGAAGATAAAAAAGTAGTATACAGATAACCTCAACCCTGTAGTTTGGCCTTCTATTTCCGTGTTTTAGCCTTGGACTTGGACTTGGACTTGGGCTGTTGCTCATTGACCCTGTGCGCTGCTTCATGTTCCAGAAACGAAGATACTAAATTGTTGGCATCTTCCTGAAGCGAATCCATTTTCTGAGCCATGCAAGGCGGCTGAATGAGTACATCCAGAGTCCCCGTCACACTAGTCCTGCCTGGAGCAGACTCCGAGTTGAGCGATTTCCCGAATGTGTCCAACCCATGCTGCTTGAGAGCCTGCTCAATAGCAACACGCACTCGACGTGCACACCAGGAACGAACCACACGCTTGTGTTGCTGGATTTGTGCCACAGAGACCCGCCACCATAATGTATTGCGATCTCGGTGCCCGCAGAGATGGACGATCTTGGGTCGGATTGGATGGGAGGGAGCGTTTAGGTAGCGACTTGCGACGGGAGGTATGATGTTTTTGGGAGCCCATCGCATTGTAATGCTGTTTGTAGGCGTCACAGCCTTGAATAAAGACATTTTGAGGGAGGAGAGTCGATAACTTCGAAGTTCTTTGGTTTCACGAAGTTTGAAAAGAGGTTTGGAGACTCGTAGCTCATTGGTATGGTAGATCAATACCGAGCATAATAGAGCGATAGAAAGCTAGGCCCTCGTAGTTATCGAGATGTGTAATTCAATCAATAGACATATCATCTAGATTCAAAGAATACCTGTGAGCGCCTGAGGTAGCGGCCTAATAGAGGTAGGATCGCAAGTCTCGGGATGACCGGAGCTCAGGCAACCAGCCAGACGTGATGGAAATAAATATCAGCCTGCAATCCCACAGTATCACAATGCCTCCAAATCACTCAAAATCCCAAGATCGCACGAATTGAAGACATTCAACTCGCCATCTTTTTTTTGCCCGGGCGGTCAGACCAACACCTCAACTCTCAGGCCGCAATTTCCACACTGACGCAAGGTGCCTGATTACATAACCCGCAAGATTTGACCCGGGCACAACCCCCCACTCTTCTTTCTTTCTTCCATACTCGCTTCGCTGGTCATCCTCGATCAGGCCTCTTTAGATCTTGATTGATCTGCAGGAAAAAATACACCAAGTGAGATACGACCCAGGTGAAGGTCGCCCATAACCACCATGCCCAAGAACAAGGGAAAAGTAAGATCACAAAATTCAGCCCCTCTTTCTTTGATGATTTCCTCCCCCGCCACTTTCGCCTACCACTTTGGGATGACCCCTGAGATGGCGATGGAATCTTATGGTGGATTTAAGGGTTGAAACAATATGAAAAACATACTAACAACTGACTACAGGGTGGTAAGAACCGTCGTCGCGGCAAGAACGAGAACGACAACGAGAAGCGCGAGCTCGTTTTCAAGGAAGAAGGTCAGGAGTATGCCCAGGTTGTGAAGATGCTTGGCAACGGTCGTCTTCAGGCCGTCTGCTTCGACGGCGAGAGCCGTCTTGCCCATATCCGTGGCAAGCTCCGCAAGAAGGTCTGGATCAACCAGGGTGACATTATCCTCCTCTCCCTCCGTGACTACCAGGACGAAAAGGGTGATGTTATCATGAAGTATACCGCCGATGAGGCCCGTTCGCTCAAGGCCTACGGCGAGCTTCCTGAGCACGCCAAGATCAACGAGACTGATACCTACGGCGCTGAGGGTATCGAGGACAACGTCGAGTTCGACGAGGACCGCGAAAGCGAGGACGACCAGGAGATCGATGTCGACGACCTCTAGAGGTCACACCTTGCAATCCCCAGAGTTCGATGCTCTGCCCTGGAAGAATGCCCCGGAAACGTCTCTCGGTGTTCTCCATGTTCGCCAACGCCCTCCCCTCTTACTCGCCGCTGTTGGTCTAACGTCGTGGCTACCTTAACCCGATCATCTCTGACTACTTGCCACGCGAGACCCTTCGGTTTACGATTATCTCTGTACATTCGCTCGAACGGATATCAAGAGCATCACAACCTTCTCAAACCTCGACGCTGCCCTCCACCTCGGCTCTGAATGAGGCAAGGGAACCCCACACTGGCGCTACTGTGACAATTTTCCAGGGCTTGAAGCCATCGAACAGAGGAATCTCGGGTTTTGCCCTTTGATGATTATGGTTTTTTTGGTGGATCCTTAATTCCATGTCTCTTTTGCAAATACCTAGGATCAGATACAGAGACCCAAAATAGTTGCAAGACACATGATGAAACTGTGTGCTTGTTTCTTTGCATTGCGTTGCATGCTGTGCATTTTCTCTGTTCACCTCGACTTGCTTTTCTTCGTTCTTTTATGATAGATTCATGAAACGGGCCACGAGAATTGAAAATATCACCCACATACCTACATACTTGATTCCTTGGCGATAGAACACAGTCAAGACTGTTCCGTAGACATATAAGCTAGACCGCCGTGTAGTGTTCATTTGATACAGGCAAATGGCCTGAGATGTACATTTTGAACTGTATGTCTATCGCTAAATATCTGAAGAGACCTATATTCAAACCAAATCAAGCATCCAAACTGCCCTTACCTTTAGTCGAACCATCGACACAACCTCCATCCCCAAACATAGCCTTAGCAGCAGCCTGCCAAACAGACTCCCTCTCCAAATAATTCTCCAAAGTATAAAAGAGCCGACACTCAGCAGCCTCATAAACAAATTGCAACGGCGTCTCCCCATCCTCGGGGTCATACTCATTCCGCAAATTCAAATTCCCACTCCAGGAAAGCGTAACCTTAGTACTGGGACTAGACGCATTGAAAGCCTTCCACTCGGACGAAGTCAATAGCGGCACTGAACTATTCATCGAGTCACGGATCAACTTGTTCGCTTGCTGGATGTAGCCATTGATATAGTTGACCCCGAGAGATTGGCCGCCCTTCACGCCACCGACGCCTTGCATAGGTGCCTTTTGGGGACGGCCGCCAAATGTGATTGTTCGCACACCTTGACGCTTCATTAATTTAACGAAGAACGCACAGGTTGAGACGCAGTCGCCATCAGTGATCTAGAATCATGCGTTAGTAACTCAATGGTATGTAGAACAACAGATCACCCACGATAGCAATATTCTCCGCTGGGAACAGAGACTTGCTAGGCTTCAACGGAACAGACCCATACCCATTGATAGGAAAGACATTCGAAGAGGTAGAAGTGTAATTAAAGTTAGCAAGCAGACTAGAAGCCGAACTCCCAAGAATATCATGCGGCCCATAAAGATCCTCCCAAGAACTGAAATCCGTCTCCTGATCCGGCTGGACCATCTGCCTATAGGCAAAGACGTTACTCGAATCAGTAGATGTGTCCCTCGAGTACGTCTTGGTGAGATACTTCGCGGTATCATGTGCCCGGAAGCGCGTGGCCGTGTAGGGAGTAGCTTCGGGGAAAAAGATACGAGAGAAGTCGATGCCGATGGACATGTATCCGCCTGGATTGGCGGAGACGTCAATCAGCACATTTTTCTTTCCGGCAGCTGTGGCATTTTGCAGGAAATCGGTGGCAACTTTTGCAACTTCTGATGCACTCGATGAGAATGTGGGTAGGAAGATGACTGCTGTGTCCTGCAGATCTGTGAGGTTGGAGAAATATCCTGCAATGGAATTGGCCGAGGTGCGCCAGTCTGTACTGGGGAGTCCTGGGACTTCTGATGCTTTCTCTGCAACAGAGGAGGAACTCAAAGGCGTGGACAGATCGCGAGGCACGCACTCGGTGTTCCAGAGATGGGTTCCATTATCATAGGCGAAGAACCGCTCGCTTGGTGTGGCCATCTTTTGTACTGTTTGTTCAGTGCCATTGGCGAACTTTAGGGACAGTTCCGCACCGTCAGTCCAGTCGCCGATGGAGGCCCAGATTCCGTTGGCGTCGGTGGGAGTGTTGGTGACGCTGCGGGCCAGTCCGGGGAACACACGATTGTATCTTTGGCTGTTAGTGTTGATTGATTAGTGACATAGAGAAGGGTACATACTGTGCATCGCGATCTTGGAGACTCTGACCGCTGGCATATGATTCTAGGAACTTGGCTACATCAGTGCCATTGATAGATTCCAGAGGTGACACAGCCTTGGAATTGCTCTTTTGCAGCTTGGCATCATCTTAGTTATTGGTTAGCAGACGCATTGGTATCGGCAAGAGCTGGACATACTTAAGGTGTACACTTGCGGGAGAGCAAGACCATCTGTTGAAATCGATACCAGGGGTAGATCTATTCCATAGGTAAAGATGGATTGTGAGCATAGCTGGAATGCTAGATGTCCATCATGAGCAGACTTTATGAGGTTATTAACCTCGAAGTCCATGTCGAATTGGCTAGAAAAGCCATTGCTCTTTGCCTTGGCCAGAATTGTGTCAATTCCGCCTAAGATATCCGTAGAGGGCATGGTATACCCGGACGGGGGATCTTTATACGTCAGAGAGAAAAAAGTCTTGTTCATGCTGTATATACTTACTTTTTAAAATATCAATGGTCGACTGAAACTCGAGGATCTTGCGGACCTGATTCAAGAAATTAAGGGCGCGATTCGAGTCAAAGGGCATAGACAGTAAACACTGATGAGCTAGATCATGAGGCACACGGGCGTTGGCTGCGACTGTCAGTTACATTCCAGACGCAGATCAGGTAAAACGAACTCACTTTTGTATTGGTTGGCATTGGTTACCAACTGGCTGACCTGCGCGCATGGCTCAACATCTCGAACGTTCTTAGCAGCACCGACAACAGCCAACGCAACCGTGGAAAAAGCCTTCAGATGCATGATGGGTAGTTGAAGATGTCAAATGTCATCTTAGCCAAGGGGTGAAGTCACTCTCCACTTCAGGGGAGCCCTTGCGTTTCCTGATTTAGAAGATCTGCGCCAAGACGAGAATATTATGGGGTAGGCCACTTTGCAATTCTACAAACATCTAGAACTCGGATGTCTCGGTTCTACGCTTGTTCTGAAGAGATATAACAGTTAGTGAAAGGCTGATTGTATCTGTTACACATTACATTGGTTGACATAGCCTCATGTTCAACATTGATTGCATTGACTTGTTTGAGCTTACGCGTAAATGGGTTGAAACTTCATTAATCAAAGACACTCTTGCGAAAGAAGGCGACGATCTTTCGAGCGGCTTCTTTGCCAACCAACGGATCTAGTTGCTCCTCGCCCATATTAGCGATGTCGCTAATGTTGTCCGTTTCGATGATCAATCGCTCGAGGGCCTGGGGTGTGACACCCGGCACAGCTCGAAGCAGATCCTGTGGTATGAGGTTGTAGGTACGGTGCTCAATACCAGCAGCTGCCATGACATCACCAGAGCCAGAAGAGACGTCAAAATCAAGACCTAGCTGAACTGCACGGAGGGGATCTGGCTCGTGGGCATTCTTTTTGAGCTCTGCAAAGATCTCGGCTGTCTGGTAGGGTGAAGAAGACCAGATGATCTTCAGTCGCGGGAAGGCAAGGGTAAGAAGAACGAGTAGATGCTGCGCGGATTTGGGATTGGAAGGGTTGGCAAGCGAACTACTACTTGTGGTGGTCGCAGTGCCGGAGGAGGAGAAGCCGTAGTCCGTCAGGAAAGTGGTACCTGTCGGAATGGAGGCAAAGGCATCAAACGTGAACGATTTGTTCTGGTCGAACTCGATCAGAAGTAATGGGTTCTTGTAATGTTGAAGCATAGTCTCGGCCTGGTTATAGAGACGGCCGTTTTTGAGAGAGGTGATCAGATCACGGATCGACTTTCGCTCGACGCAAATGTCCGGGGTGAGAATGTAATCACCCACAGTGAGCTGACAAGGGATCACTATCATGTTGTTGCCATGCAACAGCGATGGGAGCGCACTTCGGAATTCTCGTACATCAACTACCACCCTTGGAGGAGAAGCGGTAGCAGCTAGTCGTCCTCCTCCAGCAATACGAGTGTTCACTGTTCTGAGGAATTGCTCTTGGGGGTCTTCCGCCTTTTTATCGTGCGTCAAAGTGACTGCCATGCTCTGAGAGAGAGGTTAGCTAGATATTCCAAATGATGGAATTTGTACCTTACCCCCTTCTCCTTGATCAATTTGGTAAACGAATCCTTCTCACGCCGGACGGCACTCAAATACCGTTGCTCCTCGACTGAGCCACCATAATACATGAAGTATACCTTCACATTTCGCCCGGAGTGAGAGCTGCGATAGACTTCCACTCTTCGAATGAAGGCTGCATCCGGTTCATACATTATGATGTATCGCGGACGCGCTTCTTCGAGTATGTGTTCATCCATGTCACCGTCGTAAGGGTGAATCATGACCAGATCATTCATATCATATAATTCGTAGAAAGTTTCCATATCTTCCAACTCATCGACGATAATTTCCTCTTTCTGTGTTTCCTCGACCTCGGTGGGCCGAATCTCGCTGAGCAAGCTGACAACCTGACCAGGCAACTCGACTTCGGTCTGAACACTGCTATTTGGGACACGCCCTGAAGCAGAAGTAACCGCACCGCCGCCACGTATTCGACGACGTTTGTTCGGAGGAGGTCGCCCCTGAGGCGCGCCCTGAGCCGGTGACTCAGAAGACTTTCCTAATCGATCGCTCTCTCCTGATCCTGACAGATTTCTATTCACATTTGACAAAGATCGCTTCCAGTTAAGATAGTCCCGTAGTCGGCGACGCATCATGACCTCCGCGGAGGGCTTTTCGTCATCTGGATCATCATCTTCTTTGGAATCGGAATGAGCAATCTTGGCATGCATTGTGCCAATGTACTCACGAAGTTGTCGACAGATTCGTTGATCATTGCACATGATCAATATAGTGCTATTTGATTGATCCATACTCTGAGGATGGAGGTAGGAATCGTGCTCAATTTCCCCAAGAACATCCGCTAGAACATTCCACTTTGGAAGCTCCTCTAGCGCTGGGTTTAATTCAGAAGAGAAGTTTGCTGAGAATGAGTTGGGGCGAGTGAGTACATTGTTAAGCTTTCCTTCATAAACTCGTGATTTGGCTGTTTGGAAAAGAACATGGGCGGCATCAAGAAAGAGCCACGGAGAGTAATTGTGTTTGTTAGAACCGGGAGGTGGAGAATGTGCAGCAACGATGGTATCAAGGTATTTGACGAAAGATACAGCATCGTAAGTAAGCAAAGCACTGCAAGTGGGTTAGCGATGTTAGTGAACAACCAGCTGCCAAAACTTACTGAAGAACTGCTCGAAGATCCGTAAGATCGCTGACAATTTGTCTTGTCCTAAAGCTGACACGATGCCAGATTGGGTCCAGTTGACGCCGGATGATAATATCGAAATTCCTATGCAAGGCACTGTCCAAAGTCCACTCTTCCATGTCGAGACCTGTGTTGCTTTTTCGGAGTTCAGTGATACTGATCTCCACACATTCGAGGACAGCATTCTGGATCTCTCTCATTTTGTCGCTCATCGGAACTTCCAACTCGATGACTTCTGCCTTTCGATTTCCCTCCAATGATTCCGCTACGGACACGTGGAAACGAGGCCATAGCGATGTCTTGCGAAGGAAGAGATTTTGCAACATCTTGGCTAGGGGTGCAAAGCCTGTCGTGAATGGCTCTGGGGAATCTGAGAACGCTTTCAAGAAGCCACGCTTGTTCGATTGCCGATAGACACGGACAATGAACGCCTCGAGCGACGTTGCCACGACCCTATATATGGGTCAGTTTCTATACAGCTACTAACCAATGGGTTACTCACTTATCTGCATGTAAGATAATCATTCCGGTGACCTTTTCAGGATCAAGCAGCTCTATCGATATCAGCAAGTGTAAGACAACGGACAGCAGGCCTGCATACTTGACAGCAAATCCACAACTAATATTCTGGATGTTACACTCAGAATACCACCTTCGCCGTATATTCTCTCCCTGGAGGCTTGTCAGAAACCGTAGCCATACAATTATTCCAAAATACCCACCTCATCGGCACTGTCGCCTTCTCCGTATTGATGACCTTCAGTCCTCTAGCAAGAGGCGACTTGCTAGTAGCATAGAGCTCCGCCAGTGCTATGTCCAGCCATCAGTCTTCAATTCTGTTGCTTGACTCGTGTCTATTCATCCTACCCTCTCCGATCCACTCATTCTCGCGTTCATCCGCCCCAACCACCAAAACCAGATTGTTTCCGGCCGCATCGTAGAAGTGAAGAAGATTGGTGATCAGATGTAGCAGCCCAAGGCCGCGTGCAAGCACGACTAGCTCATCTTCGGCGCGTAGTTCGGTGAAGAGCTCCTGTTGGTATTGCTTCAAGGGAGTTATTTAGATGCTTTGCATCATCTCTTATAGGATGCATGGTCACTTACTAGTGGAAGGGAGAGCTTCACCGGCACATTAGTCCGTTCTGGAGGCATGGGGAGCACTTCCTGACGCGTTGAGAGAGCGAACTGTCTTGTCAGCGAAGATGTCGCGCGGTCACGTGTCATTATATATTTATGACGTAATGTGATGTCTCGCCTTAGGAACATTTGGCACGTTTGAACTGCTACTAAATAGGAAATCTACAGTGATCCGTGCTGTAGGATGAGTGTGGATCGGATAGCCATCTCATGTTACTTATAGTCTATTTTTAAAGCGGGAAGTCTGTTTATAAGCCATGAAATGTAGAGCTACAGTACTAAGTGGCTTCGTTATTTCCTGATGGTGAGATTTTATCAGAGCACCGTACTAGAGAGTTCATGATAAGAGATACTAAGTTACTACGGCTGGATACAAATGCCCGAGGAATCTCGGAAAATAGCCAGATCGGATTGCCTGTGTACATCAGTCTGGACAATCTACCGCACTGGAGACCAAAAAATAAGATAAAATAACAAGAATAGCGATTGAGATGCGTAAATCATAGCAGAACTGAGATATGAGGGATGATCACTTGTTCAGTTCTTTCATGCGTGCCTCGAGCTCTTCCTTAGAAGCTTTGGGGGGCATGTCTACATCATGTTAATAACGGTAGATATGAGCTTGATGGGCTACCTACTGTCTGGAATATGAGGACCCTTGGACAAGAAGTCTTTGGCAGATGCCTTCTGAGACTCTTCGTTTGGTTTATTCTGAGACTCATTCTCTCCCTTTTTGAGCACAGATGGAAAGTCCGACGACTCAGGAATAACAGGCATGATGGAATAGATGGGCGGTCAGATTTTGGACAGAGAGGACTGAGACGAAGCAGTACATGAAAAGAGGAGAAACAGGAGTTGAAGTGTCAGTTTTTTAGATCTCAGACGGGATGACGTCGGTGGGCAACACATTACAATGTTATGGCAGTGCCACTGTGGTTGGTGATTGGTGATTTGATTACCCCATATAGCACGACCATGGCTATACAAGTTTTCCTAATGCCTGAGTGGAATGATATGCCTTACAAATTAATAACGCTTCTGATCAGGTTATATATGCTCATTATCAGCGATAGCCAGACAGAGCAGGGGTGGGTTACATTTCACTAACTGAGAGCAGTATAGTCCTTTGCTTGGAAGTTGGGGGCCGAATTGACAGTAATTATTTATATTTTGCCAACGGCCTCTTGCGAGAAACAGAGTTGCTCATCCATCTAACTAGCTTCATCTTGCATTGAATCCAACATGGCACCTCAAACTATCAACATCAACTACACACCCAACAAGCGTCTCTCCCTGATAGACGCCGACACAGGTACACCCCTCTACCACGTTAAAGTGAGCCGCCAGACTCCGCAAATGGAGATGATTCGCCTGGGCCCAGAGCCAAGCCAGGAACAGCCCAGTTTCCCCGCTGATGAAGAGACCTACTTCGCATCCCGCGTCTCTACGGCTCAGTTCGCGTTAACTAGTTTAAATGTAAAGCTGCGCATCCGCGACCACCGTGATATCGAGCTGAAGAGAAAGTCTATCCTCTCTACGAGTTACTTGTTTACTTCTCCGGCTCTCTCTGCCGCGGCGGCTAGGATGATGGCTCCGGCGGTGCTCTGCTGGGAGGCTGATAACACGAATAACACAGTGGGGGATTTTCAGCTGGTTGTTGATGCCACCAACGACTCGGATCGCAAGGTACTTGTGCGATTTTGCAACCAGTCTTTCTCAAATGAGCGCGTGGGGACGTTTGAGTTAGACAGTGGTCTTGACCAGCTGGTGAAGGATGAGGCTGTAATTTCGGGGTTGGCAATGCTGGCAATGGTGCAGAGCATAAATCTGGCAGGGATGGTCATGTTCAAGGGCGGTTGACCTGTATACCAATTCGACGACAGAGGATGAGTCTCCACGACTAGATATGATTTCGAGCCACGCTAAGCCCATGGCCTTGAAATGTTTTCCCGTATGTTCTAGGACAAGTATAATGTGCTACTACACCCCATGCGCAGTAAAGTGACGGAGTACACAAGATGTATACGGTAGGGGGTTCATATAAATACGTCGACCCACGACCTCGGCCCGCCCCCGTAGTAGCCCAGTAGGGCATGCGAGGTTGTTTAGGCTGAAGTTAACGAAGTCAACTAATGACTTCTCGACATATTATTCTAATATGATCTGAGTACTAGCACGGGGTCGGAGGAACATTGAACCCCGGTGTAACAGATTCCCAGACAGCGATTGATACTGTGAGTCACCCCCCTTACTACCGCTTCTTTGTACTGTTCTTTGTTCTTCACCTCAAGTATTAGTGTCGTATATTGTGGGTTTGCGTCTGCCATGGCTTCTCCATAGACTTTTCAAACGCCCTTGAGTGAGAAACAACGGCTCAAGCTTGAGAAGTTTGCCAAAAAGAAGAAGCGACAAGCACAACTAGCACAACAACCGATCGCTGGTGTACCCAAGGAGGAGAAGCCCAAGAAGCAGGCTGTTGCCATTGTGGATTCCAAAGATTGGGAAGAGGAGACACCACTGGACAGACGAAGAAATTGAAACCATTGGACGACGAATTTCACAAGGCATATATCCCGAGTGTCGAATCTGCCTGGTGCAGCTTCTGGGAGGACCAAGGTCTGTTTAAACCGCGAACAGAACATAACGGGAGCCCCAAGCCGAAAGGCAGATACATTATTGCCATCCCGTCACCCAATGTACAAAATCGTGCATTTCAGAAAATCATCAGCCAACGCTGGTCTTAGGTGACTGGAAAATTACATATTGGATGTCTCTGGAGACTGGTCGCGGGAGGCCTTCACAATGAATCCACAGCTGCCAAAAGCGGTTACTGAGACTTTCGTACGGCTACACGAAGACGCCTCATCTATCGAGCTAACAGGCTTGTGGATTGGTCATGTCGCCTATCTACTGCATTGTCTACGCTTGAGGTAGACCAGAATGAGTTTGAAAGGACCACAAAGCTTGACGTGCCTGGTTATGACAAGAAAATTGAATTTGGAACACTCACCTATTTCAAATACCCAATCGAGGGCTCTGACCAGATAATCGAAGTGGTAACAACGAGACCGGAGACGATTTAGGTGATACTCGCATTGCTATCCACTCTCAGGATGAGAGATATAAGAAATTTGTTGGCAAAACTGCGCAGCACCCGATCATTCCTGAGAGGAAGCTGAGAATCATTGCTGATGGAAATGTCAAGAGAGAGACTTCAGCACTGGCGCAGTGAAGTTGACGCCTGCTCATGCTCGCAATGATTTTAAACTAGGCAAGAAACACAATCTACCATTCAGTATTTTTATGACAATCTACCATTCATAAAAATACTGAATGAAGACGGCACTCTCAACAGAAACGCTGGTCACTATGCTGGAGAGAAGAGGTTCGATGCGAGATATGGCGTTATCGAGGCGCTCAAGAAACTGAGTCTCTTCACTAAACAAGAACCGAACAAAATGCAGGTTCCGATATGCAGCCGATCGGGAGATGTCATTGAGCCCTTACTGAAGCCCCAATGGTAAATGAAGATGGAGCCGTTGACTAAGCCTGCTATAGGAGTGGTCGAAAGTGGTGAACTCGTTATCCGACCAGAACTTCAGAAACGACAATATCTGCAATGGATGCGAAACCTCCAGGACTGGTGTTCTCAAGACAGCATTGGGGGGGGGGGGCATCAAATCCCTACAAATCTCATCGGCATCGAAGGTGAAGATGGTGGATACAAGATGCCGTAAAGGAGGCCGAAAAGGCGAAAGCCAAGTCGAACTAAGCAAGAAAGGACCAAGATGACATTGAGTTGCTCAAGGCTGAGCTGAGTAAAGTGCAAGACAAGGATGTCACTGAGGCCATGCGATCAGCCGAGAGCCGGAAACCGGATATTGAAGCCAGGTCGCGGGCATTGGAACAGACTGTCGCGATATTCGAGAAGATGCGGGCTTAGGCTGTGAACTTGCACAGTAATGGATCAAAATGGATATGTGTCGGACAAGCAAAAGCTGAGAAGCGCATTTGTAATGTACACAGACGTGCCGTACAAGTCGCCCATTTTAGTTGCAATCAGCCCTATTGAAGGTGTTGGTCACTCATAGTAAGACAAGAGGCCACTTTTAGTATGAGCACACTACTCCATACCAAAGTAACGTCATTCAGCTCAGGCCTCTTGTGACTTCGCCAATAAGGAAAATTCCCATCTTTTCTTTTATATACAACTCGCACTTCAAGCTAAGCCGCATCCCGTAATTCGTCATTGTACATGTTGAGAACACTTTTCTTACTACATAATATTTCAATAGATCTGAAATAGAGTACATTTATACCGTAGAGCACCAGACAAGTCGAAGACGCCCTGGGGCACATCTTAAATAGTACATCCAAAGTACCACGTGCCACTATGGCGTTGCGGCGGAAGGCCCAGGTCACTCCGGTGTACTGGGTCCCCCGCCTACGTCTTCTCACCTCTCCATCTCCAACTCCCCAACTCTCAAGGCAACCGCCGGTCGGCACCTCTTCACCTACCTCTCTCTCCTCGATCGGAATACCTCAATCTCCTCTAATCTGCACCTCCCGCCGCTATCCTACTAGTCGGTGTGTTGGGCACTTCGTCAAGATACCCGCCCGGCTGCAATGTGTAATTTACTCACTTAGCAACCCTTCGAACTACACCCTTCCTATCTTCGTCTACTGTGGGCCCACCCGAATTCACCATGCCCTCTATTCTCAGCGATGCGGACAAGGAGACTGTTAAACGGAACGTCCCCAAACCCGCCAACAAGATTCTCGCCGTAGCTGTCGCACGACTCTACGTTGCCTACCCGGATGGACAGCGATGGACATTTACCGGCATTCAGGGGGCTGTGGTCCTCTGTAATGACCTGGTAGGAAGAACCTTTTGGCTTAAAATGGTCGATGTTTCGGTGAGTGGTGCACTTGGCCCTGGAGAGATAAGAGCAGAGTGCTGACAATAAGATGGTGAAGCCTGCTGCAAGAGGCGTGATATGGGATCAGGAGCTTTACGACAACTTCGCTTACAACCAGGACCGAACCTTTTTCCATACATTCGAGCTCGAAGACTGCGCCGCCGGATTATCCTTCGTTGACGAAAAGGAGGCCAAGACCTTTATCAAGAAGATGCACGAGCGCGAGAAGCATGCGAGCAAAGAGACACTCAAGACCCCGTTCGCCTCAACCCGGGGACAGGGACCAGCTCCCGTTGCGAATGGAAAGGTTGGACGGTCTTTATTCGGTAGCTTGTTGCATCGTTCGAGCGCAGCTCCAAGTGCGCCGCCAGCACCCGCGCCATCCATACAGGTTGCCCCTCCCCCAACACTGGCTCCAACCGCGCCACCAAGCGCGCCACCAAGCGCACCGGCAGCTAAGCCAGAAATGTTGTTTGATGCTAAGCTGTTGGACGAACTCAAGGAGATGGGAATCACCGAAGACCAAATCGCCGAGAACTCCGATTTCATCAAGATGTACATTGACCAGAAGCAAGCGGCAGCTCAACCGGAGCCCGAGGAACAGAGCAAGCCAAAAGCCGCCCCGCCTCCGCCTCCTGCTCCAAAGATGAGCACAATCAGTCCCCAGGGCACAGGATCTAGCTCGTCTAGTCGACGCGGCCCCCCACCACCCCCCCCGTCCCGAAAGACACGCCCCGAAGCAGCAGAGGAACCAGTTTCTCCTCCTCCGCGTGAACCATCTCCCCCTGTCCGCAGATTCAACGCTCCTCCCCCACTTGCAGATGCAGGCAAATTTGCAGAGCCGGCTGGCCCTGCGCCGCCGCGACGTCCGCGCGCAACATCGAATGTTAACCCCGGCCCTCCACCGCCGCCGCGCCCCCCGAAAACCCCAATGGAAGACAACCAGCCTAGTCAATCTCGGTTCGGAGTACCACCGGCGTTCTCTGGTGATCGCAAGGTCTCCGCACCACCAGCACCACCAAGCCGTAGCCCTGCGCCAGGTGGACCTCCTCCCCCGCCGCCTCGTGCGATGAGCCCGGCAGCACCACCCCAATTACCTCCTAAAGTTCCGGCTACAACTACTATGACAGGGCCCCCTCCCCCTCCACCTGCCAGGGGCCCTGTATCTCCACCACCGCCTCCTCGACCTGTGCCAGCTGCGCCATCTTCTCCCGCAGCGGTTCCACCACCCCCACCCCGAGGCCCAATCTCACCTCCTCCCCCTCCTCCGCCATCTGTACCTGCATCATCTCCCAGCCTTCCCCCACCACCGCCTCCACTACCTAGCTCTGCGGCACCTGGTGGCCCTCCGCCGCCTCCACCTCCAGGTCGCGGCGGTCCTTCAATGCCTCCTCCGCCTCCTCCTGCATCTGGCTCTGGGGCACCTGGAGGACCACCTCCACCCCCGCCACCTGGTCGATCTGGCGGTGCTCCACCTCCACCTCCTCCAGCTGGGGGTGCGGCACCACCTTTACCCAAGAGCACCGGTGGACGCGATGATCTTTTGGCCTCTATCCGAGCCTCTGGTGGTGGTGGACTACGCAAAGTCCGAGACTCTGACAAGAAAGACCGAAGTGCTGCCTTGGTACCCGGTGGTGCTAATGAGTCTGCTGCGAGCCCAAGTGGAGGAGGTGCTCCTCAAGGTGGTCTGGCTGGTGCATTGCAAGATGCCCTCAACAAGAGAAAACAGAGGGTCAGCGGAAGTGGTATGTAGGATCCTGTCCCTTGATTAAACCATATGCTAATTAATTTTCTCACAGATGACGAGAAAGACAACGACGATGATTGGTGAGCGGTGAGCGGTGAGCGGCGAGCGGTGGTTTTGTTCCAGTATTTCAAGATACCAATCAATGGCTTTGCATTTTGCAAGCATCGAGCATTATGTTTTTTCTGCCCAAAAGTTTGGCTTTCAGAGCGCTTCAGTGGGAGGCAACGCAATGCACTTTGTATATAGCTTTCAATGGTAGAGTGCGAACAGCTTGGTTCTGTATTTGAGTAGGTAGTCGTAGATGTAGACTATGACTGTCTATTGCCGTGACAACGTATACCAAAGCAAGGGTTTTCTCTGCATGATAACCTCACCACATTTCCTACCCTTTTATACTAGTCTGAATATACACTCAATCCCCTATAAACCTCTCGTAGTATACTGAAATCGGTGCAAGCCGCCTTCAATAACTTTAGTCAATTTATCAAGACGCTTGGCCTACTATGCATATATTTTCCTACTCATTCGGGCGAAAAGGTCACTCAGCCTTGAACTTTTTTATATCAATATAGCTAGGGCGATGTGTACGTATATTAGAAGTTTCGCAAATGATATGATTCGTACAGTTGAAACAAAGTATAGAGTTCTTCCTGTCTTCTTTGTTGACCTCTTTTGATTCTTATACATACTCTTCCTGCTACAATCTTTTTCTCTCGCTCTTTTACGCCTCTTTTGTTTTCCGTTGAGCTCTCGTGAACTTTTTGTGAACTTCCTGTTGACTATATGTAAAGTCTCTGCTGGCCTTCTAACTATACCGTTTGGTAACATAGTGCACATGCATGGAGTTTACAGAAACCCGCTTGATATAGTGGTGGTACTAGGCTGGTCCAGTAGGTTTTGACCCTCAGGTTGAGTGCTCGAATTGCTTTTTGTCTGTATTCAAAGTTGTCCACCTCCGTAGGTTTAGGCCGCACTGCCATCATGTGTCTGCCTCCACCATCCGCCTTTCTTCCCATCTTTCTTTTGTCAAGACCCTTCCCCACACCCAAACATCTAAGCTCCCTCTAAAATGGAGTCCGACACTCACCATTTGAAGCCTTGCCAATGGAGCTTTTGGTTTCTATCTTTCGTCTTGTGGGATCCCATCGGTCTCATATCCATCCATCAAACCTGCACCAAGTTTCGCGCCGTAATCCTGCCAGATCGATGCATGTTCCTGAAAGGCTACTCGCGTCTGAGCAAGATGTTAGTGGAATCACGCCGGTCTCCGGTCTTCTATGCAAGAACAAATTTGGTCCAGCCTGAATTTTCCTTGATCGAGTGACTATCAATGCGATGGGCCTGCGGCACCTATACTCTCGCACTTTGCCTTTTGTGTCTGTTTTGGATCGTGTCTTCCCACGCACTTCTGTCATATTCAATGCAAAGGAACCTGCAGGCAAAATGCCTAGCCTGATCCAGCTGTGAACCGTGGGAATTGATTTGACATGACAAGCCATGCGATGTGGGAAGGCACGGTGGCCCAAAATCCTCCCGCTGGCAAGAGTTGCGTGCATTCCGTCTGTGTGGCATGGAGCGACAATGGGCAGCCTCATGAATCCCAGTCTTCATTGGATACCGCGTCCTGCAACCACTGTTTCACTCAAGACGGGAGGGCCATGAAAAGCTCTGCTTGGCTCTCATGGGATGTTTGATGATATATTTCAAGCATGCAAGATACGCAGTAACAGTGCTGATGCTAGATGGCTAGCATCATCTTCATGAACTTATGCAAGCGATGATTCGGCGAACAAATCACTCACATGCAGAGCTGATAATCATCCTTGCAAACACTCAGCCAATTGTTCATGAGGAACGGCACCATCCAAAGATCAACTATATTGTCTCTGGGCGAGAAGTTCCGCGAGTGGGCCATTATACGGGAAAGCATGACAGCAGAATAGCGATCAGACCTTGGATTGAACATAGACTGACACGTACACTACACTATGGTCGAGGAATACGTTGCTTGGACTTAAAAGACAAAGAAAAACTCCCATCTATGGCACTGAGACCTGAATTTGCAGCAAGATCCATAAGACAAGATATTAAGATAATGTGATACAGTTTTATACAAAAGGGGACATAGGCCTTATGTGATCTAGATGATAAACCCGAGGCACTCGATAATGGACAATAAAGAAGGAGAGCAGATCTGAAACGAGCAAAACAATTAACTAGAAAACTCCGTTCAAGGCTTTCATATCTAGTGCTTCATTGCAATGTGTTGGATGTAATTCTGCCCCGGATCAACCTTGCCCCGAGCGCGGGAAAAAAGCGCATCTGATCTCATCGCGACAACTCTAGCTCGACATCCAGACATGCTGTCTCCAAAGCTGTCTGCTCCTTCGGCCTCGCTACTGCGCTTCTTACATACACAGTCTGGGTTCACGACTGCACCAGCATGCGCTCGCCCAAAACGCCTCGGCCGTGACAAGCCCTTCTCGACAGTACGAGCCTCCAAACTTCCGAGCTGGACACATCCTACGACCCTGTGCCCGGCAAGAAACGATGGCGCGTCGAATGGAAGATCTAGCGCAATCAGGCCAATGCTGGTCCCGTCAATGCCGACACAGGTGACGTTCTCGCGCCTCGCATCTACCAAAAGCCGCCCGTTTCTCCGACGGCTGTTCGATTTGAAGCGAAACAAAGCGTCAGAATACCAAAACCAAAGGCCTGCTGGATCTGGACTCGTCGATGAAGGCACAGAGGGTTTATTCAATATTGGCCGTAGTCTCTCAGCGAAGGCTTCAAACGAGCTACGGATTCGATGCACGGAGTTTGATATCAACGGAGATGTCACGCTTGTTAACGGAGAATTTCGGAAGCTGGAACTTATTGCAAAGGTTATTATACCATCTCGGATACCGGACCTGGGGCTTTGCTAACCAGTGAATTGTTTGATACAGTACGGACTTCTTCCACGAGACCTGCGCAAGATCGATTCCTCGACTCTCCCTCACATTCTGGTACGACCGAGTGCCATTCTGATCAATCTCCTTCACCTGCGAGTCCTCATCAAAGCGGACCGCGTACTCGTGTTCGACGCGTACGGATCGACAGACTCATACATGCAATCGCTGTTTATCTACGATCTAGAAGGAAAGCTACGCCAAAAGCAATCACAGCTTGCCTCTCAGCTCAGCCAGTCATTACCATACGAGTTCCGCGCGCTGGAAGCCGTGCTCATTAGTGTTACAAGTGGCCTCGAGGAGGAATTCAACGGCGTGAGAGATCCGGTCGTGCGTGTTCTACGCGCGCTGGAGGAAGACATCGACCGTGACAAGCTCCGGCATCTTTTGATCTACTCTAAGAAGCTGGGTACATTTGAGCAGAAAGCACGATTGGTCCGAGATGCTATCGACGATCTGCTAGAAGCAGACGACGATTTGGCAGCTATGTATCTTTCCGAGAGATCCAAGGGCAAAGAAAGAGAGGAGGATGATCACCAGGAAGTTGAAATGCTCCTGGAGTCATACCACAAGGTGTGCGATGAAATCGTCCAGGCCAGTGGTAACCTTGTGACGAATATTCGCAACACAGAAGAAGTGTATGTCCACCATCTTTTTTTCCAAAGCTTGTTAAATCTAACACAAAACAGAGTCAAGGCTATTCTCGATGCCAACCGCAACTCGCTCATGCTCATGGACCTCAAGTTCAGCATTGGAACACTCGGCCTCGCAACAGGAACATTATTCTCCGCTCTGTACGGAATGAACCTGAAGAACTTTATCGAAGAGTCTGACTTCGGCTTCGGCAGTGTCTCAGTCATCTGCTTCGCGCTCACAGGCATAGTCTGCGTTTATGGACTTGCCAGACTTCGTAAGCTCCAGCGCGTTCGCATGTGGGGTGAAGCCGGAGTGGGAGGCACTTCTCCTCTAGCTCCGTTATCCCCGAAGCGCAGTGCATTCGGCGTTAACCGCAACAACTGGCGCGCTGACTCGATTGAACCTGTCTGGGGCAGTCTTCCAGGTGAAGGCAGACCCGAGCGTATGAAGCGTCTCAGAGAACACGCGGCTGCTCAAGCTGCATCTAGGAACACCAAATTTGGAGTTCCAAATAGCCCTAGCGCTACTGCTGCACAAACACCAGCTTCGGCTCCTCACAACAAGCCTCGCGCAGAGGGCAGCAAGGGAACCGAGAAGGAAACTGCTGTTCACGGCGAAGGCAACGCAAAGCCTGGCTCACACGCGTGATCAACTTACTACCACCATATCCAACGACATACCGATCATTTGACTTCTCTCGCAAATTTTCTGGCATTTGACATTGAATCTTTAACTACAGCAACGGAGTTGAAGCATCTGTATTAAATTTTGTACATTACACACTCTTTCCTCTATATCCCCCCTCCATGATTCATGTTACATGTTCGGTGTGAATAGATCTAGAGCACATCTGACGAAATACCAATTGATATCTACTTAATTGTCACTCTCTTTGTTGCCGATGAAGGTCCTCTGCCTGTTCAATCCAGATTTTGGCAGCAGCCTGAACTCCTCCATCTCTAATGCATTCACGTTCAATGATTTGGGCAATCTGATCTGCTAGCACTGACGTCTGGCTGGGACTCGTTTCGGCCAAATTTGTTGCCTGCTGCTTTCTTCCGATCAAAGCCCTGGAAATAGCACCGGGGGTCTTGAGACATGTCTCCTCCACCTCAAACCCAACTTCCTCGGCAATATCTCTCGTTTTAGCAGTGAGAGACCCAACCATAGAATTCCCAAATCCACGGTCGGTCCTCTGCTCGTTCTTGGTGGCTCGAAGAGATCGCAAATCACCAGAAGCCGGTTGAGGGTTCTGCTCCACGTGCCTTTCAGCCTTCGTACTCGTCTCGCCTGTCTTCGGAGGAAAACGGTACCGAGCACCAGAAAGAGAACAAGAACAACAGGGTATAATGAAGAACGGCAAAGGAGACGACGGACTAGCAAGGGCAGCCATAAGTGGAGTCCACACTGTCAATTCGTCCGTATGATCAGAGACGATAAAGGTATCAGCCGGAAAGTCGCCCGTATGTATTTTCGCTTCGAAATCTTGAGAATCTATGGCATCCAAGAAAGGTCGAGGGATGTATATCCTCTCCTCCAGGCAATTCTGTACGTTGACGGGATATGTCTCCCAGGTTTTGCGACGGCGCGCATCAAAGCCTGACCCCTTGTATCCTTCCATAAGAAGCACGTATACGAGGATACCACTTCCACAAGCTAGGCTCACAAACCCCGGAAATGGCCCATTGCTCTTTGGTTGGAGGTTTTCTTGTTCTGCTTTTGGAATGGCGCCATACATGCCTCGCCAGAGTTCAATAAGATAAGCAGCCAGAGATAGTTGCTCCAAGATCTGTTTGGGTTGTTCGAGTTTCTCAACCCAGGTTTGTCGTAATGGTTCTGCATATCTGAGCTGTAGTCGATAGTAGGTTGTTTCGATTGGATCTTGTTGGATGCTATTTTGATATCCTGAATTGGAAACATGGGCCCAACTTGGCAATTTAGAACCGAAAATATTCGTCATTGGTACGCTCTCTTTCGCTGGGGTATATGGACAGATTTCCGACGAAATGGAATTTGGAGTGAGATTGGATGTTCATCATTGAGGAGACGATGCGTACATTGTTGAATTGTGTTTGAGATACGTAGCAATAAAGTATGTGATGATTGGTATATCAATATTGCCTGCAGAATAAAAAGACAAGAAGTATCGAAGTCAAACGACGCGTTCAAACCACCACACGTGACCAGCTCCCTCCACATACCCTGCTTGGTTGACAATGCTTTGGTTTAACCATCCTTTAGTGCAACATGATCGATTGTATGAGATTTATGTTTGTGAATAGACATGCGAAAGGCATGACATTCTTGGACTAGAACTGCATCCCTTAATCGTGCCCTCTTAATAGTTCTTGCATATAGACAAATGTCTTTTCTCTCTATCTATATAAGATTAGTCGATGATTCTGATCCTGATTCTGATCCCGAGGATGAATTGAGTCTCGATTGGTATGGCGTTTCCACCCCTACAAGAAGGCCTATATATTGACCAATGAAATGTGAAGTACATGTTTGATACGAAGATAGTACGTGTCCGACCGCTCTATCCTACTTTTAGTACTATGTTATCCTGGGAAGTGGTTATCTTTATCATATTTCGTTGTATTGAAGAGGCACGTAAGGTGATGAAGCAGCTATGTTGGTTCAGATTACGATCTTTTCCCAAGATTTACATCAATCGACTATGGAATTCTCGCGGTTTCTGAAACTGATCCAACATTCGTGTTCCTTAAACAAAGACTATAAGCATTCATTATGCAAATAGAACGGGTCGGAGCCACATACCTCAAATCTGGGGAAAGTCTCATCATAGAAGACCTCAAACCGGCTTGTAATCCCAGGACTCACACCTTTCTGCTTCTCATACCCACTAGTAGTGTACTTTCTGTAGATAGCAGCAAGCAATGTTGTCATTTCCGCCATGGCAAGACTAGATATTTGGTCAGCGAAATTTTAATTCGCCTTCCCCGAGTCACACTTACTGCAAGCCAATGCACATGCGACCTCCACTAGAGAACGCCCAGAACCATTTTTTCATCTCTGCAAGATCTGCGCAATGACCGAGCCACCTCTCAGGGTTGAACTTCAAAGGCTCCGAGAATACGTCAGGATTTCGATGAAGTGTATACGGTGACATGCTCACAACCGTTCCGGCTGGGATGAGATAACCGTCAATTGTCGTATCAACCGACATTGATCGTGGCTCGGATGCTGGTAGGGGGGCATATAACCGAAGCGTTTCTTTGAGAACAGCATCAAGGTAAGGCAATCGGTCTGCGACTTCGGCAAGCGGATTACCGTCTTGGTTGCAATCCGTGTTAAGAATTGTGTCAAGTTCTTTTATCAATATCTCCTGATAGATCTTATTCTCAGGACGAGAAAGAGCCCATATCGCGAACATCAAAGTATCGCTTGTCGTATCAATGCCGGCTAATAGATGATCGGCTAATTCGGAGGCCATATCAAGACCATCGAGGCGAATACCTTTGCCGGATTTGCTGTGCCGCCACAACTTATCGATGATAGCCAAATCCTGCTCCGAGTCTTTTTCCGTTGCAGCAGTCTCAAAACCGGTCCAGGATTGGAGCGCATATGCGCGAATGCCCGTATAGGTTGCAGGCTTTTGCATAGGCAGTAGCCCCAATTTCGTGATAGCTTTCTCCATGGCTCCCGTCCGTGTATAGAGCCACTTTGTATATTTCTTCAAGTGTACCGCATACCAGCTTAGCTTTCGTCGACTAGGGTCGATAATGTCGCTCAGCATTCTTCTGTCTAAGTCATTTCCTCTGAGCGCATGAGTTCCCCCGTGCTGATCTCCGTAAAGAAAGCCGGTAATACTGTCGAGACTAAACCAATGAAGGCTTTGGAATATTCCCTCGGCCACATCTTTCTCCCCTTCTAACAGATCCAAGTAGCTCTTCACATTCTTCTCTATCAAGGGCTTTGCAATCGCGTTGGGTGACAATACCACGCTTTTGGAGTAAGCATGGGCGAGTAACTTCTTTCTCTCGGCATGTTGCTTTGTGCCAGCAAAGGAAAACAGGTTTTGTCGTCCATAGACGTCAAACATTCTGTAGAAATCTGTTCTCTCAAATCCCGATCCTGCACCATAGATCGTTCGCAACGCGGAAAGAGAGGAAAATGACACCTCTTTTGTACCGATGCGCGCTACGGTTCCATATCTCTGGTGGATAGAGTTAATGCATTGAGTTCTGACTCCATGATAGTCGGCAAGCGCCAGTCGCCACTTGGTTGCAGCAAAAGCCTTTGGACCTGGGATCCTTCGCAGGGGAGTGGCCAGTAAAGGCTGGTAGATGAGGTGGTAGAAGATATAGCTGGAGAAAATGAGGGCTGCAATGTATCCTGTGTTTTCTGACAGAGATTCAAAGGCTGTAACCATTAGCACTCGTGAACATGTAGTGTATCTGTTCCTACCAACCTTTGTGTACAACACTCCTGGTCATCTCAACGGTGTGTCCTTTGGAACAGGAAGTTGGATGTTGAGGTTGAGATACTCCGCATGTCTTATCGTTTTCCAACTTCACGTCGGAAACTCCGCAACCCCAAGGCCAGTTATCTCTTGGCGCATTTGTATAATCGGACAGGCCGATTTCCGAGGAAGCCCTCATGTAGGTTGAGTAGCAAATTTGCTCTTTTGGCAGGATTTAAATTTGGGAAAATGCCGATCTGCACGGAGTTCAGTCGGGAAGTCAGGATACTTCAAAACCAAGCCCTGATCACTTTACCTGTCTCCCCCGCATGTTCACATCAGTAACAATGGCACCCTCTGCAGCTCAACTAGGTGTCCTCCCTGGTGTTCAACCAAGCACTAAACCCATCGACGCGATGGCTGCTATGGCCCACGGAGGCAAAGCACTTCCCGGGATCCCCGAATTCGCTTCAATTACCAAGAAGCGACAGTGGCAGCTTGAACACATGGCGGGCTCGTTCAGAGTCTTTGCGCGCGAGGGCTATGCGGAAGGCATATCAGGGCACATCAGCGTGCGAGACCCCGAGTTCGAAGATCGATTCTGGATCAACCCGCTAGGAGTCCACTTTGGGATGCTGAAGGCAAGCGACATGATATGTGTGGGGTTGGATGGCGATGTTATGGACGGAAACATGGGTGGGTCTATCAATGCTGCTGGCTTCCAGATCCACAGTGCGGTGCATCGTTCTCGCAAAGACGTGCACGCTATATGCCATACACATTCCCTGTATGGCAGGGCCTGGTCTGCCTTTGCAAAGCCGCTCGATATGATCAATCAGGATGTTTGCTACTTTTATAAGGCTCACTCCGTGTACTCGGATTATGGGGGCATTGCAAACGAGTCATCAGAAGGAGAGAAGATTTCCGAGAGCCTGGGTAATGGCAAGGCAGCCATCTTAATGAACCATGGACTTCTTACTGTAGGAGAGACGGTCGATGAGGCAGCCTATCTTTTCTGTCTGATGGAAAGGAGTTGCAAGATCCAGTTGCTAACCCATCGGGTGGAGTTGGAGAAGAATATTGTGAGCGACGAAGAGGCTGCCTATAACTTCAAGATGGCGAGCACTCCTGTAAGTTCCCTCGATCCCAAGGTTTTGGATACAGTACTAATCAACATGTAGGAGACGCTGTTCACTGAATTTCAGCCTCACTATCAGTACGAGGATTATATGTGCAATGGCAATTTCAAGTATTAGCAACTGCGTTATACAATCTTATGAAGGGGAAGATAGATCAATACAAATTTGAGCTAAATCAATCAAATCCTTTGTACAGATATAGCCCGAGAATGATACTCCAGTTAGCTCCCATATTCCTATGCAACAAGGCAAGGTTGAAAGAAAGAGCATTTATCGGACGAGCCGCTATGTTAATTTAGTTCAGTAGATAAAGCAGTGAGACAAGGTTGTCGGCAGTTCCGATACTTCGATAATCCTCTCGGTTTGTATCGACGAATGACTCTTGGTTGATATCTTATGATTATCCAATGAGCAGGTCTTATGAAAGCGCTTTGACACTAATATTAACAATCTTAGTACCATAGAGCTTCCTGATACCCCAGTCATAATGATTCCAGGCTTTTATCACTCACTGATGAACATTTTTATAAACAGATGCGATGCCAGCGTTACAGACATGCCACAAGCACGTCGGAATGTGTCAACAAAAGTTGCTACTGCCTCACTAGGATCATTCGAGCTACCTCTCCTTTGAGTCCTCCCTGACTAGCTAGGAAAACATGGCTACCCCTAAGTACCCTGAAAAGGGGCCACCTTCGTTCACAAGCAGTGAACCTACTCCCGAAGCTACGGATAATGCGACGTTTGGAACTGTCTCAAATATAGCTGCCGGCTCACAAGCTTTACATCGTAAATTACGCGGAAAGGAAGTGCAGTTATTTGCAATTGGCGGGGCAATTGGAACTTGTAAGTCGACGGCTATCTCCAAGAAACAAAGCTTACCAAATACCTAGCTTTATATGTTCAGATGGGCTCGGCCTTGCCAAAAGGAGGACCTGCTGGTCTCTTTATTGCCTTTGTTCTATGGGGGATGATTATGTGGGCAGTGAACGAGTGCTTCGCCGAGATGGTGACCTATCTCCCAGTGCCATCACCCTTCATTCGCTTTGGTAGTGAGTGGGTTGATGGTGCGCTAGGCTTTGCCATGGCCTGGAACTTCTTTCTCAACATGGCATTCCTTGTGCCTTTCGAGATGGTTGCTATGAACATCATGATCACATTTTGGACAGACAAGGTGCCCGTTGAGGCTATCATCGTCGCGATGATTGTTCTCTATGCTTTGCTTAACGCGATTAGTGTGAAGTACTTTGGAGTTTCCGAGTTCTACCTATCAATCTTCAAAGTCATCTTGATGATTGGGTTATTCTGCTTCACATTCATTACTATGCTAGGAGGTAGCCCGTTGCACGATCGATACGGATTCCGATATTGGGACAATCCGGGAGCATTCGTTGACCATCTTGTTCCCGGGCGAACAGGTCGATTCTTGGGCGTCCTTTCCTGTGTGTATCAGGCTACTTTCTCGTGAGTATTCTACTCTCCAATTGGGGACATTTTATTAACACTCCAAGGATCTGCGGACCAGAGTACATATCTATGGTCGCTGCTGAGGCAGAGAATCCTCGAAAGATTCTTCCTCCGGCTTATCGATCGTTTGTCTGGCGCATCTTGATATTCTTCGTGGGTTCAGCTCTTTGCATGGGCATCGTCATCCCATATAACGATTCTACTCTACTTTCTATCTTAGGAGGAGATATTTCTGGGTCTGGCACAGGTGCAGCATCGTAAGTCGCTTCTTTCGCATCGAGATGTGGCTCACTAATACCAGCTTAGACCCTATGTTATTGCGATGCAACGGCTTAAGATCCATGGCCTGCCGCATCTCGTCAATGCCCTTATCATGACATCAATATTCAGTGCTGGAAACGGCCTCCTATTTGCAGCGACTCGCACTCTACACGGAATGTCACTTGAAGGACATGCGCCACGGTTCCTCTCTTGGTGCACCAAGAGTGGTGTACCCCTCTGGGCACTTCTATTTTCTCTCTCGTTCTGTCTACTCGCATTTCTACAAGTGAACAGCTCTTCTGCAGAAGTCATGACATATCTTGTCGATCTCGTTACATGTTGCCAGTTAATCAACTATGGATTTACGGCTCTGACATATCGACACTTCTACTCTGCGCTGGCAAAGCAAGAAATTTCACGCGACACTCTTCCCTACAAGGGCAAATTCCAGCCTTATACTTCTTACCTAGCTATGGGCGGTACGAGCTTTATGGTTCTGGCAGGCGGATATGATCTATTTATGAAGGGTGGATGGGATGTGATGTGGTTCTTCTTGGACTACGGCATGATCGGTTTCTTTGTTATTACTTTCATTGGGTGGAAGCTAATCTGCAGGACCAAATATGTTTGGCCAGGAACTGCAGATTTGAGCCTTGGTGGGCTGAAGGAAGAGATCGATAATTATGAAGCTCTATATACGCCCTCTCTCCAGGGAAAGGTAGATAGGCTGGTTAATAAGCTTTTTAGCTAGCAAATTTCTGTTTTTGTCTCTCGAAATGACCTAACCATGATCCGACGAGATTTCAGAAACACTATATGGAATCAACTCACAATTACACAAGCTCATCCCATCCCACCTCACCTCTACTTGAATGCTCTTGAGGAAATATTTTCCCATCACCGTGGAAATGCCTTTGCGTGAGCCGACCCGTCTGTGCGTTATGCCTAGCTCTCAACCAGCTCTTTCCGACAATGATTTGATAGAGCAGGTCACTATGACTATGAACCAAGCAAAGCTGCCCCAAGAGTTCATTTGGAAGAAAATCAAGCCTGAGACTGGACTTTTAGCTGCCCATGAACTCAGCAATGATAAAATGTTGACCAAGCGCGATGCACGGTAAGCCATATGTCATTTTCTTGCAGTTCAGTTCTGTGGCTAATCCGTCATCTTTCACACTTTTAGTATGTCTTACAACCCTGCCACAGAGGAGTTACGTTTAAAGGTCACTCATACATTTCTCCATAAATGTCACCGAAACTGGCTTATGAGCGGCCTATTTGAATGGTGTGAAGAAGGGCTTATCTCAAAGGACGAGGAGAAAACTTTGAATATATTTGACAATTGCAGTGTGTGATCCAGATGAACGAATGCTACTTGCAGGCTAAGCTGACAAGCTCTTGCAGCAACTATGGGTTTTGAAAAGCCGTATGCATATGCCGTCAAAGATGTTGACATAGGAATCGCATGTCCGGTTGGAACATTTCCCCGAATTGTGGTAGAATCTAGATGGTCGATTCCCCGATCCTCTGATTCAGCCATTCTATGGCTTCAAAAGGCTGCACCAAATCTCCAGGTCCTCATTCTCATTGAATGGTGGAATCTTCCAAAGGACACAGTGGCAGGACAGCTTCGAGTCTATCGGCGTTGGACAAAAAACATTCAAGCAGAGGTATAGTCAGAACGATTACCCACCAACCGTCCAGTTTGTGACTAACTCTGATATAGCCCATCTTCCCGCGTCCGCAACATTCCAATAGACGGCGAATCGTGCTCACACGAGATGAGGTCCTTGGTACTGAGAATAATCGCTTTGAAGGGTTGGTTCTGCTAGTCGATGATCTGCGAACGAATGCGCTCAAAGCTATGGGTAAAATGGATTTGAATCCGGCTTGTTAAAACGTTCAGATGTTTTACAAGCTTGCTCGCAGGCTGCTGCATTGCTATATAAATAACAGACTAGCCCTATGGAAGATATCTGTAAGAATGTCTCGATATATCAGCCCTGTTAATGCGTCAGAACAAGATCACAGAACAACAGAGCAGCCACAGACGTCGTTCAAGCTATATCTAGCGATGAAGATGAACGTGAGTCTACCGAGATCCAACCAAGATAAACTTGAATGTTATACGACTTGCGTATTGGTGGCTTTCCTTTTGCACGCGATTAATTACCGCAAACTGCCAAATTCGGGCCAAGCTGGGCAATCTTTCTCCGCGAACCCGAGAGATCCACTTGATCAACGCCCGTGTAGGCACTAGGTATGCGCTGTGGATTCCGACAGACTCCAGGGTCGTTTCTCTTCCCCGGAGCTGCGACGGCTTTGTTTAGAAGTCTTGGGAGAATGCCGGGATTTCCCGTTCTCTCCCCAGATACACAGCCCCTTGACAGACTACACTCGCTTCAAGGCTTTCGTATAGAAACTTTTCAATACTTCATGCGACTGTGTACACATTTATGAGATCCTGTTGAAAAAGGAATTCTCAACACGAACAAGATATGCAACATTCAACATTTAGGTCATACTTCGCTATACATCAGTATAACATCACTGTAGTAACACCACCTAGTTTGAATGCTTTGCATATCCAGCACCAACGACAGCCTCCTTCGCATTCTTCTGGACCTCTTCGTCTTCGTGGTAGACGAATTGAATCCGCATCGCCAGCAACAATGAGCGGTGGGTTGGAACAATAGTATACGTCCATGGTTTCCAAGGTTCGGTTTTCTATAATGCCATTCATGTTAGCATCTCTCAACTGCAATAGTATACGGACATGGAAGACATAGCGTGAGCCAAAATGTGAGCCATCCTCCAGTAAGCTCAAAGTAGGGCTTCTTCGTAAGCGCCATAATTGAATATATGTGACAAAATCAAATCAATGGATTGAAATGAAGACACTGAGACAACGTGGAAAAGTAAGTAGAAGCATGCTAGCGACAGGGCTTATATACCTCTTTTTTAGGTCAGCCATACCTTTACAACTGGAGCCGTATAGTCTCGTACCACACCCCTTGAGTACACAATTCTGGCGTTCAATGAACGAGGTTGCATGTTAGCAACTGTGGGTTTTTTCCAGAAGATTCAAAGATTCGGTCCACAAAGTAATCCGCAGCCTATATCGGATACATCAGCCGTGCGCATTATGTTGACCGCATATCCGTGACTTCGTCGGTTTCAGATTGCCTTCCTAATCCCAATCTGGCCTCGATGTTGGGGAGACATGGGCACTAAGTACCTAAGCGTAAGCACTGTTCTATCTAAATTTTGCAATATACACCAATAATTTCTAAACAGAAAACCGACAAAATTAGAGTCGAAAAGACACGAACTCCATAGATCCAAAGTGGAGCCGGACCCACCATGACGCAGGATAACAGGGAACCCTCCAACCTCAACCTCACTCTCACTATCACTCTCACCGTACACTTTACAATCTAATCCTACCTGCACAATCCTGAACAATGTCACCCCGCTGCTTCATCATCCGCCACGGCGAAACTGAGTGGTCTCTAAACGGCCGACACACCGGCGAAACTGACCTCCCGCTAACAGCAAACGGCGAGAAACGTATCCGCGCAACCGGGAAAGCACTATTCGGCGATGATAGACTAGTCGTCCCGAAGAAGCTGGCGCACATGTAAGCACCATCTTATCCAGAAATTCCAATGCACTTTCATATCATATCTATATGATACCTCTACCCAAGACCCAAACTAAATAATGTATAGCTTCGTCTCACCCCGCACCCGCGCCCAACGAACCCTCGAACTCCTCGAGATCGGCTGTCGCGAACGTCTCCCTTGGAATGAGCAGCGCAAGTCTGAGGAGGAAGAGGCTATTCGGACGGAGGCGAAGGTTGAGATTACGGATGCTGTGCGCGAGTGGGATTATGGTGATTATGAGGGCTTGACTAGTAAGCAGATTCGGGAGATGAGGGCTGAGAGGGGTGAGGGGCCTTGGAATATTTGGACGGATGGATGCCCTGGTGGAGAGTGAGTTATACCCTTTTTTTCCTTTTTTTCCTTTTTTTCTTTCTGTTTCCTTGTTTATGGTACATGTGTGGTTGTGGTGGTACTTGATTGCTTTTGCATTTCTGGTATCCATGCTAATATGATTAACTCCCATAGATCCCCTGAAGATGTCATCCGCCGTCTTGACGCTCTAATCGCCGAGATCAGAGAAAAATACCAGCGTTCCTGCTTTGGGAATTCCGACGATGCAAAGGGCGATGTGCTCGTCGTTGCGCATGGACATATCTTGCGCGCATTTGCCATGCGCTGGGTTGGGAAGCCGCTGACGGAGACTTCCCTGATTCTTGAGGCTGGTGGTATTGGTACACTCAGGTAAGACTGGATATTCTTGCAGAGGCGACACTGTCCGGATGTGAAGTGTGAAGATGGAGGTTGAACAGGGCTGACATGATCACAGCTACGAGCACCACAATATCGATGAGCCGGCCATTATTCTCGGTGGACAGTTTGTCGTTGACTGATCGTGATGGTCACTTGTGTATACTCGATATCCAGGCCCAGATGGACAGTGAGAGAAGATATCTTCGCTGAGCTATACATATGAAGAAAGTTAGCAATATCCATAGAAATAGAATCATGACCATGTAACTCACCAAAGGCCAACCATCGCTCTGCATCTTCCCATGCCAGACCCATAGAAAATCCCAATTCAATGAACTCTCCAACTCAACCAACTCAATCAACTCACTCCTCCTCGCCGCCCTCCTTAACAACCGCATCCCTAGAATCCAAATCGGCATTCGCGCGAACTCCCTCTTCCCCAAGAACCTTAGCAGAGCCCATAAACAGAGCCCCCATATACCCACCCAGGAAACGCATATCACCCGCCTGTACAGCAGTCATACGAAGCAAGTTTTCCGTGTCAGCGAGGTTAGCGTTTAACTGGGTGAGTTGGGCGTGTAAATGGGCATATTGGCGGGTCTTGGCTTGAGACATTGAGGGAGTGGAGGAGGGGATTTGGGGTTGTGTGCTTGTTGTTTGGGTGAAGGTTTGGGTTTGATTGTATGGGTTTGGGGGCATCGAGGGGCCGGGGTTATAGGTTGTTTGTGTTGAGTCATGGCGGCGGTGGATTGGGGGGATAGGCATTTTGGGTGTTTTTGTTGGTTTGGTTTGGTGGTCTAGTTTTGGTGCTGGGTGGAGTTGGGTTGAAGTGTTAATTGTTGGGAGGGGATGTTTACATCACGTGGTGATACGCTACCGTATACCATACTCGAGTGATTCTAGAGCAAATTATCTATTCTATTTTGAACATAGATGATATAACGGAAGGTCTATCAATTCAGAAGGATACAGTCTGTCCAGACCGAACAGTCACACTCATTAATGCCCAGCAAAGCGCAGACCCAGAAGGCAACTCAACATAAATCAACCTCCGGCTCTTTTGGAATGCGCCAAAACCAGAGGGCTGTAGAGACAAGGAAAAAGCAAAGGAAGGAAGTGCCCAGCAAATGGTGGTAAAACAGATAAAGCAAAGACAGGCGTATACGAGTCCACAGAAAAGGAATGCGCCGGCCCGAGTAGTGTACAGTCATGCAGTGAGATGAGAAGATGGGCAGGTAAGATTGCCGACGACGCTATATCGACATGCTGTGAAAAAAAGACAAAAGGAGATAGGACAGAGAGTGTGAGAGAGGAAGGATAGTTGTCCCATGTTGGCTCGCGCAGCCTCATTAGAAATCGATAATGCCGCGAAGATAAGTTTCGATGCAGAGGGAAATCGGAAAAAAAACCAAGACAGAACGCGCACACCCATATCCCAATCCACTCCGGAAACAGAAAATAAAAGCAATGAAGACCCCTATGTCCCTCATGTATATGTAAAGAAACGAAACAGCAGTATTAACCGGTGCCTCCCTTGGGACCGAAGAATGGTATCCCCGCTGAATTGACACGCCATGATGCAAAACGGTCCAAACATGACCAAGGTTCGGTTGGAGGGTTCGTCCAGGCCGAATGAAACGTCAAGGAAATTCAGTCAATCATCGAGCCGCGGATCAGCGAACAGGTGCTGCGACTCCCGGACCCAGGCTGACTTGACTGCTGTGAGATGAAGGTTCAGAATCGAGGTTCGCGCTCGCTCCACTATCACCACTCTCCGCGCTGGCGCTCGCACTTCCGGTCAGACTTTTGTTTTTAAGAGGACCCTTGGTAGGAAACGTATTGCTCACCCCATAGTGTTGTTCAACTTGCTGCGGCCCTACCGCGTTTCCCTGTCCAGGAGGATACCGCGGCACCGGCGTTCGCATGTTACCAGGGGGCGAAGGTTGACCGTGAGGTCCGTTAGGGGGTCCAAAGCTGTGATCATGTGCGGTTGGGGGGCGACCCATTCGGGGGCCTGGTCCTGGAGGGCCATGGGGTCCGGAAGGTCCTGGGGGTCCGCCGAGGGGAGTTCCGGGGGACTGGCTGTTACGCCGGCTCGTAGGGAAGGGCCTCGGTGGGTAGTCACCCATGTGGCTGGCCGTGAGGGAGTTGGCTCTGGAGTCCATGCTCATCTGGTTTCGGTCAACGGCACCATATCTGTTGGAAGAGTAGCTCATCATCGGGTTGTCCATGAGGGAATCGTGAAGACCCGGAATTTCCTGCATCACGCGATCGCTCGCGCGCTTCCTGCCAAAGTACCGTCCGAAGGCTGATGAGGAGGGGCGGCTGGGAGGTGCGGAGATGGAGAACTCGGGGTTTTTGCGGAATTGACTGTGAGTAGGGCCCTTGCGGCCACGGCGGGAAGTCATGCTCATCATGTCGACGCTGTCGGGGTCAATGTGAGGGATGGCCATGCCGTCCATGGGGTCGAAGTAATCCTCGTCCTCTTCATCAAATGCTGTCGGGGCCCGGGAAGGCGGTCCACGGCGTGCAGGGCCAGGGGGACCCCGGCGCATGCCCATCTCCTGTTCCCGGATCTGCAGCTCCCGTTGACGAAGAGCCAACTCCCGCTCCCGCAATGCTATATCCGATACTGGTGCCGCTCCAGGCTCAAGAGCACCATTGCCATTCTGGTGTGGGATGCTCTCGCCGGACTCGTCGTATACCACCAAATGGCTGAACTCTTCGAGCCCCTCCAATGATGGGTCGCGTGGCATTCGGTTGGGTCCCATTGGACCACCTGGGGGAGGTCCACGCATCATGCCTGGGGGTGGGCCACGTCTTTGTTGAGGGATACCCATGCCGGAGGGTGTGCGGCTGGCTCGCATGGGTGGGGGTCCACCATTCATAGGTCCGCCGTTCATCATGGGGCGCTGCTGAGGAGCGGAAGACAATCGTGGCGGGGGTTGGCCCATTACTGATGCAGGTGGAGATTCCTGTCGGGGCTTGCTCTGATTGACAATATTGGCGTGATGCAGCATTGCGTACAGGGATTCGATCCGGGGCACACGAGTGTTGGACTCGAGGGCCAGCTTAATCGGGGATCCAAGGAAAGTCTCAATCTCTATCGGGCGCCGGGCCTGGAAATCCTGGTACATTGTGGTCGGAGCATCCGTGGCGGTCATCTTTTCGATCGTCTTCGCCCGAAACTCGCTAGGGAATGAGCAGCCCTGGGCAGAGGCAAGCTCCATCAACTCATCAATGATGCCTGTTACGACTTGGCGAACGCCGGTCTTCTCAAGAAGTTGTGTGTGGTTGGGGGTTTCGAACAGTACGCTGGCGGGGTGGAACGCGATCGGGCTGCAACTTGTTAGCAAGATTTTGACGCTGATTCGGAAAGAACTCACCCAATCATTCGTTCGAATTGCTCCTGGCGAATATTCTCCGAGACCTTGCAGTCGACCTGACCAGAGTTCAGGGTCATCGCCAATGCGGCAGCCATGTCATTCTGGATGGAGGTAGGAATGGAGGTTTGTTTGTTTGTTGCGCCCACATGGATCTCGCTCGAGCTTAGGTGCTCGAACTCGCTGGGGCCGGTCTGGGAGATTTCCACGTTGGAGACAAGAGAAAGGATGACGTTGGTTGGGTACCGTTGCTCGAGATGGGCCTCAATGCCAAGGGTATTTGTGGTGTTAACAAGGATACATGTGTGTTGGGGAGTGACCACGGATTCGATGACCGAAGCCAGATCGTAGACATCGGGCAGGGCCTTGACGCAGAGAATCACATAGTCGTAGGCATTTTCGCGAGAGGAAGCCTCTTCGGGAGCACGAACGACTAGAGACCAGTTAGCCAGTGGCGAAGAGAGCCTCAGGGGATGATTCTCACCATGTCGGGGCTTAAATCGCTCGTTGCCAAATGCTTTGGATCTACAGGGAGGTTAGCCATCTGGCTGAGTATCACGACCAGGCCACATACTTGAATGAGACACCATATTGTGATACAGCGTCAAAGCCTGATTTCCAGACCAAAGTCACATCGCAGGAGGTTGTCGCCTGCAGTCGCCATGAGAGGAAGGCAGAAATCGCATTGCCACCAACTGCACACACGGTTAGATGGTCCATAACGAGAGGTGTGAAAGCGAAGCTCACCGGACAGAATGCGCAAACGTGGAGGAGGAGCCATCGAGGGAAGGCGGGAGTGACCCGGGTGAAGAAGGCGTGACGCCTATAAGTGAAGCTGAATGAGGGCCAATGTGAAAGAGTTGAAGGAGAGAAGAAACAGGAAGGGAGTAGAGGGGGGAGCACGTAGGTGTTGAAGTGTCGGATTGGGAAGAAAGGAAGATTGTACGCGCTCGTAAGCTTCTTTTTTTCGATTCAACGTCCCCTCCGGAAACGGATGATAAGTCTGGATGCGGTTATTTGCTTTTTCTTCACTGTACTTTGTATACTGTTTACTAACTATTCTCTTGTCGATACTATTGTCTGTGTCTTTTCTTCTGATTTTTGTCTTTTTTTTTTTCTTGGGCGTTTTCTCCCAATTTTCGCTCTTCCCTGTTCTCCTTCAACGGCCCTATCCATGGCCACGCAATTAATTCGGGGGAACTTTGGGACTTTCAAGGAACATGAAACCTCATGTCCCTGGAAATGTGAGAGCATATGTATAAGCATAAAGCCCCGTCAAAACCTATGTGTTTTTGCTGCTCTTCTACTGTGAGCGTTGGTATGTACATAGCATAGTGGAGGGTGGGCATATCTATAATTAACTCGAATTTCTTTTTTTTTTCTTTTTTCCCGATTCATTCAGTACACGAGATACGCCTTACAGTACGGTACGATCGACAAGCTTCGCCTCTTATACTTCATCTATAACTTAGTATAACTTATAACAGTAGAACAGTGGTCTACTTAACGTCAATTGACTATTGACGCGTACTTGATATCGTACTTGATATCGGCCGCGTGCTGGCCTCCGTCACCACATCCACTCGGAAACCCACTATCTACGTGATGAGTGGCAGAGATGCAGACCTGTCAAGTCACGGCCGAATCACACAGAACCTTGTTAGGCACTTTGTTTTGCTGAATTCAATAGTATCTGCAAGTTCTACCTGTACCTAGCACAGTCAAAGTACTATACAAACACAGTACAGTATGTCAATGCAGCTCAACATGCGCATATTTGAACTAAATCAACAATCAGGTATAAGCTACACAGACACAACCTACCTGTCACCCGATAGATCCTACAGGTAAGTACAAAAGTACCACATGGACGTTTGTCCGATCGACAAAAATCAAAAAACAAAATTTAACAACCAGACTGTCATACGACAGGGAAACAAGAGGGGGAACCCCCTCGCCCTCCTCCACTCCGGCATCCGACATTCTCTTGAACCTTGCAAGAAAGAGAACTTGCAAGTACTGCAATGTTAGGGTAGTCGCACGAAGTAAACACCAAGGGGCTTTTGCTCTTTTTTACTCTGATAATCTTTGAAGAACACAAAACTCCAAATCATAAGCTAGCATTACTGCATGGAGGCTGAGAGGCTGAGTTCCAAGGGATGATCAGGATCGGCTAAAGGGGGCGGTGTTGTCAATCCCAGCATGCCACAGTGATCGACGTTCCGATTGCAGTTTGATCAAGGGATGTACCTGACTCGGGGGGTTGATATCGGGGATTTACTATGGTATTGAACGTGGAATATGCACTGTACAGTGTATACAGTACTGTATACTGTAGATAGAAGTTGAATAGAAAGGGCTAGAGCTAGCATCGATTTGCAGGTCCAGACCTGGGGGATTGTGGAGCAATACAATACTTACTGTACATGTACCAAGTGCTTCACATGAAATCATGAATAATGCAGCCGGAAATAGATAGCCAGGGGTAACCACGTTTGCAGCGCCCGCAAACAGTATCAAGTTATGTTATGGCTAGGGAGCTATACTCTGTACTGAAATGATAGCCACAGATGTCATAATTTGATACCGGTTTGCCATTAATTAACCCTGAAACCCGTTAATTTCGCAGGGGCCCAAGCCCTAAACCCGGAAACACGCGGATGCATCAAGAATTCCTAGACAAGCCCAATAGCAATTGACCTATCATAAACAGCTAAAGCCCTCTGGTCACACGCTATTTCACGCCGTTGTACTTAGTGACTCAGTCAGATTAACAACGGAAATGTCGAACAGCCTAGCAGTAACAAATAATGAGACCATATGTCTCGGCAGTGGCAGTGAAAAGGCCGGCGAACGCCGTTCTCGTACTCGCATCTCCAGAAACAAGACAAAACCACTCATCTCCGCTGAAGCGAGACAATTGACCCCCTCCTAGTGGCCACAGAAAGACGCGAGACAGGGTGTGGAGGATTAGCCTCCTTGTGCCTTGTTTTGCGGATGGACGCTAAGCCTGTAAGTCGATCGGGCCGGTGGACTTTGGCGGCCAACCAGCGGTTTTCAACGTCTTCTAGTGTGTGCTTTGGGCCACTTTTTTTCATTTCATTTGGGTGTGGCTTAAGCCTTTACTGTATCAATTACCGGCAGTTGTTTGGTTCGCGGTTGCATGGATACATTGATAAGAAGACATACGTGAAGGATTGTTTATAGTTTCTGTTACTCCAAGTTATGTAGTGTTAGGCTACATATATAAGACACCTCGGGGACTGAGGATTGGGGGAACCATGATTGTCCGGGGTGAATTAGGTTGACGTATTCGATGATCATCTAGCATATCTTAATTTTCATCCCGTGTCCTTACGTTCGACAGCTGTCATTACTGCAACATGCAGGGGAGAGTTTTCCCAAGTCAATTGAGCAGCTGACGAGCGCAGACATTAACAGAGTATGCAAAGCAAATGTATGAAACAGACCAACATAGTTCACTTGATTCGGCGAATATCACAAACATTATTGGGCTACATATCATGCCATACATATTTAGTACTTGGTTCATGAGGCTGGACCGGTCAGGTTACAATATCTGAAACAGGAATCGAGTGGAGGATCTAGGAAATTGCCATGCATGTGCACAGTAGAGCTCTGCAAGTCAGATTGAAAGCTCGACTACAGACTATCATTCAAGTTGAGGATTTATAGGCGCGGTCTGCACGGAGTACTGTATGTGGTCATTTGTGGACCTCCACAGATTGGGCCCCAGAGCAGATAGGGGTGGTGATGATCGATTCGGAGATTAGATGCTCTTTATCCACCATGACTGGGTCGGATACTTGGCAGGGTCTTGACCACCTGGTCGGATTTACAGGTCTTTCGGTCTTATCGGACTTGCCCAAGACTGACACAGCCCACAGTACAAACAAAACATGTGCAGGGTCAACCCGTTCTTGATTCCAGTGTTATCTTCAGATACATGGCAGAGTTCGCCTCACTCTGCGGCAAGGGCAGAGGGAGTGCCCCACGAGAAAAATGATATCAAAACCCGAGCTATTGCGCCAGTTACAATCGAAAAGAGAAAAGAAAAATTGAAAAGTTTTCACCGGGCATTTAAGCCATGTAGGTGGTGGAGTCGACTCCTTCCTCGGGGTATTCACTGGCGGTAGGTGAGTGCTTGTTCATAAAAATCCTGGGGTTTTGGGGGGACCAACGGGAGGGCAACTTCGAAGCGCTTCTCGATCTCCTTGAGGACTTTCTCATCATCCTCGTTGCTGACGAAGGAGATGGAAAGACCCTTGGTACCGAAACGACCGGCACGACCGACACGGTGGAGGTAGGAGTCGGCATCCGCGGGAAGATCGTAGTTGATGGCCAGGTTGATACGCTCGATATCGATACCACGGCCGAAAACGTCGGTGGCGACACAGATACGCTTGTTGAACTCCTTGAACTCCTTGTAGCGCTTGATACTATGGGGAAGTTAGAAATATGCGACGATAACGGGCGGACATGAACATACCGTTCCTCCTGGCTGACACCGGAGTGGACAGCGATACTGGGGAAGTTGCACTCGCGAAGCAGCTTGTCAAGCTCGTTGGCGCGCTGAGTGCTCTTGACGAAGATGATGACCTGGTTGAACTCAAGGTTGTCGAGAAGCTCATTCAGCTTGCGGTTCTTCTCCTGCTCGCTTAGCTTGATGTAGTATTGCTGCAATCCGTGAAGGGTGAGCTTGGTGTCGTCATCGACGTAAACCTCGAGAGGGTTACGCATGAACTTCTTGCAAATGGGACGGATCTCCTGGGACAGGGTGGCACTGAACATCATAACCTGCTTGTCGGCGGGGGTAGCACGGAAGATCTCCTGGACATCACGGCGCATGTCTGAGCAATATTAGTGACGGCATTTTCGACTTGTATATGCGTAAACGTACCGATCTGGTCGAGCATTTTGTCACACTCATCGAGGACGAAAGCCTTGACGTTGCGGAGGGACAACTTCTTGTCGCGGACAAGTGCGTTAAGACGACCGGGGGTGGCAACAACGATGTTGGGGTAGGTCTCCTTGCTAGACAGGGTCTCGACATCCTTCTGGATCGGGGTACCACCGTAGAAGACGGCGGTCTTGACGTCGGGCAGGTACTTGGAGAAACGAGCGTACTCGTTCTTGATCTGGTAGGCGAGCTCACGGGTGTGGCACATGACCAGGATCTGGCATTCACCAGGGACGGGCTCCAGTTGGTGAAGAGTGGTGAGGACGAAGACAGCGGTCTTACCTAGACCGGACTTGGCCTGGCAAAGAACATCGACGTTCAGGATAGCAGTCGGAATGCAAACTTGCTGGACTGTGGGGTGGAGCCGATGTTAGATTGTGTTCGATGAAATGAAAAGCAAAGGCAATTCGTCTCGCAAGGTCCGTCCATCCTGTAGCATCGCGCAATTGATGCAATGAGGTCATCTTCATCCACCTCATCAACTACTGTGCCTATTGGGCGACAGTGGAATAATCAAGTTCCATAGAAAACCTGCTCTGCAGACAACATGAGGGACGCTGACAACGACAGAGCGCTAGAACGCGCATGATCCACCAATGCGCCAATCCCCACGAAGAATGTGGTGGTCGCGATGAGGCTGAGCTCTGCGCAAGTGTCATGACTTCCGACCAGATATATAACGAGGAAATTGTCTAATGAACAAATTGTCTTTATTCAAAAGCGCGGATCCTCATGTCGTCTGCAGATTCGAAACAGGACTGATTGCCAGATATACCGACCGAAGAATCTTGCCGCGAGGATGGACGGACGTTGGAGCTTGGAAAGATGGAGGAACGCTTGTGGGAAATGAGTTAGACTAACCCTCCGATGGATGTTCGAAGCCGCAGTCGGTGATGGCGCGAAGGAGCTCGCCCTTCAGGAGGAAATCGCGGAAACCGGTCGAGTGGATACCAACGTAGCTACCCTTCTTGTCGGGGCGGCCACCAGTGACTGTCAGATCACCCTGCTTGTCATCGTCACCATTGGTGGCGGCGGGCGCAGCGGCGGCGGTGGGCTGAGTGGTGGTCTGCAGCTCCTCGTCGGAGTAATCGATGAGATCTTCCTCGTGAGACATCGCGACGTGTAATGTAGTTATCTTGGGGGAAGTTGAAGCGGGGAAGTTGAAACAAGAAGGAAAATGGAGAGAACGGAGATGAGAAGATTAATTGGACGGGACACTGGTTGAACGGCAGGTCGGGTCGACAGACAAAGGTGGAAGGTTGAAGGCGAGGGAGAAGAGGTTGGCTGAGTCACGTGCGGGTCGGTCTCACCGCTTTGGGACTAGCGTCATAAGCTTCCACATACAAGTTTGATATGCAGCTACAACTAGTCAGGTCCCATTTAAGCGAACATGGCCAAGAACATAGCCAAAAATACGGCAAAGGCTAAGGTGAAGAAAGAGAGCAAGAATGTGCAGGGCCATATTCGAGCTCGACTGGACTACCTTCACAAAGCGGCTGTTTATCTGCAAAACGCGCAACAGAACACAGCCCACCAAGTGAACGACGAAAAGACTGGCCACTCAACTTCTGCTCAAGATACACACAACACTTCAACTGAAGAGAAGATTACTCAGGAAACTTCTAGCGCCAAAAAGATCAAAGAACCCATGAACAACCTCTCAAGAGTATGCGTATCTCACCTACGTGGGGTCGCATTGAAGACTCAAATCCGACTGCCCATCGCGCTGAAGAGATCTGTTTGCAAGCGCTGCGATACTTTCCTTGCGCCCGGGGTGAATTGCTCACATGAGATCGAAAATGCAAGTCGCGGCGGCAAAAAGCCATGGGCCGACGTACTGGTTGTCCGCTGCTTCGAGTGCGGGACCGTGAAGCGTTTCCCTCAGATGGACAAGCGTGGGAAAAAGCTCGTACAGCGTCGCGAGGAAGCAGCATTACAGCATGAAGCTACTGCTGCAAATGCTGATGTCGTCGAGGCGGCGACATGATCGACATGATCGACGTGATGACATCTACTTTCCTAGCCCAGTCAACTCTGCGCATATTTGGGATATCGTTGAACGTAACGCATTACATTACAACTGCTGGCACAGCCACATCGCCTCGGATTCAAGGTCCTGGAGGCTAGCAGTCTTACATTCCAAGATTCGACTGAATGGCCTCCTTACCACTATCCAGCTACAAGCTTCCGCAAAAAACGGTTCACCAGCAAGCCCGTACAATCTACACCAGGGACATGCCAATCAAAGATGCACAGGCTTCGTGAATGGCAACTCGAACAGTAGCGTCCCATTACGACCAAGATCAATGCGAACTGATGCGCGAGACGAAATATCCATCTGAAAGAACGATGGAATTGAGAAACTGCCGAATTGTACTGCAAAATTGCAAGCCTAGCTATGATATTCTCATATGGGCCAACATCAACACAGAAAGGCCCAGAGCAATGTACACGAGAAATACAGAGAGGGGAATCGAAACAGAAAGAAAAACAGAAGCATCAATCAAATCAAGCACAGAAAGAGTTGTGTTTATACACTCGGAAACACATCATTAAGAATCCTTCATGATAGTTAGTCATCAAATCTCTAGGATTTCCAGCAAGATTCGTGCTCTGGCCTTCATCAATCCAACTCCAACGTATACTGCCATCCTATCGAGGTCGTGTTCTCATTGAGTCGTCTCGATGGTGCCGTGAGGCATACAGTTCTTTTAACCAATTGTTCATAAATCAGAAGGGCAGGCAAATGAAAAGAGAAATAGTCCGCGAGGACGGGGTCGGTATTTAGTTTTTTGTTTCTTTTTGTTCTGTCGGCCGTCATTCGGGTTTGGAGAGGATTAGGTGTGTCGGTCGGTCCATCCGGTGGTCGAGGAGAGAGAATAAGAGAATGGAGGGATGGAGAGGTCAAGAAATCATGGCCTTGTACAATGCAAGGTCTGTCGGTCTGTCGATTGTCGGTCTGTCGGTTTAGGATTGTCAGGTATTATAAGGGTAAACTCATCGCCGTCTTCGGGAACTCTGGTCCATGCGGTGATCCAAGTTCTCAATGCGGCCACGGAAACCCTTAACGATATCACGGATGTGGGCAATTTTGGCCAACTCATTATCCAACTCGTCGATAGAAGCAAGAATCTCACGGGTGCGGGCAATCTCCGCATCGGCATTGCGAATAACGTTTCCCGCGCGGTCGTAGGTGTTTTGGATGGAGCGCTGCATTTGATCTTCGAGCTATCATATATTCATGTTAAAGGCACATTCTGCTAACCGAACAGAAGGAGAGAACATACATATTCGATCCGATGACGGATCTGACCCTGCAAGCCGTCGAGCTGGTGCGACAACGCGCGGAGACTCATCGGATCTAGCAGCAAGCGACCCTGGCTGCTGGCGGCACTGGTAGCGCGCGAGCTGGAGTTGCTGGTTCGCCCTGTTCCCCTGCCCCTGGCAACCCCATTGCCGGCATGGCCGCCCTGCAGAGCAATCTGCTGCTGCTGTCGGAGGATCTGGATCTCGGAGGAGGTGAGGCCAAGCGAAGTGTCGGGGATCGAGGCTGAGACGGACATTTGGTCCCGGCAGAGACATGCTCCGACCGCGACAGTCTACGAAGCGCCGATCAAACTCGATGTGAGACCGAACGGACCACAGGTCATGATGGTGGATGGGCGGGGGCGGTGCGGAGAGGAATAAGAGACTGTGCGCAGTCAGAGCGGAATGCGATACTTCGACAGTTAAGGTGACAAGGGAAGAAATGTAGCCTTGTCGCTAAAAAAGAGAGAAGATGGGGGTATCGGCGCCAACTGACTCTCCAGTAACACCCGAAGGGTCTAGTGGGATTTCAGTGTTTTATATGCGTCGGAGCACAGGCTCGGAAATCTGATACCTCGGACCCCCCTTAAAGAGGGGTTTGTAGAGTCAAAGAAGCAATTTGTTGTATTCTACTGATATTGCACTGCATCAGGTCTAAACTGCACCTGGCCCAAGATGGGGAAGAGGCTCTGCAAGTTAGTACCAATCAGTCTGAATAGTTCAATGTAGCCATATGCATTATAATGAAGATACTAGATATAGCCAATGTACTCTCTATAAGGAAGTATAGATGTAGTGATATACAGTGAACCATGGATCCAACAGCTCTCCACTCCGCTTTAGCTTCTGCCAAATTTCATCGCCTAAATCGTGAGGCTGACTTCCTATTTCCTGCACCTAACGGCCCGACGCTTTGATCTCCAACAATCTAGTCTACTCTCATTGCGCGCCTTCTCCTGTCCTGCACCTCCAATCTTGATTCCTTCACGTGCCTCAGAGCCCAGACCGTTGTACCGGTACCCGACGAAGCAAGCAGGACAATTGATTCGACGAACTTCCGAATCGAAACAAGGCCAGACTCCCACAATACCTAATACCAAACCGATCCAATCGGACCGAGCAATTCATCACCCTCACCGGCACACACACTAAACCGACACGATGGCGAAAGACAAAGAGCGCTCAATGAACCCAGCCGCGGCGCAACGAAAACAAGACAAACAAAAAAGCCTAAAAAAGGGCAAAGCAGAAGCATTAGCGCGACGAAACGAAAAGCTCGCACGGCGCAACCCAGACCGAATCCAACGCCAAATCAACGAACTCAAAGAAGCCGAAGAATCAGGCCAGAAATTACGACCGCGCGATAAGGAGATCCTCGAAGCTCTAGAGAAAGATCTACGAGGCGTCTTGAAAGCGCGCGAAGCCCTCGGCGAAAAGGCGCCCCGATTTAATGACTACAGCCGGGGCGGACAGGATGGTGGACGGGGAGGTCGAGAGGGTGTGCTGGGCAAGCGGAGACGCGGGTCTGATGAGACGCGCATGCCCGCTGATGATGAGAGCAGCGATACAGACGAGGATGTGAGGAGGATACCTATGCCGAGGGATACACCGCCGCCTATTCCGCGTCCGCAGCGGAAACGGGGTAGGGAGAATGCGCCGGGCGAGGGTGGTGAGGGGCGTGGTCCTCATGCGTTACCGTCTAGGCCGACGCCAGTTGCTGCGCCCAAGACGGTCTATGAGGCTAAGCCTGAGATCCGTGATCTGCGACAGGAGGCGACGAGTAAATTTATTCCAGCTGCTGTTCGGATGAAGCAGCAGTCTATTAAGGGTCAGGGCAAATTGCTAGAGCCTGAGGAAATGGACCGGCTTGAGAAGGCTGGGTATAATGCTTCTGTTGGGCCTGTAACTCAAGCTCCAGCGCAGGATCTGCGGATGTCGTTGGAGGAGGAGGAACAGCGATTTAATAGGGAATTGAAAACGGTGCAGATGGAGGAAGTTGAGGATGAGGAATCTTGGGCTTAGTTTTACTCGGTCTACTCAATCTGTCAATTTACTCAAACTACTGAATTAGTTTATGAGATATGATGTGGTTGCAAGTTGAGGGCTGAGACATCTCTCACTCAACCTATTGGTAGCGTGTAGGGAGTCAATCATGTTGGAATATATATCCCAACGAAAATAGGCTGCGTACACCCCCGAAGAAATTAGACTGAAATGAATCTAAGCTTACGTTGGAATCAAGTCAGTAAGGAAGTAACTTCTCATCATCGGATATCTACATCTAACAGACAATGCTAGCACCAAGACGCCTCAACCATGAATTCACAAACGTGGCTCAATAATATCGAGAAGAAACATTAACCAACGAGAGGCAGATATGAAGCACTCCGAATAGGAGGTGCAGCAACAATTTATCCAATATAACAAGCAGGCCAGGATATTTGCGAGGGATAGGTACGATCAAGAGCGAAATTAACCCTCAAGCGGACAGCAGGAAAATAAGAAGAAATCAACAATGTATGGCTTATGCAAACGAATACATGTACAAAGAATCAATCGTCTCCTTCATCGAAGGAAAGGGCATGACGGCATCAAAACAAAAGAAAAGTGAAGAGTCGAGTCGAGTCGGAGCGAGGCAGGGTAGCCAATGCAGGCTAAGTAGCCAAACAGAAATACAGTAAAGGGGCATATGTGTATCCAACTCCGTGTACTTGCAATGTAAGCAAGGATGCACCCAGAACGCAACATTAGAAGCCAACTCCGTGACGTAGGGGAAAGTATGCACAAGAATCGAAGTGAGAATCGAAAACAGAAAAGTGGGCAGCAATGGGAATCAAACGACCTTCCAAAGAACCAAAATCAAATCAAAATCAAGCAGAATGAACTCCAGTTCATTTCAAAACTCCAAACACACCAATGGTCCAAAAAGCCATAATCGAAATACGAAAGAAACATGAATGTAAATAGGAAAAGCGGATGATCACCGCAGGTTGCGGATGACCTTCTTTCCACGGGCGAGGAAAGGACTAGGCATGTCATCCAGTTCGGGGTTCCAGATGGCAGGGGGATCCCGCTCAGAGCACTTCAGCATCGAGGGACCGGAAGACCGAGAGTCGCTGGCACAGCGCTTGACCTCGTCCATGGGGCGACCTCCAGCACGAGCTTGGGCAAGCTCAACGAGGGTACGACCACCCATGTTACGCTGCATGACAGCCTTCATCATTTCCTCACCGCCACCATTGGCCTTTGGCTGGGCTTGCTTGGTCGCGCTCTTGCGGGTTGGAGAGGCGTCAGCAGCGAGGTTGGCGGACGAGGGAATCTTGGTGAGGCGACGATGGGGCGACTTGGCTCTGCTTTCACTGACGCTGCGCTCCTCAGACTGGGAGGCAGATGAATTTGTGGACTGCGGTAGACGGGTACCATTCGAGGGGAATAGGGATGGCTGAGTGCTGAGCTTCTGCACAAAGGCAGCAGTGTGTTGGCGTAGGAGAGGTCGACGAGGCGCCTTCAATGGGTCGGGCTTGACCTTGGGACGAGTAGGCGATGGCAGATCAGGGGTATCATCCTCGTCATCAGAGTAAGCGAGAGTGGGCTCCCACTTGGCCTTGTTGCGCTCGGCCTCTGCAAAGATGTTGCGGGCGCCTCCAGTTCCAGAAGTGCGACGAGGAGAAAGGGAAAGCGATGCAATTGAGATGGGAGAAGGCTCGGCCATTTGAACATCAACGGGCGAGTCAACCACGGTCTTCGAGCGACAGAATGGAGTACGAGTCTCCTTCTTTGGTTGCTTCCTCTTACTCGAGGGGGGTGACCCGAGAGACAGCTGAGTGATATCAGCAGCACTGGATGGAGTATTGTCACTGTCGTCTGTCATGTTCGCCGAAGACCGAGAAGACCGCCAGCCCTGACCGCTAGACCGAGAAGAACTAGAGCCCTGAGTGCTGGTACGGAAAACATCATCGCGAGAGGTGTTGCTGTTCGCCTTGTGTTTCTTGACCTCAATGGAAACTCTGTCTTGAACCTCGGATTCAAATCGTTTTCGTAGTCGCTCAAGCTCACCCTGTACTTGACGATCAATCTCGAGGCGTGCTTTGACCTCCCATTCTCTGCGAACGGTGCTCTCGATTTCAGCCTTCATTTGCTGCTTTTCTTTCTCGAGCTTGGCCAAGTTCTGTTCCATATCACGAACCTTGGCCACAGCAACCTCTTCACGGCGGCGCAGGGTCTTGCCCAAATCAACCACTTCCTTTTCCTTGCGCATGAGACGAATGATGGGAAGATTGATCAAAGCCGCAGTATCGGGGCGATGATCGGGGTTCACTCGCAGACAGCTCCCAATGACGTTCTTGAGCTCGGGAGAATAGTAGTCAGGCAAGGGGGCGAATTTACCCTCGCGGATTTTCTGCACAAGTTGGATGTGGGTGCGGGCATTGAAAGGGGGCTCTTTTTGACACAATTCATACATGATGCAACCAACCGCCCAGATGTCGGAACGCAGGGTGTACTTTTCGGCGGCACATATCTCTGGTGACATGTAGAAAGGAGTACCAACATAGGTAGAGGCGAAATCATGCGACTGCATCTGCTTGGACAAGCCGAAATCACCAAGCTTGACCGTGTTGTCGCTACCAAGGAAAATGTTTTCGGGCTTGAGATCACGGTGCAGGATGGTCACCTGCCCCTGCTTGCCTTTAAGACCAGATGCTTTAGGGGCGGGACCAAGGATGTTTGATCCCACCTCAGAGGGGTCAGTGCCGTAGTGACACCGGAACAAAGCAGTGACAAGTTGGGATAGAATGCGCCAGACGAATTCCTCTTCGGCATACTTGTTTGCCTTCTTCAGGTTCTTTATCACCATACCCAAATCTCCACCACCACAGTATTCCATGTAGAGGTATAGGTCCTGGCTGGCCTTGAGGTGTTCCCGGTGGTAGTATGCGACGATGTTGGGATGACGAAGGGAGCTCAAGATGTTGAACTCGGCGGTGAGTTGTTCGCGTTCCTTCTGTGACATCTTGATGTAGTTGATTTCCTTACGGCAAAGGATCTATGTCACCAAAACGTTAGTTTTTTCTCACGTACGCAACGCGCACCACGCAACACTTACGAATCCATCAGTCTTGCGCTTGACCTTGCGGATGATTCCGAAGGAACCGCAACCTGAATGAAGATTCTGATTAGTTTTGAACCGAGATCGAGTCAATCAAGTCATATCGTGGCACACTTACCAATCTTGTCCAAGATTTCATACTTGTCGGCCTCAGCCAAAGCAATCGCCATGGCTATGGATTGCAATTCGAGGACAACAGGAAGCTAAAGACCAAAAGGAAGAATAAGAGTCAAAGATGCATGAACGTAAACAGAGACCTATGTTAGTAAAATGTGTGGAATTGAGGAATTGGAGGTTTGAAGCAGAGTAGACAATGGAAGCATTGAAGATCAAAGTGTTTGGGTTGACTGTTGCTTAGCAACGGCGGGAATATTGGCACTTGCCCCTCTACGGAAGGCGGTATCAATGTTCAAGGGATGACGTTACAGAAGGGACGATGTCGTTCCTGCAGATAAGTTGCAGCTGTTTGTTTATACTTCAATTATAGCCCGACTTATATATCTTTTCGCGGCAGAAGAACTTTTGAGGTGCAACTGTCAAGACCTGACAGGTCACTGATGGGCCCGTAACAATTGGAAGCCGCTATACTTTATTCTGTCTACTCTCTTTACATATTTTGAGATTGTGTATGGGCAAAATGGATACAGGAGAGCCAAATTGAAGCTATAATGCGGGGACAGAAACTGATATCCAACTCAAATAGATGTAACGACCAAGCAAGAAAGGCGGCGGCCACTCATTCTGCCGACCATTTGAGGTATACCCACACGTGATCTTATCGATAACCCATCCCCGCCCTTGGTCTCGAAGTGGCAACCTGCATATGCCATGGATATCGAAGAGCCGACCGTGTTACGGAAGGACCAGCTGGAGATCAGCTTGGTCAATGAGAAGAAGTTGATTAAGGAGGGCACTATCAAGGATGATAACCCTTTAGACCTCAGTGAGCCGTTCCGTCAGCTTTGCGGTGCATGTCGCCAGGGCGATCTGAAAGTTTGCCAGGAGAAAATCACCGACGGCGTGAATGTCAATGCCCGTGATCCTTATGATTACACGCCATTGATCCTGGTGAGTGCCGTGTAACCGCAGGCCAAGCCCACGAACATGTAATAACCAATCGTTCAAAGGCGAGTCTGTGTGGCCATTATGAAGTCGTGCAGCTACTGCTCGAGTCCGGAGCACTGTGTGAACGAGACACATTCCAAGGCGAAAGGTATCCCAGATCGCAGTATCCATCAAGCAGCTGGAGTTGACTATTTTAAACTTTCAGATGTCTATACAATGCTCTAAATGACCGAATCCGAAACCTGCTCCTCGAGTACGACTACTCCAAATCCACGGATCCCCTGCAACCACTGGCCGCGCATATAACTTCGCTTCTGACACGAGAGTCGCCGGTGACAAGCGATATCGTGGTGACCGCCTCCGATCAATCCCTCCATCTGCACAAATTCGTTCTCGCAGCGCGTTCCCCATACTTCCATGGCAAACTGGCTGCGGCCCCAGAATCAACAACATGGAAGCTCCCCAGTACAATCCCTCCGGAAGCATTTGGTGCTGCGATCAAATACTTGTATTTTGGAGAAGCTCCTCGGGACTTGCGGAGTGGACCTGGAACCGGCTTCACCGAATCTGAAGTGTTCGCCGGAGTGGATAGAGTCTCCAAGTACCTGGAAATCCACAGTCTCTTGGATAGTATCCTCGACAGTGGAGACAGGAGACGTGCCCGGCAACGGAGAACCGATGAAATCTCCAAGGGTCGGGACCAAATGGAACAATGGTTCCAGGCGAACGTGCTTGGGAACAAGATGGAGGTGGAGACTTCCATGGTGAACGATGTAAAATGGGATCACAATAACGCTATCTTTGCCGATGTTCTTCTTAGGGCGGATGAGCTCCCCGAAGAAGAGGAAGATGAAATCGAAAGACAGGCCAGCAATGGAACAGCTAGCTTGATCCCTGTTGGCCCTACGGCTTCCACGGATGAGAAGAAGAAGACTGAAGGGCCAAAGTCAATTTTGTTCCCATGTCATCGAGCAATGCTTCTGCGATCTGAGTTCTTCCAGGCCATGTTCACGTCTGCGTTCCGCGAAGCACACCTCAAAGAGCATCTGACAATTATTGATATTGACTGTTCGCCCGAGGTGTTGGAGATTATCCTCACATTCTTGTATACAGAAAGAGCCGATTTCCCCTTGGAAATCGCCGTCGATGTCCTCTTCGCAGCAGACATGCTCTTCATTGAAAAGCTAAAGACCAAAGCTGCCGTGGTCATCAGCACCCTGGGCAGTGCTGGAATGTCGCAGGCGGAAGCTGCAAAGACTCGTGGAACAACGGACGAGGACGACATTGATATCTACTCGATTGTCCGAGCAGCATGGTTAACGCGTGTGCAGCGATTGGAAGAATTCGCTGCTCGATACCTAGCGTATCGACTAGAAGCGCACATCGATTCTCCTGAATTCGCTGAATTGATCCAGGAATCCGCATCTCGCATCAAGGCGCGACAGGAAACCGATTCTATTGAAATGCTCGATGACATTCGTTTCTATCTTGGAGAACGGTTCAGATTGAGGTTCGACGACGCGGGTCTTGAAGAGATGATGGACGAGGAAGTGCCGCCGGAGGTTGAGGAGGATATCACGAAGCTTGCAGCGGGCATTGAGGCACTCGACGTTTCCAAGCAGTCTGCTCCGGCTGTCGCCAAACACATCCAGCAGCAGGAGAACGTCCCGGGACTTCGAACTCTCGATGGTGCCGTTGTTGAGGACGAATTTGACGGAGATGCAATGAATTATCAGATCTTGCTGGAGAAGCTGGATGCCCTGCTGGAGAAGCTCAACCTGGAGGCTTAAGCATGGTATTCTTTGCTTCTTTTGTCTATTTTTGAATGCCTTAGTTTGATCATCTAGATCATGCAAAGGTGGGGTGTGCGGAACGGCTGATGGTCTCTGTTGTATGAAACAGTTGGTTTGAACATACATGCATATATACACATTGGTGTGCTAGAACAAAAATCAATATACAGATGGTTGGGTATATACATTAAAAAAATGTCCACATTTGCCTCAAATATTAGTATTTCAATATCAACTGAAACTGATAGAGGAGAGGCCAAAAGGTTCGGCGTGATTGTTCTTGAGTGCAGTCAGACGGATGACTCGGAGGTCACCACCTCACCCCAGATGCAATTGACCGGGCGTGGAGCTTGTAACGCAGCTGATCCTCATCTCTGACCAAGTAGAATGGGTTCGAGGGTCCGACTTGGTGGTATTGTTTCGATTGCGGCAGTGCAAGGCATGTTTGATGCCTGCATTAGACGGCATAGGATGGTTTGCCGTGATTAGCGTTATCTGGTCGAGTATGAAGTGAACTGCGTTCTATGGGCTGGGTTCATATCTCTCATTGTTCCTTGGGTGACTGTGGCTTGTCTCCACCAATGCCTTTCTGCTGCTTCTCCAGCATCCTGGCATCAAGGTCTCGGATTTGGTTCTCGAGGATGCCTCTCCGAGCCGTGAGATTTGAGCGCATTCCTTGTAGTGCTTTCATTTGTTCATCGAAAGTAGACTCTTGTCGTTGCTTTGCTGTCTAATCACAATGTTAAATTAGCTGAATTGTAAGTGAAGTGACTTGGATAGCTCCGCAAAGTGATCGCATACCTCGGCAATCTCTTGATTGGTTTTGAGACCTGCACCATACAGAGTACCCGTGATCGTGATTGCAGTGACTGCAGCAGTCAGGACTAATCGCTTAATGTTCGGAGGAGGCATGGTGATTGCTATCGAGGTGAAGCTGTTCACCATCAAACTATTCCCATGTGCTGATCATCACCGCCTTCCCAAAGCAGGCTTAGTATTGATCTTCCCCGACGCGTCCCCCTCGCGTTGCGACACTTTCAAGATCAAAGACTTGTTATTCAACAGCCCATGAGTGGCCCTCAACAATTTGAGGGCTTCGTCTATCATGTCGTCACCAAATATTTCGCGTCGTCGCCGAGACACCGAAGATGAAGATAGCGACGAACCCACGTACACCTCTTCATCGAGCAACAAGCGCCCCCGCCTTAACCCCGCGGATGAGAATGAATCGGAGACTGGAGAGGATAGTGAGGAGGGAGGCTCATTATCGGAGAGCGAAGAATCTGCCTCTCAAATCCCGCCAGCCGCTCACCCTGGGCTTGGTCCCGGTGGCTACAAGCCGGGTGCGATTGTTCGCATCAAGGTGAAGAACTTTGTCACATACACATCAGCAGAATTCTTCCCAGGGCCGAAGTTGAACATGGTTATTGGGCCAAACGGAACAGGCAAGAGTACGCTTGTTTGTGCCATCTGTCTGGGCTTGGGCTGGGGACCTCAGGTACGGTTTACTCTGGCGTGCACATCGTATTCATGCATGAGTACTTACGGAATCTCAATTATAGCACCTCGGGCGCGCAAAAGATCAGGGCGAATTCGTGAAACACGGCAGCCGAGAGGCTACGATCGAGATTGAACTCTGCGGACCTCCTAAGATGGGTCGCAACCCCATCATTCAGCGAACCATCAAACGTGATGGAAACAAGAGCACATTTATGATCAACGGAGAGCCAGCATCTAACAAACAAGTACTGAAGCTGGCCCAGTCATTTGCTATCCAGGTCGACAACTTGTGCCAATTTCTCCCTCAAGATAAAGTTGCAGAGTTCGCTGCACTGTCCCCAGTCGATCTTCTCCGTTCTACGCAGAGAGCGGCAGCTGGCCCAGAAATGATTGAGTGGCATGACGCCCTGAAAACGCTCAGAGGCCAGCAGAAAAAACTGGAGATCGATAACCGCGGAGACAAGGATATGCTGGCGAACATGGAAAACCGCCAAGAAATGCAAAGAGCTGATGTCGAGAGAATGCGCCAGAGAGCTGGGATCAAAAGAAAAATCGAGATTCTCGAGTTTTTGCGCCCAATTGTCGAATACAAAGAAGGACATGCGGCTCTCGAGGTCCTGAAAGCCACCAAAGCTCAATTACAGCAGGAACACGAGCAGCTCAAGGCAGATCTGGAGCCTGCACTCCGTGCACTCACTGTCAAAGAATCCTACATTGAGCAGTTAAACAATGTCAAGAGCCAGAGAAAAGACTCGGTCGAACGGGCGTCCAGACTTGCCACCACGCGCGGTACACAAATCGATGAATATGACGGCAAAATCAAGGACCTCGCTGGTCAGATTGAGGCCGAAAGAAAGACGGGAGTGACACATAAGAAGGAAGCAGCAAATGCCCAGCAAAATATCAAGATGCTCCAACGCAAGTTGGAGGAAGAGCCTGTCGAGTTCGATCCGGATTTCTTCAATGAAAGCTTGGTAAGGAATCACGCACAACTTTACATGAATAATAGACTGATAATGACAACAGAGAGCGAAACGACTTGAGAAGCGTGACCTTATAGCCCAAGCTGGAGAGATCAAGGAGCGACGGCAACCACTGATTAATCAAGGCAACGAGACGACAAGGAAAATCAATCAAGCTGAACAACAGATTAAAAATCTCAACTCGCAATCCGGCCAACAAGAACACAAGTTGAAAATGGCATCTCAGGACTCGCTGAGGGCCTACCGATGGCTTCTTGAAAACCAAGATAGGTTTGAAAAAGAAGTCTTTGGCCCACCCATCGTGACCTGCTCGATCACCAACCCAAGTTATGCCAATGCCGTCGAATCCTTGTTCCAGAAGACGGATTTCACATCCTTCACCACACAGACCCGGAACGATTTCCGCACCTTGCAGAGGGCGCTCAATGGAGAACTGCGCCTTCATGATGTCAGTATCCGCACATGCTCGATGTCACTGGATAGTATGAGGGCCCCTTTGCCCGATGATCAAATTCGCCAAATGGGATTTGATGGATGGGCGAAGGATTTCCTCACTGGCCCCGAACCTGTCATTGCTATGCTTTGCAGCGAAAAGTCACTCCACTCCACTCCCATCGGACTCACAGACATCCCAGAGAATGTATTCAACCAATTGCAGAATGGTACATTGAGCTCGTGGGTGTCCGGTCAGAACACCTACCAAGTGAATCGACGAAGGGAATACGGCCCCAGCGCGACTTCTACGCGGGTTCGGCAAATCAAGCCTGCTCAGGTGTGGACGTCACAGCCTGTGGATGTCAGTCTCAGGCGACAATACCAGGAGAATATTGACACGTGGAGGGACGAATTGAAAGAGGTTGAGGACCAGCTTCAGTCTGAGAAGACTATCATGGAGAAGCTCAGGCAAGATATTGATCGAAATGAACAAGAGATGGTATTTTTATCTCTGCCCCCACTACAGTCCAGTCACTAATGGATCCCACAGCGTGATATCGAGAGGGAAAAGACCACAAAACAAACAGCCTACACCCAGTATCGAGCCATTCCCGAGAAGATCGGTTTGTACCACCCGTGGCCATGGTCATTCAGCTCGCTAACGCCTTGCAGCTCAACAAGAGGCTAAACTTCAAAATATCACTTCATTGTTTGAGAGGGTACGAGATACAGTCCGCGAATTACGGGACAAGCAAGACGAGTTCTCTATTCTGAAGGCCGAGGCCACTGTCAACTATGCCGTAAGTCTACTAATAGAGTTTGCGCTTCGTGTATCTGACAAAACCAGGACGCCGTCGAAGCTTTCCGCCAAGAATATGAGGAACTCATCAAACTGGAGGTGCGACTTTTGGAGGCAAGCTCAGACCTTCAGACCCTACGGCACCGCAACGATGATTGTGCCAGAATGCTAGAGGAGAAGAGCATAAAGGCTCACCAAGCCTCCGTCACTGTCAGAGAAACTGCGATGAAGCTCAGGGCCGTCAATCAAAAAGCAAAACTCGTTGTCCGCGAAGCTCGCAATCAACCCGACGCAAAAGAAGTGATGGAAGGAGGGGTTGCTGATTATGACATGGACCAGCTCAACGCTGATATCGACTCAGAAAAGGCCCGTCTGGAACTTACCCATGGCGGTAGTAGCCACATGATCAAAGAATTCGAAGATCGTGAGAAGCAGATTGAGAAGCTCCGCTCCAAACTCGCCGCGTTCCAAAACAAGCTCACTGAACTTGGAGGTGCAATTGACGAGATCCGCAAGAACTGGGAGCCCAGGTTGGACGCACTCATCAAGAAGATCAGCGATGCCTTTGCCGATTCTTTCAACCGAATCGGATGTGCTGGTCAAGTCACTCTAGACAAGGTGGAAGATGAGCCTGAGACCGAAAACGAGGTTGGTGGCAGCGACTTTGACCAGTGGGCGATTCAGATCCATGTCAAATTCCGTGAGAACGCACAGCTGTCGCTTTTGGATTCACATCGCCAGTCCGGTGGCGAGAGAGCCGTGAGTACCATCTTCTATCTCATGGCACTTCAGTCTCTCTCTGCCTCGCCGTTCCGTGTCGTCGATGAGATCAACCAAGGTATGGACCCGCGCAACGAGCGCATGGTCCACGGCCGCCTGGTAGATATTGCTTGTGCCTCTAGTGAGGATGCGCATGTTGAAACCGACGAGGACGGCAGCCCCATCGGTGGCAGCGGCGGTGGACAGTACTTCCTCATTACACCCAAGCTACTCAACGGACTTTCCTACAAGCGTGGCATGCGGGTGCTCTGTATCTACAGTGGAGAGCACATGCCGGACGACTATGGCAAGATCGACTTCAAACTGGCGATTCGCAACATGAAGGCGATCAACGCGAAAACTGGGAACACCGGCACAGCCAGAAGAATCCCAGGGAACAGCCAAGTCGATATTTACGCTTAACGAAGTTCTGTGTTCTGTGCTTACTCGCGATACCCAAGACGGCTTTTTCTCGGTCGGGAACAAGGCCATGGTCGGCGCTACTTTTTCGGAGGAGCAAGGTGCATATACGCCTATACGCAATCCACCATAGTAATTCTATATGAGGCCTGTGACATAAGAACCAATATTGAAACATATTGACCGACATTGTATAAAATTGAACCCAAAAATGGAGGTTCGCGAAGATCCCGAACCAAAGACACGACCTGCCCGTCTGGGAGAAGAGCGGGTCCAATACAAAACACTGCGGCTCCGGGCGTCTTTCTCTTTCCTCGCTGGCCCCATGCATGGCCGGCCACTCCGTGTCTGTGCTCGGTAGTTGGAGGGATCGGAGGTGTACTTAGACCCGCAACTGGAGAGTAAGATAGCATGGGGGGATTACCGGTTTAACCCCTCTCTCTCTAGTGCTCCGGAGATCACATTTGTCGATCAAACCGATATGAGTGCAAGGTGGATATGTTCCAGCCACTGACCGTAGTTTTCCTCCTGAATCAATAGCACCGGGGGGCTCCGGCCTAGAAAGTTCTTAGTCGATCAAAGGATTCACATCCATGCTTGGATCGGACGATTCGACCAAACGAGTAAGCTTGATCCATTCCTGCGACATCCGTACAGGTCATATTTTTCGCACCAAAGAGGACGGACAAAGCGCAATCCTCGTGGCACACAGGCCGTAGATCGGCGGGCGTTTCCGTCGCAGATCACCCCGGAGGATTGCACACCAATCGTTGGGCGACATTGGGCATCTCGCTAAGAGCAACTCTAATTTGCCTGGCTTTGGGGGCTTTCGGAAGCCTTGAGTGGCCGGGATCTCTGTTCCTCTTTTGAGTCACCGCATTTACGGGTTGTGGCGTCCTCAGTCGGTCACCAGTCACCACTCTCTAGGTCTCTACCTACATGTACAGTACATGCAGAAGGCTGATCGACACTGCGCAGGGGATAATTGGCCCAATATTCTACGAGTCAATCATCGTAGCCTACATCCTTGAAAGATAGCCCTAAATGGTGTTACCAATGCGCGATTTTTTTGACTTTAAGCCCCCAAATGGTGTGTTCCTTAGGTGTATACACCGCTCGATCCTCGAAATCCATGACTTGCTTTGCTTTTGCACGGCCCTCCGCACTGATCACTAGATAAAGTAAGATGCTACAGTACGCCATAATACAAGAACGCAAACAGCACTGACATAGCCATACTACACATAGTAACTGTGTCACTTCGATCTCGTCACACGGTCACACAATCTCGGCCGCACCCGGCATTCAGATCTGGACTTATTATGAGAACTAGTTGTTGCTACACAGACTGCCTACGCACACCCCTTCCAGTCTACATTCCTCGAAAATGAAGTCGACATATACACACCCAACAGCCACCCAATCACTCCCAGCCCCAATATATATATATAAGTTGGAAACTCCACCTCGCAAGGATATATACATGTAGACGCGCCAACAACGCACCAACCCCGCCACAGCGTTCAACACCACAATGCAACGGTGGGATGATCTACCAGACCCAGGTCCAATCCCAGCCATGTGCAATGCATGCAACCTATGTAATAATGAGCTCAAACACCAAAACACCCGGCCAATGACGGTGCCAGGGAAGAAACCATTGCCGGCATGAAACAAGACCATGAAAACCACTCGATCAGCGTGGGATCTGCCTTTAGCGCTCGGTTTCTGACAGGATTGTTTTCACCGAATCACCTGCTAGTGCTGGTGGAGGGTTGGTGGTGATCAGTGTGCTGGACTACAGTAAACTCTATGCATATGCGAGGCATCCCGTACGGAGTACTGGAGGGTGCTTATTGTCATGCTCCGTGACACGATCATGGCTATGGCATTGGTCTGTTCTCTACCTGTAGGGATCAGTACTATGTCCTTGCGAAGTGTACATGTACGCGTACGAGGCTGTATCCTGATCCGGATCTGAATTGCATGTGTATAGTGCTGTATTGTACATGAGCAGGTAGGTTGGGATGAAGGCTGAGTGGATGATCGGACACCCCGTGCATTGCATCGAAGTGTACTTGCAGTTGCATCTGCATCTGTATCTGTGTCTGAATTTACGTTTACATGCACTTTTACAGTGCATCAGTGGTTGGAGAAATTGGAGTCTCGTGCATGAAGGTGTGGATATCACACCCAACCTCGTTGCCAGTAAGTTTAATCACTCATATTAATTAATGAAGCCTTAGCCACAGGATCCAGGAGCCAGGATCCGGCCAAGATACACATGGCATGAACAAAACCGTTGGGAGAATTCGTGAAATTCAGGCCGAAGCATGAATCATGCTATGTCAAGCCACGCAACAAAGAAGTGGCTGGATGGATTCTCAGCACAGAGCCCGAATAGGCAGGACCGCAATCTATGGTGAACTTTATTATGGAAGGAGTCGATGGTTTGTCAGTGAATTGTAAGCAAATGATCTCCAGGTGGCCGGGAGTATAGCTTCTTCTGGGTATTTGGTCTACAACAGGAATGTTTCACCAAGTGGAGCGGAAGCGGACAATGCGACAGATTCCAAGATTCCAAGGGGCGAGAAGTGACATGCATCTGTAAGCGAGAAATAAGTGATACAGATCGACCGGATGTGCAAGACGATTATGGGGTATAAGTCCGTATACGAGTCGAAAGGGGGAGACCATTGAACGGGATGACGATAGATCCAATATAACTTCCCTAAAATAGTCAACAGTGAGGCATGTCAGAATAAGGCAAATTGAAAAAGAGAGAGGCCAGGTCAGTTCGCCGAGGCTACGATTGGAGAATGCCATGCGCCAGACAAGGCCCCACGGCCGATCCTACACGGGGTTTATACCAAAATGGGACATGGTGCGGTCGGTAGGATCCCGGCTCAAGCTGCTCTAATTTGTGTGATCGACTGGCCCTTGACGAACAGGTCGTTGTTTCACCGTCTCACGGGGTTAAGACATGCCGAGTTGTTATACTCCGTGCTTCCTCCCCGCTACTACCGTCTCGCCTACAATTAGTGCGCTTCAACGTACAGTTCGATCATCACTAGCGCCCACGGTCCATGTCCCCAGTCTGGCAGTTAGCCCTGAATTATTTATGTCTTTGTCTCGGTCCCGAGTCCGTGGACGCGAAAGCGCCCCCTCCTTCTTTCTCCTTTGAGATTCGCCGTTTTGGATGTGGAATAGATGTAGATTATAGATGATCGCTGTCGATCACCCCTCGTTTGGCATTCTGGTTGTAGCAGGTGATTAAGGGTCTTATTTGCTTGTTTAGGTTGCCTTCTATTATTAATCCCCCCTGATTTTCCGATACAAGATGCGATCTGAACCCCGAGCCATCACATCGTACAGGCTACAATAGGCTACAGCATACTGCACAGATATAGCTGTCTTGGTTATGGATTTACGGATATTGACCACTCGTGCTGTAGCCCTAGATCCTGCAGGAGCATAGAGATTACATTAATATAATTTGATGAATAATCAAATATCTACATACCGACCAATATGCCGGGTTATACGCACAAGGGGCCAAATACGAAGTCAACGCGTAACAATATCTATTACGCGGAGGACCGCATCGGAGACATTACCTAAATGGACATCGCTTAGCGGTGATCATGGACACAGGGAGCTATGGCCAGCGGTTATCCCTGGATCTTGATCCACCCCTCAGAATAGGAAGGAGGATGACAGGTCTATTTCAGCAAACCACATGGAAATCCACATGGAACCTGTAAATGTGAAAATAATGTAATACCAGATAACAAAATAATATAGAATAATGTGAAATATCCCGGATGATCGGAGGTGCATCGGGCTTGATGCCGGATCCGGCTCAAATGCCACGTGAAATAAAAGGGAGGCTTGGAAAAAGCAAAGAATCATAAATATCCTCCAGAGGGGCGTACATACATTCCCATGGATATTGCATCCCGAGTCCAGTCCGCACCTTCCGAAAGGGGTTAGCTTAAGATCGGATCTACCAATCGCCGATCAAAGGTTAAGTGTTTCCGGCGTCTCAATTAAACACCGGTCTGTGTGTATAGTGTCGTCATTAACTTAATTTTAATTGTCTTTGTGATAGCCCATGCGCTTGGACATGGACATGCAAGTGCCATGTGTTCGGTAACCTTACCTTACGCAAGGCAACCGAAGTCGACTGGTCATATATGCACTACACCTTGTACATATCTTCAGGCCATCAGCCTATACGCCATGCGCCATAAGCCCCCCAAAGGGGTACCATGTGTTCCATCTCGCGTGGAATCCCAGCCCCACTGATTCTCGACCGTATACTAGTCCGGGCAAGTGTTAGGAAATCTTGGGGAAGGGGGTGAGACAGTCGCGTGGCATGGGCCCAGTGCCCCGGGAGCAACGATAGCGATCACGGCTGACTCCGTTGCCTACCCGGATCTATGGCCTAAAGGGGATAGCTCGATCACCCTGTGTAAGAAGCTCGGTCCATACTATTGACTTGAAAAGCAGATGTATACGTAGATGCAAGAGCCGTATGTGACGGCCCCTAAATGTCCCTGACAATTACCATTTGAAATTAACGTTTGGAATTAACATCCGGATTAACATTTCAATTAGCATTCAAGAAAAGTCTATACCAGCGGATCACATTTTTCCCGTATTCCTGGTTTCATCATAGAGTTCCACGTAAAGCTTCTCAGACGGGAAACTATGGGAGATTAGATTCCTTAATATACGGTAGAAAGTAAATAATATAAAGTGGAATAACCATTTACCCTGGGCAGAGCCACGGCCCCAATTAGTGGCTGTGGAAAACTAAGACTGGCACCAAACTTAGTTGAGAATAGGCGACCCGAACAAGTGCCGACAATAAAGGGCGATCAGCCAGGATCGCCCCGGGCCTCGCGGATCACGCTCGAGCCATCACATGCGGGCGACAGTACAGTAAATTTGCATGTAGACCACACCGTAGTATACTATTTTCGATATGCTCAAACTAATCAGTTGCTTTCTATATCAATGTATTACATGTGTTGGGAATACAGAGTAGAAAATGAAGATCCCAGCTAAAAGGGCTAAATAGTGGAGCTCGCTTCCACGAGGCCGGGACGCGGATCCCCTCTAACGGCCAATCCCCGATCGTGCAGAATCCGAGCACGGCCCTCCCGAGTGTTCCAGAACGCCGATCAGATCGTATCCGGTTTTGAGGATCTTCAGGAGGACAGGGTCTGGCCTTGTCACCTTCTATAAGCAGATGCAAATGCCGAATTAGTGTGTATAGTAGCATAGAGTCTATTTAATACTCTGTAGATCCTTTAATTATAGAGACATCTGGCTACTTGAATGGTGATCATAAGTACTGTATAACTGTGGCATTCATACTGTGGCTATGACTAGATACAGGACATACGGACATACAGTACTGCGTACTCCGTACTGTATGCTTGGACGTACTGGTTTCATGCATTGTAAGGTTTGTGTAAGCGAGGTCTCTCAGCGCTTAGAGCCGCTGGCCCCCGGGTTACGGAATGGGTCCCAATCGGGTTAGTGTGTTTCTTTGTGACCTTCCCCTTTGGATCCCTGCGCCGTTGGTTCCCCATAGCCACGCGACAAATGATCTCCTGAACCGTGTCATCCCCAGATTTCATAAGCCATATATCATAAAACTTGATGATCCATTTTAACCGACTAGATGCTGAAGTGAACATTGTACGTGTCCACAGAGGTACTTCCTGCTATCTGTTCTGTAGTTCGCCGATCAGATCACCGTTTACGGGGCGATGTGACAGGTAAGCAGAGAGGATCTGCACTAGCCGTAGCCGAGGTCTTTACCTCCCACATTGGGGTTAGTGCGCATCCCACGCCGTTGATAGGCTCTTCAGAGTGGAGAGCGAGGCACATCGTCATTCCCCACGTTAATCTCCGAAAAGAAAAGATTTAATTCCTTTTGGGATTATTAAATTGATTAAATTAAGCTTTGGAACGGACTGTCTCATAAAAATATTGGAAATCAGGTAATTTACGGGCGATCATTCACTATAAACCTCGTGTGATTCCCCCATGTGAAACGCCATCTAGACTTCTACACATCGCCCATCATGGATCTCGCCAACCTCCTTTCTCACACTGTCTATACCCCCAAGGACTCGAGCCACTACAAGCGCTCAGCTCCTCTCTCTCCACCAGTCGAGGAACCAAAATGCTCGCTCCCTTCTATCTCTGCCCTCCTCGAGGGTGCCGACGGCCAGCACTCAGCCAGTGAGTATTCTTGACATATACTATATCAAAACATTATACTAACCGAACCAGAGCGCCAACGTCTCTCACCTCACCGTGAAGACATCCGCCACTATGAGATGCCCCCAACACCACCCCTCCGCCCGGGCTCAGGCAACGGTCAAAGCCGCGCCTCGCCAGTGACCACAAAGGAATCCAACCACCGCTCCTCAATCTCAAGCACAAGCTCAATCCACATCAACGCTCAGCCCTACGCCTCTCCAGCCCCCAGCGTCTCCTCCTACACATCCCCAGTGGAGGCCCCGCAACACCACCAACATATGTACTACACCCGCCCACCAACAGCCTCAACCTTCAACCCAGCCACGCCAGTGACAGTACCAGCCCCAATGCCAACCCTGCAAACCCAACACCACCACGCCCACGGCCACTCGCACTCGCACTCCGCCTCATCTGCCCTCATCTCCCCTGTCACTCCCGCCTGGCAACACCACCACTACTTCCCCCCTTCCACTGCGGCACCATACCAGCAAAACCACGACCGGTATATCTGCCGCACCTGCCACAAGGCTTTCTCGCGCCCTTCCTCGCTGCGCATCCACTCCCACTCGCACACTGGCGAGAAGCCTTTCCGGTGCACACATGCCGGGTGTGGCAAGGCCTTCTCCGTACGGAGTAACATGAAGCGCCACGAGCGTGGATGTCACTCTGGACGCCCTGTTTCTGCGAACGCCACCGCGCTTGTGGTTTAGAGCGGCGCAGTCCATGGAATCTTAGAAAACCCCTCGATTCTCTTTGTTTTTGTTATGTGTCTCTTTTGTTAGAATGGTGATGGTGGTGTTCCTTTTGTTTCAACTGGCGTTGTTTGTAAGGCCGTGATACCCTGGATCTAGGTTTTGATTGATTTCTTTTTTACCATCGAAGATTCCCTCCCCTTTTTTTTGGTTGGGATTGGGTTATACACTATAAAATTATGATTCGAAATGTATATTCTATGATTGACGACTTGTGCTTGTAACATTGTGTGTGTTGTACATTGTATAGTTCGTATAGGAGTAGACCTGTATCCCGGTACTGTTTGTCTGGTTGAGATACCGTAGTTTCACATGAAAATGTTTCACATTGCGATCTTGTCTTATCTGAGCCCTAAATGCCTCACCAAAGATGTCCTTCCCAACCATACGAGCCAAACCATGTATCCAATTATCACGCCTAAATAACCCATCGTAAACCATATCCATATCCCAACCAAAGCCAAACTATTCATCTAAAACCCCCCTAGCCAAAGCAGCAAGACTAGTCTCATACCTCGCCGGATTATGATCACTCAACATCCCACTAGCAAACTTTAACTCCCCAAACCAAGCATCAACATCCCTAATAAACCGAATTTGAACCCTAGTAGCAGGCCTTCCAAGCCTGGGATACCCATCCCCCACAAAATCAGGCACTGTAAACGCATCCCTTTGCAAAACACGCATAGTCTCAACAACAAAGACTTCACCCGGCGGCATAAGTTTCGGCGCGCGCATTTCATCCCGCAAAAGCTTCAGCGTTTTCCACGCCCAGGCATCCTCGCCAACGCCATCACCAGCGTTGACAACGAGCGGAGGCTGGTTCACGTAGAATTTATGGATGATGCTCTGGCGGAGTGATTCACGGAGACGCTGGCGGATGTGTGATTTCGCGCCAGTGGCGTCGTCTTTGAAGCTGCTTGCTGCCGTGTGCATGTCGTGTAAAATTCCCAATGAGAGGCTTGGGACTATGTCTTGGCCGTTGACGATTGTTGTTATTAGGCCTCTGGTGGCGAGGCGCAGGAAAGGGGACATTGCGGCTGGTGGACCGTAGGCGTAGACATGAATTGGGCGGCCGGTTGGAATTGGTAAGGGAGAGGTTGGGGGGAGGGACAATGGGGTGTTTGTTGATGCTGTTAGGAGGGGTGGTCGTGCGGTTGGTGTGTAGGAGGCTGTTACGAAGGATGTGCCGACTGGGGAAGGGTTCGGTTCGGAGATCATTGTTGCTAGGAGGGCTGCGACGCCGCCGCCTAGGGAGTGGCCGCAGAGGACTACGCCGTAGTCTGAGAACTCTTCTAGAGCCGCGCGGAGGGTGATCATTACTCGGGCGCCGCCGCCTTCGAGGAGTCGTTTGGCTGAGGCGTGCATGCCTTTGTGCACTTTCCAGCTTTTGCCTTGCCATTCTAGGTCGTCGTAGTCACAGGTCATGTCTGTTAGGATGTCTTCGAAGCCCCATGTTCCCCGGAGAGTCAGGACCACGGCTTTGGAGTCATGGTCGATGGAGAGGTAGTGAACAAGTGGGAATCCTGTTTCTGTCTCGCCGGCTGCGTTAGAGCCACCTGCTGGATCGACAAAGGAAGAAAGGAGGATAGTAGAGGGAGGAAGACCGGCATAATCCGAGAAAGCGCTGTGCTCGTGCGTGTCTGACCTGGCTGGCGTTAGAGTCTTTGTGCCGCTTGGTACGCCCATGACTTTGAGGGCATTGGAACCGTAAGAGGCAGATGAAAAACGACAAAATCGGCGGATGTTCTGGACGAAATGTCTCTCAGGGAAAATCCCCGGGACGAGACCATCACGATTGAGCGCCTGAATAGTCTCCATATCCTCATAGGTACTTTTGCGAGGTCGATGTGCAAGTATGAGCGATGTCTCAGACCCGGCAGTCGCTAGTGAATATAGACTGGGAGTGTATGAGTTGGATCTGTGATGCATAGCCGATGAGCTCGGTCGGTTGTCATTTGCGGACATCCTCCCGTCAGTCTCAGACCTACTCACGGACATGGAGCTACTACTGCGAACATGAGCCCGAGACGTGGCAGGTGAGCCAGGGCGTATATCTGAATTTCGACGAGAGAAGAATGCGTCTGTTTGAGTAAGAAGGGATTCCTGACTCTTCTCGCGCACTGCAAAGTGCCCTCGTGGACCTCTCTGGGTATGTGGATTGTGTGAAGGTGGGAGTTTTGTTTGTTGCGGTGATTGTCTTTGGGGAGAATTAGGGAATGGCGACCTTCTTAAGCCTCGATTCGGGACAGGTGTGGCAGGACGATAGTCCATAGACTCGGTCTGTCTCTTCTTGAGATCGGGTTTGGCAGCTATTTCGCGTGCAGTCGCCTCCTTCACAGATGCAGTCCCTTTTACTGGCCTAGGAGGCAGACGAGGAACAGGAAGTGTGAAAGAAGTAGGCGACTTTATGGATGGCTTCTTTGCTGGACGCTTCCCGTCACTTCTGTCAAAACTAGGCGGTTTGACCTTTTGCGCAAATTTGCTGAATGACCCTCTGCCCGTTGCATTTTTGGGTATTTCACTCGGCGAGCCAGGAGTTGTCACAAGGTGCTTGAAGCCTCCATTTGTGATATCAGGGTGTGAGTGCGACCGATCGTGATGCGATTTCACTGGAAGACTGGGAAATGCCTTTCCTGGCGATTGTTGAGAATGCTCGAGCTCAGGTACATCGGTAGGACTGCCATGAGGTCGCAGCTCAGTGCTTTGAGATTTGTTGAAAGCAGTCCTGAATACCACTGTATGCTTTGGGTAGCATCGCTGGCCGTCTGTTACATTATCATAATCAATGTCATGATGAAATCTTTCCTCTACCATTTTTGTTCCTGGCGGTGCCGCAATCTCTGCATTATCATCGTCGTAGATGTCGACGGTTATAGTTCGCGCCGTTAGGACTTCTGATTTGATAGATGCATGGCAGCCATGAGGAAGCTGGCTCAGGATATAAGCGCGGATGTCCTCATCAGATACCTGCTGTTGACCATCCAGAGGAATGGAGAGACGAGATCCGTTAAAAGTCTCAGCCGTGCTGGACCGTCTGAATGCACCAAAAGCTTCATCGCCATTCTCAGGCACGACAAATGAAGCACTACCAGGTCGTACAAGCTCTTCATTCTTGGGGTCGGCGAACTGCAGTTCGTGAGACCCGATCACGTCTGCTCGGGCACCATTGTCCAGGATGACAACGTCCCAAACAATCTCATCTCCGCCATTCTGGCGCAGATGTCTTTCAGTATTCTTCTTGCCCCATCGCTGTAGCAAGGCAAACCCCAAAGACCCAACTAGTAGATCACTAACACCAATATTCTCGGCACTGGCACCAGGCTCCACGGATCTGAACTCGCGCCTGATAAGCGTGATAATAGCTGCAATAGCCCTGGACGACTCGGTAGATCCAAGAATGGCATCCAACGTAGATAAAAGAGCCTGCGAGAGATTGGCAACGGACGCCAAAGTCGTCGACGAGAAGTGGAACGTCGCAGCTGCGAAAAACGAAGCCGAGGTCACGGTCGAATGCAAAGTTGCCAACTAGGCAGGGTTAGTCAGGGCAAGGAGTCAGGATGGATTCTCCTACACTCCGCTCGAGCAGAGACTCGGCCTCGGTTCTGCCATGTTCATCCCCACTACGGATCGCGACATCGCGTCCTGCTCTCGTTAAGATGCCCTCCACCAGGGCTCGGCTTAGCTCGAGGCTGGTGAGAGTGGTGGCTCGCGCACCATCTAGGGCAGCCCCACCAAAGAATGTCCCTAAGCGTAGGGATAGGGAGGTTGACTGAGTGATTAGTGAGATCAGCGATGCCACTGGTCGTGGGAGTAGCGTCGCGCCTGAAGTCGGGTGGATCTCGGGTTCGTTCTCTGCAATCATAGTCCAGAATGATATGAATACATAGAGAGAGTATAAGTGTGTTTGTGTGAGATTTAGTTAAGATATGAACATGAATTAAGAGCAACGTTATATGATCAACAGGGTCGGTACCTGGCCCAACACTTTACATGTGACTTGACTTTACATCATCGCCTTCACATCTCCTCCATACACAACTTTACGGATCTGACTGCGGTCGCATTCGCCCACGTTGCGAATGCCTGATAAGCCCATGCCCTGCCATAGATCGGCCAGAAGCCCCTGAAGGACCTGCTTGGCCCCGTCTCGGCCTTGGATACTGAGGCCATAAATCACCGGCCGACCAACCAGAACGGCCTTGGCTCCCAAACACAGCGCCTTGATAACATCCGATCCCGTCCGAATTCCCGAGTCGAAAAGTACCGTCATTCGATCGCCAACTGCGTCGACTATCTCCGGCAGAACATCCAAAGAGCCAATGGCCCCGTCCACTTGGCGGCCTAGAACATATTAGCATCAACTTCAGCCATGAAAGACAACCAAACTCACCACCATGATTCGAAACCACAATTCCATCACAACCAGTCTGCAAAGCCCTCTTCGCATCCTCCACATGCTGAATTCCCTTTAGCACAATCGGCCCCTCCCAATTTGTCCTAAGGAAAGCCAAATCCTCCCACTCATGCGGACTCCCAGCAAACACATCACCGACCCACGCCCTTGAAGCACCAATAACATCCTCCTCAACAGGGCATTCAGACTCCCTCTCGAACTTAGCCCGGAACACCGGATCACTAAACCCGACTTGGTTCCCAACCCCTTTGATAAAGGGCACATAGGCATTATCCAGATCAGCAGGCCGCCACGCCAGCGACCAAGTATCAAGCGTAACAACCAACACAGAGAAACCATTCTCTTTGGCGCGTTTCAGTAGTGAAAGTGTCACATTGTTGTCTTTCGGCCAGTAGAGCTGATACCATCTGTTCCCGTCTTTGTTCGCAGTCGCCACTTCTTCAATTGTGCTCGTGCTCGCCGTGCTCATCGTGTAGGGTACGCCTACTTCTTCGCATGCACTGGCTAGACCCGTCTCCTTGTCTTCATGAAAGATACCTTGTACACCCACAGGCGCCATGATAAGGGGATTGTCGTATTTCTGACCGAAGAGTTCGACTGAGACGTCTTGTTCATGCATCTATACGCCATAATTTTAGCACATCACTTTGTAGGCTGTAGATGGAATCGTACATTGCGCATCATCCTCGGGATTCTAACAAATCGTCAGTCGATATCATGTACAACCATAAAATTGGAACTTACAGCTTCCACTGCCGAAAAGCCAAACGATTACTATCCATAGTAGCTTTCTCACCCGCGCCGCCCGCAACATAATTGAACGCGCGCACTCCCAGGGCCTTTTGAGCTTGTTCTTCGAGCAGGCGAGGGTCGGTAGTTACACCGGGCAGAATGCCCATTAGGGCACCCTTACCATAGATTTCAGTCTGGTAGCTGCCGTAATTGCCGGACATTGTATATACAGGAGTTTATGGGGTGGGTGTTGGAGATTGAGGGAGCTTGGTGAGCTCGCCCCGGATTCGGGTAGGCTGATGCGGGGGACCGAGGTCCGTTGAGCTTCATTTTTGGGACTTCACTGATGAATTGATGTCATTGTCTGATATTTTATGACTTGATGAGCTCCAACTTTGTGTTAGTATCTATAAATATTGTACTATCACTTGGACTATTCACCGAGCGAGCCCACTCTGCCCTATCCCCCTATACCTCCAGTTCCGGAACCCGGTTGATACAGCAGGCTTCATAAATCAGTTCATAGTTATGAAGTAATAAATTACTTCTATACGAAGTCCTCGAAGCGAGTATAGTGCATTTTTGTGTCTTTGCTTGAAACTTTTCTACTTCTTTCTCCATCTTTGGATGCCTCAGGTAAATCAATTAGATCGTATGGTGAAGGACTATCTTTTGTTGTAGAATGGCTCGCTTAAACTATCCTATATTCTCGTGATATGTAGGCGAGGTTCTAAGACCCGAGCGCCATATACCCTATTGGCTACTTGTACAGAGCTATCACATCGACTAGTCCCGAACGATGTGGGTGTGGACACCTTGATGGAAATGGAATACAGTAGAAAGCAAAGTGAAAAATTATATATTAAACAAACGATGGGTATCTCAAACAAAAAAAGAAAATCACGACCAAATCTTGATAGTCATGTCATCCGACGTATAAACGACCATGTGTCCATCAGAGAGTTTAATTGCCCGAACCCAGCCCGAATAGCCAGTGACAACACGCACACATGCAAACGACGCATCCCACACCCGAATCGTCAAGTCATCCGCCGCAGAAGCCATCCATCTCCCGTCCCCTGAGAAAGCCATTAAGCGCAAAGGACCCGAATGACCAAGAACATGAAGCAGAGCCCCAGAAGCCGTATCCCAAATATGCACCGTCTTATCCAGCGACCCAGAGGCAACCAGCCGACCATCGGGAGAAAAGCACACCGCCCGACTAGACGCTGAATGCCCATTCATCTGGTGGAGTTGGTTCCCAGAAGCCGCATCCCAAAGCCGGACTGAGTTATCGTCTGACACCGAAGCGAGAGTCTTTCCATCGGGCGAATAAGCTACAGCACGCACCCAACCCAGATGGCCCGAGAATGTTTTCAGCAGGGCGCCCGAACTGGGATTCCATAACCGAAGAGTAGAATCATCCGAAGCAGAGGCAACAGTTCGACCATCAGGGGCGAACTCGACCGCGCGTACTTTCCCCGTGTGACCCTTGAGCATGCGATAGGTGAAGCCGGTATTGGCGTCGCTGATGCGAACAGACATATCATCCGAGGCGGTGGCGAGTAGTCGGCCCATCGGCGAGAAGCGAACAGCGCGCACCCAGCTGGAATGGCCGTTATCTTTGGCGGAGCCGCGCTGCAGGCCGGTTCCGGCGTTCCAGAGGCGGATCATCATGTCGTTCGAGACCGAAGCGAGGATTTCGCCATTGGGGGAAAGGGTGACGTCCCAGATCCAGCCGGTGTGGCCATCGAGGGTTTTTGGAGGACTAACTCCTCCATGGGAGGAGTCGGAGGGGGAGTCATTTGGTGTTTGGGGGGAATTGTGGTTTTTTGATGATTTTGATTGTGGGGGTCGGTTCAGGGTAAAGAGCTGAGCTAGCAGATTAGGGAGCTGGATATGAAGCCTTTTCGCGCAGCGCGTGAAGGCTCATAGTGAGATTGAGGCACAGTGTATGGGGGGAAAGACTTCTCGAAACCTGGAGAGATATTGGATTCCTAGATGGCTCTGCTGCAGAATATGACAGAACCTGCTTAGTCATCTGGCTAGACCTGTTCCGGCCCCTCTGAAAGTGTTCAAGTGACAGTCTAGACTGCCAAGTAAATCAGAAGTACGAAACAAGTACTATTGGATTGATTATTCGATTGATTCTAGGCTGAATGTAAGATTATGTCTGAGGCAAAAGTACTCCTACAGAGTAGGTAACGTTAGTTCTCCGTACTTAGTCACCTATGAGTCCCTGGGGATCATTGGCTTGGCACTTGGCAACCTTAAAAATACTTTGTTCGCTCATGTTTTCTGCATCTATTCACTGATTCTCTCTCCCGGTTCCAATGGACCAGTCCAAGGCCGAGATCGTCCCTGACAGGCTCGAGCTAATGTCAGACACAGATTCCCCCAGTTCGGTACCCACCTTGGATGAGGAAAAGGCCGAGCGGACAGTGATACGCAAGATTGATATCCACATCCTCCCCTTCGTTGTGCTGTTATATCTATTCAGCTTCCTAGATCGAGGTTAGTGATACACGGGTCTGACTCATTCCTTGTTTCAATCCCAATTGGCCAACATTGAAGGACCACAAGGTCAATTACTAACCGACCTACACAGTCAACATTGGCAATGCACGTCTATACGGTCTAGAAGAGGATCTAGGCCTTGTCGGCGACCAGTATCAGATCGCCGTATCGATTCTCTTCGTAACATACTGTGTGCGCAGATCCCGCCTCCAACTCCAAGCCTCAAACACACGCTAACCCCACCAGTTCTTCGAGGTTCCTTCTAACCTCGTGATTAAAAAGCTAAAACCATCCCGCTACATCGCAACCATCTCAGTCCTGTGGGGGATAATCGCCACCCTCACTGGTATCGTCCAAAGCTATGGCGGACTGATCGCCTGCCGTATTCTACTGGGCGTCGTTGAAGCAGGTCTCTTCCCTGGCTTCATGACCTACCTCACTCTCTTTTACGGGAAACGTGAGATCGCCCTGCGCACGGGCTACCTTTTTAGCAGTGCAGCCATCGCCGGCGCGTTCGGTGGGTTACTCGCCTATGGCATCGGGTTCATGGATGGCATCTGTGGACTACGAGGCTGGCGCTGGATAATGATTATCGAAGGCATCCCGACAGTCATCCTTGGCGTGGCGACATGGTTTGGGTTGGCGGATGATCCCGACACGGCGTACTACTTGAACAAAGAAGAGCGCGAGCTCGTTGCACGTCGGCGCCGTCGCCATGTTGGGCAGACGGAGTCTGCACAAAAATTCCACTGGGCGGATGTCAAGGATGGCGCGCTTGATTGGAAGATCTGGGCGTTTTCTGTTGGTCAGTTTGGGGTTGATACTATGCTTTATGGGTATAGTACTTTTCTGCCGACTATTATCAAGGGTATGGGGAACTGGTCGACTCCTGAGGTTCAGGCTTTGACTATCCCTTGTTATGCACTAGGTGCTATTGTTTATCTTGGCATCGCGTGGTTGAGTGATCGCACTCAACACCGGGCATTTTTTGTCTGTTTGTTCAGTTTGATATCTGTTGTTGGATATGGAATACTGATCTCGGAATCGTCCTCGGGTGTGCATTACTTTGGTGCTCTGATGGTCGCATTGGGTTTGTATGTCACTGTTGGCTTGCCGCTTGCCTGGTTACCTACCAACCTACCGCGATACGGAAAACGCACCTTTGCCACGGGTCTGCAGCTCACTTTCGGCAACATCAGCGGTGTCATGTCCCCGTTCTTATACAAGACGTCCGAGGGTCCACATTTCGTTCGAGGAAATGCTGTCACTCTGGGCTTGGTCGGATTTGCAGGTATCCTGTACGGTGTGATGGCCCTTTGTTATCGCTTTATCAACAAGCGTAGAGCCCAAGGTCTTGAAGATGAAAAGATATCCTCGTTGACGGAGGAGGATATCCAGGAGATGGGTGACCGGAACCCCAGATTCCTCTACAGCATCTGAGTCAAGATGGGTGAGCTCTTTCTCCTCATCTAGAGATTATTTATGGCCAAAAATATCTAATAATACCGACTTTGTGTGTATTCTTTGGGGATATTTAGCAAAAGCGCATGGCATTTTTACATGACTTGATGTGACATACTTTCAGATACCAGCAATTGCATGCTAGTCCGAGCGACACAATGAAGCGAAATAACTACTATCTTTCAATGGACTGTTAAACTCTGCAATCTCAAATACCCTCATTCATTTGTTTCCTGTCAAACACCATCACGAAATCATGATGTCATTTCCACTCCAGAATCCGGGGTAAACCTTACAAGCCAACCCAACTCTACTTCAACCTCTTCGCCATCTCTCCATTAACCCAACATCAATACCAAGATCAAATATAACTATCAAACAAAATGAAAGCGCTCAGACCCCTTAACCGAGCCCTCCAAACCACCCCCCTAACAACAACCCACCCGCTAACCATGCACACGAATCCACGCACCCCCCTCCTAAAAGCGCAAACCCCAACCCTCTCAAAAACAGAAGAAATTCTCCTGGAACGATGCATCCTCAACCCCCAACGGGCAGAAACATGCCAATCAGGCACAGATGACGAAGTAGGCGCACACAAATCCCCCTACGACCGCAGCAACACAACACCAGAGAAAGAACATCTAGCCCTGGAAGAGGAATACAGACTCGAGGGTGATTTCTTGCATGACCCCTTGTCTGTTAGTCCTGCCAACCGGGATGTAAGTTTGCTTCTTGATCCTATGGTTGGTGTGGGTGTTGGTGTTGGACGGGCTGTGCCGCATTTGAGGAGTGTCCGTGGCTGGACGAGGAAGGGAAGGGAGGTTTTGATTCGGACTTGTCCGTTTGAGGCTAGAAGGTATGAGGATGTTTTTTTTGGGAGGAGGTTGGGGAAGGGTCTGGGGAGGGGGGTGGAGAAGGTTAGTTATTGATTTCTTTTTGGTTGTACAGGGGTGGATAGGTTGCTGACTTTGTTTATAGAAGGGATGAGTATGTGATGGGAGAGCCTGATTTATTTAGTTGATTTAAGTCATCAAATTGATTACATGACACTATGTATACTGGTGGACTGTACCACAAGTGCCCTGTTTATCGTGAGATCGTTCATTCTAACCCCACAAGAACCCCATTTTCGTTCTCCAGTGTCATACTAATCCTTTCTGTCCATTCTTTAGTATTGTAGTCAGAGACAGCCGAGAAAGTCTGAAACACGCGAGTTACAATGTACGTTAACACGACCAAAGCATATTGCTCTAGAACCGAATCAGTTATATTCATTCGCAGAATAGTCAAAAAGAGAAACTTACGTCCTGGACAGATTCTCGGGCCCTTGTTGAATGGGATGAATCCAGGCATTTCCGGGCTCAAATTCTCCCAGCGCTCAGGATAGAACTTATCTGGGTTCTCTCCAAAGTCTTTCCCTAGACGATGTCTAGCCCATGTGGAAAACACTACGATGTCTCCCTTGCGCACGAGAACCGGTAAGCTACCATCAGCTCCACCACCGGTTGGCAAGGTAGAATGTTTGTTTGCTACTCTTGCATTGAGCACTGCTGCAGGGAAAAGTCGCATTGCTTTGTAATAGTGTCAGTATGGTGTGTTTAAGTGAGGATATGGGCGGAGCTTTCTCACATTCGTGAATCACCCAGCGAACATAATGTAAACTTCCCAATTGGCCCCATGTTGGGGGAGTTGATCCAACAGTGTCGGCGATAGTTGTTCGCAGTTTCTTTACGATGCGATCATCTCGGGCTAGACAAAAGAACATACCCGAAAGAGTAGTGCTTATACTGTCATTTGCAAGGAGAATGCTCAGAGCCTGATCGGTGCACTGCGATATCTCTTTATCTCTCTTATTATGATCAGGCGTCGGAGGTATTCCGTCATTCTTCTCCTGGTTGCTTATCTGTTGCTCGACTTGCCGCATGGCATAGGGTGTCACATATTCTCGCGCTCTGCGACAAGACCGAAGAAAACTTCCCTTTGGAGAGAAATGACGCAGGGGACCCCGAAACCCATCTTGAACGATACGTTTCTTGAGAAACAGTAGGTCTTCAACAAACTGCTTCTTTTCTTCTGATTGATTGAAACTTTGTGCATCAACGGATTCACCAAGAGAGAATTGAGCCTGCATGTCCAAAGATAGAGCCAAGGTACATGATTGAACGTCAAACACCTCATTTTTGGAAGGAACCCGTCGAAGGAAAGCCTGAAAATGTTGTTCGCACGAGTCGAGATCAATGACCTTGCGAAGGTTTGACAACCGACTCCGCAAATGATCTCGACTTTTCCTCCACTCGGGACCGTCAAGTGTGAAGATTCCATGCGGGGTGATATACTCGAATAGAGGTTTTCTCAATGGAGAACTGTCAAAATCCGCGAATGCCACGGAAAACATCTGCTTTGTGTTGTCTGCATTGCAGGTAAATATGAGTCGGTGGCCGATGACATTGGAAACGTACGTTTCCCCATATTTCGTGAACAATGCGTTTGTATAAGCTAATGACGTGCGGTTTCGAAAGTGAGAAGCCAGCTGGATTGCTTTGGAAATTCCCAGAAAATCATATCGCAATTCAGTCTCGGTGCACAGTTCACCGCAATCATGAAGTCGTTCGAGTGCGCGTAGCCGATAGGACCGCAGCAGCTTCTGCGCAAGGAGAAGAGCGACAATGCTGAATAGAAACAAAAGAGGTGCCCTTACAAGTCTCTCTTGTTCGAGATATCCGGATAAAATAAGCATCATCCTATTCATCTCCTTGTGGTGGCGGTAGGGGGGGGGGGGTAAGATACTGAAGATTTAGATCATCTAGCTAGATTGTCTGAACTGTCTTCAAGACATGCTGGCGATAGCCACCTGCATGCTGTAATATATTTGCTTTTTGTGGTGTTGGTGGGACCCGGAGACAATTGCATAGTACATGCATGGGAAAAGGTCAGCTCTATGCAAGGAATAACTAGTGCGATGCGCCAATCGCCCACTGCCTTGCTTTTCAAGATTCCCGAAGAGTGAATCGCGCCAAAAGTAAGATTTTTGGCATCCGCTCACATTTCTATTCTTGGCTTTGTCCAATGAGCTGATAGAACCTGCCATATCACTTGTTCCGGATTTCAAAGATCTCATCTAGGAAATATGATGGATCCACTCTGATGTAACTATATAATGGAATTTATCAGCTATCCATTCAACCAGCATTTGATCGTTCTCGATCCCTGAGATATCGCCGAAATCTTCCAGGCAAAACGTGCCATGGGCTCCAAAGATGGCAAAGCGAGCCTTGCTTACCAAGTGGAACAAGCCTTAAATCTTGCAAATGACTATTCTCTCGGCTCTGTACATCCCGATGGCCATTGGTACGGCGAAATGAGAAGCAATGTCACTGTGACAGCCGAATACATCTTCCTTCGACAGGCATTTGGCCTGGACCTGGAAGCTGACAACGCCCCCTATCGTCGCTATATACTGTCCCAGCAAAACAGCGATGGCTCATGGGGTCTGGCTCCCGAAGTATCCGGAGATGTATCAACTTCAACCGAGGCCTACCTTGCCCTGAAGATTCTGGGAGTGAGCATGGAATCACCAGCCATGCAAAAGGCTCGAGAATTCGTTCTCCGCGCAGGGGGCGTTGCCAAAGTGCGCGTTTTCACTCGCATTTTCCTAGCTACCTTCGGCTTGTTTTCGTGGGACGCTGTGCCTCTCATACCGGTTGAATTGATTCTTCTATCTACTCTCCTTCCAATCAATATCTATCGGTTTGCATCTTGGGCCCGTGGCACCATTGCTCCTTTGCTCATTATATGCCACCATCAACCTGTCTACCCACTGCCCAACGGAACTTCTGCCTGTAACAATTATCTGGATGAGCTTTGGCAAGACTATACGACTAAGAATGTACCTTATAGCGAGCCTCTCTGGACAATGCTCTTTCATGGAAATTTGATAAGCCTTGCATTTGGCGTGTTGGACAAAATACTTTACCAACTAAACGGACTTCGCACTGTCCCATTGATGCGGTCATATGCGCGGAAGAAATGCATGCAATGGATTCTCGAGCGACAAGAGAAGACTGGAGACTGGGCTGGAATATTTCCTCCTATGCACGGCTGTGTATACGCCTTCATGCTAGAAGGCTACACACTGGATGACGACCCGGTTCGGCTTGGAATCGAGGCAATCGAAAGATTTGCATGGCAAGACGAGCACGGCAAGAGAATCCAGCCCTGTGTCTCACCTGTTTGGGACACAGCCCTAATGACGATTGGTCTCTGTGATGCCATGTCACCGAGCCGGCAGACCTTGCTTCAAGCCATCACCTGGATTCGCAGCCGCCAATTACTCCAAAGCAGGGGAGATTGGCAGATATACCGGCCAAAGCTAGCACCAGGAGGCTTCAGCTTCGAGTACGAAAACAGCTGGTATCCAGACGTCGATGACACAGCCGCAATTATCCTTGCCCAACTAAAATACGATAAGGCCTCTCTCACTTCAAGGTCTGTCCTCGCAGCAGCCACATGGATATGCGGAATGCAGAACCCAGATGGAGGATGGGCAGCCTTCGACGTGGAAAACGATAAGCTATTCCTCAACAAAATCCCTTTCAGTGACATGGACAGTCTGTGCGATACATCCTGTGCCGATATCACAGGACGCACACTGGAAGCTTTCGGATTGATGATGAAACAGGCTACTGCGAAAGCTGATATTGGTGATATTCTACCTAATTTACGCGTGGCATGTGCCCGTGGTGTGCATTATCTTGAATCAACTCAAGAGGCCAGCGGGGCCTGGTACGGAAGATGGGGATGCAACTATGTGTACGGCACGAGTCATGCGCTATGTGGTCTTGCATACTTCCTTGACGATCACCGGGTCCGCGAGATGGTAAAGCCAGCTCTGCAGTGGTTGAAGTCTGAGCAAAACAAGGGCGGCGGCTGGGGCGAGTCCTTGCTTTCTTACCGATCTCCTCACTTGCGGAAGCAGGGATCAACGCCGTCGCAAACTGCATGGGCTTTAATGGGTTTGTTGGCTCATCTTCCAATCGACGATATCAGCATTGAACACGGAGTTCAGTACTTGGTGGTATCACAGAAACCGGAGAAAGGAGTTGGGTCTTCTTGGCCTGAAGCTGTGTACACTGGGACTGGGTTCCCGAATCACTTCTATCTGGGTTATGATTACTATAGACATTATTTTCCTATGATGGCGCTCGGAAGGTATCTACAAGGGGCTCGGGGGCGAAGCTGAGGGTCAATGACGATAGGCTAGGGGTGTCGCCAGATATGGGCTAGAATTCGAGCTGCATTGGAACAAACAAATTGTGCATCAATTCAATATTGTAACATACTGCAGAATAATCGAACATGATCAATGCCTATCCAAATCTATAATTCGAACAATAAGAGTGGAGGCCAATTCGAATGGGTTGATACGCTGAGAAATTTCTCCTTCTTGATATCTAACTTAACACCGCTCGATGATACCTTCGGTCCATGTTGTTAGATCTGCATCTTCTGGGTGCATCAATACCTGAACAAACTTCATAATAGAGCTGAATGCAACCTTCATTGCAGATTGCCACTTAGGCCGTTTGAAAAGGGGGCCAACTTTCACCCAAACCGCATCTTCGAGCACAGTCTTTCTAGAACACCTGGAAAATAGATCGCAATCCGGCAGCCAAGAGAGCCTGGAAATACGATACTGGCCGGCTGATCAGTTTTCAGACCGATACTACTCATGTCTACCGCTAGTATGGAGATGACCTAGTAAGATCTAGCCACGGGAGATGCATATGCATATATGCATCATGCGCGTAGCGAAGTTAACTTGAAAAGTGGATATAGAGCGCACTAATCATCTTCTTTCCATGAATCGCGCTTCCTTACATGGTTATGATAGGTCACAAATCTGATAGAGCAGCTTCCCGTAGCTTGGAAAAGAATCGACACAGAATGAAAACTTGGCTATCCTTAATCTCGTCTAAATCTCCATCGCAAGTGATATATCTGAAATCTGCCCACAGAATTACAGGCAACGACATGGAAGGCAAGGGAGCACTACAGTAGATACAGCTATGGAAAGAAAAAGCAATTTGTGGGACAGCTCCGAATGGATAAACTACTGTATATTATTGTCTGATCTCACAAGTGACGGTAATTTAACCAGAGGATGTAGATTCCCAGTCAATCCAGGGCAGCGGAGCAGGCGGGCATACATCATACCTCCTAAATCTTTCGCACCTACCATACATAATTGCGAGTGCAGCCTCATTCCCCTTGTTGCCTTACAGTCAAATTTTGAATTTCTCGTTGGCACCCTATGAATATGGGGGCTTTCTCGATATTTGGGCGTACAGCGCCAGCAACAGTGCCCACCGATCGGATCATTCCCCTGAGATACTGGGATGACTTGCACTACCTACGCAGTCTCTGCCATGACTTTACCCTGCGCTTTGACGATGTACTCGATCCATGTAAGCTTGAGACAGCGCTGTTAAGGCTGATGGAAATTGGTGACTGGGGCCAATTAGGCGCCCGTCTGCGACTGAATGTATGGTTTTATCAAAACCCCGAAGCATAGATCAACCCTAACACGATATCAGGCTAAAGGAAAGCTCGAATACCATATACCTGCAAAATACGATGACAAGCGACCCGCATTTGTTTTCACAACATCAGAGTACGAAATGAGTATTCAGGACCACCCGCTTGGCTCCCAACTGCCGGGGGCCAACCAAGACCAGTCTTTTCTGTCGCCATCTTCTGATGCATTTGCTCCATTGGTCTGCCATCCAGATAGACCCAAAGAGCTGGCAGATTGGATCTATACCGATCGTCCGCAGCTTCATATCCATGTTACTCTTTTCCGAGATACAACCCTCCTCACGATGAGCTATGTGCATACATTCAGTGATGCGATCTCGAGAACAAACTTCTTCAATGCTTGGCTGGCTGTCCTCCGCGGTTGTGAGAAAGACGTACCCATCTTTTTGCCTTATGATCTTGATCCCCTGCGCAAGTTGGGCAAGGAAGCGTCAGGGAAGGACTACAGCAATTTCGGACGCCTCGTGACCGGTTTGAGCTTGGTGTTGTTTGGAATTCGTTTCCTGTTCGAAATGTATTGGTACCAAAACGTGGAAGAGCATCCAATTCGTGTACCGAAACGATGCGTTGACCGCATGAGATCGAAAGTCCTACAAGAACTGGCAACTGCAGATCCAAATGGAGCAGACAAACCATTCGTTAGCGAGGGCGATGTGATTATCTCATGGTGGGCCAAAGCATTGACCTCTGCACTGAAAATTGCGCCAGATCGGACGGTCATGGTGATGAATGTCTTCAATGTATGGAGTCTTTTCCCAGAGTGCTTCCCTCACGGCACCGCAGGGTTCATCAGCAATGCCTTCTTCTATTCATACACTTTGTTTAATGCGGGCAAAATTCGACAAGATATCAACCTGGATTATATGGCATCAACGAATCGCAGGGCTCTTGTAGAGCACAGAACTAGGGACCAAGTTCAAGCTATGACCTCCATTCAGAGAGGCAATTTCATGCAAGCAGCACCCGTCGTTGGAGACTCGAAACTTCTGTTTATGTGTGCTACCAATCAGCATAAAGCTAGATACTTCGAGCTAGACTTTTCAGCTGTTGTTGTCTCTCCTGGTGTCCCTTTGAGCAAGAGGCCCCATGCCCTGGGTAGACCATCCTACATTAACGATATTGAGTATTGTAAGAGTTACCCAACTCGTAATATTGTGAGGCTTATTGGGAAAGATGCTGCGGGTGATTGGCATCTCTTGTTCAAGACTCGAGCTGCAGCGTGGCCAGCATTCCACAAGCAACTGATGGAATTGATTGAGGCGGAGGACTAAACATGAGGCTCCCAATAGAATGTGGATTGTTCCATATATGCAAAGGACCTGCACTATCACTTTCGCTTCTGTCACATGAAAGTCTCGACATATAGTTTGACTCAACGTAATACAGTACAAGCTGTTCTGTATAGCACCGTAGTATCTTTGGGATTCAGTTTATATATATATATATATATATATATATACATATTTAAAAATGGGGATGGCACGATGGCAGTCTGACATAGCAGACGGGTCGATACTAACGAAGAGATCACACAACCACTCCCATGGCCTGATGTAGACGTGGAGAGCAGTCTCTGAAGGTGTAAATCGTACTGAACCTGATGCTATATCATGAATCAAGAAGTCTGGTGAATAACTATAATCATATTTGAGGTTGTTGGATCATGCTGAGATCCCTTTGTAGGAGAAGGCTGCATGTCTGCTAGGACATTTGTGATACCTCAGGCCGGTAACATACTACTGTCACGGGAATCACCACTACAAAATTTTGGAAAGGCATTGAATGCTAAATGAAACATTGTTACAGAGAAATTGGTTGTTATTAAAATATAGAGGGCTGATAAATGGAAAGAAGTCGAGGAGACTGAGTCAGTAAACAGCACGCGACTTGACGAGATCATGTGCAATGATGATTCTATGCATTTTAAGCTGTGCTGTAAACAACATACACACGCTCACCTGTGGATCCTTTCGTTGAATTGAAAACCAGGCTGAGGGGACAGAGATAACAGGCACGTAAAAACGTAAGTTGTCCATCCATGGATAGGTTGAACAAAAAATGGTAACCATGCACACTCAAACTAGCGTAATGCCCCTGGCTTGTTACTACCAATAATATGCAAGTCGATCGATCTATAAGACGGGTTCCAACAGGGTTGTTTTGGTACACGTGACTGTGGTATGTACATTCCTGGTTGTGATTTGATACTCCAACAGTTGAAATTAGAAGGAAGTTCGCGATAGATGCTTGATTTTGAGAATGGAGAGCCAGGAGATTCTCCTAGTTGATTTCCAACCGGCTGATGGCACTTCTAGCCCAGCAGAGGTCATCGGGTCTCAGATCCATCTCGCGTCCTGTAAAGCCAATTTCTTCTCCCTTTATCGCTATGCAAACGCGTCACAAATATTGCTGCTATTGGGATCAGGATGCTGTGCAGTAATTTCTGGTGTAGCAATGCCCCTGGTGACCATTGTATTCGGGGCTTTGGCAAAAGAATTCATCAATGGCGATGAGAAAGCGCCGCAAGATGTTCGAAACCAAGTTCAACACCTCACGCTCTATTTGGTCTATATCGGTAAGCATTTATCCGAGTATACTTGATAAGAATACTGATATATGCTCAGCAATTGGATCTTTTCTTACAACCATGATCAGCACATGGGGCTTCGATGTTGTTGGGGAAAGGATCACACATGAACTTCAAGAGAGATATCTCTCTTCTGTCCTACAACAAAACATCGCCTATTTTGATGTCCTCGGAACGGGGGAGCTCACTTCATCCATGGACCACGACATGCAATTGATCCAGGCAGGACTTTCACAAAAGGTTAGCTATATCATCTCTGGCATATCTGGCTTTGGGGCAGCCATAATTTTTGCATTCATGCAAAATCGGAGATTTGCATCTATCATGATCTCACAACCTCTTGCTCTTGTTACGTGGGTAGGGGTTATGGGATACTTCTTGAGCATCACGCAGAAGAGAGGCTTGAGACAATACGCCAAAGCCGATAATTTGGCACAGGAAGTGCTGAATGCAATGAGGAACGTTCTTGCCTACCGCAGTCAAGAGAGATACTCCAAAAAGTTTTTTGATACTCTGCAGTGTCCAGCTGCACTGGAATTTCGGGAACGTTTTATTTTCGGTTTTATTGTCGCAGGCTCTTTCACGACTTTGCATTGGGGCAACGGGTTGGGTGTATGAATAGGTCTCCGCTTTTCTTTTTCATATGGATATCTACTGATGATTTATCTTTAGTTCTGGCAAGCCAATAGACTCTTCCATCAAGGAGTCTGTACTGTTTCAGAAGTGTTGGTCATTCTGTATGCAGCAATGGTTGCAGGTGGAATGCTGTGCCAAGCGTTGCCATTTGTTGTCGATATAACACTGGCAAATGGAGCAGCCCGTCGGGTGTTCTCAGTCATTGAACGTGTTTCGCCGATAAACCCAATGAATAAAATGGGGATAATACCATCTTCAATTGGTGAAATTCAATTTGAAGACGTGAGCTTCACTTATCCCTCGCAGCCCGAGAGGACTGTCTTGGAAGGGGTCAGTTTCACTGTCCCGCCAGGCCGCACTATGGCCTTGGTAGGACCCTCGGGCTCTGGAAAATCCACAGTCTTTGCCATTTTGGAAAGATTATATCTTCCATTCAATGGGACTATCACCTTGGGTAACGAACCACTCGAGAATATCAATGTTGCGTGGCTCAGGTCCCAGATTGGGTATGTCGGTCAAGACATTACTCTGTTCGATGCGTCTATACATGACAATATCGCAAATGGTCTATCCATAGCTGAAAATGAGGTTAGTTGAAGCAGTCAAGCTTTGACGGAACATTTACTAACCCGAAGAACAAGACTTTAGAAGAATCGGCTGTCCGAAGCATAGTCATCCAGGCTGCTGAAAAAGCTCAAATCCACTCTTTCGTAATGGATCTTCCGCATGGTTACGACACCGTGATTGGGGCAAATGGGTCGAGCCTATCTGGCGGACAAAGGCAAAGAATTGCCATTGCACGCGCCATTGTTTCGCAGCCAGCGATCCTACTCTTGGACGAGGCTACAGCTGCTTTGGACAGTCAAAGTGAGAAAGAGGTACAAGAGGCTCTGAATGAAGCCGCTTCAGGACGAACCACTATGATAATTGCTCATCGACTGTCAACTGTTCAAAATGCCGATATAATACTTGTCCTAAAGGATGGCCATATTGTGGATCAAGGTTCACATGCAGGCTTGATGAAAACTTCCACGACGTATCAAGAGTTAGTGAGACACCAAGCATTTCGCTCAGATGACCGACCAGTGAAAAATCTAAACTGCAAGTTACCATACTCTGAGAAAGATGTCGAAGAATTGGATGATCTTTCCGTCCCTGTTGATGGAGTCAAGTTGCCAGAAGGTGCGCCGGTGTTAGCATTACGACCCAGCAATGGCGCCAAGCATGTTTGGCATCTCAACAAGCCAGAGCTATCTTACACCATTGCAGGTGTTGTTTTCAGCATTTTTGCAGGACTATCTTATCCAATCCAAGCAATTTTCTTCGGAAACGGCGTCATATCAATCATCAACCCTGCTCTCAGTACTGGCGGTCACAATGTGCAATTTTGGGCATTGGTATATCTTATACACGGGATCGTTGTGTTTGGTATATACTGTGCGCGAGGATATTGTTTTGCAATGGCAGCGTCGCAATTAAATCTTCGAGCTCGGTCAAGCTTGTTCAAATGTTTGCTGATGAAGGACCTCCCATTTTTTGAAAAGAAGTGCCATTCAACCGGGCAATTGGTGACCTTTCTTTCGTCGGGAACAAATAAAGTCACCGGTGTCTCGGGTACGTCTGTTGGTCTTGCAGCAGAGAGCATCGTAATGCTCGCAACAGGAATCATTGTTGGATGCATTTTTGGATGGGAGCTTGGTCTTGTCTCGACAGCTGCAGTACCATTGGTGGCACTCTCTGGCTTTCTGCAGTATTATATTGTGTCGCAGGTGCAGAAGCACGTCAAACGAGATACCAATGCCGCGACCATTGCGCATGAAGCTTTTTCAGCAATCAAAACCGTTACAGTCCTTGGCATGCAGAGGACCATCCTTGAAGCCTTCCGAAAGGAGATTCGAAGAGAGAGCCAGGGCAGGTACTGGGTCATTTCTGCAGTTATTTATGCATGTACTCCTATGCTTCGCGTGCTAAGCATTGCTTTTGTGTTTTGGTACGGTGGAACGCGGCTGATTGCAACAGGCGAGTACAGCATCCAACAGTTCTTCATCTGCTTTGCAGCAACGGTGTGGGGATCACAGTCTGCCGCTGCTCTTTTTGCACATGCTCCAGATCTTGCGGGTGCGTATGCTGCTGCCAATCGATTAGAGTACTTGATGCAGCCCAGTGGTTCACAATGTTCGAAGAAACAAGACAAGGTCCCCAGGCCTGCGCCGGGCACTGTCGAAGACCTTGCTTTGCAGCGCGTAAGATTGAAATATCCGGCTCGGTCATCTCATATGGCATTAGACGATGTCAGTTTCGACGTTCCGGAAGGAGCATTCATCGCTCTTGTTGGGACCACCGGCAGCGGCAAAAGCTCAGTGATCAATCTTGTGGAGCGTTTTTATACGGCCGAGTCTGGGAAAATAATTTTAAGTGAGAAGGATATCAGGGAGTATGATCAGGATAGCTATCGTCAGTACCTGGCGCTGGTTGACCAAAATCCTTGTCTGGTTGGGGAAGATATGCGCGAGTGCCTGCAGAGTGATGAACGGGTCATCTCTGACGATGAGATTCTGGCAGCTTTAAAAGGGGTTGGACTGGCTGATTTCGTGGTGAGTGGTGCTTGCTTCCAGCTGGTATTCTAACGTGCTGACATATGTGCCAGCTTTCCCTTGCTCAAGGCTTGAGTACCCCCGTCTTGGCCAATGGATCAACCCTTTCTGGGGGACAGCGCCAGCGCATGGCGATTGCCAAGGCCCTTTTGTGGGAGCCAAAGATCCTGTAAGCATACCCGTTCAGGTGTGTTGACATGCTCTAACACTTTTGCAGCTTGCTCGACGAAGCCACCTCCGCACTGGATACTGCATCCGAAATGCTCGTCCAAGAAGCACTCAAGCACGCGATGAAAGGCAGAAGCACGATTGCAGTTGCACATCGACTGAAAACAATCGTTGATGCAAGTAAGATATTGTTGTTTGAGAGTGGACGAATCGTGGAGCAAGGTACCCATGATCAGCTGATGCAGCTAAGAGGTAAATACTGGCAAATGGCCAGGTTGCAGATGCAGATGGAGGGAGAAGACTGAGTCTGGACATATAATGTCTGTATATATCTATGCATACAACTGGAGTCTTGAAAAAAAAGTAAGAGAAGACAAGTACTTCTCTTGATGTCACGACGATCAGTCTTGGCAAAGGCCCTAACTTTCCGCCCCCTACACTCTGATCTCCTAGCTCTGTACTGAGCTCCTGAATTATGTCACTCATTCAATCTTTTCTGAAGGTCTTGGTTCCTTTAATAACAAGTGCCCTGGTCCTCGCATTCTGGAATCGCGCATCCCTGTCTTCAGTCCCAGGGACCACAACAACAGTATCCGAAGAGCACAAGCCGATAATACCTTCCTCTGGAAGCTGGGGAACATGGTTCAATTCGCATCAATATACCCAGCCCAATACTTCTCAAGCCTCTGGAAAGGACTGGAACATTTTCCATCATCTCGGAGGTAATGGACCCTGGGTTGAGAACATCCATGAGAAAGCGGCCTCCAGACTTGAAATCCCAGAGGGCTGCTCAATTGATCAGGTGCACCTGGTATGCTTAGTGTCCTTGGTTCTTCTCTTTTCTCATTAGAGAGATTGGTTTGCTGATTCCCCCTAGATATCACGACACGGGGAGCGATATCCCACGCGATCTGTTGGGAACCGTAAGTCTACCGATCATTGACATCTCCCTTTTTTTAACTCACTGGAAGAGTAGGCCATTTGATGTTTCTCAGGCGCATTAAAGACACTGGTTTTGCTCTAAATGGATCCCTTGCATTTCTCCAAAACTGGACCTATATCACGGACGACCCTGAGAATGACTTTGGTGAATTGACACGTACAGGTCCATATGCTGGTACCTTGAGTTCGTTTTCAAAAGGCGTTCAATTTCGAACACGGTATGGACATCTCATTCCCAATAGTATTCAAACACGGCTGTGGGCAAGTGACTCAGGCCATGTGATTGAGACAGCCCGCCATTTCGCCTCTGGATTCTTTGGTCTAGACTGGGAAGTATCTTACAAAGCAGAGCTACAGATCATACCAGAGACTTTCGAGCGTGGTGCAGATACTCTTACTCCGGGTAATACCTGCCATAAGTACCTCGAAGATACCATCCATGGCCATGATAATGGCCAAGAGGCGCTTGCGCGTTTCCAGGAAAGCTACACACCTGCAATTGCGGATCGGCTCATGCATGAAGGAAATTTCGGTCTCAAAGAGCTTTCCAGCATGGAAGTATACGCTATGCAGGAAATGTGTGGGTTTGAGATAATGGCTCGAGGGTCGAGTCCATGGTGCCAGGTGTTTACCGAGCAAGACTGGCAACACTTTGAGTATGCTCGTGATCTGATTCATTATTACCGTGCCGGACCATGCAATCCCTATTCTGGTGCTATGGGATGGCTATGGCTGAATGCAACAACCGGATTGCTTCGCGATGGGCCGGAGGCTGGCAGTCTGTTCTTTAGCTTGTGAGTGAAGTTGTGCTCTAAGGTAGGGAGCTATGCTAACTTTATACTCAGTGTCCATGATGGTGACATAGCACCTTTCATCACAGCTTTGGGTGTTCTTGGGAGTGAAGAACATCTTCCTATAACTCGTGTTGTAGCAGACCGTATGTGGCGCACTTCTTCCATTTTACCTATGGGTACAAGGGTTACGCTTGAGCGAATGTCTTGCTCGGCAGCAAATGATCAGTCCTATGTTCGAGTCAACATCAATGATCGCATTATGCCGTTGCCATTCTGCAAGTCAGGTCCTGGGGTGTCCTGTTCTCTTGGTCACTTTATGGACTATGTTCACCAGCGCAGGGCAGAGGTAGGGCACTTTGCAGAGGTGTGTGGTCTACAAGGAGATGCAGGAAGCATCTCATTCCTGCACCAAAAATAAATCCAAGAAAGCCACTGCGTGTTGTTTGAGTGGTGATTCGGATATATAATTGTGATACCCAACGATAACGTAGAAAATTTGAACATCCAGCTTGAAGCGAATAAGCCAACTTCACAATAACAATCACACTTCATCTCGAGTTAATAGGAAAAAAAAAAGAATAAAAGAAGACCAAAAGTGAATGCGTTCATTGTGCAGACACGTGACCGTATCCCGGCGAACCAATGTTTACCAAAAAGTTTGGCTTCCTCCTTCGATTACTTTGCTTTCGCACTACATCAACTTCTGGGGGATTTTGCTGTCATACCTTCATCAGTCTTTACTGCACATCTCAAATTTACATATTTGACTGCGCCCACCATGGAGTACCACTCCGTCCCACCGGAGGAGCGCGCTAGGGACGAGCAGGGCAACCTCTTGCCCTGGGGCTACGTGTACAAAGAGTACGTCAGCTTTGAGCTCTACCATTTCAATTTGAATATCCTGACTGATCAATTTTAGCGAAACTCGCAACCCCCGACGACCAGCAGAAGAATCAGGACCCTTTGGCAAGCGAAGAAACGCTCGATACCAAAATGATCGATCGCGCACACGAACTGGCACACCCGCGGCCAGGCGAGAGAATGCCAATGTCGCTGAGTTCGATCGGTTATTCTCAATGCAGCAACAGGACGTAGAGAAGATACAGGGTCTACCCAAGTCAACATCGTCATCCAGCCTTGACAACCCACGAAAACTTTCCGAGAAGGTCGCAACCGAGTGTATACTGTACGGATACAAAAACAAGGACAACGAGTGGAAAGTTATCAACAAATACGAGCAAATCTCGCAGGGCCAAATTTGTGAAGACTATCCGCGCAGTGATCCCAAATCTGCCACACCCTACTCTCAGATGCTGAGCGGCGGCGACGTCGTTATCCGCACGAATCTTTCCGCCGACGCGAATCGCAAGTCAAAGCGCTATGCCGGTGGCTACCATTGGATCAAGGTTACCTACGACTCGAGCCAATCCGCAGACCGCGCCTGTTTCTATTCACCGCAGGAGATTGATGGACATATCGTGTACTGTGAGCTGTACAGCGGCCATGGACCAGCTGAAGATAGCCCCATCCCTGTGGGCTCTGCGACGAGCGATCGCCTTCACAAGAGGGGATCGCGCACCCTGACCACCTCACACTCGACTGCATTCCTCTCCAACTTTAGCAAGGACCAGGACCGAATGACCTTACCCCGGTCTTTTGCCATGAACAATCTCTCCAGCGTCCCAGATTTACCAGAAGAGAACTCGCCCGAGTCCACCACAATCACAGACAATACCATCGCAGCCACATCCTCGACGGTAACCTCCGCAACCGCCACACCCTTGCTAAACACCGGCGGCTGGAGCACAAGCCCGACGGAAGCCGGCCCTTATACAGGCGCTTTAACAAGCCGCAGTCTGGCAACCGACAGCTCCTCTATGCGCCAGCGCCGCGCCTCCGCTGCCGCCCTCAACCCTACAGAACCCAACCCCGATCACGAATTCATGACACACATCCCCACAGTCCGCCGAACCAAGCTGCGCCCGTTGGCCGAAGCCCTCCCTCCCCAGCCAACACTCACAGAGCGTGTCCTCCGTTCCATCCCCATCTTAAGTTGGTTCACTGGCGACATCGTGGGCGAAGGCCCACAACTCTGCGACGACGGCACATTCGACTGGGACAAATCTGGTTCCTATTGGCGTTTCTGGTACACCATCGATGCATTCTTGGGTACGGATCTGTGCGGCATGAAGGAAGATATCTGAGTAGCTACATAATCCGATCACTCTGTCCACGAGTCACGATTTAGGTGACTAGTGGAAACTCCACACACTTTTCATAGATATGACCATTGTACTCTAGTTTACCAATGAAGTCCTCGGCAAGATGGTTCATTATGTTTACATAAGATACAGAAAGTCCGTAGGAATCATAGCGGAAACTGTAGATCCCAATGGCAATAAATCAAGCTAAGATGCAAGAAACAGCTCCAGTCTCACATCCCAAGCCCAACCAAACCTGAAAAAGCACAAAAAAAAAAAACAAAACAAAAGCAAAGCAAGAAGGTGAATACATTTCATTGTGATCATAGACCATAGTTTTTAAAGTAAAGACTCGGCGTGTTCTATTTATTCAACCTTGTTCTCGAAGTTCTCGCCCTCAACAAGGTCGGGGATATCATCCTCCTCGTCGTCCTTCTTATCACCCTGCTGCTTCTGCATGTTCTGGTAGCTCTCAGCGAGCTTGCGCAGGGAAGCGAGGGAGTCGGGGCCGAGCTGGTTGAGGATGTTGGGGACGAGCTCAGTGAGCTCCTTCTCCTCGCCGTTGCCGTAGAGGGCGAAGGTGTTGGAGGGGACAGCGCCGTGAACTATAAGAGGGATATGGTTAGATTGGGTTTGAGGGTTGGATGTCACAGCTCAGCTGGAGCTGTGGGCGTGGTTGCAGCTGGTCCAATGGAGCCTCAACTTACCACGGGGGTTGGCGAAGTGGATGACGTTGCCATCCTCCTTGAACATGTTGACCTCCTCAATGCCCTGGATGGGCTGGACGTTCAGCTTCTTGAGAGCGGCCTGGAGCTTCTTGTCGTCGGCGCCGGAGTTGCGGACAACCTTCTTGACCTTGCGGCGGGGAGTACCCTTGCCACTATGAGATTGTTAGTCATGAACAGCGGAGAATGGTGTTGCATGTTGAAAGTGGGAGTGGAAGGTGGGATATGCCGGTCGGAATCTTTCTGAAATGGAAGTGGGGTCTGGCACGGATGAGAAATCGAAAGAAGATGCTCGGTCGCCAGAACGGATTCCCAACCCAGGCGCGGTGTGAAGATCGGTCGCATCGAATTCAATAACGAAGAGGGTCGTCGCAGGGTAGCCGAGAATCCATCTGACGGCCAACAAAGTCGAATCCAAGCAGTCATTCCCAGTCGAAAATTCATTCCGTCGCCAATTCCATCCCATTCCATCGAGGTGTGTAGGTGTTGTAGAGAGTCGGATGATGATTTCAGGAGACGATGTATACATACCCTATCGAGGAGAATATCGTTAGCTATCAAATCCCACACGTTGACCGGCCATGCCGGATAATCTCGAAGCACCGAAGCTGTAGATGAAGTCTAGCCCAGCTCCCACGCAATCGCAGAATGGAAGCTTGGTATAGACACCAGCTTGCATCTTCGACGCTTGTCGAAACGTTCAAAGGAAGAAGAACATACCAATGCGCACGCTCTGCTGCATTCTAGCCAACTTTGCCTGATCCATGATGTCGGGTGAGGGGTGATCGCCTGAGGAGGATTAGCCGATAGTTCCGAGGGCAATAATTCAAAGAACAGTAATTCAGTGAATCAATGAAGTTGAAGTCTGAGCATACCGATAATAAAAGGTGGATGTGAGAGGGGGAGATGGGAAGTGGAAGAGTGATGATGCTCCGAGAGTTTTGTGTGGGGATGGGAAAATCGCTTCGCTAATGCGACTGGGGGTGATGAGCAGTTTACAACTACAAATATGTTGTTTCTTCAGTTCTAATGGTCTGTACTACAAGATTACAGCGTTCTGGTCATGATGGAAGGTTTTTGTTTCTCTTGTGCGTTTGTGGGTGGAGGATGTGAAGGTGAGGATATACTCGGCTAAACCCTAACGCAGAGAAGACACTGCAGGAAGGGAGAGAGATGTAGACATTGTCCAATATAGAGGAAGACAATATAAGAGGCTGTCTACACCTCATCTATCACTCTTTCTACTTCCAACCATCTCCATCCAAACCTCACGGAGTACGTCAATCCAATCCAGGCTATATCAAGCTATACCCGAAACGGAAACGGATAGCCTCACATTCATTCCTCAACTCACGCAGCAATCTTCTCTTCCCAATTATTATAATACTTCCGCCAAGGATGCTTCTCAACAAACCCAAGCATTCTCTCAATATCAACATTGGAAATTGGCGCTTCAAACTCCTCCATCTCAAGCGTAATAGGCGTACCAGGCGACTGAGCCTGCAAACCTCCCTAGTCGGACTCTTAGTAGCATTGAAAACCTGAAATCCAAGCTCAGAAGTCTTCAAGCCAGCCTCACACATACCCCCAAGGTCCCGGGCATCAATATACGACCACCCATGCACCTTCCACATATGCAGCTCATGAACATAGCTGTAAAAGATGGATCATTGTACTCATGCGGCTCGATAACACGCCCAATGCGCAGAGTGTAAATAGCAGCCCCGCGCAATGCTCTCATTGCATAGTTGCGCAAAGGCATGGATCCGTTGGGGTTCACGTCCAGATCTTCATGTATGGGAAAAGAAGGGAAATTGGCGTCGCCCTGTGCGAATGAGACACCATAGACAGCTACACTGCTTGCTAGGATGGCCGGGAAGTATGGCCGTGATCAAGCTTATCATGATGCCATCGTCTCTGCGTATCAGACACGAATATATGGCAACGTGTCGGAGATTGTAGATTGTAGGTAGATAGTTATATCACAAAACGAGTGGAATCATACGATAGAGGCCAGTCCTTTCACAGTCATTTGAATGATCTGGATCATCAAACCGAGGCACTCGAAAACGGGACAAAGAGGTGAAGCCAAGTCAAGACAAAAATATTAAATCAAATGCTACATATATAGATATTCAGTGCTTGGAAACCTCGGCTTCAGTCCAATCCCAGAGTTTGCTTGCAACATCAGCTTTCTGAACGAAAGCAGCGCCACCGCAGCGATAACCGACCGGGCTGTAGTAAGCGCCATTAACAAGCTTGTCTTTCTGCGTCCCAACCGCCCAGAGAGAATTAAATGCTCCACTGGTGACAGTCCGGAAGAACATAGAGCCAGTAGCCGTAATACTGTACTTCAACATCCAGCTAAGATCCTTGGTGTGTCCATAAAGTCCACTATCAACTGCGCCGGGATGCACAGCAACAGACAAGATATCAGGATAGCGACGGGCCAGCTCAGCCGCAAAGAAGATATTAGCAGCCTTAGAAGCACCATAACGGGTCCAGGTACTGCCAGCCAACAATTTAGGCGTCGAAACCATATCCTCAAACGTCGACGGTCCGACCACATGAGCTGCCGAAGCCACAGTCACAACGCGGACATCGGGGGTCTCACCCTTGGCGCGGTCTTGATCAACGGTCTTCTGCAGCGTTGGTAGCAGCAACTTGGTCAGCAGGAAGTGACCAATATGATTTGTGCCGAGCTGAACCTCGAATCCTTCCTCCGTCTTCGTAGGCGGGTTCCCCATCGTCCCCGCATTAAGGATGAGTATGTCCAAGCGATCGCTATCAGCCTGGAACTTGTCTGCGGCGGCGCGGATCGACTTGAAGGAGGAGAGGTCGAGGGGTAGGTAACGAATATCCGCTGGCGAAGATAATTGGCCTTGGAGGGATTCGATTGATTCGCGCGCTTTGCTCTCAGTGCGAGCGGCCATGTAGATTCGTGAGGGGCGGTGCTTGGCGAGCTGGAGGATGGTCTCTTTGCCTATACCGGCGTTGCCTGTGAGAGCGAGTGCATTAGTTAGTTGTGAAGCCGTAGATAAAAAGAGGGAGGGAGTTACCGCCGGTGACAAGGACGACCTTGCCATCGAGATTGCGGATGTCGCGATCTGGCTTGAAGGACGCCCCTAGCAGACCGAAGGTGGCCTCGTTCAAGGTCGGACCGAAACTCGAGAGAGTTTCACGGGGATGGCGCAAGCCATAGGTTGCGAAGCCTGTTGTTGCTGCTATATCACGAAGATCCATGGTTAATCAGAGTGGAAGGGGAGGAATTGAAGTTCCCATGGTGAAGTCAAGCCTGAGCTCGGCGTTCGTCACATGTAGTAAAGCTGCCGAAGTAAAGAAGCGAAGAAAGCCATCTCGACATTTCAGACTGGACCAAGTCACTCCAGTCGTGTAGATGTACAGTAACAATTGGATATCCATACATCTTACCTTTCCTGCATATAATTTCCATGCCAAGTCATTCATCCCAGCCCTGCCAGCCCCGCCTACTCAATAAATCAGTAGCGCATGACTCCCTGCATTACTCTCCAATAAAAGGGCCATTGAAAGTATTTCTCCTTTATCCTCCCTCTTCGATCCCATTGCGCCCGTAAGACAAGTAAAGCCACCTCGAAGTCGCCGTTTCCTTGCATGCCAAACCCCTCCAACTTCCATTCAACACATACAAACCACAAAATGCGCTTCCTCTGTCTACACGGTGGTAGCACCAACAGCGAGGTACATATTCCCTACGAGCTCCACACTATCCAAACTTACAAACAGCAGATCTTCGAAATCCAAACCGGAGGCCTACGCCAACAACTCGAAAAGAATGGCCACCGCTTCAAATTCATGAACGGCAAACACGATGCCCAAGTGGAAGAAGGTAGACACCGCACCACATACAACCACCAGACCAAATAAATCTAACAACCCTAGAACTCGAAGGCGTAGTTGATGGCCCCTTCTACAACCACTACCCCAGAGGCGACAACCCCCCAGCCTCAACAATCCAAGAAGCATACGACCACACAATGCAATTTATAACAGAACAAGGCCCCTTCGACGCAGTAATGGGCTTCAGCCAAGGCGCAGCATTGGCCGCCTCACTGATAATCAACCACAGCAAGAAAAACCCAACCAGCGCGCCGTTGTTCCGGGCCGCGGTGTTCATTTGCGGTGCGGCGCCGTGGGACAGTGCTGGTATGGAGCATATCCTGCCGCGGCCGGATACATATCCGATTAAGATTCCCACGGCGAATATTGTTGGCAAGCTGGATTCGCTTTATGGGGAGGGTGTGCGGTTGTTTGAATTGTGTGAGCCTGCAAATGCGGCTTTCTTTGATCATGGGTCTAAGCATATGGTTCCTTTTGATTTGAGGAATACTGAGGAGATGGTGCGGGTTGTTGAGGAGACGGTTAAGAAGGCTATGCGGGGCTAGGAGAGGTGATTATTTGAGGATGAGGATTGATGAGAGGACGGGCTATTGATTGTCAGTGGCTTCATGGTATATTGATATATTTCACATGCATCGATAGCAAATCAAAAGCCAAATCAGGCTGGTATCATTCAATGCTGCTTCTCTGTGTACTTCTGCTGTTTCGATTGATATCTAGACCATACGATTGCAGCAAGTAGCAATGCAAACCCGATAATCAAGATGGATCCCCATTGACTAGTTCCAATGGTCCCACTCTGGACTCCATGATCAAGTCATAAACCAGCAGCAGGGCCATCAGCCTCAGCGGGAATGTACTTCTCAAGGAACTTCTCCAAGTCATCGATCTCTGAAGGATCAGCCGAGTGACCAAGACCACTATAAACAAGTTAGCAATCACTCTAAACAAAACCCAGATTTCACATAGCATACCCATAGGAGTTAAAATCAACATCCTCAACACCAATCTCCTTCAACAGCTCAGCAGACTTCTTTCCAAACCGGAAAGGAACAATCTCATCGTCAAGACCGTGACCAAGGAAGAAAGGCGTCTTGTTGTTGACCCACTCCTCAGGTAGATAATTCTTGATCCGATCACTGAGAAGCAGGTAGCAAGAAAGTCCAAAGATACCACCCAACTTCTCAGTATTGGTCAAACCAGTGAACACAGACATGGCACCACCCTGTGAGAATCCACCCAGGATAATGCGCGACGCCTTGATGCCCTTGTCCATCTCTTCCTTGATCAGGCCGTTGAAGTATTCGCGGGAACGGAGGATTCCGGTCTCATCTTGGGTGCGGACGGATTCTTCAAAGTCGAGCTGTAACAACAGAGTGTGTTAGTTGGTGTTCGGGTTTCGTGGGTGGGTCGAAGGTGCGCTTACGTCGCGGCCGAGCTTGGTGATGTCGTACCAACCGGGCATCTCCATGCCGAAGTTCTAAGTTCGTGGGGTTAGCCATTGTATCTGTGAAGGATATGATTTGGACATACCACTGTAATTGGGATGTCGGGGGCATTGGGGAAGATGAACTTGGTCTCTTCGAACTTGCCGCGGCGGCGCCAGTTCTGGGCAAGAGCCATCCTGTTCGAGAATCCAAGGTTAGACTCAATCGAATTATATCGACACGGTGGGAAATCTGTGGAACATACCATCCGGCACCACTGCCATCAAATAAAGTTAGTCGATGCCTACCTTCTCGCGGGGGACTGTCTTACGTGTCTCCCAGCCCGTGGGCCATGATCACCGTAGAGGTGTGCTTTTTGAGCGCAGGAACGACAAAGGGTCTAGCAGGCATCTTGAAATGAATATGAAGAATCTCGAATAGGAGAAGAAGGATGAAGGCAGAGAGAATGGAATCTGTTATTTCCCCCACAATTCTGCCAATATCGTTATCGCCGGTTCACCGCCTATTTTACACTGCCAGCCGAGGATCCAATCGATATATACATTTCTACAGCAAACATTAAACATTACATCCACACATAATAGAGATTAGCCCCGCCCCGTCAGACGATATATCTCACCCTTAGCTGACTCAATGAACGCATTAACAAGACCAACCTCAACAACACTCTCCTGCCAAGAAATAGCAAGCACCAAACACCCATCACCACCAGTAACAACAGAAACCTGGAGCGCATTACCCATCACACTAGCACATTGGGAAAAGACCATACCCTGGATATCAGGCACAGCAGGATCTGTCTGAGGAGGAACAACCCCAATGTTCGAAACCTCGAAACTCTTATCGCGCTCTAAGCCGACCTTGGAAAGACACAATTCCTGCTGATAATCATCCACGAATTGAAGGAGATTGATACTAGCATCTTTCCCTTTCATCTTCAAAACCGAATTGATAGTATTCCGAGACCGGCGAGCCTCAGCCCAGGGGAACATATGATCCGATGAAGGGATCGTGGCGTCACGTGTATATTGTTCCTCGTAATCTTGGACCCAAACGCCCATGCTGTCGTCCGTAATATATTCTGGTAGCCAGCGCCGACAAGATAATGCTCCGCTGCAATTCAGCTTTGAGTATTCAACTGGGAGATGCGTGAAGAGTGAGCGGGCGACGAGGGTCTGCAGGAACGCAGTGATAGTTGTATTTTCCTGACGACAGAGATGTCTCAATGCCGTAACTATAGTTTCAGAAAATGGAACCAGTCGTAGCCGTGTCTGTGTTGGTTTGCGGATCTTGGCACCTGTCCATAATCCCTCATCTCTTCGCGAGTAGATCTTCGCTTGGAAGAGTTTCTTGGTGAGATACCACATGGAGAGGTTCATTGAGTGGATGGTCTCGATATTAGGAAGCATGCTCTTTTGCGGCGGCGTGATGACAGTTTTAGGATCATCTGATGGAGCAGCGCTTAAGGCTCGCAGGAGGGTTTGATGAAATGCTTTCCCGGAAGTCCCATCGCCAATGGCATGGTGATATACAAAAGCAGCAGTGAAATGCTGTTTATTCCCTGTATCTTGGAGAATACACAATCTCCACAGCGGATCCAGCGCTTTGAAAGGCAGATTGTGCTGCCCCGCCAGGAGGGCTTGCAGGTCCAGATCAGGGGTTGGTTCACCATTAGCTTCTGTGCCTAGCAGACTAGGCTGCCGGACCTTGAAAGAAACAACTTTATCTAAGTCGATCTGCGGTAGCCGGACAAAGTACGGGTCTTGCGTATGATCATCTGCCACAATGGCGGATAACGACGGGTGCTCTGCGATTGCGGCTTCGCATGCTTGATACACATAGTCCTTGATAGGGGCTGTGAATGAATTTGGGAGAGTGTACGTTGCTGATACTGCAACATTCAAGTAGAACCCCACTTGATGGCGCGCTGTTGAATATTGTTCCAATCGTCCTGACTCTTGTTAATGGACAGAGTTCGGTGTTGTATCTTCGGAACTCTTTCCGACTTACCAACTGGACGCAACCTTTCCAATTCGTCCATGATCGTGTGTCACAACCCTTGAAATTGATTTCTCCAAGGTCTGCGGAAAAATAAACACGTCTAATTTATTTTCTCGGTTGCTTGTGTCTACCCGCACACGTGACGTTGTATAATTCGGTAGAGCCGGGTCAGAAGCGTATCGGTATACGCTGAGTGCGTGGATTATGCAATTCGAAGAAGAAAAATTGAAAAAGTAGAAATTCCATTCATAGAAGCAAGAGTGACAGAATTGAGTAGAGAGCCAATAAATGCAAGATATCGTAAATCAGGCTTATGCATTCATCACTTAACTCCGGTAAAGCAAAGAGAAGAAAACACAATATAATTCAACTTTTACAAAACAGCCAGACCTCCGACCAGAGCGGCACCGAGAACACCCCAAGCAGCAGTCTGCATAGGCACAGCAGCACCCTTGGAAGTGGAAGTGGAGGCAGAGTTGGTAGTGGAAGAACCACTCTGTGCCTGACCCTCACCTGTAGATTCGTTGGCATTGCGGGCAGCAGACGAAGCAGGGAAGGCAGTGGCGGCGAGGTTGGTGTTGTTGCTGCAAGCAGAGGGCTTCTCGTAAGTGACATCGGCGGAGAATTGGACGTCGGCGCACTGCACAGGAGGATGTTAGTATCTCCGAATGTGTCACAGAAGGAAAGGAAACATACAGCGTAAAGACCACCCGAAGGATCGCCATTGGTCTGAACCTGAAGGGTAGCATTCATCCCGTCGGTAAGGTTGCGACCAATGAGTTTCTCAGTGATAGCAACGTGAGGCAGACAGAACTCGCCGAGTCCATTGACCTGGAAAGTAGGAGTGAGGACAATGTTGTAGTTGTCGCCGGGGTTGCTGCCGAGAGAGAGCAAGACCTCGACGGCAGTCTGGGCATGGTGCATCTCCAAAGCAACGGGGAAAGAGCCACCCTTCAATGGGAGCTTGGTGCGGTTGGAGGACTGGCTCATGCCACCGCAGGGGAAGTCGGGCATGGTGTCCTCATCAAACCCACGGGAGGTGGGGTACATCAGCTTGAAGTGAGCCGCGGCCATTGGCACGACGGATGCGAGGGCGAGGAGAGTGAACTTCATGGTGATTGAGTTGAGTATAACGAAGAGATAGAGAGAGGATTGAGGAGAAAGAAGGTAGAACCAGAATAGGGAAATGAGAACTCTGTTTCTTTCGTACACAAGATGTCGGAGCTAAGTCAGGGTCCACTGCTTATATGGCGTATATGACATCGGCTATCTGGACCCTTTGAGCCCTTCGAGGCGGATTGAGCGCATTTCACTACACGCATTTTCCGTTTTCTGTCTGTTCGCTGCTTTTTTGTTTTTTGTTTTCTCTGCTTCTTTATATGAATCATTGCAAGATTGCACTATTACATCTATATGTATTGTGTCTCTCTTCGCTAGAATAATTCTAGATAACCATGTGGCCGGCATGTACCTACCCGTTTGGTATAGAGATGAAGAGATACCAAATGCGGATAGCGTGGATACACTAGCGCTGGTAATGGAGCCTACCCGACACACTAGTCCCAATTAGGTTAGAAATTCGCTCAAATGTTCTCAAGCGGGATGACCGCGATCGTAGGGCAGAATTCAAGAATTGAGCGAATATTAGAGCGAAAGAATGGTAGAAGCGAATGTCAAATTGTAGGAGAACCAAAGATATTATCCCCGAACGCCAAACGATGCACGCCATTACGCGTAGAAGACAACATATATGCCAAATAAAGCGATCAAGATTTCGTCATTATCATCAACGGAATCAGTGCCCGTGCTCAGGCCAGTGAATAAAGCGTCCGACCGCCAATTCTCCGAGGAAAGCACCTCCGAGTACCGAGCAGAAATAGCCGACGTTCATGGTCATGACAGCCAACATGCTAGAGGGATGTTAGCATCAATCCATAGGTTAAAGCAGAGTAGAAAGGAGGACGTACAGTAGGTAGGATACTCCAGCGATGCACAAGAAGAGCAATGCCCGCGGCAAGTCAACACTGAAGCGCCAAGGAATGGGACCACGAGAAAGGTTATGCACCACTTTGACAGACTCCTCAACACCTTGCGCAGTAATAAGCGATGCGAGCTTTGCATCTGGATCGGTATCGAGGTTGCCAGACTCGGTGTTTTTGCCAGCCACAGTCACATAGCGACGGTTGAGGTGAGTGGCGAGCCAGTGTTGTTCCATGACAGCCTTGAACGCGATGAGGCATCGGTCAATGATAGCGAGGACAATCAGAAAGATACATGTTCCTGCAAATGCACCGGAAGAAGATGGTGTCCAGGTATTGGAGAAGAGTGGTGTGTCGTGGGTGTTTTTGAAGGTCATGGTCATTGAGGTGCTCATGCTGTGAGAGCTTGAGCTAGTGCTGCTACCCATATCCATTCCGTCCATGATGAATTGAGGATTTGAGGAAGGTGAAGAAGTTAAGATGAAGAAACAGAGAAAACATGAAGTTGGAAGTTTGGAATGTGACGCTTTGGGACTTTGAGCAGGTTCCACAGTGGGTCCCGGTGGAACCATGAGATCCACTTACGCCCACGTTGAATTTGAGCAAGTTATTGCTAATCGAATTAATATAGTAATTCGGGTGTCCGTATCTACTTCCGAATTCCGACATCTTTCCTTTCTGCATCTGTCATGATCCTCTGATTGTCAAGATGTCAATGTCAATGGGGGATATGCCCGCGGGCTCCATGGACATGGGAGGTGGAGTCCCCAGTCTATTCACTCTACAGAAGATGTACTGGGCTGTTGTGGGTGCTGCTATCGGCACAGCAACCCTCGTCAACGTGCTGGACCGAATCATCGCTCGGCATCGGTATGTACAACCACACCAAGTCCACGACTAAATTTAATACGAGGCAGTCTGCGAGATTCTTCGCTCACCCCCGCCAAACCAAAATCACTTTTCTTCAACTTGTATGCTACTGCCACAGCGACAGTGCGTGAAGTCAGCTATGCAGCTCCAAAACCTCTCAAAGTTGGAGAATTTACTCTCCATTTTCCGCCACTGGGTCCGGTCCTCATCATGCTGGCCTACCTGATTACAGTGATGGTCTTGTGCTTCTACAAACTCGACACGCTTGATCCCTGGAAATGGGAACAAGTCGGCTATCGCACAGGATTCATTGCAATTTGTCAACTGCCATTGATCTTCCTGTTGGCAGGTAGACAGAATATCATTGGTTTCTTGGCCGGAATGAGCTACGCCAGTCTTAACTGGTACCATCGTTGGATCTCACGGACACTGTGGTTGACGGCTACTATACACATGGGATTCTGGTTCCGCAATTGGGATCGCTGGCATTATATCGTCTATCAACTCAAGAATGATCCCTTGACCAAGCGCGGCTTCGCTGCTTGGATCATTCTCACCTTCATCGTGATCAGCTCTTTCGCCCCGGTTCGTCGACTCAGTTATGAGTTCTTCGTTATCCAACATCTGGTAACATTTGTCGGATTCATTGTCGCTGTATGGATGCATGCACCTACCGAGGTCAAAACCTGGGTGTGGGTACCAATTGGCCTTGTGGTATTTGATCGGGTCGCTCGCTATACCTGGGGTGCGTATGTCAACCTGGCAATTTTCCACCGAAAGAAAACTTCAAATGCTCTCTGGGCGCACTCTGCGTCTTTCACGCCGCTTCCAGGAAATGTCACCTGCGTGACTGTTGAGAATCCTGGTATCGGATGGCAACCTGGTCAGCACGTTTTCCTCACCTGTCACTCCATAGTTCCGTTGCAATGCCACCCATTTACCATCGCTTCTATTCCGGAAGATAACAAGATGGAATTTTTCATTCGTGCAGAGAATGGAGGAACAAGGCGGTTCTTCCGATTTGCATCAAAGAATGATAAAGTGCTGGGAAGTGGCGAGGTATCCCAGCACAGACAAACAATCTTCCTCGAAGGACCATACGGAAGCATGCGCCCCTTGCGTCAGTTTGATAGCGTTGTCTTGCTAGCAGGTGGAATGGGTGCGACATTTACGATGCCCCTACTCCGGGACGTTGTTTCTGCTTGGAAAAAGGAGAGCAATGAATCTGCTTCAAGTCCCACATCCCGAATAGCTGCCACCAAGCGGTTACGGTTTATCTGGGTGATCAAATCGCGTGCTCAATTGTCCTACTTCGAGACCCAGCTACAGTCTCTATTAGCAGATATGGAAGAATCTCGGCGGACACAGCCAAGCTTCGAGAAAGAGCTCGAAGTGAGCATCTACATTACTTGTGATGAGAAGTTGGATCCACCGAATACTTCGGAAGCACCTTCGCTACCCGCGCAGACCTTCACTCAAGATGCATCCATGTTCGATGAGAAGAAGGGCTCCGGAGTGGACCACATCTCCATCCACTCCATTTCCAGCCAGTCAACATCGAACCAAAAGCCCAAGCCCACAGGAACCGGTTGTCTCCCTGGCGGAGGATGCTGCTGCATGACCCAAATCGAAGATGAAGACGAGATCACCAACTGCACATGTACCTGCGCCGGTCCAGCCCCTGCTCAGCCCGAGAAAGTCACAAATGTCAAAGCAAAGACACAGCCCGTTGAATTGAAAGAGGCTTGTGTTATCCGTCCAACAATTGTGTCCGGCCGTCCCACGCCACGCATCATCATCCGAAAGGTCTTGGAAAAGGCCGAAGGCGAAAGTGCAGTTGTCGTATGTGGACCCCGTGGATTAGCAGATGATGTACGCCGTAGTGTTGTTTCTCTTAGCGACGAGCGGGCCGTTCACAAGGGAACTGGTGCGCAGGGAATCTACCTGCATGTTGAGAACTTTGGTTTGTAAGAGGAGAACTATGTTATGATGTTTATGATACTTAGTTATTTGCATGGCGTGGAGTTTAATGGTAGCTCATTCAATTGAAACTTTCTTTTCTACTGAACCACATTTCTGACAGGGGTCAAAAATTTGAGTAAAGTGTTACTGATAAAGTATTGAATGTTCTTTACACGAAACCTTCAATCACGAGTGTACGGCTTCTTGCATTATTTTGGCCTTTAGAAGACCGCCCTCCTTCTCACCTCTTTTTCCTTTGTTTCCAACTGCATCGGCTTGTAAGTATTTGGATGTGGCGGAGAAGGTTCAAACGAGGCGCTGTACCTCGGCAAGCAAACCATGTAGCAAAAGTATTAGAATGGAACGTATCAAGGTTCTTTTCAAACTTCCATCTGCCATATATAGCAAATGACCTAATTCCATGGATTATCGAAAGGCATATATAACGATATAATGAATCACTTCAAAGATTATGTCGTCGCCGTGTCGCTGCTATCCTCGCTCTTTCTTGTCATATCCTCCAAACCTCATTGACTTAGTTCTAGTTGGTATTCATATTTCATCTGAAAGTCTCTTTAAACCCAATAAGGAGACTATTTGAATATAAAAACCTAGCGTAATAATAATGTCCACCAAACCCTCCCAGCACTCGCAAATCGTTATCTAGATCCGCTCATACTATCATCCGAAACCATGAAGCGTCCTCTCATCATCGGAACGTGCAATAGTACGGCACGGGCATACCCCATACAAAAAGCCTCAATCGAAGAGCTATCAATCCTCACCCAAAAGTTCCTCTCTACAACAAAGTCGCTAAAACCAACCCGAATATCTTTCCCCGACAAACTCCTACAAATATCAGAGCACATCAGCCAAATAACCCTATCAAAACTCATACGAGAACACAGACCTCCACACCATCCTCCGAAAAACCCCTCTTTATCCTCAACGCCCGAAGAAACTGGGGCTCGGCCTTGAACTGGGCCTTGAAAAATGAGAAATGAAAAAAAGCAGCCGGCAAAGCAATCGACGTATGCACGAACGGAATAATTAGATCAAGACGGGAAAATCTAGGCATCCTCGTTGACGCAGTCCAGCTAGCCTGCGAAGCCTGGCCAGCTCCTTCCACGAAAACCTTCATTGCGATAGCAAATATTTAAATGGAAGGAGGTACCAAGACGCGTAATTTACATGAAGTTACTAGATACGTGCCTATTTATGAAGTTGCGCAGGCGGGTATTACCCAACTTGCTCGTTCGCTGATTGTGCAGGGGTCGCCTGTGGAGCCACCGTTTTAGCCTTGTCGTTCCGAAACTATGGCTATTGCGCCGCTTGTGTCGGCCACTATTAGTGGGCATGTTGAGATTGTGGAGTTGTTGCTGTCGAATGGGGCGGAGGTTAATGGGAGGGGTTATCTGTCTAAGTCTCCGTTGGCGTATGCATCTGAGCCTGGACATAGGTTGCCAAAGGTCAAATCGTTGTTAGAGACAAATCAGTATCAGACTAAGAAGTTGCAGGTTGTTTTGAATAGTCCCCTGGGATGGGGGAAAATCTTGTTCTGGATGAGGTTTTCATCTACAATTGATGTTAAGTTGCACCCTTTGATACTTGTTTTTGATGTGAGGAGTGGGAAATTTTATTCTTGATATGAGTTTGTTTGCTAGCTTTTGTTCGTTAGAAATAATGCATGTTTCTGCTTTGGGAGATAAAGTCTTTCCATAGTAGATCTTTGTTAGATATCCTTAAGAGCTAACGAAAGAAGCACCTGTAATCCACCGCGTAAGTATATCAAACGCGACATCCGGACGATCTTGAGGAAGCTAATAGAGAAGCAAGTTAGCAAATGATTAAGTTCATATGCCACAAGTGAGCACTTACCAGATGTCCTGCCCTATCAACAGTCACCAAAGCAAACCGAGATGCAGTCTTTGAGTGAGTATCAAAGTATACCTGCACTTCCTTAGTCGTGCCAACCACTTCATCGCGACCACCCATATTCGTAGTCCAAGGCTGCAGTGACTTCGCTGAAAACTCAACTTGACCCCTCCAAGACAACGAATTCGCCCATCGGAGAACTCCAGCAGTGTTGCAAGCCAAATCGAGGTTTCCTTGATAAGCCAAGAAATGGACACCACGAGAAAGAAGGAGTAGCACGGCATCAGACGAGTATGACATCATCTCCGGTGTAGCCTGGAACGATTTTTCAATGGCATCGGATGACAATTTATACTCCTTGATCTCATCAGGCGGCGAGAGAGCATCCCACACAGCCGGTGTATTCAGATATTGCTGGATATACTCAGACCTTTTATAGCAAAAGTCATCGATTGCGCAAGTTCCTGTGACTGTGAACTTTTGCGTCAGTTACATCCCAAGAAAAGAACATTGATGTTGGAGGTATTGGCTTACTATCAAAGCGATTGCGTCCTCCTTTCCCACTCTCATTATCATACCAATTTACCACACCATTCATACAAACAGAGCTTGCAGTATTGCAGATATCAGTATCGGGATTGTGGATGCATGTATCAGCTACATTCATACACCGAGGCATATTAGTCGCTAAGATGTCGCAACGAGTGTTGTTGAACACAGGTGTTTCAACGCCAGGGTTGGTAGTGCACAATGTTTCCCAGTATCCGAAGAAGATATCCTTGGGAGACATGAAGCCGTTGCCTACTAGGCATGACTTGAGATTGACCTGGATTTCCCGAGGATAGCGCTCATTCTGAGTTATGATCTCAGCTCCGAGGTAGGGAATGTATTTGCCCTACGTAGCCGGTCAGTCGAGTGCACTAACTAGAGAAGAATGATTTCTCACAGCGTAGGATTCGCCTGAGAGATGAAAATCAGAGAATTGTTTTTCGGGGAATATCTCCGAGATGAATATTTGAAGGAAATGATGCATATCAACAGCCGCAGCTTTTGAATCGCGCGGGACATCGTAGCCCTCGTCAATATACGAGAAACCAACACCAACCGGCTGATCAACAAAGAGCAACGAAGTGTTTCGGTTCCAGGCCCATGGATTGGAAACGGTTCCATTTCCATAGTCATTGATCAAACAGGGTCCAATCTCTTGAAATAGACCGAGCATACTGGAAGCACCGGGTCCACCGGTCATCCATAATGTTAATGGATCATTGGTGGCCTCATTCTGGCTGTCGAAATACCAGAAGAATAGGTGTTTATGCCCAATATCCAACCAGCCTGTATACTGCGCTGAGCCTGTTGCGCAGATTGTATCATTTTGTTGTCGAATTCGTACTGAGTGTGGGGAGTTCGGGCTTTTGAAGCTCGTGAAGTCTGATGTTGATGGCCCGCGGAGAATGGTTTGAGAGGCATAGCTCACGCCTAAAAGGGTACTCCAAATTTTCCACATTGTAGCAATTGAGAAGAATGTTAAGATATGAGAAGGAATCATGCAAGTTATATAAGAGTACTGTAAGCATGATAAGGCTCCACGTTACTTAGCGCTGCAGGGATCGGAGTTCGGCCCTCGGAGTAGTTCCAGATAGCCATAGGCAACAACATCAAGTCACCACTCAAGCGACCAATGGAATTAACTAAGAGGTATATGAGCGATTATTTTATTTCCGACAAAAAGTAGTTTTGAAGTCATTGGAGTCTAGAGCTAGCAGTTTGGTCATATATAGCGCTTAGTGCTTGATTTCGTTCTTGGTCAAGGTTGTCCAGCCGAGTATCAAGCCATCCAATGATATACCCGGAGGATCCAGAGGACCAGGAGACACTTGGGCCTTTTTACCTGGTTTGAAAAGTCCATATTTTCGGCGTTGACGCGCACTAGAAACGCCATTGGGATATTTAGAAAAGTAGCGTTCTTCTTCAGCTCTGGACTCGGGGACTTCGGAATCATTTTTTTTTGGTTGTTTTCTTGAATATTTTCAAGTAGCCAAGGATATTGATAGAAGACTGAAACCTCCATGCCAGCGATGGTGATCCCTCGGGGTGAATTAGCTAGAAATGTCTCCGAATAAACATACGGGGGTGTCTCGGGAACGTCTGGAGCACACTTGATGGTCCGCACAGGAAGAACTGCGTCGGCAAATGCTGTCGAAAGTATAGTCTTCATCATTTCCAGTGTGATCAGCCCATGCATCTTCCCAGGGATTTGCTTCTTCAGTCACAATTGAAGTTCTGGCCTGGGCCGTCCGTTGAGCTACTCCACCGTTTGAATTCAATGGAAGTGTACTCGGTTGAGGTTCCTCGCGGAAACCAAAAAAAAAAGGATTACTGAAGAACCTGCATGAGTCAAAGGAATTTGTCAGCGATACTTGAAACACTCCTCCATATGAAGTTTTACCACTCCATTGCGGAATCTGATGTACCGGGGTTGGTTCAGGGAAGAGCGACAACGATCGATGTCAGGGGATCCAATCCCGTAGATAGATCTTGCCCTCCAAATCCACCAAGGCTGAAGTTTTTACAATTGCGCTTCCCCTCGAAGGCTCGACATTAGCTTTCTGTTCAATTGATGGAAGTGTTCGATTATGGGACATAGAATAGAACCCGATAGCCCCAACGAAGAAAGCATGGACACTACACACAGACTGAGGTACTCGTTTGGCATCGAGATTATCACAGGGGCTGAAGATGCTAAAACAGTATCGCGAAGCATGGACACTGGCCTTTGTCACCCCCTACACTGAAGAGTTTGACTCCCTAGAGCTTTCGCCACAAGGGAACTTATTCAAATTGAGACTGAAAAGCCTTGTGCCATGTACCCATGCAGCTTACTTAATGAGCACCGACTTGGAATTGCAGTCTCAAAAGTTTGATCTCGTTGAGGATATTGTGTTCTCCCTTAACGAGCCGAAATTTGCTATCATGAGTGACAGAAAGAGGACTGAGTAGATATTGAATATACAGATACCTTAAGAGACCACATTTTCTACCCAGGAAAGAATCCACCGCTTCCGGTTTTCACCAGACAGTTCATTTGCCCCTCTGATCTTCTCACAATCAATTAAAATCTGGGATCTGGGACCTGGAAGAGAGAAAAACCTGTCATGTCGCAATTAGTTCTCTCAAATGAGCAAATCAAGCCAGACATAGGCTTCTCGCAAAAGGCAGGCTGATTCGGTTACCCTTTGCGTGCAAAAAGAAAATCCCTACGAATCGGAATCATTCTTATTACAGATTTAGCAGCTCAATCCAGCTCCTTATCAGCAAGTGACTGAAGATGTCAAACTATGTGACGACCGCCACTTTGCGCATGCGCTAGTCTATTCTGTGGACGGTGAATACGTTGCTGTGCAAATCCTCCAACTCGGGCATGAGTATCACGCGGACGGGTCAATTTACTGTAATGCTGTTCTGGTTTTGTATGGAAGAGCAACAAGATCGATGAGAAGTGTGATATGCAGGACAGGATATTCATATCCTAATGGACCAATGGCGGCTTTGGCCAGACATGATTGATACACCACCAAGAATGCGCTCTGAGTACAACTGCATCGTTGTCGTGAATGCTCGGACTGAAGAAAGGGGTTGATACACTTGAAACTTGGCTTCTCAGTAGCTCAGACCTTTCAATACGCCTTTCTTTTTTAGGCGATGGTCGGTGCCTCAATCTCGAGCGAGGCCGATTGCTCATTCCAGTCTCTGACTGCTCCCCCATCAACTTTGTGGGCTGGTGAAAAGTGGATCTTCTAGAGAGGACTTAAGCTAATCTGTCTTCTTTCTGTCTTTCCGTATTGCCGTATAGCAGTACAAAAGGGGGCTATCTGGATCTACCCCGAACACGGAAGTCAGTCTATTGTGGTACTCGAGATCGATCCCCTCTAGCCATCGAAGTGTTGCCCGAAAGAAGTGAAGCTCACTATGACGAGAAGGAAAGGGTGATGTTCCTGAGTAAGTATTTAGAGACAGTTTACATTCGAGTCTGTTCTTTAGAAGAAGAGCCCGGCTTTGATTCGTCGGCTCTCGTGCTTGTCTTAATGAAAGGCGCCCACAGGGCATAGGGGCGATGCCAAGAGCAAAACAATAATACAGACATAGGCAGTAGATGATTGATGCGTAGAAGCAATTAATTAGCAATGCCAATGCGCTCCTATAAGTTGTTGACTCATTCTCGGAGCAGCGCAACATCCAAAGATCGGCCCGACAGGACCCGAGCACATGACATCATCCAGGAACTGAGCTACTTGGACCTCACCTCAACCTCCATTCCACCTACATACCCCAATTACAACCCCAAACCGCCAATATGTTCCGCTTCGTACGTGAATCACCAAAGCTAATACCCTTGAGCCCGCAAGCTCGTCAAAATAAAGCGAACAAAACTAACAGACCCCAGAGCAAAACCCTCGACCCAATCACCCTCTTCCACTCGCCCAAGCTGGCAGCTTCAACACGCACCCTCAACATCCTTAAACAGGCCTCCGCAGCCGCCGGTGAAACCGCCACAGAAGACCAAGCAAGCGACCACTCCAGCCATGCCAAGCAGCAGCGCGGCGAGTTCGAGCTCGAGATTACCACTTCGCCCCCGACAACCGACCAGCTGCGCAGTATCCTGGATTACATCTCCCCTGTCAGCGGTGTTGGTGGTCAGGGTGAGAAAGCTACGTATGGTGTTGCCGAGTTGGTGAAGGGGGCTCGGGATGCGGAAGATGCGCTTAAGAAGTTTAAGGAGGACAATGAGGCTTTTGCTCGGCCTGTGGTATGTTTCCTTCCCTTTTCTATATCTGCTGGGAATAATGGGTGAATGGATTGCTAATTTGGTTTTGGCTTAGACTGTTGACTGGGTCAATGGCCGTGCTGTCATTGGCGATGGCGAATCTGACATTCTGCGTATGGTTCGCCAGCTTCCTGCAAACTAAGGGATCGCCGCAATTGTCGTGGAGGGGTCTACAGGCTACGCTACGAGCTACTCAACACATACACAAGATCAATGTCATAACTCCATATCCATACAATCAATCACCAGCCAACAGACCAAATTGCCGGCCTAAGAATGTATCATACAAGAATCGAATTGAACCTCTGACCTGGACCATGACACTAAAGGAGAAAGAGAGAAAGAGAAAGACGTATCACGTTGGAAGTAATGTAACAGCAGCATGCAAGATAGAAGATAGAAATGCGCCATTAAACTCAATACTGGGATATGGGGCGGGCATAAGGAAACCAAGATCCAGCTCGGAGTCACGCACCAGCGGAACGTAGAAGAGAAAGAGACCGAGTACTGGTCAAAGCTAGAACATCGTCCCGAATGTGCCATCCGTGGCGATCGGTTTGCGGGGGGAACTGCGGCCTCCACTGTCGACTGCTGGTTTGCGGTGACTAGAGTATGTTAGCGGATGTCTCCAATTGAACCGTGGAAAGAATAGACCATACCGGAATGTAAACCCAACAAACAATCCCTTACCCATTTTGTCCTCGCGATCGGCCATATCTTCCAAGGCGCGCTGCTTATCATGAACCTCCTTATACTTGGCCATATCAGCCTCGCTGCTGAAGTCATCAAAGTACCCAGCGTCGGTCTCAGAGTCCAACTCGGGGACGAAAGGCGCGCGCTGTTCACGCAAGTTTTCAAAGTCCACCTCGGTGAAGTAATCGTGTGCGTGGATCTCCTTGATATTCTTGAAACGCGTATCCTTGCCTGCAACCAACTTCGTGATCAGGTCCCATGTGCGTCGTGAGAGGAAGTAGTTCGGGTCTTCGTAGACAGGCTTGCGCAGCACCTTCTGCCAGCGTTTCAGATTCTGCCAGGTCTCCTCAACTGTTGCACCTGCGAAGGGTGGGTATCCAGCCAATGCCTCGAAAAGCATACAGCCTAGACTCCAGTAATCAACAGTGAAATCGTATTGGTCACCCTTAAGAACCTCAGGGGCCATGTAATCAGGCGAACCGACAATAGACTTGGCATAGTTGACCTCACGCTGGCGCAGGGACTGGTATCCTTGCCGACGCTCAGCCATTGTACGTTGCTCCATAGGGCGACCGAAAGGAACAGGTGTGTTGCCAACCTCCTCAAGCTTAACGCGCATCGACTCAATCTTGCCCGGGCTCAGCATACCAGCCGCCAAACCGAAATCAGTCAGCTTGACATGTCCGGTTGAATCAATGAGGAAGTTCTCCGGCTTCAAGTCTCGATGAATATAACCCAGCACATGCAGCGCATCAATACAACTGAACATCTCGGCAATATAGAAACGAGCATGTCGGTTATGCAACACACCAGTATTATTCAGCAAAGTGCGGAAATCCCCACCGGGGACATACTCCATGGCCAAATAGATCTGGGTATCATCCTGGAAGGCATAGAGCAACTTGACAAGCCATTCGCTCTTGGCAGCTGTGAGAATATCACGCTCGGTGAGAATGTGACGGATCTCATCCAGCTTGAATAGCAGCTTCTTGCTCATAACCTTCAATGCGCATACCTCGCGCGTATCCTTCTTCTGTGCCAGATACACTTGTCCATAACCACCCTGGCCAACCTGAGTCAGAATCTGGAAATCACCCTGGCGAAGGCGAGTGCGACGCTTGCGGAGGTGGGCGCGTTCGCGACCAAGATATTTTAGGAGGGCGGGCTCGTGCTCTTCGTCAGGGGTTACAGGGGGATCGGGGTATGCGGCTTTAAATTGGGTGTGGCGGGTTTGGCGGTTGTGAACGTAGCTTAGGAGATCGAAGTAGTGGTCCAGGAAATCTGCTACCTGTTAGCTGTAGTTATAGGGGCTGGTATTGAGTTGGCTTACAGAGTTGAGTCACATTGACTAGACGCTTGACGCGGGGTTGGGCCAATTTCTCAATTTCCTCTGGTGTCAGCCCGCGCATCTGCACTTGGCGTCTTGTTGTCTCGGCATCGCTTTGTTGATATGGTGCTTGGCGCGACAAGGCTGCTGCTGCTGGGGCGGTGCCCAAGTCCTTGGTTAGGCGCGTTGGGTTCGGGGGTGTGTTCTCCTTGTTTGCTCTGCGCGTCGGGCTGGAGGGGGCTTGGTGGATGACGCTCTCATTGAAGTCCTCCCCCTTTCCAGAGAACATGGGATGATTGTAGTGGTTGTAGGTTGACTTGGAGGGGGACGTAGGGGTCAATTTCATGGCCTTATCGAAGACATTGGGCAGGTCGAGTGCGCCAGGAGGCAATCGGGTCTTGCTGGGACTGCCCTGGGGAGTCTGTGGCGGACTGGTGAAGCCATGCTCAGCGGGGGTCGAGGGACGATCGAATGTTTCATGACGAGTGTGCAACAATGGGGGCGGATTCGGGAGACGAAGCCCTTCCTCTGAACCGATGGCCATGATGGTTGTTGAAGAGGGGTTTGGTTGGGCCGATAAGCGTTTGGCACTAAGGAAACAATGAGAGAGCAAGAGACAAAATGTCTTTGTTCTGGGAAAAAAGGCGTTTATTATTTTTAGTCGATCACTCCACCCACGATCGATATCATCTTGATTCCTCACTTTCTGCAATCCACCCTTGTTCGCCCTGTCCGATCCCCCTTCCCTGAAGCCTGAATGTTGCCCTAGCAACCTCCCCCACGTCATACAGGCTGTGCTCTCCCGCCTGGTTTTATAGTGTCAGTCGAACCCTCCAGGGAGGCTGAGTTTATTGAGGCGAGCTGAGCCTGGTCCACTTCCAATCGCTATTCTCGCCCTATTCTTCTCAGATCGGCCCCGGGAGGCCCTAACACCGGTTAATTTGATATCCGTGCCCCTCCTTATGGGGCTTGGATTGAACCTTGAGTGGTGGACATGTTCGGCTAGAATGATGCTTTAAAATAGACTAGTGAATGTCGCACATTACACACATGCATCGGAGATTATTTCAATAATTGTCTCCTGTCCACTCATACTTGCAGGAGTAGGGGGTAAGCATAGTACCGTATTGGGACTAGTGGCAAAACAAAAGCTGAGAGAACCATGGATTGAGGCACGGAGAACCCGATAATTGTTAATTGTTTCCAAGTTTTGCATTTTGACTATGGCTATGGCCTATAAACGGGGTATTTTCAGGCCGCTCCCTGCTTCCGTTGTCCAGTCTGTTTTCGTTAGCGTCTCTCCCAGCTGAAACCCAGGTGTACCCACATAGAATGCCAATCCATAGTCTTCCGTCGTGAATGTGATTGTGGCTCCCTTGGGGAAATAAAACACATCCCCCGGAACAGCTGTAACTTTCTGTCCTGTCTCATCGGAGATCTCGAACTTCCCCTCAACGATAATCTTCATCTCGTCGTAGGTGTATGTGTAGACCAGAGGAGTGCCCTTCTCCAGACGGTAGAAACCACATGACATGGGCTTGTCTGGGTTCTCTTTCTCGCTGCGGGAAGTTAGTGACAAGATCATAATCAAAACTCAGATTGATCTAGTACCTAGATTGCACGTCACCCAGGAAGGCGTTCTCATTGGCGATGAGTGGAGGCTTAAAGGTGGATTGCGCCTTAGCGTGGTAGGTGAAGGGAACTGCCATGATTGGAGGTTTCGATCGATTGTTCTAGGCCAATGGTACTGGAGTTTGAAGTAGTGTAAACAATATTTTAGGCTGTGTTCAAGCAGATGGATGCCTTTATACGGGTTTCACGGCCAGTCTACGGAGTTCCATTACCTCAAATGAGGGGATGTACTTCCAAGAAGCAGCCCTCGAACTCGGATCTGATGTACAGACTAGGCAAGCCAGGAGAGGTCGGATCCTGAGCCACCAGGATGAGGGGCATCAAGATATAGTGAGGGGAACCCTGAAGCTTCTGATAAAGGCTGTAGACTATGGAGAAGCTCCTATCTACGTTGTTAGCGAAGGCAAACCATCCATATTCACTACACGGGTTCATTCAATACACATCTCCTCAATAACTACTCACATACCCACACTCTACCTACAATTGTTGATGCGAGCACAAAAGTATATTGTGCGGTGGAGAGGATATTTTTACTCAATGCGGTTAGTGCTTCCCCGTCATATCACGGATCCGCGACCTCATCTTACAATCAACTCAAACAGTTGAATAGATATTTTGATAAGGGCTACGTGGTCTTAATAGACCTAAGACATGTGAGGCATTGCTAAAGAAATCTGAGAAATCATACTAGCAATGCTACTGCAGAGATATATATCCCGAGCAGAACCCATACCGCAACCTTTCTCGACGGGATTTTGACGGCATTTATGAAATTACATACTGATCGACAAAAGTATATGATTTGGAAGACGGTCAGCAATTGCCAACATATCAATGCGCTTAGCCTTGCCAATCGCCTTTTCCCCATCGACATCTTGAACAGCTGGATCGGTTCCTCTCGCAACAAGAGCATTGACCATATCTAATTGACCCAGTCCAACTGCTTCATGAAGAGGGGTCCCAGTCCTAAAAGCCTTTTGTAGCTCGTAAGACGTCGCATGATTCGCGAACATCAGCTCGTTGATAGGCGAGTATTTATCGAGAATTAAGGCTAAGACGTTAAAGCGATCAGCAGCATCTCTTCGTACAGCGTAATGCAGCAGCTTTCCGGAATAGATAGACCCTCTGTGCTTGGAAACATTTTGATGATATTAAATGAAGCTTTCTGAACCGCATCCGAAAGAGGAGTCATGTCAGGAGTGCAACGGGCATTGGGATCTACGCCACGGCTGAGGGGCCATTCGCAGCGTTCTTTGCTTTGAAAGCAGTGACTGCGAATGCTTAGAAAAGATTTTACAGGCAATGGCACAGCAGCTTACGTGAAAATGAAGGATTTCTCTAGAAAATCGATTCATTGAGATTTTACCCATGAGCGATGAACATCCGAGAGTCTGATAATCAAGTTCACGAAGCGCGCGTACAACATGACAATTTCTGATGGGAACGTCACAGCTCAGAAGATAGGCGAAAACGTCTGCATGATTGTTCCGCTGAGCCAGCGTCAGGGCATATATCAATCTATCCGCAGATACTTTGACTCATTTTAATAGTTTTTGGATTTGAGGGAGTTCTCCGGGTTCGCTCGCTGCTCTGAGCTGTTCACCTCCACAGCAGGTAGAAGTGGGATGTAGCTAGGATCGAAAATAAGGGGCGGAGCAGTGCCAACAACTACAATTGAAGTATCTATATTCTGCATTGCGCACTGTGTGTTATTACTGTAAAGAATGGACCCGGTGAAATGTCTCAACGCTGGCTGCGGTCTGCGGAAGCTCGCGCAAATTGTAACTGCATAGTCCGTGCCACTCACTGAATAGGTTACAGCCACTTCATGCAGCCACCCGTGTATATATCCTTATAGAAGCAGTCGGAAGCCCAAATCTACTTGTTAATGTGACTGTGCTCGCTCCCCTGCTTCCTACCTAGATTATCAATAAATACAATAATCATCAGCTTGCACATCTTATTTTGCGGAAAAGGTATCCGGAGAATGACTGGAACTAGCAGCACGGGCCTAAATATTAGTCTAAATGCGCAACCAAGGCGCTGGTCGCTTCGAGCTGGGAACGAAGCAGAGTACAACAGTAGTAAGAGAGCACAAATCTCAATCAAATTGAGCTTAGACAAATATTTCGTTTTCCTAATTTAATTGAAACATTTCAGCGGGTTTTGCCTATCGCGCACCTGGTGACTTTTGCGAGAGATTGCCGAATAAATCGACAGGGTCGTGATTCGTGAGGAAATAGTCCAATACTGGACAGGAAGAGAACGGGAGAGGACAGTCTAAAAACCATTATGCTTTTTAAGTTTGCAATTCTGAAGCACGGAAGGCATGCAACCGGCCCTTTGGAGAGCCTACGTTTGAGAAAGTGCCATCCTTCTCGGAGGAACAAGCAAAGTACAGTAATGAGTTTGCATGTTTATCTATCGCCTTTCGAGGGCATCACAGTAATACCGAAAAACGGAGACCCTTTTCTCGGCCCCCAATGTAAGCAATGCTAAGCATCGCATGCTGATGATACATCACCGCTTTTCGACCCCAAGATGTCTCAGGTATAAATGGTACTTAAGTGGCTGAGGGGATCGGAAAAGCCACCAGTGGGACTGGCTGGCCAATGACTGGATTTGAAAAATGACGTATGGAGACCTGATTTCCAGAACTATGCCTAGCATGGAACAGTGTATGAAACCCTGCAGGCTTAAGTGGGTCGTGATGGGAACGATGAGTCTATTACGGAGGAGTTCCGCAAGGCATACGGCGCTATGGATGCATAGTCTCTACTTAGTTCGCCCCTAATCTTACGGGCGAAAAGTCGCTGATAGAAGACCTCGTGGAGAAGAGATCGGATTGCGCTTGAAAGTCTTATTATTAAATCAAAAAGCCGGTAATACTAGTTCTGATAATCAATTACCAGTCTCACAGGGTACTGTGTATGCCAAGGAGCGCTGATCTCCCGTAGAAGCCCATTAAATATCGAGTGTTGGCAACTGGTCTATAATCGGGCCCCGAATTTTGCAGGAGCAAGAATTCCCCCCAGTAAGCAGCACATCCGGGCTCCACAGCGCCTTGTATCCACTTTTCGGGGATTGCTCTCTACAGAACATGTACATGTATTCAGTTCTCATTGACGAAGTGGGACGTTGAAGCAGCGACGACTTCAGACGCTATACTGGCACTTCATATCTAGACTGCAACGAAGAGGGATAACACATGGTGCATAGGACTTGTTTTCCGTATTATGATAAGATGATTAGGCGAGGGTCACCTACAGTTCATGTCTTGCCCCCAACTGTTGAGGAAGGAATAAGAAGTTTCCCCTTTGATCCGCAATGGGGCGACTTGGGGTATATATCCCGGCCGAATAGAGATTCATTTATTTATGGAATCTGACATAGATATGCAGGCAATGCTATGAAAACGAGGTATTTACTTGATATCCACAGATAACTAGGTGCTTAACCAGATGAGGAAACAGCTCTTGATATCAATTAAGCGTAGTATCATCAACCTAGCTCCATCACGAACATATAAAAGGCATCACCCCTCGACAGTTGTGAGATTTGTATCAGAGGCACTCAAGAAGTCGACTGTCTTTGTGATTTTCTTCTCTGTCTGCTCTTTTGGAATTTCCATACATCTTCTTCTAAGTATGCATCCTACAATCGTTCTGCTCTACTCTGAAATCTTGCTAACTAGGTATAGACATTGTATCGATAGGAGATAGCTCTCAATATTGCAATCATGTTCAAGAACATCTCGGACCAATTTGGATCCATCCTTGTCGCTCTGCTATCCATCCAAGGTGTTTGCTCGGCACTTGCAGTCGAGACAAACCAGACTTTGGTCGAAGGCAGTGAGAGTGAGCACGGGGAGCTAGCTGTCCGCACAAGTGATGAATACACAGTCGTTCACAAATGGGACGGCGGAGGCATCGCGGCTTCTTCTGGAGTCGGACTTGTGATCGTTGGAATTGCCAACGCATTCATTAGCTACTATGGCAATAAGCCTGATGCGCAAAAGATTTGTGGAAAGTCAGCGACAATCGCCACTACCGAGGATGGAGTCGGCTATAAGTATTATGTGTACTCATACACAACCGGCAGTAACTGTGACAGCACTCAGCGAGCAAAGACCATCACCAACAAGCTCTCTGATGCATTCGATGAATTGCATTCTGAGGGAGCCTCTGCAGTGTGCCTTGATCTTGATCACCATGGCACATGGCACGGCGTTGTTGGACTCGCTACCGATGCTTCAGGAATCGACCCCAAGTCCGCTTGTTCTGACCATCATGCAGGCGCAAAGAGAAGTAATGCTGGATTTCCTGAGCTCGAGGAAAGAAGCCCCGCAAAGCGAGATGAGATCGGACTTGTGAAGAGAACTCCAATCTCTGTCTCCGAGTCCGACAAGAAGTCGGGAAGCACCAAATTCAGCCACCCCAATAAATCCCAGGCAGTTATCCTTGGAATTGCAGACAAGATCTACCAGCAAAGTGCTGCTGGGAGCTGTGATGGCATTACAGGTAGCATCACTGATACCAACGGAGTGAGCTACAGCTATTACTACTACGCCTCAGGACGTAACTGTGATACCACTGCCCAGCTCAAGACAATTGTTTCTGCTCTTGATGACGCATGGGAAGGTCTCGGCAGCACTTCGGCGCTCTGCATGACAATGGATCACGGTGGCACCTGGCGCGGCCACCTGGGAATTTCTGCGATGCAGGGTACTTACCCTTCCCAGAAGTTGTGCTAGATGACACAATCATACCAAGATATGTAAGTCTCCCGAAATCGGTAAAGCTATACTGAGAGATTCCACTAACATAATATTTGGCAGGGCGAGAAAGGAAAGGTTGTTTCAACACCCTAATACATGCCTGCAACGATACAACATCAGTGCCTTGATCTAAAGGAGGTTGAGTTAGGTATCATTTCATCTACCGTATACTGGCGCAGCCTATAGAGAAACATCTGTCTATTTGTGGGATTGCTACCTGAAGCGTATCTATAGTAGGAATCAAATTATGTTTATGCCCACGTATTTACTCCTTTGAGATCAGCCATATTGCTGCGTATATCCAAGTCACTTTCATGCATCCGAAAAAAGAATATAATCTCCCTTGCAAGAAATGCCAGGGTTCTATAGATTTTGTGGCTCATTATCAGTGCAGGAAACCCAACATCTCCTCTTCCTATCCTTTCCCATCCTTTCCCTGCCTCCATAACCAAGACAAGAGGATCACAGCATGAGGCCTATCCCAACTCGTGCCACATCTCATCTGGGACACACAGCGTAGGGCTCTGACAAGTCCTAAATATCTTCATATCAAACTTTTTAAACTGTCCATGTTAGGCCTTGATTATCGACGGACTAACAGAAGCAAATAAGAAGTTGTTTCAAGTGCAGGGATCTGATGGTTGCTTCCGTTATGAGCCAGAGACCAGAAGTTCCCGATACTCGCCTGATGTAGTTGAGCTGCTTTACATATGCGAGGTGAAGGCCACCAGAGTCAGCAGCTCCGTCAGCAATATCGCCAGGTTGCCGTCCGAAATGACATTCGAGGCTACAGATCTTCAACATTATGTGCTTGATATTTGTATACGGTAAACACCTAACCTTGATGCTTTCCTGTCTGAGGGTCGTGTGCCTTGTGATCCCCTCTTCCGCAGAATTTGATTTCCCGTGGTGCCTGACCACATGTCCAACAACTCACCAGAGATTGTAATAGCCAAAGTACCAAGCGATACCTGGAAATATACATTCAATCACAGAAGGACCAGCAAAATTTAAATAAGAACAAATCAGGCTTAATCGAAACCAGAATCTACGGGTAGGGCATGTACTGAGAGAAGTTGAAGCGAACGCTATGCTCAGGACCGGAATCGTCGATGTGCAAAGCGTCCCACTTCTCAAAAAACGTGTCAAGTTCTGCTTCATTATTGTTCTGGGACTTAAGATAAATCGCAAAGGTAGGATTTTTGCTGCTCATATCCTTTGTTTCCCTAGGCGACCAATTGCTCTCGATATCCGAGAATAAAGACTCTGTTTCGGACGGGAGGGTGACTTCCAACTCTTTTGCCGCGACATGGAGGGCGCGCAGCTTTGCCTTGCCCAAGGGCCAACGACATGCAGCGGCCTTGGAAACAATGCATAGATCAATGAAAGCCTTTCGGCTCTCCGGGTTGTCGAGATCTTCGAGAAGGGTGTTCTCTGCTATTGAGCAGGATTGCATGTTTGCCGCTGGGACTCGATCGCTTCCCCATAAGGATAGATGCACCGACATCAGTCTTCCAACTTCCCTGGCTGCTGTGAGTCGGTTTTCTTTCACTGATTGATAATCTTCGGGACTTAAGTCTTCCTGATAAGCCTTTTTCTGTACAAGACCATACGTGCACAAGATTATGTTGTTCCAGTACATGCTGGACCCGATGTCAGTAAAGCGATAGAACGCAGAGGGGGATAATGTCATACTGCAAACTCAGGCAGTGTGGTGTTTTGTTATTCTGTTCATTCATACAGTCGTCGAGGTTCGTTTTCCAATCTTTGAGACGAGCATACAACTCATGCGCAGCATCTCTGGATTCCAGAAAGGACATATTCTCCAAATGGTTGCAACCGTGAAAAAACCAAGAGGATGATTCGAATGCGGTAAGACTCAGATCGGAATATGCCTTCAACATGTGCCCGGTATGGGCAGGGATGGCGCCGACCAGAGAGGGGTATGGGGACCACAAATCCTGGTAACCAGGCCCAGGATCCGGGTGAACTTTGCATGGCCTTTTCGGTGCGCGAAACATAGTTCTTTTGTGGAAGATAAGAGAGTTGGCCCTATCGTAGTCAGTAATCATGAACGGCCTCCCAACGGTTGGGGAATCTAACGCCATAATATTGTAAAGGCCCCAAACTACATTGTTGACAACTTCTGGTTCGTATATAGACTCTTTCCCGAGATCGTATTCCTCGAATAGGTCTTGCGTGACGTAGACTAATTGTCCTACGTAAAGCCATCCGCGTCGGTCTTCACCATACAGGCAGGAACTGTGAACTGTTAGTTAAATATTTATCTTCCACGACCGGTGTCCCGCGCACCTTGAGAACAGAATACATAAGCCTTGTATTGTAGGCAATCCGACTTTGCCATCTTCATTCTCATAAAGCCTTCTAGCCTCCTCGTAGAAATGCTTTCCCTTCGAAGTTAGATCATTCCGTCGAGAAAATGCCTCTGGATAATCGGAATAGGCCTGAAAAGGTGTAAGCCTGAAACTGCTCCGTTCAAAAACGATACGAACATACACAGGCATCGGCCAAGATGGCGTTGACAAGGAAAGGTGAACAGTAGAGAGTATTGTCTGGATCGCCCGACTGCATGTCCTTGATGAATCGGTCACGATCCATAAAATTCAAGAACGGATGAAACCAGGTAAAGAAGAGCGAAATAAGATGGGACACAAACCCATCGTCATCAGTCAAACTTGTCCAGGGGCTGGCGGGGACATCCCACAACGGATCATCAGAAAGTCGTCGCGCATCTAGGACCTTGCGCCGCGAATGATTGCTATCATCTCGCATGCTGTTGGCAATATCCATTAGTTCGGGTGTCTTCTCAATCTCGTCGTGCATCCTTTTGTCCATGTAATCTTTGATTTCATCCAAGGGGGCATTACTCCGAATCAGGTTGAGCAGTTGGATGACTTCACTGTTACTTGATTCGCGCAGGTTGCTGACAAGTTGAAGTAGCATCTCGCGATCATCTTCAAGACTTTCCATCTTTCGCTTCACAATAAGTCGACGTCTGTTGTCTGTTGTTTCATCAAAAACACATTCCTTGCCTCTTTTGCTGCAGGCCTGGCAGGGTTGTGCGCCATCGCACTAAAATCGATGATTAAAAAATATTCCGTGGCTAAGGGAGGATTGGAATACCTTGGATTTGCGGGATTTGCATCCAGTACAAGCGAGGGATATGTTTTCTCTCTTCGGTACCTTAGCCTCCGGGTTCTGGCTGGGCCCCGGATGAGGAGCCAACGGCCGAAATGACTTATCCATTTGGGAAAAATCAAAACATCAATGAACTGAGAGTAGGGGAAAGAAGACATTAAATGGGCGATTTGAAGATATGTAGGACGCTGATTTGATTCGATCTAAGTGGCCGGAATTTTTAACCGGCGCTTCGCAGGTGGGGAGGTCATCCAATGGCCAACCACAAATCCACCGCCACTTCATGATATTTGCCTTCAATATGTCATTTCCAAAAGAACCCGGACGTCATTTCATGCTAGACGTGGGGCAGATGGGTGACAATTTCCTTGGGATTAGGCTGGTTGGAGAAGAGGGCGTGGCATTGCAAATGGATCAAAACATCTGTGTAGAGACTTCGTCAATGAGCTTGGAATACCCACTTTAACTGCCCCCTGCTCTAGCTTGTGGATCAGAACAAGTGCCGTGACATATAAATTATATCTGCCATATGCCCAGTAATTAGTGGCCAATTTTGTCATGCTTGAGCACTCTCTGAAGCCGACGGATACAACGCCGTTCCTATGGTGACCAGCCTTGGCCATGAAAGGAGAGTGCCCTCAGATCTTCCGCGAAGTTTCAAATCTCCCGAAGCCAGGGCTTCGAAGGTACAGCGGTCACTGGTTTCCTGTGTGCACCAAAGATCGAAGCAACCAATAAAAGCAAGGCTTAACTGAGAACCAGCTCTAGGGAAGCTGCTGGTGGGTCACAAGCACTACAGAACGAAGCTAAGAGGAGATGGAGGAAGGTACAGAGAGATCCTATGGGAAGATATAAATGTACACCATGGATTAATAGCGGAGGCCTAGGGCATACTAACAACTCGCACAGTGCTAAGGTTCGATTTAGGTCAATGCCTGAATCACCCAAGAAAATCCTTGAGATCCATAGTGACAGCCTGTTAAGGAAGGAGAAGACGAAGAAGGGAGGCAGACATGATAAATGGGCACCATGGATCAATAACAGAGGCCGGGGGACGTAATGGTAACTTGCAAGGTGCTGCCAAAGGCTCGATCAAGACCTTGTCACATGAACTATAAAGGATGAATACCATCAGATCTGTGGTGACGGTCCATTCTGGGGAAGGGGGAGGGAGATGGAAAAAAAAGAGGAGAGATGTGAAGGCGAAGAAAGAAAAGAGAGGGACGTGGGAAAGTTGGGGTTATTTGTACCCTGAGACCGTCCAAATCGGGAAAGATCAATCAAACAGGGTGACCAGCCATTCTATCTCGTCTATGTCTGTCTACAACGCTCCGGCCACGGGTCAGCATCAAACAGGATCAAGTCCAAGCACTCTATCGTCTATTGTTCACCGCTGACATTCTGATGAAGCCAATTCCTCCAGTCCCTGTCACCCACGATCGATCTCACACGGGCCTCAAGCCACTCCGTGTTTCCCCAGAAGCCCCAAGATGCCTGAAACCTACACCAGTCCACGAGAGCCGTCTCCCAGTGTCGTCTGAATGTGGCCCAGTCATATGCATCCGTCTGGCCATCCAGGATGAGGCCCTTATGGTAATACTCTAAGAGCCGCCTCTCGCCATCGCACATCGACAGCGTCTTTGAGAAGTATTCATCATCATCAACCAGCATGCCCAGAGGAACCGAGCAAGTGAACAGCTTGGCAAGATCACAGACACCAAGGCCCAGCCCAACATACTGGAAATCAAAGAACGCGACTTTCTCTCCGCTGCGGTTTGTGAAGAGGTTCTCTGACTTGACATCGCCGTGAATGTACGACTCCATGGGTCTGCCAGAGGGAGTTAAGAACAAGGCAGCCATCTCAGCCACGGATAGTGAGGACCCTTCGAACGGTTCGCAGAGCAGTTCGGACCACTCCGAGTCTGTATCCTCGACCAGAGACTGGTACTCTGTGCGCCGTGTAGCGAGATACGTATACCCTCCGTTGAGCCACATCCCGGTGCCAATATCCTCGGCTGCAGTTTGTCTTTTTACTGATTCCTCAAGAGGTGGCAAGACGTGTCTGCCAATGTCAAGCCCACTTTGTATCAGATCCCGTGTCCGGCCATGGAAGCGTGCCAGCCAGTCTAATGATCCATGCACCTGTGCGCTGGATAACAAGCTCCTCCTATTGCCTTCAACTGGGAATTCTTGGCGCAGATTGAACATGATGGTGGCCATGAGACCTTTGAGCTCTTGCTCACCATTCTGGTCCTCCATGCCTTTAGTCGAGGCGAGACATCTGGCAACACCGATATCTTCACCCAAGAGTGGCACCAAGTGGCTATAAAAGTGCTGCTCGACTTCATAACTGAACATTTTTCGAAGGTGTCCTTCATCTTGTTTGCCACCGCTTTTGTTTGGGGGCGAAATCAGCTTCAGGATGAGAGTGTAAGTTTTCCCAGCAGCTTCATTTTCTGTCCCGCAAAGTTTATCCATGTGCTTTGCTGCGTCATCAGAGGAAGCTTTAGCATACATGGCACTTATTTCTCCGTACCCTGCCCACAAGGTTTGTAGAGTGGTGAAGGAGACGAGCTCAAGCGAGTGCCACGACAGCATGATGCTAGCGACACGCTCGGCTGAGGGCGCCATGATGAATTTTCTCTCTTATTTGTCTGCTGCGGCTGCGTGTGGGCGAGGTTTGTGGATATAGAATATCGTTGTTGAAGGTCTACGGAACGGATAATTGGATTCTCCGTTCATGGATGGCGTTCTGGTTCTGGAATCCGAGTCCTTTATCATTTCAATGAGCTGCGATGTACTCTATATTACACATATATTCATTCGATCATATCATCATATCCCAAAATCCAAGATCCAACCTCTTCAGTAGGGGAAGGTAAACTGCTGCGGCTTCGGGCCAAGAATAGGCACGAAATCGTCACCCTCACAAATCCTCATAGCCTTCTGATAAGCGGGACGCTCACCGATACGCTTCAGATAAGCCAGAATATGCTTATGCTTCTCAACGTCGAACTCAATAGGACAGAAGCCACGCATAGTAGTCAAAGTGCAAACAGCCATGATATCAGCAGCGGTGATGTCATCCCCAGCCAAATAAGCCCCAGTTTCTCCGAGCCGCGTCTCAACCATCGAAAGCGCACGCTCAAACTTGGCATTACCCATCTTGACATGCACAGCCTCAGGGTCATTACTCAAGCGCCGAGTCATCAGCACGCGGAACAGAGCCGGCTGGAACGAGGCATTGGCCCAGTGGTACCATTCCAGGAACTGGACGTATTCCTCGCCGTCCTTGGGTGTGCGGCCCAACCGACCCTCGCCGTACGCGGCGATAATGTAGTCAATTATAGCGCCTGATTCGGCCAGCACGACTTTGTTCTTTGTGAATGGCGAGCTGTCGTCTTCGATCACTGGGGCCGTGCCGGAAGGGTGGAGGTCTTTGATTGATTGCGGGGAGAAGATGGGATCGCGCTTGTGGAAAACGTAGTCGTATTTGATCCCGAGCTCTTCGGCGAGCCAGACGATGCGCTCGGATTGGGAGCGGCCGAGGTGGTGGATTGTCAATGGCATTTTGGTGTGCGTGAGAGACTTTGTTGGTATGGGGACGTGTGAGATTGTACCGAGGTAAGGTGAGTTTGTTCAAGGATATATAAAAGCGATTCTGGGCGACGTCATAAGGTAACCGAGAGCGATAGACCGAGGTATTTATGTGCGGCGAACAGAGCGGAGATATGAAGCTTTCCGCTACCTCCGCTTCAAATCCACTAGGCTACAAGTCAGCGCTAGCCTTTTACCTGCTTTGATCCCGTAGACTGCTATATTTGTTTGTGTTAATTCCCGTTGAATGACTCCTTTCGCGAGGCTGTCATGGGCATACAGCGCCACTAACAAGGCCCGGTAAGGGGATCGCGTTGTCTACAGATGAGGTGATGTTCTTGTCCATACTGACATGAAGGAAACTGGATTGAATAGCTAGTAAAACATAACAATTGGAGATGCAGAAATCAATACCCAGATCAATGGAAACTCTCGATTGAAACACTGATTGGTTCATCACGCTGCCCTTGCAACAGTGTATCCCCACTGAGGGGCTTTAAGTCCGATGTCCCATTTGCTTGAAGGCTCACGGGTGATTACCTGATGCGGCCTCAAAGCCGGTAGCTGGCCCACACGTCTGTTTCTTGGCCTAAAGGCCAATGGCATATCGGTGTACGACCGGACGACCTGTGGTGTTCTCGGAGCAGAAGTGGACTTTGATCCGACTGGGCGTTCGGGTTCCAAGACATTGCTCTCCGTGATGAACTTGGCAGTGTTGGCACTGGTCGTGGGATGTGGGTTTGGAGCTTGGTCTTTCTTGGCCTTCGAGGTTACTTTGTACGGGTCGATCAAGTCGTCGTTCAAGAGAGCGGCTTTCAAAGGGGGGATAGATGGTAGCCGGACCGTGGTCTCTGCCCATTTCCTAGGCATTTTATCCAGGACTGGAAATGTAGGACTGGAGGTGTAGTTTTTTGTGCAAATGGAGGACTGAGGCAAGTAGCTTATCGAGCTTCCGTCATGAAGGTTGCTTGAAGGAAGTTCTTAGAAAATGATGATTTCTAATGTATTGGTTTGACAATGCGGAATGTCCGCGGATTACCGACCTCTTATCTGCGGTATTGGAAATATTAGAGGCCTTTTCCGGTAATTCTGGATCAGCGGATGGTTGTCGTAATTCTGAGCAAATCGACACGGTTCTAGATATGCGCATTTGAACATGCATGCATATTGCAGTTGCGCGATACAGAATCAGGTCAGATGGGAGTACAGATGTACATTGACACCATTAGATCCTGTGCAGAATGGAATGTGAACGCTCGACTCAGTCTGTGCAACACACTTTTGGAGCCGTGAGGTATGCTGACGCTATTACATGTAACCAAATTCTCTCTTCCATCCTTGTATATGGTAAGTAGTTCACCAAAACGGCGAAGACTGCAACATGACGTTAGGATCTCGTGGCAGCCGTGGACTCCGGGGAAACCTCAAATGTTTGTGGGGTCGGACAAACTCCGAAAGATCATCCGAACACCAAGGACACCAAGACCTCGACTAGTGGAGAAACGGCAGGGCAGTTATCCACCATTGGAGGAATACATGCTCTGAATGGGCGGCGGCATTGGGGATGTTTTGTGCCTCTCCGTGTCCCCCGCCCCGGAGATCCCCTCGGCATCGACGCCACAATGGCAAGACCTGGCAATAAATGCCGATGTATCCCCGGCTGTTTCGCGATGTTTGGATCTTGAAGACAACTGCAGCCTACAGTCCTTCGCGAGCAAAACACATTCAACATGCCTACTACATCTGTCGCGCTCGCTGCTTTAGCATTCCTGGGGCAATCATTGGTACCTGCAGTCCAAGCTAGCAGTGTCCCTGCTCAGGCACAGGTGATCAACCAAAGAGCTTTCAACGTCTTGGGTACGACTCAGCCGCCAACCGAATTCAATGCGAAGAGCGTATGAACCAGTCATTCATAAATGCTCCATTTCAGTTTCCTAATGCATTTTCAATACAGCTTTTCGTTCCTCCAGGACACACGGAACATAGCCTGACTGAGCGCCCGTTCCATGTGTACGACAAGGAATTCTTGAAGATTATCGGGAAGGCTCCGACTCTCACCCGGATTGCGCACTCGCCCAAGGACCCCTTGTATCACGAGGCAGTTGTTTGGTACGTGGTCCCGATCTAGTAAGAGAAATCGCAGGACTGATTTGTAGATTGGTATAACAGGTCAAAGGAAACAGAGGAAGTGTTCTTCGTCCAGAATGCAGGTGCCAAGAACGCCAGCACCGGCTTACACAAGTCGGCCATTATCGAGAAGATCTCTCTAGCGGATGCAGCTGCTGTTTCTAGTAAGCGTGATGCTGCGGGTGAGGTCAAAATCTCTACAGTCCCTTCATCGCCGATGGTGATCAATCCAAACGGTATGCCATTGTATTGCTATGGAGATTTAGCAATAGTTCGTATCAACTCATGATCAATAGGAGCCACCAACTATCGGGGAGAAATCATCTTCACCGGTGAAGGCCAGGGCAACAATACTCCTCCTGCACTCTGGGTAATGAACCCACAAAAGCCATTCAATACAACCGGTTCGTGACAACCCTCACTACAAACAATTAAGTCGGAAGATTGACGACGCACCTCCAGTTCTCCTGAACAATTACTTCGGTCGCCAATTCAACTCTTTGAACGATGTAGCAATTCACCCAAAGAACAAGGACATCTATTTCACAGATACAATCTACGGATACGTGCAGGATTTCCGTCCTGCTCCAGGTCTGCAGGATCAAATTTATCGCTTCAACCCCGATACCGGAGCTGTCACCATCGCGGCCGATGGGTTTGATCATCCCAATGGTAGGTGATCCAAACAACCCCTGTCAATTCATGCAGACTGATTTATCTTATAGGAATGACTTTCTCGCCTGATGGTAAGCATGCATATGTCACCGATACCGGCATTGATAGTGGCTTTTTCGGGTTGGACTTTACTCGTCCCGCTTCAGTGTATGTCTATGCTCCTTCATAAATCCTTGATCGAGTATGAGATACTGACAACTATAATATAGCTATCGCTTCGACGTGAAAGAAGATGGCACATTCGAGAACCGCAAGACGTTCGCATTTGTGAACTCTGGCGCCCCTGATGGTAAGTGAACTACGCCCCAAACCAAGCTACTTGTCGATTGAGAGACATCATACGCTAATATTTCTGATGTTGATTAGGCATCCACTGTGATTCTGAGGGTAATGTTTACGCCGGGTGCGGTGACGGTGTCCAGGTTTGGAACCCCTCAGGCAAGCTCATCGGCAAGATCTACGTCGGTTCTACGGCAGCGAACTTCAATTTCGCTGGAGATGGTAGAATGATCATTTGTGCTGAGACAAATCTCTACTATGCCACTCTGGCTGCTTCAGGAAGTTATGTTGACAGCGAGATGTGAAAGCCTCTCTGGACAGGATAAGGATAACAAAGGATGGTAGATAACGTACAACGGGAGAATACAATCGACATTATTTCTGTTCTTCACGTCTCAGATTACGCTTAAGACATTCAGAATAGATGGCCCCCCAAGTAGGCATTAGATCAAGTTCTTCCCATATGTCATGTAAATTTCGTGTGCAAAGAGGCTTTCATAAACACAGATTTCAGATATTGCTTAGGATATATCTTGGCTGCCACGGTCATTCCGCAAGTTTTTGTCCTTCTCCGCACCCTGTGGGAGCATTCTAGCGTAGGCAATCCATCTTACTGTCCCTGCTGAATAGAGTCACCAGCATGTATAGAGAACTCGTCACAGAAGACATTAAACAGCCTGATAGCACATTGATTGTGGATTTTTAAACAAGAAAAGGACATCTCCAATGTAGAAATCCGCATTCAAGTGCTGATCATAGCGTAAAAAAGATGATTGCACGCCGTTAACGCCCGGCTCGAAGCCGAGATACACATTGACCCACGGCAGGGGGCGAGCCGATCACGTTTTTCATTGCAGCCTAGTCTCATTTGAGATTACCTCTTCAATGGTTTTATACCCCACAAAAATGTATGAGTCACGCGAGAGGATAACTTATGCTACGCTTTGGTTTCAATTCCAGCTTGTACGCCACACGACGTGGCCATTTCCCCTGTCATCTGGAAGTTATGTACAAACAGATAGTCGATTCGCCGGTGAAACTTTTGTAGAATATAATAATGCAGCTTTGTCTGAAGTTAATGGGTAGTTTTAAAACACTGGTGATAGGTTGGGAGAGAGTAATTGTGAAAAATATCCTCTGGTTGCTACTAAGAAGACTAGGCATCGGGTCTCTCCCAGAATTGGAGTAAAGTCTCCGCACGGGATGAAGATAGTGAGCGAACCAGTAGCTTGCTTTTGTCATCGCTCATCGACCAACGATATACAAAGGTACTTAGTTGTACCATAGTGCCTAGATAAGGGTTGGTGAGGTTGGTAGACTGGGTACATATGTCACATTCCGCGGAGTATAGTATATAGCCCAAATATCATGCGCGATCGTTATAGTCTAAAAAAAAGCGTCGAGTGTAAATAGCGAATTGTCCCCTCAGAATCTCCATCGCCCCCGCATAGGCTTATCTTCGTGGGTTCCCTATCACTTTCCATTCGCTGCTCTCTCCTGCGCTTATCTCTGTTTACCATCTTCACTTCTTTATTCTTTTTTGTTAAATCGCTCAGATACCCTTATGAATGGGGGTTTGGACATCAACTTGGCATGGAAAACAATAAGAAACCTCCCACTTCTGATCCCGACGTCTCATCCGCGCGGGGAAACGCCCCGTCACCAGGGAGGACCGCACAGAAACCGAAGCAAACAAAGAGTCGCAATGGTATGAACGCTACATAAGATCCCTGGCAAGTTATCAGCTTTGACCTCGTTCAAGGCTGACTTAACAAGTTCGAGGTTGCCGCTCTTCCCAACAAAACTAACCGTCTCCACTTCTATAGGCTGCGTCACTTGCAAGACCAAGCGGTTGAAATGCGATGAAACAAAACCAACATGTGAACAGTGCGAGCGGCGCAAAGTGAGCTGCGGAGGATACAAGAAAGACTTCAAATGGCGACCGTTTGAGGAGACCAACTTGGCCCCGGGCCGGCCTATCAAGGCCAAAAAGGGTACGTGTGATTCCCGTGGAGCTTGGCATATCTGACACTTTGCAGCCAACTCGTCCCATCAACAACACATCAATGGTGACAGCTTCCCTACACCTCCAACAACTGAACAATCAACATCTCCAATTCGTATTCAAGCTCATCACCACTCTCACTCTCCGCCCGGATCACTGCATAGTTCCCCGATGAGCATCAACAGTTTTCCGTCCGAAGCACAAGCACTCGATGATCTAACAGACAAAACGAAAGATGCTTCCATGCCACAGTGCAGTGCGCCTCTCGACATTAATGTATCATTGTCCGCTGACTCTCCCTCATTCAATTTCCTTTCCTTTCTGGAGCCATACCAGGATTCACTATCGCTGGCAGACTTCTTGGCATCCCACGATCTAGAGTCTGGTCGGCAGATCTCCATTGGCCCGGAGGAACTTGTCCATGATGCATCAGGTCTCAGTTTCTCCAGGTTATTGGAAGAAGAAAACGATGATATCGAAGATATCATCCGGCAATCGGATCCAGGGCTTGGACCATGGAACTTCCAAATAACAGAGTCAAAGTCCTTTAGCTTCAACTCAATGAGCATTCCAAGCAGCCTATCTCTACCACCAGAGACTCCTGAAATGTTGGTGATGCGCTTTGACAAGCTCACCTGTGGGATCCTGTCAATCAAGGATGGAGCTACCGAGAACCCATGGAGGACATTGATTTGGCCGTTGGCGAAGAATACACCGGCACTCTACCATGCCATTTTTGCCCTGACAGCATTTCATTCAGGCAAGGAAAATCCCCATCTCCGCGTGCAGGGAGTAAAACACATGCGCCAAAGCATCAATTCCCTAGTAGCCCAGATTCAGAGTATGAGAGCAGATGCTGCACTGGCCACCAGTCTTGCTTTGGCTTTTGCCGATACATGGGATCAACATACTAGTACCTGCATACAGCATCTCCGTGGAGCGAAAGCGTTAATGTCGCAGGTCGTCGCTACCGGAATGCAGGGAGACATCAGCGAAGACGAGTTGGACCGTATCCGCTTCTTGTACAATACATGGTCTTACATGGATGTGATTGCACGATTGACCTCTTTGGATGACTGTGGGCCTCAGAATTGGGATACTTCCATATTCGAGCTGCCTAGTAATGCGGTTCATGACATCGACCCATTGATGGGATGCGCGACTACTCTGTACCCCCTGATGAGCCGAGTTGCCAAACTAATCCAGAATGTGCGAAAAAGCCCGTCAAATACAGTATCAATTGTCGCTCAAGCGATGGAACTTAAAGGTCTGATTGAGAACTGGGAGCCACCACGCTGGTTTGAACCGCCCGAAGATCCAAATTCAGAGGTGCAGCACAGTATTCAGGTTGCTCATGCCTACCGCTGGGCTATCTTACTGTACCTCCATCAAGCCGTCCCTGAAATACCATCTGAGCCCGCCGATGAGTTGGCAAAAAGGGTGCTGATTCTCCTTGCCACTGTTCCGTACACCTCACGCACAACCATTATCCAGGTGTTCCCTCTCCTAGCAGCTGGATCAGAAGTTGATGCCGATGACGATCGAAAATGGGTATTGGATCGATGGACCACAATCCAAGGCCGACTAATGCTCGGTGGAGTGGACCGCTGTCTTGAAGTCATGAAAGAAGTCTGGGATCGTCGCGATAAAATGAACGTAAGACGAGAGCAAGGACTGGCTGGCTCCCAACGTGCCCATTCTATCTCTTCCGCTGACAGGGAGAGCCTGGACTCGACATTCCGCAACTCGGATTTCGGCGGATACAATACGAATGGCGCTCGCAGGACTTCAATAGCTTCACAGCCAAGACAGCCTGCCTCATGGTCTGCACGCCGCGGCTCCGCACTTTCATCATTGAAGAATATCGAGTTCGAGAGAACCGTCCGTGGCAAATTACACTGGGTGAATGTGATGGCTGAATGGGGATGGGAAGGTGAGTTGATAACCCCTATTGCGCGCACACCCGCAGAACAACCTGACCTTGTGAATCGAACAGTCTTCATCGGCTAGCCTGAACGCATTACCAGTGACTTCCCAATATTCTTCGCCCGCTGTACTGATCTAACGACTAAGGACCCAGCGTGCAAGTCATCCTTTATCTTTCTATGGGATTATTTTGAATTTGAAATTGTACTTGGCGCCCTCGACTTGGTTGGCGTTGAAACAGCGCGGCGTTTGAGACCAGGTTTCCTGTTGATGATTTATGACAACAATGCTTCTTCGATGGAGTGAATATTCTCCGAACCTATGATCCATACTCTGACTACACTCAATTTCGATCTAGGAAACGGTGTTGCACTCTTCTTGGTGATTCACCCGGCATTCACTGCCATTCCTATCTATATTCAACTGTCCAATACCCGGTTTTTCAACACGGAGATGTCCCCAAAGCAACCTGCTATCTCTCGCCCTGGCCCTCTGACGCCAATCCCACACCCACACCAAACCCGGACCCGGACCCGTCAGTAATGATAATACACCGACTTGATCCACCTGATCAACAACCTATGCATTTAATACCCATGCTACGCCCCCCATTCATATCCAGAGCTCTGCCCTCCAGTATGGCCTTTAATGCCGTGTTCAAAAGCTTGTTCATCTGCACTTATCCAATTCGCGACTTCTTGAAACCATATGCAATCAGTAAGCCCCGTTCAATTCCAATAGCACCCTGCTCGAGACATACCCACAGAAAGGAAGATGGTCGGTGGGCTATAGAATTATGTAATCTACAACGTAAATATATTCATCCACTGCTCATTTGGTTCTTTCTTAGCTTCGACTATTGTAATGCCATGTGCCACAAATGCTTCTGCGAAGGAAGCTGAGTACACGCGGCCATGAGATCTGTGAATCCGTCCAGTGGAAGCCGGTTATCTTGCGATAACATCCGGACCGAAAGCTTGGTATATAGCAACAACTGCCACAAGTGTAGTGCACCAATAAGTTTCCTGGATTTTGAATAATATAATGTAAGAAAGGGAACGCAACGTGTCCTGCCTGAGGTCGTGAGGTGCCTCAAGCCCGGGACAGTGGATGTGAATACCCGAAATTCCAGGAAAAGTCTGAACAGCCTCAGCAAGAAGGCAATTTGTCAATTGGAGCTGCCGGCTGTGGGCTACAGTAGAGGTAGAGTCCCTTGTTCTCAATATCAATTGCATCTGATTGGTCTAAGTCCCCAATTGATTAGAGGGATAATGGCATTAGAACATATGACAGGCTGCAGGGCCAACCAGAGGGATAGTGGACGGTGATTACACTCACCTTGAATTCTTACTTCTGCTCTTCAAGGCCTTTCTCAATCATCTTTCGGAAGCTCCTTTTTCGAGTCTTTTTTCGAGTCTTTTTTCGAGTCTTTCGTCGTACCAATTTTTGTATTGATCATGTCTGCTTTCATCAAGGCTGGTTGTCAGACCCTCGTAGGGCGGTACTGCCCAATCCTCCGACGAGCACGGTGCATCCGAGTACCTGTTTGGAGCCTCCCCCCAGCTCGCCCAAATGGCCGTCCTCAAGTGGGAAACGACCATATTGCTCCATAGAATGATCGTGATCATCTACCATAACACCCCGAACGCCCTTCTCCTCAGCGTTGTTCTGGGCCCCCGAGTTCGCTTGGTTCGGCGTCCATTTTGCTGGGCTCTTAAGCCAGGTAAGTGAAGCTATAATGGCAGTTGATCCCACGTCCTGATAAGCCTTGCTTAGTTTCAATTGCCTCCTATGCCAAGAACATCACCAACATTATCAGCAACCGTCCCCTTCTTGCCGAGGCCATTCTGAACAGACACCTCGACATGAACGGACGATGGGTGCTCATGGGGCAAGCATTATGCGAACACTTCGGTGGAAACATTGCCAGATCCAGTGGAGATAGTTATGACGGCACTGGTGTCATTTATGACACCATTGACGAGGCAGCAGACTTAGGACCTGCTGTTGTTGACTCCGTGCTGGACTACTCCCAGAAGATGGACGTTGATGTGCAATTCGAGATTCTCTCAAGCCCCTGTCAATCACAAAGCCTGTGGCCCTGAAGGTCCTCGTTCCTCCCTCTCTTGTAAAGAAGCAGGATTATTTCAACGGTTTCCACCCGTCGCGTCGCGCTGTGATCATCCATTTGAACATGTTCCTATGTTCCTCCCCGGCGCCAACTTGTTGAGTCCTCTCCGAGCCCCGACTATGAGGTTCCCACCCGCCAAAATGGCCGGGAATTTTGCTGGGGTGAGTCTGATCTGATGCGAATCTGATAGTCATGTGAACCTTGACTGGTGCCAAGGATTAGTCAGGTGCCGAGAATCGGGGGCAGTCCCACCCCCAGAAAGCGGGCCGAGGTAGCGGAGGGTGAGGGTGGTGCCTCACCCTTCGTCCTTGATTTGTTTTCACTCTGCACTTTTCTCTCCCCTCTTCCGGATTGTCACCCCGGGTCCCTCTCAACAATGTTCCGTTCTCTGCGCCGCGTGCCTCGCCTTGCCTCTCGTCTGTCCAACCCGTCCCGGGCATTGCGCCCATTGACGTGCGGTTATCCACGGATGGCGCCTGTTCAGCCCCCGTCTCGACAAACCTCCCCGCAGACGCATACCAGCTTCTGTCTACCAAAGAAAAGGCAGGCGAAGCAGAGGATGCACTGTTTGATCGACAAATTCAGGAGGTAGAATCCTGGTGGAGCTCCCCGCGTTATGAGGGCATCAAGCGCCCATACTCCGCAGCAGATGTTGTGAGCAAGCGCGGGTCCCTGCAACAATCATACCCCAGTTCGTTGATGGCTCGAAAACTTTTCAATTTGCTCAATGAAAGAGCGGAAGCTGGACAGCCAGTTCATACGAGTGAGGTTCCAAACCGACATACACGCTCCAAGTCATTAACGTTGTTCTTTTTCCAGTGGGTGCCATCGATCCGGTACAGATGACACAACAAGCTCCCAACCAAGAAGTCCTCTACATATCCGGCTGGGCATGCTCCTCCCTCTTGACCAGTACCAATGAAGTGTCTCCCGACTTCGGCGATTACCCATACAACACTGTCCCCAACCAAGTGCAGCGTCTCTTCAAAGCTCAACAGATGCATGATCGCAAACATTGGGATACGCGACGGAAGATGACTCCGGATCAGCGGAAAGCAACACCATACACTGATTACATGCGACCAATCATTGCAGATGGCGATACTGGGTATGTTTATGTACATCATCCAAGGACGAAATAATTTGCTAATTTTACTGATGCAGACACGGTGGCCTGTCGGCAGTTCTCAAGCTTTCCAAACTTTTTGCAGAAAACGGTGCTGCGGCGGTCCATTTCGAGGATCAACTTCACGGCGGAAAGAAGTGCGGCCATCTTGCAGGCAAGGTACTCGTGCCCATGGGTGAGCATATCAACAGACTGGTTGCGGCCCGATTCCAATGGGACATGATGGGTTGTGAGAACCTGGTCATTGCCCGCACAGATTCCGAGAGCGGTCGACTCATCAGCAGCGCAATTGATGTCCGTGATCATGAGTTCATTCTTGGCATTGCCGAAGATGTGGAGCCCCTTGCGGAGACCCTCCAAGCCATGGAGCGGGAAGGTGCCTCCCCATTCGAGATCGATGCATATGAGCTTGACTGGGTCAAAAAGCACAAATTGGTCACAATTGACGAAGGTAGTTTTTTCCCCCCATTTTTCAATCGGATCTTACTAATAAGTCCCAGCTGTCGATGCCCATCTTGCCTCAGAGGGCGCTCCTCAATCCTCCCGTGATGGATACAGAGCTTATGTCAAGGCCAATCCTGATCTTTCATTTTCCCGTCGCCGTGCACTCGCAAACGACTACGCCAAAACCCCCCTCGTCTGGTCTTGCGACAGCCCACGTACCCGGGAAGGATTCTACCACTACCGCGCCGGATTCCCAGCTGCCACCAAGCGAGCTAAAGTGTTCGCACCATACGCAGACCTCCTCTGGGTAGAGACTGGTGACCCCGATGTTGAGAAGGCAGGCAAGCTGGCTGGAGAAGTTCGCGAGGCGTACCCCGGCAAAAAGCTTGTGTACAACCTGAGCCCGTCATTCAACTGGATGGGACAAGGATTCACCGAGGCCTCTCTCAAGTCCTTTATCTGGGACATTGCCAAACAAGGGTAAGCCTTTTGATCCAATTGTCCCTCGCCACCTTGGTAACCTGTACTAACTCTTCACGTCTAGATTCGTTCTGCAGTTGATCTCGCTCGCCGGTCTACACACAAATGCAACCATTACAACAGAGCTTTCCCGTGCATTCAAGGACGAGGGCATGCTGGCTTACGTCCGTCTAGTGCAGTCCCGTGAGAAGGAACTTGATGTCGATGTCCTAACTCACCAGAAGTGGAGCGGTGCCCCCTATATGGACGGCATCATGGGAGCCATTCAAAGTGGAAGCAGCAGCAGCAAGAGCATGGGCGAAGGAAACACTGAGAAGGGTATGCCATCACGCTTTCGCTCCTTTGGGATTCACTGCTAACCTCCTGCCACAGGCTTCTGATATTGAATTAATAAGCTTTTTGTGTTTGAGCAGCCGTCTCTTTCTTTCTGTACGGATTCCATGATTTTTCTTGCTGGGACCAACGTGATCAAATAATTTGGTTGTCCCAATAACATGACTGTCATATCACATCATTGATGTGGCCTGCTTTCATCGTTCATCTTCCGTATTTCGTTCAGATCTAACTCAGTATCCCGCCTCTCGGTAGAACTTGTACATCTCTTTTGCTGAGTATGTCACTCTATTTGCACGCAGGTTCGCCTCCTCGTAACGTCCTTTTGACTGCTTTTCTGCTTCTGTCTATTGATTGATCATAATGAGCATCGTCACCCCGTCAAAGATGAGAATAGACACATATATACATGGCTGTATCAAGCTCCAAAGCCTAGCTGAAATTAGCGTTTTTGGAAGTTGTATGTCTCTAAGCATCCGAGTGCGGTGCGACTGGGACGATGCTCGAAAGGAAAGGTTCCTGGGCGGCAGTGGCGTCGTCCAAGAAACCTAAAGCTTTGTCGTTGAGGACATCAACAGTGTGCTGCCCTTCATAGCTGACGGGGGCGTTGGAATTTCTTTGATAGGTTGAAAAAGGAGTTGGTGTAAGGATCGAGCAAAAAGTCAGATCCAACGAGCTGGCCAACCAAAAGCTTGTTGTATTATCAGACATGGAGTTCTGACTCCGGTGGAACAAACGCTGGCCAGCAGCACGGTTGTTCCGTTCTATCTTTGTTGTTGGATTTCAACTATGGAGTTGATCCCAATTAGGGACATATGTACCCTGGCCCAGCCGGAAGTTGACTCTCAATCAGCTCAAGCCGCCCTCTTCCCTCATTATCGTTGGAAATCAGCCTATTATGGTTTGTCGATAAATAGAATGCGATTTGATTCATGCTATTCTTCGTTCTGAGAGGAGACCCTACATGGCAGGTCAACGTCATCCACCGGTAACGATCAAAGCCCTACTGGCATTTTCCAGTTGAGTCCTCCGGCATTTGCTTTTTCTCCAATGTTATTCTTTGATGTTGACGGATATATGACTGAGATTTCCATGACTTACCATACAGAACCCACTTGCACAATTTCCCATACTACCATCCTTATTGCAAACTCCGCCTGCAGGAATCTAAAGTCCCATTAGAGGATCCTAGTAATACTCAACTGGTCAAGATGCTACCGTAGCTTTGCCGGCAGCCATGGCAGCGCCCAAAGTGGCCACGAGAGCAACGAAGATGAATCGCATGGTGATTGCAGGAAAGCCTTAGTTGGCGGATTGATGGTAGAGGATGTGAGTTTGAATTGGTTTGAAGAGAGAAAGAAGACCAGTACTTATAGCAGGCTATCCTTTTTTCTTCGGGAGTGTTTGAGCAAGTAATTTTTTGCTACTCCTGTTACCCCTCTGAGGTTTAGCATCAACGGGGAAGGTTTCAAGGCATGCATGCCCTTGGGGAGAATGTTATGTCTACGACCATCGATGTAACCAGAATAAACATTTACCCGCGAGCAAGGGCTAGCATGGCATTCGATTAGAAATTTCCACAAATTAAAATCAACTAAGCCCTGGATACTGGTCTCGTTGCGAATACTCCGATTTTGCCCGCTCCTTTTGGTTACCAATCCGACGAGGCTGTCATACACGGACCAAGCCAACCTGACATTCCTCTCCAGAGCCCCTTGATCTCTGATTGGGCTGTCACTAGCTGTCCTCCGACAGATAATCATCTTCTCGTTATAGAAAAGAATCACATCGGCTATCATCCACATTTACTCAGTTGATGTCATCAGTAACTGTTATTATAACATAGGACCAAATTACTATTTGAAATCAGCCGGCATAAGAACCCGAAGCTGCGAATAGCTCGATTCTCCGTAAAACAACCAGTCGCGGGTGGTAGCACGACAGAGGAACAATACACAAATCTTTCTCGAGAGACTGGCCTCACGAAATTCAGCCAGTCCTCTTCTCATAGAAGATACAGCTCGGCCCCTGGAAAGGTATGGAATGGCAATATTCATCTTATCTGGCTAGAGAGAAGCGCGCATACAATTGTACAGCTGAATAGGGGTTTCCCTTCAATTAGACATTGACTGCATATGGTTTCGTGCATCTACACATATCGGAAACCTTTCTTCCAGGCATTCCTTTACGCGGATTATTCCGGCGCAATATTTACTATTGGATGTAAATAAATCAGTTTACTCTCTTCAGAGGGAAAAGAACCACTGGACAAAACTAATCAAATTGGCATCGGGTGCACCAAAATGGTAGCACACGCATTAGTTGTTGTACAGGTAGTGAGTCAACACATAATCAAATGCCAGGTTTGGAATACGCAATAACAGAACACTGAGACCTAATCCCTCTTAAGTATTGGACTGGAAAGGATGAATTCCTACTTTTTTTGCACGCCGCTTACCCGTTACCACGACAGTCAAATGATATCCGACTTCAGCTGCTGAATCAGAGTCACCCGTCGAAAAAGGCGATCCTCTCAATAAGTGGGCCTGTTGATTACAGCGCCATCAGACATTCCCGCATGAACTTTGTGACTTGTTGGACCAATGATCGGTCTTGAAACACTCAGTGGCTTGAGTAATCTGGTCGATACTGGGTAAGCAGATATTCTAGTTTGATAGTCAGGGATATAAACAGTAATGGAAAAGCCGTGTAAGTGAGTCCCTTGCCGGATAGTCACACTAGATGTTCGTGACTCTTTGATCACTGTCTTTGGTGGGAAGATTCGCTAGACTAGCTGTCCTCGGTCCAACCTGAGATCGACCTCGAGCTGTGTTGTTGGGAGCCGGAGTAAATCCATATCAGAAACAGTAGTTTAGATGTGTGTTCTGTATGAGGGTACGAGAAACCGCGTACAGCTTTTGACAAGTTGAACCCTGGATTTGAAATATGATAGAACCTTCAGTTTTTCAATCCAACATATATTGTGGAACAGCTAAGTGGAAATGTCCTATCCATGCCTTGAGCTCTCGGCATAATTGAAATTCTGTCACTGACAAAAACTGGTGAAAGAGGAAGTAGTTTTAGTCGGTGTCCAAGCACACTACCAGGGTCGCTACGGTCTAGTCAACTTGACCATGAAGCCTGCAATCTGCACAAGACGTTCATTGGTCGAGTAGAATTAACGGGCAGTTAACCGCAAGCTAAAATTACCTACTGCAACAGGATTGGCTGAGGCCAGCAGCCCTATATGTGTGGGGCACCGGCTTGAAATAGCACGCAATTTGAAGCTACTGACAAAACTGTGAATTAGAATCTGCGCTGGGATTGGGAGAATGAAAGGTCTTGTGCCTTAGCTTTTAATTGCACACCACAATGTGCTCCCCAGATACTGTTGGTGAGCACAGCTTGTCATACCTCTATCCATCTGAACTAGCTTGGCACCAGGGAATATACCTCAAAATCTCAGCTCACCCCCTTTCAGATACAGCACTTGTCTCAGCTTGGGTTCCAATAGGTACATCATGGACTCTTCACGTCGTCGACCCTTTTCATTCCACATTGGCCGGTACAGTGACGAAAATGACATTACCTTGAGTGATAGTTATACCCCTCGGGTAGGTGTAGTTGAAGCGGAAATTACGTTGTCTTAAGTATGCGGCAAGCCGAACTGACAATCCTGGTACTTTTCAGGAACCCCAACCGACAAACGAGCAAAGTGGTTCCTTACTTCATCAGCGGTCTTGCACTCTGTCCCTCAACCCGTTCGCAGACCCAGCCCCCTTGAGCCAAACTACTCAACAACCCTATGCATGGGATTCTGGAATTATGATCCCTGGTATAGACTCTATGGAGTCACAAGAGCTACCTGATCATTTCAAATTACACAACCTCTCCAACCAGGGCTCTGCGGTTGCCTCCTCCAAAGACTCGGGGCATCGTCATAAGACAAGTACCATCCGCCGATACACCACACGGCGAATCAAACTCATTCAAGGCTCAGTATTGAGTATAAACTACCCTGTCCCGAGTCCTATTCGAAATGCCATTCAACCAGAATATCGGGATGCAGAGGGAGAACTTTCTGAAGAGTTTACACAGATGAGGTGTGAGTGCAAATAGTGCTTCCGACTTTGGTGTTCATACGCTAACCTGTCATTCTCCTTTACACATAGATACAGCTGCAACATGTGATCCTGACGAATTCACGCTGCACAATGGGTATAACCTACGCCCTTCAATGTACAACAGACATACAGAACTCCTCATCGCGATCACGTACTACAACGAAGACAAGGTTCTCACTGCTAGGACCTTGCATGGGGTGATGCAAAATGTTCGGGATATCGTCAACCTGAAAAAGACCGAGTTTTGGAACAGGGGAGGCCCGGCGTGGCAGAAGATCGTCGTTTGCCTCGTATTCGACGGAATGGACCCATGCGACAAGAATACACTTGATGTTTTGGCAACCATCGGAGTTTTCCAAGACGGCATCATGAAACAAGATGTTGACGGACGAGAAACGGTCGCTCACATCGTAAGTTACATGTGCTTTTGGTGCAATGGGTCCTTGCAGCATGAAACGTTGTCAGTCCAACCGTACTAACAAGTGGTAGTTTGAATATACGACTCAACTATCGATTACCCCGAAACAAGAGCTCGTCCGCCCATACAAAGACAATTTTATGAATCTACCACCGGTCCAAATGGTTTTCTGTCTCAAGAAGAAAAATTCCAAAAAGATCAACTCACATCGCTGGTTGTTTAATGCTTTCGGTCGCATTTTGAATCCTGAGATCTGCATTTTGATCGATGCAGGCACCAAGCCCGGACCTCGGTCCTTGCTCGCTCTTTGGCAAGCATTTTACAATGACAAAAATCTCGGCGGAGCTTGTGGTGAAATCCACGCTCTTCTTGGCCACCGATGGAAAAAGCTTGTTAACCCATTGGTCGCAGCCCAAAACTTCGAGTATAAAATTTCTAATATCCTCGACAAGCCTTTGGAAAGTAGCTTTGGCTATGTCAGTGTTCTACCGGGAGCATTTTCGGCCTATCGGTATAGGGCTATTATGGGTCGACCGCTCGAGCAGTATTTCCATGGTGATCACACACTTGCTCGGCAACTCGGCAAGAAAGGTATCGACGGTATGAATATTTTCAAAAAGAATATGTTCCTCGCCGAGGACCGCATTCTTTGTTTTGAGCTAGTAGCCAAGGCTGGTAGACAGTGGCGGCTCACGTACGTCAAATCCTCGAAAGGAGAGACAGATGTTCCTGAACAACCAGCAGAATTTCTCAGTCAACGGCGGCGATGGCTTAATGGCTCTTTTGCCGCATCACTTTATTCAATCATGCATTTCAATCGCATTTACCAAAGTGGACATGGGATACTCCGCCTTTTTGTCCTTCATGTTCAGCTGGTTTATAATATCTGCCAACTTGTCATGACATGGCTTTCACTCGGTATGTTAGCGAGAGTCTGGGAACACTGAAAATGGTAGAGCTGATTGACGAGCAAACTTTCATCAGCGTCCTACTGGTTAACTAGTTCCGTTATTCTCGATATTGTGGGAACACCGAGCTCGACGAACAAATCCAAGGGCTGGCCTTTCGGCAACGATGTTACACCCATTGTCAATAATCTGCTGAAGATCGGATATCTGACATTCCTCATGCTTCAGTTTATCCTGGCTCTTGGAAACCGTCCAAAGGCGTATGTATAGGATGCTACCTGTTTGTATTGTCCGTCTGAAGCTAACATGGAACCTATCAGGTCCAAGTTTCTGTATACCCTCTCCTTTGTCTACTTTTCACTAGTTCAAGCCTACTTACTTGTCTTGGCCTTCTACCTGGTCGCACAAGCGTTGGCTCCTGAGAATCTGGTCTTCGACTTTGATCACGGATTCTCGGGACTTGTATTGGGCTTCATCCGCTCAACTGGTGGTATTGTTCTTGTCGCTCTGGTCTCAACCCACGGAATCTATTTCCTGGCGAGTATTCTCTATGCAGACCCTTGGCACATGCTCACTTCATCTTGGGCATATTTCCTCGGTATGCCCTCGTCAATTAATGTTCTCATGGTATACGCATTTTGCAACTGGCACGATGTCTCTTGGGGTACGAAGGGGTCCGACGCCCCGGACAAACTTCCATCGGCGCAAACAAAGACCGAAGAAGAAACAACTTTCGTGGAGGAACTGGAGAAACCTCAGATTGATATTGATGAACAATTTGCGGCCACTGTCAAGCGGGCTTTAACCCCGTGGCAGGAGACGAGCGATGGCGAAGAACTGGCTCTTGACGACTCATACAAAGCTTTCCGAACTAACTTGGTCCTCCTGTGGACTTTCAGTAATGGACTTCTAGCACTCTATATCAACAACTCGAGTATTGATAGACTATGTCTAACAGTGAGTTGGGTCTCAAGTTCATCATTTCATCCATGAATACTGACATGGCAATCTAGAACGCATCTACAACCCGGACGGCGTGGTATTTCAAGGTCATCTTGTGGGGTACCTCTGGTCTTTCTATTTTCCGCTTTTTCGGTGCTCTTTACTTTCTGGCAAAGACTGGGGTCTTGTGTTGTTTCTCCAGGCGCTGATACAAAGAGATTTTGTTTTACCGGCCGGTGCTCGGCGTAGATGGTGTATTGAAGCTTGGTATCCCATACTTATGTTTTAATACAAGCTATATTCAGGCAATTTATTCGCATTCATGAATTTTATTTCGTTTCAATATATGTGACCTACTTTCTAGGACTATGAACGCGCAATAACTAAGGATTGCAATTTGAGTGCTTGAAGAGTAAGGAAAAGCTAGTTCACATCGCTTCCATGTCCGGCTGTACCGGTACTTGTTCTAAGTGCTAAGGAGCATGCGGATCACGAGCACCTTCCTAGCTCCTCATCGTGGCAGATACCGTGCAAAAGTCGCGGGTCCAGCCGCTAAAGGATAACGTTGGGAGAACTGTAGTTCACCACTTAGCCATCATAGAATTCATACCAGTAGCTATCAAAATCAAAACACTCTTTCGACCAACTATTCAGCTATTGTATTCGAGTTATCGGCACACGAGAAAGCAGATCCTATGAAAAGATGTTCAGCCACGGGACAAAGAATCAACAGACAACGTCTTCGATACGTACCAATCTGGCCACTTTCATATGCATTGTTAATTTCAACACACACCGCGTAAGTACCTGCCACAGTTATGAAGGCTCCAATCATTAGAAAAAGGGTGTGAAAGGCGTATGCAAGTGGCTTTTGAAAGTTACCCTTTGCCCACCAGTGGTTTCGATTGTCGAATAACCAAAGGACGGCTGGTAGACAAATGCTCAAAGGTCCCATTATAAGGGAACCGACCAGAGCCAGTAGATAATTGAAAATAGGTACAGCCTCAGCAATAATGAAAGCGAGGGTTGTTATACCCAACGTACAGCCCAGCCATGTAGACCAGTGAATTAAGGTGTTGCGTTGAAGATGAGAGGTATTGCGTAAGAGACGGACGAAAAGATACTTCGCGGCCACCTAAAGATATTTTGTCATCAGGTGAGAACTTCAATATTTACGAGAAACTTACGTGGGAGTAGAGACATCCGCTCATGATCAGGCCAAATAGACCTACTCCGTAGGCAATCATCTTGACGGTAGGTCCGGCGCTCTGTGTGGGTTAGAACCTGGATTCTTTTTGAATAAAGGCCAAAACAGAGATGAGAGACACGTACCCCCAAAGATGGATTAGCGACCCATTTTCCACAGTACGCGTAGACAACCAGGCTGAAGGTGAAATAGAAAAGCATAATCAAGCTCATGGCGACATGCACAGCTTTCTTAAAGTCGCCAGGGTTCTTCATCTCTGCAATCACCGGCACGAATGCACCGGTATTGGAACTTGCAACGAAGATATTGCAGGTAGCCAGCATGCCGACTGCAAATGTAGGCTTCAGGGGCGGCAGAGCATAGAATCCTAGCTCATAGGGACCAGTGGACGGCGCCGCCGCCGGACGATCCAGCTGAGTGACCCCGACAACCACGATGAAGACTGCTGTGAAGATGGAAATAAAGGCGATCCAGGTAAGCCAGCCAATCTGCTCGAGCTTGCGTATAGAGGATAACGTAGCGATAGATATCCAAGCCACCAAAGCCCACCAAACAGTGCAAGCACTGTGATGCGAGAGAGTATTCAGAGCGGTTGACACCGCGATGATGGCGGATCCGGCGCAAATAACGTTGCCTAGAACGAATAGCACGCCGATGACTTCTTTGCCTACTCTGCCGCCGATGATATGCGCCATATCGGCAATAGAGTGACAGCACCCGTGTCGCTGGCGAAAATTGTACATCACAACGGCCGTGTATTGATTCCACGCGGTCCAGCCCAAAACACTCAAGCTACCGCCAACCGCTCCCAACTGATACATAGAGGTGGGGATTGACAAGACCCCGGTGGCAAATGTTATTTTCAAGAAAATCATAGAAGCACTAGGCCAGCTCAATGTTCGAAAGTGCACTCCATCGCTGCTGGGGCCGAATACCTCCAGGTCGTCAACCACGCAGGTGTCTCGAGATGATCCTTCGGGCTCGGGTGAGGTCTCAATCTTGGGTTCAGAGCCCATTGGAAGTGCCTCTACGGAGGAAAGTAGTAATATGCGCGGACAAATGGAAACAGGCAGACACCAGTATACTTCACGATGCGATATTGTCATTTATTTAACTTGTTGAGAGTAGCAGGCGCCACCGCTTTAGTGGCATCAACCTAGGCCCAAAATAGCGTAATCTCCTCATTAGACATAAGAACTACTTTCTCCAACTTACTTATCTATTGCAAGTCCAATTGAGCGTCGAAGAAGTCTGGGCGAGGGGATTCGCCATGTTATCTGCATAGACCTTATATAGTCCTATAACATACAGCCTATGTCAATGTGGACTGGATGACTTCAGAATATCTCAAAAGAATACGCAGCTTAAGAAATATGCCGGCGTAAGTAGAATGGAACTGGTGAGATGAAGCACTAGGGCCACGGTCACGGCCAAAGTTTGCCGTTCTATGGGCATTTTAATCGTGAACAGGTATCTTGATCCGGACTCATAGCCATATTGTGTGCTTAGCAGGATACTTGGCACATGAATCGATAATTGGTACCCAGGGCATCAGCACTGGCTTCAAAATTACAATAATAAAATTTGGGGTCTCAGTGCATACTTGTGCCGTCTTGCGCGTAACTGTACCCGTTGTATGAGGCAGCCGAACGCTGCGCCAAGAACTATCTATACCGCTGCAGCGTTGTTTAGGAGTTGGCCAATTGCTTTACTTTTGGAGATTTTCTCAAACTACGAGGCATTTATTCATCTTCCGCCTTCCTCCTACTCCAAAAAATTGGAGAACCCATCTGATAGTGTGACGGCGTGGCAAGCGCGAAAATGAAGCAAGTGGAGAAGTACATGGTTACCCCAAATTTCCTATCTCATCACGCCCCTCGCACTAGTTGCAGATATGACGTGAAATTTGGAGACGATAGATAGAGCTGCTCACTGTTCATTGCCCTACCATTCGTTCTCTTCCCTTGCTGTTTCCAAGAGGCACACACCGCTTGCCTGAACAACATGACTCAAGGGTTGGCAACCAAATATGAAATCAACGCCGATATGGGCGAGGGCTTTGGCCGCTGGAAAATGGTTGGTACACCCGAATGCTGCAGCTCGTTCGAACATAGTCGCTGACAGCGATAGGGACCGGACGAGGAGCTCATGCCTTTCATTAACGCTGCAAATATCGCGTGCGGATTCCACGCTGGTGATCCGACGATCATGCTCAAAACAATCCGTCTCTGCAAACAACATGGTGTGAAAGCAGGAGCCCATCCAGGTCAGCAAGATATGTTTGGGTTCGGGCGCAGAAAGATCGAGGTCGACTCGAAAGATATGTACGCTCTGGTTCTGTACCAAGTCGGTGCACTCAAAGCCATGTTGGATGCCGAGGGCGTAGCTCTCTCCCACATCAAACCCCATGGAGAACTTTACTTCTATATGCAGAGAGACACGACTATCATGAGAGCTGTACTAGAAGCTTGCGCAACATTCAAGGTTCCAGTCTACGCCTGTCAGAATGAGCAGCAGGAGGCCATGTGCAAAGAACTAGGTATTCCTTTCCAGGGGGAGGTTTACGTCGACATTGATTACTCGCCAGAGGGAAAACTCATTCCTGTTGCTCAGTCAACGACCGCCACTCCTGAACTGTGTTACCAGCGAACCCTCTCTGCAACAATGACAGATCACGGCAATGACATCGATGGCAAGGAATTTTGCTTTGGGTTTGAGGGGAAACCTTTTAGTATCTGCATTCATTCGGATCACCCAACCGTTCTCCAGAATGTAAAAGGAGCTCGCCAAGCTGTCGACGAAGCCAACCGTAATCGCTTCCCTAAAGAATCGGAGGTTGCGCCCTCATAAGAATTTTATGGTAGCAATTCAATTCTCATCGATTCTTGAGTGAGGCTTTCGTTAATAATTCATTGTAAAAGCTTGCGACCGTCAATTAACTGAGCAGATTGGCGACAGTTACTTAGTCTGAGCTCGACGTGTCCCTTCTCCGTTGGACCGACAGTCTACAACTTGGTGTCTCCGCTAAACCGTCTGGATTTGGAAATATCGTGGGTCTGAAGGGTCCTCTACTCCAAATTTTGCTTATCTCTTGGGGTCAAACATGGTCAACCCCGCGCAAATCGACAAAGGATCTACCGGTAGATACGAGTAACTACTATCACAAGCCGAAGGGAGTATGATGTCAAATAAACTGAGGTTGCTCTTATAATCCTATGTAGCCTTTTGGTACTTTCAGACTGTTTCATCTGCTGCCTCCTTAAATCATGAGTGCGACCACCGTTATCACCACCACCCTTGATAGAGGGCAACTTCGCCATATCCGTAAAGTCTTGGTGGCCAACCGAGGCGAAATTGCCGTTCGCTGTATCAAAGCTTGTCGCGAGCTGGGCGTTCAAAGCGTCGCAATTATCACCGCAGCCGACGCTACTTCCCTTCATGCTCAATTGGCAGATGAAGTATATACGCTACCCGGGAGTGAAAGCACAGCTTATATCGATGGGTAAGTCGTTCTGCGCATGCATGAAAAATGCGGGTGTGTAGGATAATCCCTACAATCATGAATTCTGACTCTGCGTGAATTGAATAGGGATGCTATCCTGGATATTTGTGCAGACTGTGGTGCCGATGCTATAATCCCCGGCTATGGATTTTTGAGCGAGAACGTTGAATTTGCTGAAGCCGTGGCCAAGGCCGGTATAACATTTGCTGGTCCATCGTCTGCGTCAATCAAGTCCATGGGTCTCAAGCATGAGGCCAAAAGAATAGCTGAAGCTGCGCATGTTCCGACCATCGTTGGAACGTCTCTACTGTCATCTGCAGAGCATGCCATCGTAAGTGCTAAGCGAATTGGCTTTCCAGTCATGATGAAAGCGACTGGAGGAGGGGGTGGGATGGGTTTGCAAATATGTTATAGCGAGGAGGACGTGGAGCAGGCTTTTGCGCTAGTCGAAAGCCGGTCCGGTGCGCTTTTTGGTAATAGCGGAACCTTTCTGGAGAAATACTACCCACACTCTCGGCACATTGAAGTCCAGGTTGCTGGCAATGGAGTCGATGTTGTAACTTTTGGAGAGCGCGAGTGCTCTTTACAACGCCGACATCAGAAGATCATTGAAGAATGTCCAAGTTCATTTGTGGAGCGCACACCTGGATTACGCGAGAGGATGCTGCAGGCAGCTATTCGCTATGCCTCCCAACTCAATTACAAGAGTGTTGGCACCGTTGAATTCCTGGTGGACGACGAGACCGCCGATTACTTCTTCCTTGAAATGAATACTCGTCTTCAAGTAGAGCACGGGATCTCTGAGCTATGCTATGGCGTTGATTTAGTACACTTGATGCTTCAGCAAGCCGACCACGAGCATGGAGGTCAGAAAGGCATCCCTTCTGATATTCTGAAGAATCTCGGTAGGCCCCAACCTTTGGGGTGGGCCATCGAAGCCCGCATATATGCCGAAGTGCCGTTGCGCGATTTTGCACCCAGCCCAGGTGTTCTTCAACATGTTCGTTGGCCAGAAGGTGATGGAGTGCGCATCGACACGTGGGTGAAAAGTGGTCAACGCATCAGTGCACTCTACGATCCTCTGATTGGTAAGGTCATGGTGCACAGCCTCGACGGTCGACTGGCTGCTCAGCAAAAGATGCTTGCTACACTCGCCGAAACATCGCTTCAAGGTACTCAGACAAATCTGCAATACCTTTCCAAGGTGCTTCAGTCTGATGAGTTTACCGCCGGGTTTACATTGACAAACTTCCTGTCTACATTCGAATTTCGCACAAATGCCGTGCAGGTCCTAGATCCTGGGCTATACACGACAGTTCAGGATTATCCTGGTCGTGCTATGGTCGGTCATGGAGTCCCACCGAGTGGGCCTATGGACGACCTGAGCAGCAGAGCAGCCAATGTTTTGGTCGGTAACGATATCGGAGTTGAAGTCCTGGAACTGACCATGACTGGCCCTGAGCTTTTGTTCCACGAGTCAGCCGTGATATCAGTCTGCGGTGCCCGAATGCCACTCACGATCGATGGTCTCGAAAAACCAATGTGGTCAAGACTCATTATCAAAAAGGGACAGATTCTCAAAATTGGCTCTGTGGTCGGTAATGGCCTCAGGACCTATATTGCTTTCAAGGGTGGCTTCCCTCAAGTTCCTCTCTATCTTGGCTCAAAATCTACCTCTCCAGAGCTGCAGCTCGGTGGTCTTCAAGGACGCCGCCTTCAAGCAAATGATATCCTTGATCTCTCTCCTCAGTCAAGCGAGTGGGTGGATACAGCTACATCCGTTTCGCTGCCGCAAGAAGCTCTTCCTGACTACAATGTCTTCGAGATCTACTGCCTCCAGGGCCCCTTCGGCTCGGACGATATATTGACCCAAAACGGGCGAGATACGATCCATTCGTCTACATGGACCGTCGGCCCTAACAGCGGCCGGAGCGGAGTAAGACTAGAAGGCCCACGTCTCAAGTGGGCTCGTGCCAGCGGTGGTGGCGGTGGATCCCATCCATCCAATGTCTTCGATTACGGCTATCCAAATGGCGGCGTCAACTGGACGGGAGAGTACCCCATCATCTTTGCACGGGATCGTCCCGATCTGGGCGGCTTTGCTTGTGCTATCACAGTTTGCTCTGGGGAAATGTGGAAAGTCGGTCAGCTTAAACCTGGTGGCTCGCTTCGATTCCGCATGACTACTTTCAAGAACGCGATGAAGATTTCTCGCGCCAAGGAATCCTGGCTTGATGCACTTCGTCTGTATGCTACAGATGAGAATATACCAGTGCCTTCTCCTCACGTCGAGCTAGGTCCGGAGGCCACTTCATCGATTTTGAAAACAAAGCCTTCTTCTGATATAAACCCTCGAGTCACCTTCCGACAAGGTGGCGATACCAGCATAATTGTTGAGTTTGGAGAGCAAATTGCGGATTTGCGAAACACCGCTAGTGTCAAGCTTCTCAGTGAGCGGCTGGACAAACGAAACTTGAATGGTGTTCGCTATGAGCCAAACCTTGCCACATTGACCGTCCATTATGACCCGTTCCAGCTGCATCAAAGCAAACTGCTCCAGATTCTTGAGGCACTACACTCCAGCATTGGTGATATCTCAGGAGTTCAGCTTCCTGTCCGAGAAATCCACCTCCCACTTTGCCTGGACCACCCTAGCATCCAAGAAGCCACACAGCGTTACATGGAAAGTATCCGGCCCACCGCAGCTTACCTCCCCGATAACGTGGAGTACATACGAAAGGGAAACGCACTTGAGTCAAGACAAGATGTCTTCGACTCACTTCTCAAAACACCATGGCTCACAGTAGCAGTGGGTTTCTTCGTCGGAACGCCAATCATGTTCCCACTGGACCCGCGCTACCTCTACACTGGCCAAAAGTACAACCCCAACCGTTCATACACACCCAGTGGCTCTGTAGGTCTTGGGGGATCATTGCTTGCGCTATACCCCATAGCGGCGCCGGGAGGTTACCAGCTTATGGCTCGCACGCTTAGCGCGTGGGACTCTGCGGGCACGCGGCCTGGATTTTCTGAATCACGGCCGTGGCTGTTCAATTACTTTGACATTGTCAAGTTCTATGAAGTCACAGAAGCAGAATTTAACAAAGCCGAGAGTGACTTCCTTGCTGGAAGATACTCGTTCAAGATCACCGATTCAACGCTCGACATGAACCACTACATTGCCAAGTTCGATACCGCTGGGCGTGATTCGAACTGGCAGGAGTGGCGAACGCGGCAAACCCTTGCTGCGGTGGAGATGGGTGAGCTTGAGCAAAAACTCTTCGATGAGTGGAGTGCGGCGAAGGCTATCGCCAGCACTCGCGAAGACCTAGATGATGTCGACTCGCCTGATGTGGTTCGAGTTGAGTCGCCGGTCGATGCCAATGTTTGGAAGGTACAAGTCAAAGTCGGTGATCTTCTTGAAAAGGGACAGGTCGTGGCCATTTTGGAAGCCATGAAGATGGAGATTAATGTATACGTCACGGAGGCTCAGGTCGGTGCCCGAGTGGCCTCCATTCTCTGTCGACCTGGGAGTGTGACTGGTCCTGGAAGTACAATTTTGACAGCCAAGCATGGCTGGGTAGATAGGTAATGTATTTCTAATTCACAACTAGTAAAGAGGCATCAGATATACTATACTAACGGCAAGTTCGCTGAACATATACCCCAAGAGAGGAATAAGATCTATATATCCCACAGGGATCCCGACCGCTCTGTGACATCTATAACCAGAAAGCCATGAGTATTTATCACTGCTGATGTAGATATTCTTGCTTTTTCTCACTACCTGTGTGCCCCACTTCCCCCCCTTGCCTACCAACTGCCTAAGTTTTACAACAGAACGGGTTGCATGAGAGAAACATTCAAGTTCTATCTGCCTTTTAGCCTTTGAATGTTGACGCCTTGTTGCTATAGGGAAGATATCACCAGGGAAATTCCCTTTTCTCTCCGAAAAGGTTGAGCTCGGGCTTCCCTTTGCATCCTACGATGTGCTTGGACCTCGAGTTTTATAATATCCTCAGACCTCTTTTTTGCTTTGTTCTGAGTCAGACATAAGTTTGCTCAAACTTCCAGATACTGGAGTAGATTTTCAAGACTCCTTTGAAGTCTGTTCTCGGAACGATCTTACTATCGCCTTGGATGCAGCGCACGTACGGACACGGATGGCGCTCGTCGAGGCTGTTTACTCTCGCCACAGCCTGCGTCGCTCTATTGACCGGTATTTGTTGATCTCCCTAATATCCAATAGTATCCTGTATTGACATACCTACCTAGAAACTCTGCTCTATGGCTTCGTGGTCCCTATCCTGCCTCACATGCTTGAGATTCGCCTGGGCCAGGATCCAGCACAAACCCAAAATCTGATGACTGGACTTCTCAGCATCCATGGATTTGTCACTCTCATCTCAGCGCCGGTGATTGCCTCTTTCACCGATAAGACGGCAAACAGGAAGACTCCGCTTCTTCTTTCTCTTGTCAGCTGTCTAACAGGAACTATTCTGGTTGCATCTACATTGAACCGTATGCCCCGCTCATGGTTGCTCGTGGTCGAACGCATATTCTGACTGATCGCATAGTGGCAGCACTGTACGCAGGCCGAGTTCTCCAGGCTGTAGCAGGCTCCGCAGCATGGATCGTCTGTCTGGCAATATTGACCGAGAATGCAGGCGAAGGAAATGTAGGAAAGATGATGGGACTCAGCATGTCATTTGTGATGGTGGGCACAGTGGGAGGACCAATGATCGCAGGCACTGTACTGGAATTGCAAGGATATTGGGCCGCATGGTCTATACCGCTAGTGGTGCTGTTCTTCAACATCATCGCGCGGCTAATCATGATTGATCCACTGCATCAAACCGCTTCTCAAGCGTCTTCTCATCCAGAAGGCTCGTCTACCGGCGCCCATAATCATACAGAGGATGGAACTAACAACACTGAAACCTCCCCCCTCCTTTCCCCCAAGACAAATCCAAAAGCATGTCATAACCAAGCTGCATCATCATCATCATCACACTTTTACAGCATAATGCTCCGCGAACACCGTATCTGGGCCAGTCTCGCAAACTCAATCACATACCCCATCCTCCTATCAGGATTCAACGCAACCTTACCAATCCACCTTCGCGAAGTCTTCAACTGGGGCTCTCTCCCAATGGGAATGATCCTATTCCTCCTCCAAATTCCATCAATCTTCTTTGGCCCGCTATCCGGCTGGTTACGTGACCATGTCGGACTACGATATCCAACGACAATTGGCTGGACACTTCTCGCCCCATTCGTTTGCCTACTAGGGGTTCCTGGAGATAGGCATTTTCCATGGGCTAATGCTGAAACTCTTGGTAAAGAGATGTTTATCTCGTGTATGGCTGCTATCGGTATTGTTTTGCCTTTGGTTCAGGGTGCTGGGTTTTTGCATACACTCTGTTAGTTGATGGGTATCTCGAATCGCTCCAAGTCGGAATGCTTACGGGAGTTCAAATATAGTGGTCCTACAAGACGTCGAATCGAAAACACCAAACATCTTCGGCACACTAGGTGGACGCTCGAAAGCTTTTGCCATGAACTCGGTTGGGATTAATATCGGGCTAATGATCGGGCCATTTATTACTGGATTCCTGTCACAAACAATTGGATACTTTTACATGAATGTGATTTTGGGTAAGAAGCGGAGGAATTGGGATTCTTGTGATAGATATTTGCTAATACGTACAATCTAGCTGCCACCTGCTTGGTTCTATCCGCTATTTCCTTCACCCTTTTCGACAACAGTAATCCTTGGAAAAAGCAAGAGGTCCCCGAATAGATCCTGAACGGGTTTACACGGGTTAAGCTATTGAGAATCAAATCTGGAAGCCAGTTGAGAAGTGGGACTTTTACGCAATGTCCATGGAAAACAGCTTTCTCAAAATGAAGCTACTCGATAGCATGATAATTAGGCTAGATACGAAAAAAGGGTATTGGGGCATGATGAATACTGTACATGAATATAGTTCCGCTGTATCGGGCCTTGTACTAAAGAACTATGGGCGTCAACGGATAAAACCACAAGGTGACAGACGCGGTGCGAAATCTCACGGATGCACAATCCGCTATTCAAGCAAAATACACGTGCTATAAAAGTACAGGTGGCTACAGGGAGACAAGAGTGAAACGGGGAGTATACAGACTGTAGAGATAAGCATACCCCGAGATCCGGGGAACATCCCGAAGCGGTACGGTAACCATACCCAACCCAGTTACGGGTTACCATACGCAAGGAACATGAGCTTTTTTATTTCTCGGTGGAAATACTCTCCGTACTTACCATGGTTTCAAGCGTTAATATACGATGTACGGCACGAATCTTGCCAAAACAAAAGACACGTAAAATAGACTCAGAACATTTTTATTGCTACAACCACAGTATCAAGAGAACTTGAAGCGTAACTTTGTCGTAAAATCGAGCATCGGACCGAACGGCTAACGTGAAAAGAAAAAACGCACCCAGGGCAAGTTACACAGATGAGAGAAAGATGAACAGAATAGACCGTAACCAGCAGTACCCTACAGGATCGAGATTATCGACGCATCAAGAAATTACATCAGAAGGAACCCGAAAAGAAACAACAGAGAACAGAGTGAAAGCACGACAGATTCAGGATGATTTCCGCCTGCCGGCTGGGGTCATGAGCAGAGAAGTAAACAGTCGGAGGGGAAAAAAACAAACAAGAAAGAAGAGAGCGGAATTGCGCCACAGATCAAGAATAGAAGAAAAGAAACACCATTTTCCCATCAAATTGAAACAAATCGCTTAAGTACGGACGAGACATCGGTTGACGAAAGTTTCCATCGAGCGTTTAGTTAACACGGAATGAGTCGAAGATGACTGAGATACATGTTAGAATAGAATACCACGACGTATCAAGAGAAACATACCTTCGTGACCTCTGCGGCAGCCGCTGCCGATCCACATCAAAGTGTTCAGGAAGGTGTATCGCTCATCACCAGTTTCCATGGAAAGGTTGACGCGGTACTTGTAGCTGCCGGGGTTGACGCCGTCCGCCATGTTGGAATCAATAACCTTCTCGAGAACATCCTTGGCACCGGTCAACCAGCCTTCGGTGCGAACAATGATGAATGCTGGTGGCTCATCAACGGTCTGGAGGATATAACTGGCGCGCAGGTTGGTAGTCGAGTCCTTGGTAACGATCTGAGTATCTTGGCCGCCAGGCTATATTCCATATTAGACAAGTGAAATTTAGGGTGACAGTGTGTAGCGCTATGCAAACTTACCAGGACAATGCCCTTGCCCCATCGGCCAGCCCATTGACCACCAACGAACGAGACCCACTCTCTCTGACCCCAGACGCCAGGGCCGACAGACACTTTAGGGTTCATCTTGATGCTCATGCGGAAGTCCAGCTCCAGCGTTGGCGCGGGGATTTGCAATGACCGGGCGACATCGCCTTCGGGGAATGTGTGCAGCAGGTTATTGGCAGGGATTGAGTCCTTCATAACACTGAGATAGGTAGGGCATTCGAGGAGATGTTGGCGCTGACGACTGGTGTTCTTTGCGCGGACTTGCTGACAGTAGATGCACTGGACAGAAAGACACTACCAATGGTTAGCATCCATAGATACTCGCGTGTTTGCCAAGCTTCCTACCTTGTCTTCCTCCTTGGCGCGGAACTCCACGAAAGCAGCGTGCACATCGTCCAGCGGCGGCGCAGGCAAAGCGGACGTCGAGCTCTTGGACTTGGGCTTGGGAGTCGGGCGGGAAGGCGCAGCACTAGACGGAGCAGAAGGAGGGCCAGTCGGGGGACCTGGAGTCGGCATCGCGGTGCGACTCTGCAAGGTCTGCAGTGGGGTTTGCAGCGGGGTCTGGAGCGGAGTGGCATGGGGATTGACGCCGTTGGTCATGAGAGTGCCGTTAGGAGTCGGGATGGCACCAGGACCAGCTGGGCCTGTCGCGGTGGCCGTTGCGCCATTGGGGGTGCCAGGGTAGCCATTGGCAGAGCCGATTCCATTAGGGGCTGGCTGGGCGGGCTGGGAAGGTTGGGGCGCGTTAGGGTGACCGCGCAGACCGGGACACTCGAGGAGATGTTGTTTCTGGCGCGAGGTGTTCTTTGCGCGAATTTGCTGGCAGTAGATACATTGCACGGAGAGACACTATACAGAGAAACGAAACACCCAAAACGGGTTTTCGTATGTTAGTGACTGGTGTTGAAATATTACGAAATACACACCTTATCATCTTCCTTGGCGCGAAACTCGACAAACGCGGCGTGCACCTCCTGGTCGACGGTGCGACCCATGATGAGGGGAGTAATGGTCTCCAGATTCACTGAAGAGACAAACAAGCAAAAGATGAGATGAAGGGGAAGGTCGTAAGGTCGCGTACGGGTAAAGTTGGAGGGGTTGAAGGAAGAAAAAGAGACGAAGACGGGAGAATACGAGGGTTACGCGCCCTGCGTAATTTGGAGCACTGCTTACGGGTAATACCATCAACATTACTCTCTCCCTATGACCTATAATTAAGTAACTAGTATGATATTAGACTGAGATTCATAGTTATCTCATGTATTAAATTCTTTATTTGTAAACTCGAGGGAGGCAAAAGTTTCCAGGGTATTTTCTCGAAACGTGTGTATCCTGCGCGTTTTTGTAAACAACTGACAGTAAGACATGCCCAAAGGTATCATGAATCCTTTTCAGGAAACGGTGAAATTGTCTCTCGTCGCTTGTTTTTATTCATCTTCACACTGAACGGCTTCTAACTATCAGTTGGTTGCGACGCGATCGGAACACGTCCAGAAACACACGACTCAATATATAAATAGCGAGCTAACAGGCAACAATTTTGCTCTCCATATCCCAAGCAATATCCTAGATCCAAGGCCCAACATTCGTCTAATATTCTCTAGTGCAATTCCCAAAGCATCCGCGGTCAGCCTATCTACGCCCAGTCGGAGAATTCAGGACACGAGACACACTCGGCTAGAAAAGAGCTGTGATTGGATTAGAGAAAGAAAACCCCGTGAGACAAATAATCTCGCACATTGGGGAGAGAAGATCGGCTGATATATCTATATGATATTACTGTCTATACTTCTGTATCTGTTTCGTCCTGTTCAGTTCCAGGGTTGAGTAATTACTGTCAAGGTACGCGGGTACTGCGTACTCTGTATAGCGCGTATCCAGTATCCAGTACACGATACACCACGTCTGTATATATGTTCCTGGTAACATTCGAAGTATAAGATGTTGCATTCTTAGATCTCGTAACTTGATCTCAATAGCCCCCCATTCCTGTCCTATCCCATCCCTATCCTCCGCAGTCCCTGTAAACCCTGATAATAATGTTCCTCGCATTCCGGGGCAGTGATGTAATGCCTTCAGATTGCGTCAGTGTCAATGACAGATCGGCACCGATTCACTCCGTGCTATCATGATCAATGTTGCGTAAAATAGAAATAGCCAGATACCATACCGTCCTGGAAACATCCTTCCATCTCAGTGTTTCGTGTCCCGTTTTTCATAAATGGCTCTCGTCCATGTTCTCGTTGTCGTAATTGTCATTCGTCGTGATATCCATTCGTCTGGTCATCAGCGTACCGCATCGCTTACATTCCAGAAAGATGCAGGATGATCTCTCCGTAGCAATAGCACACACCCAGACCATCAGTGCTCACATCGACATACTGGCCCTGGTGAACATCAAGCACGCCCTTAGTAGCAAGCGTGAGAACATTCATCAATCCCTGAGTCGCGACAGCGCGCGTCGTTCTCGAAACCGGAAGGAGAGTTGCAAATGTCGTTTGACCAGTCTTTGTCGAGAGAGTACCGGAAAAGGTACTACCGTGACTTCCCCTGATACTTCCTTCATCCTCATCCTCATGTGAAGTCTCCAGCTTACTCTTGATGAAATCATAGAAATTCAAGCTCTCACGATCAAGGTTCAAGGTGGCACGCTTCGACGCAGCATTCCGACGCGAAGTGATAGACCCGATCGTCTCGCGGTCTGTTGCAAGCTCGCCTTCCAGGTACATGGTGAGATCGAGATCATCGCCAAAATCACCTAATATGTCCGTGCTGCTGAGTCGCTCCTGTCCGGCGCGGTAGTCATGGCCGGCGAGGGGACTGGCACTGGTGAGACGATTCCGTCTTCGGGGTTTGGGGCCAACGGAGCCATTGCGAGCTTGAGACGATAGCTCGCTGACACTACCGTATCGGTATCCGTTGCGGGAGCTTTGGATTGAAACAGTGATGTTCCATGGCATCTGGGATGAATGGTCGTCGAAAAGACTTGAGGGTGCATCACGACCCATTTCAACATCCATGTTGAGACGGTCGATGTTCGCGCGGCTTAGACGCTTCGCTTGTTCATTTTCCTTACTGCGAACTCGCCTTCCCTGCTCAGCATCTTCATCGTGAGCGCGCTTGTGTCCGTTATGTTTCGGGTATCCACTAATGGCGTCGAAGAGGCGTTCGCCGGAGTACAGACTAAGAGGATGAAGTTCATTCCACATGCACAGTTTGACGCCCACGGATCCGATTCCCTGACCGCAGACCCAGAATGCGGCGTTCTTCTTGGCCAGTGTTGATTGCCTGTTCTGCAACTTTTGCTTCATGGCTCGAGCCATATTCGAAATATATTCGTTATTCCACTCCGCCATCGTCGCATTCCTAAGTGCGGTATTTTCATCGATGGTGATGTCCTTCGGGCGCCGAATCTGTCGAGCTCCCACGGCTGGGATGTCAATCATCTGCTCGGTCTGACCACGGTCCTCCACTTCTTGGAAAATGTTGGCTGTACCAGTCTGAGTATCCAGCTCCATCGTATTCTCATTTCCGGCAAAGACCGGCAACTCGGTATCAAGCTGCATTTGGGAACATAGAGTCAGCATCATTCCATACATTCTCACACCGACAACACTATACACACCCGATCTTCATCCCAGCCCAGTTCCATACCAGGATCTTCACTCCTGGCAGGACCGACAGTCGACTTTAGACCTGGCTGAGCCGAACCTCCTCCCAAACCAAGCTCAACAAGATTCCCGTCCTCATCAAACTCAAAGTCAGCCTGAAGGAGACCGCTCTTATCATTCCCGAGTCCCAGACCAGCAATCTGACCGAAAACATACTTCTTCTGCGCAGAACCATAGGCATCATCAAGACGGATTAGTGTCTCCTCTCCGAGCATATCTTCAGATGGCAATTCAATCTGCAAACTACCCGCAGGCGAAACGCCCGAGGAGCTGTTATTGGGCGATTTGAGCCACAGATCACTGAGCTGGGTTGAGGGGTCTTCAAATGTGCCGTTCAGGATTGAGAGGTCGACGTCCAGACCAGGCAGACCTGTTTCGGGGAGGAATGCTGGGTCGTAGGGGAGGATGAGGTTGCCTGGCCTATTGTTTTGTTAGTATTCACTCATCCGAATGAGGTACCGACAGGGGGCAATGTTACTCACTTAGTCTGGCCGGCCGTAGGATCAAGTCCACCTCCTGCTATGATCTTCAGCTGGGCGAACATGTTATCATGCGTGGTCTGTGTGTCTAGGAGGATGTAGCCGCATTGTTGGCTGTAGACTCGGGAGACGCCGTATCTGTGAGTTTTATTTGTTAGTTGGGTAACATCTCGACATGGCAGAGGTCATCTTACAGCAAGCTCCCCTGTAGTCGCAATGCCATGGGTGCATCTGGGTTTGTGATGACCTTACAGGCATTTGGGACGTCCACCTCCAGGATGGCCTTGCGGTTCAGTCGTCTGGCGATGGAGCGTGAGCCCAGGGTTGCAACAAGCCTGGATGGGGCATACGTCAGTCTTGTTCATTATCTTGGCTGAGCTGGTGAGAATCTTACCAGATGGTGGCGACGCCATGTTCGGGCGAGGTGAGGACTAAGAAAACTGCCATGTCAGTGATTATCATGCTCATAATGAGATCCTGAAATGGGAGACGGTATCTCACTTTCGTGACTGTAGAACATGACGGCGCGGTGCGGTGGGCTCGAAAGACCTCTCGGTCTTCGAGTCTCAGTGCGTGTGGTGGTATGGTTTATCGAGCTTCAGGGAATGAAGAGATACTGTTTTCTTCTGTGAAGGTCAGATCGAAGTCATTGGTACTGCTTCGTCGAATGTGCAGGTCAGAGATTCGATGTGAAATGCTGCCGGGGTGCAGCATTGAAAACGGCAAACATGAGAAGAAGAGCCGCTTCGAGGTTCATGGATGACGCAGAAGCTGGCCTATGAGGATTGGCGGAGAATGAATGGAAGGTTTGTGGATGAGGAGGGTGTGCAAACCCCAGGTCGAGGACAGACTGTAGACACGAACAGAGACAGCGCATACCAATACGCCCTAACACTTTCTATACAAGTTTACAGGAGCTAGACCCTAACATTAAATAAGCAGCATTCCGATCGAATACATCTGCTGATTTGTATTTCCCAGTCCGTACACCATCCAACAGCTTCTATATCCATAGCCCAATGGAGAGAGGTAAAGCAGGGCACGCAAGAAGCACCATCACAAAACAGAGCAACGAAACAAGACACAAACACTCTACTTTTTTCTTGGGGCGCAGAGCCCATCTGCAAGCCATCTGCAAGCCAAACACGAAGGAGACCATCCGACAGGGGAGGCATCAGAGAAGTCTAGGTAGGGAGGAGCGGGTAGAAGACAGGGCAACAAAAAACGAAAATCTTTCAGCGCAAGTATAAACGGAACAAGATCCACTATGGAATAAATTCAAAGATAAATAGGAAGCACCCAGAAATGTCCAACCCGGAGCGATGTATGAGATGTACGCGGGGTATGAGACAAAAGACAAGGACAGCACTTAAACAACAGCGGTAACTAACTCGGGACTAGTTATGGGGATTTAGTCGAGGGGAATACCCTCGTACTCGGAGTAGCCCAGAGCCAGGTTCATGTTTTCTGGTGGAGGTTAGTGATATGTTTGATGAATGGGTGGGATGGGAACATACGCAAGCACTGGGTGGCGGCACCCTTCAGCAGGTTGTCAATGGTGGCACAGACAACGACGCGCTCGCCGCTGGAGTGGACGGCGAATCCACCGATCTCAACACCGTGGCGGCCAGCGATGTCCTTGACGAGAGGGGCCTCGCCAACGATCTTGACGAGCTTCTCTCCCGCGTAGCGGTCCTGGTAGAGGTTGCGGATGTCACGGGAGGTCATCTTCTGCTTCAGCGGGATGCTGATGGAGTGCTAGAAAGGTGTTAGCATTGGTTCGATTTGGTTTGTGGTGAGTGCAGTCAACTTACCGAGATACCTTGGAACCACACAGCAACGTGAGGGATGAACGCAATACTTGTACCCAGCTGCGAGCTGATCTCACGCTCGTGGATGTGGTCAGTCAGACTGTAGGGGATGAGGTTATTGGTCAGGTACTGCACGTCGTTCTTGGGACTAGGCTTGGTGCCAGCGCCGGAGTAACCAGAAACACCGAAGGTGGTGGGCTGGCCACCAAGGAACGGAACGAGAGGAGCAATACCAAGCTGAGCGGCAGTGGCGTAGCAGCCGGGGTTGGCAATGCGGGTGGCACGGGCGATCTTGGAACGCTCAACCAGCTCAGGGAGACCATAGGTCCACTTGGGGTCGAAGCGGTAGTCGGCGCTCAGGTCAACGATGACGTTGCCCTTTTCGGAACCCTCATCGACGGCGTCAACGAAAGGCTTGCAGATACCGTTAGGGAGAGCCATGACCCAACAGTCAATGTCGCCGTTAGCAGACATCTTACGGACATCATCGGGGCTCAGATTCTCGTAGGTGATCTCGCGCTTCTCGTAGCCCTGGAGCTTCTTGCCAGCGAGCTCACGGGAGGAGACGTGGCGGAGATCCATGTTGGGGTGGGCGTTGAGCAGGTTAATCAGAGCCTGACCAGTGTAGCCACGGGCACCAATGAGAGCGACCTTGGCGGGCTGGGTGTTGGAGATGTTCTTCTCTCCAAGGGGAGGGTTGGGGTTAGTGGTGGCGTAACCGCGGACGGCGTTCACAGCAACAGCAGGACGCTTGGTGCGAGACATGCGCAGAGCGTTGGTGGTGGTAGAGAAACCACGCTTCTGCTCAGCAGAAGCACCGCTAGCACCGAAACCCTTGCCAATGTGGGTGGCAGCCTCAGCAGCACGGTGGAGACGCGACTCGAGGTTGATGTCACCGAACATTTGGCGACCGTGCTGGTTGAACTCCTGGACGAGGTGCTTGACCTCCTCACCGTTCTCGGCACCGTACCAGAACAGAACCTGGCCATCGCGGCTCAGACTGCCATCAGCCTTGTCGAAGAACCAGGTGAGGTTCTCGTCGTCCTCCTTGACAGTCCAGGCCAGCTTGGGGAAGTCCTTCTTGATGCTGGCGAAAACGTTGTCGGCAACGTTGGTCAACCAGCCGGATTTGGTGATGGTGAAAGTGGCAAGATGAGCCAACTGGGAGCCGGGCTGAGGGGGAAGAACAACACCGAGAGCCTCCATGGGCTCATCGGAGTAAATCTTGAAGTCCTTCTCCTGCATGCCCTCGACATAACGGTCAACAACGGCGCGGGCATCAAGGCCCTCGCGGTCACGGACCAGCACATCCTTGAGAGCCTGCAAGTCCTCAAACTCGGACAGAGAGGTCTTAACGTGGATCTTGTTACCGCGACGGATCAGGGTACCGGCACCGGAGTCGGTGAACAGCTCCTTCTGGAGGTCGGCAGGGTGGATGATGGCAACACTGGAAGAACGAGGCAGATCGCTGAGGAGATCCTTCATTTCCTTGATCTTCAGGCGAGTGCCGTGGCGCACCCACCACTGGTTCATCAGGTGGTCGTACTCCTCATCGAGGTTGATGGCGGAGATCTTCTCACCGGTGTCACCGTTGAAAAGACCGCCCTTCTCAGCGAGATAGACGATCTTGAGGGGCTGGAGAGAGCGGGCAAGCTCACCGGCAGCCACATCCGCGTTGACGTTCAAGACCTGACCATCGGGGGTCTCAGCCATGGAGGTGAGGATGGGCAAGCAGCCAGCGGCAATAGCAGACTCAATGGGCTTCTTGTCAACGCCATTGATTTTACCGACCAGGTTGTATTTGGGCTTGTCGAGGTAATCGGCGGAGAAAACGCCCGCCGTGATCGGACGAGCACGGATACCAATGCGCTCGAGCTCCTCAACCAGCTTCATGTTCTCCTCCAGGAAGAGCTTGCGGGCCAGGGCCAAAGTCTTACCATCAGTCACCCGGATACCATCCTCGAACTGGGGCTCAACACCAGCAGCCTCCAGCATGCGGTTGAGCTGGGGGCCGGCGCCGTGGACGACGATGGGGTAGAGACCGACATGGTTGAGGAAAGCGAGCGCGGAGGACAGAGTCTGGAGGTGCTCGGTAATGATGGCACCACCGACCTTGATCACGGCGAATTGCTGGGAGGACACGGAGGTGAAGTGGGACAGGTACTGCTGCACCTCACGCTTGGAGCCAATGTTGCTCAGCAGCTGCACGACAGTGCTGCGGGTGGAAGTCAGGTGAGGGTCAGTCGCGCGGGAGTAGTTGCGAGTCTGGCGAGTGGTGGTAGCCTTGACACCAGTGATGCCAGCTCGGAGAGGAGAGGCAGTCGATGCGGAGAGGGAACGGAGGGGCTTAGTAGAAGCTCTCCGCACAGCGGAGCGAAGGGACATCATCATGGGCAACCCACATGCGGCAGCCTCAATGGTCTCACAGTCGGTCCCAGGGTGAGGCCCCAAATTATAATGGAAGAGTAGAGAGGTGGTAAGTGAGTGAGTTGAGTCAAGAGAGATTTTCGAAGATCGGCCGGGCCTCGGAGCGAGATAGGACGCAGAAGGCGGTGGGCCCCCAGCAGTACTAGCGAGCGATTTATCTTCCTATTTATCACACTCTTACGTTGTGATATTTTCTTTTTGCGTCAAATATTATACTAATCACATTAAAGGCGCATATATTGTCTCCGTATTCTACTCCTATGCATTGTGGCGCCATAGCCGAAGTGAAAATTCAAACTTTTCACGGTAATTCCCTGGATATCAATCTCTTCGCAAGCGAGTCTCCGAAAAAGCCCACTTTGCCCAACTGCGATCGTGAAACGTCATCCTGGCTTGGTCTAGTCTAACTTATCTGATCCTGTCCCTTCTTCTCACTCGTTGCGTTGAGCCATGCTATCCACTTCCTCCACTCTGTCTGGCTCTAGTCTCTGTGTCTGCGCTTCTTTCCGACGGCACAGTTACGAGGCTGGCTCTCAGTGGTCTTTGTTGAGGAAGGTGGACACTCATGTCTCATGCCAAGGTCTGCGGCCGTATTATCTGATTCTTTTTACCCAACGTCGGCTGCAGGCTTTCCGAAGAGTACCACTGCTAAGCATTTGGTGTCTCAAAAACATTAGCGGAAGAAATGTTGTGGTGTGGACCTTCCTATACTGTACACGTAGGGAGCCTAAAAGGGTAACGGTGCCCTTGCATGAAGAATTGGAGAATTGGAGAATGGCCACGTGGAAAACCCTGACGCTGTTGACAGACAAATATATAGCCTGAGATTCTCCACACTCTGATCTATTCAAGTCCCTGATTATATCCTCCTGCTCTACTCCGTTCTACATCGTTTTCTCCCAGTTGATAACATAACGCTAACGGTGATTCATTGCGGCTAGAAACAACCGAATCGCAATGTGATAAACATACTTAAACACGACATCAAGTATCATTTACATCTTCACCCGTTGACAGGGTCGCAATACCAACCCGTCGGATTGGCAGGGAGGTAGCACAGAGAAAGTCAAGAGGATGTGGTCATTAAACACGCCCAGAAAATAAAAAAGAAAACAGCAGGAGGTATTAGCGGCTGTGAAAACGAAAGGGCCCTACGGCCCAAGCAACATAAACCAAGTAAAATCAAGATCCCATGTCCAAAGAGAAATCGTCAGAGGCGCGTATTGCATGGCTCAGTGGTTTTTGGTGGCGACCACTACGAAGTATGTTAGCGTCGAATCTACTAGTCTTCTCCACTCAGCACTTACCCGATGGCACGATGATGACCACGAGGAGCACAATCACACAAATAATCAAGCAAACACGCATCTTCATGTCCTTCCACCACATATCCTTGCGCACGCGATTGGCACCTCGGCGGAAGCCTTGGGCTGAAACGGCCAGGTTGTCGGTCTTGTCCTGAAGATCATTCAGATTTTCACCACGCTGGGCGACCTTTTGCATGTTTTCCGTCATCAAACCGACGGTGTTTTGGATTTCCTACAGCCAAATATTGTCAGTCTCAATCCGGTGATCAATCGACCCAGCCTTCGCATTTCGGCCAAAACAACAATTATGCGCCAGCATCAACAGAACACAGATGTGATCACAGCAAGGTTCAACCACCGCAATCGTTAGGGCTTTCTGGGATGGACTTACCGCGTCGATTCTAGCTGTTCTCTGGTTCCCTGCGCCCTGCTGAGCGGCCCCGGCAGAGCCAGCGGGGATATAGGGGTCATAAGGTTGTTCGTTGGCGGCCATGATGAGAGTCGTAAAGGAGTTTGCGAAAGTCTCGAGTACGCGAAATGTCAAGATGTCCTAACGACCTCTCGGGAGGAGCAGGGGATGTTTTGGTCGACGAGCGAGTAGTGCAGACGGTGTCTAGAAGACTGAAAGTGACGCGAATGAGTTGTAGCAGATGTATGCTACTAAGAGTTGATGAAGATTGAGATGTAGAAAAGCAGCGAGGGGTGGGTGGAGTGTAGTCTGGAATGAAGCTGACCTGGAGATAGAGAGTTGCCGCTCAACGCTCAGAGTCACGTGGTGTGGCGTCTCACAGAGCGTCGGCTTCCGGAGGAACTCTACGGAGTACACTTCTGACTTCAGTCGGAATACGGGATTTAGTTCTCTTAGTCCTACGTGATGGCCAATTTACTTCGATTGTGTTATTCCATGGTTGACTGGTCAGGGGAAATGAATTAATTTACCGAAAACAGCCACATACAGAGAATCACTACACTATTTAGTCAAGGTACTGACCGTTAATGTTCACTTTCTTTTATAGTTTGCGGTGATATCAAAAAAAAAGCTGCCTTCTAAGATCCATTGTCTATTGATTAAGTGGCTGCCTATTGATGTTAGAGAGAATAGTGAGTTGCTTCAGGAACCGAGCTATTTATAGAATGACCCCATTGGGGAAGATGTCCCGGGCCGGGGACCCTTTCTACCGAACATGTAAACAAGTATACAGAGTACAAGTAACGCCCTTCTCAGCTTCACGTTTAGAAGATCCATGTGTTCAAATTGATCAAAGCAGAAATAGTCGTCATGTCAGTCGGTCTAAGGCATTTCCACACTCCTCAGTACTTGATCGTGTAGCCTTTCCACTTCTGGGACCTGGCCTTGACATATGTAGAGTTTTTCGAGTCTTTTAACAGTATCAAGCGTTGATGTATCCTTTGATCCCAACGCCTTCTCCTGACCTCTCAGTGCCCATTGGTACATTGCCCCTGCCTCTCGGAGCCGGCCTTGATCCGCGGATAGGTTTCCAAGGTTGAAATGTGATCTCGTCCCAAGCCTTTTCTTTGCCTTTGAGTGCTCGTTCGTACATTTCCTTTGCCTTTTGGAGCTGACGTTTTCTTTTGTAGAGGACTCTAAGGTTTTTCACTGTATCAGGCGTCGATATGTGTCCTCCTACTGCCTGCTCATACCCTTGCAAGGCACGTTCCTACATGGTCTCTGCGTCTCGGAGCCGATCTTGATCCGTGAAGACGTTTCCAAAGTTTCGGACGGTATCAAGTGTCAATATGTGACGTTTTTCCTGCTACCTTCTCATAGCCTTCAAGCGCCCGTGCGTAAATTGCTTCTGCGTCTTACTGCCCGGCCTTGATCGGCGTATAGGGCGCCTAGGATGTTAACCGCGTGTGATTTTTTATTGACGCTAAATTTCGTTTTGAAGCCAGTTCGAGACTTTTTAGTGCTCACGCGTCATCCGCCCTGCAGGATATAGAGATTTCTGGTGTCGTCGACACGTGCTCTCATCCGCGCGCCTGCTCGTAGCGGTCGCCTGCTCGTTCGTAGATCACTTCGGCCTCTTGATGCCGGCCCAGAGATACGTAGATGTACCCTCCAACATGAGAAATCTCTAAGATTTCATCTCGAATGCCAAACTATCTCAAGCTGTGTAGGCATATGGGCCACAACCGTCGTTGCATTTGCCAGAATTCGAGTTCCATTGTGTCCGGCACACGCATTGCGACATGTTTGATTGCTAGTCGCCCGGGTAGAAGCAGCGTAGTACCTCGTAGCCGAGCGCGGGACCCCCATTACACAGTTCCTCCTGAACAACGTAGCAGAGAATCGTCACACTTTGAATTGATTAATGAAGGTCTATTACCTCCAGGTTTAGGCGTATTGCTGAAACTTAGAGTTCAAATTGAGGTCTTTAAGGTTGGAATCGCCGACTCCCGTGGGCCGTCTCGCAGTTCTCATGGCAACCCCCAACTAGGCGTGAAGGTAGCAGTAAATCATAGTAGCCGTGACCTTAGATATAGCTGATGCCAAGTCGTCACTTATTGTATGAGTGAGACTGAAAACCACGTCAAAAGTGGTTATTTCTAGCCTTCCATTAACGTCTTCTTGTTATACAAAGTATGCGAAGTACATTGTGCAGAGTTGATCACTCGAGATTTTCAGGAATCTGTCAGCCTGCAGCCCCCGATGGCCCCAACTTGTCTTTACAGTAACCAATCTGCCGATCCTTCCAAGCGGGGACAGATCCATCAATGTCCATGGCCTCTTCGCCCCCCTTAGTCTCCAGTCTCAGGATTTCATTCATTGTACCACAGCCTCATTACTAACTAGTTGTATCCACCAAGATCAATGACTGCCTCATATCTTGCTTTCTCTCAGCATCAAGCAAGTCTTGCGAAATTATACCTTCCAGCTTGAGTGGGATTTGAATTCTTTTCTTACACTCCAAGAAGAATATTTGAATCATGCAACGCTTATGACAGTGTCTTAACTAGAATTGTTAAACCTATTATTACTGTTTTCACTTGACCGAGCTGGCAAGTGATGAGCCCGTCGCGGCAATTTCGGTTGTCCCTGGAAAACCAGGACCCCCAGACTGAGGCCTGCATAGATGTACACCTGGGCAAAACAAATTCCAAGGCCAAGACCAAGACCAAGGCTAAAGAGCCACCCGTTTCATCTTTATGTTGATCTCTATGGCTCAATATGCCCAACACGAGCACTAACCCATCTGACAGCGAAGATGGCCCCGGTATTTGGCCCCAAATAGGATACACGAATCTCGTATTAGTCCACACTTACCCCATATTTTGCCCAGTTGGGAGAACCCTGTTCTTTTATTACATTTTCCCACTGCCCAGCTCCCAGCAGCCCCGTTTGGCCCCATTCATCCTTGGCTCTCAGCATTTTACAGCCCAGCTTTCAGAATGAAATCATTTTATCTTGCCTGCACTTAAATCAGTTCAAACCAACTCGGTTATTTATGAGCTCAAAGTTTTTACACATCGATCTTGGCAATCGCCATGAAATATCCATCATGTGGCTCTTTATTCTTCCTTCTTTCCACTCTGGGCCCACAGATGACGCAGGCGTCAATCGACCTCGACATAAACGATGAAGGTATACCAAGCAACAGCAATCGAACCAAATCAAACCTAGACTATATCCAGCCACTAACTCCACCAAACAGCCTCCATAAAAGCCGCTGCCAAAACCGCCGCAACCGGGATGCTAAAATACTACACTGGCAACCAACCGGGCGATGTACCCGGCAACATCCCAGATCCATATTACTGGTGGGAAGCCGGCGCAATGTTTGGCGCAATGGTAGAATATTGGTACTACACCGGAGACACAACATGGAACGAAATAACAACCCAAGCCTTGCTCTGGCAAGTAGGCGACGAAAACAACTTCATGCCGCAAAATCAAACCCTCTCGCTCGGTAATGACGATCAAATATTCTGGGGCTTTGCTGCTATGTCCGCCGCCGAACTAAAGTACCCCGATCCACCGGCTGATCAACCGCAGTGGCTGGAACTCGCGGAGAATACCTTCAATTCGCAGGCGACGCGCTGGGATATGGCTACTTGTGGGGGTGGGCTGCATTGGCAGATTTTTGAGTATAATGGTGGGTATTCATATAAGAATACCATTTCAAATGGGGGTTTCTTTAATGTTGCTACGCGTTTGGCGCGGTATACAGGGAATCAGACGTTCGTCGAGTGGGCAGATAAAGTCTGGGATTGGACTGAGGCTTTGGGTTTGATAAGTGAGGATTATCTTATTCATGACGGGGCGGATAGTGATGGGAATTGTTCGGAGATTAATCTTCTGCAACATGCATATCTGCCTGCTGTTTATTTGCATGGAGCTGCGAATATGTATAATATCGTGAGTGATCAATTTCCCATACCGCTCGATGAAGAATTACCTGCTAATGAATACATCAGACCAACGGCTCGGAAATTTGGAAAACTCGCATTGAAGGTATCATCCGCGGATTGAGAACATTCTTCCCAAATGGCGAAGACATAATGGTTGAACCATGCGAAAGAGGCAAATGCGATCTAAACTCGAGATCATTCAAGTCCTATCTGGCACGGTTCATGGCTGCGACTATCCCCCTGGCCCCATTCACGGATGGATTACTAAAGTTTAAGATCCGGGGATCCGCCAAAGCTGCCGCGAAGCAATGCAATGGACCTGATAATGCTTGCGGGTTGAGGTGGACTGAAGGTACGAAGTATGATGGTTCTACTGGCATCGGCGAGCAAATGGCTGCGTTGGAGATCTTCAAGGCAAATTTGGTGCACACAGTCGAAGCGCCTGTCACGGGGAGGACTGGTGGAACTAGTAAGGGCAATGTAGCTGGTGAAAGGGGCTCTGGATCTGGATCTGGGTCTGGGTCTAGAGAGGAGGATATTCGGACGAGGGAGATTACCACTAGTGATAAAGCTGGTGCTGGCGTTGTTGCTGCGTTGGCTGTTTTGCTGCCTCTTGGTGGTGCTGTTTTCATTGTTATATTTTCATAAGACTGGTGAAAATTTTGTCTGATGATTAGTTTGTGGGTGGAGCGTCCCGTTTGTGCATAGTTGGCGTCAGGCGTGCTGGTCTTCTGAGAAATATACATTGTGATGGTGGGACTCTTGTTGTCAACGTTACCCTTACTCGATCAAGTTCTCCTCAAAAGTCTTGAATAAGTTTTATATATTATATAGCATCAGCTTTAGTATGATATATGTCGTTATATATCACGGGTGACGGATGAGAATCAGAGACCACGAGCCGGACTGGACTCAGTCATGCAGCTCAAGAGATGGTTTAAACCGAGAGGGTTTCTTTTAAGAAGGCAAGTCATCCCTAAGTCTCGACACAAGACTCAGGCTTCTATCTTCTTTCCAGCATCAGCGATATGCTGAAAGCATCTATTAATCTATGCACTTGGGATTATCATCACTAGACACCAAGTCTGTTGAAGTCACCGTAATGGCAAATTTGAAGACGACTTTCCAACTCACGTCACTGCTTGTGAAGGGAAACTAATATGCCTGAGATAGTCACCTTACCGAGGTTGAACATCTCTCAATTGACCTGATCAAACGACTGGCCATCCGTTTCCGCCGATCCCAGCTTTGCCTCCCTTCCTCCCGCAAGACCAAGACCAATCAGTCAATATGGTTGGGTTCAGTTATTCAGCGCATCCTGAATTTCCCAACCTGACCGTGGCGTACGACTGGATGTCCTGATCCCAGGCCGAACTACTGCCCGAGCTAGGCTCATATAGCCAAATCGGGATTCGACCCTTGTGCAACGCAAAAGACTTAGATACATGGCTCACCGTGGTACATTATGCACTATATGCCAGTAACCTGAGCGGCTTGGCCAACTGGACCTTACCTCGCTCTCCGTTGAACCATTCAAAAGGAGATTGTTGGCACAAAGAAAGCATTGATGTTTCGGAATGGATGCAGGGCCAGACTGGACCCAAATTTGCTCAGAGAAATGAAGGAATTTGCTCACACAGATGGTGAAACGGAGCGATTCTGGCTTGCAGATGACCTTATGAAGGCGCTGATGAAATTTTTGTGCTAGATATGGACACCAGAGGTAGGGGAGCCTTGCTGGTGTTTTTGAAGTGGTCATTCAATGAGATTTCGATATTTGATCCAGTTGCTTCTATTCATGAATATGTTTGAACAATAGTCTTACTTACAAAAATCTACGTCAATCCTTTAATGCCATCAGCTAAACCCATTCTGTTGGCATGATCTTCCTAGTCTCACAGTTTTGAGACAACTGGACGTAGTCTTGGCCAAAATACGGCGGAATCTACTGAAATAGGAGTTCTCAACTTGTCTAGATGCGAAGTGCCATTGAAAAAGTGCCGAATATCCTATAGGCGAGACCCTCGAAGCGAGCGTCCCATTTTTGTATTGTTGCCATACTTTGACCTAGGAAGCGGGGTTTCCGCACCTGCAACTCTCACAGCCTCATCAGTAGATATAGCGCCTTGGCACCCTATAGCGTCTGACGTGATCTCGCTAGACAAGGCTGTACAAACCCGAATTGACCCATTGTAAAGTATATAAACCAAGTCAATCCCAGCCTCAACCACCCATCAAACTACTTCCACATACACATACGCAATGGCTCCTCTCCCAGAAATCGTCCTCATCCACGGCGCCTGGCACACACCAAAGAACTACACAAGCTATATGACAGACCTCCAAAAAGCAGGCTTCACAGTGCACGCCCCCCACCTCCCAAGCAACAATGGCATCAGACCACCAACAGCATCCCTCCCAGAAGACATATCCCTCGTCCGCAACCTCGTTCAAGACCTAGTCAACACGGGAACGCGCATCCTAATGGTAATGCACTCCTACGGCGGTCTAGTCGGCACATCAGCAATCCAAGACCTGGATCTCTCAACCCGACAAGCCAACAACCAACCAGGCGGCGTAATCCATCTGCTATATCTATGCGCCTACATGCTATCACCCGGCGAGACAATGTGGAGTATAGTAGAACAAACAGGCGCCGACAAACTATGGCCTGACCTCGTTGATGAACATGACGACGGGACTTTTTTCCCTCTCGACCCCGGGATTTTGTTCTTCAGTGGACTTGAGGATAGTGAGTTTGTGGAGGGGGTGATTGAGACGTTGGTTCGATTCCCCATCAAGACTTTGAAGGAGATGAACACTGGTGATGGGTGGAGGAGGGTTCCTGTTACCTTTGTCAAGACTTTGAGGGATTTTGCGCTTCAGGGTGCTGCGCAGGATATCATGCTTGAGAGAGTTCGCGGGGAAGGCATTTTTGTGAAGGTTGTGGAGTTTGATACGCATCATAGTCCTTGGGTTTCGATGGCTGGGGATGTTGTTAGGGTTGCTGTTGAGGCTGCTGGGGATGAGAGGAATCCCAAGTAGGGTTTCTGTGCCATAAGGAACCGTATCTTGGGGATGGATTCCAGAGTACATGAATATGAATAGAGAGAGCCAGATTCGCTTTTGGATTATGATAGTGAGACAGCTCAGACGTAGTTGTACAGATATGGCCCCGTTTTCGAGGTAATGCAAAGATAAGAGAAGAGGCCAAAAACGTATCGTACACCCAATAATAGATCATGACATACAGCAAACCTATCCAGGGCTGTGTCGCTGTGTACCGTATAGCGCGGGAAGTTTGAACCATCGGCCCAAACAAGGCAAGACAGCGGAGCAATCGGCATTAGGATCACGGCAGGAGTGGCGGAGTGTTGGTATCAGAGAAATATCAAGATTTCAACAAAACTGAGACAGAAAAGGCAGCGTCACGATGGACTCGCAATCATTTTTCACCCAGCATTTCCTTGCGCATTTCCTCCCGTTGTGTCCTCGTTTCCTCCTTTGCCTGTGCGCGTTGGGCCTCGATCGCTGCCCGCTTATTGTCTAGTTCTTCCTGTGCGGCGTACCAGACTAAAATTGAGATATGCATTAGCCAGGGTATTCTTATGGCTCACCGAGGCGAGGTCACATACTGGACTTATCAGACTTGGACCAGTGCTTCAGCTTGTTCACGTAGTCGTCGAATTCCTGGGCGCGGCGCTCTCCCTGCTCGGCACTGCGCTTCTGCAGATCCGGATTGTATCGCTTCCTGAGTTCTTCATCGGAGGGTCGAATCCATTCAACGAAAGCGGGGCCTCCGACAACCATGAGCAGGCCACTGCATTGAGACGATGTTAGCGCCAGTCGCAAGGTTCTGCGACGATGTAGGGCATCACTTACCCGGCGACAACCTTGGTCCATAAAACAGCGCGAGACATTGTGGGTAATTGAAAGGGCAAATACTGGTTGCCTATCGGAATTCGGAGGGACGTTGTGAGATGCCGAGATCATCAACATCATCGCGGATCTCATTTGTTCCCGAGCGTGGCGCAGCTGAGGCTAGTGAAATGCAGTGTGGCGTATATTCCACGCTAGTCCCTTTTCAGCAGGTCACACTTTCTCCCCACATTCAAGTGACGTTGGGAATGTTCACTTGGTTTAATTGTCCGAGACAACGTGGAGCTCTCTATTCTTATCCTATTCAACTACAGTTGAACCTCTGAACCCTGTGTACGCTTTGAACCATCCGATTATCCGACTGTCTTGCCCTGGTGGATCTCAGATTGGTTGGATCAGCATGGTAATTTCGTTTCATATGCCCCATTTGCCCTAGGGAACAGTGGACCAGATGTTGTCACAGTCCCCTGCAAGTGGGTTTGCTTTTCAAGAGCCCCGTACCCAGTCAAATGTCCGAGACCAATAGTCCCTGCACTATAAAGTGTGAAATACAGGAACGTGACAGGGTCTGCAGGTCCTCCGATCGTCAGGCCCTGGCGGGTACCTAATATCTAGATCAAATCATATCTTATGTAGAGCGTTGATATATATTGTGATGTTGTATTGGCTATTAATGGGGTGAACCTGGAGTGAACCAGGAAACCAAAGAGCCAGAATAGAATAGCCAAGGATTAAGTTATAACGGCTGAAGAGATTGAATACCGGAAGTGGGTCAGTTGTTTTTTGATTTAAAGTCACCTGCCACCGCCCCTAAACCATTCTGCCCAAACGTATTCGTATTGGACCTTGATAGTCCTAGCTCCTGGCTCCTGGCTCCTGATTCTCTCAGGTGCTCAAATTGAGAGCGCTCGTGTCGAGTGACATTGCGGTCTAGGTATGAACAATGCGCCGTTATGTCGGCGCTGGCTTTGAGTGTCATGGAATGGACAGGCTAACCGGATGTCGCAGGACACCCCTCCTTGCATGCGATCGCCTAGTAAGACCTCATTACGACCCTCGGCGACCACTTGAACCTTGACACTTTGTATAGTACGCTTAACGCTCCGTCGGCGCTATGTCCTACCCTCAGCAACCTCCCGCGCAGAGGCCACCACCTCTGCGACAGTATAACAACGCTCCTGCGCCCTCGGTGGCATCGCCGGGGGGATACTCGCACGATGGATCCTATGCAAGCTATAGCGATGCCGGCATGAGCAGCTCGGACTACCAACCCGTAGACCCAGGCTACGATGATGCCGCGTATAGTTACCGGTCTAACTCTGCGGGCTCCGGACCATATGCACCCCCGCAATCGCAGCCACGCTCGATGCGCCCCCCGGGCCCTCCAGGCGCTGGATACGGCCGACCACCCGGTCCCGATGACCGGCGAGGCTATCCCCCTGGCCCTGGAGGGAGGCCACCACCGCAAAACCGATCAAGAACACGTACGTGAACCAGACACAAGGTCCCTCAAATCGCGACTAACAATCTTTCAGCTGGCGGACGCCCACCCCCAGGCGCAACCTTTGACAATCCATTCCCTTCATTCCCCCCAGGTGACCCAAGAGGAGATCCCAGGCGAGACCCGCGAGACCGAAGACCCCCCAGAGACCCTAGAGACCGCCGCGGCCCGCCTGGAGGCATTGAGAATGGCATGGCTGCGATGGACATTAACGGCAGAGGCCCTCCTCCCCGTCCACACACTTCAAATTCAAATGGAAGGCGTCCGGATATGAGAGGACCACCTCCGCGTGGACCTCCGCCTGTCAGAGGCCGAGGCGGATACCCCATGGGCCCAGTGCGAGCGGCCAGCTCTGGCAGACCAGACCGCCCTTATATCGATCCCATGGGCGCGCCGATGCCCCCACCGGGCCGAAGCGCAACCATGCCGATTGCCCCAATGTCTCCAATGGGCCCTCCAAGTGCTCCAATGTATCCAGGCCAATCGACCTATCAAGAATCCGATTACCCAGCAAGTCCCATTGTCGAACCTCCCATGCGCCCCAATACTGCTGGAAGTATGCGACCTTCACGATCTCGTGCTCCCAACGATATAGACCCTGGATTGATGATTCCCCCGGAACCCGCCAATCGCGTTTCATACGCGCCCAAGGAGTTCCTGGATAGTTACTATGAGTCTGGTGGCGGTGGTGACGAGCCTGATATGCCCAACTTTGATGCTATGCCAGACGCCAAGCAGATTGGACCGATTGATGAGATGGGATTGGACACGCCAACCCCCACTCGGAGACCCGGCCCTGGTCCAAATTCTTCTCCCGGCGGTGACTACTCTCCGTACTCGCCATCCGCAGAAGCCCAGCGTTCTCAGTCTCACCCAAATTTGCGACAGGCTGGAGTGAACCAGTTCGACAATGCGGGATTCCAGTTCGATATTCCGGGAGAAGATCCTGCTCCCATGGACCACCAAGACCCTGGATATGGACCCAATGGCTACGGGGATTACGGCGCCTACTCCCACGGTCCTGCGCCAGTCCGAATGAATCAACCAGCCTATCCTCCAGAGCCTGATATGGTAGACCCCCAGCAAAGTCCGGATGCTCTTCCTCATCACCCAGCACCATTCCGTCCTGGCCATGATGCGGCCTCAAAACCTGCACCGCTTCGCCAATACAACACCCCTGAAGCTGCCCCTCCCCAGGCTATGCCACAGCCAATTGTGTCAACTGCAATTGTCCCGACACCAGTCACACCGGAAGAATTGCAACGGCTGCAACAACAGGTGCGTGGCAATCCTTCGGACCAGAAGACGCAGCTTCTCCTTGCCAAGAAGTTGGCCGAGGCAGCCACGGTTCTTGTTGAGAATAACAGCCGTCTCGATCCCAAGACCAAAGCCAAGGCCAAGGAGAAGTATGTTCTTGATGCCCACAAGATCGTGAAGAAGCTTGTCACAGCTGGATACTCCGAAGCACAGTTCTTCTTGGCGGATTGCTACGGTGAGGGTCTACTTGGCCTGGAAGTCGATCCTAAGGAAGCGTTTTCTCTCTACCACTCTGCCGCAAAGCAAGGTCACGCCCAATCTGCATATCGTGTGGCAGTATGCTGCGAAATTGGACAGGAAGAAGGCGGTGGTACCAAGCGCGATCCGTTCAAGGCCGTCCAATGGTACAAGCGCGCCGCTTCTCTAGGCGACACTCCTGCCATGTACAAAATGGGCATGATCAACCTCAAGGGGCTGCTCGGTCAAGCTCGCAACCCCCGGGAGGGTGTCTCCTGGCTGAAGCGAGCAGCAGACCGCGCAGACGAGGAAAACCCCCACGCCCTTCACGAGCTCGCTCTCATGTACCAGAACGCCGGCGGAAACGACATCATCGTTCGTGACGAGCAATACGCCAGCCAGCTCTTCCACCAAGCTGCTGAGTTGGGATACAAGTTCTCCCAGTTCCGCCTCGGAAATGCATACGAGTATGGACTGATGGGATGCCCCGTTGACAACCGTACAAGTATTATCTGGTACACACGTGCCGCCGCCCAAGGGGAACACCAGAGTGAGCTCGCCCTTAGTGGTTGGTACCTTACCGGGTCGGAAGGCATTCTATCACAAAACGACACAGAAGCCTATCTATGGGCCCGGAAAGCCGCCACTGCCGGTCTTGCCAAGGCGGAGTATGCCATGGGATACTTCACCGAGGTTGGAATCGGCTCTGCAGCCAACCTAGACGATGCAAAGCGGTGGTACTGGCGTGCAGCTGGTAAGTTTATGTTATTCGCCTTTTATGTGTTGAATCTCACTGACTTTTTTGTCTCTCTCTAGCCCAAGGGTTCCCCAAGGCCCGTGAACGTCTTGAGGATCTCAAGAAGGGTGGAAGCAGGATGCAAAAGACCCGTCTCTCTCGCTCGGCTGTTAACAAGCAGAGTGACGGTGATTGCATCCTGATGTAATACGATATCGTTGTTCCTCTCTTCTTTTTGTTTCATTCCCTTACTATACTCTCACATGGCTTGCATGCATGTATGTTCCTCATGATCACTGGCGCTTGATGCATTATCCCCTCCAAGAATTTGGTTTCTCTTCTCTTCTCCACTTCCTGGCAATAAGCACTCTTGTCACGAGTAGCTCTTGTCTCCTTTTTGCTCCCTTTTTTTTGCCCTTATTCCCTTTACTCTTCTTCTTTTTCTCCCTTCTACATCTTGGTTTATGAATTGGACGTGCATGACAGAAATGGATACGAAGGACTCAATCTCCCGCTAAAAAGACGGCATCTGCATAAATTAATAGATTGTTGACCAACTGACCAAAACAAACTCCATATTCCGTGCCACATCCGTAATTCCGTATACATCCGAAGCGGTTAGGTTCCGCGCTGACACACTGAAATCGGATCGGCTTATGCCATCGGCTCTATGCAGTTCCGACATATCTAAGCAATATTTCCAGTATTTTCCAATCGCGCCATTCGATTTATTTCTGCATTCATTCATAATTACTTCCTTGACACTCCAAGGTGCATATACTTGCGACCAGCTTGACGTATATGTCTTCCGAAGCAAACCAACAACACCGAACTACTCCAGTGCCTGGCAATCAAGATACATTATCCCCAATTCACGAACGCAAATTCGCCCTTCTTTCCCTGTTAACTATCTTTCTTGCCATACTCATCTCCCTATTCTGGGGTGATACCGCCAACGTGTTCGGCATACGACGATTTTTCTCTTCTTCAGCTCGTACCGCATCAGCATCGGCATCTGTAGCGACTGCAGCAATTGCGAAGGAGACGACATCCTCATCTGATACGATGGCATCAACATCCAAGACTCCGATCTATTTCCTTAGCCATGGCGGGGTGAGTACATTGTCCCTTTTAGCCTTAAAAAGATAAATTGACATGAAACATAGCCAAATGTAATGTACGAAGTCGAACATCCAGCCTATCACAAATTAGCCCAGATTGGCCGCGAAATCACGACTAAGGTTAAGCCCCGTGCTGTGGTTGTTTTCTCTGCGCATTGGCAGGCTGCCCGGGATACTATCCAGGTTAATACGGCTGAGATTACGGATTTGATTTATGAGTACGTATATGTCGTTTTCCCGACAAGATGTTTACATTGTGTGATTGGATTGGGGATTGGGATTGGGATCATTTGCTGACCTGATTGCTGTTTAGTTTCTACGGATTCCCGAGCCACTACTATAAGGAAAAATACCCGAACGTCGGCAGCAAAGAGGTCGCGAATAAAGTCCTCAATTTGCTCAGGGACGCCGGTATCAACGCGGAGGGTGTGAAGCGCGGCCTTGACCATGGTGTTTGGGCTAGTTTCAAGTGTGGTATGTATTCCCTCCCTTCCCCAACCAGTGTGCATATAAAAATACACATCGGAATTGTAAAATGACTAACATGAGCAATTCACAGCCTTCGAACCAGAATCAAACCCTTTAAACGTCCCCATCGTGCAAGTGTCTCTCTTCGCAAGCGAAGACCCAGACCAGCATTACCGCCTCGGCCAAGCCGTATCGCGCCTCCGCGAAGAAAACATCCTGATAATCGTCTCAGGAATGGCAGTGCACAATCTGCGCGATCTGCGGTATACATTCGGAAACCCGAAACCAATGCCGTATTCTGTCAGCTTTGACGAGGCGCTTAAAGATGCTGTTACTACCGCGCCTGCTGAGCGACAGAAGGCTATGGCTGAATTGTTGAAGCGTCCTGATGCGCGCCAGGCTCATCCCTCTTTCGAGCATTTGCTTCCAATCCATATTGGGGCAGGTGCTGCTGGTGAGGACTTGGGAAAGAGGCTGTGGACTTATCCTGAGGGCAGTATGAGTTGGGCGCAGTATCGGTTTGGGACGGGTGAGAATGCTAGTTCGTTATAGTAGAGATTGATCATGCTCAATAGTTTGAGAAATTGAATGCAGTGGAATGTTAGAGAGCCTCCGGTTGAAGGAATTGGCTTTGTTTTGAATATGGCATTGTTCGATTTCATCTATAGGTACAGAAGATGGGTGTAAAAACGGTAGGAACGCGGTAGGGGCATAAGATAAATCGGTATTTAAGGAAGTTATGACGACTGCTTCACCAATTGCGTGATGCGATCTTCGATCTGCGCGTCTGAGAGGCCTGTGGGACACTTGTCAGTATTGGTTCTGGCTATGGTTCCGAGTCGGATTCTGATCTTGTGCTTGGCGGGGTTCGGTACGTACCGGACAAGGCTTCTTGCTTCTCCTTTCCGAGGGCTGTGTCAAACACATAATCCAATTAGCTCGATTCGTCTGTTTTCCAATGCCTACATCGCGAGCGTTGCTTAGACATACCGTAACGGGCAAAGACACGAGGCTGGGTGCCGGCGGCTTCGCGCATCATAATGGGAGTGTTAGGGTTGTGCTTCTTCATGGTCGGGTAGGCGCGGTTCAGGAAGGATCTGTTGGCATTGGGGTCAATCATGGACTCCAGACATTCGCTTCGGTCGGGTGGTACGCACCTTGTGGCTGCGCTAGCCTCGGAGGTCTGGCAGAAGAGGAAGCGGAGTTCCTTCAGGCCCTGAGTGAAGACGTACTTGCCAGACATGGTGGGTAGTCAAGCAGATGTGGAGGTCAATGGTACAAAGAGGTGAGGGAGGAACTGATGCGGTGCATTATTCACGACGGCGGTGATTCGCTGCACAGAGACATCTTCCGCTAGTCTGTATTGGGTTAGTAGTATATGGTTACATAAGCAGTACCTGTCTCGGCGTCATCGCAGCAGTAAAGAAGAGATAATTAATTGCGCTCGGTCAGTTGCTTGGGAATAGCTTAATATATTCCCTCTACTTAGCTGTCTATGCACCTGCTGTTGTGGTGGTAACTTGCTCATCTGCGATCTCCGACGGAAAACTCCCCCTTCCACCGATCACGGACAACCATCCTTCTTCCTCTCACAACCCGTCACATCACATATATCACCATGTCTTCTCGCGTGGGCCTCCGCTTCCTCAACAACACTCGCTTTGCTTTTCGCAATGCCTCCGGGCCATTCCGCCGGCCGGGTGCCCAGGGTTTCCGCTTCTCGAGCTCCGAAGCCGGTGCCGCAGAGCAGCAGAGCACCTTCCAGCGCATGTGGAACAGCCCTGTCGGTGTGAAGACTGTCCACTTCTGGTAAGTAGCAAGCACCAGTGGAGCTTTGGTCCATGTTTTGGACTATGAACAGGTGCTAATGATGTTATCGCAGGGCTCCCGTTATGAAGGTACGACGACTTGCTTTGCTATCTGATACGCCGCCTTTCCTCCCATACGTCTTAATATCTCCCACGAATGCTATTTCCCCGCGCAATACCTGCTATCCTCGAGCTGTTCAATCTTCTATCGACCACCGTCACTGACATCTCGAATAGTGGTGCCTCGTCATCGCCGGTATCTCCGACTTCGCCCGTCCCGCTGAGAAGCTCTCCCTCACCCAGAATGCCGCCCTCATGGGTACCGGTGCCATCTGGACTCGTTGGTGCATGATCATCAAGCCCCGAAATGTTCTGTACGTGTACTCCGCCTACCACTTTACCCGGTACAAATCCTAACATAACTCACAGGCTTGCCGCCGTCAACTTCTTCCTCGGATGCGTTGGTGCCGTCCAGGTTACCCGGATCTTCATGTGGCAGCGCAGCCAAGACGGCTCTTCCGCTGCTGCCGCCAAGGAGCTCGAGCAGGAGGCTGTTGGCTCCGTCAAGGCTGTTGCTGATCAGGCTGAGAGTGCCGTTCAGAAGGTTGCCGACAAGGTTGAGAAGTCCACCTAAATATGAAATGAAGTTTGTGTTGCGGTGAGAGTCTGAAGAGGTGCGCCTGATTGCACTTAGATCGGTATCTATAGAGATTCTTGGCTTGCCGAAGGAAGCTTTGGGTGCATCTTATGATCGAGCTAGCTCGCTTAGGATGACCATTTGTCCTCCTCTCGACTGACACCTGAGTACTCTCTTGTGCCAATTGTACATATAAAGCATTTAAAGGTGATTGGTTCTTAATCGTCCCCGAACGGCGGGAATTTGAGAGAAGCGTACTTCCAGGTAGTCACTTGCCCTGTCAACATGGAACACTATGATCTAGTCTGCAAGATGAACAGCATCAAGCTAAACCTATAGAATCCACCTCGGACCTGGGGTCCCCAGAATTTGCCCGGGATTTTCCTCCCAATCGGGGAAATGGCGCCAGATGTTCCTCCTATCAGATCGACATAGTCACTGCATCCACGCAATGCACAGTCACAAAATACCAACTACTCCATCAACGAGACGCCAAGTGACCGGCACATGCCGGCTTCCAAGCTCCGTATTCCCCACATACAATCAACTCGCTGGCTTGTTTCCCCGGGCTAAAGCATCCGATATGAAGTTACCCCACCGCAACACCCCTTGCGGCGGTGTTTAGTGTTGACCCCGTTGTGCTAGGGCAGAGGATTTCAGGAAATATCTTGTCATTTGAGGCAGTATTAATATTCCCCAGCAGCCCCTGATAGCTCCTGATCCGCAATTGATACGCTTATCCACACTATACCCGACTTTCATTTCATCACCATGAAGGTTACAAAAGTCTTGGTGCAGGCCATTGGCGTACTCAGCTCTCTGGGTGCTGTAGTCGATGCAAGAAGCCCCGGTCACTCTCGCACTGATTCATGCCATCCAAATCACCCATTTAAGCCTCTCCCTATCACCAATGCCAGAACAAAGACATGTCATGTAGACAACCGTGGACATGGCAAGGACGATTCAGCGAATGTTCTTTCTGCATTGAAGAAGTGCAACAATGGTGGAAAGGTCATCTTCGATGTTGGCAAGACTTATACTATTGGCAAAGCGCTTGACATGACTTTCCTCAAGCATGTTGATTTGGGTATGTACACATGGACCATATCGACTGAGCCCCGACTAACAGAAAAATATATAGAAATCCAGGGCCATATCCAATTCACCAATGACACAGATTACTGGCAAGCAAACGCGTTCAAGCAAATCTACCAGAACGCCACGACATTCTTCCAACTAGGCGGCGAGGATGTCAACATGTACGGTGATGGTATTCTCGATGGAAATGGCCAGGTCTGGTATGATCTGTATGCAGAAGATGCTCTTATCTTGCGTCCTATTCTGATGGGCATCATCGGATTGAAGGGCGGTACCATTGGCCCTCTCAAGCTTCGCTATTCGCCTCAGTGGTACCACTTCGTTGCCAATTCAACTGATGTGCTGTTTGAGGGGATTGACATTACCGGTTACAGTAGCAGTAAGAATGTTGCTAAGAATACTGATGGATGGTATGTTGAGTTTGAACCTTTGATCCTTGGGTCTTTACTAATGGCTGTCAATAGGGATCTTTATCGTTCCTCCAACATTGTTATTCAAAACTCTGTTATCAACAATGGAGATGGTAGCCTGATCCTTCCTCTTTGCTGATGACCATATTGGACTAACTCTTTTGAAGATTGCGTCTCTTTCAAGCCCAACAGTACCGAGATCCTAGTTCAGAACCTCCACTGCAACGGTTCTCACGGCATTTCCGTCGGGTCTCTGGGTCAGTACGAAGGTGAGGTTGATATTGTGCAGAATGTGCTCGTGTATAACGTCTCCATGTTCAACGCATCAGTAAGTCCAGTCCCTAGCAGAAAGGAACGCACATATCTAATCCCATTGTGTAGGATGGTGCTCGCATCAAAGTCTGGCCCGGAACTGCTTCTGCACTCTCAACCGATCTCCAAGGCGGCGGTGGATCAGGCATCGTGAAGAATATCACCTACGACGGAATGACCATTGACAACGTCGACTATGCGATTGAAGTGACTCAATGCTATGGACAGAAGAACCTTACTCTTTGCAATGAGTTCCCCGTGCGTATTTCCCACCTCATCCTTATACTGCCCGGTGTGATGCGTTAACTAACAATTTATTTCCCCAAACAGAGCAGCCTCGTTATCGAGGATATCCTCTTTACCAACTTCAATGGCGTGACCTCGGGTAAATATGACCCTAACGTAGGAACGATTGTCTGCTCGAGTCCGGATGTAAGTATCTCCCATTCCAAAGTATACGGTTCAGTATCTGACTTTTTACAGGTTTGCTCGGATATCAAGGCTACAAATATCGACGTGACTAGTCCTGATGGAGACGATCAATTTACCTGCACGAATGTACGTTTTTCTATCAATTGACTACTCGCAGAAAGACCTTACTGACACTTTTTTTTTAACTCAAGGTTGATAATAGCTTGCTTAATTTCAACTGTGTTGCGTCCTCTTAGATGTTTAGATATGTATAATCTAAAATTTGATGGTTGAGCTTTGTTCGATGAAATTGCCAAGAGGACGGCCAGCTGGACACCGTCGAGACATATCTCTGGACCTCTGCCGAAAACATTTAACTGTGTGAAACCCATATAAGAAATCAGCATGCAGAATAATGCAAAACCAATGTCTCTTTCACAACCTATCTGCAATCCCATGTCGGTGGACCCAGCTTCGAGCTCGCTTCCCGTAGATATACCTGCGTTCGAATCATGAGCACCGACAGCACACAGTAGAGACACCATTGACAAGAGAAGAAAAAAAGCAAAAAAAAAGTCAAACTTACATAGGAATGGTAAAGAGCGTAACACCCATTGTAATTCCACCAATTGTAAAGAAGCAATTCCTTATACCTTGGTGGTCAAGCCATCCGTTAATATAGAAAGACAACCCAAATGCGAACAGATTCTTGACGAAGTTCATCACAGCAAATGCTTCTCCAGCCTTTTCTCGATGACAGTCCACTATATATGTAACCACGCCCGTAGTACCAAGCTGCACGCCGAAGTTGATCAGTCCGAGGCATACAATTACTGGTACTGCCCATGGATCTTGAGCGTGTGCGGATTGACCCCATGCAAAGAAGCCAGTAGTTGTAAATAGGAGATATGTCACCATTATAGGGAGACGGAACTCAGGTTCTATTCGGGTAATTGTTGGTCAATGTAGGGCAGGATTTCAAGCGAAATACGTACCAAATATACCACCATTCATCTTCGACATCCTGGTAACCACACCGTCAATAAGGGGACCTGCCACGAGCGTCCCCAGAACAGAAGCAACGAAAGAAGCCATGTTTGTAGCTCCCACTGCCCCAACAGAAAAGTTATACGGAGGCGCGGAAAATATCTGTGATAGAGTCAGGGAAATGGCAACGAGCCACGAGATACAAATCGTGAATAGAAGCGTTCCCCAGAGGACGGCAGGGGAAGCCAGCAGATAGAATGGCCTAATAAGGGTATTCCAAAACGAGACCGAGTTCACGTAGCCGCTATAGGGAAGAAGCTGTTTGGACCAGGGGGTGGTTGCTTCGGATTCTTGTATGGTGAATTCAGGCCCGGATGCGTGTTCAAGTTGTTCAATGTTCTTTTTACCCTCAAGTGTGACCTGGGATCATCAATAAATAATATGCGATACGTGAGAGACTGGAAACCTACAGCCTCATTACCAGTATCAATATTCAAAGCATGTCTGCATGCATATGCCGACTCTGGCATCCAGAAAAAGATCATGATCAATGCTAGCCCGAACGCACCTCCCATCGCATGTAAAGCAATGCGATATGAGCCGTACTCAATAACACCTCCAGCTTCGTGGTGTCAGTCAATCGAAAGATGCTGCAGTTTCTAGTTCCTCACCGATCGGGACAGCAAGATTGATTCCACCCAAAACACCAAGATTGAAAATGGCCGTTCGAAAGCCGCGCTCATGCACAAACCTATCAAGTCATTAGAGACGTGACATAGTACCAGACAGGGTCCCCCTATACCAGATGTCTGCAATTGAAGCCGGAATTAATGCCTCCATTGGTGCCATACACAGACCACAAACAACCCTGGCGGCCACAAGAGACGTAAAGCTCGTAGCCTCGGCAGCCCAGAAACACGAAACCATGAGGCCGACTGTGGTCCCAAGGTAGACTGGTCGCTTGCCAAATTTGACGGCGAGAGAATTAAATAGGAGACTGCCGATCGCGACGGCTGCGATTGTTCCTCCTTGGACGCCAGATACGAATGTTGTCAATGGGACATTGAATTCTCTCGCGAGGGGAACAAATGCGGCTCCAAGAAGAGGACCGACGGCTACATATTGACTGTCAGTTCGGGATCGATAGCCAAAATAAAAATGAATGGCGGGGTGGTACCTACCTCCAACACACCCACAGCCCCAGCCATAGGTAATTGTGAACAGCTCTTTCTTCTTTCGTGGCCAGTTGTATGGATCATTTGGTGAGTCGGAAGGTTGAGGCACAAGAACTATGTGGCCGGTTTGGTCATGTTTGAGGAGACTGGGGTCGATTCCCGGGTAAGTTGCGGTGCCCTGGAGATCGTTCAATGGAGCTGTTCCAGGGATATGCTCCAGTTTGTCGTCGTTTAGAATGCCGAGGGGCATTTCGATGATTGAATTCCAGCTATGTACGCTTGAGGTATGCAGGAAGAAGCAAGATGCGTATGAGTTCAGCACTGAATCATGTTTCCTAAGTGCAGGCAAAAGATGATCAGTAGTGGACGATCAACGGTTGTTATACCCTATCAGAACGTGCAGACACGGCATGAGTGAGCTCCAAGACGGGGCAGGCCCCATCATGGAGACACTCCGCTCGAAATCCGGGGTTCCCCACGGGGCGTCCCCGATTAACCCTGGACGATAGTTGGACTGCCTCGAAAGGCGCGTGGCATATCCTCACGTCCCAAGGAGGTTGGGCTGTTTTGTGCTCACAACGCTATCAGATTCCACCTTGGGCAACACAGCCATATGGAGTGACATGGTGAATGCACTGTGCTGTTATATTGCAGGCTTAGCGTGAATGAACATCCTCCGGCTACTCAATGGCGAATACTACCACTCTATAGCCAGCGAATTGTAACAGACGTGCGAATGTAACAGAGGGGGGCCTAGACGGCAGTTGCAATGAACCGAGAACTAGGCTTTTGGCGCGATATACTGCTTGGGCGAAAAACATTACCACATACAAAGAATCCTCGGTCCTATTCCGCACGTTGAATCTGCAGGGTATCTAATTCCGCGATCTTGGCACACATGCGGGGTTGATGCAGCACGAAAGCAAGAAAACAGCCAAGGGCCATTGGTAATCCTTACGAAAGCGATCAGCCTCTCGATACGAGGACTTCATGCACACTGCTAAACGCGTAGTTTCTGCCCGGAAATCCCCCCAGCTCCCCACTTGGGTGGGGGATGCGAGAGGTGGCTATGTAAACTGCGGGGATTCCGGGTAAATTATTGGATATATGCTTCAAGTATGAAGTAGAACTTGGCAACTCGAGTTCAATTGTTCATTGAATACAATATGGCAGCAACCCGAAGTATTATTGTGACCGGTGAGTAGTATAATAGCCATGCGAAAGTCATCCAACAGTGGAGCCTCGACTGATGTAGTAATCAGGCGGTGCCTCAGGGATTGGACTCGGTATAACCAAGCATTTCATCACAGAGCCAAATACGCACATTACGCTTGTCGATATAAACTCCACCACCGGCGCGCAAACGCTCGAGACCCTTCGCAAAGAATTTCCTTCTGCAAATGTCTCATTCGAGCAGTGTGATGTTTCCTCCTGGGAAAGTCAAGTCGAGGTTTTCATGAAAGTCTTCGATCAGCAAGGCCGGATAGATATTGTATTCGCCAATGCCGGTATAACAGAAAAGGGAACATTGCTACCCGAGAGGGACGGTGATGAAACTAAGGGGCCTGTTAAACCGGACCTATCCACATTGAATGTGAATCTGATTGGGGTTCTGTACTGTAGGAGATTTGTCGGTATCGCGGGTTACAATGCCAATGCTAACAAACAAAATCAGCTGTCAAGCTCGCCACACATTATATGTCCTTCAACCGGGACCCCACAACTCGGTCCAAGGGATTGATTGTCTGCACTGCCTCCAATGCCGGTTTATACCCATTTGCAATGGCACCGATGTACGCAGCAACGAAGTCAGGTGTCATCGGACTAGTCAGGTCGCTCGCAGAACCTCTAGAATCGGAGAAAATCCAGATCAATGCGCTTGCACCAGCTGTTATTGGTAGGTTGGAACCCTGAAAGTATGATACGATCATGGCGATGGGGACTGACAGTTCAGCAGAGACAAACATCGCGCCAAGTAGTGCCTTGTTCAAGTCCATGATCCTGACACCAATGTCGACGGCCACTAATGCCGTTGCTCAATTCGTGGCTGATCCGTCGCTCACTGGTCGGGTGGCTGAGTTGCATGGAGAACGTGTTACGTTTGCAGAGCCGCCGGCGTATGTGGATGAGGATACTGGGAAGAACATTGCGATGTTTTCAAGCTTAGGGTACGCATGAGAAAAGGTATAAGGGTGCGAAGAAAATTCAACATTATCTGCTTCACCGGAGCCCAAGGGCTTGGAGTCACAGCTTTATGTCGTATTGTGTTCGGGAGAACAGTCGGTCAGAAAAAAAAAAAAAAAAGAAATATAATCCGGAAACAAACACCCCCAGGATATACCAACGCCGTGTCCACACCACCCAGTCCCCATGAGCCATTATCATAAATACAACAAAAGAACGCCTCCAACACGTGTAGCCACATGTATCATCTATATGTTTCTCTGAATGCAACCACCAACTATGCTTCGTCTTGATCATCGCGCAGCAAGACCTTCAGCTTCTCTAGCTTATCCTCACAGTTGACTTCCATTCGCATAACAACGTCCACGGCATCCTTTTTAGTGATCAGCATTTGTGATACCAGCCAAAAGTTGTATCCGTTTTTGTAGAAGCCCATTGAAGCCCACTCCTCGGACGAGACCCGGTTCGTAAGTAAAACCCAGTGTTCGTGCCACCGGCTTAAAGCAGCTCGTATAGCTGTTAGAATCGAGTCCTCTGGAATGGGACTGCTGTCACGAGAGCTGAAATTGGAATCCTGAGTGGGCTTTTTGAGATGACCCATTCTTATGAATGGTCCTAGAAGTGTCATATGGGTGTTGATGAATGAGAAAAGTACTAAAAAGGTGTCAGCGGCTGTGTCATCACACAGGATCAATGGGTACAATGACTCACTGTGTATTAATAAGAACATGTCGAAGACCGTGAGATCGAGGGGGTTCGACTGCTGTAATTGAGATTGAGATTGATCTTGTGATGTCTCTCGAGATGACATGCTCTGATGAGATGTACCGTAAGTTGTTCCTTGGAACAAGCTTTGAAAAGCACCCAGGACGGAACCTTGGCGAGAAAAACAAAACCCTGGCTCCGTAAATGGATGCTCAGAGCGGAAGAAAGGTTCTTCACATGGTAAGTCACATTCCATCTCGGTGTGTGTAATACGACAAGGATAGTTCTGGTAAAAGAAAAAGGCAGAATCTAGAAGGGCGATGATGCAGATTGTCCTAGGGGTTTATCAGTAAAGAAAAACGTATAGTCTTCGTAGACCTAGGAGGCATGGACACGAACCGGATTCGACACTCTTTCTGAATCCATTCATATTCTGTGACTTGACCGGCCGGATCATGTCGGATCTTTGTCAACTCCATTCGACGCGCAACCTTGACTATTTCGGTGAATCGGGTTTCCAAAGCGCGATATCGTGACACTCGATTTCCAGACCAATACTGGACGGTGAGAATGATGAACCCAGCTTGAAAATTTTGGAATTTGGTCCAGTCGTTTGATTCCCCATCGTGGCACCGTTTGCCCGAGAAAATCATGCCCACTTCACTATCTGGCGAAAAGACATCACATGAGAATATGAAGAGCTCCACGAAGTCGAGGATCCTTTTAGCAACGTAGGATTCCCTCTCATCATTGTTGTACATAGCACCCATAAATATTACTGCGGCCAATAAGGACAGAGGGGCGGTCTCCGGATCGAAAGAAGAATGAACGTATGCACAGCTGGGCTGCCAGTATTTGAAATAGAGGAATATGCATTTGCGAATGCGTGCCGTCGTCAAGAGAAAGTTGAAATCCGCGGTGACTTCTGCTTGGGCCTTAGCATCGAGTGGAACCTGCCATGCTCGTGCCAATATAGCTTGTTTCAATGCCATCGCAAACGGTCGTTCTGGTTCAAAAAGCGCCGGGTCGTGATGTAGTGCGAGACCAGAACTTGGCTGTGGATGGATGACGCCTTCATAATTCATTCCATCAGCGTTATATGAATCATGTGCTGGCCTCGCCTCATCCGTGAAGGGCACGTTCAAGAAATCCAGAATGGTATCTGGGAAGGAGAGCGGTATGGCAGGGTCGGCATTGACGAACCCAGAAGCGTACTGCGGTTGCTCACTGTCGATGTATGGGAACCCACTCCTTTGCGCTTCTTCCATATTGATGCGATGATGATAATGGAGGCTGCGCGCCCGATCGCTGCGCGGCGGAAGTCGAAAGTTCTCCGTGAAGCTGTCCGTGCCACCATTGAGTAGGAACTTGATCGATCCGCGGTCTGATGATGGTTGTTCATGACTCTGGGGTTTCACTGGTGGCCCTGCGTGGATTGGAAATGCTGTCTGTTGTAGCCCCATTGGTCCCACACTCGTATCTTCCTCGATCTCAGGAATACTCGGTCCAGCATTTCGTTCATTGTTGCAAGTGAGGTTTCGCTTTTGGCAAGATCCGCAGGGGCTTTGTCCGTCGCATCGCAATTTCATCGAGGTGCACTGGTTCAAGCAAGTCAGTCAGTTGACAGAGCTAGACGCGATGGGATTGCAAACCCACCGATTGGCATGCATGCCGTCGTCTACCCCTCTGGCCCGTCTCGGGGATCTGTCGGTTGCCGCGTCTGGCGCAATCCGTGTAATGGTCGCGAAGATTGTCACTAGAGTGCAGCGGTTAGTGAAATTGCTGTCCATGTTTGAGCGATTTGACTTACCATCGTGCGAATGAGTCATTGCAGAAGACACAAGAGTATGGCTTCTGTCCGGAATCTGTTGAGGGTCGTCAGTACATTAGGCTGAGCTGCAGTGCGGGGCACATACGGCGCAGATGATGCCGCTTGAGGTGATCAATCCTGGTAAAGCCTCGCTGACAGATATTGCAGCGAAAGTGCTTGTCTGTCGGCTTCATGATGGGCCATCGGGCAAAGTCCGGGGAAGCAGGAGGTTGGAGTCTGGGGTGAGGTGAGATGTTGAGTATGGGTATCGTCACAGAGCTGAGGTAAAAGTACCACTTTGCCAGCGCTTGCGGCTAAAGGGTACCTTGTAATATTACGAATCTGGTATGGTACGGTCACTCCCGTGATATCAACTCCACTTCAACTTCAACTTATCCCAATCTACTTCCACTTCTTCTTTCTGCCTTCACATATGAGTTTTTCATGAATGATTCTATTCAATGTAATTTCAAGTCTCAATTTGTTCCAAGAAACAGTTGCTCCCACACGGTATCCTGACTTTATCGCCCCCAAACTATGAGTGGACCCCCATTGGAAGGGGAAAGTCAATCTGCTCATCGTCCAGGTAATCTACATTTATCACGTCGTTTTTCTCGTTCTCGGTCCAGCCATCTCCAAGCCAACCGGAAGCGTTGTTATCAACATACTCATAATCAAAGTCTTCCCATCGAGGGTTGGCAAACGCCTTGATCGAATGCAGTGATGAACCTGTAATGAGTTAGCCCCACACAGTCAAGGTGGCTGAAGAGCACGTACCTGGCCATAGAGCAGTGATCCGACCATCTTCTGTGCCACCCTTATACCAGCTGCGACACTTGCTGCTGAATACTGTGCCAGAAAAATACTGATCGCAGTACTTGGTGAAACGCTGAACTGCTTCTCGGCGGACACTCATGGCTCGAATATTGTCCCTTTGCATCTTGAGCGCGCATTTGGTGAAATAGTCCAGTGCCTTCTCGATTAGAACCAGAAGATTTCCCTCGCCCAAGCCCGCATTGGGGCCAAGAGAGATGAAATAATTCGGGAATCCATCGGTTGCAACCGACAGGTAGTTCTCGGGTGTATTCTTCCATCGTTCCGAGAGAGTAATACCTCCGCGGCCTTTGATTGTGAATCGGGGAGTGCAGGAGGTGTCAAATCCTGTCGCACAGACGAGCATATCAATTGGTCGATGCTGTCCATCCGCAGTAATTATCCCAGTCTCGTCTACCTTGATGATATCTGATGTGACAATGTCAACCTTGTCATCTGTCAAAGCTTCTAAATACCCTGGCCCCGGAGTAAGACGCCGACACGCCGGCGGGAAAGCGGGGATGAGGTCGTCAGCTAGCTCAGGCTTATTGGCCAGGCGTCGCTTCATATTTTGCACGAACTTCTCGTGCGCGCCGACTTGCATTGGATTACCGGTAAGTGTGGCTCCATGAATAGACTGCAGCTCTAGTTCGACAGCTGTTCCAAAGGTTAGCCATTCTTTCCTATTCCGTGTTTTCAGAAGCCATGCATACTTTTGCGGAATTTTTGATACGCCTGATGATCCTTCTTAAACGTCGCAATCTCTTCGGGGGTGAAGGAAACTGTTTCTTATTAGAAGCAACATAAGATGGCCACTCGGTCGAACTTACAGTTTTCCAGGCCCTCTCCTCTCTTATCAATTTCTTCTCGGGCAAATGTTGGTGCGAGCCACGTGCGACTCCGCACATAATGGTCAATGTGAGGCACATCGGGCAGCAGCGCAGGAACAATCTGGATACCACTGGATCCATTGCCGACGACCGCCACACGTTTACCCTGGAAAGTGGTGAGCGAAATAACATGCCATAGGACGTGTCACAAACCTTGTAGTCGTAGCTCTCATCCCAAGTGGCACTGTGCATTAACTTGCCCTTGAAGTCATGAAGGCCAGGAATACTAGGCCATTTCCAGGCATTTAATGCACCCGTTGCCTGGATCAAAATATCGCACCGATCTGTATATGTGGCTGAGCTATCCACATCTTGGATCTAAAGATCAAGTCAACATCTAATCCCCCATCAAGAGCCGATTCAATTACCTGCAAATTCCATTTCGAATGCTCCTCGTCCCATTCAGCCTCGGAGATTTGCTGCTTTAGCTTGATATATTTCGTGCATCCATACTTCTCAGCAACACGTTTCCAGTACTGGTGAATTTCAGGAGCTCTAGCATAAAAGGTGGACCATTCCTTATTTGGTTCAAAAGTGGCTTGGTAGGTATGGGCGGGGATATCTATACGGATTTTGTCAGCAAATTCACCCACGAAACTGTCTGCGCGGGGCTTCGTTTCCACGGCACTCACCACAGGCACACCCCGGATATCGATTCTCAAACCATGTGCCTCCAATATCTGCGTTCTTCTCATATATGCAAAGCTCAAGGTTCGGAATCCTCTGTGTGAACCGAATACACGCAAGGATCCCAGAGATTCCAGCGCCAACGACGACTACCCTCAGCGGGCGAGCTTCATCGATAGACCGATCTGGCACAATCCATTGCGGGACTTGACCAGCAGACTGTTGTGTTTCCTTCGGTGATTGAGGGATGGGCTTGGCGTCTGCACCAAAGACATTTGAAAGCCGCCTGAACATGATCTGAAACCGAATGCAAGTATAAAGGGAAAAAGTAGTAACGGAGAAGGCAACAACCGGAAGCTTGACGCGGATATTGAATCTAACGTGTGGGCTGTTTCTCTGTTTTTTTCTCTCTGATAACAGCTACTGCTAAGGGGATTCTTCGTACTTATGGTATCTCTTTGAAGCCCCGCCGCTATTCCTCTCTTCAATCAACCAGCGGACTCTGAGCACCAATGTCGTTGAAACAGGCCCATGTAGTGGATACTGCTCTCCCGGACTAGACCACCTTGCCTGAATTGGCACTCAAACCCCACTACACGTACTTGTACAGTAGTGTCGGATATAAGTCTGATGCGTGTGATGCAAGCTCATTCGGTCATATCGAATAAGTGGAGGCGCGGTGGAAGTAAGTTGATGTCAATGGGCCGGAAATCCCCCAAAGTCAATACCTAGAACGGGATAGTGGCGGTGGGGTCTCCGCGGTTCCATACTTTGGCTGAGACTGCGGGTTTAACCATGCAGTTGAGTAGTCTGATCGCCTCGTATTGAGCAGATGACTGGTTCGGTCTTCGAGTTCAATGGGGTTTTCCCCGGATATTCGGAGATACGGGAGAGGGGGAAAGCTTGTGGCACAGTCTTGACCTATCCTATGAGAGATGAGGTTATCTTTAAGAGTGTCTCATTATAAACTTTCAATCTTCAACGCGGAATTACGCCGCTTATTATTGAGCCGAGGGAAATTGGAGGCCTGAATTGCAACCGACGGATCTCCCGAGCCATATCGCCGATGTGCTGAGGTACTAAGTCATGTCTTTTAGCACCACTCGGCGAAACGGAAAATCAGTTGAGTAAATAGGTAGAGATTCTAGATTCAGAAATACTGTAGCTTGATCCATCGATCACCATATGTATATATCCCTAGATGCTTGATATACATCGGGGACTGTCCGCTATGAGCTGACGATCATTAGGAAGCAGAAATGGTACTGTCTAATTATGACTGACACTGTTCTCATCATTTGCAACTGTCTGTAAGAACTGATTTATATTTGCCGGACGTTATGTGCGTTTCATGAAATAATTGAGTAGGAGACGTCATTCGATTTATGGTCTGTCCTGCTACGGGCATTTGAGCAGCCAATGAACATGATCTACAACAAGGCCTGGTCACTCAATGGCATTTACAAAAAGAATCTGTTAAGTCTATCTTATCAGTGAATCATATTACTGTCTAACTATGGGCAAGCTTCTTGGGTCGTTTCATATACCAAAATGCTTTATAACCATCACTAAACATCTCAGAAATTTGGAAGACTAGTCTTGCAGTTCCATCCTCTACGTACTAGACATTTAATAAGAGACAGTCCATACTGATATCTTGTCAAGTGGTGAGTACACAGGCCAACAGTAACATGTTTGTTTGCTATTGGATACGGCTATTTCCAATCTTTCACAAAGCCAAGCATGTCCTCGAACCAGGGCAAGTCATTCAATCTCAAAGATGTGCCTGCTGGCATTTGTATCAAGCTGATCCATTCGTCGCAGGTTGAACAATCGTAGTGCTAGAAAATGCTTGGTCAATCCTGGATTTCTTATCTGTAAATTTACCACCAGCTTACCTTCACCTTCTAGAAGCAATCCTTTCCACAGTGGCATTCGCCAGTATCTTTGTTGCAGTATCCGTACTTATCGGAACAGCAAGTAGACGGGTTGGCATCGCGGCAATGGAAAACCGAACATCTCTTGACAATCTCGGCGGGAGCGGGAGCAGGAGCAGGAGATGCTGCTGCAAAAGAGACGAGGGAGAGGACAATGGCGACAGAGACGGAGATGAACTTCATGATTGCGCGGGAGCTTTCGAGATGAGAATATAGATTTGATTGATGTGTTGAGATGAGAGATATATTCTTGCAGCTGGAGAATATGTCCTATTTATACCTTTCCCTCCTACTGACAATTCTCAATGAAGACGATCTATCACACGGCGTCTTTGTTGGCCCCAATGTTGTACTACCAGACCTCATGTGTAAATGTTGGCGCAGTCATCATGTAGGCAACTAGCATGTAGTGGCAGCGGAACGCCTGATCAGCATTGAACGCTCCGGGTTTGGTCTTTTTTGACTTGGTTTTGAGCAGTTTGCAACCAAGCACAAGGGTTGCATGGTTTCAAGCTGTTGGAATTCCTCTTATTGGCCTCGAATTGTTCCACATTGGCTAATGGGGTAGGCATGTTGTACAAAGCAGACATTATGAACCACGCGCTGGTGGTGAGACGGTGATGATCCCTTGTGGCTTACCCCTTACAGCTTGTCGATCCCCAAAATGCAGAGTTCTAATGTTGGTTAAGACTTGCCAAGATTCAGGATTGTATAGCCACCCGACATCAGAACACAAGGACAAGGTACTTCACTTATCTAGATTTATATATGTAGCTGTTAAACAATAAAATGCTAAGTCCTGGTTTGTTTCTAATGAAATGTCACATGAATTTTGGGGCAATAACATAATACCAAACATATCCAGATCATACCGCTGACCTGTTTGAGAGGCGCAAAGTACAAGAATTGAGGCGCCGGGAGCGGCTCGGCGAAGTACGTTCAATTTTCCTTGGCGGTTAAGGCATGTGGCCTGATCAGGGTCGTCCTTGGCTAGAACATGGCCAGACGGAAATCCGTAGGTTTAAGCCAGAAAATGCAAGTTTATTACTAGCGCCTCACTATGCAGCATCAATTGAGGGGCACAGCAGACTGGGAAATTATCTCTCCCTCACTCAAGATTCATGAGAAAAACGAAGATTAACCAGATAGCCTCAGATATATAACTTGCGTCACCACATTCATTTAAAGAAGGAAAAAAATGATAGTATTAATATGTGAAGGACTAAACTCAAAGAAAAATTCATCTTATCCGCATCGGCGCATACTTCTGTTTTGAGAATTGGAAGCCAACTTGCATATGCCAAGAAGCCTGGGATTGTTTTCCTACATTTCTGAGCTAGAAGGTTTGCCCAGTCACGCAGACGGACGTGTCGATCTCCCGTGTTTTCGCCACGAGACGAAGGCCGAGCAATGTATGTAACCCCAGGTTCCCTTTACGAACCGTCCAATAGAATGGCTCCTCATAACAACCACATGTGCGGGCCAGTGGAATGAGTTGGATCAAAGGTAAAGAATGTTGTGGAACTGAGGGGTTTCACGCAACAAGGGAGCAAGAACCCCAGTTTACTAAAGATGGAGCGTTTTAGGTCATCTACACTGTACGTGTGCTATAGCTGACTTCAACTGCAGGTAGTTCAGATAGCCAACAGATGTAAATTGAGACTATCAGTTATCAGTCATGAGCACCACCGAACTTCATTCGCCCATCCATTCATCACCATGTCTAGCTACATATCAAAGTATTAATACGCCACTCATGATCATAAACCAGTATTGCCTCTGTTCTTGGAAAGTGCGAGGGCTCTTAATTTCCAGAGCACTTCTTGAGACAGTAATCTCCACTCTATCATAATTGATATTGTTAGTGAGGATTCAAAGTTATGGATGCAAGTATACATACTCCACCGTCGATTCTGCAGAGAGTGAAACAATTGTTCGTTGGCTGCGGACGCAGGAGCTTCGTCAGTCTATAACAACAAATTATTGAAGCCAATAACTAACCACTCTCTTCTCAACCTCAACGGGCGAGGCAAGTGCCAGGCCAATGAACGTAGCAATGGTGATCATGTAGAAACGCATGATGGATGTATGGTATAATTGAAAGGTTTCGTGAGAAGCTATACTTGAGGATGCGAGGATTTGCGAAGGAAGAATTGATTTTGAGTCCTCCCTAGCGATGGAGACCTCGCAATTTATATGTTTTCGATGGTCGTTAAATTCTCTGGGCAACAGCTCCTCCATACATCCCACTTGTCATGAAGATCCCGGCGTCCCAGCGAGGTTTCTGACCCCACGACTCGTGCAGGCTTATGTGCATGTGATGGAAGTCTGTAAGAATGGCAGTGACAAATGTTGATTCGCGGTCCAAGAAACGCCAAGAATGATCTGCGAGGAGAATGTGCTATTTGAGCCAAAACCTTCGCATTACTGTAAGCTGCCTTCTACTTCAGCCTGGGGGCCTTACAGTGCCAACTGATCAGGTTCACTGCAATGTAACCTCGATTATATGGCCAATCAATTGACTTGAGGTATTTTCTCTGGGTACAAAGGTACCCATGTCTGAGAATTTTGACTAATGCCGGACTTTGCTCCAGGTATATATAAGGCCAGCACCCGTGGAAGAAAGCCAACATTTCAACTACAACCATTGCGCCTCTGAACCTCACGTATCAACCCTCAACCCTTATCTCGTCCAATCTGAAACATGAAATTTTTCATTGCTCTGCTTGCACTTGCTGCCTTCGCAGCGGCCGAAGCGGGCCCAAATCTGGAAGCAAGAGCCGGATGCTCCCAGAAGGGCCAATATTGCAACGGCGGTACTTTCCTGTGCTGTCCAGGCCAAGGAAGCTGCTCAGGAAACGTGGTACGTTTCTAGTTTCCCTGCCTCTGGGCATTGCTCCCCAAGAGCATGGAATCAAATAGCTAACATGCAACCATAGTGCAAATAAGCTACGATCAATTTGGAACTTGATGTGGTAGCCTTAGCTTGGGAGTCTTATGTCTGCAGGGAGAACTGTCTCTCTGGTCAATCCAGAGTACACTGGGAAGTCGTTATTGATGCAAAATTTGATATCCAAGCACGATCAAATTGATATGCGAGGCTACTATACCTTACAGATATGAACATTTGCTCATTCAAGTTCCATATATATTTTCGGACCACTTCTTCTATATAACACTATAAGTATTCTCGTTCAGTCTAGATAATATAAATCAAGTGTCTAGCATGAGAACATCAAAGTATGGATTCCCTTACGTGAACTTACTTGCCCTTTTTCACCAATCACGCAACAAATAATTGACGTATGTTTCGGGCACGTATTAAGCAAAGCGAGTCTCGGAAAAACGGAATTAGGTATAAGCTTAAACCCACGGAAATAATCAAGTCCCATTTGCAGCTGCAGTTACGTAGAACTGCCGATGACTGTTGATTACTTGAATCTCACCAATCCACATTGCCAGTTCTGAGTGGCCCAACTCGCTCCACAGTCTCGGCTTTACCCCTCGATCCCCCGCGGTGAAGCTCCCCCCTGTATTGTATATTACCGCCCTACAGGAATTCAGTTGCCGACAAATACTATAAAGCGTCGATGGCCACTCTTCTTATTGCATTTTCAGTTGAGTTGATGTTTCACACCAAGTGATGCCCGTCTTCACTGAGCATTCCGCTGCTTCGCGGGAGCTACGGGTTCTTCCTTCATTTGCTCCACCATTGCCACGCCTCACACCACCACTATCACCAGCATCAACGGAAAAATATGAAGTGGTCATTGTGGGAGCAGGCCCTGCGGGATTGATGCTAAATCTACTGCTGGCTCGTTATGGACTAAGCGACGACTCCCTGCTCTGTGTAGATTCTAAATCCACAACTTTGAAATCGGGACAAGCGGACGGACTTCAACCTCGAACACTGGAGACATTGAAGTCTCTAGGCCTGGCAGATGAAATCCTCACCGAAGGATGTCAGATGTGGCAGGTAAGTTTCTGCCAAATCAAGATCGAAAACCTAACTAATATGGTCGCAGGTCGCATTTTGGAATCCATCCGAAGATAAAGACAAAATCATTGAGCGCACATCTATCGTGCCAGATGTCGCTGTTCCAGCACGGTATCCACATGAAGTTACCATCCACCAAGGACGCATCGAGCGTATCCTAGAGACAGACCTACTCCGCTATTCCAAGCGAGGTGTCCAGCGCAACACCAAGCTAATCGAAGTCACAATCGACGAAGATGGCGACGCAGACTTTCCTGTCCTAGCAGAAATTGAAACAGAAGGCCAAAGACGCACAGTCCGAACAAAGCACCTGGTCGGCGCAGACGGAGCGCACTCAGTAGTCCGACGCAGCATGGGACTAAAGTTAGAAGGCGAATCAAGTGATCACATCTGGGGCGTCGTGGATTTAGTCGTTGATACCAATTTCCCCGATATCAGACGACGATGCGCGATCCACTCGCCGGCGGGATCGGTCATGGTCATCCCGCGTGAGCGTATTGCTACTGGAGACTATCTGACACGGTTGTATGTTCAAGTTCCTGGAGATGTCGTTCCCGACAGTGACCAGCAGCCGGAACACGGCACTGGTACACTGCCAGTTGCGGATGCACGGGCGCGTCGAAGTCAGGTTACTGAGCAGGCTATTTTTGAGAATGCAGCTGCTGCTTTTAAGCCGTATTATATTCGGCCTAAGAAGGATGGGGCTGTTGACTGGTGGGCTGCTTATCAGATTGGGCAGCGGGTTACGGATAACTTTTCTGTTAAGGATAGTCAGGGTGTGAACCGGGTTTTCATAGTTGGAGATGGTAAGTCAATCGCCTCACGGTGTTTACGGGAAATGTTTTGTTGACCAGATGAATAGCCTGTCATACCCACAGCCCGAAGGTGAGAAGACACGCAAAATATTCATATCTTGTGCTATTGCTGACCATTCATCTAGGCCGGCCAAGGAATGAACGTGTCAATGATGGACTCATACAACCTAGCCTGGAAGCTTGCCTATTCTATCAATGGACTCACGCCTCCCCTTTCTAGCGGGCAAGCAGATCCAATCCTGGATACATATCACCAGGAGAGACACACAATCGCGCATCAGCTGATTGAATTTGACAAAGCATTCTCATCAATGTTCTCAGGCAAGATTGGCGCTGAAGATGGCGGGCTCACTCACGACGAATTCCTCGAGGTGTTCAGTCGTGGCAATGGATTTACCAGTGGATGCGGTGTCGAATATCCCGAGAATTTGACGGTCAATCGAAAACTTGGCGGAGCTCAAAATCCCATTACAGGTACAGATTATCTATCTGGTATTCTCCAGCCGGGACGGAGATTATTGAATGTGCGCTTGGTGCGGCATGCAGATGGATATCGCCGTGACTTGCAAGATGGTAAGTGTATATGCTTCAATTTCAGTCATTCGTCTCTAACTAGATTATAAAGATTTCACCTCGATTGGACGTTTCCGCATTCTATGCCTTACCTCATCGGACCTGTTAGATCCCAAGGGCGTCTCCGCAAAGGCGCTTGCTGGTCTGAGTGGTACTATCTCACGATTCCCAGAGTCTGTCGTGGAGCAAGTTGTGATCCACCCTCGTTTGTCGAGAGATTTCGTGTGGAACGACATTCCTCGGGAGGTGAAGGAACACTCCGAGATGGCGTTCTATAGTGGGTATGAGATGGATGATGTTTATGGCATTTATGGTGTTGGTTCTGCTACTGGTGCAGTGGCGGTTGTTCGGCCTGATGGATATATCGGGACTATTGTGTCCTTGAGTGACGTACAAAGGGTGCAAGACTATTTGGAGACACTGGTCAGGACTGTCTAGATAACAGGAGATGAATATGTTGCATGATGTTACATAGTGCATGAATGAAGAGTACTTACTGTCAGCAGCTTGAGTGGCAATCTCCAGTATTTATTCTTGAAATGATTAGCACTGTAAAGTCACGATTGCACCTCCTGACAGTTAAGATAAGTACATAAGTCAGTTGACGCTGGGGGCAAATGTTTGCACTGTTTGCCAATAACCCTGTCTAAATTCACAAGCCGTAAATTTCCTCCCAAACTTTTCTTCTTTTTCAACTCTCTCACATATCGGTTTCCCTTTCTATATATTCCTCATGAATATGGAAATGTGGAACTTGGTATCTATGGCCTTATATGAAATGGCAGTATTGTTGCCGTGTTTTTGACCTCTACCTTGACCTCAATCAAAGGCGGACAACCCTTGTGCAAAAAAGCAAGTGGATCTCGAAAGATCTCATATAGGCCGGTCACTATCAGATACAGCAACATCAATAGTGAATTATGGAGCATCCGACGGGACCTGTGGCGCAATTGGTGAGCGCATCATGCTTATGTAATAATCCATTTCGGTGGAAATTATCATGAAGGTTGGTGGTTCAAGCCCGCCCTGGTCCATCTGTTTTTTGGTTTTTTTTTTCCCACCCTACTAAATAAAAGGACTAACCCTCTTTTTCTAAAAGACGAAGAAAGATGGCACGAGCATAAAAATATTACGATCTATGAAAATGTTTTCAGCTAGCAAAAGTACATCATGGATGATGCTCCAAGTACTTCTTTATCGCACTCTTAATTATACTCGCAACGTAAATAGCTTGGAACAATTGAAATCCCATCGCCAAGGTACAAGAAACCACTCATAAAACACCTTGGCTTTCTCGTTTGAGGATGCAGTTCGTCTCGCTACATGGCGTAAATCACCCTGGAAAACACCGGCCGATAACGTAGAACCAAAAAAGCAGTCTATCTAAATTCGGTATGCAGTGCGAATTAACCGTCATTCGTCCTGGCCGTCACCTCATCCCTGTTCTCAAAATATCAAACCTTCGCCCGACATGATGTCGATCAATATAGGGCTTAGCTATTAGATTCACCGTCAAAAGGCATGCCCGATGCCGAAACGGGCAATACTTGAGACGAAACCTCACTCGGCGGCTCGATTACTGTCCGATGAGCTCGCACGCTATACCTATGCAGGTTAGTCTTTGTCCTGTGCCAAGGCTGTCGCTGTATACATGCCAGCTGTAGGGTCGTCAAATCTGAAGATTGGTTTACAAAGAGGAGATATAACTATCCATCAGATCCAGGGGGTTTGTAGTTTTGGTGCGACTATAGTGCTTTTCGTCACTACTTTTCACATCAAGGTATCTCTTACTATCTATAAACAGCACGCGCTTGTGTCCCCGAATCGAGCTACAATAAAATAAACTCTGTGATTTTCATGCACTATGTCTGCCATGGCTTTCACATACCGCGACGGTATAGCTGTGGCTCAGATTGTTGCATTTTCTCCACTTTTCTTGTTCGCCGTCTACTTCAAATACACCGACCGAATAGGCTGGTTCTGCAGCGGAATATTCTGTCTACTGCGACTGATTGGGGCAAGTTGCAAGTTAGCCGCGATGAAGAGCGACAGTCGCGGTCTTTCAGCAGCTATATTTGTCTGCGAATCACTGGGCATGATATTGATAATCTTCCTTCTCCTGGGCATCCTTGAAAGAGCGTATGTTATACCACTATTTCTGCGACCAAACGAAGCTAACCATGTTCGGAACACAGGAACAAGATACTTCCGATCCTTCGGAAACGCCTTTTTCTCCTCCCGTCAATCATAACCTGGATTGACATCGGCATTTCAATTGGTGGTTGGGTGGCTGTCATGCATGTCGAACATCCCCTGCTACCAACTCCATACAGTCAAGCCAGCACGGCGCTACTAGCGGTGATATACCTATACATGGTAGGAGTCTTTATGGCGATCGGACTCCACCGAAGCAACCTTCCCAAACAGGAACGGTGGGGCATCACAGCTGTGGCCGTGTGCATTCCGATGTTGGCGGTGCGCCTTGCATACACGCTCATATTTGTGATCACTGCCGACATGGATTTCAACGCGATTAGGGGTAACCCCACGGCCTACCTGATCATGACCATGTTGCCAGAGGTAGCCATTATTGCCATCTGCACATACATCATCCAGGCCAAAATTCCCGTGTCGCATGATCTGAATGGCAATCGCCAAAAGCTGGGGAGCGAGGATGGGGGCGAGTATTGGTTCGGTGGGACGGGAAGTCCACGTGGCATTGTATAGCGCCCTGTTCGCTTGTTTTTGGTTCGTGAATCGACTTAATGCACGCCCGTTGAAAATGCAGAAATTCGATTGTTTGCCATGTGGCTGTCTGGCCGTGTTAGGAAATAGTAAACTCCGCTAGTCCTGGTGGAGATTTCATCCGATGCAATCGGGATCAAGGCTAGGTTCACCTGCAACGAGTCGGAACGGGTGAGACAGTGGGGTGCAGGATTCGACGCCCTCCCAATCATGAGACGTTTCCATTTGCTGTACGTCAACGTGACTTTATCGCAATTGTGTGCTGCATGCTAGGGATCGAGTAACGGTGAGGAAATGTGAGTTCCTAAATATGAGCTCAGAGCGGACGAACGGAGGACGAAATGGGGAACTTTGAATTGAAGAAACTAACAGTTAGCCCCGCTTGGACTTTATCATGGCAGAACTAGCGACCGACATTCTCTTCATTGGAGCGTATAATGTTTAGCGGGGCGCCTCGGCCCGTTCTCAGAGTTGCCTATGGAATGTCAACGGTTTTTATTGCAATCGGACCCTTTCACCTGTTGACTTCCAACGTCATCTGTTTGCCCGACCAGATATTGTTGTTTTGAGACTCGAACTGCAACATGAAAGAAAAAGCCATTGCCCCTGTGCGTTTGTTTCCCGTCTTCCGCCGCGTATTCCCAGTTGTCACGCTAATTCTCGCACCAGGATCCCGACATATATGCCGTGACCGAAGGCTTTGCTCCGGATGATTGGCAATCGTGGGTTTCTCCTTTTGTGATGTAGCCCAGTATAACCAATAATTTATCACAGAGAAACAACATCCATTGGTTCCTCTCTATATCGAGGCTGTTATGAAAATGGGCGGAGGTGCGCAGCTTGTACCATCCTGCGCAACCTTCAAAATCGGCTAACATAGTTTCAGATATCAAACATTAAGGGAGGTTTCCTAGTATGCGACCCAGCGCCGCAACTATGTTTGGTCGGTCTAACGAAATAGCAGTGTTCCCTCCGATGATCAACAATTCGAAGCATATGAAGCCGGGTACTATCGCAAGACTCCTGACTCTTTGCAGAATTTGTACTGATACCTATCTAGACACATTACCGCATTAAATATGGATTCAAATCGAGAAAACCCACTTTTCCGATCACCGGTCGGAAAACATATAAAGCACGTTCTCGATATCGGAACTGGAAAGGGATCATGGGCAGTGTACGCAGCAGCAACCCCTTTTCAAGAATAGGACATACTGATATTTGAAAAGTGATGTTGCAGATTTATTTCAAAAAGGTGAGATTGATCGGTGAGAACGCAGCCCCGCGACAAAGAATTGACTTTGAAAGCTACTGTCCGAGGCGTGGACCTATTCCCCCCGCCAATAAACTGGATGCCACCGAATTGCGTCCTTGAGGTAGACGACATATTACAACCCTGGACATGGCAGCAGCCCTTTGATCTTATCCACATGCGAAATTTGGATGCCGCATTTACACCTGAAGAGAATGCACGACTATATCAACAATGTTACAAGTAAGTACTCAAACAAGGCTTAGAACGATCACCGCTGACAGGCTAATAGTAATCTACAACCTGGGGGCTGGATTGAACAGCTCGAGATATCACACAAATTCCACAGTGAAGATAACAGCTGGCCAGAACACTGCCACGTGAAAGATTGGGAAAGACTAATGACGAGCGCCGCGGCAAAGTCCGGAAGGCCGCTTGATCTCTATCATCGCTTCCCAAGTCTAATCAAACAGACAGGTTTTGTTGATATACATGTAGAAGAAGCCAAGTGGCCGGTTGGGCCGTGGCCCAGAGATAAGCAGCTCAAGGAAGCAGGATCTGTCAATCTGGGGCATTGGTTAACTGGAATGGAAGGATATGCGATGTATTTGTTTACAAAATATGGCAGTCCGACTGCTTGGTCGAAGGAAGAGGTTCAGGTTCACTTGGCTCGGGTGAGGAAGGAGTTGGTTGATCCGCGATACCACCTTTATCATACAGTGTAAGTGGATTCTGGTCTACGTGTTGAATTTTTTTACTGATATCTTACTAGAAAACGGGTATGGGCGCGGAAACCCATGCCAGAGGAAGATCTCATTAAGATTGAAGTGGAATAGGGGTCTAATTTATACGAAAACCTCCACTAAAAATGAGCATACGTAGAGTTCAAAATGAGACTCATGACAAATCAAAGTACATGATACAATCGTACATGCAGTAAAGCCTCCAGCTGGTCAGTCAAACACATCTCGCTATGGCAGAGGCACCGATACCGGTCAACTGGCGACGCGAAAAAACGGCTCCAACCCGTAGTGGATCACCGTGAGCCGCGTCCACGAAATCTTCAATCTGAGATGACTTGGCCATCTACACAACATGGCAGCCCCAACTCCACCATCATGGCTGTTCCCCAGTATTTTGCCAATCTCCCGGATGGGAGATCGCGTACCTCCAACATGGCACGTGGTGTTTATCTGCCCCATGGAAGACGCAGAGCGGGTTGAAATGATGACCAAACTCAGTACCATCGACGAAAATTGGCTGGATCGTCCCCAGGCTGCGATGCAGCGTCTGGTCGAAATCCCTTGGTTAATGGACTGGACGCCACCGACATCGGCTATCTTCTCCATTGTGAAAGATGATCCGTTGATCGTGGTTGATGATCAGTCTCAGATAGATCAGACGGCCATCATCATTTGGAAAGCTTCTACTGAATCCAGCCCTGAGGCTGCTCGTGTACCAATTGCCCGGGCCAACATTCTGTTGGGCGTCGCTGCTCAAGGAGGGCTGTCATCCGAGTATGCTCGTATTCTGCCGGAGCCGAAAGCACAACCGGCCATACCCGTGAGTAACTCATGAAGTGCAATAATGCCTAGTTGAATGATACTGAACTAGATGCAAGACCATAAATCGTGTACTTCCATCCCACTTGGCTGGTCTACGCCTCGAACCATCGATCCCGACTCTGGTATCTTTGGTGCATCTCCCAGAAGCAGCACAAAGGAATCTCGAGTCAATGATAGGCTGTCAGACAATTATTCGCAACTGGCCAAAAGCCCAAGATCCGTGTTCTCATACTCAACTCTACCGAATGTTCCAAGCGCTAAAGATCTCCCATGAGAGCAACTACCAAGCCTTCGCACTTTTCATAGATGAAGTCCCAGAAGACTCAGAAGAGTCAGATCGCCCAGGAGGCTACCGTATTGTCAACGCAAAAGGATCTAGCTTTCCGCATTTCTCAGACGAGGATGGCAGCAAACTGGAGATTACCACATTACCATTTGACAAGGTGGAAGAATACTGGAACGCAGCCTGGAATCCAGAGAGTCGGATTCCAGCCACCGTCCCAAAAGGCCCATACAAATACAATGCTGCCATGTGGAAGCTGAACAAATTCGGCGGCGACCCAATCGTCAACCCAGATGATATCGCCAATAGTCTCGACACAAGTGTTATCTTTGTGTTAGAAAAGATGACCGAAACCGAGCTACGCAAGATACGATGGGAAATATTCCGCGGCTGTGACTCTGATGAAAATTTCATGTGGGTTGATGTGTCAGATCGACTGGTTTCACCGGACATGCAAGGTTTAGTGACATACTTTGAATCTGGAGAGTTTACTAACCACTCACCTCCGTACCACTTTCTTGCCGTTGATCGTCAGACTCTGGCGGATGCAATGGAGCCATTCGATGAGCGGGATGCTCTCGAGGCTATCATTGTTGCTTCGTATGAGGCTGGTGATGTCTGGTTTTCAGATGATATGAATCGTTCTTTCGGATACATATCTACTGGTTATGGTTATTACAGAGGGGACTACGATGAGGTCCAGAATATTCATATTAACTTGGTGATTTCCAATATGAGCTGGGACGAGATGTGTCAACATTCTCCGGTGGTATATTGGAGTGCTTATCGGAAGTGGGCTGAGGAAAATTTAGGGCAATCATTCTCGCGGTCTTTTGGTCCGGGGGGGATGAGGACTTCCATGGAATGATTCATCACTGTCTCACTGGAGTCATTTTGTCTAGTTTATTATTGATCTGGACTTCGCCGGGTCTAAGCCAAGAATACGAGAGAAAAAGTCAGCAACTGTGGCTAAGGACTTATACGAGCGCTCCCATGTGGCACTTTATCAGCCTCAATATTTGCACCAGCCTCGCAAGGACAGCACTGAGGCCAACACATCTAAGCTTACACCGTCAAGATGCTTTACGCCGTCAGACGCGGCATGAAAATTCACCAAAGTGTCGCTCCTTTTGTGCACTGAAATAGTCAAGAACGCGTGGATCGAAGGAGCTTCTCAACAGTGGTCGTACCTGCGTTCGATTAATGTTTTATTGACGGATAGCGTTTCAGATCCGTTAAATCAGGAGGTAAAATCGAGTTCAACTACATTTCAAGTCCCAAGTCTTTGACCTCCTACCAAAATCTTGGAACTTGTATCTAGTACCGCTGAAACTCATCTTTAATTGGAACAAAGCGTCGACCATGGAAGGCCTTATGCAAGGCGCTGCTGACTGCAGAGGAAAACGGGATCAGCTGTGGCGGGGGCCAGAATCATTCCATTTGCGACGCACAGACTGCGGTGGTGACTTGATTTCAATGAGATTAACCGTTGAAACTTGGTTGGAAAGGAAATCGAAGCTACCTTGACTCGAGAAATAGAATTGTAGTCAAGATAACGTAGCAAGACCAGCATTGAAATTCTACAGAGCCGCGTGAATATAGCGCGAATTAAAAGCCGCGGGGTCATAGAGCCCTAAGTGAGCGCAAGCCGTAAATTCCACTTGTTCTGACTGCCGATCGCAAAATTCTGTCTATGGAAGTAGGTGATGATTATCAATGAATGATGCTCAAGTCACTTCAGCCCAATGGAAACAGTTCCCAATGCTGCGCACCCTTGTCCGAAATATGGGTTTCTTTGTCCCCCGGCCCAATGTCTTTTCTCTCGCCGTTCCCCTCCTCTCATCTTTAATAATCTCAAATATCCCGAAAACGGCAGACTGGATAATTGCTAGCTAGCTGTTAACTTTCAGTCCATAATGCCGTTCGTGCGCCAGCTGGTCCGGCCACTGCTTGCAGCGCTGGCTCTGGCATCTATGGCAATAGCCCAATATTCCGGCTCCGTTATTGCCATGGATTCCTCGGCCTCAGACTTGACATCCACAGCGTCCTCGTCCTTGTCAGCTACTAAAACCTCGACTTCGACTGGTATAGCAACTCATACCATTCAGGTTGGATCCAAGTCTGACCCGCATCAATATTCACCCAGCAGTGTTAAGGCCAACGTCGGGGATATTGTCGTTTTCGAATTTTACCCAACCAATCACTCGGTCGTCAAAGCAGACTATCTCGCACCATGTGTGCCAGCCAGTGGGGATATTTTCTACTCGGGGATGTTTGACACATTCAATGAAGAGGATGGACAACTTGTGGGGGACGTAAGTCGACATGTCCGGCCCGAAGATATATTCTGTATTCCAAGGATACTAACAATGAATGCAGCCACCGACCTGGTCGCTGAGGATTAATGACACTGCAGTATGTATCAAGAATCGTTTGCCGTTACTAGATTCAGGACCCCAATCTAATTTCCTGTCTCCAGCCAACCTTTTTCTATTGTACCGCAATCGACTCTTGTTTGAAAAATGGCATGGTTGGCGTTATCAATCCGGTATGATGCCCAGAGTTCTTGCCGCTTTGATCCATACTGACAAAAATCGACAGAATTCGAGCGAGACATTCAAATCACAATACAAGAAAGCCCTCCACTATCCCTACATGCTTGTCCCCGGCCAATCAATGCCCGCTGAAGGCGAGGGTACTACCACAGACACAACCTCAAGCGCCACAGCAAGCGCAACAAGCAGCCCATCCGACAAACACGGTCTATCAACCGGAGCAATCGCAGGTATCGCTGTTGCAGGAGTAGCATTCCTCGCAATTCTAGTCGCACTATTCTTCGTCCTCGGCCGCAATCGCGTCTACTCACAATGGATGTCTTCCCAAGACGGGCGCACCGAGCGAACAGCACGGTGGGCGTTATTCAATTCAGACGCCCACAGCAACGGCAACCGGAAAAGCGAAATGTCTAGCAGTACTTTGAAGCCCGGCCACATTGATATCAGTGCTGTTTCCAGTCCGGATCCGAATGTTCGTACCTTTTCGCCGGGTACAGAGCATATGTCTTCGCATGGATCTCCGTCCACGCAGCAGGGCCATTGGAGCTGGAATGAGCCACCACCGCCTGCGCCTCGGACGCACATTGCTCCGACAGAGTTGGACGGCCATCCTATGATTTACGAGGCTCCGGATAATAGTCGGTTCCCCGACAACAATCGGTACCCGGTTAACAATCGATTCTGAAACGTCTCAGTGATCTGGGAGCTGAAAAGGATGAATGAATACGCTAAGAGGTCAGTGCGAGTGTAATTGGTTCATGTGGTGTTGTGATGTTAGGTGGTGTGTTTCATTTGCTCGATTTGGGTTTATGTTTTTATGAGGCTGTTCTGCTTATAAAGTGATACCTGTCATTTCCTTTCTCTTGTGATTTAGCAAATAATGAATCGCGGTCTATACTTCCTCGGTCAGCTGAAGTGTGGATCACCTCCCCAGATTACCCTGTGTTTCTCTGGTTTGACGGGTTTGACGGGGGTTTTCTCGTTCAAATCGCGTAACAAGAACAATTGGTCCCGACTATACTTTTCAGGCCACATTTCTAACATGCCGAGAAGTTCAACAGAGAAAAGATCACGCTGGGGCTGCGCGAACTCGTATTTATTTCTTGCGACATGACCGACGAGAGAAATAACGAGAGGTAACAGTCGAAAGCAACGCAAGAAATGCGATGAGGGTCAACCTAGCTGTACAGTCTGCACAGAGCAAGGATCTGACTGTATATATCCAGACTGGAAAACAGTCAAAATTGGCCGTACCCACCAGCGGACTATTGAGAATCGACAAACTGAGGTTGTTTCGGCTCAGCCTATGCTACTACCAACACAACCAAGCAGCAATCGAACACGACCAGTCCATCACTTTGAGTCCAAAATCGTTAGACAGATTTTGTGCTCTTTTATCTCAACTTGGGAAAGCGAAATCGTTTCTTCTCTATGCCTTCCCACTGGCATCGTACTCGGTGCAGGTTCTCCGCTGATCTTAATATTGTAATATAGCCCTGAGTTCGCACATCTGCATCTAGGATTTGTAATGAAGTACCAGACGCAATCAATATAATGGCCAGGGAATTGCACACGCATATAGCGTTTCGTCCAATGTTTTTGCTCCATATACAGTTATCTCTATCCCATCTACAGTCTCACGTGCCACATAGATTAGGACGATAATCCATAAATACCGTTAGTCTAAGTTTTGAAACATCGAAAGGACTTGACTCTTTGTCAAAGGATAGCTGAACCTATTTACATACATTTAGCTTGTTGTATGAGAATTGTAACGTACTGAAACAGCAGAATGGGTATAATTACAGAGACTGCAACCGTACGAGAACATTCGGATGAAATGCCGAGATATTCGGCGCGATGTATAATACGAGAATCACGTGTAACGGTATTACCGGCCCATTCAGCCAGACTTCGGCATTCCTCCATTCTCCCTGAATCGTTTATCCGAAATTATCGCCCAACCGAATCATGCCGCCAACACCGCGCCGTGGCATCACGGGTGTCCAAAAGCAAGCCCTACGGGCGTGGGCAAAAGGTCAAGAACATCGCCCATCGCACGCTCAGTCATGTGCCTGGTTTGAACGAACATACGGACGGCACCTCAGCCAGTCCACTTGCTCAGAGATCCTCTCTAAGAAGTTCGACCATCTTGATAGCGTTACCGGCGATGCAGCGAATCTACTCCGCCAACGAGCACCACAATGGCCACTTCTTGAACAGCAATTATTTGAGTGGCTAGATACTCTTGCCCCCGGTGCAACGACCCCGGCAGAGGTTCTCACTCACAAGGCGCGCGAAATCTGGAATCGGATCCCGGAGTACCAGACTCTGCCGGTTCCCCATTTTAGTAATGGCTGGATGGGGAAATTCCGGAAACGATATACTGATCGTGTGAGCGCGCGTCCGGCCGGAGGTGCTCTTACAGCTGCGCCAATGCAAACCACTCGGAAGGAGATGAAGGGATTAAGAGCGATGGCTGGTGAATTCCACGAAACTGATATCTACAATATGGATGAGATGGGCCTTTTCTGGCGCAAGCCTCCTGTTTACCTTCTTTCCTCTCAGGACCCATGGACGACCAGTCGAGAGAACTCGCGTGTCTGTGTCATGGCGTGTACCAATAGTACTGGCTCGGATCGTCTGCCACTCTGGATGATTGGCCATTCCCAGATGCCACAAGCACTAAGCAAGATCAATCTCGAAGCGATGGACTGTCACTGGAGATACAATACTCACGCATGGCTGACACGAAGTTTGATGCAAGAATGGCTTCTCTTCTTCTACCGCCACGTAGGCGATCGAAGGGTTCTCCTGCTGCTTGACCAACATCCCGACCATCAGGCCGCGATTGATGCCGTCCCACCGCCGCCTAATGTGCATATTCAGCTGTTCCCCAAGCAGACCAACCAATCGGCTGAGCAGCAACCTCTCAGCCTAGGTATTGTGCAAGCTCTCAAGCACTGGTATCGCAAATACTGGCTTACCTACCTTGTGTCTGGTTTGAGCACATGCGAGAACTTGGTACACAAGATGAATCTATATCGAGCAATGTGCTGGATAACGCGTAGCTGGCGCCATGACCTGGCCAATGCGACAATCAACAGAGCGTTCCGGAGGAGCAGCCTATTGGACCCACAGCTCGATTATATCTCTGCGCCAAGGTTGCCGGACTTGACAGCTCTCTACAACACTATCGTGCAGAACAATAGGGGTCTAGCCGTGATCAGCCTTGAGAACTTCACTCATCCACTGGATGAAGACTTCGAGACCCACTTGGGTAATGCAGATGATGCTGGCGAGGCTTTAAATGAACAAATACGTTTGGATGAACCTATCCTCCCTGTACCCGCACATGACACCACTCCCCCTGCGCAGGATGCGGGTGCCGGATTGCAAACTGCTATTAATTATTTGTTGCACCAGCCTTGGACTACGGCGAGTGATATTCAGTCTTTGGAACGCGTGGAGAGAATTATCAACCGGTTTGCTATTGATGAGAAGGGAAAGGGACATGCCGGGGCTTTTAATTGAAATGACTCAGTATGCATACTATTACACAGCTAAACTGGAGACCGAGTCATGGAGGTTACAACGCGGTCAATCATACATTTAATTTCAATATTACTTTGTGAGAAGGTACCATAATAGCAAATCACTCGTGAGCTGAGAAGAGCGATTTTATTAATTTCTAGTTGGCACAGGATGAGACGTCGAATTTGAGAAGCTTTGAAAATGAAGGACAAGCTCAAAGGGGGGGGGGGGAATACTCAACTGGGTATGGGTGCTCTTGTGTCTGATGACCTACAACAACTTGTCCTACAATTTGACTCAAAACAGACACTGTAGTGAACAAACCATGATACTTCAGCATGCCGCTCACTCTGCTGAGCTCTCGACATCTTCATTTCCCAGATCAACGTCCAATCAATCCAACGAGCAATACGCTCTGCTGAGTTCTCGATGCCTTCATCTCTCCCAGTAATCTGCATCGCTGCTATTTTCCTCTTCCACCTTCTTATGAAGGCGGCTGGATGACATGAACATGTTGAAGACTTAGAGCGATTATCAGATTGCGTAGTAGGGTGACGCTGACGGTGATCCGTGGAGATGAGGACATCCAAATCGGAATGGAGTGAATTATAAGCCCTCCAATCGGCCAGTCACTATTCGAGAGTAGTGCTCTACAATGTGATATGGCTTCTACAATACTGGATTCAGTTGTGGACCGTAGGAGTATATGTGCAGGTCCTGTGGGTGATCTGCTAACTGTAACTTTGTAACAACGGCGATATGATACAGAATATCTACTAGAATCTCTTTCGGGAAGCTGAGTTGAAAAGGTAGGAAGTATTATTCAAAAATGATATCATATAACACAGGCTCCAAACGGTAAATCGCTTTTATGTTCCGACAAGGCCAGAGACCAAAAACAAATGAAAAGTTTACTCTACATCAACAGCATCGGTGATACAGCCTTGGCTGGCATCGCGAACGGTTCTGTGACGAATTGTTAGCAGAGAGTCCAAAAAAGCGAAAGTGACAAGAAAACTTACCTAGCATATTTGCCAAGGGTACCGCGCATGGTGAGACCAGTCTCAGGGAGGTCGCCAGCAGCCTTGCGGGCCTCCCACTTCTTGCGGCGCTCAGCGATCTCGGTCTCGGAGAGCTCGACATCCAGGATTCGCTTGTTAGCATCAATGGTGATAATGTCACCGTCGTTGACAAGACCGATAGGACCGCCGACCGCGGCTTCGGGCACAATGTGTCCAATGAGGAAACCGTGAGAGCCACCAGAGAAGCGACCGTCGGTAATGAGGGCAGCGGAGTTACCGAGACCGGCACCCATGAGGGCGGATGAGGGCTTGAGCATCTCTGTAACGGTTGTTAGTGACGTCAAAATGGGGTAGAGGGATGATTTTCACGTACCGGGCATACCGGGGCCACCCTTGGGGCCGCAGTAGCGGATGACAACAACGGTCTTCTCATCCTTTTTGATCTCCTCGCGCTCAAGAGCAGCGATGAAGTCGTCCTCGCTGTCGAAGACACGGGCCTTTCCGGTGAAGGACATACCCTCCTTACCGGTGATCTTTCCGACACTACCGCCAGGGGCGAGAGATCCACGGAGAATCTGAATGTGACCAGTCTCCTTGATGGGGTTGGAGAAGGGACGGATGATCTTCTGGTCATCGGGGAAGCCGGGCAGCTTCTCGAGATTCTGGGCCATGGTCTCACCAGTAACGGTCATACCGGAACCATCAATGAGACCTTCCTTGAGGAGGAGCTTCAGGAGAGCAGGGGTACCACCAATGGCGTGGAGGTCAGCCATGACGTACTTGCCGGAGGGCTTGAGGTCAGCCAGGAAGGGAATGCGGTCAGACACGGCCTGGAAGTCGTCGATGGTGAGCTTGATGCCAACGGAGTCGGCAATGGCAATCAAGTGCAGCACAGCGTTGGTAGATCCACCGGTGATATTGACAACAACCATGGCGTTTTCGAAGGCCTGGCGGGTCAGGATGTCGCGAGGGCGGATGTCCTCGGCGAGCAGCTTCTTGATGGCACCACCGGCAGCGAGACACTCGAGGTACTTTGCCTGAGAGTTGGCAGGGTTGGAGGAAGAACCGGGGAGAGTCATACCCATGGTCTCAATGGCGGAGGCCATGGTGTTGGCAGTGTACATACCACCACAGGCACCTTCACCAGGGCAGGCGTGACGGATGACGTCGAAGCGCTGGGGCTCGGTGATCTCCTTGGTGATAAATTGACCGTAGGCCTGGAAAGCGGAAACGATATCGATATCGGCGTTGTTCTGGGTAGCGGCGCAACCGGGCTTGATACTACCACCGTAGACCATCAGACTGGGGCGGTTGACACGGCCCATGGCCATCAGGACACCGGGCATGTTCTTGTCACAACCGGGGATACTGATGTTGGCATCATACCACTGTCCACCCATGACGGTCTCGACGGAATCGGCAATCAGGTCACGACTCTGCAGAGAGTAACGCATACCGGAGGTACCCATACTGATAGCATCACTGACACCGACGGTGTTGAACTGGAAACCAATCAAGTCCTGGTCCTGCACACCCTGGCGAACCTTGTTGTTCAGGTCGAGCAAGTGCATATTACAAGGGTTACCGTTGAACCACACTGACGAAATTCCGACCTGGGCCTTGTTCATGTCCTCCTCCTTGAGACCGACGGCGTATAGCATGGCCTGGGAAGCACCCTGGGACTTGGGCTGGGTGATGTGGCGCGAGACCTTGTTGAGGGCCTTGTCATTCTGGAAACGGGGAATGGTGGTCGACAGAGTCCGACTGAAGAGCAATGCACAAGTTAGCAGCCATTGGACGCAATTGAAGGATGGACTCACGCAGTCGCGGTGGACCGGGTCAAGCTCCGGAGAGCGGCGGGCATGCGCGCCCGAGTCTGAGGCAGCATTGTGATGGATTTAATGATCTAATCCAGAGACAATACCAGATACGATCAATTGAGTCAAGAGTCTGGAGAAGGGAGGGGGAGCAAGAAATAAAAGGCGGGAGCTCAGGAAGGTCGGAGTTCGAGTCCTGCTCCCCGCCCCACCGCCCGGGGCGGCCAATTGTATGCGGCTCGTTGTCATCTGCATAACAGGCATAACCTGCCGAACTCCAAGAATTATATCAAGGCATATTTGGGTGGATCAAGGCTTGATTTGGAGTCAATTCGGCTTATAAAAATTGGAAAGGTTTTGTGACGGCAATTGACATTTCCATGTTGATCTGATAAGCCGAAGTAGGCCTTGCAAAAATGGCTGGATATAGCATGCATTGATGCTTCTGAACAGATGAAGTATTTACAGCTTTATATTTATACTTGACTAACGACAGATCTAGTAGCTCCTTGGTAGCTCAAGTACTTTCTCACTGACAAAGTTCAAAATCATCTCGCGACTGACGGGCGCAATGCGAGGCACAAAGCATTCACGCATATATCTCTCGACATCATACTCCGCAGCATAACCCATACCACCATGGGCCAATACTGCGCGCTCACAAGCTGTAAAAGCAGCTTCAGCAGCCAAATACTTGGCACTGTTGCATGCCACGCCGATGTCCTGGAAAGGAACCGATCCGTCGTTGGTATCATACAGTCGGGCGGCATGGTAAGTGGCCAGCTTTGCGGCTTCCAACTTCATGTATGCGTCAGCCAGAGGATGGGCAACACCTTGGTTTTGACCTATCGGTCGTCCGAATACCACACGGTCCTTCGCGTACTGCGAAGCTTTCTCCAGGGCAACATAGCCCAGTCCGAGAGCCTCGCCTGCGAGAAGACAGCGCTCGGCGTTCATGCCGTGAAGAATGATCTTGAATCCATTGTTTTCACCACCGATTAAGGTGTTAGCAGGAATCTTATAGTTGTCGAAGAACACCTCATTGGCATCGACAGCACATCCACCCATCTTTTTGATTTTACGTAGATCCAGACCAGGGTTCTCCTTGTCGATATCGATACAGAACATGGAGAGACCTTCGGTTATCTTTTTGACCTCTTCCAGGGGTGTAGTCCGAGCCAAGAGGATCATCTTCGATGCGACCTGCGCACAAGTAATCCAAATCTTCTGACCGGTGACGGAGTAGCCATCGTCGGTCTTCTTAGCGAGGGTCTTAAGCTTAAGGGTCTCAAGACCGGTGTTTGGCTCAGTGACACCGAAGCATGTGCGCCATGTGCCATTAATGATATTTGGGATGGTGGTTTCAAGCTGTTCCTTGGTGCCAAACTTGGCCAATGGCTGCGTTGCATACACATTTGCGTGGATTGCTTGAGCGCCGGCAATACCAGCGCCAGATTGTGTGATAGTTTGCATCATCATTGTAGCCTCGGAGATTCCTTTTCGATAATTAGTTATCCTTCCAAACAACTCATTCTTCAAAGGGGGACTATTCACCTAAACCTGCTCCACCGAGGTGTTCGGGTAGAGCAATGCCGAGCCATCCATCCTTCGCCAAAGCAGCATGGAAATCCTTAGGATCTTTTTCTTGTTGATCATGCTCTTGCCAATATGTGTTAGGGAACTTGGAGCAAATGTTTGAAATAGCTTCACGGACTGTGAGCTGTTCCTCTGTAAAACCTGTCATACTCATGATGTCGCGTTGCCCCGATGTGGAGAAAGCTGCACGAGCTTGAGGGGAAGGCGATGTCCGGTATGATGTGACCCGTAAGGGTGCAAGTCGCTGCGACCGCAGAGCCCGTTGAATGTGTGAGCGATACATTGCAATTGTGTTTGGTATGTGAAGAATGTTGAGCATTCGGTTGCAATATATATCCCGTCTTGGGTTGTCATATAGCCGACTCAGGTCTTGGCGTCGGTGACCGGCTGCGGACCCCTCGGTAGTATAGAGATTGTCGTTAAATACTGAACAGCGAGTTCAATCTATGATGGGTCTATTGTTCAGTTGTATTTTATCTCAGCCTCTGCTGATAGTGAGTTTAACACCCGATTTGATATTATGGCACCTGAACAATAGTGTACAACTGTATATCCTTGAAGGACGGACGTTCTGTAAATAAACCAAGTAAATGCTGAGATGCAGTAAAATAGAACAAGGTAACCATGACTTTATTTTTCTAAAAGGCTCCTTTTTTAATACATTTCACGAACATAGATTTGTGCATCAAAAATGGGCTGTGATATGGAAATTTGCTATAAGACACCAATGTTCTTGATTCACCCTGACTAGAAGTCTAAGAATCATCTCTTCCCACATTCAATTCTTTATCTAAGAGTTCGAGTTTGCGGACGACTTGCAACGTGGCATAGTAGCTGAACGGCAAAGAAATGAATCAGGATTGATACTTGACGTAGCAATCAAAGTAGTCGGCAGGCCACTTCTCGCGCCGAACGTGGCACCGGCCAGTGACGCTCCGAAGGAGGTGTTGATCTATAACCATAATGAATCACCTCAGGTGCCACATGCGCCAGAAAACATCTTCTTCTATGGTCATCGCGCTCCAAAAAAGGGCGGTGAATCGCCCATATCATCTTCATTGGAACTGTTTAATCGGGCTCAGCAGGAGATCCCGGATTTCATTGCCGATCTGGCGGAGAAAGGGATTCTCAGCCGGGTTACCTACCAAGCTGAAAGGCAACACCAGGGCGGTTCCACTCTCCGTGACGCATTCGGGAAAGAGATTGAAGATGGGGACGACGAAGAGACTCAAAGAAAGAAAATAGAGGCTCAGATTGCGCGGTATGGGCGAGAGAAACATACGACATGGGAATGGGCTGATGATGGACTTGTTCTCACGCACCGATTACCCGTGATTCGGACCCAGCGCGGGACTAATTTGCCTACTCTTTTCACTGGATTGGCGGCATACTGGAAAAGAGCGCAGAGCGACATTGAAGCGCGTAGGAAGGTAACGCAGCAGCTGTTTGGTGATGGTATGCCTATTCCTGACCAATATCTCGCCAATCTGGCCAAGATTACAGATGATATCCGGGTGTTGCATCGGTGGCAGGAGGGTGATGTCTTGGTTTATGATAACACCATTGCGCAACATGGCCGAGAGCCGTGGGAAGGTGAACAGTCTGATCGAGTTGTTATGGCGGGTTTATTTGATGGAGAGAGTGTGCCTGGGGCCTATGGCTTTGGGGATTGGGCGCAAGTTGTACAAGCGTTGGATTGACATTCAAAATTGAAACTTGATTTCCTGCTGCGCATAATCATGAATTTATGTTCGTTCATCTGTCCATCGGGTATCTACCGTCTAAGATTGTTCTATGCTCGATATTTCGGCGTCATAATTACCATCATCTACTCCTTCACATTGGTATCGAACCCATGCTGCAGCAGGTACACCTTGAGATCCTTGTCCTCCTTCTCCAAGTCCAACTCCCCACTCTCAGGAAGGAAGTAGTAAGCCATCATTCCGAGGATAGCAACACCCCCAGCGAGGTAAAACGTGGAGCTGTTTCCAGCATGGTCCTGCAAGGGAGTGAAACACTGCGTTCCGACAGCAGCACCCGTTCTGCCAAACGCCGTGGCAATACTATATCCCATAGAACGCATGGCAGTCGGGAAAGACTCAGATGAGATAAGTCCAATGGTAGCCCCCGGTCCCATATGGCCAAAAACTTGCAGCAAGCCATACAGAACAACGAATGCGGAAATGTTCTGAGAAAGCTTGGTGTAGGTTCCGCCAATGACAAAACCGAGAACCACGTAGCCTGCGAATCCCGCGATACCAGTCCATCGCCGTCCAATGGCGTTTGTCAACCAAGCTCCGACTATAACACCGGGAACTGGAAGCACGGCTAGAATGACTTGCCAGATGGCTGTAGTTCGCACGTTATGGTCCTTGACAAGTGAGGAAATGATTGTGCTGGACATGATGCTGTTTGGGAAGTTGATGAAGTCGTACAGGAAGAAGGCCAATGATGTTGTCAGTAGTCTCCACCAGTAACGCTTAGCCAGGAGCATGTATAAGCGAAGTGATTTGGGCTGGCGTGTAAGGTTGGAATAGTGGAAGAGTGACGAGTCAACCATAAACATCCGGAGAATGATAATTGCAACCGGAAGAATAGTTGCAATGGAGTAGATAGCGTGGAATGCAACGACGAGATTGTTGTCGCTGGCGATCAGTGTGACCAAGTAGATGATCATCAGGATCGGGCCAGCGGTGGTAGCCATCAGTGTCGTAAATGAAACAAACATTGGACCACGGTATTTTCGCATGATCTGATTAATTAGCATATTGCGAGGAAAAAAAGGGAGAAACACTCGCATCATCCGTTTCTTCAATCCCAGCTGCCGCACTGGGAGGGTATTCACCTCCGACACCGAATCCAGAAATACCGCGAACGATAACGAAATACCACAACATATTGCTCGAGGGGTGCATCTGAAGAGCCAGCGCCGACATCAATGTACCAATGGCAACAAGTGAAGAAGTAAAGAGCAATCCCACCCGTCGCGAGAACATATCAGAGGTGTATCCGAGAGCAACAACACCAAGGATAGCACCGACGAGCAGAGAATTGCTAATCCGGGTCTTCATTTCAGAAGAGTAGCCATCAGCACCGAGCACCTGCTTGAAGATAACATTGGTAGGGTTGGCAAGGGTGTTTTGGAATCCATCACTGAAGTTGGCAATATACTACAAGAGTTAGCAATGTGTCGAGAAACATGATCCTATAACTAACGCAACTAATAATAGTCAGGTTGCTCTGCCACCTGCTAGGCCGATACGAATGAGTTGTAACCTCCTCGACATCCCTGCCGTTGACAACAGTTTCGGACTTGCTCGTCTCGTCTTGTTGGGGAGACGGTGTCCCACTTTCGACGATCGCCATGATCAGAATTTTCAGGAAAAAAATGCACTTGGAAAATTTCTTTCATGCATGCAAGGGAATATGCCATGCTTTATAAGAGATGTCCCGCCAGATAACATTCGGTTGTAGTCCGCCGTGGCCCCACGGCGGAGCAAATGTAATTTTTCTTCCGCGGAGATAAGCATTGTGGATGTGTCAACAGAGTATGGTCCACTTTTGGTCTGAAATGAGATCACGTAGAAAATAGTTGGCTTTAGCTCCGATGTATGTTGAAGACGATGCAGCTTCACTGTCAAGTTCCCCGAAGATGCCCTAATTGCACTTTGTACCCGAGCTCTACTTATATCGCCCCAGTATTGACCGATTTCGCAGGGAAGAAAAATGCGTGAACTAAATGGGTTCAAAGAGCGCCATTGAGAAGGGACATCATCATACCATTTTAACGAAAAAAAAAAAAAAACGGCTTGATATTATAAAACAGTTGTCTTCACGCAGCAGAGACAAGGGAGACGAATTGGTTAAATATTGTCATGAAATCGGAAAAAAGAAATATTGCATCGTTTTAGCAACATAGTGCTCAGGAAAAGGCCGACCAGAAAACCACACATTGAGATCGATGTTTTAAAACGGGATATGTTTCAACCGAGGAGTTTTCTTGTGAATGAATGCTTCCATGAGAAGCTAATAGGGCAGTATACGTGCGTGTTTTTAAGCTTTTCGCATCTATACCTTCCGTCTTTAGAACCAAAATATACCCATATTTGTCCAGTGACACCATTCAGCATCGACAAGTCGTAGTATCGGTGTTCTGGCTCATCGACGGGGCCGGTACTTGTGCATCCGAGACTGTTCTCTTATATGGCATCTGCTACTACAGCGGTATATGGACAAAATGCCACTTGGATAAGATTTTCATCCGAAAACTTCCCCGCAATAAAACTCGATGTCTCTCGATTTGAGCGCGTAAAAAACATAAAGCTCATGCTCACGAATCAACATACCCACTTTCAGTCTTCTCCCCTGGGTCTGGGAATTCTCGGCTCGTCTATATGGCAGTAGTATGCACCCTTGCCAGCGGTGGATATGTGGTTCTTACTGTTGACCACCCACATGACGCCGATATAATTGAGCTTCCAGACGGCAACATGACACATAGAGGTGATCTTCCTGGGCATGTTCCGATGCATGTAATGGCTACTCAGTTACGCTCACTTACATGATCAAGCAGATAAAAATTGAAATTTTAATCCAGCAAATAGGTCAAGTCTCAGGACCTCTCTTTCGTGGAATCATAGTTTGAAGATCGTTCATCCTGCTCCTATTTGACAGAAGGATTGCCAGGAAAAATTGGTATGGGGATATTGTCGCCTGTGGGTATTTGATGGGAGGAGCGACTGCGTCTTGTATAATGCTAAGTGATGAACGTATACAAGGGGGTGCAAATCTTAATGGTCGACTTGGTAGAAATGCCCCCAGTCAGGGACTGAACCACTTCTACTGCTTGGACGAGTCGACCATCATTCCGAGTATCCATCTTGGGCTTCATTCTGGCAGGTTCTACGGGGCAAAAAAGCAGAGTTGGCCCTGGCTGGAGCTACTCATAGGTCCTTTACCGATTCCACCTTTTCTTGTTGACGCTTTGCAGTTCTCAAGACAACATCAGGCACTACTTGATCCGATACCTGCGGAAACTACAGGTGCAGAGGTGCAGAATGTGATTGCATATATCTTAAATGGAAGCGGATTGACCTTTGTCAAGTCTTGTGGGGACTAATGAGATACAAATTTTACTTGGTGCATTTTCTGTACGCGGCCAAGAAGACGAGTACTTTTCAAACTGAAGATGGAACACACTATACATAGGCCGTGATTGTATTATAATGACTGCAACCTTCAGCCATTCAGCAAGCAGGCTGATAAAGAGGTATTCCTTTTGCTACTGCGGGTGTTCGTTCTCATAAAAAGGCCGCAAGATTCCAACAATTTCATCATGACCCCATTCTTCAGCAGTCTCCAACGGGTCTGGATCTGAAATAGTCCCTGCCGTGCCCACGTGCTGGAAAGGGATTTGCTTGAGCAAGGTTTTGACAACCTGAGTTCGTCCTTCTTTACAAGCGACAACTAAGGCCCTCCACACATGATCCATCTTATTTTGATCTGACTCTGCTCTACTCCCCAACAGTAATTCCAGGATTGCCTCATTCCCGCGCTCGGCTGCAAAAGACAGAGGAGGAAATTCACAGATCTCATATGATCCAGAGTATGGATCCGCGCCCTTCTCAAGAAGCAGCTTGACGAATTCCAAATTGCCCTGGTCAATGGCGTGCATCAAGGGTGAGTCCTCCAAGTCTTCATCAAGCAAGGCTCCTTTTTCAACCAGTAATAGCAATGTCGATATATCTCCATTGTCAGATGCGTATGAGACAGGACTTGGCGTGCCCCCGAAATTTGGGTCTGCCCCTGCATTCAAGAGCAAAGATACAACCAATTCATGCCCGACACAGGCTGCAGCTCCCAAAGGCGTTGATCCAGAATCATCTTGGACGTCAATGTTGACGTCGTTGGCTATCAGAATCCGGACGACCTCAGCATGTCCCGCTTCTGCAGCCTCGAGGAGCGGAGGTCGACCCAACTCATCCACAGCTTCTAAATTAACATTTGACTCAAGCAAGATCTTCACCACGTCTGACAAGCCATGCTGTGCAGCACTTGAAAGAAGTGTCACCCCATCTTGGTCAGTAAAGTTGAGATTTGCACCTTGCTGGATTAAAAACAGGGCATCCTCTTCTCGGCCACTTTTTATCGCCCACGAGACGATCTCTCCGCCTTGGTTCTTTTGCCAGTCAAAATCAGGGTAGACAGTTTGAAAGAGTGTTTGCAACTCATCAAGCCTAGCAGACCGAGCTGGGGTAGGGTATGGAATTAAGCCATACCCAATCTCCGGGGGCGAAACGTCTTCCAGAATACCAATAACTTCGTCATGCCCCTGTTTGATAGCCCACAGAAAAGGTGTTCGGTGGTAGTCCATATCCTTCATCTCTGTGCTCGCATTCCATAACAAACACAATTGGACAACATTTGCATGGCCATTCATTGCGGCCCACGACATCGGGGTTCGATGGCGATTGTCCGGTAGGTCCACTGCGGCATTGTTTCTCAACAACATCTCGACAACATCCGCATAACCTCTCTCTGCAGCCCATGAAAGCGCCGTCCGACCGTATCGCCAGTCTTGAACGTCTATTTCAGCACCCGCTATCAGTAAAGATTTGATGATCAAATCCGACCCGGATTTGGCAGCAAATATGAGAGGCGTGTGGCCAGAGAAATCGCGATTCTCGACATGGGCACCTGCTGCTAACAGGCAATCGGTCACATCCTTGTTTCCACTGGCTGCAGCCTGGGACAGGGGCGTTCGAGTTTGGTGATCCTTCGCATTGACACTGACATTCCATTCAAGGAGAAGTTGAACAGTATCCCTGTGACCGTGCATGGCTGCCCAAGTCAATACCGTTCGTCCATACTGCAGATCACGAGAGTCCACGTTTTGTCCTTTGTTTAATCCTTCTCTGACTTTTGCTGTATGTCCATCTTTTGCAGCGACCAGAAAGGGGTCGTCAGAAGGCAGTAGCACGATCGGCATGATGGCTCCGAATAGTTTAATGTAAGCACACTTTGGCGTCAACGAGGACAAAAAAAACCTGCTTGGCCTATAGACGGCGGCAAATTTAAAATTTATATCCTCGTGGAACTACCACCTAAGTTGCCTGACAGAGACATGACATGCCAGAGTTGACCCAAGAAGAGAATGTTGCTAGGATTAAAAACCGTTTTCCAAGTTTCAGAACGCCACCAGTAAAGAATGTGATATCACAAACATGACTTCGGCATTTGTCCCATGAGGTCAGATCCTGTATCTTGATCCGAGACCCAGGAAAAGTTATTAGAGTCTTGCAATTGAACTATAGCTAACACTCCGCATGTCCTAATATTGCAATCATGCAAAACGGTGAAGACGATCTTGCACTCAACTGTACAAGGGTTTCAATGCCAGGGAGCTAACTCAATATCTTACATATGTTAAAGGCTTGGCGGTGGGGCAATTAAGTGGCTACTAGTTCGGCCAATTTTGATAATGACCGTATCAAGTAGGTCCGTCATGGGGAGGACTTCTTAAGTTGGAGGTTCTTACAGTCGATTGAAATGTCCGTAGGTTGACTACGATAGCTTGCTTTACTATGAGAAGAGTTCTACCAAGACCTCTTCCACTACAAGCTTACTAGAGACAAAGAAAAACCTACAAATCTCCGACATATTCCCGAACGCCGAAGCTGAGCCTCAGTTTCTCGATTCCCTACCTTGTTTCTGGAGCTCTTGTCCCACTTTGATTGTTCTATCTCCGAGGAATTATCCCGAGCTCTACACATGATGAGGACCTACATATACACAAGCCATCAGCGTCGCTTCAGCTCAAACTCATTTACCAACATGATTCATTACTCCAAGGAGACATCCAACGGAATTAAGATAATTTGTTCTTCGGGTCTCTCATTCACAACAAACCGTAAAACGAAAGAAAGTGTTAACTTCACCTATCACCTCAAAACCCATTTACATAGCAAACGAAGGGGAATTCGAATATCCGATCCTCACCCACGACAGTACACTAGGAGGCTCCGGGCTCCCTCATTTCCCCGATATGTACACAACATGAAGTGGGGGAAAGAGGGAGAATACAAGTCGTGTGATGATAGTTCTGTTTCCTTCGAGGACTCATGCAAATTTGCTGATGCCGATAACGACACTGACACACCTATGGGTACAGGCTACCCATACCCTCGGCCTATGAGAGGCCAATAATAGGGCCCCCCATCCGCGATGAATACTTGGCAACTTTTTCTTCTCATGATAATTCAAGTGGCTAACCCGTTTCTTGAGAAAAAGTGATCACTATACATGGAATGTTTCATTTTGTAATTGGATAATATGAAAAGAATAATATCTGCCCATCGCAATGTATCAGGGGATTCGTTGATATATTCTAACCCCCATTTGGGCAACTCCCGGAGAGCTTCGGCCTATCAAGGACAATATGAAAGAGAAAACAATGCTCTGGAGGATTCTGCGAGTTAAACGGTTAAAATGAACAACTGTGCCCTATGGGTAAGACAGCCTGATTCCTGGCGATATCGCGAAGCCTTAATATACACTTACCCCTTACTCCTTCTCACCTGACTCTCAATAATAGCAATTGTAGTCAAACAAACCATCAACTCCCACTTCGTGGTCTCTTCATCGCCGGGTGAGTCAGGATCTTGGCCGGCATTTACAGTCGATGCGATAAACAAGCTGCCATCCTTCATCTTCCAAGTATTGCTTCCTATCCACGTCGCTAAGAGCCGCCCATTTTCTTCATCAACGCCTCCGACACGAAGTTCCATGGTTTTCAGTCTTCCTAGTGAGCGATACGATTTCCGCCATGTATATGTCGTTCTCGTTGCCCCGGTTCCGAAGTCGAAATAGTACACCTTGTGGCTATATTTTTCGGGTCGCTCCAATCTTTCCCATATCATCTCGTTGCCTTCTATCTCTCCAGCTGGATTGCCAACCCCGATAGTAAAACCTCGACGGTGCATTTTCGCAACACCTAGGACTTCTTCGACTTTGGAGTGTCCTTGGTGAAGTATAAGGTCGAATTTGTGCTTTGAGAAAGTCTCATGAGTCTCGATGTAGTATGCTGAGTTTTCCTGAGAGCCGGGCCTTGTGATGCAGTATGTTTGAGGTTTTCCTTTGGACACGAGCTCGTAGGAAAGCTCTTGGTCGGTAGTTGTTGACATTGGGGATATAGGGTAATTGAGATGACGGAGAGGGGAATCTGACTCCTTTGAGAATAGTGTGAGCACACTACATCTAAAGAACAAGGCCAAGGGCTGTGCTGGCTCTATCATATTAAACTACATCATCACGTGGGCGTTGAAAGCGAGGCTTTAAACAAGGTGGGCGCTAAACCAAATATGGCCAAAGACCGCGAACGCTGATTTCGTGTTTCTTCTCAGTAAATGACTGACGAAGGCGAGTCGCATAATTTCTGGTGATGTTATCTATAGAGTGTATACATATTTCGTGTGGACCTGTGTAGAAGTGATGCAAATCCCGTGCGATCCAGAAAGCGTTGAATGCCACCTAATCCAGGCCACAACGCCAAGCGAGGACAAGTGGGACCTGAGCCTCGCCCTGACCTCCCGCAAATACAACACACCAGCACATCTTGAAGAGCCACAAAGATTGGGGCGGTTACACTGTATTTTCCATTTAATTATTGTAAAGTGTTGCATGTCAAGACCGTGCTGCTTTCAACCACTTTTCCCAACACAAATCCCACCAACAGAGGCACCTCGCAATGGGCGCATCCAACTCCACACCCCAAACAGTCGTCTCCGTGAATGACGCAATATCAGCAGCAGTTGGCCAAGATGATACGTACTATCCAAGGCACTCGGAAGATGCAGTCGCAGCTCTTAACATTCTTCGACATCGACTACCGTCCGAACTCGTCTTACAGGTGCTAGAATACGCCCAATACTGGATTCGCTCTGAAGTCTACAGAAACGACAGATTAGCCTTCACAGAGAATGACTGTCGAGATAGAACTCCCTATCTGACATCGAGACGTATTCAGGGCAATCGATTCCCAGTTCGGGAGATCAAAATTGATATCTGGAGTCATGACCAGGGATGGAGTAGTTACCGTGAGGATTATGGTACCTACCGAAATTCCTGGACGTGGTTTGAGCTTGGTATTCAAAGGACAGATGACAGAGATGATCTGACCCAAGGAGAGGAGCTTCGCCTGGTGACGAATATACATGCATCGAAAGACGCAAAGCATCATCAGATCATTTACCGGGATGATCAAAACCTGCACTGGTTGAGCAATCTCCAGGCTGGGGATCGAATTTCAATAATACCCCGGGCGCGTTTTCCTGGATGGAAGAATTTTGTGGATGAGGCTTCTATTGAGATTTATACTGATCCAATTTTGTGATCTTCTGTTGATTTTGCACACGAAGTGAATACATAGCCCTCCCTCACAGTATAATTTATGTGAACAACTTTTAGCCTCTCTACTGATGTCGATAGAGATACCAGTGCGTGTACCCAGATCAAGACAGTCCTTCTTTACAGTAGAGCCCCAGAGCTTACGCAACGATCGATTCCGATGGAATCGAATGCATTGCAGATCAGGTGAAGGGTTCTTCCATTCATCAAGTCAGCGCCAAAGCAGCTGGAGTAGATCTGAACCTGTCCATTGAAATTGTTCGCAGTCCATGATATCGGCCGTGATTATAAGCCATTTTATGCTTGTTGGTAGCGCATCCTCGATACGAACCGAGTAGGGCCCACCTTGAGAGAACCCAACCCAGAAAGGCAATCGGACCCCCAGAACTAGCAAGACTTTGAGATTGATGAATTATAGATGCCATGATTATATGTTTGCCGGTGCTTGCTTTACTTTCTAGGCGATGAAGTTCCAAATTAAAAATAGGTATCATCATTGATGATTATCAGACGGACTTCTACACCCCAACCTCACTTAGGGCCACAGAGACAAAGTTACTATATTCACACTCCTGTATCACATTTTTGCAAGCAATCCACTCCGTAAAAACGGAATATTAACCCCAATTACGGTTCCATCTGTCTTGTTGACTTTGAAGACAATGCGGTCAAGAGCTTTTCCACCATAGTAAAGCCAGTCGACAGTCTGCCAAGAGGAACACATATTCGACAGTTTTCCCTGTCCTGGTAGATCAGAAATAGCAGCATTGTCAGAAGGTACGATATCAAAGCTGATCCGCCAGTCTTGATAGACCACGTCATTTTGGTTCTCGACCGGTCGTTCAATTTCAGTAGGATATATGCGCATATCGGGATTCAAAATACCAACTTGGGGCAAGAGCGAGGCCCAGATCTTTTGAATACCTTTCAGTATATCAGATCCACTTCTTGACAAAGATTCTAGCTTGATGCCTGTTCCATTATCCATAGATAGTACCAACTTGGGCGAGAATTCAGGATCAGCTGTTTCCGTGCTGATGGAAAACACTGGCGTATAAGTCCCGGTATATCTTTCTGCCTGTCGACGAGCTTCCGCGTCAACCGCGGGGATTAAGGCTGAGATGATGGCTTCGTTTAGGATTGACGCAGTTGGCGCTTCTCTGGGGCCGGCTGTTAGAACAATAAAGCCAACCCCATACTGGTCGACAACCGAGAACTGGGACACATAGCCCTGTGCTCCGCCACTTTTCGCAAAGATGTCCACTGTATGTGGATTATTGGGAACTAGATTCTCTGTTCTCTGTATTTCCCATGGCCGACCAACTAGATTGTTGATTGAAGACGTCATTGATTGCGGCTTAAGCCATTGTCGGACTTGGTCTGGGGTACCAAGAATGGTGTAGTCTAAGATGCTTCTCATCAAGATCGATAGATCACCCAGAGAAGAATAGAGTCCGCCACCCCTAGCTCTTGGTTAGCTTAGAAAATAAATGACTGGATCGGATGTAATTCGTACGGGGCATTGGCTCCATAATCCGCTCCCCATCCTTGCTCTCCGGCAGGTAGAGGAGGGATGACTGCTTGGTCATATACCCCAGGAGAGACGCCCGTATTTTTCATACCAAGCGGCTCGATGATTGTTTCATTCAATAAGTGGCTGTAGGCTTTGTCTGTTTCAGCGTCCAAGGCCAAACCGAGTAATGTGAAGGCCACAGAAGAGTAAACTGGCTGGCTATAGGGCAGCTCCACAGGCAGCGCGCTACTCATCATCTTGAGTATCTCTGATCGAATGTCAGTTAATCCGCAATTATTCTCTGTCACAGTAGATTCATACGTGTTTCATCGCATGCGCGGTTAAGGCCAGTTACCCCACATTCGGGGTAGCTTGCATTGCTAAGAACTGGGAACCCGAGCTGCTCGTAGACTGAGTGTAAAGAATAGTAGTCGAATGAGGAAGCTAGCACAATTCAAGTCAGCAAAGTCTAGGTTGATGATACAAACCAACATACGAAGATTCGAAGGTATTCCTGCGAGATGATTGGATAAAGCGGATAGTGTGATGTTGTCCCACTGGATCAATGACTGGGATCCCTGAAGAGTTGGCAAGTATTTGGTTATAGGATCATCCAAGTTGATGTTTGACTTCAGCAACAAGATGTCCGTGAATAATTTGGATACTGATCCAATCAAATACTGCGAGTTCTCATCGACGATTTTCGTTCCATTGATGTTATTCTTCCCAAGGTGATGATATGACCAAACAAGGCCATCTTTTGTAGAACTGGTGTCCTTTCCTCGCTGAGAGATGAATCCTAATGAGAACGACGTCTTGTCCACGTCAAACCCAGCCTTAATCTTGCCTGCTAGAGCTTTGTCAAGGCTCTTACTCAGACTAGCCGTTGCATTCTGAATAATCTTGGCATTTGCCAGATTAGTCGGACGCGGCAAAAGTGGCCCATATGGCACGCAGCCGGTCCATGAGGAGAGAGGTGGTGGTGATTGAATTGCATCTGCGACGCATAAGAGGGCACAGACTAATGTAAAGATGATGGTCGATGTTGAAATAGAATGCATGATGGTTGTTTCATAGCACTTGCAGTACCATGTGCAAGAGTTCGACGAGAGCCCTTCTTATAGAGAAGCAGACTGATCATATAGTCTCGCATGTATGATGCAACCTTCCATGTTCATGCAGTTCGTATTCGCTTGCCGATCATTCTCGATCAGGTTAGCCTTGCTAGTCCCGAGATTCAGGCAGTCAGGTGTCAGCCAGACACGTGACAAATATTCACGTGCCTGGTAGTGGAGCCTTCCCAATTGGGAAGTACAAACACCCAGGGTCCTATACCAACAACTTTGGGCAAGTACATCTCCCCCCCCGGCCCAATGTTCTATAAAATTGATACAGCTAGCTGCAGCACAGGGAGCCTAGGTCGAGGATGCCAGTCCAATCCCGGCCCTTGGTCACTATCTTCCAGGGGAATTTCGTTTTCTTTGGCGTTTGAGGTTCACCATTCCCTTTCCTGCCCACACATGAACTGGATTCATCACAGCTGTCCTTGCTTATGGCTCACTTTACAGTACGTTCTACTCGTCTGAGGTCATCGAAAACAACGACCCTCCCCGGCCACGGAGTAAAAAAAACGAGACCGACTCTATTCTAAAGTCAACTAGTACCTACCTCACAACCTGCACAATGACCAATATTATGCGATCTATTGTTAGACTCCGATGAACGGCCTTTTGATCCCCCCCAGCCTTCATAAATATACCGCCTTACCACCGCGTTACACAGGCATCAGCCCACTGAAGGCTGAGGAAAGCACCCAGCTCGCCCATTTGGTGCCATAATACTCAGGAATACCATTTTAAATCCAACAGTCGTTGAATACGACCCCCACGCGACGGCAGTCTGAGTCAGAATTCCAGACTCAGCTACATATGGCTGGTCATGCTACTCGACTCGGTGGATTATCCGCGTATATCAGGTCTAATATGTAGATGTGTCTATTACACACGCTCTTCACCTTTGAAGTCAGGGCCATGTTTTATAATTGTAAACTCATCCAGGCACAGAGGCTGTGCCCTAGATTTATTGAATATCGTATAACTCTGCGCCTGTCAACGCTCTTGTCTTCAGTCCGATCATCGCAACAATGAGTGTCCAAATAGCCTGCCTAGGCTGGCTCTCTATCCTAATTGCAGTTTTTGGTAAAGCAAGTGGTCTTTCGGTCCCAAGTTCTTCAACCTCACGGTGTCGCTGCATGCCACAAGATACGTGCTGGCCAAGCGACCACGAATGGGACAAGTTCAACAAAAACATTGACGGCAAATTGATTGCAACAAACCCCATCGCCAGTCCATGCCACATTGACTCCTTCGCGCGATACAACGAGACAAAGTGTGCCAGTCTCCGCTCGGATTGGGGCTTACCAGAAACACACTACAAAACCTCCTCATCAATCATGGCATCGACCTATACAAACAACAGCTGCAATCCATTTTTACCAAAGGAAGCACCGTGTACAATTGGAAACTACATTTAGTACGCAGTCAAAGCAAGAGACGCCAGTGATGTTCAAAAGGCCATGCATTTTGCCAAGCGTCATAATATCAGACTTGTGATTCGGAATACGGGTCATGATCTCTTTGGAAGGTCAACTGGAGCTGGTGCACTTGGTATATGGATGCATCACATGAAGGACATCTCCATTGTGGACTACAACTCGTCACACTATACTAGCAAAGCCATGAAGATGGGAGCGGGCGTTCAATCTTTTGAAGCCAGTGCCGCTGCGTCAAGAGCCGGTCTAGTAATCGTCACTGGTAACTGTCCAACTGTCGGCCTCGCCGGTGGTTACTCACAAGGCGGCGGCCACGGCCAACTAGTATCCCAATTCGGACTTGCAGCCGACCAAGTCCTCGAATGGGAGGTTGTTCTCGCGGATGGAAAGCTGGTAATCGCCTCTCTTACTGAAAATTCTGACCTATACTGGGCTCTCTCCGGTGGAGGTGGGGGGACATACGGTATTGTCATTTCAATGACGAGCAAAGCATATCCCGAACTACGAACAGTTTCCGGGAATCTTTCATTCACAGATACGGGAATATCCAGAGAAACCTTCTTCAAAGCCGTCGAGATATTCACTTCGATCCTTCCCTCGATAGGCGATGCAGGCGGCGCGAGTATTTGGTGGTTAATCAATAACACCATGTCAACAACTCCAACGGCAATTCCGCGCGGTACCGTGGCACTTTATAACTCTCTATTTGATCCTTTGCTCACATTCTTCAAGAAGAACAACATGCAATATAGTACGTATCCGATCCGAATTTCAAAACCCAGTTACTCACACCGTATTCCAAGCATATTACGTCGAAGAATTCCCAACATTCAACAACGCCTATCAGAAGATGAAGCCATCAGAGAACATAACAGATGCACTGCTTGGCGGCCGATATATTCCCCGAACTGTAGTCGAACAAAACCTGGCCGGGCTCGTATCAAGCTTTCGTGCAATTGTTGAAAAAGACGCCACTTTCTTGATATCCGGTACAACAGTCAATGCCTCGCGCGTTGCATATCCAGATAATGGTGTCAATCCAGCGTGGCGCGATGCGATTATCAATATTTTGATTGGAGGGTGGGTTCATCTTCATCTCCCACCATGTCCAATATTAACTAGTACTGAGGATTCAGGTCTTTCAATTATACAGACCGCAATACCAATACTGTCCGGCAGCAGGTTATTACTGATGCCCTCCTGCCGCTATTGGAGAAGCTTGCGCCTGGTGGTGGTGCTTATTTGAATGAAGCTGACCCGAGTCAGCGTAATTGGCAGGAAGTTTTTTATGGGGGTAAATATGGTAGATTATCGGAAATTAAGAGGATTTATGATTCTCATTCTATTTTCTATGCGAACAAGGCTGTTGGAAGTGAGGATTGGGTGGTTTGGGATGGTGGACGGTTGTGCAAGTCTGGAGGTGTGGAGAATACATAGTTTTACTCCGTGTGCGAAGATGTTGAAACCGGTTTTTGAGTGTCACTTTCAATTGATTGATTTTATTTTTCTACTTTGATTCAATTTGGTGCTTAGCATAAGGCTTCTGGTAGCGACGGAGAGTTGCCCGAGTGACCTGCCTGGGTAAAATGTAAATTTTGCTTTGGGGGGGGGGGGGGGGGGGGGGGGGGAAGCATCATCTTCACAGAGCCCACCATCCCTTCTCAATGATAGTCTTAGACAAATCCCGGAGAGGCGAAAAAAGCCCATCAATCTTCTCAACGTTATCTTCAGGAAGCGGTCCCGCCTCACGAGCATCGAGATAAGTCTTTAACTGCTCAAAGTGGCTCGGGCCAATAACAACCTCATCAGGACTCTTCAACTGAGAATGGAACAGCAACCAGCGCAAAGCAAACTGAGCCCCAGACGTTCTATGCTCCTTAGCCATAGCATCCAGCTCACGCATAGCATCATGGTATGCAGGCTGATCATACCACATACGGTAAAGCGCGCCAACCATGTTGCCCTCGCCAACCTCGAACCGGGTCCCTTCAAGACTCTGCAAGGTCGGGTGGTAAGATAGCTTGCCGGTCAGGAAGCCACCAGCCAAGGGCGAGGTAGCTTCGAATTTAATGCCGAATTCGCGGAGGACAGGGAAGAGTGCGTCTTCGTAGCCGCGGCAGAGTGCGTTATATTGGCCCTGGTAGACGGTTGGCATGATGAAGCCTTCTTCGATTGCAACTTCCATCCATGTGCGAACCATTGCTGGGGTGTAGTTTGACAGGCCAAGATTCTCAAAAAGACCCATCTTGTGGTAGTGGTCGAAATAGGCGGCTTGCTCGGCGATGGGAATTGTGCGGTCTGGAGCGTGGGCGTAGAGGTTGTGGATCTATGGTTGAGGTTAGAAATGTTCCTTATAGTCAAGTTTTAATTTGAGTGGCTATACCTTCTTGATCTGGAGTCTGTCAAGACTATCGTTGATCGATTTGCCCATGTTCTTTATGGAGAGGGAGCCATCTCCGAGGAACAGAATCTTGGTGTCGATTATGGCGTCCTCGGGCTTGTACTCGCCGAGTAACTCCTCAGAGACACCTGGATTGGTAGCTGGGTAGAGGGCAGCAGTGTCGAAGCGACGAATATCGGCATCTTTGAGGGCCGACATGAGCTGATCGATATTACCACTGAACCAGGTGGTACCAAAGCTCTGGGCACCAAAGACGTATCCAGGGTCATCCATGTTGAGAGATGGATGAAAGGGGGAGGTTTGAAGACCGGAAGATGAGAAAAAAGGTGTGTGTTTGGGAGGCTGCCTCTCGTTGCACAAAGCCGCAAGAACCCTCCCACTTGTGCAGAACTCTGAGGTACACTTTGCACTACACTTTAGGAATCAAAATAAGAGTGATATGTGGCTTCATTCTTTGCCTATGCTCAACGTAGGATATGGCTAGCTAATTCCTCGATCTTCTTGAAATGACCAATTGTCCAACCTGGAAATCGAACGTTGTCCACATGGCGCATGCTACATGATGAAGAGTTTGCCTGGTCATTAATCTAAGATCTTTTGAGCAAACTTCTCAATCTTCTCGACAAGACCGGTCGTCCAACTGAGATGCGGCGAGTGTCCACACGGCGCATAGTACATGGTGAATGGCTTCTCCTGGTTTGCAGCCATGCCTTCCTGATACTTCTTCGGTAAAGTGCAGTCCTTTTCTAGTACCAGGTACGCACAGGGCACAGTCATGTAGGGGTTATGAGTCAGAGGACTGTTCATGATGGGGGCTGCAGTCAAGGTAGCCGCCCACTTCTTAGCGATCGCCTCGTCGAGATCATTGAAGAGGAATTTCTCAGGGTCAACCATTGTGCCCAGACCATCCACACCGTGTTTCTACTGATTATCAGTATATTCTCCCCAGGAATCAAAGATAGGTGTCTCACGTGGAATCGCATGAATGGCGGTGCAATGAAATTGCCATCAGCGGGTTGAAAGAAGCTGTGAACCGATTGACCCTCGGGGATGATGAATGCTCCAATGAAGAAGATCCCGATGATACCGCCAGTCTTGCCCTCCTTGACTCGAACAGAAGCCTGTCGGGCAGATGTTGCAGCCTCGGCGGCCACCCAACCACCGGAAGAATGTCCGGCGAGCAGAACCGATTTTCCATCAGTGATCAAGTTGTCCACCAGGCATCCAACTTCAGCGGCATCATCTGCGGGGAGGGGGTATCCCCCTGGTGGAGCCTTGCGATCGAAATCGGGATTGTTGACGTTCCCGACATTCAGTTGACTGAGCTCACAGGTAGGTCGCTGGGGACAATACGTTTCGATGCCGCGCTCAGTCAAAGCATCCACCAGGGGCTGGTATGGAGCAGGGGTATGACAAGAGCCATGGCTAAGCACCACGACGAAGGGATGAGAGGTCATGATGGCTGGAAAGAGGAAGTAGAGAGGGGGAACATAGACCCCCGCATATAAGGCTGATTTTCTCTTTCAATACCACGCTGACTCTGCTAATTTCTGGGATATTCTTGATTCGCTCTTAGATTTTATATCTTTAACTACTCAGCACTCCATTCCGAAGTATCACAAATCTGACATGCATCCCACATCAGCATGGCGTTTCAACTCAGTTCCTGATCGACATGTGGAGATCTCCCGAGAGACAATCAAACGGCTTCGCCCAGTTTGGGAGTCGGCGGATTAAGACTATGTACGTCCAAGTCGCGCGTCACCAGGATGCCCCCGTCACCTCCGTTGTGTCCAGGCCCAGCAACTGCATGTGCCGTCGGCGCAGTATCGCCCATCTCGTTCCACGTCTTGTTCCTTTCCTCCTCCCCATGGCTACAATCAAGTGTGGAGAGAAGAGAATCAAGCTTGGCAAGGTCGCGTCTTGGTCGGGTACGAGCAGATCCAATGGTAGGCAAGTCGTGCGGTCGGGCTGAAGGCACATGGCGCCCACGGAACATCAAAGGGCCTAGAGTTGGCACACAAGCCACCAGTATTCCTGCAGTCATCTCAGCAATCACAAAGATCGAACTGTCCCTCGCGCAGTAGATGATGTCGTCGGTTGGACAGAGCTTGGTCTGGATAATGCGGCCCAGATTGATACCAGCCGTTCTGCTAGTGTCAGCCTCCTGGAGATGAACTGGCAATGCATGACTTACAGGACTCCCAGTGCGAACGACGCAGTCACACCAGTCTTCTTGCGACTCGACATATGAAGCCGCCATACTATTGGCAGAGGCAACAGCACGACTCCCAGATCAATCCCCATGTTAAATCCTGCAGATGCGTACTCCGTCTTGATCACATCACCGCAAACACCGGGAATGGTGCGATCCCAGTTGTATGCGACCGGCCGACACAGCAGGGCAATTGTCAAAATTGAAGCCACCCAGTATAGAAATACCAGGCCTCCCACCCCTGAGGCTGTCCAGAAGAAGACTGGATGGTTGGGGAATATTTCGATGTATAACATGAGAATGGCAAGTCGTAAAGAAGCTGTTGCTGTCGCCCACAACCATTCCGACGCCCAGAATGTCTGACCAGGTCAGCATCAAGCACTTGAAGAATACAGGAAGCACACCTTTAATGCACTGATCAATTGTTCTGGGTGGTGAGCAGCCATTATCGATGTGTGTCCGCCATAGCCACCGATAATCGCTCCTGAGACACGAAGTAAGACGACGATCATACAATGCAGCATGCTCATTCAACTCACCAGTTAATACGTCTACCACATATCCAGTCAAGGCAACCTGGCTTCTGTTAGACTTCTGAGAGTTACCGATCAGTTCTAACTGACCAGTGAGAAGAATACGAGATAATCATGGCCTTTGAACTGCCGCCGCCGCATCCGTGTAGATATCACCCTTAGAACCACAGCACCAGCAGCAATAAAGAGTAATATCAAACTCCAGGTAATCAACGCTGGAGCGCGTGGATTCAGACGTATCATAATTATAGGCCGAAAAAATTACCACAGGGCTATATCGAGGATGAAGCTGGCAAGTAAGAAAAACAAGGGGATTCGGTAGTAAAGCCTCCCTTCAAGTAGCCTGGGCCAAATTGGGTTACAACTTTCTCGATGGGTTATCTTCAAGTAGGGATTGCTGAGCGCTGCAGGTCTCGTACAACCTCGCAACCTTGCCATCTCTCTTCACTTGGAATCGCTCGTTTCAGCTTGTGACTCTGCAGTTGAGGACACACCTAGTCTGAAGAGCACCTGAGAAAAAGACCCATTCCCACCTCCCCCTCCATCTTCCCTGCTCGTCACAACGCAAGATGGCCCAGGGACGAGATACATACGCGGAGAATATGGGACGCAATTCCACCGAGGCGCAAAGGTAACAAAAGTCCATCAACCAATCCCCATCCCAAACACTAACACTAACATGAAACCAGACTCGACGAGCAATTCGACCTGATCACCGAGTAAGTCCCAGTGGCAATACAGCCCTAAAATACTAATCCAAGCCAATCCAAGCCAAGCTAACCGAAAAAAGAAATGTCGGCTATCTCCTGCACCCATCCGTCCAAGCCAAGCTCCCGCCCAATGCCCATGTCGCTGATGTGGGCACAGGAACTGCAGCCTTCCTATGCAGTCTCAGTCACTACTATCCCAATGCAGAACTACACGGCTACGATATCTCAACCTCCCTATTCCCACCCACATCCACCTTACCCCGGAACGTTACACTACGGCTCCTAGACGCCCGCCAGCCCGTCCCATCAACACTATGGAACAAATACGATCTCGTTCATGTGCGGCTCCTCTCAGCAGGCCTGGAGCCAGCCGAATGGTCATCCATAATTCAAAACCTGACGCGAATGTTGAAACCCGGTAGTGCGATGCAGTGGGAGGAATGTGATTTCACGGCTGTGCGGCATCTGCCCGGCTCGCCTACTGCCACTATTGACACTGCCTCTTGCATGGGTCAGCGCTTTCTTGCAGGGATGATGCATCATTTTCAGAATGGGTGGAATACTCTTGCTGCTGAGATGCGGGGTGCTGGGTTGCGTGAGGTTCACACGGAGGTTGTTGCTGCTGATCGGGTTTATGCTACCCGTGCTCGTCTTACTGCTAATGGGATTGTTGCTATTTTTGCTTGGGCGAGGCTTGCTTCTGCTAGGGGTGATGATGATTCTTTGTCTATGCAACAATTGGAACAGCTTGAAAGGATGGCTTATGCGGATATTAAATCGGGGTGCTATGTTACTTTTGATATCCATGTTGTTTGGGGGTTCCGTCCAGTCTTTTCTCGAAATCTTTTCTTTGATTCCCTGATACTAGTTGTGAGGTGAACATATATCCACTTCATTCAATTTCCACCAATAACCCCACAAGTATGAAATAAAATACCCAACTCTCACCTTCTCTCAAAAACAACCCAACAAGCCCCTGGTTGCGCAGTAAGCTGATCCCTCATATTCCTCTCAACAGCCTCCCAGCCCCTTCTCCGGGCGCAAATTTCACCCGATACCTCGATACCAAAGAAGCAGAGACAAGACGGATCTGTGCGAGTGCCAAATGACGCCCAACACAGCTCGTACGCCCTAGTCAGTAGAAGTCGTGAGAATCTGACATAATCAATTTCTACATGCAAGTCGGCCACAAATATGGAGACACAGCTCTTCTATTTGTAGAGTCATCAAGAATTTTGGTGGTAACTTACCAACACCAAAAGGCGCAAATGCTCTTTTATCTTTTATCAGCTCAGGTTTACTGTACCACCGTTCTGGTATAAACGAGTGAGGGTTTATATACGCTGTTTTCACTGGGTTTTGTCAGCTTGTGCTTTTGTACAATGGGATGGAAATGGGATGGGATGTGTACGTCGACCAATTGTATACCGAGGTGCGCAAATCTTCGTGTTTGCTGGTATGAACATCCCATCAATCATCAAGCCTTCTGGTGGTGTTACTCTCGAACTAAATGTTAGCACGGCTGGCAGGAGACGCATTGCTTCGTTTATTGTTCCGTTTAGATGGGGGAGGGTCGATAGAAGGGCTATTTCTTCTATGTTGATTTCTTGTAGTTCTTTGTGGATTTTCTGGGCGTGGTTAGGGTATCGGGCGAGAAAGTAGAATAGGTGTGTTAGGCTGGGGGCTGTTGTGTCACTTGATCTTGAATCAGAAGAGTCTTTCTTTAAGGGATGGAGGGGTACACACCTGCCAGCTACAACGAGTGTAGCAGTGTCACCACTTAGCCATCGTGCCCAGGTCGGGTCTGATTCATGCTTTTCATGGTCTTCAATAAACCAAGATGCAATATCCCGATCAGAGAGGACTTCCTATATCCCGTTAATACTAAACTGAGCAGTTAACTGGCCAATCTCACCTTCATCCGCCTTGCCATACACTCATCACATAATTCAAGCATGTGAAACCAATGCCTGACCTTCCAAACCCCAGGTATAAAAGCAAACGCAAGCCTCGGAATCCAAATAGCCGGACTGAAGGGTCCCAGTAATGTAAGAGCTGATCGTAGCATCGCAATAGACGTATGCCACTGCTTAGTCCGCATCATACCGAAGTCCTCACTGAAGGCAAAGTCGCCCATTGAGTCGAATGCGAAGAAGTACATCAGGTCGTTTACTAGGACTGGCTTTGAGTCCTCTGCAGAGATGAAATTCTCTAGTGTGTGGACTTTCTCAATGACTCGGCGGTGGTATTGTTGTAGGGCTAGCGTGTACACTTAGTCTCTTGTGTGTTAGGGGAGATTTGTGATTCTCACACTTGGTGCTCAAAGGCTGCTCCCACATCTTCCGCCGTTCATTATGCAGGTTCTTGTCGCGGGTAAAGATCGATGACATTCGCGGGTGCAGAAGATCATACCAGTCGGATCGGGTGTTGCGATTTTGGACACCATCCATTGCCTCGTAGGCTTCAGAGTGGAAGATGGTTATTTCGCCGGGACCTGTTCGAACGAACTCTCCATACTGTTCATACCACGACTGAAGGACAAGATGGCCACGCGAGTCGCGGCATTTCCAGACGTGCCAGAGTTTGGTCAATGCTGCCAGTTTTGGTCCGGGAAACTGTTTCAATCGGTGAAAGAATATTCTGTAGACTCCTATACTGCTTGGCAGGGACAGATAGTAGCAAATTACTGAGTATGTGACTCGATTGACGTTGTTCTTGCGACTGTCAGGACAAAGGAATAGACTTGCGGAGTATAGGCTAGTTGCGATGGCGATATGAAGGACGACTACTCTTGGTCCTTTCAGATGCCACTCGCCATGTATGAAGATGAGCTGGTGAGCCAATATTCCCGCCGCAACAGCTACTGCCTCCGGTGGTAACATTGTCTCAGTCGACGGGACTTCGACGAGGTCATCAAAATCACTCGCCGTAGTTTGTGAGATAAGCTAACAGAGGCTGTGACTTCTATATGACAGACCAGTGTTGGCCAAGAAGAATCCGTCATAATCAGCTGTCGGGGGATATGTCACGAATTCACCCGTTTCGGCCACAATGTCAATGCGTCAGGTATCTCCCCATACTTTGGTCAGCCTCCCAAGAACTCGGAAACTTTACATATGAGTGGATTCGATTCGCCGCTCTTTATTGTTATAATGATCAAACTCGCCATCTTGAAGTCAACCCAAGCTTTCAAACTTCTCTGGCTGAGACAACACCGGATACCAGTGAAAAGCTTCTTCTCCTCTCCCATCTTCGGTTTTTCAGTGAACAGATTTCGAACATGAACAACTACTGGAAAGCCTTGAGGGGCTGAAATCCACCAGATACCATCTCTACACATTCTGGCTATTCATCTTCAGCGATTTGAAAACCATTGTCATACCAAGTACCACATTCGGGATAACAAATGGTTGGGCCGCACCAAAATTCGGCCTGCACGCATCCAGCCAACTTGTACACCCTCGGAATACCATCGATCATCTCTACTTGATTGGCAGAGGTGTGACCGTCCTATCATGGGTCCTAATAAATTTCATCCCATTCGCCATAAACAACCAGCGCGGCGAACGAGCAATAGCCGAAGATCTCCTCAACAAACCCTGGCGACCCTTTCCAAATCATCGCATATCCCACAAGCATGCAACACAGACTATGCTAGCGTTATACATGTTCGCACCCTTGTATAGCATTACCTTTAGTGGGGGAACGCGACACTGCTATATTGATAATCCTGGGATTGTGGTACAACAACTGGGGTGGCGCAGACAATGTCCCTATTGTACGAAACATCATCAACGCCTTGGGATACACGTGTTTTGTATCTGGGGCGATGGAAGTATTCCTAGGCGGCTCTGCCCTTCCACTAGATCCCGGGGAATTGCTGGGACAATGGCAACTGGTCATCAGTGCTGTCATTTTCTCCACTGTTCATTTGCAGGATATGTCTGACCAGCCTGGTGATGCCCAGCGAGGTCGTCGTACAGCCCCTCTTGCGTGGGGTGATGGGTTTGCGAGGCGGACTATTGCTTTGCCGATGGTAGTATGGGGGGCGGTTTGTCCTATGTTTTGGAATGTTTCTTCTCTTTGGCTTTGCCTAAGCGTTGGTTTAGCATGTACTGTAGCGGTGCGAATTTTGGCTGTGCGTAATCTCCTTGGTGATCACCAAACATTTCGACTATGGAATTGGTGGATTGCAGTCGTATATATCCTACCGCTGTCCTCGCAGGCAGGCTAGACAGGAGGGATTTTGTGATGGACAAAACCTTCGAAATCTACTATTCTTATCTGATAAGCCCAGTTCACATTTTCAAATAGCAGGCAGAATAGAGATGACAAAGGATGTTGGAGATTCTTGCTAGTTGCATGGCTATCGCGCCAACTGAACTATATTTCCTGTTCAGTCTACAACCCAGGGCAGATATACTGCCATTATCACAAGAAGTAGAAGAACGGTGCTTTTTGACAGTAGGAACTGGAATTCACCTCTTATCCTCTATTTTTGGTAAACCTCATGGTCCAAGGACCACACGGCCGTTCGGCCGTTCAGGGTTTTGTCAAAGCCGAGCCTAGCTCGATTTCCTTCCGTGCCCAGCGTAGATTTCGAGATCTATAAAACAGGTGACGAAATAAATGATACTCCGAAGCAAGTCACAAGTTTATCCGAGTCTATCGGTCACAACACGTATGACTTCACGTAATCCACGAAATGGAATCGATGCGGAGACAAGAAGTTTACCAAGGGGCAAGAAGGGGTCCAAAGTGCCTGTGGAGACTGCTGGTCAAAGTCGGATGGGATCGTCCATCGGAATGCCCGGCTACACTCCAAAACAGTATACACTGGGGTATTGCTGTATGTAAAAGAATATGTTGGGTGATAACAAGATGTTCATGTGGAGTGTGTGAGTCATGGCCGCCCTGCTCTGGTGGGTCCAACACGTACACCTGTCAGTGCTGCATTCATGAATACGGATTGAGAACCGGAATTATAGTAACTCCGAATGAGCGGATTACTAAGGATGAGCATAGCATAACGTGATTCCCAAGCGAGCGGGCATCCCAAGCGAGCGGGCACCCCACCTTAAATTTCCATCCCCCGAGCAACCCACTGTTTTCAATCACGCATCATGCCCCCAAAACGAACTCAAAAAGCTCAAAAATTGCTTGAGCAAGAGGGCAAGATCCTACTGGCTATAAAATCTATTCAAAATGGTCAAATTACCACGATTGCTGCAGCAGCACGCTCTTTTGAGGTGCCCCGCTCTACTCTCCAAGCCCGGATCAATGGGAGAACCAATCGGTCTGATACACGGGCTAATGGCTATAAACTCACTAAAATTGAAGAAGAATCAATTAAGAGCTGGCTAATAAGCATGGATCAACGAGGTGCTGCTCTTACGATCAGTATGCTAGCAGATATGGCCAATTTATTGCTAAAAGAGCGCGGAGAGACCCCGGTTCAGAGAGTGGGCAAAAATTGGCCAACAAACTATCTAAATCGGCACTCCGAGCTTACTAGTCGATTCTCTCGCAAATATGACTATAAACGTGCTCTGATGGAGGACCCAAAGGTCATCACGGAGTGGTTTAACCTCTTTCAAAACACTATCATCAAGTATGGAATATTATCAGATGATATCTATAACTTTGATGAGTCAGGGTTTGCGATGGGAATCAGTGCGACGACTAAGATCATTACTCAGTCAGTGTATACTGGTCGGAGAGGTGTTTTACAACCTGGAAATCGTGAATGGGTGACTGTGGTTGAATCAATTGGCGCCTCTGGACACGCGCTTCCACCATACATAATCTTCAAGGGAAAAAACTTCATGTTACGATGGTTTGATGACCTTCCAAAACACTGGGCTATCAATCATAGTCCAAACGGATGGACGAGTGATGAAATAGGTGTTGATTGGCTCCAAAAACACTTCATTCCGCATACAACAAATCAAACCAAAGGAAAATATCGTCTTTTGGTCCTTGATGGGCATAACAGTCATCTCACACCTCAATTTGATCAAATTTGCGCTCAAAACAACATCGTACCTATCTGTATGCCTGCGCATACTTCCCATCTTTTGCAGCCTCTTGATGTTGGTTGTTTTGCTGTTTTGAAGCGATCTTATGGGAGTCGGGTTGCAGGATATACCCGATTAGGCATCAATTCTATTGAAAAAGATGACTTCATTGATATCTTCCCTAAAGCCCGTGGCGATGCATTTAAAAAGACTATTATTCATAGCGCTTTCGCTGCTACTGGTCTTGTGCCATTTGACCCTGATCGGGTGTTGTCTCATCTCAATATTCAGCTTGCATCACCTACGCTCCCGGATCGTCCATTGTCACAGGGGTCAACCTCAGATAGCAATATCTCAACTGGTATCCCTCAGAACTCCAACCAACTAGCAAAACGCAAAGCTAGGATTGATTCGCAATTGAGTGGGGGGTCAAATAAGCTATCTAGCCCTACAAAACGTGAACTTGCGCAATATCACAAAATGACAGTGAAGATGCTGCATACGGTCGTTTTACAGGGTGATGAGATCAAGAGATTACGGGCAGCGAATGCAAAACAAATGAAAAAAAGGGCCAAATCCACAAAGCGGCTATCCTACCAGGGTAGCCTGACAAGTGATACGGTCGCTAAAGTGAGTGGTGGTAGTGGTGATCAGATATATATATCTAATGCACCACCTGGTCCATCACTCCCAGAGGAGCCCCTCTTGCCTGTTTTACCCCCTGTACGTCGTCAAATTACCTGTTCTGGATGTAATCAGAAAGGGCATTCTTTTAATAAATGCTTTAAAGCATAGTTAAGTTAAATATATTCTGTTATGGTTGTTTAAATGGTGTTTAAAAATTGAAATTATTGATGGGGTGCCCGCTCGCTTGGGATGCCCGCTCGCTTGGGAATCACGTTAAATAGCAAGAAATAGCAAGTAATAAATGACAGAGATTTCAATGCCCTCATTGGCTGAGCAAGTTACGGAAGACAGCAAGTTCCAACAGTTATGAGCCCGGTACGCCCATAATTGGACAGCAAGACTATTCTGAAGCTATTCACAGGTGACAATTCACTTGCCAGAGCTTTCTCGTCGCCGTCCGATTACCCCTGAACCCCTGAATCCTCCGAATACCCTCATCCATCCGAAAAGGTCCAAGGAACTCACTTGCTGCGATCAACAAGTGAACATAATGGACTCGAGCACCTATCTCTCCGCTATGAAGAGCGAAAAACTGAAGGACTCGTCACAATGGCAGTCGTGGCACCAGCGAGTGAAGGTATTCGCTCAACGCAGAGACATTTGGGATCTCTGCAACCCCGATGCGGACGAATTGCATCGTCCAGAGGCTCTCAGAGAGCCTATTGCAGCTGACTACCCTGATGATGGGTCTCAGGAAGACAAGCGAGACTGGAGAGACCGCCTCGAAGTCTATAAAATCAAGGCAAACCGCTGGGATAGACAGCGCAAAAGCCTAAATGAGATTGATGATCTTATCGTCAACTCTCTGGATGCATCACTCCGTGATGCAGTTTTGAAGTGCGAAACACCGTACGACCGTCTAGTATATCTCAGCAAGAGATTCGCTAGATCTGAAGCGTATACTGAAGAAGTACGCATGCAATGGAGAGCTTTGTCAACCCAAAAGCCGACCGGAGATGTCGAAAAATGGCTGATCTCATGGGTGGAGCTATATGAGCGAGCAGTCAGTCTCAAAATCATTGAAACTGCCAACGCAAATAAGGACTTACTGCAAGCCGTGAAAGAGGTCTTACCAATCTGGTGGCAAGCCAAATTCCAAGAGATCGTGATGGAGAAAGCATCGATAGAGACTCAAAGTCTGATCGAGTCCTTCCGATCGACATATCGTGAAATTGGACCTAATATAGCGTTGCCACCGGCGGCAGCACTGAAGGGGTCTTTTTCCACCTGGCAAGGATATCAGGAAGCGAAAACTGATGCGCCAAGTGATGCGAAAAAGGACTCAAAAGGCAAATTGGACGACACGCCTTTTGAGGCAAGACCATGCCCGTGTGGAATCAAATTCCACAAACCCGCCAATTGCTACACTCTGAATGCCGCGATGAGACCCGACGGTTTCACGGTATCAAAAGAGAGGCAGAGACAGGCCGAGAAAACGCTTGCTGCAGATCCAGCGTGGAAGAAATGGGTCAATGAAGCTATTGAGAAAGCATCGCCAAAGCTGTCAAATGCAGTCACTGGAAACATGGCCTTCTCCACTAGCTTACTAGACCTACCGGCGTCATCCATCAAGGACCGGTGGATCTTGGACTCCGGTTCCAGCGTACATGTCTGTAATAATAGAAGTCGCTTTGTGGACCTTTCCACTTGCCAGCACTCTCTATCGACCGGTGACGGCAAGACATCTGTTATCGGGCAAGGGACAGCAAGGCTTCATGGCATCGATCCAATCACAAGAAAGGAGAAGGTGATTACCTTAAGCAACGTCTATTACGCACCAGGTTTCCATGTAAACCTAGTGTCGTACGCTCGCTTGAAGGAGAAAGGCGGACATTGGTCTGAGGAAGCAGGCTATATCGAAGATCACAATGCCATCCCAATTGTCAGCCTGAAATTGTGGAAGTCAGCCGGCTTATGGGTCTTCGATCAACCCGGGAGAGCACCGTTACGGACAGCAAATGCCGTCCGATCATCATCATCGCCAAAACAGTCAGCCGCATCAGCTGAAGTATGGCATCGTCGACTAGGCCATCCGCAGTACAAGACTGTACAGCAAGTGGCAAAGCTAGTCGAGGGCGTCACAATTGACGCTAGGACAGAGGATCACGCAATTTGTGAGACTTGCCACCTAGGAAGATCAGATCGCCAAGTATCAAGAAGACCAATTGGAAGGGTTTTCGGGCCACTTGGTAGGGTTCATTTTGATCTGATACAGCTTCCACGTGCTTACAATAAGCATAACTGGATCTCCCACTTCTATATTGAAGGAATAAGGTTCCACTGGGTCATGACGCATGAGTACAAGCCCGAATGTCAGCTTGCAATCAATCATTTCGTCCAATTGGCCAAGAACTGGTGGAAACTTCCGATCAAAGCTTTCAATTATGATAATGAGAAAGCTGCAGGACGTCCAGCTGAGCAGAGCTTGACATCCGATGGAATTGTGGTCTATCATAGTCCACCAAGGCACCCCGAGATGAATGGGTATGCCGAAAGAGCAGGAGGTGTCATCATTCTTCGCATGAGAATGCTGATACTCGAAGGCAAGCTCCCAAAGGAGCTATGGCCTGAAGCAGCAATGGCAGCAGTCTGGCTGCTGAATCGGACCCCAACGTATCTGGCTGATCAGAAACGTTGGATAGTCCCATGGGGTGAAGTCATGAAGAGCTTCGCCGGCGAGCAAGCGCCACCAATCAACTTGGCCAACGTCAGGTTATACGGCAGTCTCGCTTATTGCCGTATCGAGAAGCAGGTTCAGTCAGACAAGATGAATCCTCGTGCTGAGATTGGCTTCTTGGTAGGCTATATAGCATCAAACGTTTGGAAAATATGGTTTCCGCAAGCCAACAAAATACGGCTCGTTCGGGATGCTATCTTCGATGAATCACGTCGATATACAGCGGACTTTCAGCACTTCCAGCAAGTGCCATTGCCAATACTGAAAGAACCGCAAGAACTGGACCAAACAGAGGCGACGAGAGCCTTCGAAGCATCGATCTCGACTAGATCAATGCCTGAATCAGAGCTAGAAGCAAGACCATTCAATGACGATGATCAAGATGTCAACATTAATGGCAATGCTAATAGCAATGCTAATGTCCGAAGCAATGAAGCTCAACATGAGACTCTAGACATTGGACAAAGAGACCGTTTTTCGGCCGAAAAACCGTCTCATAAAGAAGCAGCAATTCCTCTATTGGACAGCGACGGTTCTTCTGCAAAAGACACCGTTCAGCCAATCAGGAATCAGGAAAAGCCTGACCAGACATTCAGAGGTCAGGGGGTGTACAATACACCCGAAAGGGAAAGACGGGATGAAATAGACATCATCCCAGGCGCATTTCCCCAGGAAGTCCCGCTTCCACCTACTCCGCCAAGCGAGTATCCTGAGTCTCGTCAGGGGGTGGAAACGCTAGATGAAACGCGTGGCACGCAAGATCTAGCAAGGGACCAGGCTCATGATACGCAAGAAGTCGTACAGGAAGCTATAGAGGATCAGCAAGTGGACTCGGATGAAGAAGCCGAAATGCAATTGCTTGCTGGGCTCGCACCAAGGGATATCAATGGAGATGTCGATGAAACAAACATCATATCTGGTTCTCGAAGACGTCAGCCTAAGCGAGATGATGCTTATTCGTACGTCGCGATGGAACCGCCAGCGTATCTGCATGCATTTGCTGCTGGTCTGTACGCCGAGAAGCCAACTCGACGTCATAGAGATGATCTCCCTGAGCTTCCTAGGAACTGGAAGGATGTCATGAATCATCCCTTCCAGGAAGGCTTTCTCGCCGCTATGAGAAAAGAGATCGAATCGCTTACTAGAAAAGCGACATTCGATATCATCGATCGTCCGAAGGATCGAGGGAAGCAAATACTTCCACTTCTCTGGGTTTTCGCGTACAAATTTGATCAGGATGGATACCTTATCAAACTGAAAGCCAGAATTTGCGTCCGAGGTGATCTTGAGACCATATCATCAGATGAAAAGCGGGCTGCTACACTAGCAGCAAGAACAGCAAGGATGATATTCGCACTTGTTGCGGCGTTTGATCTTGATCTTCGACAGCGAGATGCTGTCACTGCTTTCTTGAATAGCAGGCTCGACAAGGACGTCTATACCAGAATGCCGGAAGGGTTTGGAACCCCTGGCAAGTGCTGGAAGCTCCGAAAGGCGCTTTATGGGTTGAGGATATCTCCTCGATTATGGCAGCAAGAAGCAGCCGGAGTTCTCACCAAATTAGGACTCCGTCAAGTGCCAGAAGACCCATGCGTATTTATCGGAAATGGGATCATCGTCTTTTTCTATGTCGATGATATATTGATAGCAAGTCATCAAAACGTCAGGAAGCTTGCTGATCAACTGGAAAGAGATCTCGAAGCTCATTGGGAGCTTACAGATCATGGAGACGCGGAATGGTTTCTGAATATCCGCATTATCAGAGACCGGCGTCTAAAGAAGCTGTGGCTATGCCAAGACAGCTATATATCAAGTATCGCGGCCCGGTATCACCTAACGGATAGGCCACCGGTTTCGACACCGCTGTCGCTTGATGAATTAGAGCCGTATCACGGCAAGGCAGATGCTCAATCAGTGCATCTATACCAGCAAAAGGTTGGCTCGGCCGGGTATGCCACCACGATAACCCGACCGGATGCCGCAAAAGCGAATGCGAAGCTTGCTCAATTCTTGACGAATCCTGGACCTCAACACCAAAAGGCGGCTGATAGACTGATCAGCTACCTCTATTCAACGCGGTACCACGCAATCGAGTATGGGTCTCAACAGGAAGACATCGAATCCGTCCAATTGGCAAGTGACGCGTCGTATGGAGATCATGCAGACCGGAAGAGCTCTGCAGGATATATCTGCCAGGTTTATGGAGGACCTGTGGACTGGAAGGCCACCAAACAACGGACGGTGACTACATCAACAACGGAAGCAGAGCTTCTTGGGCTCTCAGAAGCTGGCAAGCACCTTCAATGGTGGAGACGACTATTGCGGCATGTTGGTTTCGATCCTTCTCACGTTATTAGCATTGAATGCGACAATGAGAGAGCGATCAACTTGCTCACGTCTCAGGATGCTAGCTTCGACACCAAGCTTCGTCATGTAGACATTCACCACCTATGGCTGAGACAGGAAGTGCAGAAAGGCCGGATTTCGATCCGATGGGTGCCTACTGCCAGAATGGTAGCCGACGGCCTCACAAAATTGCTGCCAAGACAGCAGCACGAGCGTTTTGTGAAAATGCTTCACTTGGTGGACATCAGCCACTTGGTGGATGCTGGAAAGACGCCAGGGAGAGGTTGACGGGCCAATTGGAGAGCTTGCTGATTCATGAAGCTATTCCCAGTGGCAGCAAGCCAGCGACACTGCGCTTGCTGAGGGGGTGTGTCAGTGCTGCATTCATGAATACGGATTGAGAACCGGAATTATAGTAACTCCGAATGAGCGGATTACTAAGGATGAGCATAGCATAAATAGCAAGAAATAGCAAGTAATAAATGACAGAGATTTCAATGCCCTCATTGGCTGAGCAAGTTACGGAAGACAGCAAGTTCCAACAACACCTCGCTGCCTTGAGCCCCGAGGATGCAAGTATGCATCCCTTAGTATACTGAATGCATCGATTGGAAGCCACACAGATCTTTCTCTTCTCCGTTTCGGAAGTAGCAAGTGAACTCGGAGTTCGACACGGCTTTTGGCTTTACGGTGGAGTCGACGGAAGGCTTAACACCGATAATCTCCGTCGCGGCATGACGTTTAGCAGGATCATATATATATTAAGTAGCTATTCGCGCTCTTGTTAGACTTGTCTATCTGTTAAACTCTTCATTATGGGATTCTTATATTCACAGTTTTTTGTTACTCCTCCATACCCCACACAGTCGTTTGAGGGCCAGACTGTGCTGGTCACCGGCGCAAATGTCGGCTTAGGGCTAGAAGCTGCACGTCATATCACGCGACTGGGCGCGTCTCAAGTCATCCTAGGTGTTCGCAATGTGGAAGCTGGCAAGGCTGCCAAGGAGGACATCGAGAAAACCACAGGTCGCACAGGCGTGGTTGAAGTCTCGGAGGTCGACCTATCCTCATATGCCTCCGTGATCGCATTTAGCGAACGTATCTCGAAGCTCCCCAGCCTCGACGTAGCCATCCTCAATGCCGCAATCGCAACAACGGAGTTCTCCACCGCCGAAGGCTACGAGCGATCTGTCACCGTCAACGTGATCAGCACTCTCCTCCTCAGCCTTCTCCTCCTCCCTAAACTAAAGGCGACTCGGAAACTGATCCCGACACGCACACCCCGCCTCACATTCGTCGTGAGTGAAGTCCACGGCTGGGCCAGCTTCCCAGAATGGAAAGAAGATGCACCGATGAAAGAAGTTAGTGACCAAACAAAGGCGAAAATGGGCGAACGATACCCATTATCGAAGTTGCTAGAGGTCCTGCTGGTGCAGGAACTGGCAGGTCGGGTTCGTGGATCAGAAGTCATCATCAACATGATCAACCCTGGTCTCTGTCACTCGCAGCTCGGACGGGATGCCGGGATGGCCTTTATGCTTATGAAAATAGTTCTGGCTCGACGCACTGAGGTTGGCTCGCGGACCCTTGTTGCCGGGGCTGCGGCTGGACTGGAAAGTCACGGCGCATATATGACTGATGGACATGTGGAGAATATGGCTCTTTCTCCATTTGTGCGGAGTGATGAGGGGCGTCAGGCGCGTGAGAAGTTGTGGGATGAATTGTCGGCGATTCTGGAGAGTGTTCGGCCAGGTATCATGCAGAATGTGTAGTCATTTGATATCATTAGACTTCTTGTCATTTTATATTCTTGGAGTTAATGAAATTAGATCTTATCTTATGAAAGACAACCAGTTTTGTGCGCGTGGTTGGTCAAGTCTTTGTTTGACATCTGCAGGTTGAACATTTACAGTCAGCAGTTTACACAAAATGCTCATTTGCCCATCAGTCAAGGTTGGAAACCCCCCAACTAATCCACATTTCATTCTAAGCTGGCTCTGTTTTCCTGGCAGTCGTTTTCAGTCGTCAGACAAGCCACATTACCAAATTCCTTGACACGGTCACTTAGTGATGCAGTCAGCTCGGCTCTGCCATAATATTACGTCCCCAGTTTATATCGCCTGGATCGAGTGCCACGCACAAAGTCAAAGAAGACGGATCGACGTAAGCTCCACATGGTAGGGCAGGCTTATTACATGGAAAATCGAAGAGAACTGAAAGATATCACTGTATGGCCGCATTGGGAAGAGGGTATAGATCGACATGTTGGGGATATGGGTTGATTGCTAAATCTATTTGCATTTTCATACTGAGACACGGGCTAAGATTGAAGTGGTTTGTAGGTATTGCTTTTGTGGGGTTGAATCACTTTTAAATGGTCTTAATTGTTGTTTGTTTCCTGGTCGATCGTCATTCCCATGTGTCGGGTTTATCACTGTGAGCCGTTATGGAGTTGAACATCTGATAACCTGGAGAAAATGTTGAACTAAAACGGGGTTGTTGGCCGATAGCCCCTGTTTCATGAGCTTCGGGGCATCTTCGGACATTTTATACTTCTACTTCGAAGGAACGGAGGCGAAGTGCGTTTGCCTTCTATTTTGGCGATTATAACGGCGATCAATAACCTCAATACAGACTTCCAATATTCTTTTGATCGACGAGTCCGGTGCGTCAAATACAGTCGGGCATTGGAATCGTCCGGTTACAGCCGTTGAAACGCCAACGGTGGGTCTAATCAGGAACTGGAAGGCAACCTGGCGATCATTGTGCGGGCTGTAGGGACTTTTACAACCCGGGGCTTACGTCTAAAGGCATTGATCTTCATACAAGCCTCTAGTCTACTCAAGTCCAAACGGCCAAGCCCACTCATCCCGACTCCCTGTCCACTTTCGAACTTTGTAACCGTGTAGCAGGCAGTGCTCAAATATAAAGCAGCATTCAAAGACTCATCATGTCTTCATCAGGGCAATTCTTTCTCTTCCTTCCCTCGTTCATTCATTCAGATTACTTCATTCTTTAACGCACTGCTGGATCGGTCGTTCTTTTCCTTTTATCTTCATCTGGACAAATTCGGCATACAATGTCACTCATCAAATCCCTCGTGGCAGCGGTCGCCCTCTTGGGCGCCCACACTCATGCCACCGGCGTATCAGGCACCGCCATTGGTTTCGCATCAGGCACAACAGGCGGTGGCAGTGCCATCGCCGCTGCGCCTAGCGACACCACCGAGTTGACCAAGTGGTTGACCGACAGCACCCCAAGAACCATTCTCATCGACAAGGAATTTAACTACCTCGGCACGCAGGGCAAGTGCACCGACTGCAAGTGCTGTATCCCTGAGTCCAATACCTGCGGCAGTGCCGGCCAGAACGCCATTGATAACTCCGACTGGTGTGGCAGCTACCCTACTACCACTTGTACTTATGACAAGGCCGCCATTGAGGGTATCAATGTTGCATCGAACAAGTCTATTGTTGGTGTTGGTAGCAAGGGTGTCATTCGCGGTAAGGGTCTTCGTTTGACTGGCGTCAGCAATGTTATCATTCAGAACATCCATATCACTGAGTTGAACCCTCAGTTTATCTGGGGTGGTGATGCTATTACTCTTGACGGTACCAACAACATCTGGATTGATCATGTCAAGGTCAACCTTGTTGGCCGTCAGATGTTTGTTTCCGGTTACAAGGCTAGTAAGTATTTCTTCATGCTCGCTCTATAGATCCATGCTTACCAAGCCTAGGTGGCGCCGTCACCATCTCCAACTGTGAGTTCGATGGCCAGACCAGCTGGTCTTCTTCTTGCGATGGCCACCACTACTGGACAGTGTAAGCAATCCAATTTGAAACCACGAATCAACACAAACTAACAATCACAGCCTGGGCTACGGTAAGGATGACCAAGTAACCTTCACCGGAAACTACATTCACCACACCTCGGGCCGCTCCCCCAAGCTCGAATTCAACAGCTTCTGGCATGCCTACAACAACTACTGGTTCAACAACACCGGCCACGCCTTCGACGTCGGCGAAAACACCAACGCCCTGATCGAAGGCAATGTCTTCCACCAAGTCGAGACCCCTTTCCTGGATGATAGCAATCCCGGCGCAACCTTCGCAGTGACCTCCAGCTCGGCGACAACCTGCAAGTCCAAGCTCGGCCGCACCTGCTCCCCCAACTCGCTCGTCAACTCAGGCGCCCTTTCCGCCAGCGACGAGTCCGTCCTGAGCGCCATGCCCAAGAACGAAACCAACGTCAACGTCCTGGCTGCCAGCCGCGTCCGCTCATCTGTTTTGAATAATGCTGGTGTTGGTAAGCTCAGCTCATCAAACGCTAAGCGTCAGTTACAGGACTTCCCTGCTCGTGCGCTTTCTTCTGCTGGCCCTGGTGCTTCCCCTGTTGGTCCTAGGCCTACTTGGAGCTGGAGGACCGTTGGTGTTAAGCCTACTCCTTCTGGCTTGCCCACTGGCCTCCCTACCGGACTCCCAACTGGTTGGCCTACTGCCTTCCCCGAGCCTACTGGTCCTCCTTTTGGTGGTGAACGCGGCGCTGGCTTCCCCTTTGGGTGGTTCTAAATGTATATACCACTGAAAACTGTTGAGTGAGTGGCTTAATCTTGAGCCTTAATTGGGCTTCTACAGTTTGCTAGCCAAATTTGTCTCCAGTATTTGGCAATCAATTCCATCTTGGCTCAGTGACTACTTGAAGAGAACGTTTTACAAATAGAGAGGTCACCCTAGCGGAGCTACTATGAGGGATTTGAGTAGCGATTATAATTTGAACTCGTAACTTCAATGTCCTTAGAAGAGCATGATAAGGCCTCTGCATTCGCACATAGAGTATAAGAAAACCTAGATTCTTGGGGAATCCTACACCAAGGAATGTCCATCCTCATCCGCGGCGCTATCTCGCCTTCGACTGAGCCCCGAGATTCCAGTAAGAGCCTGACCAACGCGTCTCGGCTTAGGAATTTTGCCGAGGCGCTTGTCTACGCCCTGCATTTCTCTTGTAGCATGTGTATGATGGTTGTATCTTTGTGGAGCTCTGTGGGTCATGGCCCAGTCCTATAGATACAGGTCTAACCCTATTGCATGAGCAGTGCACATCAGGGTGACAGGACAATACCATCAGTATAGTGGATTCAAACAATTCCTCCTCCCATCTGTCGCATTCATCCTGCTATTACTTTATGTAAAATGAATCTGATGAAGGAAAGTGGTGTGTATTCTCTACTGTCCAGCTGTCTAGGTTCTAGCAATAAGAAGAAGACTGAATGCTTTCCAAGACATGCGAAGCCTCAGGTTTCTACATTCGTCACCGGATTCACCACAATATTTATTGAATCACTCCCATTGATATCGAAGGCCCTTTCTGCAACGACCGAGGGAGGTAGTACGCGGCATTGGTCCCTAGGAGTTCTAGCAATGAGCCGTTTCCATTTCCCTTCATAGGCAACAAGCAGGCAACAAGGAGGGCTGCGAGTTCCCAGCTCATGCTTGCAGGTAGATGCGAGTCTCTAAAGCTCCGGTTCTCGGACTGTGTTGTTTAATGCCCACTCGGCATTTCCGAAGTCCAACCTGGCAGTTTGCGGACTCCGTCTCTTGGCATGTATCCACATGCACGACAGCGTTGTTGGATTGGGCAGTCTTGAATCAGTCATCGTGAGACCAAAGTGCCTTGGAAAGGGGTATATTGTGTGCAAATATGATTTTCGTGTTTGGCCTACCGTCCTTCGACATTCATTCAACGACCATAACTCCAAGATAAAGAAGCAGGCTTGGAGGGGAAGAATGCGTTCTGCAAATCACCATAGTATATCTCATCCTCATATCCCGGAATGCCAGGCGATCCAATGGTGAATCCAGCATCTGGATCAACAGGTAACCAATTCGACGTGAAGCGCGTACTCCCATCTGGCATTTCGAGTGGTGTAAGTGCCTCCTCCTCATCCATTCTGTGTGTGGAGGTGGAGGTGGAGGTAGAAGTGGAGTATTCAGAGTATCGACGGGGCATATGACTCTGAGTTTGACTCTGCACACTTCCTTGATTCTGGGCATGTCCCTGGCCCTGTTCAAAAGTACCAATATACAATCCCTCCTCCCGATCCCGCTCCCCCTCCTCCCAAACCGAAGCATGAGATTGAGAGGAAACAGGCGAAAGGGGATCCATACTCGGGGACGTGGGCAACGGAAAAGCCGTATTCGGCGAAGGAGTCATGAAGAGGGCGCGTTCGGTTGCGAGGGCGTTGCGGAGTTGGATCGGGAGATTTTCGGGGTTTGGGATTGGCTGAGGTAGGATGCTATTTGGGCGTGCAGATGTTAGTTGCATGATTGGTGTGAGGTTCTTTTTCCTTGCTTTTCTGTTTCCCTCGTAATATGCCTCGGCTCTTTTGCTTTTTCTATTTTCTGTTTCTTGGCTTTGTTCTTGGCTGGAGGTGGTAAATACCTTTCATCCATAGTATTCTGTCGCACCAAACCAGCTTCATACCATAGTTGCGGGTATGGCTGGAACGTATCGGCCTTGGGCGTATTTTCATATTCACTCCAGTTGAATCCTTCAGACCAGACAGGATCTGACTCTTCTTGCAACCCAAAAGAAAAGTCGCCTGCAATGAATGGGTGCGGACTTAGATCCTGCACCGTAGTCTGCCGGTCGAGGAGATTATCCATGGGCCACGACATATCGAATTGTGTAGCTTCGGTCATTATATCGGGCTGTGTATTGTAATTTAGGTCGCCGTCAGGATTAGGAGCAGGAGCGGTTTAGATGCTCGCGCAATGCCAGTAGAAGAGTAGACGAAGACGTAAAGTAAAGCTTGTCAGGGATGAAGCTTAGAGTGTAAATAGTGCGCGTAGCAGCTTGTAGATATTCAAAGATACAAGCTCGAGGAACCCAAGCCAAAAAAAATAACATTCCCCGCAAAGCTGGGGCAATGACATATTTATTCCAAAGAAGAGAGAGAGGGATATATTAAAAAAAGGACTGAAGCGGAGAAAAAAAAGCTATGAACACAAAGCAAAGGAGACCATCTCGGCAAAATACAAAAGAGGCAAAAAAGCACCGCATGATCAATGGAAATGATTAGCCTGAAAAGTCAACAATTAACCGATCTGGTTTTCCCCGGATTTTTTACAGTTCGGTCTGTGCTGTCGGACCGAATCTCTCTGACGAGCCAATCGGTGCTTTTCTTTCTCCCCGTCTGGGGTTCGGTTAATTGTGGCCTCGCTTCATTATGGAATTTTGTTTTCCGGGGAAATGGGTGGGGAAATGAGGGAATCAGACCGTTTGTTTCACGTGGCGTGGTTAATATAGATGTATACCTTAGTTTGTGGCACGGGTTTATACGTCCTTGTCAGTTGTCGAAGCGTGATGTGATATGGTACTACGCGTCCTTGGACTTTGACCACTTTGGCCGGACTTTGACCCCTGCTAAAGAATGAACCGAAGGAAAATAGATTATATACTGTTACAATAGCAGGTATATACGCAATAGCCATGATACAGACATTATAAAGAAACACCATCCGGCCCGATCACCAAACGCCTTATGTAGAGCTATGTATAGAACCGAAAGGGGCGAAGAATGCGAATATCCGGAAAAGGGCGAGATAAGTTTTGAGAGTCAGGGGCGCCCGCGGGAGCAGTGCACATGTCACAGTAGCGGGAAGATCGACAGGAACCAAGACCTCGCAGCGGGGATTGCAAGTGCAGGGTTGCAACGGGTTACAGGGCCAATCCGGTGCCCTTGCGTGTCCAGCGATATAGGGCTAGGACTGCTTTGCGGCGGTGCCGAATCTCACTCGGGTTTACCGGGCGGCCTCGGGCCTGGGCCACTGCGCTGCGCATGACTTGCCGAAAACTGCGTTGGTATTCTGTATTTAGGGTTACCACGCAGGATTCTGTGGCTCGGATCATTGTTTCACAGGCATTGAGGATCCCCTCGCCTGCTTCCTTTTGAAGGCGTTCGACGATTAGTAGGAGGAGAAAGCTTCCTTGGAGGAGTTGGATGCCGAAGAAGTAGGGCATGAAGCTGATGTCGGGGTCAAAGCGCAGGATTTGTTGCACTGAGTCGGCGGCCTCTAGCGCGTGGGAAATGGTGGATGCAAAGGCTGGCGATGATGTCCAAAAGTCCTTGTCTTCGATGAGTGAGACAGGGTCCCACTTGCCGACAAGTAGGATGTGGAGAACGTGGACGAGGTAGGATGAGTAGGCGATCACGGTTTGAGTGTGCCAAGAATAAGCCTGAGACAATTGCGCGTCGACGGGCTGACCTGACCCACTTGGCAGTGAAGTTTCAGGGTCTGCCGCGGCAAAAGTGGTCAAACTGGCTTTGTAGATTTCCAGCTGGCGCAGCACCTCAGCGACATGGACATCCCATGCTTCTTTGCCTTGCAGTCGAACACCAAGTGTGGGGTGGTTTCGAGCTTGATTCAGGTCAATCAATTCACCAGTGATGGTCATGAGAGGGAGGAAAAATCCAAGAATAGAGTGGTCGTGGCAGACAAAGTTTGGGAAGACCCGCCGTTTGTTCTGATCGCCAGACCGGAGACATTGGGGGCCATCTGGGCGGGGGCTGTTCGTGTGTATGACTCCTGCTTGCCATGCATTTTCATCGAGTGGAAGCAGGAGGTCCTCACTTTCAGCATCGAGGAGGGCAAGGGGGCGGTTGTAGCACAAGGCGAGATGACGATCCATAATATACAGCAGCCACCATGTTCTGCGTCGCTCTTCGCGGTGTTCTTCCGTGATGGGACTGCTATGGGGATCTTGGCTTTGATCGCATACGCAATTCAAACTTGGTCGCGAAGGATTTGAGTAGTCAAAGCCCATGCCACCGGGTGAGCCAGGCCAGCCTCCCAATGGGTAACCAAAAGACGGACTTGAACCGTCACTTAGACAGTCCACATTGGATAGAACTTCCATCTCCTGGTTCAATTTAAGTTCTCGGGCTAATGTAAAGGCCGCATGCCACCTAGTCTCAAATTAGCAACATGCACAGGGATACAGGGGTTGGGGACCAGATACATACCATCTCATACTTGCGGCTTTTTGCTCGCTGGATGAAATAATAGAGGCAACATGAATATATGTAATCACATCATCTAGAGATCCAGCAGGGCCAACCAGTCCTTTGTCATCACCGACTCCTTCGAATGGGTGGTAGGCTGCGGCTGCTGAAAAGTCCTGAGCAGCATTGACATTCTCTGGCGGAGACCCTTCCTGATCCTTGAAAGCAACGTGGATCAAAGGTCGTAGCAATCGTATAATCAAAGCGCACAGGAATTGACAGATCTTCCGGCGTTGTAAAGGCGATATAGACAACGAGAAAGCCCGATCATCCACAGCAGCCACCCAGAGCATACTAGCCAACAAGGCAGGGCTACTAGGCCTGGGACGGTCCGTACTAAGGAAAGAAGCTTTCCTCAGCACAAAACAATGAATATGATGGCATACAGGGTGCATATGAGTCGAGAAAGCGCTAGTAAAATAAAGCTCGAGCAAATCGCAAACAAGTCGACGGGGCAGATTCCCCTCGAGGTAAGGCATAAGCGGCTCCAATACTGGATACTTCAACGGCGACCGTGAGGTCGAAGGCTGACTCTGAGAATGATTTCCACCTGACACAGAGGGTATAGGCGGCGGTCGCTGGCTCACACGATGACCAGCCAGATCAGCCGGATTCCAAATATCCTCAAGCCTCGGCAAAGAGGGCTCCGTGACACCAGCAGGGGCACCCCCTAGGATGTCATAAGACTCAGGAGAGAGGTGTGCTGCAGAGAGCCATTCCTCTGTAACATTCGCAGGTGGCGGGCGCTGCGGTCTGGCACCATCAACCACAGAACGACGCCCATCAACGCTAGGCGCAGACATGCCACTAATCTCGTTCGTCGCCGGCGACCGCTGGTGAAAGGTGGAGGTAGGCGAGCTATTATCCAGCGGCGACATAGCCTGTTCCGACATTTTGTGGTCACCGTTTCCATTTGTCTGCTTCGCTTCCGTGCGACTGCGACCAGCGTCGCTCGCCCCGTTGCCGTTGGCCATGGTCATATTTCCTTTAGATCGAGCTATGCGACCTCGTTTGCGTCGTTCGCGTGTAAATTCGCAATGGATGTCACTGCGCAGACAGCGCGAGCAGGGGAAGGCTCGGTCGCATCGTACTCGACGGGTGTGGCAAGAGTCGCAGGCCACTCTATTTCGGCGCCATCGTCGTTTGCCGTTGGAGAGCTCGACCGGGGGGGCCGTGGACGGCTGATCCCCATCCATTTCAGGGCGTCATTGGCAACAAAGGGAGTATGTAGTGGTGAAGTGTACAGGGTTCAAGAAAACGTTGCGGGGAAAATACGCTAGTGTCTCACCCGCAATCTCCAAATCGGCCAAAATTTCCGATTTATTTCTTACAAGTACAAGTGTTTCCTAGTGCTTCGTCTAACTCTTTAGTGAACTGTTTTATTAACTTGGCTATTCACTTCTGAAGAGCGCTCTTGAATCGTTCTAACGCCCGATCGCGACTTTTGGCATGGTCCACGATCGGCTTGGGATACCCATTCTTCTGCGCAATAGCCTCAGCCCCGCGAGCATAAGGTTCGTGGATGGCTTTGTTAGACACGTCGCGCAGCTCCGGTACCCAATGGCGGATGTACTCGCCCTCAGGATCGAAACGCTCGCTCTGGCGCAGAGGATTGAAGATGCGGAAATAGGGCTGCGGGTCAACGCCCGTGCTCGATCCGAAGCCCCAGCCTCCGTGGTTGGAAGCGAAGTCTCCGTCGATTAAGTTCTCCATAAAATGACGTTCGCCACGACGCCAGTCCAACATTAGGTCCTTGGTAAGGAAGGACGAGACTACCATGCGTGTGCGGTTGTGCATCCAGGCCGAGTGACGGAGTTGTCGCATAGCAGCATCGACGATCGGGTATCCAGTCCTTCCGTCACACCAAGCTTGGAAGAGGTCTTGGTCATATTCCCATTCGATGTTGGTATGCTCGGGCTTAAAACACTTGTTCATACTGGGTGGGAATGGTTAGCGCAGCCGTCATGGTCGGCACGAATTACTTACCAGATGAATGGCCAGTTTGCCAGAACATGTTTGTAAAAGTCACGCCATGCAACTTCACTAATCCACGTCATGTATCCGGGGTCATATCGGTCGAGCTGGTTCTTGTTGGCTCTCTTGGCTGTGACGACGGCAGTCCTGGCACTCAAAGCGCCCGACGCAAAGTACGGACTGAGGACAGAAGTGTGTTCGCCAGCCACGATGCTCCGCATTTCCTCATACTTCTTTCCTTTCGCTTCCAAGAACTTGTCCAGTCGTTGGAGAGCTTCATGCTCGCCTGCGGGGTAAAGCTCCTCAAACCGCTTTTTCTCGGTATCGGACAACTCGTGGGTTTTTGGCTGTGCTGGCACCTTGCAGTCGAACAAATCCTTGAATTCTTTGCGCGCATTTCCAGGGTTCGAGCCAGGCTCCTCAGATACCTCGAGGTAGTCGGGATTCTCCTTCAGGAATGCCAACCAGGAGCGATACCATGGGGTGTACACGGCGTACTGCTTGCCCTGTTGACTTGCCAATGCGCCGGGAGTGACGACGCAGGTGTCATGTGTCGGAGCGAAGCTAACATCGTTCTCCGCGCATAAGCGAACTAACTTGGCCTCGCGGCGCAGTTCATCCACTTCATACTCGATGTTCGCAAAGAGGTGCTTGGCACCCCAGTTCTGGCACAATTCTACAATGCGCTTGGGGATCGCCTTGCGCGTCTCCTGCGTCTCCATGTGGAGTGGAATATCCAACTCGGCTAGGTCCTTTTGAAGCTGCTTCAGAATGCGCAGGGTAAAGTCCACTCGCGCAGGACTGGTCAAATGGGCAGACCAGTCTTCAGGCGAAGCGATGTAGAGTCCGATCAATGGGATACCATGTTCCTTGGCAGTCTGGTATGCCGCATGCAGCGCTCTATTATCGTGAAGTCGCAGATCACTCTTGAACCAATGGACAACCGCCCTGCCAGGTTCAATTGACCGGCGCTTGTCTGCAGTTTCCTGGCAGGCTTTCTGTAAAGTCTCAATGGGACGTTCGAGCTCTCCATCTGTGTATGCTTGGCATCGCTCATTGCTCATCTCTGGGGGATAGAATTGACGTAAAACAATGCCAAAGTCCTCGGTCTGCTTCGCGTTTGGATGCGGCTGGTACAGATCGGACTTGGTTTTCTTTGGGGCATGCGAGCCATTGGGCTCGGCTGTGGAGGTCTTTCGCTTTGGTGGCATGGTGAGATAGCGCGTGAGTTGAATAACACGACGAAATGGACAATATGGACGAGCTAACAACATGAAGAAATCCAAGGGGGAATCAAGAAAGTCGACCTTCCGATCAGATCGAGATCGCGGATCGAATGACGTCAGGTGCGATCGCGATCTGGACTTTCTGCCCATTCGATGTTCATCAGACTTTCTCCCATTCCTTCATTCTGCCACATCCTGGAATTCGTGTCTATCAGTTTTTTTTTTTTTTTTGACATTCAGCATGGATGACACACGGGTACGTCTTTCCCCGTCTCCCTTGTGGAGCAATCAACGTCCTGAGGTGAACTGAACAACGCACTCGGCAATATGGTCAACCAGTGAGTGTGTACCGGCCACCAGTGTCACTGGAACAAGCCGAGCAAGGAGACCCTGCAACAAGGGGGATCGCCGGAACCGCAGCGCTGGAACTTCACAGACGCCACACTGAAATATGGGTTAGCCGCCATTGCACAACGGGGTCGACCGAGTGCAATAGGGGATCAGTCGAGATTCCGCCGCCAAAGCGCAGATCAGCCAATCGCCATCCTTTGCGAACGACTCGAAAGTCCTAAAAAAGCGTCAAAGATCTACAAGTGCATCTCCCCGCAAAGTTCGGTGATCCACGGCGCGAATCCCCGTCTGTCGCCTTGTCCAATGCTTTTTCTCACAGCGCATGCGGACCAAGGATTTGGCCCCCCGAGCAGCTGTCATGGATTGGTCTCCGTTCTTCTCCGGACATCAACTACCACTTCAAAAAATAGTTTAAATGAACTCTCTCCTCTCCACGGCGCCGCGGAGTTTTCAGCACATTGCCGTATATATTCCTCAATGAAACTACATTCCATTCCGCAGTCAATCTTTTCTCCCCTTCTCCCTCTCCCTCCATCTCCTTAATACAGAGGGACCAAAGCGATGTCCCGCCACGATCGATGGCGACCAATTCGGCCTCAGATATCGCATCATCTCTAATCCACGACCCAACTTCCTCGAGCACCCTCCGAACCGGAGTCTTCGCCGCCCTTGCCGCAGTTGCATGGTACAACTCCATCGAACTATTAGTCCTCTGCTTCGTCTCCTTTAAACGCTACCACGGCACCTACTTCTGGAGTCTCCTCATCGCCTCCGCAAGCATAATCCCCCACTGCCTAGGCTTCGTCCTCCTCTTCTTCTCGACAGGCGTAACACCATGGCTATCCATAACCCTGGTAATAATCAGCTGGTGGGGCATGGTAACAGGCCAGTCGGTAGTCCTTTGGTCGCGACTGCACCTAGTCCTGCAGGACAACAGAGTCCTCTGGGGCGTCCTCTGGATGATATGCATCGACGCCGTCCTTTTCCACATCCCAACAACAGTCGTTCTGTACGGCACAGTTGCAGACCCAGAAGGCAAATTCGCACACGGATACCGAATCATGGAACGAATCCAGCTAGTCGGCTTCTGCATCCAGGAATTGATCATCTCAAGCATCTACGTCTGGGAAACTATCAAACTTCTCCGTCTCCGACCAGGTGGCCGGCCACAGGGTATCCTCCTCCAACTCCTAGTCATTAATATCATCATTCTATGTTTGGACGTTATCGTCGTCGCGATCGAATATGTCGGTTACTATGCCGTTCAGGTCATGTTCAAACCAGTCGCATACAGCATCAAGTTAAAACTTGAATATGCGATTCTGGGCAAACTAGTCGCTATCGCGCGCGGCTCATACGATTCCCAGGATCTACCATCAAGCGCGCGCGAAATCAACGAAGTCAGCTCGTTCCCGTCGTCAACGGATCCAATCTCCAATGTTGAATCCGGGAGGCAACGGCGCTCACACAGTGCGCCTTGGTTTTGGGAGGTCAGGAGGACGTCATCGCCGCTTTCTGCTGAGGTTGCGCAGTCGCCGGGTGCCTTGACTTATCCTTGACGCGTCTTTACTTTTGTTTAATTTGGGCTGGCATAGAATTTTATACCCTGTCTTTATATCTGTTTACACTTTTGGATATGGCGTCATTAAAAATATTAGCATATTAATACCAACATATAGTTCTGACTAGCACTTTGAATTGGAAACAGTGCTTATCGTGATGTATTCACTCGGTAAATTCTCAGTAATACTCCGCCGACCCAGCCTGAAGAACAAGTGTACTACCAAAGATTTTACTCTCGGGCTGAACCATCGCCGTGCCCAAGGCACCAAGCGTCTGCCGCGTATCATTCCCAATGCCATCATCAGAAATAGTCAACTCAACCTCAGACGACCCACTCCGCCTCCCAACAATAACAATATTATTCGCCTTATTCAACGTCTGATTCAGTTCCTCCCGCACAGCAACAACAGCCATGCGAACAGGATCAGTGATCGACTCCTGGATCGCTGGTGAAGAAAATACAACCCGATCAGCCAATTCCTCAGGCAGGGAATCACGAATCGTTTCAAAGAAAACGAGATCAGACTGCGACATGGACGCAGGGGATTTCGCCGACTCCGAAGCAGATGCAACGGTCGCCTTGGCCATCTTGCTAGTGTCATTCCCCAGCACGCCCATCTGAATAACAGTCGCAGTAACATGATCATTCCGCACGAGCTGCAACAACAACCTCAATGCAAAGCGATCATCAACACCACCGAAGAAAAGTAAAACGACATGATGAACCCGGTTTCCCGTGGGGAGTCTCGCAAATATCGAGCTCTGGATGCTCATCCCACCACCACTAATGGTTCGATCAAGTGTCGGCCGTTTCACAGTTGAAGTCAATCCACGCTCAAGGAAGATGCCAACATGCCCAGAGACGCGGTCCAAGATATCAGCCACGAAATTAGTATAGATGCCATTCGCGAAACGATTCGTTGCATCAACTTCGAGTCCGTTTTGACGGTCTGCTAGTGTGCCTGTTTCGCTCCAGGGGAGGAGGAGCAGATCTGCGTTATCATTTGTCACCATGTCGACTATACTGTCCGCGTAGGAATATTCCGGTATGATAGATACGCCGGCCATGAGGGAAAGATCGTGCCAGTCGCCAAAAGCGCGGAAGGTGTTGACTACTGGGTCCCAGAGGGCGTGTTCGCCTGCGGCTGCAACTTTCATTACGCTTGAGTCACGATCTGTTAGTTCAATGAGGCGGACGCCGTGGACGCCGAGGAGTGATTCGTCGGTTTCAGGTTCTGTGTCTGGGGTTTGGTCTTCGATTGTTTGGTCGGTTTTTTTAGGGGTTTTTGTTGGGTGAAGGCGGGTTGGGATGCTGCGATTTTTGCTGAGGAGGGCTGCTAATGTGCAGATCCCTGAGAGTCCGTCTAGGCGGAGGTAGACGAGGAGTTTGCGGACGGGTGTTGTCCTGAGGTGCTCTTTTGCAAGGGTTATGCTGTTGTTTCTGGTTTCTGTTTGGACGGGATTACCATCCCAGTCTATTTCGCCGCGGCGCCAGCGTTCTACTTTGGTTTGGTACCAGCTTGGATAGAGCCAGGTTGTTAGGGGTGTTGTGAGGAAGGTCGTTACTAGAGCCATTACCACAAAGATAGTGAAGGTGCGAGTGCTCAAGATCTTGGCTTGGAGGCCAATGTTCTGGAAATCGGTTAGTAGAATATCTCTTTCAAGGCTGACTGGGATACTGACCAACACAATCAATTCAACCAGACCCTTGCAACTCATCAGCACGCCAATTGAGAAGCTCTCACGCCACAACAGACCGCACCACCTGGATGCTAGAGCTCCGCCAGCGACCTTCGCGATGAAAGCAATGGCAATGACCCCAACCACATATCCCCAAACGAGGCCAGAGTCAAGCAATCCTAGATTGGTGCTCAACCCAGATAGAGTGAAATAAAGAGGCAAGAAAAGAGTAGCGACCAGATCCTCAATCTTTTCAGTCAACTTGATAGCAAAACCACCTTCATGAGGACAGATCAATCCAATGACAAAGCCACCGAAAATAGCATGAACCCCAATGATCTGCGTAAAGAAAGCAGAAGCAAGCGCAATCAGCAAAGTCAAGGCCACAACCGACTGACTAGGCCCCTTCTGCAAGCTGCCCGATCTCTCAAGGAAGCGCAGGAAAACCGGTCGAAAGGCAAATGTCAAGAAGAGCATGTATCCCAGACAAACCAGCAACACATACAACGCCGTGATACCGCTTCCCGCGTTAACAAGCGCAACACAAAGAGCCAGTAGGATCCAGCCTACGACATCATTGCCGACACCCGCTGAAAGTACAATTACACCAACACGTGTCGAAAGCAATTTCAACTCGGTGAGGATACGGCACAGAACAGGGAATGCCGTAATGGCCATGGCAATACCAATGAATAGCAAATATGTTCCAAATTCAATGGGCCTGGTACTCCCATCATCATGGAACTCCTGATAGAGACCGTATGAGATGGCAGAACCAAGGCCGAAAGGAAGGATCATGCCCGCGGCGGAAACGCTCAAGGCGATGCGCCAATTGCTGACCAGGAAACGGAGGTCGGTTTCCAGCCCGACGAGGAAGAGGAATAACACCAGACCCAGATTTGCGACTACATTGAGACTTGGGATACTGGCTGTTGGGAAGATAGTCTCGGTGAAGCCGGGGATGCGTCCCATTACCGATGGCCCAAGCACGATCCCGCCGATAACCTCAGCGATGACCCGCGGCTGGCGGATCTTGGAGAGGGGCCAGTGGATCAGACGGCAGAGGATGATGATTATTCCTGCCTGAATTTGTACTTTGTGAGTGGTCATCCTGATGGGTTTTGAAACTACTCACCTGGATAATGAACAGCACCAGAGGATTCTTGGTGTCGTAAGTAGTCGGGTTTCCACCCTCAAGAATGCCACCCTGCGGGATCACCCGCGCAGTACTATTTCCTGTAGCCATAGCTGTAGTAGTTGCGGTCACCATGCTGGATAGACAAGCTTGGGCTGGCAGAAGTGCGAAGCTGGGAGCTTTTGAAAAGGTGAAAGAAGGTGAAGCTGAAGGTCAGACGGGCTACGCCACTAAACCCACTCTCTGGAGGCTCCAATGAAACGTTAGCCCACGAATCCTTCAAAGCTTGGCGATGTCGTTATCACCTAGTCTTCTTAAGGTTTGGTTAGTTCCGTTCATTCTTTAGAGAGTTGGGTTGCGTTGACAAGTCTAGGGGGAGTTGGTAGGGGGAAAGATGGAGTCCCCACATCCGATCGCATAGCCGCTTTTACCCCAGATATCCCCGGCTGTTTGACAGATTCCCTGCTAGCACTGGAGTATTTATCTAATGCATGCAAAAGACTACGAAATCGTACCATAGGATCTCCGCATTGGACTTTCCACGTGGATTTCAGTCGGTACGTCAAACACCACATGAAGTCGTGTAGCTCTTGGCTTTGAAAATTCAGTCCAATAATCCACTTCGTTATACGTATTCACGCGTTTCATAATCACGAACTTGGCAAAGTAATCCGGTGGGACTGCAAACATGGTACTGAGGTCTTGGCCGGAAAGGGCTTGTGCTAGGCTTCTAGAGCTTCAAGGCAATTTGCTATATTTTTGTTAGACGAACCAGAAACTATCTGGCAAATATATGTGCATATGTATTTTGTGCATAGCTTTACCTTTAGCAATTTTACTATCCAGAGGAATAATGCAGGTTTACGCCTGGGCCGGGTAGGTCAACCACATATACTTCCACTAGGCTTCTCTATATACACACCCAACGTCCATCAGCTCCTGCCGAAGCACCTTTGTATGGAACTTCCCTTTCCCCAATCTCCACAATTTAGGCGACGTTTTCCCGGACAAGCACGAAGCGTGCAGATCCCCGCAAAACAACCCCACAGTTTCATCACTGTTAGGCAGGTCGGGCTGTTGATCAACCGATGGCCATTCCGAAAGTATCTGAAGAGACCCCGCGATGCACTCACTGCTTCTGTACGGTCTTTTTTATCCCGATAATTGAGGGCCACAAGATCCCGATTGGTCTTGCATGGTCCACAATGCTAGATGTGCCTTGCGTCGGAGATTTGCCCCTTGAGAAAGTACAAGAACCAGCGGTTCTCCGAATGAATCTGCAGAAAGCAATTTCTCGGAATATCCGAGTCCATCGTCATGCATTTCGCTGCTTTGCTTCTGACTCCGGCTTTGGCCGCTGCATCTTCTAGTATCCCATATGAGCAGTATATTTTGGCTCCAAGGTCTCGCGACTTGATCCCACCCTCTGTTCATAGTGTCAATGGCTCTGTAACTGGAGCGAAGTCTCTCACACAATTGTCTGGCAGTGAAGCCACATTCTATGGCGTCTCATCCGTGACCTACGACTTCGGCAAGAATGTGGCAGGCCTCGTCTCTCTCGATGTAGGCTCATCCTCGTCGTCATCTGCATTCTTGGGTGTCACTTTCTCCGAATCAAGTCTATACATCAGCAACCAAGCAAGCGATGCCACCGCCGACGCTGGCTTGGATACTCCTCTATGGCTCAACGTCGGCAAGGGTGCCGGGAAGTATACCCCCGAGGAGAAATATCTCCGGGGTGGATTCCGGTACTTGACAGTCGTCAGTAACACCACAGCAACCGTACCGCTCAAGAGCCTTCGAGTGAAATTCACCGCAGCCCCGGACCAGGACTTGCGCGCCTACACCGGGTATTTCCACTCGGATGACGAGCTCATCAACAAGATTTGGTATGCCGGTGCATACACTAACCAGCTGGCTACGGTCAACCCCAAGCATGGAAACTCGCTCGTTCACCTTGGTACCATCAACTCTGGAGATTATATCCACCTTCCTCAGACTGATACCTGGTGGAACAACTATACCATCACCAACGGGACCAGCACGATCACCGACGGTGCCAAGCGTGACCGTCTTGTTTGGCCGGGTGATATGTCCATTGCTCTCGAGAGTATTGCTGTCAGTACTGGTGATTTGTATAGTGTCCGTACGGCCTTGGAATCCTTGTTTGTCCTGCAAAAGTCTAATGGACAACTTCCGTACGCTGGAAAGGGGTTCCGTGCGTCAGTGAGCTACACTTATCACCTGCACAGTCTCATTGGTGCCTCCTACTTGTACCGTTTCTCAGGCGACAAAGACTGGCTACTCAACCACTGGTCGCAGTACAAGCGCGGTCTGGAATGGGCTATCAGCAGTGTCGACGAGACCGGCTTGGCCAACATTACCGCGTCATCTGACTGGCTACGCTTTGGAATGGGGGCTCATGTAAGTAGACCTTCATCTTTACTTCCCAAGCACCTCCTGCTAACAATAAGTGCAGAACGTCGAAGCAAACGCAATTCTTTACTTTGTCCTCCAAGACGCCCAAGCCCTCGCAATCGAACTAAATGACAAGGCAGCCCTAACAAACTGGAGCAAAACAGCAATAAACCTAAAGCTAGCCGCCAACCAAAGACTATGGGATGCCTCCAGCGGCCTCTACTTTGACAACGAAACAACAACAATGCACCCCCAAGACGGCAACGCCTGGGCCATAAAAGCAAACCTAACCCAATCAACCGCGCAAGCCGTCCAAGTCTCAAACGCCCTAGCGTCGCGCTGGGGTAAATACGGCGCACCAGCACCCGAAGCCGGCAAAACCGTCTCACCATTCATCAGCGGCTTCGAGCTTCAAGCCCACTATCTAGCCAACAAACCCAACTCAGGCCTTGACCTGATTCGTCTCGAGTGGGGATTCATGCTGAATGATCCGCGCATGACACAATCTACTTTCATTGAAGGCTATTCAACAGATGGGTCATTGCATTACGCGCCATATACGAATGACCCACGTGTTTCGCATGCGCACGGTTGGTCGACTGGTCCGACATACGCGCTTACGGCTTATGCGGCTGGTATTCAGCTCACTAGTGCGGGGGGCTCGACTTGGCTTATTGCGCCTCAGGTAGGCAATTTGACGTTTGTTGATGCGGGCTTTGAGACTGCTAAGGGCAAGTTCTCGACTTCTTTCCGAGCTGGTGGGAAGGGTGTGGGCAAGTTTGCTTTTGTTACACCTGCCAAGACTACTGGTGACTTTGTGCTTGCTGGTGCTAAGGGGAGTCTGATTTCTGAAGATGGGCAGCGGGTTAAGCTTGTTGATGGCAAGGCTAATGGGATGAAGGGTGGTAGTTGGAAAATGAGGAGTGAGTAGTTTGATGGTATTTAGCATGTTTATTTCAGGACTCAATGAATTTTTTATTTTTTTTGAGATCCTTTGTGTTTGCCCTATCTGTATCGGGGATGTACATTATGTAGCATTTTAGACTGCAATTATGTCTGTGGAAGTTTGAGTTAACCATTAGTCCGGGAGATAGTGATATATAACAGAATAAAATCAGCTCTCGATAATAGGATCCCAGCACTGGTCTAGAAGCACCGGCCACTGCTCTATAATCGTTTTGGAGCTCGGTTTGGCTAAGATGTCAAAGGTGCTGAGGTTCTTCATGAGAATGGTAAGGCCTGGATTGAGGCAAAGTCCACAATCCTGTGGGTCTTGACTTGAAAGGCGCCTTATATCGAGGCATCTTGCTGCGCGGACTGAGGAGCGGGAGCTAAGGACATCTTGGTGACTAATGGGTATCTTTGGATATTGCACAAACTCCATGAATATAGTTATAGTAGAAGACTTCAAAAGGCCATCAATTCACCGCCGCACTGATTAGGGTTTAATTCCCTACCAGGCAGCCTACTTGTAATGCCAAAGCAAATAACCTAACAAGGTGAGCAAACAGACCACTGTGTACCTTGGCCAGGGGACGCCGAACGCGGGTAGAGGTAGCAGTACTAAAAAGGCTATTCAGATTCATAGCTTCAAAATCCAAAACGCCATAAAACTAGATTTACAAAGTAGGCCACTCCATCCGAATAGCTTCCAAATCACCAGGCCCCCTAAAATCCTCCAAAATATCCGCCTGTTCACTCAAAAGCACCCGATCAGCCTGCGACTCTCCGATCTTAGCCAAATCCCTCCAACGCTTCAGATCCTCAGGATTCCGCTTATCGCCATGAGCAGCCTCATTCTGCGTCCAATGCCCCTTCGAAAAAGCAAGTAGAGTTGTAATACGTTTGTTCGGGATATCGAAAACAAGAGAACAGATTGTGCCTGTCTCCTCCAGCCAGTTACATTGCCATAGCTCTCCAGGACGAATGCACTGATATGTCGCAGTTTGGAAATTCTTTCGGCCGGCCATCGGACCACCGTGGATGGCGTAGACGATGCGATCTTCGTTGTAAAACCACATTTCGTACCGCCATTTCTCGGGTTTGCCGTGTGTGTCTTTTGCGGCGTAGTCATAAATCATGTGGCGGTCTCGGATGTCGGCGTCGAAGGTTGAACCTTCTAGAGTGGGAAGGACTGGCATTTTATGGTGGGTTTGCTGGTGGATGACTGCGTATAGGAGATGAGGGATATATTCAATGGGTATGTTGAGGAAGTGAATTGTATATGAAGGGATAGTCAGTGTGTTAAATACCAATTCCGGAATCTTAAATCCATATGGCGTCAAATGTAAACTCTACCAAGAATCGGGAAATCGGAAGTGATGATGCTATACAAACCTGAAATGGAGGCTCGGATGCCTCGGAGTGGGTCAAACGGCCCGATCAACTGGTTAAGCTTGTTCTCTTGGCTGCCGAGGATTAGTGCCGATGGTGCTGGTACGATACGGTCACAGATTCTCAGGTGAAGCGAGGCTGATACATGTATTATTTTTGATTAACGTTATATCCCCGATGGTGGTCCAGCTGCCGAGGCTTGCAGTGATCAAGAGGTTGGTGAACCTGGTGACGTATTAGAACTAGAATAAGCTCGGCAAGTTTCAACGGTGCTGCGGCCACTACTATTGGGAATAGTCTCAATTGCGTGTTACATAGTAATCAGCGGTCAAAAGTCGAAGAAGAAATTATGTACTTTTGAGAATAGTATGTATGGTATCTAAAAGAGTAGAGTTTGAAAATAAGAAAAGAACCTTGACACAAGGCGACAGAATATGTTCACAAGAACACCAAAAAAAAATGCAGAAGCACCACAGATCAATGTGATCAAGACTTCTTTATCTTGGCCTTGGAGCTGCGCACCCGGAACAGGTAATAAAGCGAAATAGCAGCAAAGATATTGAAGATGAAGTAGCACCAGAAGATACCATAGTTCCTCCAGCGATCACCCCAGTAGATCTCACGAGCAGCAAGATACTGGTCGGCTGATGAGATAGAACAGTACTGACAGTTCTCAGTGGCATTGGGGTTGGAAAGCGATCCACCAGCCGCAGTGGCATACTCATTCAAGTACTGGAAACAAGTCTGGCCAGAAGGCGGGCTCAGAACACTCATCTCGGCAGCATTACACTCGACCTTGCGGCCGTGCAGAGCTGTACTACCGATACCACTAATATAGTAGGTAAATGGCGAGACGCGGTACATGAAGATCCAGAAGCCGGGAAGGTCACTGGGTGGTTGCATGACACCGTTGAAGATGAACGAGAGACCGAACATGAGTGTGGCGAGCATACTAGCCAGAGCAGGTTCGGGGATAGCGCAGATAACGAGCTGGGCCATACTGGCGGCATAGATGAAGAATTGCACGATGTAAAGAAGGATCAGACCGCGGCGTTCGGCGTCTTGATCGGCGCCGAAGACGGACCAGTAAAACGAAGCCCAGGAGCAGATTCCTAGGATGACTTGGAAGGGGATTTCGACTAGCATTTGGGAGAGGATGAAGACCTTCCAGGAGTAGATTCTGGACGGGCGTTCGCGGACTTCGTAGAGGGAGCGCTGGGCGACGAAGCGGGGCATGATTTGGTTGACGAGGGTGTTGAAGATTGTGCAGAGAAGGAAAATACTGAAGAGAGCGTTTTGGAAGCCTTGTTGCGTGTTGTCGGCTTTCCAAAATGAGAAGCCGATGAAGAGACCGGAGACGGTGCCGAGGATTAGTTTGGAGAAGACGTATTCTGGTTGGCGCCAGTACTGTTGGAAGACTCGTTCGAGAACGTAGTATAGTTGGCTGGTGAGGGGCATGGCAAACTCCGCATTGTCGTTGTCAAGGGACGGCTCGTGGACGGATGGCTTGTGGCTGTTGTGGAGTCTATGGACTTCGGCTTGAACTTCTTCGTATTCGGGGCTCCTGTTCCAGGCGTCTGACCAATCAACTTCAGGACAAGCGTCACCAGCTACCATTTCGAGAATGTACTCGGCGGGATTCTCGAGGGGTTCACAGGCGCGGGCTCCGTGGCCTTCGAAGTAGTTCAGAAGGGTAGACGAGTCAGCGCCGATGTCACCGAAGTAGACAGTCTTTCCTCCCTTGGCGAGGAAGAGCAAGCGATCGAAGGTCTGGAACAATTGAGCACTAGGCTGATGAATGGTTGCGAGGACAGCCTGGCCGTGGTCTGCGAGGCGACGAAGGAACTGGCAAATAGTCCATGAACTCTGGGAATCCAGACCACTGGTAGGCTCGTCGAGGAAGATTAGTAAGGTAGGCTTAGCAGCAAGCTCAACACCAATACTGAGCAACTTGCGCTGCTCGACGTTGAGACCTTCTCCTAGGCTTCCGACGACAGCTTCGGCGAAATCCTCCATACCAAGGACCTTGATAACCTGTTCCACGTAATCGAACTTCTCGGCCTTGGACACAGCCTGAGGTTGGCGAAGCATAGCACTGAAGCGCAAAGCCTCTCTGACGGTAGTCGAATCAAGATGAAGATCTTGCTGTTGGACATAACCAGTGCGACGAGGGAAGTTGGCAGCGAGGGGGTTTCCATTGACGAAGATATCACCAGAGACCACACCAATTGACACTCTCTGTGCGAGAACATCCAAAAGGGTCGTCTTTCCGGCGCCAGAAACACCCATCAAGGCGGTCAAACTGCCAGGCTTAACCCAGCCGTTGACATTATCCAAGAGTTGGCGGGTTCCTTCCTTCACAGGAATCTCGTAGTTCAGGTTTTTCCAGGAAAGTATATCCTTTTGTTCGGGAAGGTGAATGGTATCGTTGGTGCGTTGCAACTCAAGCTTGTTGACTTCCTCCAAGCCATGTTCGATGGTAGTCTCCTGCTGGAGATACTTGGGAGCATGGCCAGGCCGGAAGACCAGAGCCTCGGCCTTGGACTTGTCATCGGTGAGGTACTCACTGGCAATCAGGTAGGTACAGTTGAGGACAATGGCAAAAGCAACGAGAATTCCAAAATTGCGCCAGACATGGGAGTACTGGTACTGGTAGTTCTCCATGATGAATGCATCACCGGAGACGGTTCTCTCGCCAGCTACTGCACCAACAGTAGAGCAAATGAAAGAGGAACCAGTTGGGTTGCTTGGGATGAACGCTGTGCAATCAAAGTTCTTACCGTGGAACTCGTTGGCAACGAGTGATTCGAAGGTGTAGTAGATGGGGTTGATCCAACGAATCCAAGAAAGCCACGGATGCATATACGGTTGAGGCAAAGTAAATCCAGTGTAAACGACTATACATAAGACCAGCACACCAGCAAAGGACATAGCCTGTCCGATCGTCTTGGTCAGTGCACCGATGGTACGGAAGAGACCAGACATGGCTAAGACAGCAGTGAGGAGGAAAAGGTAGAAGACGAAGAACGGCCCGGGTTCACGGCGAAGGTTGACCATGAAATAGAGCACAATGGTGAAGAACGAGAGACGTATCAGTTTAATCGGTAGATCAACCACAATACTGGAAAGCGCTTCGGTGAATGGATGAACGAATGCATAGCCGGCCTGTTTTTCAACGACTGGACGTTGGGCATAAAGCTGCATAATTTCGTTCATCGTGAGAAGGGCGTTCATGAGCACGGCAAAGTACATAGCTCCTCCCTTTTGGAAGAAGTAGCTGGGGGAGTCGGGGGTATTGTAGAAGATGGAACCAATAATGAGAGACAGAATGATTTGGACAATGACGGGAGACATGACCGTGGGTAGATCTTGAAGCATTCGCTGGTAAGCTCTGCCCATGCAAAGCCGCACCTGCATAGGAATAGAAAGAAGGTAAGGGCTGCTGTCGCGGGTGTGGCGAGCTTGTTGCATGTTGTGGCTGTCTTGAAGTCTCTTCGCGTCGCTGCCGTTCGGTGGGTGTTCACCCTCATAGTTGTTGATATCCTTCAGCAGAGCTTGATACTCTGGGCTCTTCTTCCAATGCTCGGCAAACTCCTTCGCGGTACGGGGCACCTTGCCCTCGAAGCCAGGAGATATTCGGCGCTCAGCTGGGTTAGTGATCGCAGTCAGGTAGTCACCGCTGACTTGGCGCTCGGGTCTCTCGAAGCCCATCTCTTGGAAATAGGCGACTGCCCGCTCCCTGGGTCCGTAGTAAATCTGGTAACCCTCGTACAAAAGGGCAACCTTGTCGAAAAGATCATACATGGACTGCGAGGCCTGGTAGGCGGCAATAGCATGACAGGACTTACCCATATCAGCGGCGAGACGCAACGACTTGACAAACTTCAAGGCCGAAGCTGCATCGAGTCCACGGGTGCTGTTATCCCAAGCTCCAATGCGGCAGCGGGAGAGGAACATTTCGGCGATACTGACTCGTTTCCTCTCACCTCCACTGACACCACGAACGAATTCATTGCCGACCTTGGTGTTGAAGGTATGTGATAGACCGAAAACTGATAGAACAACTTGGGTGAGAGTCTCAACATATTCGTTGCGAGACATTTGTCCGGGACGCTCATGGGGAGCTCGTGCATGGGCGGCGAATGTAAGGGTCTGACCCACGGTCAAGTGAGGGAAATGGAGGTCGACTTCTTTGTTGTAGGCGACTTCACCACGGTGGTGCTTGATCATGTGTTCGAAGTCGACACCTTCATAGTGAAGAGTGCTGCTGGGATCCAGTGACAGTCCTCCCAAGTGTCCAGTAATAGTTTTGAGGAATGTCGTACATCCACTGCCTGGCCGTCCCAGAACAAGGACAAGCTCTCCCCCCTGAAGTAATCCATCAAAGCTGTGAAGGATCTCTCTAGGGGTTGGAGCACGTCCAGTCAAACCTCTGACAGCGGCACGGAATGGAACTCGAAGACTGGAAGTGAGGGTTTCCTGATATTGTAACGCGGAGCCGGAACCGCTGACGGAGAGGTTGGAGAAGATGACACCTTGGTGGGGAATATCAATGCCGGATTCATTAACTTGATTCAGTACCATCTGAGCCCATCGCTGGTGATCGAAGTGTGGACTAGTTGGATCGAGATGAGGTTGTAATGTCTTTCCACTGGCAGTGGTAGACAATTGTAGGCCGAGCTTGCTAGAAGCGATACGCGTCAGGGCCTCCTGTTCTTGTTCTTCTAGAACAGTGGGGACCTTCCCCGTAATAGGAGCAAACTCCGGCTCATCATAGTCCTTCTCCATGATGAGAAGTTGGAGATGTGTATAGGAGAGCCTTGGGAGAAAATCTTAAGGAGAGCTAGGCCCCATTGCCTTTAATAAAGATCATCAAAATCTTCGAAGCGGAGACGGACAACAAATAAACCGAGTGTAGATCGGAGTTTAGAGGTTTATGCATCGGCCCTGCCACGTTCCGGTCTATCACGGAGGAGCGGACTCCGTTCCGCCGACTTTTCGCCACGATCTTTTTGGTACTTCGGTTATTCTTATTGGACGACAATTGGCCGAGCATGCAAGCTTTTTCTCATTTCTTTTTTTGTAACGGTTAGATGTTGGGGTGAGACGCATATTTTCCTTCGAGTTCTGATTTCCACGCCACTGAACAAGGATTACTTCCTGTTGCATACAGAAAGCCTGCCAACTGCAAGCCCTAATACATCAGGTGCTGATTGACTGCATAACCACAAATTAGGACACTAATACTCACTATGGTTGAGTCATAAATCCACTCGGGCTTTGGAGCCCCCGAGTCCGACCATTAGATCGCGGCGTTTAGGGGTAAACTCCATATTGGATCTCGATTTCGGAATTCCGCGTGTCTGGCCAACTCCTGACGCGTTAGGGGTAAATCAACTTCCACTGCACTTGTAAAATTAGCCACAATCAAAGTTATACCTATTTCCAACTATTGTATGAGGCTCTTTATTTTGTTGTTTGATTGTTCAGTAGTACGAAAGGTTGTATTAGGGTTATCTTATTTTTATCTAGCCGAGATGTGCCACTTGTACTAAGGCTACTTATATCACTCAGGCATAAATCACATAAATCCCAATCTTATAGACTCCACTGCCAAGAATATGAGGTGCAGCGGCCAATGTCAATGACTTCTATAAGCAATGGGATTTTCTTTATAAGGCTCTAGATATATTGTTCCTAGTAGCTAGCCGTAGGTTCTGCAAAAGCTAACGAAAATGATCGGAAGCCGACTTGATAATTACAGCTATTGTTTGAGCTGTTGTTTTATTCGCTATATCACTATATTCCTAGGAAGCCGGAACGTTTACCACCCTTTATGTATACAGAACGTTTAATCATGTGAGCCTTACGCGTAAGCCGGGAACATCTTGACTATAGAAGACGTCGCACAAGTAAGTAATCGAAAGGAACCTTCATGTTCTAGAAAATCCAGTGTGGGTCACTCATGGCGCACATACTCCACTCCTCACGTAGGAACAAAGTTCGTTCAAAGGGCTAAGTTATAAATATCTCACGACATAGGAGCCTGCCATGCGCCCAGCCAAGCCCTGTTACGCACGTTCAGCGGCTTTGGAAATCTAGTACATGGGGAATCATTTAATAAGTCTTGCGTCAAAAACTGTCAACAATACCCTACGAATACTGCATGAAACCGGAGATACTATAGATCCGATGCCAAGGAATTAGTCATTATACTAGGCATAAATAGCTTCGTAATAGGGGTAATACAACTCAGAGTCATTGATATCTCCAATTGGTCGGATACAGTACAGGGATTCCGAAGATTCGACAAAAACCTTGTCACCCCTGGATGGAGAGTTCCCGTAGCAGACTATCGATCAGTGGAGACATCAAGGGACTAGTAATACAAACCGCCCACGGGAGCAGGCGGAGATTGAGGCTGCAGTGGTGTTGCCAGAGTATTCGACCTAAGTTCTTCAGGACCCGTTTTAGCCTGACCGTCTTTTATACTGTCTAATTTATTAATTACGTTGGAAGTCGCGTTTTCCACGCGCCCAGGATATACGCTCTGATACGCTAGATCTACTTCTAGAAGCTGCGCAGGAAGCATGGGAAGGTCTAGAAATTGAGCTAATTAAGCATCTATCGGAGACAATGCCTCACAGGGTAGCTGGTGTTATTAAGTATGACGGGTGGCATACTAGCTATTAAGTTCCGTTCTAATTTTCGGAGGTTTCTGTTGGCAGTATTAAAAGAGTGGGTCCTGGTCCGAAGTACTCGACGTCAAATACTCTTGCAACACCACTGTATCAGCATCAAATGTATTGCCATCTCATTAAACTTCCGGGGTGAGTGACCATATGACACTCACTGTCAACACATTTCCACAATATGAAATACGCTAAAGCTAATAGAAAAAATCTACACCTACAGAAAGGTGAAACTGATTTCGACCCATAGCGTACACAATTTTCTTTCCAGTCGATACGACAATAGACGCATTTGAAGTTTTGGAAGTCGCCCGTTGGGGTTTTCTAAGTGCATCTATAGCGTCGAGAACCGAACAGTTATTCTTCGGGTATCGTGTAGCTGCATCAATAGACTGGAGGAACAATGTTTTGTGTCCTAGATAGATTTAGGGTTCTATATCATTAGCAAAAGCTGTGTCTTGGAGCTTCTCATCTGATACCAATGCCATCCAATGAGAGACTGTTGGGAAGGTTCGAGGAAGACGTGGATCTCGAGAATTGGTGGCAGCGTGTTCATGGATCCAGGCAGTCTTGTCTTCTTACTTCAGTATTAAAGTTGATGTGTCGAATATGTAAACTCACATATTGGAGGTATTTAAAGGTATGCCGAGCTAATTTCTCTTTCGTTCACTAAGGAAATTTTTGATTCCAAAAAAAGGTAACAATCTTAGTATATTCTAGTTTCTTGTGCATAAAACCGTGGCATTTAGATTCTATGATACTGCCATTGTCAATCTTTGCCTCTTGGCATGACCTGACCCATAGACACGGCAGAATGCTGTGAGTCGGTCACATTATGACATGCTTAAAGCTGAGATTGATTGGATCAAGAGGTCTAAACGGATAAAAGGCTACTTATACTCATCCCGAATATTAATTAATGACTGCTAATAGCGTTGGGCCGAAAAATAGAACTATTAATTACAGGTCTTGAATGTTTAAAAAAAAAATTTCAATATGAAGTTTAATCCTAATTCCTCCATAATGTTGAAGCAAACGTCAACGACTAGGTTCAATCAATTATATACTTCGGCGTCTGCCTAATATCCACTTTTGTACATTGGATGTAAGAAGCTTCTGATACCAACCTCGTCTTAGAACATAGACAAGTGCCGTTGTTATCAAGATGGAACGTCATTAGAAGAACGGCTCAGGTCATGCATACCAGAGGCCGAGATTTTCCCGATCCGAACCTCGCGGAGATCCCGTAGCTCGCCACGCGGTGGTTCCGTAAACATCATGACATCAAACACCGTTTGGGCGTGCACTTTATTTTTGCAATTACCGGGATACGCTATTAAGATCGGTGCTTGTTGAGGCTAGACCATAGATCCGACCGGGATCAGCATCGACCGATATTAACCCATCTCTGCGACCGAACATAGTCCGCGCCCGAGTATTGGTTGAGGGATATTTCGGTCGACAAAAGTTTCCCAATCGGATCTTTCAGAATAAGACTATTTAAAGGGATTGTCAATGATGCATCAGTGAAGCAAAGGCTATGGTTGCCTTGAACCCTCGAAATCGACACTGATTTAACCATCTCTACCTATGGAATCTGGGCAACCACCTCGCGATATCCTCATTGTGGGCGCTGGCCTCGCGGGAGTGGCCTGCGCCATTGCCATTTCCCAAGAGCTAGGGCCTTTTGTTCCCGATCTCAAGATTCGAGTCTTTGAGCGAAATGATTTCCCCTCCACCTCGGGGGGTGCGATTAATTTGACACCGGTGGCCCAGCGGCATCTCGCCAGTTTAGGAGTCATGGAGGAACTGAACCGAATGGGCACACATGGCGGCGCCGATATCGATTCAATTGAGTTACTATCAATTACTTCTGCTCGACCGGTCGGATCGATTGATTTCACAGACCGAGCTGGCAATGATTATAGCGGGTACAAGGGCCGTCGGGTCATGCGCGTGGTTCTTTTGATGGCTATGATCAACACCGCTGAGCACGCCCACAATATCGAGTTCATTTATGGCAAGAAATTCACTAGTGGAGGAGAGATCAATGACAAGGCTGCTGTATATTTTGAGGATTGATCTAGATCCTTCGCAGATCTAGTTCTTGGCTGTGATGGAGTCCAGTCTTCCACCCGCACAAACTGGGTTGATCCCGACTGGCGATCCGAGTACAGTGGGATGTCATTTGTGCAGACCACCATTGACGCCAAAGAGATTCCGTCGCCTATTCCTTTCGGCTCATCATTGCATCTCTCACGACATGGCTCCTTGCTCACCACATATTGCGACCGCGATCGTGAGCACATTTTCACCGCCGCCATTTTGCAATTTCCGGGAGAAACCCTAGGTCATTACCGGCTGAAACCAGGTCAGGACTGGTCTACTCGGCATAGAATCCAGCTGAGTTTGCGACGACTCTTAAAGAAACGCTTTCGGAAATGTGCTGAGCCGTGTGTCAAAGAGATAATCCACAGCGATCAAGAGTGGGTCTTATACCCCGTGTATCAGATTCGCCCGGGTGGTCGGTGGTGTATGAATCGGGTTGCTTTGCTTGGTGATGCAGCTCACGCGGTTCGTTCCAACTATTCTACATCATCAATATTGAGACTAATTTACCTTAAAGATGCCTCCAGTATATTCCTCAGCATCGTACGCCCTTGATGATGCCATTCTGTTTTCCAGGGTATTAGCACGCTATCGGTCCGAGCCTCTCAATGCCGTTTTTGATACATATGATTCGTTGCGCCGCAATACGGTCGATCACGCATTTGCTGAATCTACCAGACTCTGGAACCGAATTAAGGATAGAGGATACATAGGAGAACGGTTAAACCAGTGGAGGATGTCATCTTACCTTCGACATATAACAAGCGCGAGGAGAGGTGGATGTCGGATGCGACAAGGATCCCAATTCCACCTCCAAAAACCAGTGAAAATTTGGTATCTATACAATCCTTCCTACAAGACTAAGTCAAGTAGGGGGCTCCGTTTCCTGGTATCATAGCATCACCACTGGGGCAATTTACCTATCTTATTAGAAGTTTGCTGGCAAATTAATTTATATAGCGGAAAGTTGATTTTAAAGGCCATGGTTTTATGGAAAACAATCAAAAGCAATGAAATGCTGGATTACTATTGAGAAATCCTTGGTAAGAGCCAAATATCGGGTAGCCGATTGAAGGGAGCGGATGCTAAATCTTATACATCTTTCGCACGTATATTGTGTAGCTCAGCACCACACCGAAATGTACTAGAAATCTCATAACAATATATGTATCATGGCCACGCAATCATAATTATTCTTTATTTATAATCGACATATAGAGATAAATAGGTGAGTGGAGCAACCTGCCTATTTACGCTGTACATGCCTTGCGATTTCGGACTATATCTCAATTTGAAATGTAGTTCATGCATAGAGCAGCCCTAACACGTATATAACCGAAGCTTGATTATTGACAAGACTCCGGCCTGTTCTGTTGGCTTTGAGATTGCCAATGTCGATATACTTTTGCTCGAGCCCTAGACTGATACCACATATGCCCCGTCAGCAATTTACACGCCAAATGAACTGTCTAGGCAAGGAATTTGTAAGTCACATAATATGGTAAATTCTGTTCAGCCGGGATTCCAAAATCGGAAATGAGAAATAAAATGATTTTACTATTAAAAAAACCAAATATGTCTAATTCAATCAGGTCAGAATTATAAAAGCCCAGTAGTCAACTGAGCAGCACGGTTATTCGTACCATGGGAACTTTAATAAGAGCAAAACACCAGGGTACAGGTTTGAGGCGCATACGGAGGAAAAACATGTTGCGCAACAGACAATAAAAACATGAGAAGAAAGGCTAAAAAGAAGGATGGTACCACTCAAGCTACAAGTAGCCCCAGCAACCTTCATGTATCCTTCCCAAACCCCTGCTATTTGGTTGGAGCGGGATAGTGGGGATAGCTTGGAGGATATCATTCGGGCTACGCGCAAGGGTGGGAATGTTGCATGATTTTCCGATTGGGCTGATGATGCAGAGGCATTGAAGGATTGTGGCGGTCAAGTTTGTCCACAGAAAGTGAGATCGGCCTTTCTCAAGCGAGTTGATGGTAAGTCGAATAAAGTACTATCCATTCCTGTTGGGCCTAGTTGTCCAGGGTAAACTCAAACCCTCATGGATGTTCACATATGAAGACGAGGACATCGCCGAAGAGTACCGCAAGTCCGCGCGGCATGAAGTTCCCGGCGGATTTCAAGTATGCCTGGTGACATCGACATCCTTCGGACGCACTGAGCAAAACCACGAGAGCAGCGATATGAATGCGGCTCGAGATTGCTAGTGCCCAATAGCTGTGCCCAAATGAAAATCCGAATAGGAAACTGGTGGACGTCAGCACCAAGTAGAGTAGTCAGCACCCCCGACCTCGGAGTATAAAATAAGCATGTCTTCCCCGTCAGATCTCGACTCCACAAAATCTCCAATTCTCCACGATGCATCCCCCACCAATTGCCCTCGACTGGAACAACATCGGCTTCAAAGTCCGCGATGGTAAACCTCCTTAGCCACCCTCGGATACAACAACTAAAGAATCACAGGCAACGGCCACGTGGAATGCCATTTCTCCCACAGCGGCGACGGAAAATGGAGTACCCCGCAATACATATCCACGCCTAACCTGAACATATCAGGAATGTCCCCAGCGCTAAACTACGGGCAACAAGTGTACGAAGGCCTCAAAGCCTTCCGCCACCCAGATGACAAAAAGATATCAATCTTCCGGCCCGACCGCAACGCCCGCCGAATGCAATTTTCCGCAGAAGTAGTCTCAATCCCACCTGTGCCGGAGGACCTCTTCATAGAATGCGTCAAGCTAGCAGTCGGGTTGAATGCTGAATATGTTCCTCCGCACGAATCCGGCGCGGCGATGTATATCCGTCCTTTGCTGTTTGGATCATCTGCGCAGCTGGGTCTCAGTCCGCCGGATGGGTATACGTTTGCTGTATTCGCTATGCCGACTGGTGTTTACCATGGTGCTAGCGCGGTTGATGCGTTGATCCTTGAGGACTTTGATCGGTGTGCGCCGTTTGGTACTGGGGCTGCGAAGGTTGGGGGGAATTATGCGCCTGTTTTGAGACATAGTGATCGGGCGCGCAAGGAAGGGTTTGGGATTACGCTTCATCTTGATAGTGCGACGAGGCGGGAGATTGATGAGTTTTCGACTAGTGCATTTATTGGGGTTAAGAGGGATGAAGATGGGGCAGTTACGGTTGTTCAACCGGATAGTCGCAATGCGATTGATTCTGTGACTGCTGCTTCTGTTTTGGACATTGCTAGGAAGTTGGGGTATCAGGTTGAGAAGAGGCGGGTTCTGTATGAGGAGCTCGGGGAATTTGAGGAGGTCATTGCTGCTGGGACTGCCGCTGCCTTAGTTCCTGTTGGAAGTATTACAATGAGGTCTCGTCGGGATAGGTTTAGGTATCAGACTGGGGCTGAGAAGGAAGGTGGGGAGGTTTGTGTTCAGTTGTTGAAGATGCTGAGGGGTATTCAATCTGGGGTTGTGGAGGATTCTTTTGGTTGGAACTACGAGGTGCTGCCACCACCCAAGGGATGGGCAGATGAGAGTCACGAAAAGATTGAGGAAAATGGTGCCAATGTTCCGTGAAGGCGTTGGAACTCCAGGACCGCTGCCTACGTTTGATGCCACTGTTTGGCTATGATTTACTGATTTGATTTCGATCTACTTGGAATAAAAGTTCAGTCATTGATCAACGTTTACGTAGTTGTATCTGAAATTAAAGCAATGTACACGGGGTAACGCAGAACGACAGCTTATGCATGAAGTAAACAGGATATCTTAACGACAAAGCAAATGCATTGGACGGATGATACAGGATGGTACAGAGATCACTTGTCGCGCTGAGACCAGGGCTTGCGTAGCTTTGAATGAGATCCATCGGGTAAGATATCGCCCTCGTCACTGTCCGACTTGTCACTTTCATCACTCGAGCTTTCATCCTCACTCGAGCTAGGTCCATCATACACATTGGAACGAGGTTGTGGGGCAGGCTTGGGCTCAGGACGAGGTTTGGCGGTCTTAGCAAGCATTTCTTCTTTCTGGCTGCTGAGAAGACCCTTGAGGGTAGGGCGGGATGTACGTGCAACAGATTGCTTGGGGTTCGCATCTTGCTCCTTTTTCTTCTCTTCGCACTTCTTCAATTGCTCCCGCATGTGGTCGAGCTTCTTGCGCCAGTCCTGCATCCTCTTGAATCCCTGGCGCTTCTTGTTCTCAAGATTATTGAGAAGCCCCAGCATCTCAGTCGCAAGAATCAATATCTGGGGATCGGCATTCGATTTTTTGAGCTTTTCTTCCAGTTCATGTTTCTCGTTCGAATCTTTCTCGATTTGCGCACTCATCTTGTTGATGCTCTCGGCAGAGAACCCTGGTGGATAGCGAATTTGGCTCTGGCTGCTGGCTGGAGTTCCCTGGTCAGACTTGGAAGTCGGGGTCTTCTGGGCGGACTTGCCCTTAGGAGCAGCCTTTGCAGCATTCTTGGGAGTTCCATTGGCGGCTTGTTGAGGTCCAGCGGAAGTCGGTGTGTTTTTGGATTCCTTCTCCTTGGGCGTCCCACGAGGGGTCGAGCCGGACTGTACTCTCGAAGCACTGACCTTGTTGGCTGCGGCAGATGGTTTGGCGAGTTGGGAACTGGTGGGAGCTTGCCGAGGAGTCGATGTTGAGGGTACAGCAGGATCAGAAGTTAAGAACACGTTGTCACCTTCTTGGAAGGAGACCGATCGACGCTCTCCACGTTCTGAGGGGGAGTCTTTGCCGCGGATCGCAGAGTGCAACTTCTTAGTTCTCTCAACTGCAGGTTTTTGCTTCGCGTCGGGAGTCGTATTAACTGAATCAGTGACGGTGGGTACGCTGCTGGGGAACAGAGGGCCACCAAAGCCATTCTGAGAAGGTTCAGCCGGATACATGTCCTGTGCAATGTTCCTCATGGGCTGATTACTGGGAGGGCTTCCAGTAATACCCAATCCCAGTCCTTTCAGGGGGTTGGGTGACTTCTCCCTGTCCATCGACATACTGGCACGGCGACGCCCAGGACTCGAAAATGAAGGAGCACGCTCATTTCGTCGGCGTGGGCTGCCTAACTGAGGTGGTAGTGGGATCTCAGTCGAGCCACTTGGTGACTTGGACTTCGACTTGGGTTCGGTATGCTGTGAATAAATGACAACGTCAGGCGCTACAGACGGGGACTTCGATTTGGTCTGTTGGCGAGTTGATGGGTGGGCCTGGTTGATGCGAGATTCCTTAACTGGCGCAGGTTCTTCCGAACTCTGCTTGCGTTTCCGAGAGATAGTCTCGCGCGAAACACCATTCGTCTGAGATGCTCGAGGGGAAACAATGGCATGAGAGCCTTCCATTTGCACATCTCCATCTTGATCAACCTCCTGAGCCCCATTGGTCAGCTGGGTTTCGGCGATTGTATCGTCCGCGTTTTCTTCACTATCTCCAGACTCGGATAAAGAGGAGTCAGACGAAGACGAAGAGTCGGATGAAGATTCCTCAGAACTATCGTCATTCTCTTTCTGTGCTAACTGGTCTTCGGGCTTTTCAACTTCGACCGTTTTCGGTGGGCTCTTCGCAAGTTCAATTACGTTCTTGTCAGATTCTATGTCACTTTCCTTGCCGCTTTCTTTGTCATTGTCATCACTGTCTTCACTGTCATCACTGTCATCACTGTCGTCCTCACTAGAGCTAGACTCGCTCTCTTCGGCACTCGAAATAGCAATTGCCTGATCAGCAGGTTTCTTCTGTGGCGATTTTGAGAGGCTCTTAGCAAGCGCCGAGAGGTGACTTTCTGGCTTCGGTCCAACAGAAGTGCGCTTGACGGCTGGCTGAGGCGATGGTGTCGGATGTTCCTCCTTTTCGCTCTCAGACTCGTTTGCTTCGTGGCTGCTCTCCTCAATCTGTTCTTCATCCTTCTTCCCAGGAGCTGCGGGAGCCTGAATTGGTTGCTCGGACGTTTCAGTAGATTCGGCATTGTCAGACATCTTGCTAATGGTTCTTATAGCTGGAAGATGCAGTTTCACAATCCTCTTAGGTTGATCATTCACTTTGTGAGCATTGGCAGTCGTAGAGCCAGGCGTAGACTTGGATCTTGTGCGAGAGGCTCGTCGCTCAGCAGGCGAAGGCGATTCTCCAAGCTCTTCACTCTTATCGCGCTGGGGTGGAGGTGTACCAGCAATGGTAGGCCCATTAGTAGTCGCTGCATCATGTGGAGCAGTAGGACTGCGAACCTCAACAGAGGAAAGTGGCATATCACGATAACGGTGCTGTTCCACAGTATCGTTTCTCAGACGGCGCTGAAGCCGTGGATCAAATCCGCCATGATGAGGCGAGGCGGACCACGCAGGTGTGGAATGAACGCTCTGCGAGTTATCATCTTCGGCCTCCTCTTGAATAGGTGAAAACTGCCGCTTGATAGCTTCTTTTTTAATCTTCGAATCGCGCTGCCGTTCATAGGCAACAATCGCAGCATCCCAGTCTTGATCAACAGACGGGAATCGTTCCGGCGCTGCAGCTGCAGCAGGTTTCTGAACAACACGCACAATACCTCGTTGGTCAAGGCCATCGGCGCGAGCTTTTCCATAATCAACCCAGACATCGGCGACGCTCAAATCGGGATACAGGTCAAGGTCTTCTTTCGTATCGTCCAAGATTTTCTTAATGGTGAGGGGTCTAGGGTCGCAAACATTAGCTATTGAAAATCAATCTCCTGGATGATAGTCACAAATAGTCTAATCCAGTTGCTCAACACAGTAGAGCACTTACTCAAGATCAGGGTGTAGCTTAGCCCAGTGGTCCTGGATCATACCGGCCAGTCCACCTAGCGTTACATCCTCCGGTTTTTCAAGGACCAAGAGGAATATACCCGGTTTCTTGGATGTAGCCGAAGCCGCCGAACCCTGGCTCGAGTCATCATTCACAGATTTCCGCGTAAAAGGTAACGACCGGCCCCAGCTGGAGCTTGAGTTTGAGGGCAGTTGATCCCGCGGGAAGACTTTGACCGAAAGTCGCAGGAACACCATTGTGAAATGGTGTGTACAGACACTGACAAGTTGTGTGTAGGAGGGACGGGGGCCAAGGGGGGAGGGGGTCCGATAAAGCTAAAAGCACGAGGGAAGAAGGAAATCTTCAGGTGGTCACTGTCGAAGCTGAAACGGGTGGACGGTAGAAGGGAGAGGTTGGCACGGCTGGAGGAAGGCACAAACGTGAAAAAAGAAGCTAAGTGCGCATGTCCGGTCTGCAGGCTGGCATCAAATGCCAGAATGGAGCTTGCAGAGGGAGGAAAAGTTGCGGAGCGGAAATTGGGGAAGCGCGGAAAGAAATCGGCGCGACGTGACTGCGCGATCCACTTACGGCTCTATCACATTTGGACATTTGATGTCCGATATATCCAACGGCTTCCTGGAATTAAGTAGATATTGGACATGTCTTCAATTGTAATTACGTGCTATCTTTCATTATTATGTCTCAGCTTTCAACTGACTAAATATTCAGATATGTCTACAGTATCTTGGCTACTGGTGGGGTCTGCACGTTATATCTCGCGGAGCTCTGCAGCATACTATCATTACTTTGCATATTCTTCTACATGAAGAAAAGTACTTATTGATGAAAACGCAATACAATTTGGATATAGATAGTAAAATGCAAATACTAAATCTCATAAGATGGTTATAAATGCAATATAGATGCCAATGCAACACAGAAACCCCTACTCAGGCGGGACAAAATATCTCTGGAACCGATCAATGCGAGTCAAATCCAACTCAACAATGACAGAATGACAGCTCATCAAAAGACTGGGGAAGCGAACAGTCCAGAAATTAAGATATCCCTCGGGCAAACCACCAATATGAGCCTTAAGATACTCAGGCATATCATTATAATGATTGCGCTTGTTACGGAGAGCGCGAAGGAGATCAAGCATGCGTGATCCGGTATACTTGCGCTGCTTACCGAGATTGTCTTTGAAGTCTCTCGGCAGTAAGCGCAAGAAATCCATCTCTGGACCCATGACCCGTCTAGCGACGGATTCCAGACAGAGGAGAGCGTCTGAAGGTGGGTCGCGGGGCTCGAATTCGAAGTGGTCGGAGACGTCGCAGAGGAAGCTGAGGCGGTCAGAGGGAGGCCAGAAGAAGGGGTGCATCAGGACAGCGCTGGCGTCGGGTCGTTGACGGGGGTCGAGGGATAACATGGATCGAATGAGATCATCGGCTTCGAATGCGTAATCGCCCAGGCGGTTCAATTCCTCCAGGTCGAAGTGTCCCTTGACGATGTTCGCTTCACGCATGAACTTTCCATTCTTGTCGAATGGGTGGCTACCTCGGGTCAAGACGTAGTAGAAGACACAGCCCAAGGAGAAGATATCAATGGCACGGGTAGCACGGCGGTTTGTCTGCGGGTCTACAACAGCAGGCTCCGAAGACTCGGTGTGTTGTGAGGCGAGAGACATCGGACCATCATCATCTACCAGCAGCTCAGGGGCACGCCAGCCAGAAGTTCCAGCAGCGTGGGCCGTAGTCGCCCGGAAAGAACTCTGGTTGTCCTCTAGTTTCTTGCAAAGACCGAAATCAGAGATGAGGAGCCGCAATGAGCGAGAGATGCTGCGACCACGGGGCATGGCCACGAGGATATTCTGCGGCTTGAGATCACGGTGGACAATCTTGAGCGAATGCAAGTAACGCACACCTTGAGTGATCTGACGCAGTACATCCGGCAAATCCAAGCCATTTTGAACAAGTTCTGGGTATCCAGCAGGACGTTCAATGACATCCTGCAAAGATGCGGGACAAAGCTCAAGGCCAATGTATAAGAAGCCAGTCGCTTGCTCACGACAGAAGTATCGGATCACGTTGTGATGATCATCACTTTCTTGCAACAAGCCCACTTCGTGGGATGCAATATCATAGAACTCCATCAACATCCGCTTTACTGCCACATCACGTCCATCAAAGGAACCACGGTAAACCACAGTTCCATGACTACCGAAGCCCAGAACAACGTCAGTGAAAACTTGAAGACGGCCAATGCGGATAACACCATCCATCTCCATAATCTCATTTGAGACCTGACGAGTCATTTGTACATCAGGCTCAAGTCGAGTTTGAGGAGCCAAGGTACCGACTTGATCAATGACCTGCTCGGCAACTTCGGTAGTGTCACCTTCGCTGCCAGGCTTTCTGCGACGACGATGAGACTTTCCACCACGTGAACCACGAGCGCGGCCCTTTTTCTTGGGCTTCTCATTCTCATCGCCCTCCTCATCTTCAGGACCACGGGATGGCTCACGGATCTTGACACGTGGTGTTGGGTCTGGGGCCATGTTATTTCCAGAGGGGGGTTATCGGCATCTCCATTCTGTGCCGAACCATCCACATCCAGATCAACAGTCACATTGGGGACTTGCTGATTAGGCGTCGGCGAGCGCTTGAGATCCGGAGAAGCGCCGACAAGAGGAGTGGAGGGAGTTGAGAGAGAGGCTTTGTCGTTGGAATTGATGATGTTCTTGATGTCGAGCTTCTGTTTGGCCAAGTCGCGAAGATGATGAGAGTTGAAATAGATAAAGGTGCAAATGAACAAGAGAATCAAAGTGACAACAATGTCCAATGCATTGTCCCAACTCTTGCGGATGATTGCGCTGTTCCGAAGAGCCGGAGGCAAGGCCAGCTCAGAGGGGCTGCGTAAAGCCTCCCAGGGAGTGTCATTTGACAATTCAGAAGTGGATGACCCAGCGATTCTGGGCATGGGAGAGCGGATTATACGCGGACCATTGAGCGAATGGACACCCGCCAAAGCATTCCGCTGCTGATGCGGAGTCAGACTCATGAGTGCCTGGCCCCGGCGGAAGAAGTCTTTATCATAGCATGAAGCCATTGGGGCGCGGCCTGTAGCAAGAGGATACGTTTCCTCGGAGAAGGCATACCAGCCACCTGCCTCGGTGCAATCGATAAACACACGCATGTCGCGGTCATCATCAAGCGAACCATAATCTGGGTCTGGCGGCTGAAGAGGTTGCGACAGGAGGACCAGCGGAGTGGAGTTATCCGGTCTGTCCTTGTGGGAAGGGCGAACCACATCAAAGACACGAGCCACAGGCGACGAGAAGCGCTGGGTATAACGAGGTCGATCCATCTGCGAGTGATCGAACCCGAGGACCACACCGTCATGCATGCTATAGATATGACTCTGGTCCATTGTGCGATAATATTGGCTCTGGAGGTCCATGTCACGATTGTTCGGTGCCCACTCCGAGTACTTCAATGTGCATATCGGATCACCCGTCTCGGTATTCTGTATAGCGACGGCATATTCAACCCGACCCAGTACCAAAGTACCCGAGCTGGACTCGCACTCCTCCGGATCCACATCTTGACCATCGACCTTCCGACACTCCTGCCCAGAAGTAATAGGGCCCCGAGAGCTAAACACCCTCAGAATACTCCCAGTCCGGGCGTCAATAGTATAAAGTGTAGTTTCTTTCCGGGCAGTATAAGTCACAGCAGGATCAATACCAGAATAAGGTGTTTCATCGACAAGCTGCTTAACAGTCAAGCCGAGTTTCTGCAAACCGGCGTCCGGGCCGGGACTGTAGATAAAGAGACTACCATCCTGGCTAGGCTCAACAATCCACAAGAAATCGTCCTCAGGCTCGGTATCATCAAAGTCGGAACGATTCGCACGATGATAGATACTTTCAACAACAGGACTGGAAGGGACCTCGAGGGCCCAGCGTGCAGTCCCGGTCTTGCGATCACGGGCGTGAATAGTTCCGTCGACGGTCGCCAGTAGCACAAAATCCTCAACCTCCCAGTCCTGCAAGGACCGCGCGTGAAGCTGCGAAGCCAGGCCTGCAGCTGTGCTGCTGGCCTGGACAGGAGGGGCTCGAACGGCGCGGCCGGAGCCTGCCAGAGCCAGAGTAGCAAGGGCGCTCGCATCGTTGGGTTTCACGATGGGGGGTGCAGCTACGGGTGCTGCGTGTGTTGATGACTCTTGTGCCAGGGGCACTGAGAGGCGGGAGATCTTGTCATGGTCTGGTTGCTGCTGCGGAGCGACCAGGGCTGGCAGGAGGAGGAGGGCGACACTGGCGGGGAGGGTCGAACGGGCGCCCGGCAGCCGCCACCGCATTGTGGAAACGTCAGCACAGAGAGGGAGAAAGGTGATGGCAGAGTTGGAGGGTGGTTCCTCATGTGTTGTTGAGTTTGGTGTGGGAGGAAGAAGAGGTTCGGGTCGAGTTAAGTGTGGATCGAGCTTGCGAATCCGGGTAGCGGATCATCCCCCACAGTGGATGATTCTTGAAAATGTTCGCTGTGTGTGTGATGGTGTGTCAATGGTGAGATGAAGGATGGAAGAAAAGACAGGATGAAGATGAAAGGGGAGAAGGCAGATAGATTGTGTGTAATACACGTGTACAGTACGACTAGTGACCAGCCTCTCCCGCCTCCACAGTGTGTACCAGGAGGTACCGGTACTTTGGTCCCTTCACAGGGGGTCTGGAACATGCTGGAGACATTGGAGAATTTTGTATAGATCAAGTTCACATTGGCTTTCAAGGGCACATTTATGCATCTGAATATATCTTTCATTGCACACATTTGACATGTGTTCATGCATGCTATATCTCATGCGAAGCCGCACACAAAAAAGCTCGAAATCTACTAGTGTAGAGCAATATGTTAAAAAGTCACACCATCAAAATATTCTATTGCCCTTTCGGTAATACTGCGTTCGATAGATCATTTGATAGTTCTAGTGGCTCAGGCTCTCTACATGTTATTGTACTGTATGATCAAAGCAGAGCAAAGGATCACCCCAGCCGTCTCCACGGCGGATACACCCTTGGCCCGTCAGGGGGCCGAAAGTGACAGAACACGCTAGAAACGGAGAATCAAAAAGTCCATTGTCGTCAAATCAGAATTATGCCAGGAGGCATCCAACGCCGCAACCCCATGAAGTACACGGAAGTGCCGGAAGGGAAAAGATTAAAGAAGGAAAGATAGATACAGGGTTGTGAAAAAAAGATGCGATCATCTGAGATACGCGCATCGGAAAAAAAAGAAAATATAGAACAACAGAAGGATCACGTATGATCCCAAGAAAGGTAAGAAACACAAACAGGCCGTTTAACCACCGCGGATCATCCAGGTGACGGCGACAGCCCATCCAGTGACGAAAATGACGGTCAAGACACCCGCACCGGCTTTGTCACCGGTACCGATGGTGTTCAATACAGGGATCGCATTGTCCGAGGAGTTGGTGCCGGCATTCGGGTTACTCTTGGAGGTACCACCCGTCTCGGAACTGTAGGGCGCCTTGTTCTTGAAGGGGATCAGGTTTGCAGACAGCACACCTAGTACGGCCATTTGTTGTTCCAGTCCACTGGACTTGTCCCACTCGGCTTGTTTGGTCCAACGGATACCACACAGGTTACCAGATGTACCACCCGAACATTGCAAGGCGGCGGCCTGGGCGGATGTCCGTAGCTGGGGGAAGATCAGATCATAGGTACCGGGGACGATAGTCGTCAGCATGCCGAGCCAATTGCTGAAGTAAGCCTTGAAAGTGATCTGGTTACGATCGCAGTTCCCGAGAGGCTCACAGGTGATATCTGATAGAATCTGGCCATTGCCAGAGGCTGGGTAAAATTGCTGGGAGGTTTTGATCAGACCCTCGACACCTTCCTTCCACTTGGTCTCAGTGCCATTGGTCTAGCAACCTGTTAGCATCGAATCTCAGCCATCGAGAGGAATAACATACGTAGTTGTGCATGTACGCAGCACCGCTGATGTAGGTAGCATAGTTGTAGGTCCATTGGAAATCACCGTGATCCGTGCACTGCGTGCCGCAAGTGGTGGTGTCGGCAATATTCCAATTCTTCTGCTTGAGCAGCGGAGTGGTGGCACTCCAATCCCAAATGCGCTCGGCCCATTCGGCATATGTCTTGTTTCCGGTGTAGAGAGCAAGACGGGCGGACAGCTGGAACAATCCTCCGTTCGAAATCGCGTTCTTAGTCAAATAACCATCCTGGTACGGCCAAATCTGCCAGCGCATACCACCGTGGCAGCTGCTAGTATCCCATCGAGGATATTGCGTGTTGAACACACCCTGAGCGAGCGAGACCCAAGACGGCTCTCCGTCGAGCTCGGGGTAGTTGAATTCGGCAGCTGTAATGGCAGCAAGACCCCAGAATACTTGATCATCGTTACCAAGGTATTGACTGTAATTGCTGGGAAAGAAGTTGTCGTCGCCCTTTTGCCAGTACATGCCTTCCTGGACGGTAGCGGTGAATTGGGTGTCACCGGTCATGAACCAGTACAGAATGAGTGTCATGAACATGGAGCCACCCTCCCACCAGGTTCCGTCCATTTTACCGGGGATGTTCTTGGAATCGCGGTCGGCGTAGAATTTCATCATGTCGGTAGCGACCGTCTTGGCCGCAGCTTTGAGGGAGCCTGCGAGCGCGCATCTAGATTAGCCCGTGAATTCCGCTGGGGGGAAAAGCGACATACTCTCATCGTCGATGTTCACAGTAATCGCGAGGGCACCCTTGACGGCAAGAGCACCGCTCAGAAGAGTGGCCAGCCACTTGGAGAGAATCATCTGAAGTTGAGAGCCAAGGGCCAAGGACAAGGAGGTGATTGAGAGGAAGAAGTCAAATGTCAAAGGGTCTCAGGGTCCGGTACCGTTGCAGCCCCGGTACTGGTGGGGGCAAAGTGTTTGCGTCTAAGAATGTTCACTTTGAAAGTTTGATTTAGGAGCAGGTTTTGTTATTGGACTTAGTTATTGGTCAAATTACTCGAAGGCTTCAATGTTCTACACTGCCTAAGCGCCCCTGTCCACAAACCCCTAAAATACGATGACGGTTAGACTCCCCTGGAACCTGCAGGCAATGAAACACCAAGCTTGGCGAAGCATCCCTTGGCCTCTTCTCGGCGGCTTAACTTATGGGTAACCTCTTAGTATGCTACATATGTAACTGTGCTGAAGCCAATGGGTCTACAGACGATCATCTGGAGAAACATTCGACTCCTGTTCTGGACCAGGCCCCACGGTATGGATCGTCATTGTCAAATCGATACGAACACGAGGGATATATTGGTCTCAGATTGCTGACCATAAGACGGAGTATCAGATGCCGACTATTCCGTGCTCCATAGCTATAGGCTGGATTCTATTGTGTTGCCTGTCCTTCCTGTAGAATGAGACTGAAATTCGTCTTTGTCTCTTTCGGAATCTGGCGGCAAGGGGGTGGTGGCCTGGCATATCAGGCAGCATTCATGTCGTTGTCCACGCTAACCCTATTTGGAACATCCTTGCCTGGGGATTTAGGATACCACACAATCCTCTGACTGCTGCTGTCAGAGTGGATCTGATGAATTTACGGGGATTGTTGGGTATGCAATCATTGATACTTCACTACACTCACTACACAGCTACAATGGCCAATGTATGATCATGTACGTAGTTGAACTTCTATAGCACATTTTTAGTTTCTTCATAGAAAGGGTACAGATAATTCTTCCATGCCATCACAATCATGTCCATTACATTCGGTCGCGTCGGCGGGGAGCTGAACGGATGATGTTATCCACCCGCAGCAGAAGCTAGAATCAATGTTAGCAAAATATCCTAGACGCATATCATCAGGGAACATACCTCAGCAGCCTCTGAAGCGGAAGAGACAACAGCCTTCTTCAGCTTGTAAGCCTCCACCACACCGAGATCACGCATATCAGCAATACCACCACCGGGTGTCAACAGGTCAAGACCGGAGCTGGTCATGCCATTGTTGATGGCCTGGCGCAGACGGGTGACGAGATCGGAGGAGTCGAGACCGGCGTTGTCAGCCAGAATGGTGGGGAGCTGCTTAAGAGCCTGGGCGAAAGAGTCGACGGCAAGCTGCTTCTTGCCGGTTGTGTTCTGGGCAGCCTGTTCGACAGCCTTGGACATGACCATCTCGGCGGAACCACCACCGAGTGTGACGCGGGGGTCCTTGACGGTCTGAGACAGAACGGCGAGGGCATCGTGGAGCGAACGCTCAGCCTCGTCGAGGAGCTGCTCGGTGGCACCGCGCAGCACAATGGTGCAGGCCTGGCCAGCGGCCACACCAGAGAACTTGATGAGAGTGTCCTCACCAATGATAACTTCCTCAATCAAATCACAAGATCCGAGCTTGACTTGTTCGGGGTGGTCGAAGGTAGAGGCAATCTCGCCGCCAGTAACGAGAGCGAGACGCTCAATACCGTCAAAGTCGGCGTGCTCAATGGACATGATGCCGGCCTCGGTGAACAGCTGCTCGGGCCAGTTGTAGATCAGCTGACGGTTGACGAAGCAGTTGATACCGTGAGCCTTGATGCGCTCAACCTTGGCGCGCATCTTCTCACGCTCGGCCTTCTCCAACTCGGCGAGCTTGCCTGTGGACTCGACCTTGACTCGTGCACCGAAAATCTTGACCTTATCAGTGTCCATTGCCGTGTTGGCAACCAGGATCTTGGCATTCTCCAGACGCTTGGGCTGATTGACACCGATTTTCTTGTCCAGAATGAAGCCCTCGTCCAAGTATGAGTCGCTGAGCTTGCCACCGGCTTTCTTAATAATCTGGATGTGGGAAAGGTCCGTGGAGCCCTTGAGACGGAGGACGGCCTCACAGGCCAACTGGGCGAACTGGTCACGATCTTGTGCAAGCACCTTCGAGCTGAGTGTTGTGCGGGCGATGGCGTGCAGGTCCTTACGGAAAGCCTCGGGGTCTTGGCTGCGGTCGACGGCCGTAGCCTCAAGAGCGGCCAGGGCAGCCTTGCTGGCTATCCGGTATCCCTCGATGATAGTCTGGGGGTGAATCTTCTTGGCAACGAGCTGTTCGGCCTCACGGAGGAGCTCGGCGGCGAGAACGGTAACCGATGTAGTTCCATCACCCACCTCGTCGTCCTGAACCTTGGAAATGTTGACCAACACCTTAGCCGCAGCGTTATCCAGAGCAATAGACTTCAAGATCGTAGCACCGTCGTTCGTCACGAGGATCTCTCCCGTTGAGCTGTAAAGACAGTATTGTCAGTATTCCCACCACAATATATTGATAATCAATAGCTCCCCCACGTACGCAGACTGTAAAATCTTATCCATTCCCTTGGGGCCGAGGGTACTCTTCACGAGATCTCCGACGGCGATAGCACCGACGAAGGCAGACAGACGGGCATTCTCGCCCTTCTCCTCAATGACATCGTCGCCAAAGATCTGTGTGGGATTGCCGAAAGACGCCTATGAGGGGCAGAGGTTAGTCAACGCAAATAATTTTCACACATTCAACAGATACAGGCGACATACCATGATAACCAGCTGTATAAGGCAATCGACCAAAGATCAAATGTCTCGCTGGAAAGTGTTGAAGCAACTTCTCCTGTCAACAGTGGGGTGAGGGAAAGGAGAAAAGTTGCCGTCGGTCCAAGCTCTTGATTGGACGCAGCCCATCACCGCCCGCAATACCTCGCGACTTCTGCTTTCTATCAGTGTCTCCCTTGGCTAAATTGATCTCAATTCTCTCAATACTACAATGTCAGACTCCGGAGAAGTTGCACAACCTGCTGCGAACAAGCGGCCCCATGCTGATGTCGATGCTGAGAACAGTGAGTCTTCCGCAAGCTGGAGACTGCCAGACCGCTTCCTCTTGCATAGATACTGACGGTATGCGATTGCTAGGTGATGACTCTTCCGACGATGATTTCGGCCCGGCGCTGCCCTCAGAAGTCGCTCCTAAGAAGAAGCGCAGAAAGCTCCCCTTTGAAAAGGTCTACGTGAATGCGCTACCGGCCTCGGCGCGATACTCCAAGTCGCTGATGCACAAGGATCAATTGTCTTTTGTGACCGTTGCGCCCTACACGGACTTTGTGATCACCAGCTCTGTGGATGGAGTTGTCAAATTTTGGAAGAAGATGGCCGAAGGTATCGAGTTTGTGAAGGAGTTCATTGCTCACCCAGGTGAGATCCGAAGTGTAACTGTCAGTGCCGACGGCCGCAGCTTTGCGACTGCCGGAGTGGACAAGACAGTTAAGATCTTTGATGTCATTACATTCGGTAGGTTCATTCTGTCCCCCATATTGAACTTTGATACTGATAGATGTAGATCTCTTGGCCATGTATACCCTGGAATTCATGCCCCGTTGTGTCTGCTGGGTGCACCAGCGCGGGGCATCTCTCCCCCTTCTTGCCGTGACAGACGAATCAAGCAATACAGTGCAGGTATTTGACGGACGTGGCGAGAATCCTACCCCGTTGCACACCGTGAAATCCATCCACCGCAGCCCAGTAGTGTCAATAGCATTCAACAACGCCTTTGACTGTGTCGTTTCAGCCGATGAATCAGGAATGATCGAGTACTGGCGCGCAGGAGATGGCTCTTTTGAGAAGCCCGACAATGTTTTCGAGCTCAAGTCCTCAACCAACCTCTTCGCCTTCAAAAAAGCCAAATCCGTCCCAGCAGCCATTACAATCTCCCCATCAGGCGAACATTTGGCAACAGTCTCTTTCCCCGACCGCCAGGTGCGAGTTTTCGACTTTGCAACCGGCAAGCTATACCGTACATACGACGAATCAATAACGACAATCACGGAAATGCAGCAAGCCGGAACAGCACCATACCCTCTCGATGAGATCGAATTTGGCCGACGTCTCGGTGTCGAACGTGAAATCGAATCTGACGCAACCCGCCATAAGGTCAACGTTTCCTTCGACGAATCAGGCCACTTCCTCCTTTATGGCTCGCTCTACGGAATCAAATGCATAAATACCTACACAAATCGCGTAGTCCGCGTCTACGGTCGAGACGAACCCTTCCGCTCCCTGAACCTGGCACTCTATCAAGGCCAACCCCAACGAAAGGGCGTGGTAACAGTCTCAATGGCAGCCAGCAGCAATCCCCTCCTCCAAGAAGCCGAAGAACGTGACCCAATCCTAATAAGCACGGGATTCGCCAAGGTCCGCTTCTACATGTTCACTAATGACACAGAGATTTCAAAGGGAACGCGAGACGTGCAAAACGAAAAGCCAACCCAATCGGCTGGCGACACAGGCGCAGCCATGACCAAGTCCGCAGAAACCGGAACAGCAGCAGTCCTGCACACAACCATGGGCGATATCCACCTCCGTCTCTACCCCTCTGCCGCACCAAAAGCTGTCGAGAACTTCGTCACCCATGCTCGCCAGGGCTACTACAACAATACCATCTTCCACCGTGTGATCCGCAAATTCATGATACAGGGTGGAGACCCGCAGGGCGATGGCACAGGCGGCGAGTCGATCTGGGGCGGGGAGTTTGCGGACGAGTTCTCCGTTCTCAAGCATGACAAGGCTTATACATTATCGATGGCGAATGCCGGACCGAATACCAATGGTAGTCAGTTCTTTATTACGACGGAGAAGACGCCGTGGTTGGATAATAAGCATACTGTCTTTGGGCGGGCTGTGCAGGGTCTTGATATTGTGCATAAGATTGAGAATGTCAAGACGCACAAGGAGAAGCCGGAGGTTGACATTAAGATTGTTAGCATTAGTGTTTCTTGAAGCCAGCGGTGGTTGGTCGGCTATACGGGGTGTTTCATGTATGTATCTGGGATCATGAATCAGATTCTCAGATTGTGTGTAGCTATGCTGCACGCGTTGTAATATGTACCAAGTCCATTCCTGAATTTGACTCCTAGAGTCCGAGGAAGCAGATATAGAAAGTGACGATCGTCACGAACAAACAAGAAACCAGCATAGAACACAGATCCACGGACCTCAGAACTCCATTGCGCTCCTCGAAACGAGAAGGAAAGGAAAAGAACAAGAGAAGGGAATCAAAACCAAACTGAAAAATAAAAGATAAAAGAAACAAATAGAAAGAAGAAGAACAAATCCCATCCCACATTAACACCAAAGATATGCAACATAAAACAACAAAACAAAAAATGCCACAAACCAGCCCCATAAAACAAATCAATCAAATTAAAAATCAAACCTGCCTAACCTCCACATCCCCAGTCTCCTGCGGAATCTTCGTCAAACGCGACCGACTCCCAGAAACAGGCGTAGAGACCTTAGGAGCAACATTCGACAGCGAGCTAGAAGCCACTGACGACGGCGCACCGAGGCCACGGCCCTGAATTGGCATAGGCGCTGGGTCCCAGGCGGCATCACGAGGACCAGATGGCGGAGAAGCGGTGCTGAGGACGCCGCTGCTGCCGCCATGGTAGAGGTTCGGTCGTTTGGCGTCGTAGCGGCGTTTGAACCAGACGCCTAGGGCAGCGATGATGCCGAAACCGATTGCGAGGACGATTAACATTATTACCCATTGGTAGTGGGTGCTCCACCTTCAGGTTGTTAGTATTCGGTCTGTGTATAGTGGATGGATGCGCATGTTTCCGTGTATGTGTATGTGTATGTGTAGTGACAGCGGGGGTATACATACCAAGACTTGTTTTCCTCCGTCTCTGACGAGGATTTATTCGAATTGGCACTGCTACCAGATGTAGATGTAGCGGTTGAGCTGGCGGCCGATGAAGTAGTCGTTGCTGTATTGGAGGTTTCCTTTCCACCAGAGTTACAGTAGTTGGTATACCAGGTTGAAACTTTAGCCTGGTCATCGGTGCCACATTCCGAGCAGACGGCGCCGGAAGTCTTGAGGTTCGATATTAAAGAGGACTGGCAGAAGCAGGAAACCCAGGTTGAGGAGTCTGCGGCCTGAGTGCAGGTGTCTTGGGCGGCATAGAGCTGGCTGCAGGTCAGGCCGCATGTTGGGAAAGTGCTGGAGGCTGCTGTTGGGATTAGGTTCTTGTCTGCGGCGAGTGTTGTTGTGAGGAGGGCGAGGAGGGCGAAGAGCGCGCTGAAGCGCGGTGCGAGTGGCATCGTGGGGTTCTTTCTTTTTTTTTTGCTCGGTCGGGGTTTGTTGTACTGCAGAAGGGGTCACGACTTGGATTGGAGGTGTCGGAGGCTCTATTGGAAGTGATTCTCAGAGTTGGACCATATTGCAATGAGGGGAGGTTCAGGAAATGAGGGAGAGAAATTGGGGTTTAGTCCCGAGCCATGCCGGATTCAGGGTCTCGAGTTTTTTTCCCTCGTTTAACTGGGGCCTAAACATACAATAATAGTTATAGTTACTTCACAATATTACCTATGGTGTCATTCAATCTAGTCACTCTCTGGATCTACTCTAATAAGTTCGCATGCGGCCCCCTTTTTCCGCAACCGGCTCCTCGTGGACCAACATTCCCTTTCCCGACATTCTGACACCTGTCAGATCCTAAGAATGCTGGAAAGGCAGTCTACAATACCATGCTGAACATTCAAGCTATTCAAGAGTTCAAGGTTCGATCCGGAGTGCACATCGCAACTGGATGCAGTAAGGATTGTCCGTAAGGCTCTACACACATCTCACGTACATGCATTATTGTGTTGATACTGGGGTCGGCTGGGCCCAGCCTCTCATGCAAGGGGCGAGAGTCTCGAATTGTTTATTTTCATCTGACTTTTCCGATTTACAGGTTCGCAGGCTCATTCTACAGGTATAAAATCTGTAACTCGCCCTGGCCGTCCTTCATCAAGACCAAACGAAGGGCCCACTGCGATCGGCAGTGGTTAACCGTTGCGGACCGTCGAGTGGATGAGGGCAAGAGATCTGGGCCTGCAGGTGAAATTTGATACTGTACACGTACTTACTCTTGATTACCAGGCTATCCTTCTTCGTATGAAATTAGATAGCAGTCGGCTACTCGGGAATTTTCGCCTGTGACTCTGTTTTCTCTGCATTTCTTTGGTTCGCGCATGCGACAATTTCCACCGATTGGCTCGGACCCTTTGCTCAAGATAATTTCCCGTTCCTTGTCTATTTCGGTCAATTTAGTGCTCACTACTGCATGTAACTTCTTTGACTACTTAGCCGAGCCAATCAATTCCTCTGCTCCCCTGGCTAAGCTGTGGATGTCCATATTTCAGTCTCCGTATGCGGGGATAAAGTTGCGCAATATTACCGAGACATTGTAAGCACATGTTGCTTATCTTGTACTTCGCTGGAAACTAAAGCTATTCCGAGACATTCTCTGTGGCTTTGGTAATAGAGATAGCCCTAATAGTACTTGTACGGTGTTGGGATTTGTTTAGGTGCCCGCAGGTTCTAGTATATATTTCAGTAATTACTTTGGTATACTGAGCAATAGCTTTCTGGCAAATCTTATGTTTAAATGATCATCCGAATTTTATCCACATTGACTTCAGTAAGAGCGTAGTAACCCATTGCTTGTGTTGGCTCTACCCCCCAGCCCAAATCCTCCAACCGCAAGGTGCATGATAGCCAACCAAAGTATCCACACCAACCAGAGGAATCATGCGCCACAATTAGCCCCGAAAAGGCCGAAGACTGCGCGGATTCGCGAAACAAAGCCGTTTATTATGATCCTCAAAGAAAGGCAGGGGTTTCCAGCCATGCGAATTGTGTATAACTGCAAGTTGCTCAGCGAGCACCTGATCCAGAGACTCTTTTCTGTAGATCCTAGGATGATTCTGAGATAGTCGAAGGACGTAGGTTGGGATACGACTCTTGTCATGCTGGGCAGTATTGTAGTTATATCGGGTATTGTTGACATCAACAACAAAATAAGAATGTCGCCCGGGGTATATGGCTACAGCGAGGAAGCGTGTCTGGCAGTCTGGACGATGTTCGTGGAGTGTGTCCTCGACCTTCGATACAAATGGGCGTATAGACTTGAAATAATCTTCACAGTCAAGAGCTCTGTTTGGGGTATCGCCAAGTATTCGAATTGGTGATGCATTGATTTTCTCCGGTAGGCTTCTTATGATATCTGGAATATGACCCAGGAGATGATCGCGAAGATGTTGCTTTGAGTCCTCCATTTCTGATATAATGAACATTAAGACAGTCGAAGGCAAAAACTAGAATATCTTTTGTAATTTGGGAGGTGAGAGATCAGCACTAGTCTTCCTGTCCAGCTTTATTATATAGTTGAGTTCACACCGCCGTTTAGGTAACAAGACCAATGCATTTGCGGTCCCCTTGCATGCAGAGCCGCACAACCTCCAAGTAAAGCTTTGTCCCACAATTGACGATGGAAATAAATCATTCGTAAGTCGCAAAAAGATCTTGAGATCCCTGAAGCTCATCTCGGATAATTCTGGCATGCTGATTGGACCGGGGAACAAATTGGATAGGGACCTTTTTAGGCGCAACAATAATCCCATCTGTGAAACCAGAGCCTATATCCATGTCAAGGCTTTCCAAGCTGTCAGGTCGGATATCGAAAAGCCAAACCATTTTTGCCATATTAAGCATCTATAGAAGCGATTAGCGGCTACTGAGCCTTTCTCATTAACTGACTTCCACCAAAACTAACCAATGAGTTTTGAGCCAACCTCTGACCAGAGCAGACACGCCTTCCAGCACCAAAAGAATACGTAGTTCTGCGGTGATCGTCATCGATATCTGCCGTCGACTTACAACCGAACTTGTTGTTAAGCCAGCGAGCCGGTTCAAACTTCTCGGGTGAATCGTATTCGCCTTCGTCCATGTGAATGGCCCATGCATTATAAAACACTATAGTTCCTTTGGGGATGAAGTAGCCCTCATAGCTGTCATCTTCTGTCAACATGTGAGGGATGCCACCAGGTGCAATTGGACGCCATCGCAGAGTCTTTAAAAGTCAGTCATTTCATGCGTAGCCGGACCTTGACAATTCCAGTACTTGCCTCCTGCATACAACAATGCACGTATTCTAGCTTCTCGATATCATCGAAGTTTGGAGAGCGATCGATGCCGCAAACACGATCTACCTCTTTTTGTGCTTGCTTCAGAATTTCTGGATGTTGCGCCATGGCAAGCACGAATGCCAGCAAAGTAGACGATGTGGTATCTGATCCAGCCTCCATCTATATTCACAATTAGCCTGAGAAATTCAGGCTCTTGTTCCATATGTTTCATACCGTTATCCCTCCCAGGTAGGCCATCTGCTCAGGGGTGAAATTATTCTTCTCCTGATCTTCAATGACCTTCTGCATAAAACAAGGTGGCGAGATCTTCCTCTGAATGCGATCTTTTGTTTCATTCAGCAGAGTATGATAAAGCAAACTTTGTTCTTTTCTAATCTCCCTCGCCTCAATCTTCCATGGACTAAGAAATTCCGGAATATACTTCAAGAACCCAAAGGCATCTACCGGAGGAGTTGCGCCTGGCTCGAGAATTACCGTAAATCGGTCTTCCACACGGTACAAAGCCTGAACTTTGGGTGACTGGAAACTTGCTCCTCGCTGACCAAAGACAGACGCGAGAATGACTGCAGTCGAATAGCGCCGGATGTGGTCGTAATAGTTTGAAGGCTCGTCAAGCAGGTCGCACATTGTTTGTGTAGACTCGGCTACTTGCAGGGGATGCAGCGCATCGACAGCCTTCGCGTTGAGGAACATTTGTACGGCTTTGCGCAAAGCTCGCCACTTTGGGCCGTATGATGCGAACAGGATGTGGATTTCATTTGGACATAGCAGTTCCCCGTTGACGTAGCTTTCGGGTCGACTGGAGTATTTGGCACCGCGTTTGTCGAAGAGCCTATCGCAATTAACTTCAAGTGTTTGAATATCTTTGCTTTTTTGGACCTGACATACTCTTTCACATGGCGGTAGCTGTTGAGGACGACGGCATTCTTAGGACCCAACTTGAAGCCGATGATGTTGCCATATTCCTTACCCCATTCCTGCCACCTACATTTGGTCAATTATCCCTTACTTGGTAAAAATGGGCCTTAATTAGATAAAATTCAAAACTTACCGTAGAAATCCTTTACGGAGTGGTATCTGATGGAGATTGCCAATGATAGGAAGGCATGGTGGACCTGGAGGGAAGTCCTTCGGTCGTTGGCTTGCGAGAGCGTACTTGAAGACAGAAATTATTAGTAGAACCATAGTCCCGCAGACAGCGAGCTCAAATGGAGCCATGGTAGAATGTGGAATTTCCCAAGATATTATGACTGTTTGAAAAAGTACGATAAACCCCAGGATAGCTCTTCTGGACATTTAGACATTGTCAATGGTATATGTTAGTATCTTAAATACTCTTCCCCTCTTCCCCCACCGTAATTTCGCGCCCTAGCCGAGATTTTATAGGACAATGCATGCCTTTTTAGCTGCGTGACGGATCGACACGGCAGAGCCAGTAGGAAAATTATCATTAGTGACATCTCCACCATTACATAGACGACTGTTTCAAATGATAGGCAATTGCAAGGATTGGCTTATAACACGCCAATGGACGCATAGGTCTAGTATTGTCACAGCGCTGTGAACCGAGACGACTTCGGAAGCCCACTCTATGGCCGAACTAGAGAGAATGTGTAATATTACACAGCAGGCGTAACCAACGGTCAAAGCAATAGTGACCGTTACCAATTAGGCTTGAAGAGCCTCATATTCTCAGACATATTTATCATAGCCGACGCCCACTTGCAGACTACACTCATCTAGCGTGGCGAAGTCAAGTAATTCTTTAGAGAGGAGAGCGGCAGCAGGAGAAACTACCTGAAGGAGATAGATAGTCTGGCTCTAATATATGAAGATATGAAGGGTGTCCTAGGATTTGTTACCATTGGTCATGAACATATACACCGGAGTTTAGGCCACACGACCTGCCTTTCCACTTCCGTTTTAGTGCTCAGCCCTTGCTGCTTTTTGCTCGCTGGTTTTTGCTCGCTGAGTAGAACTAAGCACGCTGTGAGTATTACATAAGCAACAAAACCGCTCCCTGAGTAACGTAATTCACGAGCGAACAGCCCACCAACAACCTTGGTCTATCAATTATAAATGAATTTACCTCAACCAAAACGCCAATGAATTCAATAAGCTTAGAACGAGTTCTATCAGTACATCTAGTCAATACATGACGGTCATCCTTTGTCCCACATAAGCTGCACGTCGGTAGACTTCCGCACAACCCAGCCTAACCCGGGCCTAACCCGAGCCCTACGTAGGAAGATGGCATTAAAGGGAGGTTATGTGACGGCGTATTAGGGCACTGAGCCCAAAAAAGCAAATCTAACTCGAAAATCGAATTCACAGGTCCGCCGGTTACATATATTTACACATAGAATCTGAGGACCTGTGGAATTGACACCCCAAATGACCGCTTCCGACGCCAGAAACGGCCTGCTTTCCACCAGTGAGTTTGGACGGAGCTTGCCCTTGATCACACACTACCTGTATCCCGCCTAGCACTGTCAGTCAGCAACGTTCGCACTTCAATTTCGCTGGACAGCCTCATCGACCATGAAAGTGAGCAAAGTGATTTTTTGCCACTCGACAGGAAAGCATTGGCCAGTGGTTCTTGGACTCCGATGAATTTCAGCGATGGCTGAATGAGCTCAACCAGACATTGCTCTGCCAAGGCATCCCCGGGGCCGAAAGACCGTCATGAAATCGATAGTTGTCCATGATCTGCATCAAAGATTCTCGTGAATCAACGGTGTCGGTATCACCTATGTATATGGCAATTTCCTGCGCCGCAACGAGCAGCAGCTCCCAGCCATTCTTTCCTCCCCTACTCAAAAAACTCTGCCAATAGCTCCCCGAACTCCCTGCTTGTGTCACCGAGGCCTATGAGCGATTTTGGACCCACCGTACAGTTATTACTTGAAAGGGGTTCTGATTGTAATAAGATAGAGCGAACGCCTCTAGCATGGGCAGCCGAACGATCCGCCGTGCATGCAGCTCGAGTCCTGCTTGACGCAGGAGCTAATGTCAATCATGTCGATTATCTGGGCTGCACACCACTATCATATGCCGCAGGAATTGGAAATCCCGAAATACAGCTTTTACTTCAGAGAGGAGCAAAGTTCGACAAAAAGTGCAACGCCGGACAGACTCCTTTCGCCAAAGCCTGCTATCGAAATGACAGCAAAGACCGCGACGCTATCATCGGATTTTCCTGACTCATGATGTTGCTCTAGTAGCTGCGATAAAGGATCGTCTAACCTTTGACAATATCTCGTGCAATGGGCGAGGACACAAACAAAAGGATTTTGTTCAGAAGCTCGAGGAGAAATCTCCTTTAAGCAGAAGCGCGTCACTGCTTTTGGCGTCGCGTGAGGGCAATCTGGCCGATGTCAAGCGTTTGTTGAACGACGGTGCGAATTCTGATTATGGAGACCCGCCCTGGGGCAGGTCTCCTCTTTCTCAAGCAGCCGAGTATAACGAGACTGCTGTCATTAATCATTTGCTAGAGAGTGGTGCCTGCCCAGATATGCTCGACACAAATGGATATGCAGATTCGCGAAACAACGCGGACAGAACTCCTCTGATGTGGACCATCACAAACGGTCATGCCGGGCCATTCAGTGCCCTTTTGAAGCACAACACAGATCAAAACAAGGCAGGCGAGGACAAAATTAACGGAGGGGCTCTCCATTGGGTTGCTGAACGTGGTCGTACTGAGATGATAAAGATTCTGCTGGAGAAGTATCCTCCGATTGACGTTCGTGACAGCCATCATCAGACCTCTCTCCAGGGCCACAGAAAAGGGTCCTTTACAGCCAGTCAGACTTCTGTTGGAACACGGGGCCGATCCGAAATTGGCCGATAAGAACGATCGACAAGCGCTCTCATGGGCTGCAGAGAATGGCCACAAGCAGGTTGTGAGTTGCCTTCTTGAGAAGGTGGGAGAAGATTTTAATCTACAAGATCATAATGGCAAGACTCTACTTCACTATGCGGTATTGAAAAGTCGCGGGGATGTTGTTAGTATGCTTCTGTCAGAAGGGGCCAACCATTCAACGAAGGACCGAGATGGTCGAGATGCATTGCATTGTGCAGTTCAAAGTGGCAACAAGGCTGTCATTGAAGCATTCAGTGCAAATAGAATAACTGTAAGCGAATAACCAAGCAGACTCCGGCGAGTTATTTGTGCGCCTCAGTGTACAGCGGATGATTTTCAAGGTTATAGCAGATTGCAACTTCGAGGCGTAGTAATATGTCTTCAGATCATTGGTTTACACTTGTTCATTCTACCCCCAAGCTGGTTTAGATTCACAAGAGAGGGAAACAAAAGACGTATGGAAGGAGCACGATATAAAGAGGAAAAGTCCAGTAACCGAGCTAACTAAAGCTGAGAAGAAATAAGAGCCAACGATGACTACTACCACATATGTCTAAGGTACCGGTCATTGATACCTTACTATAGACAAGTATTGTAAGCCACTCGCAAAGAAAAGTAGCATGCATGTCTTTTTGACTACAAGGTGTTCGCTAGCTCTCATGACGATCCAGAGCGGCTTTCAAACCAAGCATCCAGTTGGTCGCATTGAACGTAACATTGAAACAATGCTAATGTATGTAGGCCATTTGATCACACTCTCTTCATGTACAGCTCAGCCTTGCTAGTTTCATTTCCAGTCTTACTCGCAGCAACGCAAGGTTTGTGACCTGTCACGTAGTACCTGCTGGATGGCTGCTTGATCGACATGTACTTCTGTCTTGGCTGCCGGCTGATCGACAACCAACAAAGAAAACAGCTCAGCCTATCAGCGCATGTACGAGTCCAAATTCAGATGTTGGGCTGTCAGCCTGTCAGAACCTACGTTGCTGCCTAGTAGGGGTCCAGGAGAATCCCCACCCTGGAAGAGAACTCTCTCTGTCCCCTCGTTCAAGTTGACCTATACAACGATTTAAGTCCTCGTCTGGTTCCACCGTATCAACTCTTTCAACTCTTTCCCTTCCTCACTTTCTTCTTTCTCTGACCCGAACTCTGATTGAATCTTTAATCAAAATTGCCAGCGTCCCAAAATGGACCACCTCCGTGATTCTCTGCTGAGCTCTCTGCCTAGAGACACGCCGTCTATCGCAACAGTCGACCATGCTCGCAGGGATCAGGAAGATACACGCCAGTCTGTCGCTCGGGGTGAATTCAAAGAGGTTCGAGATATAGCCTTCAGCAACCGGACCTGGGTCGTTACCAGCCGATACTGCGATATTGGAGATGGTGTAGACTCCCTTGAAGGCCACATTCATTCCCTGTGGTATATGTACTACGAGCTTGGCCGAAACATTTCCTCCGAATCACCTGAACATGAGGGAATAGTCCTCGATATTCTCCGCATTCAAGGAATGGGGCCGTTGACTAGACCTGCACGCGGAGTCTATGGGATTGACATCGCAAGAACCGTCGACGGTACACTGTGGAACGATCTCCCCTTCTTGGTTGGCGATATGACCAATTTCTGGGTCAATCACGGTGCATCTATGTCGGGAACACACCGTCTCAACTTTGCAACATTTCTGGCTAAACTTGCATCCACCCGTGTCGCCAAGGATAGGCTATGCCAAGTTGCACTTCTAATCTTCCGTACTCTCTTTGAAAGCCTTCAAGCACTTCGCACTGGGGAAGAGTCAGACGAGGAAGACCTCAACCGGGGCACCAAGCAGCTTGAGGTCTTTCATTTATTGCCAGCTGCTGTTGCTTGGCTGAAAATAGCAAGCCAAAACCTCCTCTTGCTATCAGACATGTATTGGAACGACTGCCCTAGCCACATCAGCAAGGGTGGTAGGGAGTTCCTCGAATCGGAGCTCGGACAGCGATCACCTGCTGGGTTCTCGCCATGGAGATACATGTTCTGGCTGAAGCGACTTCATGAGATTCAGGAAGAAGCCAAGGAGGCCAATGAGAAAGCCCTGGAGGAGCTTGCCACTGATGGCATCCAGTACATGATCAACACAATCAAGCAGAGGAATGCTGAAGTCCTCAGGGCTTACAAGAATGGTGGCGATGCCCTGCATCAAGATAAGCATCTTTCGTGTCTGAAGCCCTTTGCACGCATCGAGGAGCCAGAGTCGTGAATACTTGGATGTAGTTTGGAGAAAATGTCGAAAATTCCATGTAGACATTGCCCCGTCCGCTCATTCTTCCTCGGTCTCTTGACTCTTCAAGTTGAATTTTACGCTCTTTGCTCCTTACCGTTAATCTTTTATCAAATCTGCATCTGCTCTGTCCTTCATAATGAAGCACTAGCGAAATTGAATGCCTTTTGTATCTAAATTCCACGTCCACAATAGGTCTATCCACATATCCTTGAAATTTGCCTCTACTTGGTTGAACTTGGGCCTAATCAATGATCATTTAAGAACTAGTCAACTATAAGTTCACGATATATATGAATATGAACATCGTGTATTTCTCAGGTTGTGAGATTCTCCGGTCCGATAGAAAGTACCATCATCTGGTGACACAAAATAGTGGCCGTTTTGGATGGGGGCTATTCAGCGCTTGCTATTCAACACGGATGGAAACCCAGCCGTTTCTGCTCAATAGCGCCAAAGTCTGTTGTTTTGTCAACCCCAAGGTCCTCGTGATTCGTTTGCCGACTAATCAGATCATAATCAACCCACACCAGCGAGCCTGAGACATAGAAGAGATACAAGGCCATTGGCCAGCTTTCTTTTACCTTCTGAAGCAACCATTACGTAATCAATAAGTACCAAAAATAATCCTGGAGCCTTGAGGTCTTCGTGTACTCATAGGTCCGCCTTGTAGTTTCTCCGTACAGCAAAATAACGCGTCCATCTTCACTCCAATAATTCCCGAGATTATATACTATTCGAAGTTTAAAATTAGTTTTCATAATGACAACTTTCTCAATTTTGGCCTTTCTATTTCAAAGGGCTTTGATGGCCATATCTAATATCTAGATTGTGACCCCAAAATTATCTCAGCCCTAGGCGAGAATCAGATTCGGGTCGGGCCGGACCACAAAAGACTTGGCGCATGAAACTTGGCGCATGAAAGGAATTGATCTCCGGATGAATCGTTGATCATTCTTTGTTGCCTCAAAAGGCTTAGCCTTGGAATTTCACTGAATGCAATATTGCTCCAGAGCAGGATACTGCCATAACAAAAGGAACGAGGTTTCTGATTCCTGATTTGTTTTATTTACCCCTCAAACAGTATACATAAGCCCTAGAAGCTACATACATAGTATTGCAGGCTGTAATAGATGCATCTACCCATGAGGCTCCCATTCCAAGGTTTTTGCGGACCTCTGGCGACCCTGCACCTAATTCACTCCACTTCCTTGTTTTGTATATCTATATCCATTACTTACTTTCACATTGCAGGTGTCTTGAAGCTTGCAGTGTTACATCGCATAAACGCCCTCGTTCGTCAGACTTTTGCCCCAGCCTTGCAGCAGGTCACAAGGCTGTGTATGCACCGTTTGCGGCTCGACCGATGGGGCAGATCAGTAGTACCGTTAGCATTGAGCCAATGATACCACTGCCTATTATATACCCCGCTTGAACGACATACTCATCTTTTCGGGGATCTGAAGATCGTTCTCCCTTGCAACATCACCGAGAATGTAAGGCCACCCAAAGCTTCAATATTTTGCTATTAAATTGGTTGCCTCGATCCTTCTGCACGGGCTATCACGCCCCAAAGTGGTACAATTACCAACAGCTCGACTACTTCACCTAAAAGACCATACCAACGAACAAGTTAGTTTTTATTGCATACATGAGGCATATCTTTTATTGGATAGCTTGGATGATCGTTCAACCGCGGCCCCAATGATGACCGCATCGAATTTGAGGATGGTATTTGTCAGATATCGTAGTAAGTATTCGGCATTGTCTATATGAGACGCCTTCACGGCGCTCCAATTTCTAAAATATCAATCTTATCAACACCATTTCTCTCTCGACTACTAAGCCGCAATCTTCTACAAGACCAATCTTGCAATATGCAGATCATCAGCATTGCCATTGTTCTCTTCGCCGCAATGGGCGCGGTTGCTACTCCTATCGCGACCGAGTCGGACGATCTTGATGCCCGGGACGTACAGCTTAGTAAATACGGAGGAGTAAGTTCTTCTCATGAGATGTCTATATAGAGACAACACTGACCTTTCCGAACCAATTTACAGGAATGCAGCTTGAAACACAACACGTGCACATACCGAAAGGACGGAAAGGACCACGTAGTCAACTGCGGCTCAGCCACCAACAGGAAGGTAAATCCTGGTTCGATTCCTGGCGAATTGATCTGTTCTTATCATTTAATCTTCATCTACAGTGCAAGACCGATCGCCACCACTGTGAATACGATGATCACCACAAGACAGTCGACTGCCAGACCCCAGTTTGAACCAATTATACGGTTCCACAAGAAACAGAATCCTTGGATGTTTTGATTATTCTCCAATCATCATAGGGGTGAGATGGTTCGTGTCTCTCAATGCCAATGATCTTACGTCAAGGAGGGTTTGGAACAAGCAGTGAATTCTGTTTGTATTGGGGTGATGTATTCATACATTCCCAGTATTTCTTTTTGTTTACAGCTCTCGTTAACACCACACTCGTTCGGTATCTAGCTAGCTCTACTTTTATCAACATGTTGCCTATTGACTACCTATTCTATTGAGTAATATTGCTAGTAGCAGTAGCATTTCTGACACCAGGGGTAGAATATAAAACCTCACTCAAGGGACCAAGTCAGCAGTTAAGTTTCCAGGTTCAACTTGAAATATTCTCTATAACTCCTGCTTGTATAAAGAGCAAAAAAATTAACAAATTTAGCTCTATGTCTGCTTGGATGCATCTTTCAGACAATTATCTGGAATGAATGATGATTTTTGTTTATTTGAGATATTCGAATTTAGCTAGATGACAGTATACATTAACTTTGATATGTTAGCCAGTTGGGCCCTCAACAGTCCAATGACAGGCGAGTGGAGCATTGAAACCCAAGCACTTGTCTCCCCGCACTCTTCCCACTTCCCATCTCCAACTTCACCAACACCAAAATGCCTCCATTACCTTCCCGTCAGCTCCTCACAGCCCTCGTCACATCTCTCAGCAATACGCGCTGGACATTGACCCGCACCCTCCGGAGCGAAAACCCCCTCGATCTCAACGGCGAGCTCCGTGGCAACGCAACCTTCACCCCCCAACCCCCCACCAACACCACCACCACCAACATCACCACAACAGACCAAGACTGGCTCTACTGCGAAGATGGCGAGATCCCAAACACAATCAACATAGGCGCCACCCAACCCGGGCTACGCTGGACAAAGAAATACATCTGGCGCCTAAGCCCGGAAACCGGGCGCGTAAGCGTCTGGTTCGTTAAAGTCGCACCAGGCCCAGAAGAAGCCGACTACCTATTCCACGACTTCGAATTCGACTCAGAGAGCGGGTTACTAGATTCCACAGAAGTGAAATCCGATGCGCAGAATGATCCCGGCGAATTTGTCGCTCCGCCCGTTCCGTCCGCTGTGTTAGCTACAGGATCTGGGAATGAGACAACTGTGTTGAATGCACGCGGCAATCATCTCTGTATTAACGATATGTATCGCACCGCCTATGCATTCAGGATCGAGCCTGAGACCGGGGCTGTTATTAGTTGGGCTAGTCGGCATGTTGTGCGTGGCCCGAAGAAGGGGCAGGATATTGTCAATCAGTATGTGAGGGGTGTTTGAGCTACGACTTTTTAGATGTTTAGACGTTTATACCATGCAACGGTTATGAAATAGACCACGACGTTCAATTCTTACTCGACTTCACTCCGGCACTGCCTTTAAAGGGTATATATAAAGTCTGGCCGCTTATCTCCCAGCAACTCGATTTGACTTGGTGTCATGCCTTCGATTGACTGGTCCCGTTCGCCGCGTCTGCGCTTGGCATTCTCGCGTCGCAGTAGGAAGTACTGCACGATGGAACCGCCGAAGAGGAAGAGAACGAGGTAGCCTAGCACGACTCCGTGGCCGGGATAATATTCTGGTTTGTCGTCGTCACGGTAGATGTTGGATGAGACGATTCCGTTCAGATTACCCCAGCCGATGATGAAGCCGAGAGAGACACCGCGTTTGTATACACCTAGAAAGATAGCGGATGTTAATTTCAGCTTCCATGCTCCCAGAGAGAGGTCTCACCTTCGGTGTTGTTACTCGTCCATGAGATTGTATTCGCAATGGCTGGGTAAATACCCATGGCGCCCAAAAATGTTCCTGCATAGCGTCCGCCGGCGGACTTGCAGCCAAGGAGCATAGAGAAACCAACCATGCCGAGGAGTGAGACGCAGATATTGCAGAGACCACGTTGGCGCGTTCGGTCCGAAATGAAACCAACAATGACCGTCAATACAGCTGCAGCGGCATACGGTGGCACACTGAGCAGCTGGGCATGGATCGAACTATAGCCTAGACACGAGGCAAGTTAGCATTCAACCACGACGCTTCCACATCTGAGATCCAAGTATTTACCCTGCAAGATACCGTTAGCAAACCACTACTCACAAAAACAAAGCCTACACTCACAAGTTGACTAATAATAGTCGGCACGAAAAGTGAAAACGCATAAAGCGACCCATCAGCCCCCATATAAATAACAGCGCCAGTATAAGTCTTCCAATCCTTAACACTAGCCCAAAAGTAATCCATCTTGAAATCCTCATGCTCAGCACTAGACTGTTGATCAAGCGCGAGGCGTCTAAGCACACGCTTCCGATCAACATCCGACAAGAACTTCGCCTGATGGGGGAAATCATAAACACACCAGAAAGACGCAACGCCAATCAAGAATGTTAGAAGTCCTTCCAAGATGAAGATCCACGACCACCCCGGCTTGCCGCCTACACCGTCCATCTTGGCGATGGCTGCAGCAAGCAAACCACCAAATGAACCTGCCAGCGCGGCGGCTGAGAAGAAAATTGCGATTCGGAGGCCGAATTCGGATCGTTTGTACCAGCATGAGAGGAAGTAGCCTACGCCGGGAAATAGGCCTGCTTCGGATAGGCCTAGGAACCAGCGGACGGCCATTAGGCCGGCGTAGTTTTTGACTACGCCCATGCATGTCATGCAGATTCCCTATTTTGGTGGTATTAGAGTTGGATTTCCGGGATTGGGGAATGGGATGATTAACATACCCATGCCATCATAATTAGTGGGATGAAAATGCTTGGTCTCAGTCGCTTGAGGAGGACATTGGTCAAGGGCTCGAAGACAGAGTATGAAACGAAGAAGATGGTGAGTGTTGCATTGTATTGGGCATTCGTCATCCCTAGATCATCTTGGAGGCCGACAATTTTCGCATTTCCAATATTGGTTCTTGTACAAGTCAGTTTGAGACTCTCTCAAGCGCACGAAGAATATTTCCATAGTAATTCCGTACCGATCGAGGAATGAGACAAGGTACAAAAGACTGAGCCATGGCACAAGTCGAAGATCCAGCTTCCAAAGTAACTTGCGATCCTATAGTTTCGGCGCATGTGTTAGTAAAAACTTGCAAAAGTAACATAACCATGCAATGCAAAAATTCAGAATATAGAATACAGGCATCACAAACAATCTTGGCCTTTTCCTCTTCACTCAATCCCTCATCCGGATCCTCAAATCCGACCGCAACCTGTGACCCAGAATACCTCTCTACATCCGACACCCGAAAGGCCGCATCAAGAGTTGGTTTTTCATCATTCAAAATGGCCATTATGCAAGAAGTTGCCAATCGACAGGGATGAAGCTACCAAAGAGCAACAGTAGTACTGTCTGCGTGCAGTGTTAGAAGAAAGAAAATCCCCGGGGTGCAGGATGAGGGACCAGGGTCTCGCTAAAGAGGGGGAGGAATCAAGCTCAGCTTATAAATTGAGTGGCCATGCATGGATATTCGCCCCTTGAGCCAATCATGACCCCAGTGTTGCATGCCGGGTGCAGGGGTTGCGATAGTCTGGACTCGATCCCCAATGATCGGCGGAGGTTGATATAGTTTGGGGTAGGATCTGCGTGGGGGAAGCTTGTGAGTGGAAAGCGAGTACAAGCGGGGTGAGCCTCTTGATTGGGTCTTTCTTTCTTTTGTCTACAGTGTTTTGGTGGGATCTCGGACAGATGGCCGATATAGGGTCAATGCGCAGGGAAATGGAGTTAGGGCAAGTCTACCCCGGTATTTTCTAATATGCTTGGCGCCAGCTACATTTGCATGTTTTGAAAAGGCATGGAAATGTGTTCTTCAATTTTCAAAGCAACATTCCACTATCAAGACCAAAGACGAGTAGTCATTCATAACAGAGAAAGAAATAAGGAGTGGAAAGACAAAAGACAGCTGGCATGCATTCACGAAGTTTTGCAAAAAGCTCAGGTCTTCTTCAAACAATTCCAGGATTTCAACGCGATACAAGATATAAAAAAGCAAAATCACTCGAGGCAACCTCTCTCCACCCACCTTGCATGATATCATTCACCTCTTGTACTGCCTATCAGTTGGCAAACCATAGAATTTCACTTGTCAAGCCTCAAAGATATCATAATCGTAATTCCTAGAAGGATAGATCACTATCCACCTCAATGTGCGCAGGGGTCAATACCGAAGGTAGGGCTGTATTTGTGAAAGTTAGGGTGCCTCTTCAGAAGGACTTGGATGTCAATAGCAGCTGCGATGGAGACGAATCGAACCGAGAGGAGGCCAGTAGGGTCATTCTCCCCGAAGGCCTCAAAGCGATCGATACGATCGATTTTGCACAGGAACCGATGTATTCCCGTCTTGAGAGTCTTGACAGTATCGGTAGTCTCTTCACAGTCGTTAAAAACGAGTGTGCGACGTCGGTCTTTGTTATGGATCAGGTCGTGAAGGGATCTAAGGATTGGATAAGTCGGGGTCGTGATTTGGGTGACATAAACCGTCTCAAGAGGAATGAAGTAGCCCTGACGGCGGACCCTGTCCAAGAAGTTGACAGCTCCTTGCTCCTCAACAAAGATTATGATTGCCGTGTACGAACCTATCAAAGACACTGTATCATACACAGCAGCAGAGAAAACGACACCACCGCGAACGTAGGATAAGATGTCTTTGGCCTCAATGTGCTGTCGAAGCCCTTCGATCTTCACAGTCCGATAGACGTTCGAGTCACTGGAGTCACTCAAAAGGTCTTTGGTGATGTCACTCTTTCGGTGGATGTAACGAACTCCATGCTCTACCACGGCAAGATCAGAGACGCGCATGGCTCGGTCAAAGGTTACCGGATGCTTGCGTAGGATCGAGCCTCGCTTGAAGTCCTTGAGGATATCATCAACACCGGAGGCCCATTGGATGCTGTAGTCTTGTGGGAGATCGTCATAGAGAGTTTCGAGGACATTCACCCAGCTGAACTTCTTCTTCTCATCCCTCTTCGGATTTGGACGCGCCATGTTCGTTTGGGTTATCGTTTTGCAGATGATAGGGTCGGCAATGGGAAATATTTTTTGAAGGACTCAGGAGGGGGGTCCGTTGGATCCTGTTCGGACCTCGAGTTAGTCGGGTATACGTGAAGACTTCGACATAGATGTGTTTCACATACAATCTTGGTAACTTGAACTGCGAGACTTTGCAAGCTCAAGGTCTGTTAAATGGAGGTGTAGAGGAAGGTAAAAAGAAGAACGAAAGGCTTTTGGGTAGTAGGTATATTTGAGAGCTGATGGTGAAGCAGATGAGAGCTTTGAAAAATGGGTGACCTGTATTGTCAGTGGTCTAAGGATTGAGGCGAGTAAAGTTATTCCAGCGAGATCTCACTTCTTGGCCGCAAGTATGTGAGACTGCAAGTAAGCTCGACTTCGAGCGGGAAAGAAAGCTTCAAGATACCATGGCGTGTGAGTGGGAAACAAGAGAGATTCAGCGGCGTGGTTGAAGGAGGACGGATTGCTGTAATTTACGGCCGAAAAAAGAGACGAGTGTTGACTGGGGAGGTGAGGTGAATAGCCCGTGACTATGAGCTGGACTCCAGCTATTGCACTCTCTCTACCCGATAAGACGAAGCATTGAAGGTACATACCCTGCTAAGAAAGTATTGGCAACAAATGAACATTCTATGATGTAGGGTTGCGACAAAAGAAAGAGCAAGAGGTCACTTATGGCCATTTTATATCATCTTGCACGGGAACTTGTCCATTTCAGGGCCGCCGTTATTGGCAGACTCGATGATCTGGTTCAGAAGCAGACACGAGAGTTCACAGTGAAATTCTTGCTTTGGTCATCTATCAGGGCGTCGGATTCCTTAGATGTTCGAGATACGTTGTCCCTGTCTTTGGCTGTGAGACGAGGTAGTCTTCGTCGATATCAAGTGATCTGGCCAATAATGAGCCTGGAACTGTCACGCCGTAAGGAAGATTCCAATTCAAAGTAATCAATCTCTGAGCGGAGGTTCACGCGAAGAAGCAGAAGAAGAAGAAGAAGATGGGTACGATTTTAAAGGATGGGCAGCGTTTATCATGTTTGAACGACTCGGTGTGGTAAACGACTAAGCAGGTAACGACTAAACTACCCCAGGTACGCAATCATGTAAAGATCGCAGCGAAATTCACGAGTCAGACTCGCTATCGTGTTAGTACATGTATGAACATTAAAAAGCACGATGTTGTGTCTACACGAATACCTAATCTAACCTAAGAATTGCCCCCCAGCCAGAGCGATCCAGGGCAGTTTCCGCTCCCAACAGTGTTGCATCAATTGACGTGCATTTTGAATCTATAATCATTTGTTAACACATCTCATCTAGAGAATGACCAAAGAGTGGGAACATACCTGCTTCATACCCGAGCTCTCCAGAACAAAGAATCGATCCAAGAGCTTGGACCGCTGTGGCGCGTCTCGGGATTCACAGCCTGCAGTAAACAATGGGAACAAAGAACAGACCTCAGTGGCAGCGCCAGGACGCATCCGTGATAGGGCATCTATGAGCTTGCGCAAGACCTCCTTTACGGGGAACGAATCTGGTGGAGACCCAAGAACACGTCGGTGGAGATGTAATAGTCCGGCGAACCGGAATGCTTCTTCGATGGCCATCATGTCTGCTGATTCAATACCCTGGTGGTGATCCAGGTTTGTATGTGCGTGCTCACTCAGCCCGTCAATCTCCCCAAGAACTGCTTGTGCTTCCAACACTATGTCAGCAGATGCATGCCAGTCATGCTGGAAGTGTCCCATCTCATCGAACCGCTGATTGTCACATTCTTGGACCAGACGAGCGAGACGGATGAGAAATACACCTGTACGAGGTGTGAAACCCGTGAAGCAGTCAACGCTAAAGTCATCGTGGTCATCGGGCGAGCAAGCTGTAAGGACTGAGTTGTAAATCATCAATGGGGGACCGGCTTGGCGACAGGACAATGCTCCCATAGTGTCTAGATATCCTAGCCAACGGGCAAAGAAGGCACCGATTCTGTTTCCTCGCTGTGCTATTCTCTCGCTTCGTGCATGGAACAAATCACGAGCAAGCTTGAGATGACTTTTCCATGTGATGGGAACTTCAAATGTGCCTGGCGACACGATCTTCAACGAGAGTAGCATGATGGCAGCAGCTAAATGACTGTCTGTTATGTCTTCGTTGGGGGATTCCAATGCCACACGCAATGTTGGGAATACTTTGCTAACCCAGTGCGCAATGCGGTTAGCTGGCTCAGGATGCCCGAGGTATCTGGCACGGTGACTGGCGGAATAAGCTAGAAGCAAATTGAGTAGATTTGAATCACCAATTGCCACTATATGGTCAGTACCACAAAAGACGTAAAAAGAAATTACACTTACTTGACGGTAGAACCGATATGAACGGGTTGTTGTCACAGCTATGCGGGACCAGCATTCGCGCAGTGTGGTTGAGGAAGTGATGGAAGTACATCAAGTTGATAGGGTTCTCCAACAGCGACGAGGGAAGGGGAGACAAATATCTCGGGATGTTGATCGGCACCGAGGATGCATAGTAACCACTACAGAACTGTGTCTGTGAATCAACCGTAGGTTGGGGTGGTGATGCTTTGTTAAATTCTTGGTCGTGCCACCTGGAACTAATCAAATCCAACGCATAGTTGATATCGATGGCTGCATGGTCGTTATTGAACATCAAATCTTGATCGGGGCGTCCGGAGTCCAGGCCATAGTTGTCGGTCACGCTGTTGAGGTAGGTCTGCCATTTGTTCTGCGCCATTGTCGAATCGCGGGAAGCTTGATCGATCGTGTTTGTATTATCAATCGTCCGATTATCACCGCTTATTTCATCGTGGTGGTCGTGTGTCGAGCCCATCGTCATAGGAGTTTCACCAAGTCTCGGGGATGACGCCGCATTGCTTCCTGCAATTGACACCTTGTGCGAACCAAACAGCAAGGAAGACAAACCACCAGTCTCATGCGGACTATGTGATGGTCCACTCTGCTTGTTCACAGTGTTGTCTACATTGTGTTCATCGATTGACTCCTGGCCTCCTTGGACAAGCTTCTCTTGATCATGATTGTGAAACATGAAAGTTTCAGGCTGATGATTAGACACATCCACAGAGTGGCGCAAGAATGAAACTGGCTGTGAGACTGGGCTCGTGTGGAATGCGAACGCGGAGAGTGATCTCAAGCCAGATCCATGATCTGCTGGCGATGGGAACGACAGACCATCGAAAGTCTGCTGCCCAAACGGATATTGCGACAAAACCCCCGCGGCAGCTGATGTCGTCATCGGAGGGGAATGCTCTCCCCAGGTAGAAGCAAATTGAACATCGAGTTGATTCGGCGATGTAACCCCTTCAGAACGCGATCCGGGCCTCGGAGAGTCGAACATTCCGGGCGCCGGTGTGCTGGGGGAAATGGCTCCCGGGGAGGTCAAGTCCCCAGGGTGAGAATTGATGAAACCATCACCAGAAACGTTGCTGGTGGGTGCTGGGACCGAAGATGGGGTTGAGATTGAACCAGGGCTCATGTTGTTGATTGAGAATGAGTCTGAGATGCCAAATACGGCCCCGCCATACCCACTGGATTGAGAGTTGGGAGAGTCAATTGAAGCTCGTTTTGTTCTTCCTCCCCAATTCAACCGGACGCTATAATCACAAGATTCGCCCTGTCGCTGACAGTTCAAACACGCTGGTTTCTCTTCACCACTGCGGGGTTAACGCATTCTTAGCCAAGTATACTGTATAGGGATCGAAGTAAAATTTACCACTTCACCTTGCGGGCTTTGCATGGCCTAGTGATGATCCATTAGAGTCGCCAAGAGATGAATGTTTGCTCAATAACTCACCAGCATCCTTTGCGACTTCGACGCTTCGGTTCTGGCGCACCAGGCCTCCTTGGACGCGGCATTGCAGGCCAGAAGGCGTCTGATCGAGAATCGACTTTCGTGAAAGCGAAGTGAGATTCCACTATATGCCCTCCAGCCACTATACAGCTTGAACACGTCAAGTCTGCAGTATAGGGCGGGACTCACGAATGGAGCACGTCTGAACTCTCGCGCTTTCTCCGCTTAGATCCTCGTTGACCCCAAGTTGCGACGAAGCGATAATCGACCAGACACCCACACCTAGTATACAAGCACATCGAGGTGTGGGAGGGAGATGTGCCAGAAAGAGTTCGAGATCCCACTGCCCCGGCGGCAATGGCTCAATTGATCAAGTGTGCCGTTCAGCAGTTGCAAGCAATAGTCCACGATCCTGAGACCACAGACAAGGGAAGAATGAGAATGAAGAAATGTCCAGAGCCACACAAATAATTTGCAATGCCAGGATGTCAAGAGATATGGAAAGTGTGGGGAAGAGATAAGACTGCTGACACATCCGGATCATCTCCCCCGGACCGGCATACCGCGGGATACCGGTTTTTCCCGACCGAGATGGTCCGAATTCACGTGCCCTGGACGTCATAGCTTCCTGTTCCTGTTGCCCTGCCCTAACGCTTTGATCGCTTCGGTGACTTGAGTTTCTTGGACCTCTTGGGCTAAGCCAAAAGTATTCACTCGTAGCCTACAGCACATCGCTTCATCATGGCAGACTATCTCATCCACAGGCATCCGCTGCAGCGGATGACTAGTCCTTCTCGGGGCCTGTCCGCCCTGGTCCACGTAAGTAACACCCATGGTCCTTTCACCGGCGATTTTAGGTCACTCACTGACCGGTTGTGCTTCAGTTGGCTGGTCTTTCCAGCTTTCTATGGTCTTTCAAGTAGTATGGGTCCCATTTTACGATCTACCCGTATAGGGTCACGCTGACATTCCGGGAAGCATGCATGAAAATCCTAATCAAGCGTAGGTTTTCGGCCTCATTTAATCTGATACAAGACGATCTGCTAACCCGTTCCAGTAACCAGGCCTATGGGTGGCATTTCCAATATCTGACCGTGATTGGTCTTTCCGTGTCGACTGTTACGTTTGCTGTTGCCTTACTGGCGGATATCACCTTGTCTCGGCGACTGTTTTTCGTCAAGAATCTCCTGTCGGTGTGCTGTGCCCCACTCGAGGTCTTGATCAGTGTGCTCTACTGGGGTCTTCGCTTGGTAAGTTTGACCCCGGATTTTGGCATTCTCGTCTGACCTATTTCCTCAGATCGATGAGCGCCTTGTGATTCCCGAGTGGGTAGTTATCCCTCTCCACGCCGGTATGTTCCAAGCGAGCTTTATGTCCCTCAGAATTATGCTAAATTGTGCAATAGACATCAGTTTCCATGCAGTCCCTTCAGTGGTGCTGTTGATTGACCTGCTGCTCCTTTCACCACCCTGGACCATCAGCATCTTCCCCGCACTTGGACTGTCGGGCACAATTGCCTTTGGCTACTGGTTCTGGATTGAACACTGCTTCTCCTACAATGGATGGTATGTGCATTCCCGATGTCTCCCGACGATATTGGCGTTGTTGACTCGTCTAGGTACCCGTACCCCATCTTCGAAGCGCTGCCCCCCTCTGGCCGCGTTGGGCTTTTTACTCTGAGTGCTGTTGTAATGGCCTTCAGCACCATGACTCTCAAGTGGCTCTTCAGGCGTATCAATGGCTTTGGTAACACTATCAACCCAAAGTCCCGCCCTGGTGATATCAAGAGCAAGGAAGGTCTGTAGATGACTTCCTTGCGGTAGGGTTACTTGAATATGTCGTACTGAATTGGGTTTCAGTATCTATTGGTATTTTTTTTTGAGATTTCACGGGTGCTGTGGACATACTGAGGTAGAGTGAGCCGTTGCATTGAATCATCAGCGTCTATCCATGGATGGGGTTTCAAGTTGAGAGTTTCTTAGTATATATTTCAGGACTGCCCGGCATTGTGTATTTGTCGCTACAATGTTTTCTTTGGAAAAGAGTGTGTACCCAGAAGCCTCCATTTGAGCGGTATTTGACGGATAGTTTGTAGATCTTTCGATTATTTAGAAATCACAAGCACTAGAGCTTCTAGATATATATTGCAACCACCTTTAATACGTGAAATACTTTAAGAAAAAAGTAGCTTTTAATACCACTTTAACATGTATGTTTATATAAACATGGTAATCTCTGCATACATCCAAAACCATGTCGAAGCATCTTCAAAGTGCACGACAAACCGGTCTCGTCACTGCGGAGCCCATTTCGCTGACATAATCCGTCTCCACACCAATTCTCACTTCTCTCAAGCAAGACAAGACATCACCATTGCAAACCAACAACCAATTCCCTCCCAAAATGAACCCAACTCCCATCGGCATGTCGGTCCGTACAGCAATGACCCTCAGCCGCCTGAACCCCAGCGCACCCTCGCTGGCCGGCGCCCTCCGCTCCCTCAACCAACGCACCGGCACAACCTCCAAGCAGCTCACACGCCTCAGCTCGACAACAGCTCGCCCAGCCACAGCGGCCCCCATGATCCTGGACACCCGCCCACAGACCCAGGCCGTTCCCACTGGGCCCATTGGCCTGCGCGCACAGTCGACTGCTGCCGCTAACGACAACGCTACCGGCAACGAGGAAGTCAAGCTCGACTGGAACTCCTTCTTCAAGCTTCGCGCTTCTCGTCGCCGCTATTCTCTTGCTTCGTCTGTTGCTTCCGCAGCTGTCTCTACTACGGCTGGTGTGCAGATTCTTTCGTCTCAGGATCTGGAGTCCCTTGGCGCGCAGGTTATGGGTCTTGACCCGTTCGTTGTTCTTGGTTTGGCTACTGCTGGATGTGGTGCTATCGGTTGGTTGCTTGGGCCTATGGTTGGCAATGGTCTCTGGGGATTGGTATACAGGAAATACAAGCCTTCTGTTGCGACGGTGAGTAATTGCAACACCCGGATGAGAGAGGATGAGATGGGTCTTGGGAGAGATTGCTAATGTGCTATGATTGATCTGTAGAAAGAGAAAGAGTTCTTCGATCGCATTCGTCGGTTCCGTGTTGATCCCTCGACCAACTCGATTGCCAACCCTGTTCCCGATTACTACGGAGAGAAGATTGGCAGCGTGCAGGGATATCGCCAGTGGTTGAAGGACCAGCGGGCTTACAACCGCAAGCGCCGTAACTTCATTGCTTGATTTATGTACTCATTTTTGTCATTTGAAGCATCTCCTTTTGTTCATGTCGATATAGTTGGATCCCTATGAGAGGTCCAGTCCGCCAATCTGGCAATTTTCTTTCTTGTTCGGGTCGGTGTTTTTTGTCATAATACCATTAGCGGTCTTGGTACCTGGAGCATTGCAATATCTGGGAATGACCTTCAACAGCGCCCTTGAATTTGGTTTACTTGAACATTCCGAGAACAGTGCTCATCTCCCTCGCATTTAACAATGGCTGAAAAAGTCAAAATCAATTGCTTGTACTTCGACGATATCTGATACGGCCCTCGGAAGGAACATTGATAGCACCGAACAAAGTCTAATTCCCGATCTAAAGCTTCGAAATCTTAGCCTTCGGATTCCGACCAGTATCAACCTCAGTCCACCACGGCACATTAGCCGGCGGATTTTCATCAAGATTAGTCCTAAAATTCGGCTTCCTCTTCTCAAAGAAAGCAGAAACACCCTCCTTCTGGTCCCTATATAAAAAGTCAGCAAAGCCGCACCCAACATCCTTTCTCCCAGACTGGGAATAACATACGGAGCAGCAAACATATGATATATAACATGCGACTCAATAAGATGCGCAGCTTCCGCAGACCCAGTATCACGCCACATAAGTGCCCGATTCAGATATGATGCGCTGGGGCTAACATTCTCCGCAATCTCAGTGGCCAACTCGATGGCACGAGGGAAAACTTTAGACGGGTCAGGGAGAACCTCGTTGAAGAGATCGCCGAAGTGCTTCGATGTTGGTGGGAATACACCGCCTGTGCTGACTAGATAGCTGGCGTTAGAGTGGCCTACTAGCCTGGGCAGGAAAAATGATGAGCAGGACTCCATCGTTATTCCTCGGCGGGCGAAGACGAAGCCGTATTTGCCTTTCTCATATGCGATTCTGGCGATATGCGTGTTACTGATCAAGTTCGTTTTCTAAAAGAGGTCGATTTACTAACCGGATAATTGCTGGTAGAGTCATTGTCATGCCGACTCCCACGGCTGAGCCTTGCATTGCTGCAATGGTTGGCTTGCGGCATCTGTAGATAGCTAGTGCTACTCGTCCGCCACTATAGCATTGGTCGTTAGTCGCGTTTGTATATCAATGATCAGGATAGATTGGTTATTACCCATCACGATGATCCGCATATCTCTCCTTTCTCTTTTGACCACCGCCGAATCCAATATCAAGATCAGCACCAGCACAGAATGTCTTGCCAGCACCTGTCAGAACAATGACTTTGACTCGCTCATCGACATCGAACATTGGGAAGAGCTTCTCGAAGTCCTGAACCATTTGCCCAGTGAAGGCATTCTGGTTAGCAGGGCGGTTGAGCGTAACAACAACTACAGGTGTAGCTGTTGGTGAACCAGGAGGATAATGCGAGACAACGACATGTCCCGTTGTTTCGACCTTCTCGTAAGAAGATGGGAGCTCAATATCGCTTGGATCGAAAATCATGATGGCTGTGAAGTAATTGAATCAGTAAAATTCATTCCGCTCTTTATATCTTCTCGGTTATACGTGCCAAGTATCAAGGAGCAGCCGCGGCTCGGCATCTGTGACTTGGCGTGGGGAAGATCGCCGACCCCGCTGCGGAGAGTTGGGAACTACAGGAGACTGTTGTTTATTGAGGAAGAATGGAACGCAGATAAATAAAAAATTCTCGAGTTCGACAAAGATACGGCGACAAAAGATAGATATTCCCTGACACAAATCAGCAATAATGTCTGCGATGGAGATAGGAATCCCGGTAATGCTGGAGGATAGAGTCCTTGCTAACGAAACCACGATCGCAAGTCTCACATTGAAAGGTATCAGCATGGTTCCGGGAATTCTGCAGATGTTGATCGAGAGATTCCCGACTCCAGAACCCTCTCTCACATCGCTCGCATTCAAATGGGAATGGGTTTCACTGATGTGTTCATTAAGGTCATGCTGCGTGTAGAACCCTCAATCGCAGGATTCAAACTCGTAGGCATGTGTGGGAGAGTACCGAACATGCTAATCAAGGGCGTTCTGGCTGCCGAACTCCCTGTGACACTGCTTGCAGTCGAATGGCTCCTGTTCTGCAGGTGCTTGTGGTGTAGGCGTAAGTGTAGGTGCATCTATGACTTACGTGAAACTATCTGACACTATTTTTCCATTAGGCACCTGATTAGCATCGCATTTAAGGCCGCCTAATATCTAACTAGTTGCTTTTCCTGCCTATGGCCCTCTCTTACCTCACAAAGCTTCGTCTCCTTCCACCGCTATATTGGACAGACACAAACACACAGCGCTTTTCATTATCAATTATTATGGATCTCCTTTGCCCTATAGGCCGATCCTATTTGCTGCACATAAGTCATGGAACTCATCTTTCGGGTGGCCGAAGTCGCAAGAATGACAAGCTAATGTGCATTCCTTTATGCTGAATCTCAGTAGGGTCATACAATTTTACAACCCGTATTATCGTCTTATCGAATCTAAAGCGCCTATCTTCCTGTCTACAGTAGGCCCTAAGCTTTGACTCGCTAAATTGCTTCAAACTTAGTATCCTATAGTTAGGGTAGGGTTAGGGTTAGTTCGACTAGGAGAGAAGGAGTGGAGCTACTTTCGAGGTAGAAAAAATAGCTATTATACACTTCACTCCTAAGGCACACAAATCGGACCGGGACCCTTTTACGATTAAAGGACAAACCGTTGGATCTCAAAACCACGTCAAGATCCTAGGCGTCCTGATGGATGCAAGACTTAAATACAAGGAACATATTGCGAGGGCGGCATCCAATGGCCTTGAGGCGGTGATAGAGCTTCGACGACTAACTGGTCTATTCCTATCAACGGCGCGGCAACTTTTTACATCAATAGTGACCCCTGTGGTAGACTACGCCTCCAATGTCTGGATGTATGCGTTCAAAGATAAGGCGATCGGGCCGATTAACCGAGTCTAAAGGGTGGAGCGCAAGCGATTGTAGGGACTTTTTGCACCCGATCACCATGCCCGTCGTCCGCCAAGTTACTAGCCTATATCCTTCCAAAAAGCTAAAGCAATGTCGCGAGCATCGACTGTGATTGTGTTATAGCACTGGAAAAAGCGAATAGACCGCTGTCAATGAGCATAATATTGACGACCAGCAGAATGATTATATTAGGAGATTTTCATCACGAAATGTTTCCTCCCTAGAACGTCAGCGCTCAACTTCGATGCCCGCTCTCCCGTCACTCCACTTTGCGAACTGGTCAGTGCATGCGTCATAGAGAGCGTAGACCTAGAAGCGGTCACCAGTCAGGCACCTATGCAATAACCGGTTTCCCCCACCAGGCAACAACGCACCTTGATGGTGTCCGTTCTCCGCTCACCTGCTGCTTCCCACACGTCGTGCCAAACATCGACGACCATTAATCTACAAATATATACAGTGCAAGAGCCGGGAGCCATGCCATTTTAAAGTGCTTTGTTCTTGAGGGTCGTACTCCAGAATACTTTGATGGAGCCAGGGCTCCGGCCCGGAAACTGGTCCGAGAACAACACTATTACCTCAGACCAAGGTCGTTTCTCGTCTCTTCTTAGCTTCAATAGGATGTCCCGCTCTTGAGATAAATACGGCATGCCTTTACGGAAGTTCCCATGAGGTTCCGCAGAATCATCTGACTCACCCAAGTGACGTGCTGGCCGTGCTATGCGTTCAGGTGCTTCTGAGTCGGATTGGGATAGGCAGCGTGGCACTGCGCCTTCGAACAGCCAGGAGACAAATTGTAAGCGTTCATCAACCGATAAAGAGGTGAAGTGAGAACGAAGCGATGAAAAGGAATTCTTCGTCTAGGCACTTGCAGAAGAATTCCTGACCCGTTTGCGCAGTTGTGGTAGGCCATGCGACTCTTGCGACTTTCGCTTGCGGGGTTTCGACTGTGGGCCGCTGTTTGGGACCTTGACTAGATTGTCGGACGCACGAATGTGAGCTTCGGAGTCGTTATATTGGCAGATACTTGTGTGCGTAACTGGTTGGGTAGCAGGCTATCTGAACAAAAGGGCGCATCAGTTGAGGCATCAAAATCGTCGTGAACATCGCGTGACGGGGCTAAATCCGAAGTTGACGATGGACTAGCCCTGTTTCTCGGGAACTGTTCCAACTGCTCTGCGTGGTCCGCGTAGGCTAATATGGCGGGTGTCGTATCAAAGTGCAGCCTAGGTGACTTCTAGGACGTGGACTAGGGGCCTTAGGAAGTGACAGAAGGGGACGGCACGTGCATAGACGCAAACCTCGACTGGGGGCCGTGCTGGGAGCTGATACTTGGGCAATGGCAATGCTTTAGGGAGAAATGGTGGAAGAGGGCTTAGTAGGAGGAGCGTGTTCGTGTAGGCATGGGGGTTTTGACGAGGGGCATCTTGTGCGGGAGGCTTCAGCACCGCATGATAGCCCCTTTCATGACCTAGATTCCAGGCACGGGAGATTAGGATCGCAAGCCTTATACGTACACTTGTTACCAGTAACGCAGGCCAAATGGGCCACGGTACGGGAATATCATGGTTTGGGAAGACGATACCCCATCTTTAATTAGCTACAGTGAGGTACGATGACAGACATCAGCTGACATCTTGCCAGCCTCACTGGCGAACGCCAACACACAGACTTACCTAGTGAAGGCAGTCATCGATGTACTCATTTTCACTGATCTGCCGAAACCTACGAGCCTGCCTGAAATACAGACAGTAATCAATCAACAATATGCAAAGTTTCCAGGATGCGAGTTGACAACGTTTACCAAGTCTCTAGACCATTAAGTATAATTCTGTGAAAATATTCCTATTCGAACGCATCTCCTAGGCCTCACCCTTCGAATTCCTTGAAACGGACAACCTTTCTACGTGCCCTGGGATTTTAAGGTCATATGACGGCACGGATTCGTATTGCAACCTCTTGTCGGCGTCATTATCATCTCACATTCAGTGGAATTCCCCCTGATAAATTGAGCCTCTTGCTTTTACTCTTACATGTTTCACTGGGTACTACTAAATCAAGCACCATATCCTCATACGAATACTCGATACTCTCAATACCCAGTATTCTTCTTCAAAATGCTCGGATATTCTATTGTGTATCACTGGATACGTTCAGTGTTCAACACTCTCAATGCACAACCCTCCCAACCCTCAAAGCTCGATGATACCACTTTGAATCGTTCGATACGCCTCATCTGAGCAATCTTGACACTCAGTTTTACCAATACTCAACTCGAGATATTCCCACTTCCAATAACTCTATACTCTTGATGCTCGGCACTCTCGATGTTCAATGCTCCCAATCCTCAACGCTCGATTCTCATACCGCCAAGCATTTAGTGGATTTCATGAGGAAGCTTAGCCGTTTTCAACATTACATTATCCATTGGGAAGAATCGATGCTTTCGTAGCAAGAGCTCATGCCCAAGGAGCAATCAGGAAAACACAAAACTGAATGTTCAAAAATTGGTGGTCAATACCAAATACTCCATGCCCAAAGTTGGCTGCTTGAGGCTCAATGTTCACTGCTCAGTGTTCAGTGCATTTTGCTCGGAATTCAAACCGCCATGCATTTGTCTCCATCATTATCCCTCAGTGCTCGCTGTGTAATCCTCCTTCGTGAGGACCTTCGCAAGCACGTTCGTCTTACCCAGCTCATGAGAGCGAGGCGCCTCCGCTTTTACGCCTCAATTAAACCTCCAATTTGATAGCTTTGCACTTTTCCTAGGGCTGCAAGTTAGGAGTTGATGCTGGATCTATACAGTCCTATTGCTTCCGGGAGGGGGTCAACTATCTCAGATTTCTTGCTACTCTTTTCTTCTAGCGTTTCAGTCTTGTTCAATCAATTACTCTTAAACGGTCTTTCTATCGCATATAGCGCCTTTGAGCAGTAAATTTAAGATGAAATGCGAAATGGTCAGATAGGATGAGAGTTGTTACAGACGCGTATAGTCGTGCTAGCTGAGACCATCAAAACAAAAGAATGGTTGAGAGGATAGTTAACAGAAGAGATAGACCGTATAATTATGAACAAATTTCTCTTTGGAGTTAGTGCCTTCTCGTAGCCAGTTCAGTTGGCAAGCCGCTGCCGATGCTTGAAGGCTGTCGGTCGATGTTTGTTATCGGAATCGCTTGATATGTTCTAAAGAGTTCCAATTCCGATGATTTCTTCTTACAGCTGCCCGCAATCTTCTAATCAAAGTTATCCTTCTCGATTTAAAATCGTATGGGCTCAATCAGACATCATCCCCGTCAATCGCCATGCGATGTATATTTGTTGCCATCACAAGTTAGACAAAAGAAGCCCTTCAGAATCCATACGCCGCTAATTCCAAATCACTGCCCATATATGCCGTCATAGTCGAAATTGACCAAGGTTCTTCACAGCTTCGTCAGATTCTGCCATTCATCGATCCGCACACATGCTATTGACGGGGTTCAGTGGCAGGTTCGTCAGAGGCAGGGGGCCCAAGCCATGTATCAAGAGGGCGTTTGGTCCTGGTAGAGTCCTTTTTCTGGGGCTATGCGCCTCTTGGTGGTTTCCCTTTTGCGGCCTGAGTATAAGTAGGTTTCTGCTAGCAGTTGGCCAATTGCCGTAGTGGGCTCGCGGCTTGAAACGATCAACGAGCGTCTTGACTCATCCGACTGGATCTTTTAGCAGGAACGCTGGGGTAACTGCTCTTTCTATATCGGAGAGTTCTGCCGTGTGCTAATCCATTGCGCCTTCTTGCAGGTGCAGGACTGTATGTTAACGCGCACGACTACGCCTGTCTTGATCGAAACCTGGACCCGAATTTGTTTGGAGAAGACATAGACGTTCGTGTCAGGAAGTGGTACCGCGTATACCTCTGACATGCAGGCTTGCCGGAGGATCTGGCGCGTAATATCCGATCTCATCCGTCTGCTAATGAGGTGTCCCTGGATAGCGTCATGGCTGTCGTGAACATTTTGGCCGAGTAGTCCTCAGGGGTCCGGTGCACCTGCAGGAGGTAACCTCCTGGGTTGCAGTAGCGATATGAATTCCGCTACTTGTTGGGCTGTGTTGATGCTGTCCCCAGTTGGAATATAGGTGGCCGCGGCCGCGGTGTTGCTCGTGGCGGCTTGCGAAGCTCTGGATGCAACTCTTTTCTGCCCCTGACACTAGGTGAGGCCTAGCTCTGGCGTTCCTAATCTTTCCAACAGCTACTACGAAACATTGTTATTGTGAACAGCCAGCCCCTCGACACAGTGCACAAGCCTCGAGAGTTACTTCCATTATGCATGAATAAGGAGGCAGATTACAATAAAGTGCCCAATATAGCTCCCACTATTCTCCCGACAAAATGACCATCGGGAAGGTCCACAAAAAGATAAAGTCGGTGTTGACTCGGAATCCGCGGGAGCCGAAGGCCACGAATGCTGACGTCGGTGTGGAAGTGGGTCTGATAACATCGTTTATCCTCTTTGGGCCTAGCGTTGTACTAACAGGGATGGTGGGATGCAGATCGGCGATCCATGGTAGCCTCCCGAGGTCCCTTGTTTGACCTTCTCATCCCTGATCTCTTCACTCCGTAACTATCGACATATCCGCAATGAGTGTCAAAAAGCCCAATGTCGAGCTAACAAGCGACATTGATTTCATTGAGACTCCTGCTGCTAAGCCCTCTCAATTTGAAACTGGCAAGGACTGCGGCATTGCCCTGACCAATGTAAGCTCTTTTTGCGCCATTGCCAGCTTCAAGAGTGTGCTGACACCTTTTACAGTCCCCATCCATCCACAATGGACCCTTGCCCGCCGACGGTGCTGGAAATGAGAGCTTCTCTAACCTCATCCTTGGTGGCACCCTCATTGGAGTTCCTGGCCTCTTGACCTACTTCCTGGGTGGTGGGCTGAAGACCTTTGTTTTCATCGCCCTCATCTCAGCCCTTCCTATCCTCGTGGCCTTCTGGACCTACACATCTACCTACAGCCCCCGCACCAACGAGAAAGTTAAACTCCCCGGCCGACCCATTGAGCATTACCTGACCTTCAAGCGCGAAGAGGACAAGTCGAAATGGCACGGAAAGAAAATCCCCATGCAGACCTTCGCGGAGATGTATCTGGACGGCTTGGTGGATTTCAACGGTGACACATTGGATGTGATGGAATACCGCCACGATTGGGCGAACTTCGCGTTCACCTGGGAGCTGTTTAAGTTCATTGTGTTCACGTTCTTCATCGATGTCATCTTCCACACGAAGGCCCAGGATGATGAGCAGATTCGTCCCAACTATGATTGCGGTAACGACCACTACGCTTGGTTCCTTGGTCCTCGCATGATCTACACCTCGGGGATTATCTCGGACACTGATAAGGAAGAGACTCTCGAGGAGATGCAGGATAACAAGATGGCTGTCGTTTGTGAGAAGATCGGTCTCAAGGAAGGCGAGACTATGTTGGACATTGGTTGTGGCTGGGGAACCCTTGCCAGATTCGCTAGTCTGAACTATGGCGCCAAGGTTACTGGTCTCACCATTGCGGAGAACCAGACTGCTTGGGGTAACGATGCTCTGCAAAAAGCTGGTATCTCGGATGAACAGAGCCGCATTGTCTGTATGGACTACCGTGATATCCCTCGCCAGAAGTATGACAAGATCACACAGCTGGAAATGGGCGAGCATGTCGGTATCCGCAAACTCACTGGATTCTTCCGGCAATGCTATGATATGCTCAACGATGATGGAGCTATGTATGTTCAGCTCTCTGGGCTGAGACAGGCATGGCAGTACGAGGACTTCATCTGGGGTTTGTACTTGAATAAGTACATCTTCCGTGGTGCGGATGCTTCGACCCCTCTGTGGTATTACGTCAAGTGTTTGGAGCAAGCTGGATTCGAGGTCAAGGGGTGAGTGATGACTTCTTGAATTTTCGAATTTCACAAAAGCTAACTGTGAACAGAATTGATACCGTCGGTGTCCACTACTCTGGTACTCTCTGGAGATGGTACCGTAACTGGGTTGGAAATTTCGAAGCCATCAAGGCCAAATTCGGACCAAGATGGTACAGGGTGAGTCTCTCTTCGTGCGCGATTGTTGTATTGTGATCAAGTCTAATCCTCGACAGATTTGGGAACTGTTCCTCGCTTGGTCTGTCATAGCTTCTCGTGAAGGCTTCGCCACCTGTTACCAGATGGTTGTAGTCAAGAACCTGAACTCGACTCATCGCATCAACGGACTGTCTAGTCAGTTTGGCCTTGGTGGTGCCCTCGAATCCAGCAGGAAGGCGGGCAAGTCCCGTCTGCCCTGAAGGTAGATTATGGTGGGGTGGATGATCACTGTAGCAATACTCATAATTAGAGGCTACAGTGACAATATTCTGGGGGAAGTCAAACCCTCTTACTTTTGTGGTAGGGTGACTTCATCGGGCTAAAGAGAAGTGAAATGCTTGATGCTCATACAGGCTTCTTCACTCTCAGTTCTTTACAACATCAAAAGTTTCGCATTTCACAATGTCACATAGCTTGCAATAGCAGCCATGAAATTATCTCGTTTTCATTATTGCCTCTTCTCTCCTTTTCAATCTGATTAGAATGTGATGGACAGGCAGATCCTGTCTTTGGAAATTGGACTATGTACAGCCAAGGTCACCGATAATATTTTGTGCTTCAGACCAGACAAAGCTCAAAGAAAAGAAAAGGATCTAGAAGACCATAAAGAATGAACACTACAAGGCAGCAGTAATCATTCCATTGAAAAGGGCCATGTCAGAAGTTCCTCAAAAGCCCACCCACCTCTTTTGGTTTTTCTTTTCTCACCTGTCTCCCGACTTCTCAATTTCCCCAGTCCCAACCCACACCACTCAAGCTTGAAGAACACTCTACTTCTCATTCTTATTGATCTTGTTGTCCCGAGTTAGTTTTCTTATGCTTTTGCTCCATCTGATCGGATGGCACAAGTGCTTCCCGTTGTGGTGCATGATTAGGCCTGCGTGGCAGCCTCGCAACACCCTGTCAGATCTCACGCCATCACTGACCCCACAATACTCCCTGAATTGATTTTTTCTCATCATGTGAAACTTCCTTGTATCCTTGATGGGTCGCCTTGTCCTCAATGATCGAGTCAATACTTCGGAGAGCACTCATTCGAGTGGTGACGTTAAGCAGTCTCTTGAGACACAAGGGCGTCTCAAAGAAAACCTCAAAGCGCTCCCTCCCTATGCTACCTCTTTTGACTGTTCAATCTGTGGCTGGGCCACAGATGACCAAAGTGATATTTGCCGACAGACTAGAACAAAATAACAGTTAAGAATAGAATAGGAGCATAGTTAAGAAAAAATTAAGTATCATTTCTAATGGCCGTTAAGCCAGTAGAATAAGTGTATAGTGAATCCCGTGACAGTAGCATATTGTCAGTGCTGGATTCATGAATACGGCTTGAGAACCGGAATTATAGTAACTCCGAGTAAGCGGACTACTAATGATGAGCATGGCATAAATAGCAAGAATTAGCAAATAATGTATGACAGAGATTTCAATGCCCTTATTGGCTGAGCAAGTTACGGAAGACAGCAAGTTTCAACACATATTAACGGCCTGAGGTCATATAAATGCCTTAGCAGGCATATAGTCTTCTCCTACAGGGAGATCTCAGCATAATTCAACCACCTCAATATGTCTTGACAAGGGAAAGGAAGCAGCAATAATATGAATTTATTATTGGTGAGGAGGGACGGAGAGAGGAAGAAGTCTAGACATCCGCAAAACCCGACTTGGGTCCAAAAGTCCGACCCAGAACCCAACCCGGACCCAACTCGACCCAATTTCGGCATAAAAACTAGTATAAAATGCTTATGAATTATCTATTGATATTGGCTAATACACTTAATATCTCACTTTTCTATTTAGATTATAATATAAGATGACTATATATAGCTATATATGATTATTCATTCTATTAATACAATTGCTTAATTAGGAAGGTAGTGTAAAGATTATCTTAGTTAAGAAGGTATACATATATCTCGGGGGGCAGGTACACCACTTTCTTTGATAATATGTATTTTATTTAAATTTTAAATTATAGCTTATATAGATATATTAGTTTATAAGCTATAAGGGCATAATATATCTATAGTATAATTCAAATTAAATACTAAAATTACCCTCTATAAGAGGGTGAGAACAGCCATTAAACACGTGTGTTTCTGCATAATTTATATTTGCACTTTTTGTAACCCAAGTTAGGGTCTGGGTCCGGAGGGGGTTGGGTTTTGCGCAAGTTCATTGAGATAGGAAGTAAGTACAATTTTGTGTAACTTTTAAGAAGTTAGGATAGTAGTATAGTTTGAGAGTATTTCGGAGGTAGGGTCAATAGATGAATCCAAGATACGAGTTATTAGAATACATAATAGCTCTGATACCGAGTCATCGCCACGATATTATGATATACCAAATCGTAATCAACTCCTCCATATTTTGAAAGGCAATGGGTATCTGAAGGTATTTGCGGAATGGATATAAAGGACCTAACCATTAATTAAATTGAACATCTGTGAGTTGGCTTAGTTGCATGGTGTTATTGCCAGTAGAAAATGTTTGCTTCCCATGCAATAAACATCATGACAACCAAAAGCCTCTCTTTGTCAAAATCAGAAAACAGTGTCTCTCCAACAAATAATTAATTGCAAAAGTTATTTTCTTTACTAAAATGAGAAAGACGACTTCATTTCGAGAGGACAGTTGAAACACGTGAAAATACTGATAACATTTATTGTAAAGACCTATTCGAGGTATCATCCTAGGCTAAGTTTTATCCCCTGTCTATCCATGAGTGGTCGAATTCCATAAGGTCCATACTACAATTCGTCCTCACGTAAGGACACCCATAATCCCGATAGGAACTCCATTAACCTAATACAACACCGAGCTTTGTTTTCTATACCCAGTATCGCCAAAAGAAGTTCATCCTGGACTTTTGGAGACGTAATGCATGATCCAATGTGGATTGCGGGCCACAGAAGGGTTCCCCACGCTGCACTTGACGGTGATATGGATCTCAGGAGCTTTGATGCTTCGCAGATACAAACGTCAATTTTCGCCAGGATGCAAGGTGCTGGCATCCCCGGGCCATTCAAAGCGCATTGGAGAGTCACAAGCAACGCCATTTGTTGGATGAGAGCCGATGATATCTCATCATTATCGGGTACAGTGGAAGTATTTAAAGATGTCGGAATCCCCCAGAGTAGAACATCTTTCTCTAAAGCATCGAATTCCATCCGGATGTCGGGGTCAAGATACCGAGGCGAAGACTTGGCTGGCTTGGTTGCAAAAAGGGCAACGCGAGGAATCATTTCAAATAAGGCATATCCACACCCAGAACTTCGTCCATGATAATATGACTGATAAGGGAGTTGCGCAAAATCCGACGTGAGGGTTTTTGTGGTTTGATGAATATCAGCCATAGGACCCAGGCCCAGATATTCATTGACAACTCCGAAGAACATATATTGTTCTGAGATGAAGCAGGCACACTCTGGATCAACTTGATCTAAAATGTTGTGTTGAGCTAGCAAAGCGGTACAAGGCTGTAAGTGCTGCATCACTGCACCGTCTGTATTGCCATCCATTACCTAAAATAAACCTTTGTAAGCATTTCCGGTTTCTGTTTTTCAGACGCAGATCATAATCGTATGGGTAGCTCACCTCAAAGTTGCACAGAAGGAGAAGTAGTATCATAAGTTCGAGGGAAGTGGATCGAGTGCCATTGCCATGCTCTGTGATAAGATACTTTGCCTCCCTCAGAGCAATAGCGTAATGAGACAAGGCAGAAACACGGAAGTTATGGCCATCATTCGAAAGATGAGATGCACTTATGGCAAACACAACATGAAGAAAGGCATCACTTTGTTGGGCCAGGGGTAAAACGTAAGTGAGAAACGGATTCTTGATGCCATCTCTGACTACAAGCCGCCGAGCTGATTTTTCGACATAATGTTGAAAAAGACTTTGTTCATTTGATCTTCCACGTAGTTTGGGCCAATGAGAAAGGGCATAGCGCGGCGACAAAGCGCCGAGAAGCGGTGGAGATGGGCTATTGAGGGGCAGGAACCGCTCTTGTCCAGACATAGACCCATGAGTAATATTCAAAGCTCCCTTTTTCCAGGAGCAGAGCAAGTGGTTACGTGTGCAGCCTCCGCAGATTGGCCTGTGTTCGTCGCACTTCGTGTGTCGAGCGCGACAGCTTAGGCATCCAGATTTTGTTCTCTTGGCGTTCGCTCTTTTGTATGGTCGGTATAGACCGCGGGAATATGTATTGAACTCAAGCACACCTTGCATATCCGGCAACTCGTCAGGGGGATAACGGAGGGTCATGAAATTGAGAGGTTGAAGTATGGCTGGAGCGGGTCTGGCGATAAGATCGCTTATCCTTTTAGGGATTAGCGTCATTTGGGCTGTGGTACTTTGGAGAATCACTGGGTCTGCGATTTGCTTCATGGAATCATGGGCCCCGCGGGCTCCGGATACCCGAGTCCTCTGTTCACTAAGAGGTATTATGTCCGCGCTTGTTTGCCTCGATTCGGCACACAGCACTTGGCCCCGGAAGAATATAAAGTAAGTAGCACTCAATGTTTCTCATCGGCAAACAGCCAATATTTTATTCAAATAATTATCTCCATTAATCTTCAACAATGCCTTCTACGTCATCCAACATATCTGAATCTGCTTCGTCAAACACGATCGACGTTGTGGTAGTCGGCGCTGGCCTGAGTGGACTCAGAGCAGCTTTGGCTATCCAAGGGGCCGGGTTCTCTTGTGCGGTAGTCGAAGCCACTGATCGAGTTGGTGGGAAGACATTCACACTCCAATCCAATAGTTTCGGCCCTGGCGTCAACGACGTCGGCGCTGCTTGGATCAACGATACCTCCCAAACAGAGATGTACAAATTGGTCCAAAGGTATGGACTTCAGACGGTCACCCAGTTGGACCGAGGACATGATGTTTACTTGCATGGAGATGAGGTTGTCGTGTCGCCGCACGGCGGGATGCCTGTACGGCCCTTTCTTCTCTTGTTCACTTATTTCGCATATCATTCTAACTTCACGGTTGGTAGTTGAAAAAGGAAGAGCAGCTTGCGTTGGGTCAAGTGCTCGAAGCCTGTAACAAACTTAGTGCCAGCATCAATTTGATTGACCCAGCCTCGGGACCAGGTGCGAAAGAGTTGGATGGTCTTTTACTCCGCGAATACTGTCTTCAGACATTTCAATCCGAGTCAATCGCAAATCTTTTCAACATGATCAGCTAGTCTCTGATTGGGATCGAAAGCAAAGACATTAGTGCACTGAGCTTCTTTCATTCTTGCAAGTCGGGAACAGGGCCCGAAAATATGATTTCGGATGTCAAAGATGGAGGCCAGTATCTCAGAATTCGGGAGGGTAAGCAACAAGGTCTCTATTTGTGACTCCAATCACCATGCTGATCCCCGTCTAGGAACACAGTCTATCTCCAAGAACATGACCAGAGAGTTGCGAGAAAACTCACTTCATCTTTCAACTCCAGTCACCGAAATTGAACAGAATGCAGAGTCCGATGGCTGTATAGTCAGATCTTCTAACGGCGTGGTGTTTGAAGCGAAGAAGATAATTCTTTCTATCGCAACTCCGCTTTACACCACCATCAAATTCACGCCCACTCTGCCTGCCCCCAAGTATCGTCTCGCTACAGAAAACAAGCTGGGATACTACAGCAAAATCATTTTTGTTTTTAACGAACCATGGTGGCGAAATGCCGGACTCTCCGGCGAAATCAAATCTCAGGACCGAGGTCCTATCCTCTTCTCTGTGGATACCAGCGTCCCAGAAGATAACCAATGGTCCATTAGCTGCTTCATGGTTGGCGGCCATGGCCTCGAGTGGTCGCGGTTGTCTGAACAGGAAAGACGATCTTCTGCCTGGACTCAGCTTCGATCGGCTTTCGAGAACGTCAAGCTGGAATCTGGGCCAGTTCAGTTCACGGAGCCTATCAATGTATTGGAATTTGAGTGGACGAAGCAAAAATTCTTCAATGGTGGTCCTTGTCCAGCTTCCCCACCAGGCCTTCTGTCTTCTATTGATGGGTCGGCAATCCGCGCACCTTTTGGGAATGCTCACTTTGTTGGTACGGAGACGGCGTTGGAGTGGAAAGGGTATATGGAGGGGGCTGTTCGGTCCGGAGATAGGGGCGCGGAGGAAGTCATTGCTGCTCTTCGCAGTCGGTCGATTTGACGCAGATGCAATTCTCTCCTTCCCTTCCTGAAGACGTCCTATATTACTGTGTAAGCATGACCCTGGGGAAGAAGTATACCTTATAAATGGACGCATGATAGCTTAGCGCCTATACAAGTCTTGAGATGCCGTATTCTATATATGATCTGCCGGAGGCATTCGAAAATGAGTCAAAGTGAGACGGAAAATAGGCGAAAAAGAATATGTAAAAAGAGAGGCCAAAGTGGTCGAGCTATTACGGAACATCACCATCAAGGCTTTAGTATACAGTAGAAGCCGATCAATATTGAATGCGCGAATTAGATGGTTGAAGGTTGGTCTCAAATTCTTCAGCCTAATGAGACGTAGCTCACTTCCGGGGTTCGGGATCTGGCGTGAATGTCACGATTGAGAACCTGTTGGGATACAATTCTTCGCGTTCCGCAAGGCAATTTGATGAGAAAAACATCCGGAGAGAGCAATTTGAGCCTCTCGAGATCAATGAGGGTATAGTATTTGATGTGATCTTTGTGCGGTGATCAGTGTGGTTTGTTGCTATTTCGAAATCCGAGCGTGGAATCTTGAAGGCGGACAAACACAGTCCGAAAAATAGGCAATTGAGGCATCTCGTAAGTAATTCATGTTTTAAGCATTCGTAGCCACCAAGTTGATTACCCAAGGAAAGGATGACGCTGATCTGCAAGAAGCGGCGTATAGGTGGACTGGGAGAGGGCCACGTGCAGGTCAGGGGGCCAAGAAGGGAGGGGGGGGCGCGCTATGGAGTCCTGTTTGCGAGATATCTCACCTTTATTTCATACATAATGACATCTTTTAGAGGCCTCGCGGTACTGTGCTGATAGCCAAAAATCGACTTTGAGTCCCAAAAAAAAAAAAAACAATATCATGAGGCCATGTGCCAACATGCACACCAGAAGATGTTTATCAATAATGCCACAATGCGCCCGCTTTTGAGGGCTGTGGATGTCGGATCCACAGGCTGATCATTAGCCTCCAAACCAAGTAAACTCATCTTTCCGTTTAAATACAGCCGGGGTTGTACGCAGGTACGGTCAATTTTCACTCGAGCCGACTGGTAGTCACCCCGTCAACATCACGCACCAACCATTTCCGTGAATATCTTCATAAAATACAGCCCCAACCCATTTTATAGATCGGAGTCAGTCCGAAAACAAACCTGCAAGGGACCAAACATAAAGACAGCCCAGAGGATCTATCGAAGAAAAAACAGAGTCAAATCATCCCCTGCATTGAAGATCAATTGCATCGAATATCAATTCACTCCTGATTGAAATTTACAACTACAACTACAACCAACATGCAATATACTACCTTGCTCATCAGTGCGCTCTCGATTGGTGCGAGCGCTACTACCATTCCAACCACATTGGGTCAGACCATCTTGTCGGCGGCGCCTACCTCGTCCTCAACATCTACTCCTTCTGTGGCCCAGAGCATCCCTTTACCAAGTGGCGACATTCACGACCCAAAGTCTTACTCGAAATATGCCAAAATTGAAAAAGATGCCCGCTCTGGCGTGATGGAATGCTACGCCTCCATCAAAATGGACGACCCGCAATGCGAAGATAGCAGATCCGCCCGAATTGGCAGATATGACCCTCAGCTAGAGACTTGTGAACGTAAGTGACTCTTAAATCATACCAGTGAGAATATCAAGCTAACATGCCTTACAGCCGAACAACCGGCCTGGACCACAGCCCAGGAAAGGCCCCAGGTCGGCATGGTATGCAACAGTTACGATCTCACTTACTATTTCTATCCCCATACATGGAATGGGTTAGATTCCGAGAGTGGTCAGCTCGTTTTTGGCAAGCATGGCGAGGATGTTAATCAGGGTCTCTCTATGCCTGTTGGTCTTAAGCCTGGTTGCTGGGCTGGGTTCCAGGATGGTGCGTGGTTTGGCAATTGTGACGCTGATTTTATTGTTGAAGATTGGACGATGCAGCAGGAGAAGGAGAATGGATTCTATTGAGGCTATATCGTGGTATCCCTTGTCCTCTGGCTTGCTGGTCACCGTTCGTTTGGGGGATATACCCTCTTCAGGAGTTAGATGAGAATTTTTGATGTAAAAATACTGATCCTGCAGTTGCTACAGATCTGTGTATACATTTTGTATTAAATAGAAAGCATTTGGGGGCTGATAAGCCCGGAACATAGTATCATGCCCACTCGAAGGTTTCCAGTGCAGATGCTTGGCGCTAGATTCAGTTAGTCTCATTCCACGAACGCATGCGGGGATAATCGGATTCGATCGCATTGCCCGAATTCATGACTTCATGGACGGCTTCAAAGCCGAAGATCGAAGAATTAGACGATGTGAAGTTCGAGATTGGACAAAGAGAAAAGAGAGCCACCCGTGGAAAAAGTTTGTCGTCATTTCTGGGCGCGATTTTCTCCCCACAGCTCAGACTCTTTCTTCCACTCCACCACTCCTCGATCTGAACCCTCACATCCAACAATGTCAGGCCGACAAATATCCTATGGCCGCGGAGGCGCAGGTAAGCCCATCGCAATGCGCTCCAGCACACGCCCACATCCCCCCCGGGTCCCATCCCACCACATCCCACCACACACCACACCACGCCGGGTCCTCAGTCCCCAGCCCATAACTAACAAACTACATAGGCAACATAAGCCGCCAGCAAAGCGCCCCTTCGCCCCGAGACCTGCTCACCCCAACAATCAAACAAGAAGTCTACACAACCGGGCGCGGCGGCTCAGGAAACATGGTGGTCAACGACCCCGACCGGCCCGAGCTTGCGCGCGAACTCCAAGACGTTGAGTCGCCGCCGCTGCGTGCGCAGCAACTTCCCCACCACACTGGACGAGGTATGATTCTGACATCCTCATTTGATATATCGCCTCGTCGCATATCAACATGTCACAACCCACAGAAGAGTCGGCCGTGGGCACATGCTAACATATACTGTCTTCGATTCACAGGTGGTGTTGCAAATGCCTACATCCCCACGCCCGAAGAGGAAGAACACGAGAAGAAGATCCATGAACAGGAAGCCGAGCTCATGCGTGTGCGCACCCAGTCCAAGGATCGTGTTAAAGAGCTTGAGCACGAGAGGCAGGAGTTGCGGAAGGAATCGCCTTCGGCTTGAACGTGTGCTTGTTCTTGGGTCGGTTCGGTCACTTTTGCCTGTTGGAGTCAGCTATCGCCTAGTCTAGCGTCAGATCGCGCTAGTTCTGGCTTGGTTCTGGCTCTGCTATGCGGGGTGGGGCTTTGAGGGGTTGATATCTCATACCTGCTTGCGGGCTGTGGATTGACACCCATGGTTACGATGGTGAAGGGGAATGATTCCAAAACGGAATCCCGGAGGTATCCAACTGCGGAGACTGATTTCGGGAGTTTTGCTCCTATCGGGTGAAGGCGAGGTTTTGCGTGTTTGCTTTTTCTGTTTCTTATCTTTGCCCCTTGTCCTATCAGATGCTTCACTATACCCTTGGACCGGGGGAACGGCGTCTTATGGGTCGAGGCTTGATTTCCCTGTTTCCTGTTTCCTGTTTATTCTGATTTGAAAGATGATACTCTCCATTCAATTCATTCAATTTTCATACTATAGGTGTATCCAAATGTCTATGCTAATTACACGCTTCTCATATCTCATTAGAAATGCAATGCAAACCATAAAAGGTCACGCCATAAAAAACAGAGAAATGGGCATAGTCATACCATCCTCCATTTCACCCCGGAATAAAACACCCCGTGGCATCAATAGGCCAGCTAATAAGCTCGCGCCACTCGGGTTCCAACAGATCCCCGATTTCCCTCAGAATCCTAGTCCCCCAATCGCCCATCCACCACAAATCACGCAGATGATGCAAGATGACAGCATAATGAGCCAGCACTACAAGCGCAAAAGGCTGATGCGAAGTCATAAGATCCAAAAATGGCTCTGGAACACGGAAACTCCAACAAAAAGCGAAAATCCGCGGCTCGCCGCCTTTCATAAGTTTCCCGAGGGAATTGCTCAGATGCTCAATTGCTGAATCATAGATCTCCTTCTCATGTGCAGGGTCACGCTCCGCTTCCATGATATTCTGTCGTCGGAGTGAGAGTATCACTAGCCGGGACATGTCAGGCATAGTTGGGCGCGAATCATCCGGTGTGATTAGTGGTGCGAGCTCTGTTACTGATATTCTGTCGATGAGACGCATCATTATGCTTACCAGCCACCGGGTTAACTGGAAGACTTCGAAGAATTCATCTAGAGGGCCTGATTGGTCTTCGTCGGGTTCGTCGTTTTCGATTTCCAGTATACAGTAGCCGAAGGCGAAGACCAGCATAATGCAGCAGAGGGCGAAGGTCGCGTTGCATTCTGGGTCTGTGAGGTCTTGGCTGTCTTGTCGGAGGCCGTTTAGGGCTTGGACCTGGTGGGATCGGGCTGTGTCGAGGTGTCGCCATCGTCTGGACGGTCCTGTGCTTGATGATGCTAGGTGTAGGGCTGATAGGGCTAGGATGCCGTGGCGGAGGGCTGGGTATCGGAGGGACAGGTTTGGAACGATTGTTTGCCATATTGTTTCGGATTGGGGGTCTCGTGCCAGGGATTTGTAGGTCGTTGTGCACCAGTGCATCATAAGTTCAAGGTCTTCGAGGTGGAGGGTTTCCTCCATGTGGTCTGGAAGGCAAGTATGTGTGAGGGCATGTCTTGAGTCGGTTCGGGTTTCTGTCATTGTTGAAGGCAGCGGCGAGGTCATCGATGTTGAGGTAGAAGAGACACTGGATGAAGACAGGGATCGATATTTGCTGTCTATCCGGGTTAATCGGGGTCGAGGCGGGTATTGGCTGAGCATATTGCGGCCAGCGCAATGTAAACACGTTGGGGTTGAGCTCGGGCTTTGCTCGTACTAAAAAGCCGTTAGATATGGATATTTCTGGGAGCATAATCCCGCTGCAGGCAAGATCTAGCGCTGCAAATGGGACCATAAACAAAGCCTCATGGCTTCATCCCAATTATGGTCTAAGCGGGAGTGGAGATGACATACCTTGATCCGTCGGCGACTTTGCATGCTTCCCTGTCGTCGCTTATTAGACCAACTCACGGCAGATTTGCGTGATTCCATGGCAGAGGGGTAAACACCCGCACGAAACCTTTGGTTTTGCCCATAAGGTTCGGGGGGATGGTGGGCAATTTGAACCTCTGCCAAGTTGATCACATACGATCGGCGACCCCAGCTCTCACCCGAAGGAGTATGAGGGTGGGAATCCCCCAAGACAAAAAGTCATAGCGGTGGATCGACGATGGGTCATCACATTAGTCTCGGTAATTCTGTGACAGTGCAATGCACCGAAACAGTGAAGAGTTGCGAGAGAGAGAGGCCAAGGATCCCGAATCGGCAAATGCAGCACAAGTGGCTCGTGCCCATGACATAAGCGGTCCACTCGTTCTTCAGTTTTAATCAGTCATACATTATTTTGCTTTCATACCTCATATTCAAAGCAAAACTCCGAGACTCCATCCGTATCCAGAAAGTGCTTACACTATAACGCTAGGAACTTTATCCAAGAACGGGTCAAGCTCGGGAATTGCCTTACCCTGCAGATCAATAGAACATTCCAAATGGCAAGCGAGAACGAGTTCAGCTGCACATTATACGCCCCACACCCCCCTTGGGGGCCAAAAGTTATGAAGCCTGCACATGTACAACACCCAAAGGGGGCTAGCACGGTGGTGCTAGTTCGCAAAGGTTCCATCCTGCTTTTTCCCAATCAGGAATAGCGTGAGAAACAGTTGACCGATGACCTCTCGTGACTGTCCATACCCTAACCTTGTTCCCGATTGGCATGCTGCAGTAGTGTCAACGCCCAGGTTAACACCCCTGTCCTCAAGTCCTGATTTGGGCATATCAACTGCAATCACGGTATATATAACCTGCGATCGATCACCCGCTGTTCAGACCCATGTCCATTTTCTAGAACAAGTCTTAACCAAAAGCTTTCGCCCCCGCCTCCGCCAAGGCCCCCCGAACACGTCAATCGCGTGGCTTTTTCTAAATCCGACAAGGCTCGGGTTGTGGTGAGGCGTCCAAACATTTACCAAATCCAGTCAAAGTAGAGCCTCGGCGCGCGACATCCGTTCTAGTTCGGGTGCTACTTGCCTTCGGGATTGCTGGTGCATTTTAATTGTATATTCTTTTCTTTGTGGCGCCACTCCTCGTGTAGTTCTTGGGGGCCGGTCGGATGGCGTGCATTTATAGATTGTATACGAACACCGAACTTCTCCGCATATACGCAATCGCGTATGGTATCACTTCCTGTTTATATGACAGATCCTGCGGCTCCACTATACGTGCACGGATACTATGACGGTGTGAGATCTTGTTCAGAAGGTGCTTCGGATATATGTTCGGGAATAAAATATATCCGAAGACAGATAGGGCCCTCGGATTAACCAGCTTGGCGAAAATTATTCTTAATATTTGAAACAGAGGGAGTTGGCTTTAGATGGACAGACATTTTTAATAAATGCCAATGGCACTTGGGAATGTTTTCATCCAGCCACAGCTCGCAATATCGACATGAAAACCAACAACATTCTTCGATCCTTTCTTACCCAAGTTTTACCAGACTCAAAGCAAAACACGAGTATGAACAGCGCCAAGCCAGAATGGATCAGAGCGAATTGAATTCATATATCGAGGCATTGTGACTAGCTAACCAAAGCATCACATTTATAAAAGCTACCCCTCCGGACTTAACTTGACATAGGGAACCAACTTCATCTTTCCAATAAGCCCATTATCACTGCGCGGGGGAAGAGTAGGCGAAACAATACTCAACAAAGGCGCAGTATCAGAATTATTAATCTCTATCAAGATACTTCCGAATGTAATTACACATGGTCATAGGAACAACGACAGTGACGGCTGACACGGAGATGAGACGCAAAATCAGCCTTGAGAGCGGCGAAGTCAAGAGACTGCAACTGATGTCCATTTAAGTAGAGAGCCTTGCTGCGTGTTTGATAGGTGGAAGCACGAGGTAAACATCGGCGGCTTTTCCAGAGCCTTTGGATGGAGGCCAGGAGAAGTTTTTTCTGTGGTAGCCAAGGCCCAATGCGTTCTTGAGAACTTCAATTTGTGTCCAGGACACTAGAGAGCTTAGATGATGTGTTGTGTTCTGTTTGTCGGTAATGATTGCTGCGTCGGAGATGTTCTGTGGTGCTTCCCAGTTCTCTGCTGTTGTGGTCCACTTTGATAGCACAATTGCAGCTGCAAGATCAAGAGTTCAAGTTTCAGGCTTCTATACCCCGACAAGTCTTTGCCTCAATAAAAGCATCCAATAGAAGTGGACGATTCAAATTATGCAGAGTGCCTCGAAGAGTTAGTGATCCACCCTCGGGAAACCCTACCTAAGCACGCAAACATGAGTACAAGTACGTTGCTATCAAGTCCGTAGCCTATACCTATTGAATAAAAGTCCATGATTGATTTTGAAATGAGCTTTGCCGACATTGACATCTTCAGTTTTCTCGGTCGTTTACACCGTGGAGAGCCCTCCTGGCGTTGTGAACTAGTCAGGCCCCTCGTCATGCAGATCGAAGACGACATCCCGCCGCCGGATTATTTGCAGTCGAGACTGCCGTATTGGACCTTGGAATGTACGAGGCCTCTGCCGCGGGACCAAATAACCCATTATCGTCACCTGCTGGGTGCGGAGTTCTTTCTGACATTGCGTCACAGAATACTATTCCCAATTGTAGAAATTCTCAAGTGATTTCCTGATAAATTTCTGAGTCCTATTATCATCTTTCACTACCAAAAGCCCTAGATACAAACAGGTGAGGAGAAATGTGATTTGATCCGCTTATTATGCATGGACGTACCACTAGATATTCTAGATACAACGTAGATTCATGTCTGGCAATCCCCACAAGACTACAAAGAGCCATCATAGCACTGGACGCTCACTGTCTGATTCTGGAACTCCTGCTCACTGAAACTGCACAGACCAGGGTCTTCCATTCCGTAGAAAATTGGCTCCTCGCACTTCACATCACTAATAAAATTGTCAATACGACCTCATATCTCCTGCTAGAGTTGTCTATAAGACTCACGAAAAGAAGTTGCAAACAACATCTTCTGGAAGCTGAGCACCATTGATGTTTTGCCGGCTGTTGAGAGGTCGCGTCAGCTATTGCACACAAGCGCCGGGCATTGAACTAAAACGTATAAACTTACAATTCTAGGGGTAGGAGGGTACAGCTATTATCCGACTTGACAGATACTTCTTTTCCTTTGCAAGGCTCTTCGGAGTACATGGTAGCCTGGATTTAAATGAAATCAGTGCCTTATTGTTTGTAAGGCGACTGTCAATGGTAGCATGCTTACCGGGCCTTTCTGACATTGAGCAGCGCAAGAAAAGAGAGCAAGAGCTAGTAACTTGTAAGAAATCATAGCAAATAGGCGTTGAAAGTCTTGTGTTGATATTATGGCGGAATATGTTCTAAAGAAAGTGAAGGAGCCTATCTCATGATGATGATTTCTCTGCCTTATATGTTCAGAAGTGCAGCTTCTGCACCGCCATTCAAAGCACTAGACCATGATCTAAATTACCCAAGGATCCTCTAGCCATGCATGATTCTATTTACCCCCTTACTGCTACTGTGGGTTATCATGCGCTCAATTCCAAGTTTTGGCTCGGGAAACCAGATCTCGATCCATTCCGATCCGATCCCATTTCGACGCCGACGCTTATTCCAATGCCCTTAAGCCGATCTACCCATAACATAGCTATAGGTTCAGGTGTTTATGCTACTTTTTGAAGAACAGTGCTGAGCATGGGTGTTGAGTGAAAAGGCTAACCATGTCTCCCAGTTTGAGATTCATGACTTTATGAGCTTGGCTAGGAATTTGTGAGCTGCAGTTTTATTTTACAGTAGTGCTCTTTCAATTAGCGTCACTCGTCCCGATTTTGGGGCACTACTTCAGTTCAGCTGCCAATTCTGTGAGCAGTAAACTTATGCATAACGCAAGGGACGAAATGGGCATGCATTGACAAATCGCTTTCTGAAGAAACAGCATACCCTGTCCTTTTCTAGATCAAAAATGATTGGATTAAAAATTTGATGCTTAAGCATTCCATCATAATGCTCTAGGCTGTACTAGTGCCGGCTACCCAGCGTGCAGTCCCCTGGCGTTCACATTAGAACACTCAGCCCTTGTGCCCAGAAATACGGCGTTTTCTCTTGTCATCGGTCTACTCCCTTGTTGACCAGTATACTAATAACAAGGCGTTATGTCACCAACAAGCTATTTCTCAGCTGGAATGCTCTTTGTCGGCGAGTCGTGCATTCCTCACTCGCCACAAAATCTTTGAGTAAACCGATCGTATCATCTCTTGCAGCCTCTGTGGCAGTGCTCTCAGTACCCCGCCGATCCACATCTTCTTAGGAAGAAAGACTTGATCTCCTCGTTTTAGTAACACTTGCTCAAGAACAGCTTTAGCAACAACTTCCGGTTTCATGATAGGTTGAGCAAATTGGGATTGATATTGCATGAAACCTTTGATCATAGAAGTCTCGACCCAAAGTGGATGGATGATGCTGGACGGTAGACGTCAGTAGATAGAAGTGACATAGTTACTACCATTTCTTACCTTGTTTTGACGTTCGGGGCATTGTACCAGTATTTCAGCTCCTGTTTGACTCCCTCGTGGAAAGCCAACGCACTGGCTTTCGTGCAACAGTAGTCTACCATCTCGGCAACTGTCACAAAGCTTGCAATACTTGCGATTGTGATGATGTGACCTCTGTTATGTTTGATCATAGACGGAAGGAATTCCTTTATTAGAAGGAAGTGTGAAACGGTATTCACTTCGAAAGTCTCGCGGATCTCTCGCTCGCTCTTTTCAAGGAGAGAACCACAGTGAAAGATGCCCGCCGCATTCACAAGAACTGTAGGGTCTCCATGTAAACTACGGATCTTTGAGGCAACTCTAGATATATCGTTTGTTGAAGTGATGTCAGTCTGATAAAAGGCGATGCCGGTTGAAAGCTCGAACTCGGGCTTTTTGACATCAAGGACCAGAACTCGGGCCTTCTTGTGTGCCAAATGCTCGATTATGTGTTTTCCTATTCCACCACTTCCACCGGTGAGGAGGACGAGTTCATCTGCCAGATTATGCTTTTCACTAGTCATCACTGCCTGATTCTTACGCGTCGTCGAGAATTTTGAGTAAAAATGATACAGTGCCAAGCAGCCGATCACAGCGCCGGAAAAAGTCTTCGCGGGGAAGTTTACCGCATAGTTGCCAATGGCATGGACCATATTGAAGGAAGACATAGTGTTGCCTCTGCTGGCTTCGTGGATGGACGACGAGCAGAAGATCTGACAAGGGCGTTGTTGGAAACTCAGGGAAGACAACAATAGGGAAATAATTAAAGGTTTTCTTTCAGCTCGACCTTAGTGACTCAGAGGTCAGCTTTATATTTTTGGCTTCTGTTTGCGTTTGGAACTCGTTCCACCATCGGCTATTTGAGCATTTTGATCGTCCGTGGGACCATCGCTACCTCATACCAATGAGAAGCCGTGACATTTTATGATACCCAAGATGCTGATCTTTCCGAACATGGGATCAAGTCCGAGTTTGAGTATTGTGCCCGTATCTCATTCGCCAGAGGATCACACTTCCTAATATCGCTTCGTTCCAATACCTTGTCCAGTTGACGTTCATCTGAACTTGACCTCTTCCACAGGCTAATTGAAACTTTAGAATCAATGTGAAGCGAATTGCGCCAAGCCTCCCAAATGGTTTCATCTTATAACCTGATGTGCGATCCTACTTGAAGACGCTACCCCAGTCCACATCGTATCCTTGTATCTACTACTCAGCGCAAGAACCTCCTTGTCACATCGGGGTAGCACTCTAATTTTCTGTTATTGATACTACTGGCTACTGGCCTCTCTTTGTGATATATAGAACGTATATGCTGTTCTGCCATCTTGAATAAATTATATCGTCGTAGTATTCCTGGTGGGCTTTGCCCGCTGGGCGACCCGTGGAGCTATGTAGCAAAGCACAACTAGCAAATTAGTCATTTTCAATCATTTGAACACATGTGTGATTCCCAATCAGCGCATTTGCGCCAGGATCACACTGCAGGAGGCTAATTTAAGCGGTTGATCAACAGACAAGGAGCGTAGGGATTTATTAGTTAGGGGCACGATCACAGTGAAAGAACAAATTTCATTGGACTATCTATCCATACTGATGGTGGATGCACGTCCTGCGACAGGCCCGAGCCGGGCTCGGGCCGCCTCGTGATGTACACGAGATCAATCTTGAGATAGAACGTGCCGAGTTATAGAGAAAGATGGCTGCCGTGAATGTTGGCAAGAATATAGGTGACTGACTAGTCAAAACAAAAGCAACTGGCTGATAGAGAATATGTGCTGTTTCTGCACGAGAGAGTAACGGGTATGGTGCTAGAACTGGCTGGCGTGCTGCTTTGTTTCCCAGTCATCTTTAATTCCGTACATGAGCTATCCTGACAGCCGCTGGACAGAATTGATTATGACCTTCTCGATTGGGGGAACCAAATCACTATCATCGCGATCTCCTGTCCCATGTGATGTCGCTCCACTTGATTTAGCTTAAATGCCGATCGATTCAGCTAATATCGTGGTGTTGTAAAGAGCCACAATAGTATCAACAGTATCTGGCGCAGAGGCGAATCCAGCTGGAACACCTATTTATTTCAATACCACGTGACCAAGCATCAACTAAAATGAATTCAGTGTCCCGTGCTTTGAGCCCTGATGTTAGGTTCGTACGCATTGACTCTGGATCGATGATACCTCCAAGTTTCTTTCCAGGAATAGAAGACGTTAACCTGACCCGGCAGAACGGTTGATCCACTGCCCATACGCTCTCGGTGGATTCACCAGCTCCAAAAGTCCAGAATTTCAGATGAGTCGCGGTTATCGAAAGAAGCAACGAAATGATTCAGAACCTGGCAGGAGCTGGCTAAATCTAGAAGGCTCGTCTCCTAGCTGAGACAGTCTGTCCAGTTTCTTCACGAGGGTGACCCTGTCCTCCCGTTCACCTAGCAAGATCAGAGACGGGATTCCACAGCCAAGCACGCACAGGTAAGAAAAGTACTTCAACAAAGCTCCCATCATCAAAATGGCTGCGACCACCTCGTCATTTTCGGTTATGGTGGTAAATTTGGGCATGGTCCAGGTTCGTAATTCCTCGTCAACCACATTCTGTTCAATTTGCATTGTCATGAGCAAGGCAAAAGCACCGTAGTTGATTGTCTTAAAGCTCCCTGGCATTTCTACTGAAAGCTCTTCTTGGCCCTCATGTGTGACGAAATAAGACCGCGGCCCCTATGCATGTGCGTTGATTAAGAAGCTGAGTTGTATTAGGATGGAAAACCACGTATCATCAGGTCGGATCGTCAGGTGGTGATGCTTGCTGTAGGCTTGGACAACGGACCAGACGAAACTGTTCTGGGAGTCGGAGATATGAGACGTGCTGAAGAGGCTCTCTCGATACGAGGTTCATATCAACCTTTGGCTGTTGCGATGGTCATCTTGACAGATGCCTTGGAAAAGCTCTTCAGCTGTCAAGACTTTGGAGTGGTTTTATTTGACAGGTGAGTTGTCGGTCGTGATAAGAATGACTGGCATGTTTCGGGATATCACAAGTGGATGGGACGCGGGAGATCTTGACTTGTTTCATCGTGGAATACGAAGTTCATGGATTGATTGAGAAGGTGAGTGTGAGGATGAGAGGATGGGTGAGGGTTTCAAAAGGTTAGCTGTTCTGACAAAGACCCTCAGCTCGGCAGCTACAACGACAGGACCGTGACTCAATAAGAAAGTGTACCGGCAGTTTCAACTCAATTCAGCTCATTTTAAAGGGGTATTTCGTAATGTAGATTCAGTCAGTGTTCTACATACGCACAATAGAGGATAATAACATTATATGCTAAACAATAGTCACGGGCGAGACAATACTTACAGATACCCGCCCACAATGGGGCCGACATACACGATTATTATACGATTTTTATTATTGACTGCGAATTACAACCTATGCAGCAGAAGGTTAATATGCCAGCATGAAGGTACAGAATGGCAGCGGGATTCAGAAGCACTAACCATGATTGATGAAGTGATTCACTGTACTCCAAAAGAGAGCGAATAGCTCAAATCTGAATAAGACTACCAAAATATCTCATGACCCCCAAGTATTAGCCCCAGCCAACGCAGCCAAAGCAAAATGACTCCCAAGCGTCGGCCTAGCACGGAAAGAATAAGAATTACCCGCAACATACTGCCCACTATCCTGGACCCAATAGCGATCGGAAAACGGCGCGGAATTCAACCCATTAGAAACATAAACATGCAAATCCTTAATAAACAACTCCCTGGCTGATCCAGTAACAGTAGCAGCAACGAAAGACTGCCAATTCGTCTGGCCCCATCCAATCGCGCCGTCAAGCGCCACGCCTGCTTCCTGTCGGACTGTTGGATAGAAATCTGCTGTGGCGTTGTATGTTTCTTCTGGGAAAACATCCAGATTGAAGAGGAGGTCTGGGTAGTGATTGTAGACGAGGAACCAGGGTGTGATACCGTACTGGATAAGGAAGCGTGTCCCTGCAGCATCTGTGCCGAGGTGGTCTGTCCAGATCTTTTCTGCAAAGGATTTGCCTGCTGTTGTGTAGTTTGCTTGGTTTGTTAGGGCGCCGTATGTTGCAAGGCCTATGGCTGCTTTTACGGCGAGGTTTGTTTGGTTGGCTAGTTCGCCTAGGGCGTCGTTGAGAGACAGTTGGGCGGTGGGATAGAGGCCATTTGCGTAGATGTATTCGGCGTACTGGGTGAGCTGGCTGGCATACGTTGTTGCTAGGTCTGTTTTTCCTGTTGCTAGCTGGTAGGCGTAAGTCATGATTATTATGTTGCCGCTTTCTTCGATGGGCATTTCTTCGCCGTCTTCTGGGTGACCTGTTGCGTTTGGATAGCTGGCGCCGATTTCGTGGACTGCGTAGTCTTTCGTGTAGGCGTTGCTCCCGGTATATTGAAGAATCGGGTCTAGGAGGAGCTTCAGGTAGTCTGGGCTGAGGATGTAGAATATTGGGAAGGTTGCGAAGATCACGTCTACAGTGTTGATGTTGCCGTCGCTCGAGATCTCTTTGATGAATGCCCGTGTTGCGTCGGTATCGAGAGATTCGTTGGGGATCGTGATTTCGATGCCACCGTAGACTTGGCGAGTGGAGAGAGCGAGGATATCCGAGTAGTTCGATCCATAGCTCGAAACACCTGTTGACTGTACCAACTCGTCAAACGTCACTGATTCCTCGTTCGCATCAGAGTAATCGTCGAGGAAATAAGAGACTGCATCCACGGTATCGGCGTGAGTTGCTCGGTAGTATCCTGTCTGGGCTTCACCAAGGAAATTGATCGACTCTTCACGCACATGACCGACCGCAAAGGTGACGGCCACTTCCTTGGCCGTTGTTCCAAGATCGTGCGCGAAGCCAACTACGCCGTTAGCAGTCCACTCAGCGTGTGTGCCTGACAAAGTTCCATTCGAGATGAAGCTTTGGCGCACCGAGGCGGACGGCCCCGAGGCAGTGGAGAGAGAGCCCCCGCTCACAGGGCGAGTGGCGTAGACGGCGCTTCCCCACAGCGCTTGGCCATTGCTGTTCTCCGAGTATGTCGATGCATCTGCGCCCTCGATTTGGAACACACCAGTCGTACTCTTTTTCGAATAGCTCCAGCTGACATCACTGGATTGCCCGACCCAGCTGTGGTCGAGATCAGAATAAATCTGAACCGAGCTGGAGTCGCCTGCCGCGAGAGTCACAGTCAAATACGAGAAAGGTAACGATTGACGGAGATAATTCTTAGGCGAAATCGGCGAGAAGAAGTCCAGTGTAAATGTCCGTAATCCAGCTTCCACCATAAAAGTCGAATGAGTTGAGGTGTAAGTTGCCTGAGTGACAGTGCCGGATTTGGTTCCGCTCAGGGGTACCTGAACCCCAAACAAATTATACGCGACACCATCCACACGCGCCGTAACCGACCAGATCAGATCATTGCCCGCCCAAAACTGCGCTCTGCTGGAGGAAAGTGATGCGACCGAGTTTCCGGGGATCCACGCTGCCGATCAAGTCAATGAGATTCCGGGGATGATCAGCGATCAACACGCACCAGAGAGGTAGGGGCTCCGCACCGCCAACGGGTACGACGGAGGTTTGATGGGGGAGTATGTGATGGCCCCGCCGGTTGGAAGCGACGATATCATAACGAACACTGCCGCAAGGGCGGACTGGGGGTTGAACCAGCGCATCTCGTGTCAACAACAGCGTAAACACGCGAGTTCAACACGTTAGGAGATCGAAGATCGAGGATCGAGATATGAATAAAGGGATGAGTTGTGCGCCCTTGCCATCTTTTCTTCTGGCAATCAAGGGCTTCAAATACCCCCGAGAATGCATCTCGCGTGGCAGCTACCCGATCACAACATGTCCAGTGCGCCTTGCGTGAGCCGCCCTAATGCGCATCACTTCCCGTCTTCTCTGTCGAGGTGCTGAGGTTGCATTGAAGTCTAAGAAAATGTATACAAGCACGTCATACGGTGAGCTAATGAGGATCTGATCTCCAATCGGATTCTTTGTATAGTCGACAGGCGAGAGCCGAGTCTGTATGGTGTCATGGGGCATTTTAGTTGCTCCCTGGAGCTAACTCCAACTCATTTCGGCAAATACCATCACAGCTCAACCTTGATTTGAGTGCCTTGACAACTTATTCCGAATTAGCTCCTCGCATATGCCAATGTTTGCTTAGTCTGTGCCAAGTGCTCCCGGCTGATTCTCCGCACATTCAATGCTCAGATCATGGTGCGGGGCTTCAACAAGTAGGAGCTACACCGTATTTTCGAGTTGAATGTTAATCATAATTCCGATCCGAAATTTATTTGATTCTATTCGATAGTGTGATACATAGTCGGTACCATGTAGGACGTCTTAGGCTCTGTAGAACACTTCTCAAGCTCGTACGAGATTTATACAAGGTCAACTTATATAGACAATTATTGTCTAATATGTGCATACTAACAGGGACTATTTCAATAGAGGCCATCTGTGTTGAAGATATAGTTCTCTTCCACTTGCCTGATCGGTTAGGGGAAAGGGTAATGGGTCTTTTGTAGACTTCCGAGAAATATGAAAGGCGACGTGTTTGATTCAGTTGTCAGACCTCATTCTTTAGTACCTACGAATCAAGTTATATCATGATCCTGAAGCTTAGTAGATAAAAAGCCCCTTTTTTTGCATCATCTCTTCCGATCTTAGCGGCTTTGTGCACTATTGAAACCTCTATATATCTTACTAACAAAATTTGCTGCTTTTGTGAGCCAATCCTAAGCTCATCTTATTGAATATACATATAGCTCACTAAAAGCAAAGAGTAATTTATGGCAGTATTAGGAAGGAGAAAACGCAGCTCATGGTTCTGTATCTAAGAACAGGAAGGAAGCAAGCGCAGTGACTCCTACCTAAGCTGCACTTTATATCGACATTTCCTCTCTCATCATTCATTCGCATCATCGTCATTCGGTTGATATCTACTCATTCACAATTTCAGGACTGTCATGCTCATTCACTAGATGCATCTGATGATCCGAGTTTCCATGTGATGATCATGAATCTGGACCAGACCTTTCGTCCTAGAGGACTGCGAGCCACAAGATCGACGTACTCAATGACTATTGGCACACTCACACATGGCCTTCCTGATTTGACTTGAAGACTCGTAGCTCATCATGCTGTCGTTTCTGCAGTTATCAACAATGCCTCCGGAGCCACCCCCCTCGTCGGATATTGATGCCGCTTTTGAGGCATCAACCAACTTCGCCGATCTCCCAAGTCTGATCGGTCCCACAAAACATTGTTGTTGCGCCATAATGTCGGAAACACGCATTTGGTCCAACAACTCCAACGGACAGCCTCGACTCAAATGTGACCGCGGTACCCTCAAAAAGAGGGAATGCAAGCCCTGCCCACATGAGCTTCTGAGGGAACAAGCGGCTGCGTGTCAGTCCTCATCCCCGCCTGCTCGCTGCGCTCCTCACAAGGGAGAGGGTATCCGCTGGGGCATTTGCGATGCCTTTCAACGCCATATGTACGAGAGCAAGAAGGTTGCCAAGGAAGCTATGATTGAGGGTGGTGCAGCTGCTGATGTTGCCAGCTCTATGGAGAAGGGTACTTTCTCTGGTGCTAATTTTGAATCTCATACTGACACTCCCACTGCTGCAAATGCCACCCATGTTGAAGATGCTAGCCCTCTCACGTTTACTATCCCTCCAGTTTTTATGTCTGCCGCCCGTCGCTGGCTCATATTCATCTAATTTTGATGATGATTCTTATTTCTTTAGCAGCTGTGCCTGCTATGCGTTCGGGCGTCTCGTTCCTCATGCCCAGCCGGGAAGATGCCGTTCTCACTCGCCACTGGGCCCTGTCTCTGTTCTCCGGGGTAAAGGGGTAGAGCTTGGTCATTTGGTACGTTGTCACTGTGCTAGATACTGGACAACTGGAAAACGATTCGGGAGGATGATTGATCATCAACTGAAGCGTTTCTTTTCATCTTTCTTGTGTAACAAAAAGGCTTTATTTCTTTCATCCACAGATACTGCTTGTTAGGAGAAATATTCTATTCTGATTCAGTGACCTCTCACATATCGTAAATCTTTCTTTGTTGTGAAAACGGCACGTGGACGACGAGGTGGGAAGAACATACCTCGCACGCTTTCCCTTAGGCTGCAGCAACAACCATCATAAGGAATCTCCTTGGATATCCATGGATAAATGCAGCTCATATCGACAAATCTAAATTTGTATTTATCAAACAATAAACACGAAGGTGTCTACTGCAGAAGAAAGAAAAAAAGAAGAAAAAAAAAAAAAAAGAAGCCCACCGAGAAATCCACAAGCGCAGGGGATTGAATCAGCCCTCTTTCTACAAGTTTTTTTCTTGAAGAAGCTTAGCCATTAAGCCACTACCGACTTGCCTCGTATCTTAGATAATTTTTGGTGTGAAATGTACTAGGAGAAATAGGGACTTATAATTATGAAACTATCAAGGAGGATGGAGCCTAAGGAGAAAAAAGCTAGCGAAGACAAAGGTGCCCCATCGCAAGCGCAAAAATGAGCTCGCCCACGCTGTAAAGCTTATTCTTGCAGAGACTGTCGTATTCACCGCTAGATTTTTGAAATGGGGTTGTTGAACTGGAACCCGCTCAGTTGTTGATAGAGGTAGGTTGGCCAGGCCCCGCTTATATACTTGCACGTGACTATTACATATCACGTGTCGATCCACTTATTGTCATCTCTTGACTCTATCAACATGTCAATTCCTTGATACAAAGCCGAAGACTGCTATATCACATATCTCATTATGGCTTTTGTCGCCACAGGAGCGTGCTACTTTGATACCATTCTAACGTCGGTTCTTACCCAACCTCTCCGTAATCGCTTTAATATCTAAGGTCTATCAGAGTGCCTCATTACCCCAATGAAGATGAGAAGCTTCGAGCTTCAACTATCAGTCATCGTCGGGGAGGAAATTGCCCAAATACACTCGAGGTCCTAGGGCAATTAATGCAACGCGGACCGTCCAACAACGAGTCATCTTTGAATCTGATCACTGTTCTCCCTTCCAGATCGTCGGAAGCATCCCAATCCTTGAAAAAAAGTCTTGGTGATCAGGTCCAGTTGGATAATTGTATTTACCGAGAACAATTCAACGAGCCAGCATCCAGCTATGTCATCAAGAGCCAAGAGACTGGCAGCAGAACAATTGTCAATCATAATGAGCTGCCGGATATGACTCTTGAGGAATTCCAGATTGCAGTCGAGAATCTGCCTAAGGTAGCTCGTCAGTTCTTGTTTCACTTTGAGGTATGTTCAATTTGGACCGGGTGGTCTTCATTAGTCTCAATCGGGCACATTTGATGCTAACAATTCGGAAGGGTCGTATACCAGATGTAACAACTAAATGCACTGAGTACATCCGGCACCACTACCCGGGTGCCCAGATCAGTGTTGAAGTAGAAAAGCCAGGTCGGCCTGGCTTGCAGGAGCTTGCAGAGACAGCAGACATTGTCTTCTTTTCAAAGGGATGGGCGCAGGTGAGATTATATTCCTTGTGGCATCTTCAGCCGCATATCTAATATCTACACAGAATGAGGGATATGCCTCTGCCGAGGAATGTTTGCGGAAGCAATCACTGAAAGCATGCCAAGCGTAAGCCGCAATTTCGCATCCATGGACGTCTTTGAAGAATACAATTTGATGACACTGATTTATACAGCTCGTTGCTCTTTTGCACTTGGGGAGATGCCGGTGCTGCAGCCTTTGAACGGTATGCTGGTGAGATACTTCATGTCCCGGCACATACTGAGGAAAATATGCGGATTGCGGAGTAAGTCGGAAGTTGTCCTATTCAAATCTATTATACTAAGAGGCTATAGCACTATCGGAGCTGGGGACACCTTCATCGCAGGGATTTTATATGGCTTAGTTTATCATTGCAAGGATTGGGACTTTGGAAGAAGACTTAAATTTGCAAACTACCTTGCAGGTCTCAAAATAACACAGGAGGGGTTTTCATGTCTACATAGGGCATTGGACTCTCAATTATATTGAATGGCCACGGCCTGAGACTCTATAGAGCTTTATAGAACTATATAAATCCAAAGCTATAGAATTAACCCAGCAGTGAGCCCTATCTTGCGTTGAGCTTAACCGCTGATTGAAGATATATATTTGGAAAGATATATACTTGGAAACAAGTCCGTATAGCATGTACTCTTACGAATTCAGCGTTGACACTACCCAAGTACAATTCAATTCCATGCTGATGTAAGGTAACCTAGACTATCTAACAGATGCAAAGAAATTCAGGTCAATCATACATTTTTTGCAGAAGATCAGCGCATGTAAGTGTGTAGGACTAAATATTTTTCGTTAACCTTCGGGCGGGAACAAGCGGCAGGTAGGTAAGGAAAACTTCCTATCGCGACACGTGATCTTGGATCTCCAAGGGCGGTAGGTAACAAAAAATATTCTGCCATCAACTTTTCGATCTCGGGCTACTTTTGCACGATCTATTTCATTCCAACTTTCACAAAAATTGCAGTCACCATGGCCGCTGTTTACAAGACTGTCTCAAAGAAGAAGGCTCAGCAGCCAATGGAGGAGCTGGACGACGAGGACATTGAGATGGAAGAGCTCCTGGCTGCGGAGGACGACACCACTGATAGCGAGGAAGAAGAAGAAGATGAGGGAGTCGAGGAGGCAAAGAAGCAACTCGCCTCTGGCTTTATGCCCAAGACCCGGGTACTCATTCTAACTTCGAGAGGTGCTTCATACCGGTAAGGACATCGCACTTTGAAAAGAATGCTGAATCGTGTTGCTGATCTGTGATAATTGCTTTCAGTCACCGTCACTTGATGTCAGATATCTGCGGTCTCCTCCCCCACACCCACAAAGAGACCAAGCTCGACACAAAAAAGAAGACCGCTGGCTACAACCTTCTCCTCAACTCCCTCGCCGACCTGCACTCATGCAATGTCATCTTCTTCCTCGAGGCCAAGAAGAACGGCCAGGATCTCTACCTCTGGCTGTCGCGTCCTCCTAACGGACCCACAATCAAGTTCCACCTCAACAACTTGCACACCATGGGAGAGCTCGGCGCAGGATTCGCAGGAAACTGCCTCAAGGGTGGTCGCGGCCTAGTCGTGTTTGACCGATCCTTCGACGAACAAGGCCCCGATATGGGCGTTGCTGGCAGTGAATATCGGGCGCTTGTCCGAGAGATGTTGCGCGGAGTGTTCTGTGTCCCCAAGCGTGGCGTCAGAGGCATGAAGCCTTTTGTCGATCGCATTATCGGTATCTTCGGTGTGGATGGCAAAATCTGGATTCGCGTTTACGAGATCCGTGAGTCTGAGGCTGGTAAGAAGAAGGAGGGCGAGGAGGCCAAGACCGTACCTAAGGGCAAGGACGGTCAGCCCGAGGTTTCTCTGGTTGAGATCGGTCCCCGCTTCGTCTTGACCCCCATTGTCATTCTGGAGGGCAGCTTCGGTGGTCCCGTCATCTACGAGAACAAGGAATACGTCAGCCCCAACCAGGTCCGTCGTGAGATCCGCACGAGCAAGGCTGGTCGCTATTCCCAGCGCCGAGATGACCAGACCGACCGGGTGGCCAAGCGCTCCGGTCTGGGTCTGTCCGAAAACTCCGCGCGGAAGCCGGATGCCTTGGACACAAGGAAGCTATTTGCATAGGGGGTCTGTGTTTTTGTTTCGTCGTGCTATTTCTAGACTTGATATCCCTCGGGATGATGTTTCGACTACATGTGTATATTTGATGCGACGCTCTCATCATGGTCCGTTAAGGCGTCGGGGCAATGTCTCATCCTGGTTAATTTCAAAAGTGATTATTTCCATCCTTCATCACGGCGCAACTCCCTAGTCTCACCTGTCAAGTCTCTGCGTTTGCGAAGTATATGCATTTAATCCTTGGATGTAAGGGGCAAGATTAGCTAAGCCCCATATAAAGATCGCCAATCCAACCCCCGTTCATCATAGCATAACCTTCTTTCAACATCCTCTATCATGGCATTCATTGTGCTGAATAGCTTTTTCTGGCTAGAAGAAGACCATTACATCACTATGCCTGCGTTCCAATCCACGTCTGTTTCTTTCGCCAGCCCCAACGGCGGGGTGTATGTCCAATAGACCCAACCGTTCACGCGACTGTTGCATCAATTCGCAACAGCACTGTCCAGCCTGATCCATACCTAGATCTCGAGAGACTATCTCTTCTTCTTCATCATAATTTATCAACCTGATCCAAAGAATATTCGAAAGGTAAATTCCCCACGGTGTATATTGTTGATATCTCATGAGTCATTCTGATGAGGATACATGTTCCCAGAATCAAAATAGGCCGTCATGACAGTTGAACATCTTGCAACGGAGCTTCTGCTCCAGATATTTCGATCGTGCGATTCAGTCTCCGATGTTTTCAACTTATCAGCAAGCTGTCGTCGACTCAATCGCGTCTTCAAATCGTCGAACAAACAGCAAATCATCGCCAATGTCGCAGAGACCCAATTTGGCCCCCTCAATGATATCATCCAAGTAGTGACGCAGAACGACAGCCAACCAGCTCATCAAATCCGACATGCGTCTATGTCCGATGCCCTCCTGAAACAAATCATCCAGATAGGTCTGGTGGCGCAAAAATGGGAAACAGTCTTCCCATTCAAGAAATGGAAAGCTGACTACGAGAATCGCCGCTCTCTCACTAATCAAGAGCGATTACGTGTGCGCCGCGCCGTGTATCGGATATGGCTATACCACAATGCATTCCATTCTCGGGCTTATGACAGACATTCTCGCAATATTCGCCATGTAGTCTTGGAACGGGCCCAGCTTCTCCATAACTGGTCAACCCAAGAGCTGGCCGAGATTGAAGACCTTCGTCTTGTCATGAGCGACGTTGTGCAGAATCACATCTGTCCCAGCAACGGCACTATTCAACGCAAGTTCCGCAAGCGGTATCCGGAGAGTAATCATCAGCTCTCTTTTAACATCCACCTGAATTATCCTCCACCATCAAATCCTATCTCGTTGCAGATTCAGTCGTCAGTCGGAAAAGCCCCGGGGTCTTCACTGCAACAATATTTCCATGTCGCCCACCCAAGCAACTTCACCGATTCACCAGCCAAATATCGGTCTCGATTTCGCAATGATCTTTCCCATGACCCCGGGTCAGAGGGCTGGGGAGATGAGATCCCGCATTACTACATCATCCAGGACATGATGAAGCTTGATCCTGGTCAAATCCTATGGTTGCGCGATCATGCTCTTTTGAAGGAGCAGGTGGAGGAGTATATATGCTCCCTGGGAGACTGGTTCCGCGATAATGGCGAGACATTCGGTGATACGTTGGAATATGTCATGAATGAGCGCGGTCTTGATGTTGGGGAGTTACGTTCGGCAGTTGTTGATCGTGACATGGGCATAGTGCTTGATTAGACAAAACGTTATGTGGCTAGTGTCAACTTTGTGGATTGTTTCGTTCTGGACTTTTCCATATGCGGGTCCATATGTGTTCTTTTCTCGACCGGACAGGTAATTGATAGTCCAGACAGCGTAGACATTGTCGTATAGGGGTTGGTGACTACAGCTGATTTGTTCTCCAAAGAGATCCGCCCCCTGTTGATCTTGTCATAAATTACGATCTACTCTCCCTGGCCCTTCTCTATAGGCGCTAATTATTAATACAGCACTATAAAAGCCCAGACCGGACAAGTAAATTGCCATGTGGAGCATGTGGGCCCAATCTTCAGCTCTAGGGACACTTTGTTTCCATCAGACTACAGTATGAGAGTTCGAGAAAGAATATACTGATTTTCGGAACTTTCATACAAAAAACACGCAGCCGCAATGGTAGACGCCCAAGTTCATTGCTCCAGCAAATTGCGGCAACCCAACGTAGAAACAAATCAAGCACACCAGTTGCGCGAAAAAGAAAAGGGATCAATTTCGTTGACGAGAAAGAGGTTAAACAAAAGAAAAAGAAAAGCGGGAGAAGGGAATCAAGCAGCCGGGTACATCAGTTCTTGGAGACCCCTGTCTTCCCAAATAGTTTCTCTACCAGATCCCGCCTGTGTATCATCTTTGTAGCCATTGAATTCCAGACTCCAGCACAGATCAAGACCATCTCAATATCACATCGCAAAAAGAAGAGTCGTGGCGGTCGGTGCGTCGTCCTCGCGAAGAGTGAAACTAGCAGCAGCCCTGCTTCTGCTCAGTGTCCTGTGGAGTGAAGTCGATGACGGGACGGCGGTCGCCGACCTGGTTGGAGCCACCCTCGCCGGAGTCGAGGGCCTTGCTGGAAACGATGCGGTATATTTCTGGAGGGATAAGCACAGGAAGCTAATGATTGGGAGAAGCGATCACCTACCTGTGAGGATATTTTGGAAGGCCAGCTCAACATTGCTGGCATCAAGGGCGGAGGTTTCGATGAATGAAAGGTTGTTCTCGCCTATTGGTTGTCAGCGCCACATAGTCAAGACTTCAGTTATCGGGGAACGCACTAGCGAATTGCTTGGCCTCCTCAGTAGGGACTGCACGCAGGTGGCGCAAATCGCTCTTGTTACCAACAAGCATGATAACGATGTTAGAGTCGGCGTGGTCCCGCAGCTCCTTCAACCACCGGTTGACATTCTCGTACGTCTGGTGCTTGCTGATATCGTACACGAGGAGGGCACCGACAGCGCCGCGGTAGTAGGCAGAGGTAATGGCACGGTAGCGCTCCTGACCAGCGGTATCCCAGATCTGCGCCTTGATTGTCTTCGAGTCGACTTGAATAGAACGGGTCGCAAACTCCACACCGATCGTTGACTTGGAGTCCAGATTGAATTCGTTACGGGTGAAACGACTCAACAGGTTAGATTTACCAACACCAGAGTCTCCGATAAGCACCACTATTCACCATGACAATAAGTCCACTGTCAGTCTTGTAATTTTCGGGACAAGGGGCGGATAATAGGAAGGCGGGCATCAGCAGAAGGTGGCAAGGTTACCTTTGAAGAGAAACTATGTGGCAATATTATCAGTATGTCGATACAAGACACAATAATGGTCTGAGTCAACTCACGTCATATTCGTCGTTGGCCATTTTGAATGTGATCGAGCTCAAGCTCGAGGGGTGATATTGAAGGGTGAGTGGCGGGGGATAGGTGAAGACTAGAAAGAGGGACTTGAGAGTGAAATAGATACGTCAGCACTAAGCCTGCAGACAGAAGCAAATAAAGGGGAGCACACACGGAAAGCAATGAGAATCAGTAGGGGAGTGATGTCTGTCTTTGGCCTCTCCTTAATGCCGGGCCCGGCTTAGCGGATCATGTGATCTGGTGTTTTCATCGCAGGCGGTCTGTGTTATCGGCAATATAGTTTGGTAGAGCTTCACTTTTGGACTTTGGCCGTTGCATCGCGCTGTCTAGTTGTCAGATAAGATTTCCCCCTGGACTGTCCTCAGGCTATCGCCTGGGCTGTGCTCAGGCTCTTGCCTGAGACGCCACCAGAATCATCTGATTGGTCGACTTTGCTCAGTACTTGAGCTTCACGTCGACACGGTTTTTCCTCCCTCTTCCCTTCTCTTCTCTTCTCTTCTCTGCCTTCCTTGTTTATCTCTCTTTCCCCACCATCTGTCTGTTGACACCGCTCACTACTGTTTGCCTTTATCAACCGAGTTTCTGGTCTTGGCTGGTGATTGAGATACTGCGGAATTGCCCGAGTGGCACATCCTGCGTTGTTTGATATTTACGTGGACTTTGACGTTTTTTTTTTCCTTTCTATCGTCTGATTTTCACACTTTGTCTCCTCATCACACACTTTTGACATTTTTCTACTGTTGTGTGCCTTTTTTTGGCACGTGAGCCTTCTCTCGCTGGACACGCTCCATTACTTGACGTTCATGTCACCAACCTAACAAGCTTAATCGCCAGATGCATCGGTTGATACTGTCATGTCTTCCCATGCTGAGATGAACTCTACTCCCGACAACGACCCCGATGAGGTCTCGTCCTCAGTTGACAGTGACCAAGATGAGGACAAGTCGTACGTTGTCGAGACCATTTGGGCGGAGCGTGTCACTGGCGGCCTAACCGAGTACCTTATCAAATGGGAAGGCTATCCTGCTGAAAGAGCAACATGGGAGCCAGTTGAAATGTTTGACGATGAAGCCGCCACCCTGAAGGATTGGGACGACAAAAAGAAGCTCATCGAGTCAGGGCATCATGAACCCTTCAACATAAAGTCCTGGGAGAAACATTGTGCAAAACTCAGGCGGGATCGTCAATCCCGCCGGCAAAGACGAGAAATCCGCATCTCGGGTGAACAATCCCCAGGGGATCTCGTGGATCTCCGTACACAAATTCCAGAACTCCATATTTCCTCGCCGACAACTCAAGACACGCCGTCAACACCACTGGTTTCGCAAAACCATACAACATCTTCCAGAAAGTCGAGAGCAAGCCAGGTCTCGCCCAACGATCGACTGCCGGCATCTCATGGATACAGGACAAAGCCACCTAGTTCAGACCTGGCCAAAGCTACTGACAGGAACAAGCGGCGAAAGCTTGAAAAACCTCAGCCGCCAATTGAACGGCTACATCAATCCGCACCCGAACCTTCAATCAAACCTGCCATGAAACCTGTAATCAAAACTGTAATAAAATCTCCAATCAAACCTGCACCCAAACCCGCACCCCAACTCAAACCTCAATACACACCCCAACCCGACATCGAATACGCATACAAGTACCCGCACCAATGGAAACACGAGCCGGCACCTGCTTTGACAATTTCAACCTCCACTCAGTCAGCGTCGACCTTTGGAGAAGGAGGGACAGGGGCCAGAGCTGGGCTTCGCCCACTGTTCCGCCGTGATCCAGCAGCGGAATTCACAAAGCTGGATATGATCCGGCCCTCTCAGTTTCCGGAGAGAACGGGGCACCCTGACACGAATGCCGCAGATTTGCCAGTTATAATTGCCCCAACTTATCCACCCATGCCCAAGAAGACCAGGCGGTCTAAACCATTGCCGTCGCCCTCTCCTCCTCCTTCGCCGGGCTACAGTGCCCCCCGAAAGCAAACTTTTCGTGACAAGTTCGACATGTCGAAGCGACAACGTCGTTCTTTGAAAGATGGTGACATCAACAAGCCGGCCGATATCTTCTCTCGGCGGGATAGTCCCGCCAGGCGTCGCTCAAGCTCACGCTCACGCTCACGTTCTCCTGGCCTTTTGCGTATACCAAAGCCGCCAAACACCTCAGCCGTCTTAAAGAACATCAATACCAACTTCAATCCTCGATCTATCACTCCTGCTGATTTCTCTTTGCCTGAGCAGCTTGCCCTAATGCCTACACGCACTCCAGAATTCGATGCTCGTACTATCCCTGGATACTGGTTTAACCCTGGAGAGGTTTTGATGATGACTTCCTTTGGGCGAGATGAGAATCTAGTTGGAAATACAAGGGCTTGTGGATTATCACTTTTGTCTAAAGACATAGTCAGGAATAAGCCACGGGGAAAGGCGCAACTTAACATTCACTTTGAACACTTGTGCACGACTGATGAAATCACTCGTTTGCGAACTCGACCCACAGCAACTAATACATTAAAACCTACGGTAAGCTTTGATTTATTGTATCAGCAAAGGTATTACTCCCATTGACTAATAAAAACTAGGTTGCTATGCGTACCGGATGGATAGAGGGCTTCCATCAGACTAACGAATCACTACTTCATATGGCCGAACACCTTCGCAAAAATGATCTTGTTGCTATCTTCTATTCGCCGATGGGAAGCAAGATTGCCTGGGTTGCATCGTCTCGCTACCCTCAAAATACCGAATGGATAAATTGGATTCGAAATAAATACAATGAGAATGTACCAAGTGGGGTTCCTATTCTTCTAACGGCATGCGAAAATCTCTTGCCCATAGCCTCACTGGGATCTCGGGCTCGCAGTCCAACTTTCGCTATTAACGAGGGTGGGCCAAAAAACACCGCTCCTTCGCTTGACCCTCAGCTTCGAACCAACACACAGTCCTCGCAACCTTTCTCCGCAAACCGAAGAAAGCCACATTCAACTACTTTCCGCCAGCTAGCTCTGGAGCCTGACAAGAGTGTCTTTGGTGTTCCAACTCCGGTCAGAGGCCCAGATCGCCTAACCACAACCCAATTGATTGCTTTGCGTCAACACTTTATGATGGCGCACCTCAACTCGGATGATCTTGCCATGATTGAGGAGAACGGGAGGCGATCAAAGGCAAAAAAAATTTTATATTGCCTGTTTCCTTGACGATGAGGATGCCGTGGCCGAGGTTGAAATCTTGAAGATGATGTACGCAGAACAGGGGATCGTTACTTTCACAAATCAAAATCCAGGTCACTGGGCCTTGTTTGTGAATGAAAATCAACAGGGTGTCGTCATTGTATGTTTTTCCGGGACAGAATATCCAAGGTAGTTCCATCAGCTAACTATCTTGGCAGTTCCACGAGTCCTTCCATGACTACGAATCGTTGCAGCCGCCTATCGCTCGAGTCAACAAGAAATTGTTCAATTTTTGGGTGGTCCGCGTACTCCGCCCGATTGACCTTCCGGACCACAATCTAAACGCGCCCAGCATTTATGCGCAACGTATTCTGAAGCCAGGCACTGCGATGGTGCTTATCACGCAGGATGCGATGAGCAACCTCATTGATGTTGCCATTATTCTTCGTTGGATCTTCCGCTGTCAAAGGAAAAGAGTTAGCAGGTGGAAGATTGTGTTTTTCCCCGGCATCCTACAATGGATAACGGACAAGCTGAATGATGAAGGTTGTGTAAAAGACCATAACACGTACGTATAATCTCCTGTTGGCGCCATTTCGGATCATTTTCTGACCAACCTCATCCAAAACAGCCTACGCCTAATCGAGAGTCTGATCATGAGGAACAATGTCGACTACCCTCCAACTCGAGCCTTTGACGCGTCTAGTCTGGATTTTTTTGGATGCCTTGAAAACAGTACATCCACGGTGGTTGAACTTCCGTCTGTTGAAGATCGCACGGACAGAAACAAGTCTATTCTTGATGAGGCCGAGCGGGACGCGGACCATCTGATTGAAATATTGGCGGGTGTGGCTAAGCTGAAAATGGCCCGATTTGGGACTTTTATCGCTATCGTATCTGAACGCCTAAAGACATCTGCTTCAAAGTCCCGATGGGAGAACTGGGGGCATATTTTTCTTCACTATGGGTTTGAAGGATTTCATGCAAGCCATATCAGTGACCGGGAATTTTTACTAGGCGAGGTCAATGCTGCTCGTAAGGCTATGTGAATATAGGGGTTTGGTAGTTTTTCTTATCGTTTATGATACCCTGTTTAAGTAGTTCACCATGTATGATATTCCTAATCTTAGGTTGTATTTATCATTATGCAGTGAATAATACTATATGATATCTTTTGCAGACAACACTGCCGTTCTTCATATTGTAAGGCTAATGTCTAAATTATGATTTAAACAGATTATATCTTATATACCTCAGTTTGTTAATGGTACACCTAGAAGTGAATCTAGATGAAAGTAAAAGTGAAATAAAAGTGTACACGTCGACTTTATAGAGCAAGGCCCCGAAGATACTAGGCACATTCTAATACATGTCACTACGTTTAAGGAAGGAGAGAGCATGGGATAGAGACTCGAACATTTACTACCGAATTAAGTCAAAGAATCATAAGCGGCTAGGATAAAGCAATAGACTAATAAAGGTTAGAGTGATGGTCTTAGAAAATGGTTCTATTTTTGCTCTAGTGGGATTGGCTAAGTTTTTGATAAAGAATTCTCTAAAGAAGGAAGGGATCATTGAAAAGGTGAAGGTGTATTCACTGATTTTGTTTCAGTGAGAATTGGCATTTAAGTCTCACTTATAATGCGCTTTTTCAACATTTCTTTGCGGACTTTGACTGCACCAAAAATAGATCGAGGACTCTTCGACACTACGCTCTGGGTGGCGTTTAGACCTTTGGATCCGGCTTGCTAGGCACTGACTCGATGATCCGTAGACCTTGCAGATTGGACACGATGAAAGGCGGCAATTGAACTAATGAAGTCCCGACTTCGGACGCACGAAGAAAGGAAAGTTAAGATTTAAGAATTTAGACAGAAAGACCAAATAATTTCCTGCCCAAGTCCTCCTTCTTCAGACATAGGCTTTTCGCTTAGCCTATAAATGCGATTGATTGATGAAATATAACTAAATGAACTTACGGTATACCGAAAAGTCATTCAGGTTTACCGTTGTTGAGCGGCCTCTGGACTTCGGATGACTTGGTTGTGTTGACAGTGATTGCATCTGACCCAAAGATGCTGTGCATATGACTGTTGTATTGACCAGGGAATACGACTGGATCGATGTTTTTAAACATCAGTAGCTCTGAAACAGTGAGAGTATAGGCGTTGGACATGCCTGCCGCTAAGGCAGACAACAGAATAGATCTGTGCAATGCTGCAGAAAATAGCGACATACAAAAGAAATGAAGAATGAGGCGGGAAACAGCTATGGCTAGCCACTGTTATAATGCATAGATATTGAGGTAAAGTGGGTCTGGCAGCTTGTCGGGTTAAATTTCAGTACAGTAATATGTTTAAACTGTGGAGCGAAAGGTTGGAAATGGCGAGAATTCACCACAGCCGTTGTTTCACGAATGATCAGGGATTATGGCTGGTGTCAAATAGATTGAATGTTTCAGTTTGGGCTCTATCTTCTTGGCGGGGTCAATGTGTGGGGCGGCGCTGATATGGGTGGAGCCTTCCTACTTTATATCAACAACTTTCTCTCCTGATTTTCTCTTTGCCATATACCTTATTATTGTGGAAGTTAAGGATAGGATTTTTGGCCTGGGATGTTACAAGACCTTGTCTGTATAGGTAAGCATGCATTCTAGAAATCTTTCTAATGAGGGCGCATAAGAGAATGAGAACAGAAGAAAAGAACCATGTGAATTTAATACTTGGACATGTTTTCGCTACCAACGATGCTAATTGCTGCCAACGTAAAGGGAATATGAAAATACCAAACGCAACCCAGATATGATGCCCAAGATCAAACAGGAGGGAACATCCTTCATTGAATTTAACCAATTGCCTGGTCCCGATACTCCTGGAAGCTCGAAGGATGAGAAGAGCCATCACCAGCATCATCCTGTGCTTTGGCCTTCATATCCTGATCTTTCTTCTCGCGGCCAATTTTCTCTTCCCATTTACTTTCCTCGGCAGATATCATCGCATGGAACCGACCACCTTGTCCCCGAGCAAGATAAATGGGCTTTTCTTTGCGCTGCGCCACGGCCTCAGTCACAAGAACGAACTTCACACTCGAGCCGGGGGCTTCGAACATGGCGTCGCTGAGGATGGTTTCCATCTCCGTGCGGAGCGCTCGTGCACCAGTTCCCATTGTAAAGGCATTGGCGGCGAGTTTGTGCAGTGCCGGGGTGGTAAAGCGCAGCTCGACGCCGGAAAGAGAAAACAGAGTTGTGTATTGGGCTAGAAGAGAGTTGCGAGGCTCGGTGAGGATGCGTAGAAGTAATGGTTGGGATAGGGTGGAGAGAGCGGCAGTGACAGGAATGCGCCCAATCAGTTCGGGAATAAACCCGTAGCTTTGCAGATCTGCGGGGGTTAGAAGGTCAAGGGGGTTGAAGTAGGTTGGCTCAGCGCCAGAACCAGCTGGCGTTGCAGAGCTGAAGAAGGGGAGATGCTTTTTGTACAGCGCTTCTTCTTCGGATCCGGGAAGTATTTGAAAGGGCTCGTTGGGAGATGGATTTGATGACCCTGGACGATCCGTAGTGCTTGAGGCTGCCCGTACAGGCTGACCGAAGCCTATGGAACCGCGAGATATCCGGTCCATAATCGCTTTGTGAAGTCCAATAAATGCGCCAGAGAAGACGAACAGAATATTGTCCGTGCGCACATTGTAAATTTCGCCCTTCGCAGCTGGGTTGCCTGGACTGTTAGATTGGAATGGCGAGTTCCCCAATGGACTGTTAGATGGGTAGCTATTTGGAGGACTGGTTGCGCGCGGGTTCTTCTCGGGCTTGGCTTGAACCTGTACCGTTGTGCCCTCGATGATCTTGAGGAGTGCCTGCTGGACACCTTCACCGCCGACATCCTTGCCATGACTGACTTTCGCTGCGGCAATCTTGTCCACCTCGTCAAGAACAATGATGCCACGTTCCGCCTGTTCCACATTGTAGTCTGCCGCTGCCAAAAGTCGGTGAACACACTGCTCAGCGTCTTCTCCAATGTAGCCGGCCTGGGTAAACACGGTGCAGTCGGAAATACTGAATGGAACAGAAAGAACTCTGGCAAGAGTCTTTGCCATGAGAGTCTTTCCGACACCAGATGGTCCCAAAAGCAATATATTGGACTTTTCCAGCTGTAAAGGTGACGTGTCGGCGAGTTCCGGGAGATCTAGGGGGGTACTGCGATGTGGCTTTGGAGTCTGTGGTACCCCTACAGTCCTTTGCTGGACGGGAAATTCATCTGTGACAGAAACCTGAATAAGCAAGCGAAGCCACCACAGACTCAAAATGCGTGATTACCTTCCAACGGATGACTCTCAATTGCCTCCCGCCGCTGCCGCTTTGCATGTGCCTCGGCTGCCTCTTCTTCGCGGCGCAAGAGCTCTTGAACGCGCTGGTAATGATTATATACGGCGACACTGAGCACTTTCTTGGCGCGATCTTGGCCCACCACGTATTGATCGAGATACTGCTTCAGCACTTTCGGAGTAATACGCGGGGCACCAAAGGCCGGCGTTGATCCGAGGGGCCCGGTCGTTGGAAGCCCCGGCTCATAGCTTCCAGTAAATGGCTGACTTGTGAAATCTGACCGGTTGAATTGCGAACGGGTTGGGAATGTAGTTGAACTGGATAAGTGGCGTGTTGACCTGATGTATGAATGGGGAAGGCGCCGACATTGGACAATCTCGAGGTGTGTCACGGCTGGAAGCCGGCGCTGTAAGGCCCTCCACAGCATCGCTGGGTACCAGTTAACATGTGCTATGGTCAATAGAGGATAAGAAAGCAGATCAGAGAAGTCAGAGTCAGAGATGGATTAGATAGCTTTCCCCGCAGGTGATCTTATCTGATGAGTCAGCGGGCCGGTGAACCTGACCATTTCGGATCAACTCACTTCTGACCGTATGATCGTGTCAGTGTGGGTTCTTTGATCTTTTCGTCTCTCTCTGGCAATTGAAGCTTGACCAGAGGCTATTTTTGGAGTCTCAAATCTCCCCTGCACCCTGGTTGCTAATCACTACACTAGAATCGAGAAAATGATGTCATAAACCAACTTTGCACCAAATACGAACTGGATCTACCTTGCTCAGCCATGCTCGACTAGGTGCAATTCTATTTACTAATACCGCTCACAGGGGTGGGAAAGTTGCTATTGAGTATTCGAAAGTCTCTACAGGAGCCTTGAAGCAAGTGCATTGTCTCATGCGCCGTTTTCGCGACCTCTCCATTTTCACCTTCTTTGTCCATTCTCGAGTGCCTTAGGTCAATCGGTGAGTTTAGTTCAAATCAGTGGCAAGAAAGGAGTTGTGAGACCTGTTGTATTCAAGAACTGTATTCACTCTGGCAGTGGGCACTAAAACCGAATATGGCAAGTCTCGTATTGGGCACCCGGGCATGGGCTCAGCACCGCCCCGGATGCGAAGTATATAATTTCAGGGGAAACCACGCAAATGGCGTGAATCATAGCAATCGAAGCATTGTTAGTACTAGTTCTTGTTACTATGAAGCTCTTTCTATTCTCTCTCTTCGCAACTATTGCCAGTGCGGCACCTAGCACAGGTCATTGCCGCTGCCGACCACACGAAAGCTGCTGGCCATCTGAACAAGAATGGTCTGGCTTGAATGACACAATCCAAGGGAATCTCGTTGCTGTCAGGCCTGCCGCATCCGTTTGCTATGCGGCAGAGTTTGATCAGGCAGCATGTAAGGATGCCATAAACAAGTGGTCCGACTCTACCTGGCGAGCTGCTCAGCCCGGTGCTGGGCAATGGGAGAATTGGGAAGCCTGGGCAGAGCGACACCAAACATGCTATATGGAGTCAGCTCATGATAAAACCTGTGGCCAAGGTCGTATTTCGTTGTACTCTGCGAAGGTACAGACGGCTTCGCAGATTCAGAAGGCTGTGCGGTTTGCAAGCGCACATAATCTTCGACTCGCCATCAAGAATTCTGGTCATGACTTCCTCGGTCGTTCAGCAGCTCCAGGGTCATTGCAGATCTTGACCAATGGAATGAAGGACATCAAGTTTGTTGATAACTTTATACCGGTTCATGCGCCAAAGGGCAAGGGCGAGGGCAAAGCAGTCACTCTGTCTGCGGGCGTCAACCTGGCCGAGCTATATAAAGCAGTCGCGGAGCACAATGTGACTGTCATTGCAGGTGCTTCGCACACTGTTGGTGCGGCTGGGGGTTACATTCAAGGAGGAGGACATTCCCCGTTTGGTGCTTGGAAAGGACTGGCCTCTGACAATGCCCTTGAATTCGAAATTGTGACAGCTGATGTAAGTGAAGGCCTATGATCCCGTAATAAAAAAGCCACTGATCATCTGCCCAGGGAAAACTTGTCACCGCAAATGCTTACCAGAATAGTGACTTGTTCTGGGCTTTGCGAGGTGGCGGCGGAGGGACATTTGGAGTTGTGGCCAAGGTCACTGTTCGAACATTTGCAGAAGTCCCGGTAGTAGTCGCCAATCTTAATATCACAACATCTGCTGGTGACCCTCATTTCTGGAATGCCTTCACTGAGTGGCACGCAGCACTTCCAGACCTGAATGACGGCGGTGGCTCCGGATATTACTTTGGGATCCCAGATATGTCTCTCAATGCGACGAGCAGCGTTTCCAGCATCATATCTCTGCTCATGTTCCCCGAACACTCCGAGACAAGCGCAATTGGAAAATTGTACGCCCCATTGGTTAAAAAGCTGAAATCAATCCCTGGTGTGGTAGTCCAATATGGCGCCTTTGGATTGCCCACCATGAACACAACGATACAAACTATGCTATTGGAAGGTAATACCGACACCACAGGCGGGATGACAACACTGCTATCGCGTCTGTACTCCAAGGACCTTCTGCTATCCGAAGACGGACCGAGTCGATTGTCCAAGGCGTGGAGTAGCCTTAGGTACAGCCCCGGAGAAACATTCATCGGTCATGTGGTTGCAGGTGGTGCAGTCGCAGCCAATGGCGACAAGGTTGACAGTGCCGTCAATCCGGCTTGGAGGAAAGCCGTTATTCACCTGCTGTGTTCAAGAAGTTGGAATGCCACCACAACGCTTGCAAAGCAGCGTGCTATTATCAAGAATGCCACAGAGGTGGAAATCCCTCTTATTCGTTCGGTCGAGGGCAACGATAATATGGGTGCTTACCTCAACGAGGCGCATCCTTATGAGCCTGGTTTCCAAGGGTCATTTTGGGGTGACAATTACCCTCGTTTGTACAGCCTCAAGCAGAAGTGGGATCCAAAGGGGCTTTTCATTGCTCGTAAAGGAGTAGGTAGCGAGGACTGGGACGATGCGGGGTTGTGTCTGAGCAAATAAGTCGACAGTCTTTGATTATCGAATAGGTATATGGCTGCAGTATCTACGATTGACCAGATTGCGAAGTAGAAATATATCGATGTATTTTATTAAATGAGGGGTATTTGGTATGCAAACTTGTCAAGTTGAAATTGGTGGCGTCCGTCAGCCCTAAAGCTTCCAAGTTTGTCAGGCACATTGGAGCGGGGTTAAGCAGTATAAAACGGCTTAAAGCGCGAGTCTTCGGGGCCAATCCTTTTCGACATCCAGCATTCGGGCCCGAAGATGAATTATGTCGTTGGTTATGACCGTATGAGTGCTACGCATTCGGGGTTTGGTTTCTTGCTCGAAGGTATTCTTGGTGTAAATGCCGCCGCCCAGTGCCGGCCTCGGTAGACGGGGCTCCATGACGAACGATCACTCTGATGCTTAGTGAACGGGTCTTTTATTAAATTTCAAAGGCGCCCAGTTCATTTCTTCGCCTGGAAAACAGGCTGCTGCTCCATTGTCTGCGAAATGAAGCTCCGGAGGGCAGACCAGCGACCAGCCGTGGGATTCGACTCAGCCTCGGCAGTTGAAGTTGACGAGATGGTTGAGATTGTTGACATGTCTGCCATGTTCTTGTTGAAACGTTCCCGCTCTGTTTTCTCCATGTTCTCTCGGCGCTTCATGGCACCCGGCTTGTGTCGCAAAGTCTTCTGCTTGATGATATTGGCTTGACTGGCGGCATCGTTGGCTTCTTCTGCTTCGGGCAGGGCATCGGCCAGAGATTCGAGGTTGGCGACCAATTTCTTGTGTGCACGTCGGCGCTTTGGGGTCTTCTGAGAGTCCTTCTCGATCTTCGACACGAGGGCGGCATGCTTGATCTGCCGCTTGTCCCGCTTGTTGGTCCGGAAATCTTCACCGAACGCAGATGAGACTCTCCCCGCACCCGAAGGCTTCTTTGCGGTCTTTGCCATATTGGTTTTGCGGATAGGAGCCTGTGGACGATAATTAACCGGGAAGTGGAACAGATGAATTTATGCAGCTTACCATTTTGCCATGTGAGATCTGCCCGGGACGAAAATCGGGAAAAGCGAAATGCCCGACTTTCTCCAAATCTGTTCACCGCCCGCTCCACCCTCCCCACCGTTTTTTTCAGGAACTCAACGCTGTTTGGCTCAACCTCATCTCTAGTGCAACGACCACAAGGAGAAAAAGGTGTTTGTGACGTTATCCTGCGTGATTTCTTGCCTTTCGGGTGACGATCCACATACTTTTCGACGCACTTCTTCTGACATCAGTTTGCCTTATCAAACCGGGAAAGGTTGAACTCATTGGGTGACTTGTATGGAGATTCGTTCCAGTCCCAATCTGCGCCGGATTTCCTTTCCTCATTTCTTTACCACTGTTATACCGAGGTCGCCGCTAGCCACCCGGTCCCAATCTCCCCGATTCATTTCACCCCGTCTGCCCCCGGCTTCTCAACCTTTTAAATCCACCATCCCCGGACCTCTAACCCGCCGATCATTTGTTACCTCTACACACAACATGGGTTCTATCGCTCAATTCCAGCGCAAGCACAAGCTCGCCGTGGTGGGCTCCGGTAACTGGTAAGGACCAAGAACACTTCTCTGGGATTTCTGGGGCGCAATCAGTGCTAACAATAGTCCACGTGCAGGGGTACTGCCATTGCCAAGATCGTCGCCGAAAATGCCGCCAGCAACTCAGATCTTTTCGAAGAGAAAGTCGAGATGTGGGTGTATGAGGAGAATGTTGAGGTTCCCAAAGACTCGCAGAACTACGACCCCGCATTCGCCGGTCCCCAGAAGTTGACCGAGGTGATTAATCGTACCCATGAGAATATCAAGTACCTTGCAGGAGTTCAGTTGCCGGTCAACTTGCATGCCAACCCGTCCCTGGAGGATGCCGTCAAAGACGCCACTATTCTAGTTTTCAACCTGCCTCATCAGTTCATCATCAAAACCTGCGAACAGATCAAGGGTAAGATCTTGCCCTACGCTCGTGGTATCTCTTGTATCAAGGGTGTCGACGTCAACGAATCCGGTATCAGCCTCTTCTCTGAGACCATTGGCAAGACTCTTGGCATCTACTGTGGTGCTCTTTCTGGTGCCAACATTGCCAATGAGGTTGCTCGCGAGAAGTGGTCCGAGACCAGCGTTGCCTACGACCCCCCACACATGGACTCCAAGGCGCCTACTCCCCAGCGTTCGCCTTCCTCCTCCCAGACCAACCTGGTGGAGTTCCAGCACAAGGATGTCTCCGGCAAGATCTCAGACACCAAGCTGCAGGCCTTGCCATCAGCTTACCCACCTATCGACCATGCCGTCCTCAAGGCTGTCTTCCACCGCCCATACTTTCACGTTCGTGTGGTCAACGATGTCGCTGGTGTGTCTATCAGTGGCGCTCTCAAGAACGTCGTTGCTCTGGCCGCTGGCTGGGTTGTTGGCATGGGCTGGGGTGATAACGCCAAGGCTGCCGTCATGCGTGTTGGTCTGATGGAGATGGTTAAGTTCGGTGATCAGTTCTTCAGCGCCACCATTGAACAGCGCACCTTCACCGACGAGAGTGCCGGCGTGGCCGATTTGATCACTAGCTGCAGCGGTGGCCGTAACTTCCGTTGTGCCATGCACAGTGTTGAGCGCAACCTTCCCATCGAGGAGATTGAGAAGACCGAGCTCAATGGCCAGAAGCTACAGGGTACCTTGACTGCTTATGAAGTCAACAGCTTCCTCAAGAACCAAGACATGGAGGACCAATTCCCTCTTTTCACTGCCGTTTACCGTAAGTGCTTCCCACTTTATGTTCATGAGATCTCAGCTAACAAGACGCAGGTATCTTGGAAGGAAACATGAAGGTTGAGGATATTCCCAACTTCATCGAGCGGTAAAATCCCTTTTCAGGTCTTTCGTTCTTGTTTGTGTTGTTAATTAAACAATTTTTGGCCCCGATAGCCCCCTTCAGGCCCGTACCTCGACTTCTGCTCAAAATTCGCATGGTGATGATGGCGCTCGGTTCACTGCTGCACGATTATGATTTGGGCCAGGATCGGCTTGGGACATTATAGACTTTCATGACCTGTACTTATGAACTTCATGTGTTGATTTATTCTAGAGATTTTGTTGAAATGTTGGATATACCGAGATTTTGATCTCATACAAATTGTCTTCCTGGTTATCATACTCGTGGACCTTATTTCGAGTGGGCCACTAGGCCTATTTAAGATTGGCTTTCCGCGGCAAGTCGTCTCTGAATTGAGAGCCCAAGTAACGTTTTGCCTTGCTAGTACGTCTTGGATGAGCATGTTGGGGCTTTAAGGCGCTGTAAACGGGAGCAACTGCTGATAGGAATGGTCTATCAATGGGTCAGTTACAACAACTCAAAGAGGGTTAAGAACGGGGCCAAAGAGGCATAGCTTGGAACCTATCTCGGACTTACAATAACGTCAGACTTTCGTCAGTCTCGGATCTCGTGGCCATTTTGAATCACGTCTTGTTGCTGGCAATGCATCTCGGAGATAGCCCGTTGAAGATTTTGGAGGTGCCTCATTTGCGGGCCTTGGCTTAGCGTACATAATTATACTCACTGGAGAATGACATGTATTTGATGGAAAAAAGTGGAAAATGCACAGTTCCTGTTAAAAGTGCTAACCAGGCTGCCTCGGGTAAGTGAATGAATAATTGATTGATATTAAACACATTGGACACTACATAGCTGGGTACCAGGCTGATCAAGGTGCATTTCAGCTCCCGCTGAGGTGCCCATTATATATATACCAGGAAATAAGAATGATTCGTCATCGCTAATGTATAGACGTCCGTTGCTATTGAGGTCCCGAGGGCTTGCCAGGGGCATCCCCTTGCCAAGACTTGGCAAGGGGATTATGTAACTCGACATTTTAGTTAACGTTGAATAAAAACCATGCGATTCTTACGTTATCTCACTATTCTTGGTAGATAATGGATTCTGTGGGGAGAGGGAAAAGAAGAAGACAGGGAGCTAGATAGCCAGGGAAACGGATAGCCAGGGAAACACAAGGAACCTTGAACAACCGAGGGTACAAGCGAGCGATAAACAAACGGCCTAGCCTATGTATGCAAACAAATTGACAAACAGCTATTTTCTGGCTTCACTCCCCTATTGTTCTTCCCTTGCCCCACATTTTCTCTTGTCGATAAATACCTTGAATGCGCGAACGTTCCATGATCTATTGTGCCAGAATCCTGACTCGTCAGCATGTCTTCGCAGGAAATCTGGTGCTCTCGCTGCCAAAGAAGTTTTCGTTCAATCTCAGCCCGGCGGCAGCACATCAGAAACTCCCCGAATCATCATGTTTGCAATGAATGCTCCCCATCACTTGATTTCATGACAAGATGTGACTTTAGTCATCATCTGGAAAACGAACACTACACATGTTCGGCTTGTCATATAAGATATGATACTCCAGGCCAGCTCGCCCAGCACAATTTCTCCGCGCACAATATGTGTATCACATGTGGACGGTACTTTACCAGTCCGGCAAATCGAAACAACGTTTGTTCCTTGGCCTTATTTCCGACACTGTAGCAGACGAAGAGACTCTAACCAGCCCCAACTAGCACGTGATCGTCCACGTTGAAAAGAACGTGGTCTGCCCAGGGTGTCCACGCCGCTTCTCTAGAAAATCTGCCATGATATTGCATCTTGAGGCTGGCACGTGTGACTCGAGAATTGACCTCGAAGACCTCAACGAGCTAGCGTCCCAGTGTCACCAGGCAGATCACTATGAGGGCGCTGGCTACAACTCGAATTACGTTTGTCCAAGTTGCGAATCAGATTTTAGATTGATGAGTGGTCTCATACAGCATGCAGAGAGCGGAGATTGTGCTCATGTTCTGGGAAGGAAGGGCCCTCTCGGTATTCTCCTTCGCTTCATCGGGTCACGAATCCATTGATCCATGCATATATTCATCTGTCCTACTTGTTGGGACTTGATTCAGATCCTAGTAAGTTTTTTTTTTTTTTTTTTTTTTTTTGCAACGGGCATTTCATGATCCCACTTGTCAATAGAACAGAACATTTTCTACCATAATTACCTCTCTAGAATGAGCATAGCGAGAATAACAGTTTAAGCAGACTTTGATGCCGACAAGATGACAATGCATACAGTCTGTTTGATGCAAGGCACTGGTCCATTAGGTCTCAGAGCCTACCCCTGATCTCTTTCTTGGCTATCATACCATTCGTAGACTGCCAAATCGTACTAGGATTTTGTTCATTGAAGATACTAGTATTCAACTACTTGTTCAAATACGTCAAATGCACATTTCAAACACACTTCAAATAATACACTGATGCTGCCGTACTTGTCGAGCAGCGTAGTAACAAAGTCTTAATCTCATATATCTAGTACCACTCCTCTTTATCCCTGGCCAACCCCAGTTTTCAACTGTACTCAATATCTGTTCCATTCTGTCGCATAGCAGTCTCTTCGACATGCCTAATCTTAAGGGAAACATATTACAATCTTGTGTTCCAGGAGGTCACTATAGCGCCGGTAGTACTCCGGGGCCTGCTCAACATCAATGATAAAGCTAACCACAAAACTGGGAGAAGCTCGATCATTCACAACCAGATTAATGGGCGAACGTGCATGTTCCAGCGGAAAAACATTCCACTTCCAACCGTAACAGCCTTGCTTCAAAGCTCATAGATAGAAATGACTTCAGTAGGGACAGTAGCGGCATTGGCGGCACCCGCGGTGTTGTTCTCACCACCAGTGTAAACACCTGCGATAACAACACCTCCTTGTTGAGCAACAACGGCGAGGAGTTTGCAAGGAACAAGTTCACCGTCACGTTGACCCGTGGCATTGACGAACTCAAATCCAACTCAGTCCAGGGCTCTGGTGACTCCATTTGGCTCCTGGGTCATGATTTGTTGAACGGGGTCGGGGGCATTGAACTGGATGGGAACTGTTCCGATAGACTCTGCCAGCACCAAGCGATCTGGGACTTAGTCCACCGGGCAGACATGTGAAGCACCACGGAGCATTGCGGAGTATGCAGCCATGAGTCCAACTGGTCCGGCTCAGAAGACTGCAACAGTGTCTCCTGGCTTCAAGCCGCTGTGTGTCAATGCTCGCCATCCGGTGGTGAAGATATCGGAAATTATCAGGTAATCTAGGTGGCGTTACCAGTTTGGTTGTTGAAAGGAATCGGAATGAGAGACATAGTCGGCATACGGAACACGGGATACTCGGCTGGAGACATAACGTCAGAGTTTGTCAGGGAGCTCCATTGTAATTATTAGGGATAATTAAGAGCAGACCTTGTATTCCACAATAGTTAGGCGAGCCCGAGCCGAAAAAAATAGGATGCTCCTGCCCGTCGTGACCAGAGTGTGCATTGTCAGGGATGATCACATACTCGCCTACTTCAAGAGAGAAGACTGCGCTACCAACATCTTAGGACATAGCCAACGGCTTCGTGTCCGAGATTCCATGTAACATTGGCAGCGCTAGTGTAACCATGATAGAAGTGAAGGTCGGAGCCGCAGATGGCTGAAGTGGTGAGGCGAATTCATGCGTCGGTTTGGTTTATGATGGTGCGAGCATTGTCAGTCTGACCAAACAAGGCTACTACCCGCATGGTGGCAGCGAGGGTTGCGTCGAGCGACATTTGTAGAAGAGAATCCAAAGGCTGGAAGGCTTGACTTCATGTATTTTAGTTAAAAATGGATAAACAGCCATGCTGTAGATGCTGCCGTCTTATATACTGTTTCATTCTACCCCTTGTTACGGAATGCTATACCTGCTTGCGGTATCATCTGCATCTTCGATAATTGATACATGGAAGCCTGTCATTCCAGTACTCGGCCGAGGATCCACTATACTTCAGCATCTCCTATGCAAGGAACACAACACTGCAGAGTAGGTGACGATGCTATCAGCAGGAGCAGTGGAGTCTATTGGCCTACTGCGCATAATCCGGAGACCGGTTACAATAATCGAACCATATATGCATGCATCGGCGAGGTGTCACCATAATTCCGTTAACTCCACTCATAGTCCCATTGATTACACTTATGAGCAATAAAATGATGATAATTCTTGGCAATGACGAAGCGTTCAAGGACGGACTGGCTCAGACGGTTGTATCAAGATTCTGGAAATGCGGTTCAAGGTCACCTGGCTCGCCGATTTCCATATAAACAAATACCAGCTTCATCGCGAAAAGCTAGTGGAATAATCCAAGGTTCTCAAGAAGATTAAGGATCATTCTCTGTGAGAAATAGCTACCAAAACCCCACTGCCGTCGGTCAAAATCCACACATAAGTCCGACACCAAATCGAGGCTCGGCGTTTAACAAGTGGAGACACCCAATATATCGACCCACATGTGGTGCCTCATCCACACCACTCAGAGGTGGCCCCGGCATGTCAAGCATTGACTTGACTTGGTCAGCCATAAAACGTGTTCGTGGAGACAAGCAACTATTGCCGGTGTGACTGGAGATATTGTTAACAAGCGATCAGGTAATCAAGGAGTTCTTCATGATCTTCGGCTTTGCGATATCAGCCGTCAGGAGATCGTTCGCGAGAGCGTTATTCTGTTCACAAGGTATCTGAGGCTCAGTAGCAGGTCCACACCTCTCATCAAAAGATAATTTCCAAGCGAGGCGCTTTCCCCCTGACCTGGCGCCAAGAATTGGTGGACCAGATGGTCTCCGCACAACCCTTCACTAGCCTTCTCCACCTGTGTAGAAATGTCTCGGTGATCTCCCAGTTCATTGGATCCCAGGGATCGCCCCAGACGATCATAACAGTTGTCTGAGTCTGGCATAGTCCAGAAACCCATATGGTCTCGACAAAATTGGGAGTCGTCCATGAGATCTTTATGTTGCATTGAATAACCTCGGAAGCGCGCAAAAAAGAAGTCCAGCCAAGAATGGTGAGGCTGCTTCTGTTGTAATTTAGTAGGTTGAAAACTAGCTGGGGTAGCCACCGCATTCTGGAAAGCCAGATGAGGCCCCTGAAAACTAAAGCGCGCGAGAGAGTCATCGGTCATTCAGTCATAAGTGTATCTAAGGGCTGTAATGTTCCGCACAAACACTCGAAACACATTTAGCTTGACCAACCTCAAATGGTGATTGGCCTGGAGATCTCCACAGTAGCTCTGATATGCTGCGGATTCGAAGGCCGCCGAATGATGATAGAGATCCGGATGAGAAGATAACATTGCCCGGATACTTCACCGTTCTTTTCACGTGGTTCCTGGGTGCTCATGATTAATACGGTGAAATCCAGGATGGGAGATTGTGTCGATCTAACAAAGTCTTTCTCCGCCGTACGTTGAGCCTGCTCCCAGCCCTCTCGCTGCGCCAAATGTTCCGCGCCCTCTTCCCATCCGTTGTTGATGTTCTATTCATGACCACATAGTTAAGTAACGCCGGTCTATGTCAGGAAAAAGAAAAGCCGGGCCACTTAATCCGTGCCTGTGCATATCGCCCTTTCTGCTGCCTGCGTCGCTCTGCTTTGGCATCCTGGTTGCGGCCATGGGAAACCTCTTCATTTTCATCACTATTTGGGAGTTCTTCTGTAATTATGTCCATGACGAGCAACTTCAACGTTGGATGAATGATTGTTGAAACATAATTAAGATGGAGAGTTTCTAGATGCTCAGGAGCCCGGTTTCGGCCTTACCGGCGCCCTCAGGTTGGACAGGGCTCCCCGCCTTAGACCGCTAGCCAGTTTGGCGACCTTGTCTCGTCTCGGATCATTTGCGATGGGTACCTTAATCGTGATGTACTCAGACACCAAACTATGTGGAATATCTGAGCTTCTTTCTGCTCCCGTGTAATGAAGGTGCAATAGAGTTACTTATCCTTAATGCTAATAAGTTCCGTGTCCCTCTAATTCAGACAGTCTCTTTTCTCAATAGTATTGACCCGATTCATGTTAATCCTGAACTAGCCATTGTTCAATATGTTGATTTAGACTTCAAACGGCGAACCGTGTCTCGATGTCGAGATCAAACCCTAAATAACCTTGGATCCGATCTACCAGACTTGGAAGTTCATAGCAAGCCAAGATAGCGATGAAGATCAAAATTTCGCCATGACATGTCATATGAAACTCGCAGCGTTGCTCTTGTGTTTATAATTGTAATATCAATACTACACTGTACACGGAATTACTGGAGGCTGCCGGCACGACCCTCTCGGTAAGATCATAGCAAAAGAGGTGCAATGACTTAAGTATCGTCATCGGGGAATTGGTTCATGATTTTTCATTATATTTCCTACTTGGCAATTCATCTCTCGAATCCAATTTCTTATCTTCGCAAATGCTACAAAAAATCGCTACTCCTGTACAAAGTAATTTTAGTGACCCTCCGGGGTATTTGGGTTATGCTAATTATAGCAAATATTCAAGTTTACAAGCGATGCTCATGTTTTCTATTTCTCCAAATCACCGAGCTATTCTGGGCCTGTTTGGGGGAGTTGGTATAGGACAATATCAAGAAGGAGCTTTCCAACCTGTGAAACAAGTTGGAGGGGCTATGATCAGAATCTATTTAGTTTCTCTTAGCTTTGCAATACTATCGATTGTATTTTAACTGACCATTTGGCAATTCATGAACTATACAGAAAGAACGGTCTTTACGCGGAGATTCGACTCTGGGATGTGCATACCATACAGTTGTCAACCAAACTGTTACGTAGTTGGCTCTGTGGCGCAATCAATTGTGCTACTAGGACTACAAGTATGTTAGTTGCATAGGGGTCCAAGTGGCAGGGAAGTTATATAGAGCTAAAAATATGCGCCAAGACAAGCAGATTCATGATGTCATTCCCCGCAGGTCTGGGGTCTGGGCTTTCTCCAGGAACACGGGATGAGGGGAACGCTCGGCTCCCTCTCTGCCTTGCTTTTTCTTCTCTTTTTTTTCTTTCCCATTTTTCTCTTCGCTTTTCTAGTGAAAGTAAGGTGAATCGCTTGAGATTCTCCTCTACTCTCACGGTCTGTTGGGTAATCTCCAGATTCACCGAAACGTCGTCGATCAGCTGCAATGAGCTCCCCACCTCAGGTCTACCTGCTTCCGCTGAAGGATGATGGATCTCCAGATGTGCCCGGCGGGTATATCTACCTTCCCCCTCCACCAAAGGATGGATACGTGCTCCGTTTCATTATCGAGGGCACAAGCTCGATCTGTCGACAGGGCAGTCTCTGGGTGAACATTCCTGAGGAGGGCAAGCCATTCGAGCGCTATTCGTTCCGGGAGTTTGGGTAAATATCTCTATGCCACTTGCTTTTTGTGAGGTTCAAGGTGGCAATTACTAAACAGGAGTAGATTGCAACCCAATTTCAATGAGAACATCCAGATCGATATTCCTGTGGCCTTTGCTGGAGCTTTCGCGTTCTACACAACATTCACTCCGCTACCAGAATTCTCTGTGGAGGATGTGCCTTCTCCAGAGCCGACCCAGACGCCCGTGCATTACATTGATGTGTCGCCCAAACTCACACTTCAAGGAAAGGATTTACCGCTTAACGCGCTGTCTATCTTCTCAGTAATTTCAAAGTTTATGGGCAAATATCCTACAGACTGGGATAGGCACCTTCGTGGCATTGGTCAACGGAACTATAACATGGTTCATTTCACGCCTCTGATGGAGCGCGGATCCTCGAACTCCCCGTACAGCATTTTCGATCAGTTGGCCTTTGACAGCGCTTTCTTCCCCAATGGTGAGAATGATGTCGCTGCATTAGTCGCGAAGATGGAGAAGGATTATGGCCTTCTCACTCTGACTGATGTGGTATGGAACCACACAGCCAATAACAGCAAGTGGCTAGAGGAGCATCCAGAGTCTGGATACAGTGTGGAGACTGCACCATGGTTGGAAGCAGCCCTCGAGTTGGACACTGCGCTGTTGAAATTCGGAGAAAACCTCCAGGAACTTGGCCTTCCGACGGACTTTAAGTCCGCGGACGATCTTGTGACAGTAATGAATGCTGCACGCAAGCAAGTCATTGATGGTATCCGCTTGTGGGAGTTCTACGTGCTCGATGTAAAGAATGATACCAAGCGTGTTCTGGACGAATGGAAGCGCGCAAAAGTTGACCATGCACTCGTTGAACGCCATGATATGCAGCAGTTTAAGGGCTGGTCGCTCAAGCAGCAAGCCAACGTTACGCGTGAATGTGGTATTCCTGATGTCAAGCAAGTCCTTGGGCGCTTTGGTCGTTCCATTGACCCCACATTTGGCGCTGTCGCCTTGACTGTACTTTTCGGAGATTACGATGAGGCAAGCACCAACTTTGCTGAGGTAGAAGACACCTTGTCCAAGCTTCTCGATGAAGCCAACCTGCCTTTCTACAGAGAATATGATGGAGATGTCGCTGAGATCATGGACCAGCTGTTCAATCGTATCAAATATCTCAGAATCGAGGAGCATGGTCCCAGGATGGGCCCTGTTACCAAGGAGAACCCTCTGATCGAGACATACTTTACTCGTCTTCCTGTTAATGAAGTCACGAAAAAGCACAATTCTAAGGCCCTTGCCCTTGTCAACAACGGTTGGATTTGGAATGCCGACGCAATGCGAGACAATGCTGGCCCCGACTCCAGGGCATATCTGCGCCGCGAAGTGATTGTATGGGGCGACTGTGTGAAGCTCCGCTATGGATCCTCTCCTGAAGACAGCCCTTTCCTTTGGGACTTCATGACCCGATACACCCGCCTTATGGCCAAGTACTTCTCTGGCTTCCGGATTGACAACTGTCATTCGACCCCCCTCGCAGTTGCAGAATATCTCCTTGATGAAGCACGCAAAGTCCGGCCCGATCTCACTGTCTTTGCAGAGCTCTTCACGGGCTCAGAGGATGCTGACTACGTCTTTGTCAAGCGACTGGGTATCAATGCTTTGATTCGGGAGGCTATGCAGGCTTGGAGCACTGAAGAGCTGAGTCGTCTCGTTCACCGTCACGGTGGTCGACCAATCGGCAGCTTTGAGGTCGACCTACCTTCAGCTGGCAGTAGCCACGCAATTGCTTCCGCAAAGTCTAGCAAATCGGATGAAAAGATCACCCGTATTCGTCCATGCCCAGTTCCTGCCTTGTTCATGGACTGTACCCATGACAATGAAGTGCCTGCGCAGAAGCGTGATGCTAGAGACACTCTGCCAAACGCCGCGTTGGTCGCAATGTGCGCGTCTGCCACAGGAAGTGTGATGGGGTACGACGAGATTTACCCTAAATTAATTGATCTTGTTCACGAAACTAGACAATACGCATCGCAGTCCTCCGACGCTGAGAGCGTACCAACTGGGTCTGGAGAAGGTGGAATCGGTGGAGTCAAGAAGCTCTTGAATGAACTCCACACTATGATGGGAGTTGAAGGCTATGATGAAACCCATATTCACCATGACGGTGAATACATTACGGTCCACAGAGTTCACCCTAAAACCAGGAAGGGTATCTTCTTGATCGCTCATACTGCCTTCCCAGGCAATGAAAGTGGCGCAGTCCTGCCCCCAACTCATATCACTGGCACCATTGCCAAGTTCATTGGATCCTGGCAACTTGAGGTTGACGCTGGGGATGAAGCAAAAGCAAAGGTCCTAGCCGATGACAACTTCTTGGCAGGCCTTCCCAGCCGTACACGCGATATTGAAAGCACTAAAATCGAACAAAAAGACAAGGACGTGACTATCTCTGTCCTCGACACCCTCGTTCCCGGTTCTATTGCTCTATTTGAGACCTGGGTTCTCGGTGCTGATCACGCAGATGGATTCGAGAACAACCTCACCAACGGCGCAGATGAAGCATTCTCTGAACTCAGCTTGGTTGATTTGAACTTTGCGCTGTATCGCTGCGACGCTGAAGAGAGAGACTTGAGCGGCGGCCAAGACGGCGTATACAGCATCCCTAAACATGGAGCTCTGGTCTATGCTGGTCTCCAAGGTTGGTGGAGTGTTCTCGAAGACATCATCAAATACAACCAGCTCGGACATCCACTCTGCGATCACTTGCGACAGGGCCAGTGGGCTTCCGATTACATCATTGGACGCCTTGAAAAGGCAGCTTCCAAGGAAGGTTACAATGCCCTACAAAAGCCCGCTTCATGGCTGCACGAAAAGTTTGATGCTGTTCGCGATCTGCCAAACTTCCTTTTCCCGAGGTACTTTGCGATCATTGTTCAGGCCGCTTACAATGCTGCTTGGAAGCGTGGTATTCATTTGCTTGGCGATAATGTGCGCCATGGTCAGGAGTTCATTCACCAATTGGCAATGGTCAGCGTCCAGCAGACCGGCTACGTCAAGTCTGCATCGCTGTGGCCCACCAAACAAGTACCTAGTCTTGCCGCTGGCTTGCCTCACTTTGCGGTTGATTGGGCGAGATGTTGGGGTCGCGATATTTTTATCTCTATCCGTGGCCTTTTCCTTGTCACTGGTCGCTTTGACGATGCTAAGCAGCATATCATTGCTTTTGCCAGTGTTCTTAAGCATGGCATGATCCCCAACCTGCTTAGCAGTGGCAAGCTACCACGGTACAACTCCCGTGACTCGGTTTGGTTCTTCTTGCAGACGATTCAGGATTTCACTGAAATGGCACCCAACGGAATGGACATCTTGCATGAGAAGGTACCAAGGCGTTTCTTGCCTTACGATGACACATGGTTCCCATTCGACGACCCTCGGGCGTACTCGCAGTCTCCGACCATAATCGAGGTCATTCAGGAGGTATTCCAAAGACATGCCAACGGCATGTCATTCAGAGAGTACAACGCTGGTCCGGACCTTGACGTTCAAATGAAGCCTGAGGGTTTCCAGATTGAGGTCAAGGTTGACTGGGAGACTGGTATCATATTTGGTGGCAGCCAAGACAACTGTGGTACCTGGCAAGACAAGATGGGTGAAAGTTCCAAGGCCGGGAACAAGGGTGTCCCTGGTACACCCCGTGACGGCGCTGCTATCGAGATCACTGGTCTCGCCTACAGCGCCCTAGCGTGGGTGGCGCGTCTTCACGAATCCAAGGCCTACCCCCACGAAGGCGTAGAGATTGCCGATGGCAAGAAGATCACATTTACTGAATGGGCCCGCAAAATCAAAGACAACTTTGAGCGATGCTACTTTGTTCCCGTCGACCCTAGTGAGGACAGCCAATACGACGTGGACCCTAACATCATCAACCGCCGTGGTATCTACAAAGACCTATACAAGTCCGGCAAGCCATACGAGGACTACCAACTTCGTTCCAACTTCCCCATCGCGATGTCTGTCGCACCGGATCTCTTCACGCCTGCCAAAGCTCTCGTTGCTCTGTCCATTGCCGACTCCGCCATTGTGGGTCCTATCGGCATGGCAACTCTGGACCCATCCGATCTCAACTATCGCCCATACTACATTAATTCCGATGATTCGGCAGACTTTGCGACGGCAAAGGGTCGCAATTACCATCAAGGTCCAGAATGGGTCTGGCAACGTGGGTATTATCTGCGTGCTTTGCTGCATTTCGATCTCCTCCGCCGAAAGACGCCCGAGGAACGTACTGAATGCTTCCAACAAGTCACTCGGCGTCTTGATGGATGCAAGAAGGCTATGCGGGAGAGTCCTTGGCGGGGTCTGACAGAGTTGTCTAACAAGGGTGGAGAACATTGCGATGACTCGGTAAGTACCCTCGCTCTGGTATATATATATCCCATTCTCGAGTTCATACTAACGCCGCTTGCATTACAGTCGCCCACTCAATCCTGGTCTGCTGGGTGTCTGCTTGATGTCTATTATGATGCATCAAAGCATTCGTAGATCTATCTTATATCATTTGAGACCCGATCATTACTTATTTGTGGTTTTTGGGACCCATTGCATACGAGATCATCATAATCCTTTGAATTCTTTGTTTGGCATCAACAGGTTAAACTAGTTGCACGGCGTGTGATTTATTTGGATCCGTACATAGACCTATAGATAAATATATGAGTCGCTCAACACAAGCACGACGCTGTCATGCCACATAGTTCATGCAAATCGACAGGCACTTAAATGATGACTCATCCACATGCAGGGGACGGGAGTCGTCATAGAAAGGTTTGCGAAAAGCAGAAAAACAAAGGGGCAACTTACCGATCCAATCCCTTCCAGCAAGTTTCGAGACTTCTCAAATCATTGCATCGAATTACAACCATCCATCGAGTTGGTGCCGACATTTGACCTCCGATCTTTCTGACGTCAGTCGATTGTACCCAACCATCTCCGATCAACGGAGTCCTGCCGCATGTCCTTGATCAACCACTAGCTTTGACAGCCCCTCGCTTGTCTTCTTAAATACGGGACTTTCGGAGTGTGAAACCCCCTTCCAAACCAGAGCTATGTCTCTAACGGCATCGGCGACTACCGCTGTGCTAACCGCGCTCGCCGGGAAACCGGATCACGGAGGCGAGAGGCGGTGGGAAGATCAGTTGAAGGAGCAGCGCGATCTCTACACGCAGTTCGTGATCAGCTCTACGTTAGGCCTGGGCGCTTTCTTGACCTTTTGTGTAAGTGCTTGTAATGCTCCTGGTGAACCTTGGATGTCAATATCTTTGCTGACGGGCTGCATGTTTATAGATCTTGCGGCCAAAATGGACCGAACTGTACGCTGCCCGACGTCGACAACGGAATGCCGCTTCGCGCTTACCTGAGCTTCCAAATACCCTTTTTGGTTGGATTCCTGTCCTTCATGGAATCACTGACGAGGAAGTGCTGCAGTCCGCCGGTTTGGATGCCTATGTGGTATGTTATCATTGAGGACTCTGCGCTAATTGACAATTGCTGACACTATTTCCGGACAGTTCCTGTCCTTCTTCAAGTTTGCTATCCGGTTCCTTCTAGCTGTATTCATCTTCGCTGTCGCAATTATTCTTCCGATTCACTACAAATACACCGGCCAATATGGTGTTCCGGGATGGGACAATCTCCCTGACAACAGCACGATAAATCGCATTGATGATCTCGGAAAAGACAAGCCTGTCACTGACCCCGGATATATATGGATCTATGTCTTGTTCGCATATATCTTCAGCGGCTTAGCTTTTTACATGCTTCTCCAGGAAACAAATCAAATAATTCGCACACGGCAGACCTATCTCGGTAACCAGACCAGCACCACTGATCGTACCATTCGCCTGTCGGGAGTTCCACAAGACCTAGGAACCGAGGAAAAAATAAAGGAATTTATTGAAGGCCTGCGTGTCGGCAAGGTTGAGAGCATCACGATCTGCCGAAAGTGGCGTGAATTAGACGAACTGATCGACGAGCGATTGAAGGTTGTTCGAGATCTCGAGCGGGCATGGACGAAGCACCTTGGTTATAAGCGGCCTAAAAGCGACGGAAATACTTTGCCTTTGACCAGCCAACAGGCGCAGGACGATGACAATGAACAGTCTGGGTTGTTAACAGAGTCTGAACGGGACCATGTCTCTGGTTATTCCAATGAGAGACCAAAAGTCCGCATCTGGTATGGCCCATTAAAGCTTCGCTTCCGGATGATCGACGCAATCGACTATTACGAGGAGAAGCTGCGGAAAATCGATGAATATATATTAAATGCACGCGAGAAAGAATACGCAGCTACTGAGATTGCATTTGTGACTATGGAGTCTATTGCTTCATCTCAAATGCTCGTGCAAGCGATTCTCGATCCACACCCAATGCAAATGTTCGCTCGACTTGCTCCAGCGCCGGCAGATGTTATTTGGAAGAATACATACTTATCTCGGACCCGGCGCATGGTGCAGTCGTGGTCCATTACCGTCGTCATTGGGTTCTTGACCGTTTTCTGGTCCGTGCTTTTGGTTCCCATCGCATCTTTGCTGGAACTGGAGACTCTGCATAAGATTGTTCCCCAGCTTGCAGAGTTCCTTCAAGAGCACACAATTCTTAAGTCTTTGGTTCAGACTGGTTTGCCGACTCTCGCGTTCTCGCTGTTGACGGTTGCTGTTCCTTATGTGTACGAATGTAAGCTTTCTACCAGGATACGCTCTTTCTGTTCAAATGGCTAATGATACTCACAGGGCTATCGAATAACCAAGGAATGGTGTCACGTGGTGATGTTGAACTATCGATCATCTCCAAGAACTTCTTTTTTCGTTCTTCAACCTTTTCTTACTGTTCACCGTCTTCGGAACTGCTAGTGGTTTCTATGGTTTCTGGGAAAACCTCCGGGATGCATTCAAAGATTCTACGACAATTGCATTTGCCCTTGCACAGTCTCTCGAAGGTCTTGCGCCATTCTACATCAACCTTTTGATCCTTCAAGGCCTGGGTCTTTTCCCCTTTAGGCTTCTCGAGTTTGGAAGTGTTGCGCTATACCCGCTCCAATTTCTATCGGCCCGCACACCACGAGAGTATGCAGAGCTAAACACGCCTCCCAAGTTTAGCTATGGCTTCTCCATCCCCCAAACCATCCTGATTTTGGTCATCTGTGTGGTGTACAGTGTTTTCCCGAGCTCGTGGCTGATCTGCTTGTTCGGCTTGATCTACTTCACGGTCGGCAAGTTCATTTACAAATACCAACTTTTGTACGCCATGGACCACCAGCAGCATTCCACCGGCCGCGCATGGCCCATGATCTGCAACCGCGTATTTGTTGGCCTTATAGTCCACCAGCTTGCCATGATTGGCGTTTTAGCTCTGCGCAGAGCCATCACTCGCTCGTTGCTCCTCGTGCCACTTCTAGGCTTCACCGTTTGGTTCTCATACTGGTTCGGACGGACATATGAGCCCCTAATGAAGTTCATTGCCCTCAAGAGCATCAACCGAGACCAACCGGGTGGAGGCGATATCTCCCCCTCCCCTTCATCATCCTTCTCACCGCCGTCAGGCTTGGACCGCGACAGTCTTCCAATCCGCATTGGCGGACAAGATCTCGAGCTGCGGCTGAAGAAGTATGTCAACCCAAGTCTTATTCTGCCGCTGCATGCTGCCTGGCTTCCCCACCGCTCCCGTCAAGGCAATGGTGCGTCGGCTTTCGAGGCTCATCAGACGCCCAATGTCTGATCTGGAACGTCACACTTCTGTTGCAGTTTTGTTCTATATCTTGATTTTCCTCGACACATTCTTTCTTTTCATATTTCTCAGACCCAATCACGATATACGACTCTGATACCTCGTTCGCATCTCACTCATATGTTCTGATATAATATTTTCTCATGGTTATGATATCCCGGTGTGGCATCTTTTGCTATTTTCTGTTGCGTTAACCTCCCCTCTTCTTATCCCTCCCTTGCGCCGTTCTGAATTTTGTTTAAATCTACATATGTTTTGTTTTGACTTTCAATGTACATACCAAATTCAATGAGAATCTGTATGACACTGCTGGATTGTACTTCCATCGCGGTCCTGGAGTGTGATGTATCGAGTCGTCTGCCTGTCAGGCATACCTACGTATGTAAATTGGAGAAGCCGGATTCCCCGAGGCATCTCTTGTCCCAGATATGTCGGTTACAAGTGGCGGCTCGTGTAGATGTACTCGTTGCTGCCACATTCCTCGTTTCAAAGTAAGTTCGTGGCAAACGTGGCAGGGTCTGAGCTCGGAGTCAATCCGCCAGTCTAACCGAAGAGGAAGGTGAAGGATAAGACATTTGCCCGTCAATTTCAGAGCATTGCGTACACTTTTAGGCCTGATATCGTCCACGTCACGCAGTATATTGTGGTGGCTGGCGCCAATGTGGCCTGAGGCAGCTTTTAAGCCAGGGATATTCAAGGTTGCGATCTATTGAAACCAACCAACCTCCAAAGTGACACACCGTCTCTCCCACGCCCTTTTTTGCATTCGACTGATACCACAGATCAATCCCAACCCCAGCGCGGACATACCTCTCACACAGACGGCCGCCCCGGCTTCTGGAATCCCTCGGGGGTCCACATGGTCAGCATTCCAGGGCAGTGGGGGATGGCACAGTTGTCTCTGATGCGGTGAGGAGCTGAAACCCGCCAAAGATAAAAGACAAAACAAAGTATTCCTTGAACGACGAAGAATGTCGGAAGCGCGAACGCCCCAACTAAATAGCCATTCTCAATATCGACTCTCATCACACGGTCAGAGACATTATGCATGTAAGCGGTGAGGATCGAATGCCAAGGCGTTCATGTGCTGCATCCGGATGTCTGGCATTCCTCGCTTGTTTTCTTCTTTCTTCTCTACCGAGATCCTCCGGAATGTCAGAGTTGCATACGATCGTGACAGTGAGCGTCTATACTACTGTTTCGCTGTCTCACCTCCACTTGATGCATAAAGTTAAGCTTGGTGTCTCTAACCACGGGTCAGCGAGGCCTAATCCAGAGCCTCCGTTGCCCGTTGCCTCCATTCCCACGGTGGAATGGACATATGTACATGCAGTCTTACGTGCCTGGGTAGTTTGCAAATGATAAGTTCGCTTGACGGGGTCCACTCTTCGGATTTCCGCGTGGTGCACTGCCCTACAGCATTGAATAGAACACTAATAGGGAAAATATATTAATATATTAAGGGCCCTTGTTAATCGACGTCAGAGCCGTTCAAAATTAATTTCAATTGCAAAACTCTGCGTTTAATTAGAGTCGACCCTTGCCTCGCCCTCGAATCGGCTCCATAACTATATGCCTTCCCGCTTTCAGACAATACAACCTTGCACTTACATACTTCAGATCCCACGATACTTGCTTTGCTTAAAACTTCGGGGGATTCTTCTGTTCGATTGGTAAATTGGAACTTCGCCCGCGAAGACAATTTGACGCTCAGTGGCGCAGATCGGTGGGCTAATTAAGGGTCTGGATTGATTGTATTTCGACATACACTGTTCATCTGTGATATCAATTACTTTCTCCCAAGGCATGGTCTGATCGGAGAAAAGGAGGGAAAGGCAAAAGGAGATATCAACATGCCCTCTTTGAGATCGAGTCAGGGCTATACCAGTCATGTGCCACGGAATGATTCAAGTATACGCAAGAAGCGGAACTCAAGAATATCAATACACCCAACCCTGAATGAGAGGGAAACCGGGCGCATTTCACCACCACACGACCAGCCTGTACCAAGATCCCATCAAAAGACCAAGTCGGCACGATCAGCTGCCAACATCGCGCCACCTGAGATTCTGCTAGACATCTTCTCCATGCTGGCACCCCGGGACTTTGACAATGCCCGACGGACATGCTCGCAATGGATGCGAGTCAGCCTCAATGACAAGCTCCTCGAAGCTATGCTAAGAACAGCAGGGTGGTGGGATGCATGGTTACAAGACCGTCGAAAGAAGTGTAACTCGACTCGCTCAGATGAGAGTGAAGCCTGGAGAATGAGCCGTCGGTTTTCAACAGAGTGTCTTCTCTCCGGGCGGAGATTCAATGTCGAGAAACCAGGTTTCCTGTCAACTGCAACTGTTGACTTTTCAGGCCTTTCGCATAATGTACCGCGCAAGATTCGAGGCAGTCGGCTCCAACCCGTGCTTAAACAGAACAAGGCTCTTTCGACATTCAGTATTAGCAATTGCAGCAATTATCTACTTGTCACCAACGGCTGCATGATCTATGTTTATCATCTTTTGGGTCGCAGATCTCAGTCAGCATCTCCAACCGACAGGTCTGAGGTTGAATTGGTCCCCGTTTCACGAATACCATGTCCATTCGAGGTCCTATCAGCTGTCATTGACACTAGTACATCTCGCTTTACTGTTGCCGCTCTGTTGAACAATCGAGTTGGCATGATCTGTGACTTGGATATGACTTTCTCCAACGAATCAAGCATGACGACTCCTGCCAACGACACTTCAGCTTTACAAGATGCAGAGGAGCATCCAACATCACAACTCCCCCGAATGCCAACAGCAGACCCAACATCCCGACACTTCTTCTACAACGTCTGCACACCCGACGCCCCTCCACGAACGATAGCCCTATGTCCAGGCCGACGTCTCGTGGGCTTCGGCTGCGCAGCCGGCATAGAAATCCACAGCATGAACGAACCAAGAAGAAACGAACAAAGAAAGCACTTCCCAATGCCCCAACCCTCAGAAATCCTCCACTTCCTCCCAAGCTCCCCAGAAGCCCCCAATGAACTCCGTCTCATCTCTTCCCTAGCCGGACCAGGCTTCCACGAATGCAAATGTCCCCCTTCACCAACACCCTCCCTTCAATCCCCAACCCCCCAAGCAAAGAATCAATTCCACTTCCTAGCCGACGTCCAATCCTTCAGCCGTCGCCGAATCCCCCACACTCCATCCAGAAGCTTCGTGCGCGCAACACACTGCCACCACTACGGCGCAGTCCCCATAAACGACGGCTACCACATAATGTTCATCGAGCCCCGAACAGGGCTCCTCTGCATCGGCTCCTCAAGTCCAATCGGCGGCCCAACAAGCCTCACTCGCGCTTTAATCTGCATACCCCCATTCGCAAACCCAAATTCAGCAAAAGAGCCGCCCATCCCCACGACTTTCGTCGCAGGCTCTGATCTAAGCTGGGGTCTGCGTGTTGTTGCCGCATACGGGAACCGTATCGTGCTCTATTCTATTCCGCTGGATGTATACAACGTCATCTGCAAGGAGCGCGAGCGCCAAGGCGACGGCGTTATGGGAGACAGTGATCTGGCAAAGAATTGGCACGTTGATGCAGACCGGTCCCCGAAACGGTGGGAAAGTCTTGTTCAGAATCAGAATGGGGATGGGGAGTTTTTGCTGAGTGTTTCCTATGGGCCGACTGCTATGATGTGGCCTTTTAAGATTTATGGGAAGGAGATTGGTATTGTTGATGGGCTTGTTGAGCTGTCTGTGCAATCTTCTGAGGGGGTTGTGCGAGTCTGGGCTTTTGGAGGAGATGGGCGGGCTACGGTCTTGGATGTCGATACGTTTACATCTACGTCTTCTGGGCCTGGTTCCGTTCCTATTTCTGCTTTGAAAATTGGGGCTGATGGCGGTGTTGAGAGTTTGGAATTGGTTGAGAGGGCTGGACTTGGGCCTTCGCGGAAGAGGAAGGCTGAGGTTTTAGGGGATGACTTTGCCGGTCGATATGGTACTGCTCGTCATCCGGCCAGTGTTGATGGGCTGGGCTTGGTGAAGCCTTGTGCTGCTGGTGTACATGGTGTACAGCAGGATCCAACCGTTCGTCGTACTTCTTTTGCGGCGTGTATATTGGACTTCAAGATTCCTGAGTTAGGGATCTAGGTGGAGTATTCTGTTTTGATATCCTATACTGTCTTGTCTTCGTATTTGATGGATGCTTCCATTTTTGATGCTGCATATATGCTACAATACTATAGAACATGGATATATCTCTGAAACTTTATGTTTCTTTCTATCTCTAGGCCTCTTCCTTATAGATGGAGAGAATTCGATGGTGACCAATATAGTAGTATTGAAGGCATGCAAGGCGCGAGCTAAGTTCTAATTAAGTGAAGTTGTTAAAAGAGGTACTATTCTGTATACCTTTGGTTATACGATACGTATGCAGTATCTCCTCTCGGCACCATCTCAACCAACCTTCTAACCAAACACAACCTAAACAGGTTACGACTGATTGAAACCTGATCAGCAAGGACGACGTCGACCACCTTTCCACAAAGGTCTTCGAAGCATCTAGTATGGAAGTTGCCCGCTATCTTGAGACCAAATGAAGCACGGTGGTTTGATTGTCATTTGTTGAAACTCGCACGGAAAAAATAAGGCTGAGCGTGAAGCGGACTGGTGGGCGGGTTTGGGACATTCATCGCCATAACTTCTGAACGGCTCAAGAGGTCGCCTTCGAGAAGCTGACGGGAGAACTGCGTGGCACAAAAATGTTTATTATGGGTTTTCGGTATTGTATGAGACCTGCTCCATCGGCCGAGAACTGTTACTGGCCGATGTGAACACTGCTCGTAAGGCCCTGTGAAGAAGTGGCCCGTTGTTCAAAACTGCTTTTGTATTTGTGTTCTGCATGTTTCTGGTCAAGATGATACCCCTTTCGATCATCCCCAATCGAAGTTTGTCTTTATGATCATTAAGTGGATGATGTTCTGCGTTGGAAGCTTAGGCAAATCAACATGAACATTTATATATGGAGAGCAAAGGAGAATGTGAAGAGAACTTTTGATCCATTATTACACGCTAAGAAAAGGCGCTTTTTTAAAAACCGAGATATCTCATCCGCATCCGAACTTATTTGGTTGTCTTCGCACGGCGGGCACGAACACCCTGGGCCAAAACTTCCAACACATCCTCGGTGTCCTCCCAGTTAATGCAAGCATCTGTGATACTGACACCGTACTTGAGACCGGACTTGCCCTCTGCGGGGACCTTCTGGTTGCCTATGGAAAGTTAGGATTGACAATTATCAATAGTGCTAGAATAGTACTCACCCTCGTTGATGTTACTCTCAATCATGACACCCATGATGGCATCCTCACCAGCGGCAAGCTGCTCAGCAAGGACAGCAGCAACCTTGGGCTGGTTCTTGTGGTTCTTCTCAGAGTTACCGTGGCTGCAATCGACCATAAGACGGGGACGCATGCCCTTAGCATTAAGCTTAGCCTTAGCATCGGCAATGCTGGCAGCATCGTAGTTAGGGCCCTTCTTGCCTCCGCGCAGGATAACGAAGCAGTCAGGGTTACCGACAGTGCCGACAATAGAGACGACACCGGGCTTAGTGACGGACAAAAAATGGTGGGGGTGCTTAACAGAGCCAATGGCGTCGACTGCAACATCGAGCGAGCCATCGGTACCGTTCTTGAATCCGACGGGGAAGGACAGACCAGACGACAGCTCACGGTGGACCTGAGACTCGGTCGTACGGGCACCGACCGCACCGACGGACAGACAATCAGCCAAGAACTGGGGAGAGATCGTGTCGAGCATTTCGCTGGCGATGGGCATGCCCTTGTTGGTCAAGTCGACGAAGAGCTGGCGCGAAATGCGGAGACCCTTGTTGATCTTGAAGCTGTTGTCGATATCCGGGTCGTTGATCAGGCCCTTCCAGCCGACTGTTGTGCGGGGCTTCTCGAGGTACGAGCGCATCACGATCAGCAGGTCGTCGGCGTACTTCTCCTTCATCTTCATCAGGCGATCGCAGTACTCGAGTGCCATTTCTGGGTCGTGAATGGAGCAGGGTCCAATTACAACCATTAGACGCTGGCGCTCGGTGTCTGTGCCGTGCACAACGGCCACGGCCTCGTCACGGCCCTTAAGGACGGTTTCCCGTGACTTGTCGGTCAATGCGATTTCATGTTGGAGCAGGTTGGGAGGGGTGAGAGGGTTGTAGCCGAGAACTAAAGAGATGGGTTAGTATTTTTAAGGGTTTGGAGATTAATCGTGCTTACTTCGAGAGTCTTCCAAGTGGCTGTGGTTACCCACATTAGGGTTGTCAATGAAGAACTGCGTCGACGTCAGAGGGCGGAGGGGCAATTCATGAGGGGTTGACTCACCGACATATTGTGGGGGGGTGCGAACAACTATGATAGGGAAACAAAAGTAATTGGAGCAATTGAGGGAGAATATGAAGAGAAGAATGGAATTAAGACTAAAATTTACGAATGAGTCAAAGCGATGAAGTATACCGAACCGATGTCGGTCCACGTGATCCTCGGTGACCGGTGTTGCACTTCCAATCACGGCGGGCCCATTGATAAATGTGGACTGATGTGGATGTGGCCTGTAAGTATGGTGTGCCTGAAGATGCGACTCGTATCCTTTGCGACTGAATACCCCTGCAGTCCGATCTCAAATTGGCTCCCCCGCATCTTCACGGTCCCCGTTGCACCCGACGATCGAGTTCCTGCAATCCGCGCACCATGTCTTCGCAAATCAGAGCATGCTGACCCTTGACATATTGCATTTGCTGCTGGTACATCTGCATGCGCACTTCCTGGGCCTGGAATAGGTCATCGAGAATCTGACCGCATCCCTTGCGGTATATCTCCAGCACTTGAGTGATAGTCGCCTTTTCTGCAGCGAGCTGGGTTGAAAGGTGCTACGTGTGCAGCCCAGTTAGCAATCCAATGGACATTTATTGATGTCCAGCTTACCGAGTTAGTTTCGTGCAGCAAGTCGTGCGCATTCTTTTGTGCGACCCCGAGGGCGGTGATCCATTCCATCGGATCATGCGCCAGTGTGGATGGCTGCGATTCAGGATTGGCCCGATGCGATTCCGGGGCCTTGTGACACCATGTCCTGTCAATTGGGCCACGATTCTCCGATGCAGAAGTTTTCAGCTTCTTCTCGTCAAGCGTTCTCTGGGAAGAATTTGATGTTCGATCGGCGTCCATAGCCTCGGCAGTACCTTCCTGGGGGAGCGATGGGGGATGATAGACTGACAGAGGCCGGGGATCGAGTCTTGTCTGCTTTAGTTTCTCGGTTTGAATCCCGTATTCCAGGAACATGTCTCTCTGGAACTTGGTCCACACGAGACTATCATGTGTATCATCGGTAGCCAAGTCACAGGAGCTTCGGCTGTATTGACTTGGTCTGGAGTCCGTAGCCCTGATCTCTTCTTTGTGGTTAGGGTCGTCTTCCAGGGCAAGCTCAGGCACATCTGCATTCTTGGTGTGCCTAAGCATCAGTCGGGGACTACCGTTGCTGTCGACAATGCTGGCTTTTGGTACGGATTTCGGGGGCTTTGGAGACGAATCAAGTTCCATCAGGACTTCATTGGCCAATAGAGGCTTCTGAGACTCAGGGGTTAGAGTATATTCTCGTCCTTGAGCACTTGCCGCTGTGATCTCTTGAATTTCTGTTGCCATTTCTGCGCTCGAGGTCTCCGATGATGTGTCGTCCTGGCTCTGGTAGAGGTTAGTGGCTTGAGAAGATGTATTCGGCAGGGATCTGATAGGTTCTAGCGCTGCAAATCCTGGCAGATGTTCCATTTCCATGTGGTAGTCAAGTACTGAGGGATGATCGCCCACCAAGCCTCTGCCAACTTCGAGGTCAGAGGAGTCACCATGTGTGCTGGACAAAGATTCCCAAAGTTGCGTCAAATCTGTCTGCTGGTGCTCTTCAATACTGGGTTGGTTTGTCCGGTCCATAGAATCCTCGTTGCCAGGATCGGGATCGGCTTGTTGTTCGTTCTTTTCATTGAGTTTTGTGTCATCTTGAGCCCGATCCACCTCCAGTATCTTCGTCGGCTCCTCTGCAGGTAGGTGTTCCAAAGATTGCTTATCAAATGGCTCCTCAGTCTGTACTGGATTGGTCGGGGTATTCGAACGGCGAACAATAATCGCCTCTTTCTCTGCGCTTGCCTGAGATTGCGAGGAAACCATTGCTCCTTGAAGTGCAAGCATCAATTTACTGCCAACAGACTCTGCTCTGCCATGCCGACCCGATCCCTTCTTGTCATGGGCAACATTGGCCTTGCGGGTTTGTCTCTTGGGTTGTATCCTTGCCTGTAAGATGGTGACTTTCGAAGCACTAGGCCGAGATGATCCCAAGTAATCGATATCTGAACTTGAAGCAGTTGTTGGTCGCTTACAAACCGGGTTTTCCCGGTTTCCTTGAATTTGAGATTGTGCCCTATATTCCATGATACTGACTTTCGAGGTAGTTTCGCGAAACGGTCCTTGGTCTTCATAATCAGGATAAAAGGGTGTCCCAGATGATACCGATGTGCAGCTTGGTATCTCAATGACAACAGGCTGTTTGCCCTTGTTCGCATTCCCGAAAGGCCCATTGTTCTGCGGAAGCTTTCGATGGGAAGCCTCTGGCATGTCCCCAATGTTCTTTATGGCAGAGCCTCCATTGGAAATACCCAAGCCAACAAATGCCTTGTCCTGGGCCGTAGGCGCAACAACGGTGTCGAGAGTTATCAATGGCAATTGAGGCACCTTAATGTTGTTTTTCATAGCAGTGGCGCTCTCCTTGGGATTAGTTTTCCTGCGTTTGGCCAAGACTGCTGGATCTTTGAATTGTATCTCTCGCTTGCCCGTCGACTTTTTGTCAGTTGTACCTGGTCCCCCTGAGGCTGAAGCAACAGCTTCTTGATTGTCTTTGCTCTCATTTGGCGTGGGGCGCAGATCTTCCTCCCAATCGACCTCCAAAGAATTTGACTTGGGCTTTCGTGGCTTGGTAAGCTTCAATCGAGGAACCACTGGTCCTCTTTGGGGTGAAGTGGCTTTTGGCTTCTGGCGTCCTGATATTCTGCGGTTGTATACCGCAGGGGCCGGGCTTCTGCTTCTGGTAGCCACTGAGTCTTTAGGGCCCGAGTCTATAAAGCCAGAACCCACAAGGACATGGTCCTTGATGGCGCTCATCGTAGATTGGTGAATGTTGATGATGGCAGGACAGCATGGCTTCGACTAGAGAAGCTCAACTCTGGTACCATCACATGATGCTAGTTCAACATTCTCTGTGCACTTTATGTGATAAGTTAACTGCAGTTCAATTTTGTTCCTCGTTTTCGCTGCTCAATTTATTCTTTTAAAATAACTTAGTTCTGATCAGCCAAGACTAAATGAGATGGCGTGCTCGCACAAGCCACTTGAGCTTCCCCGGATTTGAAGCCAAAAACATTATCTCCACTGCATCTCTCTTCTGTACTTCTCTATATTCATCTTCCCCCAATTCCTTCAATCCACTTCAAGTCGGAAATCCTTAACTCCGGAATCCGTCCAATTCCCCCGTCCTCCGCGATTAATAATCGCCACATCGGCTTACGGAGCGCGGAGATGACCCAACTCGGATCAAAATGAAGGACGAAATCGAGCTTTATAAGCCATGCAGGCTCCCGCGCTGACCCCTGACTGACCAGTTGGGACCCAAATCCGGCCCAGCAACAAGCCCAGTATTGCAATATATCGCATCAAAATGACATACGCTCAACAACCCCAAGGCGACGAAGAGGAAGCGGCGCGCGCCTCACGCTGCCGATTTAGCGCAATCGCACCTCTAACCCGACTACGAGCCCTCCTCCCAGGCCCTCTCGCCGGACCCACGAACCCAAATTACAAGGTCGATACCTCTCCAATTCCTAGTATACCCATTGAGCGCCGCCGAGCATCCAGCATCGCCGCCTCCCTCGACCAAGATGAGGGTCTTGCCGAGAAGATTGTCGAGCACGGCGTCGGCGTGCCAGATACAATCGCAAAGGAGGAAACGGTTCTCTACCTAGCCTACGGCTCAAATCTAGCATCCAAGACCTTCCGCGGTGTCCGTGGTATCAAGCCCCTCTCGCAGATGGGTGTCTTCGTCCCGGAACTACGACTCACCTTCGATCTACCGGGTCTACCATATGCAGAACCATGCTTCGCAGGCACGCAATACCGTGACCCATCTGCTCCTCCAACTCGCGACATCTCCTGGGATGATGACGAGACAGATGTCTCGGATAGTGAATCCTTATCCGAGAAAGATACACTCATGGGTCGGACACGGGAAGTCGAGGCTCAGGGCAAGGGATATCATAAACGGCGGTGGTACAAACCTCTTGTGGGAGTTGTGTACGAGGTCACACTGGTTGATTATGCGAAGATCATTGCTACGGAGGGAGGTGGGCGTGGATACCGCGACGGCGTTATCGACTGCTACCCTTTCCCTGACAACTACAACCCCGCAGACCCAGTCCCCGAACGGCCGAGTACAACTCCATTCAAGGCACGGACACTTCTCTCGCCTGCTGCCGATGATATGCGCTTGAAAATGCAGTCGTTGAAGAGCGGGAACCCGTCACTTCTATCCCATGCTCCTAAGTTGTCGTGGTGGTATACGGTGTGTCTGCATTTCCGACCTGATCCTGATTATGCGCAGCCTTCGGCGCGGTATCTTGGGTTGATTAAGACTGGGGCTGAGGAGCATGATCTGCCGCAGGCGTGGCGGGAGTATCTTGCTCAGATTCGGACGTATCGGATTACGACTAGGCGGCAGAAGTTTGGGAAGGGGATCTTCCTTGCGCTGTGGTTGCCGTGGGTTCTTTTGACTTTGGCTTTGTCGAAGATCTTTGCGGGCTCTGACGGGCGGAGTCCGCAGTGGCTCGTTGCCCTGTCTAATGCCATTTTTTCCGGGATGTGGAATAGCTATGATTGTTTCTTTGCTAGAATCTTTGGGGACGGGGAGCGGTCCCTGGATGATATCCCTGCTTGGTGAGATCAATTGGGCTGTCCAATTGAGTGCCGAGGTAGATACTTGCATATGAAGTTCTTGTAGATCAATCTGAAAGAATTACTATACTATATCAAATTGATATGATAGCCTAAATCTCAATTATTCATCCATCATAATCACAAAGGAAATTAAATTCAGATGACTCCTCGAGCACACAGTTTTCGAAAGGAAATGAAAAAAAGAATATATCTAGGATACAGATACAGGTGTTCGGGGAGCGTTCTAACAAAACAGACAGCAACCAATAGATAGACACAAATATGAAGAAAATGAAAGGCCTCTCCGAGACTCCCGTACCAAGGGGGTTGTGGTATGGTAATTCCCCAAGTCGTACACGGCCTCGTCAACCTCTCACATTTTCCCACTCAAAAAGGGTCCGAAATTTAGCGGCGGGGGCCGATGGGAGGGCTGTACACGACCTTTCTGGTCTTGAGAGGGGCCCACTTGTAGCGCTTGACCCAGACGCTGATGGCGAACAGACCGGTCAGGAGAGCGACGGCCTTGACACCCATCTTCTTGCGGTCGTCCATCTCGGGCTCGGCGGACCAGTTGAGGAACTCGACAACGTCCTTGGCCATCTGGGAGGTGGTGGCGGGGGTGCCATCCTCGTACTCAACGACACCGTCGAAGAGGACACGGCCCATAGCAATACCTGTTGAACACTTAGTCAGAAATGCCAAAAACGAACGCATTGATTCATCACATACCGGTACCGGGGAAGTAGGGGTTGAAGTTCATGCCCTCGGCGACGGAGGCACCGGCGGGAGCCTCGTCGGGGTAACCGGTGAGCAGGGAGAAGATGTAGTTGCAGCCACCGTGACGGCCCTTGGTGATCAAGCTGAGGTCGGGGGGGGAGAGCACCACCATTGGCGGCACGGGCGGCCTCCTCGTTGGGGTAGGGGGCGGGGATGTAGTCAGACAGCTTTCCGGGGCGCTTCTCGATCTCACCCTGGTCGTTGGGCTCCGTGTCGTACTCGTTGTCTTCGGCCATGGCCTTCATCTCGTCGACGGTGTGCATGGTACCGACCATAGAGCGCCAGGGAACACGGGTGAGGGAGTGGCAAGAGGCGCAAACTTCACGGTAGACCTGGAAACCACGGCGGAGACTTTGGTCGGTGTTAGTAGGGTGATGCAATGAGAGCAAAAATGTGACATAGGGAGAGGTCACTCACGCAGCGTGGTCGAAAGTCTTGTTAAAACGCTCGTGCACCCAAGGGTACTGAGTGGCGTGGAGACTAGAACGAAACACTTGTTAGCTTCAATTGTTGTTGCCGGCCTGATCGCACAATTCTCGGCTCGGTGCGCCGGAACCACAGATACGGCGATCCTCCTGATGAATGGAATCACTCACCCCTCCTCAGCGGGTGTCGAGGCGAAGGCCTCCTGGCCATAGAGATGGAAGTACCATGCGGCGGAACCGGCAGCCGCGGCAGTTGCGAGGGAAGCAGTGACTGTGAGGGAGAAGGGGGAGGCGGCCTCGCCGGCGGCGGTGGAAGCGGCACGCTGTCGAGTATTAGCAACGGAAGGCATCGAGGGGCCATTTCAAGGTCGAAGAAGGGATTGTCCTCTTCCAGCAAGGTCAATGGGTTGGTGAGGTCGTACCGTGGTCTTCCCGAGGGACTGGCGTGCGGTAGTCCGGTTGGACACGCGCAGAATCGAACGTCCCAGCATGACGAAAGTTGACCCTCCAAGCAATTGAGAATGGATGGGAATAGGTGCTGTATCGCCAAAGCGAGAGAGGGGTGGGTGGGGAGGGAGGGGGGGATGAACAGGAGAGAGGTGCTCTTTGGAGGTTGAGGTCGAAGTCGAAGAAACTTGAACTTGATGATTACCCGGTCATTCTGATTGGTCCACGCGGGCGCTAGAAAACCGACTCTCGGAACATCGAAATTGACACTTTTCATACTTCGATTTAATTGAAGAATTTGGTCTATTTACATTCTACTCTAGTTGATTATATTCTCTGTGAAATTGCACTTTTCTTTCTGTGTCAGTTGGTGCTTCGGGTGCTACCGGGAGGCCGTGAGAGGAAGCTAAACCCACAATTTCTAGAGAGACAAGATGCTAGAGGATCTGCTAGAGGCTCTGCTATGTATTCTCTGTCTGCTATATACTGGGCTTATATATCCATTGGTTCTTTGTTCTCCGAACAGTCGTGATGTCCCGGGATCTTCCTTGGGCGCACGCAATCCGATTCTATGATGGCGATGGAACTATATATCTTCTTTTTGATGCTCTACAAGCTTTGGTATAGCATTTCATTATCTGTGTTCTATGATAAGCTAGCCATATAAAAGAATGGAGACTTGACCACGCTATAATTTAGTCTCATTTGGTGTATGTACCCGTTCTGGTCAATATATATATCCTGAAGCTTAATAGCATACATTTCCCCCTCCCCTTTCTTCTAATTCCCAATCTTTGGTGTCGCACTCAAGTATATTATGATGGAATTTTTTCTAAATCCACTTACCAAACTATACAATCTGCTCCATCCAACAGCTGAATGCATGCATCCAATGAATAGGCGGTGTATGTTCTGCCCGGAGAGGCGGCGGCGTTGGACCCTGACTGCGGAGACAATGCAGCCGTGGATTGTTTCTAGTTGAAGATTCGATTTATTAAAAACCGAGATGTCTAGCTGAATCCTGGACACCGAATTCGCACCAACAGTTCTGTGTTTATTCGACGAGACCGATTGTCTCAAAACAAACCCGCGGGATAGCTGGCCCGAAGCTTAGGCCCCAACTTCTGGGCCACACCACAACCACGCTCAGTTCCCGATGAAGAGACCAAGAACACAAGATGCCCCCAGGTGGAAAGAAAGGGCCAACTGCGGCAGGCCCGCCGCGCAGAGATGTGCTGGCCTCGCTACGCATGGCCTCAATGGAAGACATCTCCCGAGCTGCTCTTCCGGCAGGTGCGTGAGATGGAGACATGAAATTGGTGATACGAATGCTGACCACAAAGAGAACAGAAATTGTGTCTTCTATACTTGACCATGTCGGTCCCGTCGATTTGATCCGCGCAGCACGATCCTGCAAGCTTATGCACGAGATGGCGTACGATGACACCCGCTGGGTACACAAGCTCAAACGAATCGGATGTTGGGACGAAGTCGATGCTAGGAAACATGCCGAGCATGTGTTTGGAACCGTTGCCAACAAGCAAGTCGTCGAACAGCAAGAAGAGGGTGGGGACAGCGCAACGATACCTGCGATTATCATCGAAGACGACACCAACAATATGAACTGCCTGTCTGATGGATTTGATAAAATCGAGTTGGTAAACACGACATCGCAGACTGATATGTTAGAAGGCTTGATGGATGATCCCACCTTGACAGTTCTGAAGCAGGCCAGGTCAATCCGGGGCGAGGCTCGTCAGGAATATGGCAAGATCCATGCTGCTTTGTCGCCTTTCTACGAAAATATTGTACGGTCAGGGCCATCGTCTGACAATCTGGTTTTCACGAAATATAAAGATCCTCAGGCTCAAGCGCAGATCCTAGCGCAATTACTAGCATTTTCCAAGTGTGACATGACAGAAGGATGGGACGAGAGGCTGGAAAGTTTGCAGGGTACAATGTCCATGTTTGAGACTGCCGCTTTGAATGAGTTCCGCCAAGGATATGAAACAGACGACATTGATGGGAGCATGCGAAAATATGCGCACATCTTGTGGACACTCAATGGAGGACAATCTGCCGTGGACCTCTTCATCCATCATAACCACTTGATGACACGAAAGGCCGAGCTTGGAAGCGTCGCTGACTGCATCGACGCATTGTCTGGCCAGATCAAAATTGAGCACACGCAAGCTTTCTTCACACGCCTCAGTGTTGCTTTCAACGAGCAAATATCCATAATGAACCGCGTCTTTCCCCCATCGTTGGATCTGACATCAGCGTTCATGGAAAAAGTCGGACAGGATGTGCTTTATCCTTTCCTCACAGCCATCTTCGACGAGTTGCACCGTGTCAGTATTGAGTCCTATCTGACTGCGATATCAATGACATTTGTTCAGTGCATGAACCTTTCCGAAGCTCTCCTTCCTACGAGAAGCTCCGAAACCAAGTTTGACGAATATCTTGATAATGTAGTGATCAAGATTTACGAGCCACATATTGATCTGTATCTGGCAGAAGAGCTGGATTATTTCAAGAAAAATTGCGAGGCTACAGTCTCTGAATGGGACCGGCAGCTCTCCGAACAAGCAGCATCAACTGAGTCCTTCTTGATGTCGAACATTAACCGACAGGCCGACAAACGGGATTTCCTCACTTCTTTCAAGAAAGTGATTATGATGCCCGTAAATATTCTGCCCAGTTTCTCGAGTGCAAAAACAGCCGAAGAGCCGAAAACCGACGCAGAAAAAAGTGACAGCCCTGTAGCATCTAAGGGTTCAAATCGATTCTCGACAATATCATCACCCGCCCCGGTGGCTGTCGAGGAAGTCCCTACTACAGAACTGGCAGCCAAAGCGGCTATCATGAAGTCAAAGATGGAGGGTATCCGCTCATTGTTCAGCATTGAGATTGCCCTTGGCCTGGTCCATTCGGCCAAATCAAGCCTAGAAAGAGCCGCTCAATTTGTGCGACTTGGCGGAGAGTACGGAATAGCTGCCAAGCGACAATGCGAGGCAATCTTTGTGAATTTACTCCGGATTTTGGGACACCGACACGTCATCGTCGGTTTCGACAAAGCTGTCAGCCATCTCTCCAACTACCGACCTCGGGAACAAGGGGAAAGAGACCAATCCGGAGTCGAACCTCTCGTGACCTTCTTGGAGCTGGTCAACGTTGGTGACCTCATCTTGCAGATGATGGATGTATTCTACGAGCAGGAGTTGATCGGCACCAGACTCACCGATCGAAACGACTTCCTAGACCCAGCCGTAAAGGAGAAAAAGAAGTTCGAACAGATGCTCGATGAACGGGTCGCGGCTGGCCTGAACAAGGGTATTGACGTCCTCATGGAGGAGGTGGACTACATCCTGGCAACAAGGCAACTAGCCACCGATTTCAATCCCGGTGTTTCAGCCGACCCACACCGACAGACCATGGATGTCGGCGTGAGTGAAGTCGCGTCAGCAGTAGTAGACGTGGTATCATCGCATACTCAGATGCTCGTGGGAAGCACCGACAAAAGCACACTAGACGTGTTTAACCAAGAAGTCGGACTGCGCCTCTTCACAGCTCTGTGTAAACACCTCAAGCGACAGCGCATCAGTGTGGAAGGCTCACTGAAGCTGATCAGGTATGTGCCCCCTCGGTGATCTACGTCAATCACCAAGCTAACTAGGTTTAGCGACATGAACCATTACTTCAAGTATATCCAGACTTTGAGAAACAACGAGCTCCTGCTTTATTTCACGGCGTTCCGTGAACTTGTACAGATTTACTTGGTTGATCCAGGCCACGCCAAAGAACTGGCTACTCTCATCGCCGATGCTGAGCGGTTTCATGGAATCTGGCGCGTGGAGGAGGTTTATGAATTCGCGGAGCGCCGGGCCGATTGGTACCAGGTCAAGAGGGATGTGGAACGAGCCATGTATGGCATTGGGTGCAATGTGATGTAGATGGATTCATAGATACCCAGGGGATTGATTGCATAGCGTATAGCATGTTGGCGTGGCTTACATGAATATATTTACCTCGATGGTGATGCTTCAAGTGTACCATTTGCATTTGAACTATATAATAAGATTAAAAGTTGACCAATTAAATATTCAGTCAAGGAGCCAACGAAGTTAAGGTGGCTGTTTTTGGACAATATGCAGCCCTAAGTAACATCTGACGTCAACCACAGCGGCTGCTGGAACATCGCGCTGCACCTGAAACGACATCCAGACTTTGCGATCCAGTCAATCTCTCAGGTTGCATTCTCAGCTCAGGAATAGAAATGTCTTCAAAAGCCCCTCAAGATTTATTTCCCGATCTCAGATTGCTGTTGCAGGCCGATCCGTGAAGATGTACCTGACGAAAGTCTAGATATCCACGGTTCTGATTTGTACCGAACAATTCATCATTGAAGTCCCAATAGAGCCCCGACAATTGGGAAAGATCCTACAATAAGAAAAGACCTTGATTGTCTCTCGTTCACGTCGCTTCGTCTCAGCTTAAGACACGACCTACCCCAGACTCAGAGTCAGACTCAGATCCAAATTACAGATCTGCAGCTTTCTTCTCTATCATCTATCCAAAACTATGCGATAGCAGTCCTCAACTTCAAATATACCATATCAAATTCTCAAGGACCAGACCGACCATCCTATCACAGCAATGCTCCAACCAAAACCCTTCGCTTCCACCAGATGGCTGGCCATTTCCCTCTTATTCACCCTTCTCTCAATACAAAGCACAAAAGCCGAAGAAGAAACGGTCTGGGTAACAGTACTGGCAACGGAAACAGCACACACAACCCCAACAGCACCAACACCCGCATCATATACCTCCTTCAGCAAATTCAAGGATGCGGTGCTAGAAATGTCAAATGAATATCGTGCCTCTCACGACGCAGAACCACTCAAGTGGAATGATACTCTAGCTGAGTATTCAAAGAATTGGGCAGATGCTTGTGTATGGAAGCATTCGGTGCGTATCCTATCTCTCCTCCAATTACATAAAATAAGTACAACAACTTACCTTACATCACAGGACGGTCCGTATGGCGAGAATCTAGCCTACGGCTATGGAAATGCCTCGGCAGCCGTCATCGCCTGGGGCGACGAAGGCGCCATGTACAACTTCGGTAAACCAACCGGGTTTACAGAGGAGACAGGACATTTCACACAGCTTGTTTGGAAGGCAACGACGCAGGTTGGGTGTGCGGCTGTGAACTGTGGGTATACGCATGACAATGACAAGCGGGTCGTTGATGTTGATGTTGATGTCGACGGTAATGTCAGCAATGGAATTGGAAACGAGACTGGAGAGTCGGATGAGCATGGCTTGGCTAGCATGAATGTTATTGCTCGTGGGGATGAAAAGGGAAGCCCGCGCGCTCAGGGGTGGTATGTTGTTTGCGAGTATACGCCTGCTGGAAATGTGGTTGGGGAGCATGATTCTTATTTCAAGAAAAATGTTGTGCCTCAGGTGAGAGATATGGCGTCGGGAACCTCTACTTCTACATCGTCTTCTTCCACGACGACTAGCGCCGGGGAGACGTCTCCATCGGAGAATGCGGCGACTTCTACTACTGGGGGTCAGAGCCAACCGAGTGGTGGAGCGATTAGGTTTGGGCTTGACTCGAAGCTGGGGATGATGCTTGTTGCTTTGGGAACGGTGGGGATTGGCATGGGGCTTTATACATGAAAATGTATATGATGTAGCTGAAGGAATACAATGAACTTGCTAGGAACTGGTTTCGTAGCCATCTCTCATGCTTATCCACATTGCACATTTCATCGGGAGGCGCACCGCTCGATCTATTGAATTTTGGAATGTCCCGATCCTCACTGGGCTTGCCCAGGGAACCTAAAAGAAACACAAGGGGACAGAAGGCTGGGTTCAGGCACAGCGAAACGCCAGCAGCGAAACAGGGGGAAAAGAGGAACAAAAGGAAACACATTATTTGCGAGAATTGAAAAGACGGATTCATTAAGCAATGACCTCCTCGGTCTCTTCGATAATCTCTTCCACCATCTCCTCGACCACGGTCTCGCCCTGGTCTTCGACAACTGCGGGAGCGTCGACAGCGGCCTTGGGTGAGTCGGCATCCTCGGGGAATCCGAAGGCTTCCTTCTCCTCGGACATGAGCTCCTTCTCGCGACGGAGCCAGGCGACCCACTCGTTGAGCACGCGTTTGCGGGTCTCGACAACGGCGGTGTTGGCGATGTCGACTGCGTACTTGTCCTCCTCGTCGAACTCCTTTGAGTACTCGCGGAGGTTCTTGCGCACTTGCTTTTGCTCCTCCTTGCTGAGGAGTGTGGCGGGGCGCGGGCGCCAGCTGAACTGCTTGAACTTCTCGGTGGGGTTCTCTGAGAGGGTGGTACCGGAGAAGGTGTGCATGTTCCAACCGTTCTCCATCTATTATGTAGTTAGCATCAGTTTTCAGGTAATGTGAGTAGATAGGTCTTACGGAGTGAGTCCAGACACTGGCGCTGGAGACGACGTAACGACCAGTGGAGTCCCAGTCAATGTCGGTGACACCGTAGTGCTCGACGGTCTTCATGAGCTGAAGGTTGGCGGCGAGGTCCTTCTCGGCCTCAACCTTCTCACCCTCGAAGTCCATGTCCCAGAAGTCAAGATCGAAGTTGGTCTGGGAGTGGACGGTAGCGACGATAACGAAACGACCCTTGGGGGACCAGTAGATACCGTTGCTGGTCTTCTTCTCGATAGTCCGCACCAGCTTGAAGTTACCACCGGGGTGGCCCTTCTTCTCGGGGGCGAAGAATGAGACGGATGTCTTGGGGAGGACGGCAGCACCAGCTGCGGCCTCGCCGTTGGTGATAGCGACGAAACGGGATCCATTAGGCTCCCAGGCGAAGTTAATAACGGTATCCTTCAGACTATCGACAACCTCCACGGGAACACCCTTCTCGCGAACACGGAAAATCTCCAGGTTAGTAGCCATGGATTTCTTCGACTTGGAGTGACGGTCGACCTTGACACAGACGTAGGCACCCTGGGATTGCCAGTGCAACTTGACGTCGGAGACGTTGAACAGGTTACGAGTACGGACAACCTCCTTGGAAGGAACGCTCATCATACCGACACGAGCGGGGTTGCTGCCGATTTCAGGAGTCCAGAAGCACAGCAATTGTTCGTACTGCTTGATACCCTCGCGGCTGACAGTCGCAGGAGACCACTCAAAGTCCATAACACCCTCGATCTTCACAGATGTGCGGCCGAGGAGGTTCATGTTGGGGAGTTCGTAGATGGAGATGGACTGGCCCTGGAGCATACGAGCGACGTACTTCTCGTCGGCGGACCACTTGAAAGCGGGCCACTGGACCTTCTTCTTGGGGGCAACATCGCCCTCGATGGCGGCGGGGGCGGCCAAGTCGTGCGAGACAAACGAACGGAGAGGCTTGCCAGTTTCAATATCCCAGACAATGATGTTCTTGCCGTCCTCTTCGTAGGTCAGTAGGGGGTGGCCTTCTTCAACCTGGATGGGGCGTGCGGACCACGTCGTCAAGTAGCCCTCAAGTGGGGAGAACTCGATCAACTGAACGTAAGGGTGAGGGAACTGCTTTTGCTTGGAGAAGGAGGCACCGCCCCAAAGTTGAACGCCCTGGGGGTGGACGGAGGCAAGGAAGGTACCCTTGGGGGACCATTGGACGAAAAGTTGGGTCCAGTTAAGGCGGTCGACGACGTTCTCTGGCGGGTTGGACTTGTTGTTCCAGAAGACACCAACCTTGTCGTTGCGGTAAAGGGCGAACTGATCACGGGCGTTGGCATCTCCCATCCACGAGCGCAGGTGCTCCTTCTCCTTGAAAGGCTCCATCTCGGGGGCCTGGTACTCCTCATCGATGCGACCTTCGCGACCATAGCGCTCAATGTCCATCAATTTGTTCACGGCCAGAGTGTGCTTCTTATCGAGGGGAACGCCGTGGAGTTGCTTGACGGCAGCGACGGCCTGCTCGGGGGTCTCGTATTCGACGAAAGCGAAACTAATTCCTCCAAAGATTAACCAAATATCCTCCTAACCGCAGATTATATCCAATACGCACCCTTCGGTCATCTTCTTGTCGTTGACGGGCATGAAAACGGCATCTTCGGAGGTGTTGCCGACGGAGTTGAGTTTTCTCAAAAGGAACTTGACGAGCTTCTGTCGGCTGTCCTCGGGGACGACTGGGAGGCCATCGATACAGATAAATGTGTCCAAACCCTCCTCGACCTTCACTTCATATTGCGCTTTGAGATCTAGACGACAAATTAGAGAGGGGCACACAAACACAATGAAATCTTGCACTCACCGGAGAAATCAATCTCCTCCTCTTCTTCCTCGTGGAGGTCCTGCTCGGACAGTGTATCAAAACTGGGCGCCATGCTGGGTGTACCGAAGGCGTCTATAGTCGGAACAGAGAAAGATCGGTGAAATCCGTCCTGATGGATTTTCGGGCAGCACAAATCTGGCGGGCGGCCAATTCTTTGTGCGAGCCGGGCTCCATGCCTGACTCAGCTATGAGTCAGCACGTGCTTAGTCACTTCCCCGGGATCACCTGGGCATCATGATAACGTTAGTCCTCTACTTGATGCTGTTTGCGCTTCTTTATATATTGCTACTGTCTTTGTTTGACCGTCCCTTTGTGTATTACCGCTAAAAGATATCATTTCCTGCTGTCTATTTTGGCTTTCATTTGTGTTGGTACGATTCAATGCCCCGCTGGTCCTAAGCGCCAGTGCGACTCTTGAGTATAGCCCACCTGACAACTGCGATCTGCGACAGCTCTCCCTCGACCTCCATATTGTCCTACGCATCTATTGAAGCTCTCAATTGCACGCCACGACTCTTCCAGTTTACATTTGTGTCTGTCACATCTTCTTTGTGATCTACTACAAGATGTCGTGTAAGCTAACGGCCTCGGCGTTGCCTCGGTGCCAACTGCCAATTCTTCCAAGACCTTCGGAACTGACCCGTCAATATGCGCAATAGTATCATCGGAAATGCGCGACAAATACACCGAAATCATCGATACGATCTTGGCCGAGAGTGATCTCAACACCATCTCCGAAAAGCGGATACGCAAAGGTCTCCAGGAAGCCGTCGGCTATGATCTCACGCCGCAGAAGGTCGGTCAATCACCGCGATATCTTGCGCCAGGGTGTCTTTGTGCTGTTGGCGATTTGTGGCAAAGCACTGTTGCTAACAAATGCAAAGACAGAGATCAAGCAACTCATTATGGAGCGGTTTGACCGATTCGCCGAGCAGAATGGTGTCGGGTCGCCCGAGGAAACCACTACAAGCAATGGCCATCGCGATGGCGATTCAGCCTCTGCTGCAGTGCCATCCCCACCTCCTTCGTCGTCCCCCGTGAAGCGTCAAGCTTCCAGCGACGTCACCTCCGAGCCCGCCAGCGCATCGCCGCCAGCTAAGAAACACAAGTCCGACGATGTTGATGCGGATGCGATGTTCGCAGCAAGACTCCAAGCCGAGGAGAACTCGCGTGCGCGTCCAACCCGAGGAGGAAACACTCGACGGGCGGCTGTTCCTAAGAAGAAGACCAAGAGGGCCAAGACATCAACCAGGGTCAGGGCAGAGGATGATTCAGATATTGGATCAGGGTCAGAGGGCAAGGAAAAGAAGGAAGTTAACCGTAATACTGGATTCCACGTATGTTTCGGTCTCACATATGTCACAACCAGCAGAACTGACACGTTCATAGAAACCATTGAACCTTTCCGAACCTCTCTCCGCGCTTCTGGGAGAAATTACAGTGAGCTTAGTCTATCTTGCGGTCATTCTTGTCTTACTAACATCAACTCAGCTCTCGCGGCCACAAACCGTCAAAAGGGTCTGGCAGTACATTCGTGAGAATGAGCTCCAAGACCCCAGTGATCGTCGTCAAATTCGATGCGATGATGCCATGCGTGCTGTCTTCAAGCAGGACCGAGTTCATATGTTTACCATGACCAAAATTTTGAATCAGAATCTGTACAATCCCGACGAATAGTCACTTGTGAGAGATGACTTTGAACATGGAAGAACAGGCTCCAACCCAAGTCCTGTCATATAACGATTCTCCTTCGGTTTATAATTCCTTTCCCAATGCATGTGGATGCTGGCGCGAATCTTTTCAGCAATACTTTGGCAATTATCAGTCTGCATTCATTTTATTTGACTTGCTTGTGCTCTCCAGCGGGCGTTAGTGTAGCTTTTCCCAGATGAATTATTTGTCTCAAAGGTCCTCACCCTCGGTCCTTGATTCCTAATCCCGTAGCATTGCATTCTTTTGATTTAGCCTGTACGAAACCCCAGTTGGATATAGAATCAAGCTCTATAAATTTCGGAAATGCGCAGCAAGCAGGCAAAGAGGCACTGTTGGCCAGTACAGTATGTGTTTGGAGAAAGTATAACACTGAGATGAGCATCCCCATGTTTACCCATGTAGATTTCTGTTTCTTTCCACTAAGTCAGAGCGATGCGACTCAGTTCATGTTGACTCGCAGATGTGAGCGCATGATGCCTCATCCAATGCGGCATGCGGGATCAGTCAGCGACATCACTTTTTTCCTACTTACCCCCACCACGATTCACAACCCCGAGCTCTCCAGATACAGCGCAATTGTCTTCAATCCGAAGCTTCAGTCGTGACTTTTACCCCGGTTTCCGTCTCCGCAATGGCCGACAACCAGCCCCCTCCCCCAGAGTCGTCTAGTCAAGGCCGCGGTGGTCGTCGCCGTGGCCGCGGAGGGGCAGCTTCCTCCGGTCGAGATTCACAACGGAATGGCGATGGTTCAGGGAGAACATCTAAGCCTCGCACTCGTGGGAGTGGACGTGGCGCCGCTGAAAGTGGACGTGACCGACAGACACACAGCGCCGACCAGGCCCATAATCATGACACGCAGTCCATTTCGAAAGCCACGATAAAGGCAAAGAAACCAGTCGCCGCAGCCACCGACGATGCAGATGATGGAGAAGTTTGCTTCATTTGCGCCTCTCCCGTCGAACATACCTCCGTCTCGCCTTGCAACCATCGGACCTGTCACATCTGTGCGCTTCGATTACGGGCACTGTACAAGAACAAGGCTTGCGCTCACTGTCGGGTATGATCACCCCGAAAAGCGAGCTTCCTGTGCGACTTGTGTCGCAGCGAGCTCTTGAACGTTTAGCTTGTATACTGATGCGCATTACAGACCGAATCGAATTTCGTAGTCTTCACAGATGATCCGGTACGACGATTTGAGGATTTCCAGAAGAAGGACTTTGCTCGAACAGACGAAAACCTTGGTATCCAATATGAGAACGACGAGATTTTTGAGGACACCGTGCTCTTGCTGCGGTATAACTGTCCCGATGAGGACTGCGATGTGGCTTGTCTGGGCTGGCCAGATCTTCACCGTCACGTAAAGAACAAGCATGGCAAGGCGATGTGGTAAGCAGACCTCACAGGACGATGCGATATTGAATTGACAACTGATCATGTGGACCAGTGATCTTTGCACCCGGAACAAGAAGGTGTTTACTCACGAGCATGAATTGTTCACCCCAGCCGAGTTGCGCAAGCACGAGAAATCCGGCGATGACAAGCCAGGTGCGATAGACCAGAGTGGATTCAAGGGACATCCCGAGTGTGGTTTCTGTCGGCAGCGATTCTATGGCGATGACGAGCTCTACACCCATTGTCGTGACAAGCACGAACGTTGCCACATTTGTGACCGACGCTCTTCCCACCGCCAGCAACAATACTATGTCGACTACAACGCGCTTGAGCACCATTTCCAAAAAGATCATTTCATCTGCTTAGACCAAGAGTGCCTGGAAAAGAAGTTTGTCGTATTTGAATCTCAGATGGACTTGAAGGGTCACCAACTCGAGGCACATCCCAACGGACTTTCCAAGGACATTCGAAGAGACGCCAGAATGGTTGATTTGGCTGAGTTTGATAACATGCGCACTCCATACCAGCAGGGCCGTCAACGCCGTGGTGCCGGTCGAGGCCGTGACCCCAATGCTGAGCCATTGCCTGCGTCCAGCGCTCAGCCAATGACCCGCGCTGAAATCGCATACCAACGCCAGATGGCCATCCAAAGCTCACAATCCGTGTCGACTCGAAACTTTGGTGGCCAGCTCACCCGGGAAGACACTCAGCCTGTGCGCGCACCTGAGCGATCCGCTGCTGCGACTCCCGTGCAAGCTCCTCCCGCCTCACGCTCTACTCCTCTCCCTACTGCCCAACTCGAAAGTCTCAATATCTCTGCTACACCAGCGCCTGCCGGCTCACTGGATGAAACACGTCGCCTGCGCCACGGCGCCGTCATTGAGCGTGCCTCCAACCTACTCCGCAATGATGCCACCAAGATGGCCGAGTTCCGACAGAGAGTATCAAACTATCGTGCTTCTTCCATCTCAGCGACGGAGCTGATTGACGCCTTCTTCTCACTGTTCGACACATCTAGCACCGAGCTGGGCAAACTTGTCAAGGAACTAGCCGACATCTACGAGGACGAGTCGAAGCGTTCCGGTCTGCTTCGAGCATGGAACGACTGGCGTGCCATTAATGAGGACTACCCCGCTCTTCCCGGCCCTGGTGGTCTTCTGCCTGGCATGTCACCAGCCACCGTCAACACTGGCGGCAAGCGTGTCCTGCGCCTGAAGTCATCAACCGCCCAATCCTCCCGCTCCGCCGTGGGCCGCAGCGGCGCCCTCCCCAACCGCACCCTCCAACCCCTTCCCCCCTCTTTCCGCCGCAGCTGGTTCCTCTTCTCGCCGCTCCCAGGCATCATCGGCTACTCCCTGGGCTGCAGCCGCACCCGCGCCTTCATTCTCCCGTCCCGCCATGCCAAGCCCGGTCAGCCGTCCATCCTCCACGACACCCTCGTCCAGCCGTGCTCCTGTCTCTGCTCCTGCTCCCCGTGGGGATGCTTTCCCATCCCTCCCACCAGCAGCCAAGCCAAACGTCCTCATGGCCGGCAAGACCCGTGGCACAGTCCGCTGGAACGACAACCGTGGTCCCGCTCCCAATGCATGGGGCTCGGGCAACAGCTCTGGCACCGCCTCCCCCGCTGAACCCAACCTCGATCAGGAGTCAAGTTCTGGTAAGAAGGGCAAGAAGAACAAGGGAAAGCAGACCCTGTTCCACTTTGGTTAATTTGCATCCATTGCGCCGAAGAGACATATCTTGCTTTGTTCTGATATGTCTTGGGTGATGATGGTATGATTGAGAGCGCAACATTTTAGCGTACCATTCTCATGTCAAAAGATTTGCTGGGTGGTTTTTTTCTTGTTGAGCCTAGCGACTGCAGATAAAATCTTTGTACAGAAGTAATTTTTCTTCTTTCAATGTTTTTGGTAAACTGGACATTTGGTAAAGGGGCAGGGTTTCAATATTTCCGAACCACTTTGGCTTAGACGGTTGTATGTGCCCACGGAGTCCGTGACATGTTATTCTTGAGTTGGGCATCCCTAGCTAGGAAATAATGCCTGAAATGTTTCCGCCCTCTTGAACCTCTGGGTATACCCCTCCTTATCCATAGTATATTGACCACGAGCGCCGTGCGCTAGCTCAACCAGCGAGCCGACCGCATCGCAGATGCCGCGCCCAGTGATAGGCGAGAACTTAACAAAGACATAGCCCCGCTGGGTTGCAAACGCCTCGGCTTCCGCGTGCGACACAGACGCTTCACCCATAGCGGCGATTATTGTCGCAAGAAAGGGGAGGACCCCGTCTTTGCAGCGGTTGCGTATCTTCTCGTAGGCGGCGACTACTTCGTCCCACGATGCCCTCGATAAAGTGTTGTACGTGAAGACGAGGCAGATATGCTGTATAAGGCAGGAGTAAGCTACGCTAGACACCGGGGCGCGAGGCGGGATAAAGCGGACATTGTAGACGTAATTGTCGCAAAGGTAATCTGTCTCGAAGTCTCCTGTAGGATCAAACTCGCCGTATTGCTTCTCTCTCTGGAGTAGCTAACAAACCGCCCGGGGTGAGCTCGGCCGGGAGTACTCGGGAGTATGTTGCGCAAGGTACTGCTGGCCGTGACTTGTGCGGAAATAGCCTTGGTGGTGTTTTCCCTTTAACGACGGACTTGAGGAACGTGGGGGCTTTAGTATCAAGGTCGACTGTAACGCGGATGATGCGCAAATCCTAGACCTCTGCGACGGCGAGGAAGAAAGTATCGAAAGATTTGTAGAACGGAGCTAGCCGAGCCACCAAGTTCCTCTGGAATCCCCAATCTTAGTACGGAAACATTCGCTTAGAACATGTCTTGTATGTTCGGTGTTCATAAGAGCACCAAATGAGCTGGACTTGCGTCGCAATTCCGTCCACCCACCCATGAAGAAAGTAGCCCACGGGCGTGGATGTGGTATCCTTTCCCAATCTGCGAAACAAGTTCTTCGACAAGAAGTTCAAACATTGGAAGGATGCGTTCCCGCCCTGTGTACGCTTGGGGAACACCCGGTAGATGTTCCTTCAGCACACAAAACTGTACTACGTCCCCAGCAGTCTTTTTAGACGCCAACAATCAACTTGCTTCAGACGCAGTGAGCGTAGGGGATAGTTACTTTCACGCAAGCCTATCTCCCATCCGTCCCGCGACTCCATCAACTTCGGATCATGGCCACCCTCCTACTTCTGGACCGCATCTCGAAGAGGTGTGACCTACTGATTACTGGGCCGCCGCAAGGTCACCAGATCGCCTACCAAGGGATGCTACAGTCCATCACCTATGACTTCGCCAAGATACGTGAGGTGGTCGACACTGCCGAACGGAAAAGATCGGGGACCTTGAGCAAGAATCTTGTTTTCAGCGAGTGTGCCGTGGTAGCCATGGTGGCTTGGCTCGAACTAAATGTACAATTCCCACAGTTGTATCTCAAGTTGATCACGGCCACTATCTCCCACCGAGATGAGCATACCCGCAGCTTCAAGTATTACGCCACTGTTGAGACATATCACGTCCAGACTATCGAGAGCCGTAGCCCAGGTATCTTAGTGGGTACCCAAGAGGTTCTTGGCATCGGTCGGACCTGTATGAGAAAAAGGTATGCGTTTATCATGGAGTCCGCCCTCCTCAGATCAACGGAGGAACCGTCAGCTAGTCGGATCCACCGTGTGGATCAGATGTTTTACCACTAGTGTGGCGTCTCCATATTGAAACAAGTGAAGCAGAGAAGCGAAGTCTTGAGCGACACGCACAAGGCGAGGGACTAGAGGGGTAGTAGTAAGACAAAGGAGTAGAACAGGGATACAGAAAAAGTGATATTATATCTGAGAACTGAAATAGACCGTGCTGAGCCATTGCCCTTTCCATCACCCGATATAAAGTACAAGCATAAGATTTACTCAAATAAAGAATACATAGGGGTTGATCAGCTCACCATAGAGCTAGCTGGAGTGCGCTGAAACAAGCACGACACTATCACTGTCATTACCAGTGACCGGATCAGACTCGGACATGAGTTCCGACCCAGAGTCAATAATGATAGGTTTGGGTGCACAAGTATCGTCATCCTCCTCGTGATCCTTGTTGAAAACAGGCACTTGGGCTTCGAGTGTATGAGCGGAGGCATTGGAAACATTTCCAGCACGTGCATCAGAATCTGGAACACTTTCAGGATCAGGATACATGGCCATCTCTCGGTTAATGGCAGCCATGCGCATCACAAAGTCATCTTGAAGTTTGATCAGCACAGAGCGGAGAGTATCATCATCCAGGTTACCATCACGAGCAAGAAACAGTTGTTCCCGTAGCGAGAGAAGCAATTTCCGTTTCTGAGCGATGGCCACAGCACGCGATGAGCTGTTTCGGCGCAAAGCGAGCTGATCTACTGCCTCTGAGACGGATTGTGCCTTCTCTAGAACAGCAGGTGGAAGGTCTGTGAGCTTTGCGAGGACGAGTCCGTATCGACGATCTGGGAAGGGGCCTTCGGCGATTCGGTACTGCATGGTCATTTTGGAAGCATCGGAGGCGATGTCTGCTGCTAGATGAAGATTTATGACGCCGCTGCGGTCGGCGAGGATCTGTGCCAGATCGTGGAAGTGCGTGACGAACCAGACGAGGGCGTTGCTTGAGATGAGAGCTTCGGCTAGGGCGACTGCGATGGCGAGTCCATCTGTCGTGCTGGTCCCTCTGCCTAGTTCGTCGATGATCACCATGCTACGCGGTTGAATATTTCGCAGGATGAATGCCATTTCGCGCATCTCTGCTGCGAATGTGGAAACATTTGCGTCGAGACCGTCTGAGGTTGCGACACGGGCGAAGAGTTGGTGGGAAATTGGAAAAGATGCGTATTGGGCGGGCACGAAGCAACCGATCTGGGCCATGATTGTTGTTAGAGCTAGGGCACGGATGTAAGTGGATTTGCCGCTCATGTTGCAGCCTGTGACGATCTGGAAACGGGTTTGTGAGGTTGCATATGCGTCGTTCGGGATGAACTTGCTTGAATGAATTTGTTCTCGGATTGGATGGCGTCCTGACTTGATAGCGAGGGTATCTGTCAACTCTGGTCGGATGTATTCGTGGCTGGTTGCTAGTTGGGCAAATGATGCTAGCATATCTAGCATTGCTATTGCTTCGCTGACTCGGAAAAGTCCAGATACTTGGTCGCACACGTCGCGAAGGAGATCCTGGATTGTGCGATCGCTCATGTTAATCACTTCACTATGGGCATCAGTGATCTTTTGATTGAGTTTGACCAAGTCTAGCGTCTGGCACTCAACGCGGTTTCGCTTGCGGTAGACGTTGATGAAGACATCGGGAAGGGGACCTGGTTCTGCCGCTGGCATGGAGATGTAGTACTGACGGGCAATATCATATTTCAAATCGAGAACGATGTCACAGTTCTCTGGATCTTGTTAGATCGATCCATGAATTGATTCATTCTCAAATTACCTGACAAGTTCTTGACGTGCTCGGCGGCATCCGAATTTGCCTCCTTGTAGGTCTGTCTGGCAACATCAAGAAGACTATTGACACCGGCCTAGAGACTGTTAGCTGGGTGGAGCTAATCTGAAACTACATGAGGCTTGACCTTGACACAGTAAATGCGCTGGTTTCTCAGATCGAGTGGCTTTGTTTGGTAAGTGACATGATCATTCAATGTGGTGTCCATGAGCTCCTCGATGGCATGATGTCCCTCGGGAGCACAAAGCTAGCAGATATCAGTATAGGCTCAACATATTTGAAGGTACTTTGATACTTCGCGTATGGTAACTAAAAGATCACTTTGTGCCGTCGCAAGCGCTTGGAAGATATTTTTGATTGCCGAAACATAAGTTTTGAGCATGATAACATAGTTGACGGACTGCTCCACGTATTGCATTGTTCGCTTGGTTGGAACCAATATGATCTTCACTCTATTAGCTCAATTTTCTAGTGCTTCATTCAAAACTTACTGCAGCCAACACTTTGTCTGCATCAATGATGCCTTTGAGAGCCTGTCTCACAGATACAAACATATCCTCTTTGGTCGACAAATCTTCAACGGCATTGTATCTGGCCTTCAATTTCACTCGTTCGGTCGATGGTTGTAGAATGCTAGCTCGGAGCAACCTTGCCCCCATGGGTGTCAAGGTCTCATTCAACAGACCGTACAAACTTTCTCGAGACTTCGCGTTTTGTAAGTTCTGGATGAGTTCGAGTGATACGATAGTCGCCAAATCAATAGTCATTGACCCCTGGGATGGTTCGAACCGGATGCGTAGAGAATGAGAGTTGAAAGATCGCTGTAGTTCAATCTCGACATACTTGAGAACCTAGGCCATACGTTAGTAGCTCCCTCTGGTAGTATGGGAGCAATCCTACAGCAGCAAAGCAACAGGCTGCGAAATAGTTCCCGCCCAGGGTCACCTTGAGCGAATCAACTTCTTCTGAAAAGGCCAATCGGTCCATATATTCATGACCTGTCTTCTCAGACCAGCATCGGCGGTCGAGGAAAGTAAACATTGGATCAGGTAAGTTCTCTTGGATGATATATCGAAACTTGGACTCTTTGGCAGTGTTCATGAAAAGGATCTCGCTGGGTTCAAAAACACCGATCTTGATAATTGTATTGACATAAGTTTGACTATCACATATCTGACAGAGTACTGCTTCAGCTGTCGCAAGATTGACAAATGCGAGGCCAATGGTCGATGAGACGCCCCGCGATTCACTGACAGCGCAGATGAGATCCTGGGATGCAACGCTGGTGGCTGTGGTAGTTGGCCTCCCTGTTCTTGGAAATCTGCTACCAGCCCTAGAAGTTGGAACAAAAGAACTCAGCGACACTCGTGAGTCCGAATAGACAGACATGGTGAAGCTGGAGTAGTTGTAGTGGAGAAGTGATACGCGATAAGATAAAAGATATTTTCCCTCAAAATTTCTCTCCTCAGCAAAACCCAACGACAAAATGGCCACTCTCTATCCTCCCCCCAGCAAGCGCCAAAAGGTTGCTCAGGCCGAGAAGGCTCGCGAGCAGCAAGAGATCCAGGGTATTCCATCCGACTTGGGTAGTGTTCGTGTGCAATTCTACGATCAAGCAACCGGAAATGCCACCGGGCCTGCGGTCTCCGTCCCAGTCGCCGATGCGAACGTCAAGAACCTCGAGACTCTCTTGAACACATTACAAGGAAATGTAAGCAATGAGCTTGACCCTCCGGCCGCAATTGATGTGTTTCTGACAAGATTATAGGACGACGAAGGCCGAGTACCATACCGGTTCACCCACCAGTCCGAAAATGAAGGCGAGACAATCGACATTCTCTCCGACGTCTACCACTCACTCCTCCAGCCCGGAATCAAAACAACCGAAGACACAGTCTCGCTATACTTCACACCCCAAGCCGTCTTCCGAGTGAGAGCGGTCTCACGATGCGCCGCCTCCATCCCGGGACACGGCGAAGCCATCCTAGCCACATCCTTCTCCCCGATCTCTTCCTCCAACATGGTCTCCGGTAGTGGAGATAAGACCGCCCGTATTTGGGATTGTGACATGGGTGTTCCTTTACATACCCTGAAGGGCCACACTAGCTGGGTGCTGGCCGTCGCATACTCGCCGAACGGCGCCATGATCGCGACCGGTAGCATGGACAACACTGTTCGCTTCTGGGATGCAAAGAAGGGTCAGGCGCTCGGTGGCCCGCTCAAGGGCCATGCGAAGTGGATCACCAATTTGGCGTGGGAGCCTTACCACGTGCAGGAGTCTGGACGGCCTCGTCTGGCATCTGCGTCTAAGGACTCGACTGTGCGGGTGTGGGATGTTGTTTCAAGAGTCATTGACCATGTGCTTACTGGCCACAAGTCTTCTGTTACTTGCGTGAAGTGGGGTGGTACTGGTAGGATCTACACTGCGTCTCACGATAAGACCATTAAGATCTGGAACCCCAAGGACGGAACGCTTTTGCAGACTCTGTCCGCCCATGCTCACCGTGTCAACCACCTCGCACTGTCGACCGACTTTGCTCTCCGCACTGCGTATCATGATCACACTGGCAAGGTCCCCGCGACCGAGGCGGAGAAGGTCGCTGCCGCTAAGAAGAGATTCGAGGAGGCGGCTACAGTGAACAACAAGGTTGTCGAACGCTTGGTGTCGGCTAGTGATGATTTCACTATGTATCTGTGGGAGCCATCTAGCTCTAACAAGCCCGTCGCTCGGATGCTGGGTCATCAGAAGGAGGTGAACCACGTTACCTTCTCCCCGGACATGGCTTACATTGCCTCGGCTGGATTTGACAACCACGTCAAGCTATGGAACGGTCGTGATGGAAAGTGAGTGTCTCCAACATGAAGTATATTTGAAATATGGCTAACCAACCTAGGTTCATCAACACTTTCCGCGGCCACGTGGGAGCCGTCTACCAGTGCTGTTTCTCTGCCGATTCGCGCATGCTGGTATCCTCATCCAAGGATACTACTCTGAAGATCTGGAACGTGCGCACCGGTAAATTGTCAATGGATCTGCCTGGCCACAAAGACGAGGTCTTTGCTGTCGACTGGAGTCCCGATGGACAAAAGATCGGCAGTGGAGGTAAAGACAAGGCGATCAAGATCTGGAGAAACTAGACCTAGTCACTTGACATCAACCTGCCAAACGCTTTCCACACTCTATCTGATCTGGAAACATGGTCCATTGGAGTTGGAGTGAACACAACTCCAGAACGGCATGGACGCCAGCAGTCCGATATATCTCGAATCCGAGGAACCCAACCCTGAGAGCCGATGCTTTCAGTGAAGTTTGCTTCACACCCCCCGAAGCTCCCATGGCTTCCTCGGTCTGGCGATGGGGATAATTGCCTAAATGCAAGACATCCGCGAACCTTGGGCAGATCAGACCGTTATAGTCTGACAAGCTTGCCTTTGGCTTGATCTAGATGCTGCGAGGTGGATAAGCACAGAAGTTAGATGATGCTTAAAATATGCTTTGTGTTTATGAACCCTGTCTTACGACTGCCTGGGGCAGTATAAAGGACGTCTTTTATGTATTTAGGCGCTTAACGAACATGTTTGATCTATGGGTTGCTCTATGTAGAAGTTGTACTACCGTTAGGAATACTTGGTGTGCTAGTATACATACGTTCAAGTCAAGTAAATACCGCAGCATCTCACCTTGTCCAGACTAAGTTCGTTGGGACGAGTGCTACCCTCCACCCCTGCAGCCACCGACGCCATTAGCCACAAACCTAAAAACTTAGTGTAACCAAACATATCACTTTCTACACCGCAAATATACAGTAAAGAATGACATTGGAATACAAAATTCTCATTGCAAACTAGCTAGATACAATCAACAAGGAAAACAATCCATCATGCAAAAAGGTATTCGCCTCAAGACAAGAAACAAATCTAAATCCAAATCCAAGATCGAGATCTAGATATACTGCCAAGCAGGAACATCACCCTCATAAGTAATAGCCATAGCCGAGAAGCCAAGACACTCATCAACATCACCCTTGGGGACAGTCGCATTAGCCAAAGCCCCAAACACCTGCCAACGGCTATCCTCAGTGGGACAAGCCATGAACCCACTGGCACCCCAGCCCTGGTAAACATAGTGCGACCAAGGCTCACCAGCCTCATAAGCAAACGGCCCGTAAGAAGAACCAGCGGGGATATTGGCCGAGTGGGCCTGAGTGAAGCTCAATGCGCCATTGGGGTCGATGTACACCTGCTGTCCGCCGGGCACCATTGTGTCCATTGAGGTGCCGCCGGGCGCGAAGACGGTTTGGTTTCCGGCTGGGCAGTCCTTGACCTGGCTTGGGCAGTAGCTGGCTGTGTTTCCGCCCAGGTAGAACTTTTGGCCGGCGGCGTTGAGTTGCAGGTAGTGGATTGGGCTTGCGGAGCGGGCGGCCATTACTGTGAAGGGTGGGTTGGCGGCTGGGGCTGGGGCTGCGCTGGCGAGGAGCGGGAGGGCCAGGGCTGTGAGGGTGAACTTCATTTTGGTGGTTTTGTTGAGTGGTTGGTTGGAGAAGCAAGAGGATTGATAGATGGAGTGTGTTGGGGATGAGTGGTTTGTGTTTGATAGAGAAGATGAGCAGGTGGGATGGAGAGTCCTTATATAGCCCTGGAGATACACACAGGCACATGTAAGTTAGAACTTCTCCCCTGGACCTTGGAACGCTTCAATTCGGTCGTCCAGGGAGACCCAACTGCCCGTCATAGACTGTCGGCTTTGTCCGCGCGGAGAGACCGAGGGGCGACATTCCCATTGGATGAAATATGTGGACGAACAGGTAAAATTTGAGACATGCGAGTTGCATGTATGTCTTTAAGATCTAATATTATCTCGAGTTTCTATGCTACGGTGTCGTTCGGACAGACTAGTCTTCGCCCTAAGGCTAAATTCTGAGACAGAATGACGGGCTTTGCAGGGCATAATAGGCTAATACCCCTACTAAACCCCTGCTAAACAGATATCCGAGTCATGCTATTCCTCATGAGTTCTGTGGCTTGCCAAGATGCGGAGGATCCCATTGTAAACGAGGTTCGCGGTGAAGATCGTCACATCCCTGTCTCACTTTTGCCCCGCTGGGAGTGCATCTTTCATACTTCGAGGCATTTTCTACTTTCGCTTTTGTTTCACTGAACGGTTTGAACCGGGTTGCTCGGCAAAGTCAAGGCTCAGGATAGAGAATGGGATTCTTCCAAGACTTGCACTACTGCATGTTCACCCCCCCACGACCCACTGCGAATAGTGGCGCATATCCACAGAAATGCACTCAACTTCCGATGCAGGGAGTCTCCAAGAATAGTCGGTGCTCAGCAAACATGCTCCATTCTCATGCTAAGACCACTAACCCATCCATGACGCTGTTCGCCAAGACCCTCTTTATTAGGACTCGTGCTATATACATGTCTCTCGCAAAGGCCTCATCTTTATAGCATCTGACATCACCTTTTCTGGGTCCGGATCCAACTCCTGCCCCGAGAAAGATTTGTACAATTTTCGACACTGATGTCTTGGGTCAATATCTGATTCAAAATCACATTATATCGGCACCTCGTGTTGAACAATAAGGGCAAATAAACATCGGAACACACCGGGATATCCACTGTCAAAGACCATCATGCAATACTATACATGTACAGAATCATCCTCAGTTCCCCGATTCCATGCCGAGACAGTAACCCCTGACCCGCCATCCATGATGTGCCTCCCCGGGTACAGACATCGAACAAGGTTATTCCATAGAAATGATCCGTGATACAAGCCCTACCAGGCCCAAACCAGGCTCAATAGACACCACGGAGATGGCCTGTTGAATGACTTCATCCGTTGCACGCCCATCACACATTGTCCCACGCGCCCGTTTACACCGTTCTGCTTACTGTTGCCTATAAAGAGGATGTGTGTGGACAATTCGTGGTGCGGATCTCAAGGACCGTGTTACATGTACATGTATGATGTGGACGGCATTGAGTGTGGTGCGATGGGTGTGTACGGATCTTGTTTCGTTGTTTGTGAACGGTGTCATGTGGTTGGCTTCTGTTTGCAGGGAATTAATTAAAGAGTAAGGGGTGCGTGGGCTTGGACTACGGTGTATCCAGTCTGGGGTCTATGGGTTGTACGCCTAGGTAAGTGGGAAGGAGGTAGATATGGGTGATGGACCAGGGTTGACACTTGATTGTTGAAGCTGTGCTGATATAACAGCTTCCTGTTGAGATGGGCTTATCTTTGGGAGTAGCCCATGTCTCTATCTACCAGATCTGAAACAAAAGGGAAAAAAAAAGCAACTAGAGAGTCGAGCACATGATGTATCATTGCATCAATGAAGTTTGAGACAAAGCTTCGATCTAAAACTGCAGGAAGACCCACTCACCGACAGCTCGACGTCAACAGACAAAGAAAGAATAAGCGAGAGACAGAGAGAGAATAAGAAATCCCATATATTAGAGTAACAACTTTTTTCTAGACCGGGCAAACCGCCAGCCCGGAAAACAATAAGCCGAAACAAACCCAAAGAATGACGAGCCATTCATTTCGATCCGTCTCGACAACGAAAAGAAGAAAGAAGAAAAGAATATGTACGCGCGGACCATTTGCCGCCGAGGTATGAATAGACACGGCCAGAGGCCAACACAGCAAGGGTGAAATAGTAAAAGGGAAGAATGGAAGAAGAAGAGAAAAGAAGAGAAGAGAAAAGTAAGCCATAAGCCATAGACGAACACAAACATAAAGACACAAGACAAGACAGAAAACCCCCAGCACCGGTCCGTGTAGCCAATATAGAAAGAAGAGGCCCAAACACCGTTACCGTTAAGCCAACACAGCGCCCCCGCCGTTTTTCCCACGTCTTGATTCATTGGCCCAGTAAAGGGATATAAGAGGAAAGGAAAGAGAGAGTATAGGAAATTGGACTGGTACGTAGAACCAGGATCGATCACTCAGTACGCGAGAGACAGAATTATGGATCAGGTACCGCCCTTTTAATAGTCGCCTTCGTCATCGTCGTCCCCGTCGCCGCCTCGGCCACGGGGCCCTTTTACACCGTCCTTGCGGATGGGAATCTTGATCCCCTGAAGCGCGAAGCATTTGCTGAGTTGGGTGCTTTCGATGACACCGGGGAATTTCTTGGCGGAGAAGACTTGGAACGGTTCGGAGAAAACGGAAGCTAACACTGGTGCGGTTCCGTGGTTGATCACCGGCGCGCCGTTTGTTGATTCCGTTGATGGTGTGCCGACGTTGACGAAGCTCATTTTCAGACTGAATTGGTTAGTAATTGTCCGGATCTCTTATTTGACAGGCTCCGAGAGGCGTCTTACCGGAACGTCCCTTCTGTCCGGACACTCAGATCTTGCAGAATAAACCATACCCCGATCTTATTATCCGGATCTGTCAATCGGAAGGCACTGGCGCTCAGACTGCCGATCAAATTGCGGGTGAACATTCCACCTGGCCCTCCCGACACGGGTTGCGCTGCGGGGGACATGGATGCGGGCATCTGGCCGCCGGCATAGTATTGCGGGTAGGTCACTGGCTGGCCGTATTGGTTTTGGTATGCCACTTGCTGACCGCCGTAGTAGTTGCCCATCTGAGGGTAGTTGTAGGGAGCCGCCTGGTTGTAGGTGGTTGGGTATGTCGGAGACATGCTCTGTGGCGGGGGAGGGTATGAGGAGGACATGGCGGTAGAGATGGAGGGAGAGGTAGCGGAGTGCTTCACGAGGTTGACTTCGTTGGTACCGTCAACATTCCATAAGTCGACGGTGAGGACATAAAAAGAGGTATCGATTTCACTAAAAGGCAATCAGCGAGCTATCACTCGGGTGCCGGTCAAGACACATACTTGATATCGATTTCTTTGTCCGTGAACTCGTCACGCACGATCAGACGAATGCATGGGGGAGGGGTGATCGGTCGCCGGTCCTGGAAGCTGTTAGTAACGCACGGCGAGGAATGCGGACCAAGCACCCACCTTGTCACCAAAACCACACATGCGAGCTCGGATCGGCTGCTGCACCACCTGTAAAGAGTAGATTCGACCCTCATGTCTCTGTGACACGGATCCTAGCTGATCGGACCGTAGCGGGTTGGACGGGTAGGGAGTTCCGGTCGGAGCAGAGATGCGATCCATTGACAGAGGAGGCGGAACGGGATGATGTCTATCCTCGACGGCGTACATGGTACCAGATAGAGATCAACCGAGGATGTCTTCTTTAGAGATCAGATCTTCTTTGTAGCGGGGTGTAGTGACATGCGACCCCGCGGGTTTCAGACGTCACTGGAGCATCGACTCCGGCAAAAACTGTGTCGGTGGCGGCGTCGGTGTCGAGGGGACTCGAAGTGGACTGGAGAATGCGATCGCGAGAGTGAGAGACGGAGGATGAGTCGAACAGATTAAATCCAAATGGAGTTTGGAAGGAGCGACAGAGACGTGAAGACCCTGATGTCTGGGTGAACCGCACGATGACGCCGTCAAAAGTGCGGGAGATTCGCTGGGATTCCACGGATCGACTCGAGCCCGGAAGTTTGTGCGCAAAGTACCCAAAGTACGAGGTATGGGAGGAAGAAGAAAAATGAAGTGACGTTGACTATTTAATTCTCGACCGCAAAGATCTGCCGCAGGAACCTTCCCAGACGCTCGGGATGTAACTCTCAACCGCAACCGGTCGTCCATTTCCGGTCATTTACCCGTTTCTCGGGCCATGACCTACAGTATGATATGGAATTGCTAATTGAACAGTATGAAGCATTTTACATGGGGGAGATCATCTGCATGATCTACGGGGTACTTTGATATCGTGATCTATCCACTGTCGTAGATCTGTTCCCTTCATCCCACAACCTAGGATCATCGTCAGGGCCCGAACCACAAGCTGTCGGCCCATGTTCGACCCTACACTTAACGATAGTTTGGTTCTCGTACTGAGGGCCTGACACGAACCAGAGGTGAAAGCGACGACAGGGGTCAGCACAATGAAACATCAGCCACCGCGCGGAGAAAAGATCGGATATAAGATGGCCACTGGCCATTGCCACTCAAGCCCGACTCTTCGGAGTGACATACCGAGAGCCTCAACGCTGTAATTAGAGTCGTGAGCCAGGGGTACATCCTGTCCTCTTGTAAACCTGTCCAGCCCCTTGCAGCCTCCCCTGGACATCCATGTGCGATGGCGAGTCCCGAAAGCATGGTAACTGCCGAATGGAATGAACGGGAGTGATGGGCTAGCGCGTCAAGGAACCTGATTGGACTATCGTTGTCACATATGAAGGGTGTATGCAAGGGTTCATCCACATCGATTCGGCTCAAATGGCAGGTCTTCGTTGGGGACTCAGGGCGTTGGCTAAATCGGGGACCTACGCGGAGGAAAAGGCCAGGCCATGGTCAAAGCTGTGTCTGTACTTGCCTGGTAGGTATGTAACAGCTGAATAATACTGCAATGAACACAGAAGAGGGAATATTATGGCCAAGCCCTGACCCATTGCAGGTGTGTCAGACACACTAAGGCCAATCGACTCGGATGGCAGCCCCTTGGGTGCATATTGTCATCTGGACTGACACCTTTCATAACTTGGCAAGCCACCCTATTCCAGCGGGCTGCATAATCGCATCGAGGAAAAACGCCAGACCGCTAGATGTCACGACAAGACCGGGGTATGCACCTACCCAATAATCGGGGCGGGATAGCGGATTATTGCGGTTGCTCGTGAGATGATTTGATTGGAGATACACGCTCCCCTGCACTAGGTGCGAGACGAAGAAAAAAGGAGAGAGAGACAGAGAGGGAGTGACCGAAGGAAAGACTGATGTGATCTATCAACTCCGGGGCTGACTCGGCTCTATATCAACCGCCAATTTCCGATATCACTCCACAGTGGATATCATATCCCTTCCGATCTAAATGACAGGTGGCAGTCTATCAACCCTTTTTTTTTCATCCAGATAACTGATATTAACATAGCTGAGGAATTCTTTTTTCGCCAAGTGTCGGGATCACGTGACTAGACAAAGACCGTCGGGCAAGCATGATGTTGTTTGCTGGTTGACTTCATCCAGTGACTTTCTCAGATCTAGCTTTGTCGAAGCAGCAGGTCTCCGACCAAAACAGACAGAGAAAAAAAAAGACCCATCCTCATGGCCCTCCGTGCTTGGCCGTTTTGGTCCCACACGGGTGATCGCCAACTCCCGAGAGTCAGCCTTACCTGTCATATTCATGCAAGATGGAGATCACCACGGAGATTGGCGCTTTTTATTCACCGTACTTTTGCCGCTACTCATTTATTGGGATGGAACGAGCTCAACACTACCATGATCAAAAGATAAACATGACTGAAAAAAAAAAAAAAAAGATACAGGCAGGGATGGTGCCTCAAGCACAAATATCGGAACACAAATCAACCAAACTGGGCAGATACAGGAACAATAGAAAGAAGCCTCAAAAGAAGATTGAATCATGGTGGATTCCTGTTCAGCTACGGCTTGTTTGGCAGCTTTGTTGGCCTTGTAGGTGTGGCGCTGCAATGCCTGGGAGAATACTCAGCGTTCGGCGTTCATATTAGACAGGCAGCGGCAGGAAGGTAGAGGTCTCGACCGGCACGCGACAATGAACTTCCTCTACAGCTCAGGCGAGCATTCCTTCCACTCTTGGATTTTTGAAGGCAGCATTCACACTTGGCTCACACTTGGCTCACACTTGGCCAGAGGTTCGTTGTCGTCACCAATGTACCAGGTACAACCTGTCAACATAATCGCGCATCGGCAATATTTGTAACCCGGGACTAGACGAGGTAAATTGGAATAGTCAATTGGTTACTCGGGTGCATTAATGGCAGCTGACAATGACGATGGTTCTAGCGAGGATGGCTGCGACTGAGGCATGGTCGCAAACTGCAAAAGTCCGAGGAAACAGTGAATTCTTCTGTATGGTTGTGTTCAAACCCGTGCTCTCTGGGTTGGATAACATCGTATGCGATCTGCGACCAGGGTGCGCATAAGCGCTGCTGATGTGCCCAGCACGTGGTGGTTCCTTGATGTTGATAGTCGAACCTGACAAATATCTAGGTACTCTATTCCTGAACAGGTTGGGCCTGGGTCTTGATTGTATGCTCCAGGAATCTGCTGGAGCTGGTCTGCTTTGACAAGCTCTCGGTAGGTGCAGTAACGGTGTGACATCTCTTTGCATGGATGATATGTGGGGGGCTGCACGCGCTAGTGCATGGGTGGAGCCTTCCTGTATATCAACAACTTAAAGGGCTCCCTGTCCCCAATCCCGTCAATGGAAGTATGAGCCTAACAAAAGCGTGCGAGCTTAGTCCCACGTTTTCTCGGGCTCCTCGGTTTTTTACTATTTTCCTTTCTAATCACACGATAGCAGACGCCCTAGTTCCGAATCACGATATAAACAACCACCCCGAAGCACCCAACATATGATTTCGTTTTTGTTTAACCACACTTTATGAGATTTCCACTGAGTATAAGACGGTATTTTCCTCATTCAATCCCTCAAGTGGTTTTTTGACACAACAGCCAATTATTAGAATATTGCCAATTATCTAAAACAACCATAGACACCTAAACCTCCCCGGATGATATAGAATAGAGCTCAGTGTCTTCTGACTTTTTGTTGGCTCATCACGGTCAATCGCCAGGGCAATCATCGGCATGTGAGAATACGTGCCCACCGATATTTTGGCATGATACCCTCTATTATGGATGGATATCACGTCTCTAAACCGTTGAAATTGAAAGAATTTAGTACAATATAGAAGATCTCAGTGGTCTCTTTCTTTAGTCCATTGTTTAATGGAATGATTGGTTGCAGTATCTCACTAGCAGTACACAAAGAAGCAAGCAGGCTGCCGTGGTTAAGAAGACAAACCTCCTATGTACACTATGGAAGACATAAAGTGTATAGATTCCAGATGCTAAGGATTCCTTTTAAATAACATAAAGCAATCTTGTATGCATCTAACAAACATTCTGCATGCCCTGAACTAAATCCATTTTAGCCCGTTATATATTGAGTCCAATGTTCAGTCAATGACTTCCGCTCTCATACTACGCTCCAACCACTGAATCTATCTGCAAAGATGGTCCAGCGACACAAGGTCTTGGAGACCGATAACCCGACTGCAAAGTTTCTCTACACTATCATCAAGCAGTTGGACCTGAAGTCGGTGAGCTACTCTCCACATATCACTTCACCTGAGTATTCGAGCAGAACTCTAATCATCAAGGCGTATAGATCAACTGGAATCGTGTTGCCTCTGAGCTAGAGATATCCAATGGTCATGCTGCTCGCATGCGATATTCCCGTTTTCGGCAACAGATGGATGGTACTACAGGAGTGGCTCGGGCAAAGAGAAAGCCGAAGAAAGTCAAAACAGTGGACCCCCCCACCGATATGCAAATGCGACCAGGCTTCCCAATGGATCTATCCGGGATGCCCAAGATGGAACCCATAGATACATCTTTGCGCAGCAACCCATTTTTCAAAGGCGAATCGAGAATCCAAGGGTACTCAGGCATGCAGGATTATGCGAATTACTCTCAGTCAATGCCTGACAACAGCAACAACAACATCATCCAATCCTACCCTTACCTGCCACAAGACTTTGCATCAAGAGGGTTCCAATATGCGGCTCGAATGTCGTCAGGGCTACCACTCGTTAGCCCAGGGACATCTTTCATGAACCCATACCAATCTCCGGAAATTCAAAACAGCTATGCATATGCATTGACAGCCGGATCAACAGGCTTTGAGACACAGGACTTTGGAATGCAGTCTACAATGACCAACTTCGGTCCAACTATCAGCTGGGGGCAGCGACCTTCTTCTCCTCACAATCCACAGGCTGTGAAAGTTGAAGGGAGACAACAGCCCGAAGCTGGAACCTTGAATTTTGGCGAGCAGCTCAACAGCTTGCCCGTTCAACCTGAAACGCAGTCGCCCATGACCAGATTTGGCCCAATCGTCAATTGGGAGCAGCGGACCTCTTCTCATGAGAGTCCCCCGAACGTGAAAGTTAAGGAGGAGCAACGGACTGAAGTGGAAGCAATGGATCTTGCTGAACATTTTAAAAAAACGCCTGTCCAACATGTTGATCATTCCATGAACGACGTTGTTGATGGTCTTGCTGAACAAGATGTTCAATATCCCATTCAAGGAGCAGTCCAGAACTTAGCCAGCCATTACGTCGAGTCAACCGCTCACAACCAGGTTCAAAATGCCACTGACTGTCAAGCTCAATATCCCAGCCAGAACTCTGTCAGAACCCCGAGCAGCCTTCACATTGATCTGTCTGCTCAAGCTCAACCTCAGCAAATTGCTGAAGAGAATCTTCACCATGCTCAACAAAAGCCCCAGGACATCATCGCTGGCCACCGGGTTGACAGCCCTGCTTCAATCCAGACACAACCTACTACACCAAGTCCGACCAAAAGTCCCATCAGAAACTCAGCTGGTTATCTTTTGGAAAAGGAGATCGGTCAGCTCGTTCAGAGGCCCATTCAACAGCCCGATCCAAAAAGTGATCAGCAAACCGTGGAAACGTCTGCCCAAGTAGCCTCACAAAAGGCTGCCCAGGAACCAATTCAACCCGTTCAGCCCGTTCAGCCTATCCCACTTATTCAGCAGCCCGCTCAGCAACTAGCTCAGACACCGGATCGAACTCCCATCCAAGAGCCTGCTCAATGCATCCTGCGTCCAGATCAGTACTATAGTGAGCAGCCTACTCAGCAACCCAGCCAACCACCTGCTCAAAATCCCGTTCCAACCATTGTTGATCACCAATTTGACACCTCCCCCCGCTAAACCTTCCAGCATCCGGTCCAAAACCCCTCTGGTAACTCAATTGATTGCCACGTTGATAGTACCGTCTATCCTACAAGTGATGAACTAAGCTGTCAACCATACCGGCCAACAGAGCTGAGACGACAGAGCAGATAGCAGTGGTCAAAGTTGAAACAATTCAAGACTGATCACGCCTGCGCCTCCAAGAGGTGGCTGCAACCAGTAGCAGATGCCATATTTCTATGGTTCTCAAGTTATTTTCCTCAAATTACGGCATGAATGTCAGGACATTGCTTTTTTCCTTTCACTTCTTTTTGGAGGATCGAGACTGTTCTCAAATGCATTTCATCTTGTTGTCATGAAGCAGAGTGTGATAATTATTTCTTAATTCATGAGTAATCATTTATATCTGCTCGGTAAGATTGAGTTCCTATACGTAGTATTCATCGGTAAAGTGAAATGGGAATATAAATCAGTCCAAATAGCCGTGAAGATAAAGAATTCCAATCTCAACGCTGTCCAATGTGAGCAAGAACAGCGCCGGCGAAGTAATCGAGAAGCCGCAGTATCTTCTACATATATGATGCTAATCCTTTCTCCACAAGCCGCAACCTACAGCGTATGCCCCAAAGGAACACATGATAATGCCCTGGCCGGCCATCCAGTCTCCCATGAGAAGGAAAGCCATCGATCATGAATGAGTAGGAGTGCAAAGAGAAGGCATGTAGTGCCAAGAGCAAGAATGTAAGTCGAAACCTCTTCAGGACTTCTGATTTTCCTCCACCCCTTCAATGTTATCGAGCAGGGGCTTTGGAGATCAGCCCACCGCTACGCACATATCCGGATCAAGTCCGCCATGAAGCCGGCGTGCAAGCGGGTCTGGACGTGAGGTTCCAGTTACCGTACCGGAGTATCTGAGTACAGTGATGAGGGTTGGAAATACATTTCGGTCTTGCTCATATTCCCAAAGGTATTGGAAGCATATTCATGATTGTTCTGGTAAGCAGGATGCGTCAGTATGCCTCCTAGTCATGTTGGGACAGAATGAGTGGCGCCATGAGGGGAGCAGCTAACAAAACAATAGGGTGTGAGACGCTGGCAACGATCCCGGTATAGACAAAAGCACAAGCTCGTCGTTATATTCTGCGTTTCATATTGGGCTAGGTACCCGGCAAGAATCCTGATTATTTTCAGCTGGCTTCTTCTTAGAGGGCTCCTGAGTTCAGTTAAGACCAAATGCCAGGTCGGGTTCGCAGGCACATGCACACACCTTAATCGACGACCGGAGGGTCTGGAGGTCCTCGCTCTCCGAAGGAGACATCTTGTTGCCATGTTAAGATTCACATTCGGATATCAAGTTATTGAAGTCTCATGGAAGAGCTTGGAGCGGTGAAAACAATGACGCGAGAGTGAAAATGTGAAGTGGTGCCATAGGGAAAGAGCGTCACGGCATCGATGGTAATGTGCGTATGTTAACTCTGTAGCAAGCTTTGTAGTCCTAGAATATAAACGAATGATGAACGGAAGCTTCCAAGAGAGAGAGGCAGATAAAGAGAAAAAGAAGAAGAGGAATGATGATTATCCGTGCAGAACTAGCAGACTGCACTGCCCCAGAGATCCGGACAAGAAACAAACACAAACTTGATCCTTGAGGCATTCCAACTATCTCAATAAATAGAAACCTCTAGGGTATTGATGTGGATAAATCGGAGTATCAACCATAAATGTAAACAATAACATGCGTGACTATCAAAGGGGTATCCTAGACATAAAAGGCACGATCCGACTTTTAAAGATTCGAAACCAAGCCATGATGACGAGAAAAGAGGTAAGAGTAAAACGAATAAGAGAAAGCATGAGAATCTGAGCTCCAACTTCAAAACTTCTCGAAAAAGACAAGGCAAAAAAAAAACAAACAAATCCCGTCGAATATCCGAACAAGCGCCCGGCATTGAATTCGTATGTCCTGGACAACTTCTTAACCATTAGGTCATTTAACAGGATTGGTAGCAGGTAGCCCGTCATGTAATTGATGTAGGGTGTTTGTCTGTCCCAGTGAGGAAAGTGGGTACCTGACCCATCAGGCCTGTAGATCCCCCACTCTGCCTCAATTTGGTACGAGATCAAAGAAAATGTGACAATGCAGGATATGGATATCATAAAAGATGAAAACAAAGTACAAAAGGCAGGCCTATGCGTCTATTGGGTATCGTCAGATGTCTGCCATGACGGATTCAACAATCTTCCGCTTGTAGTTGGACAAAGCCCGATCCTTTTTCTGAATCTGTGCCCGTAGCTTCGAGTAGCGCTGCTTCCAGGTCGCCTCGGTGACTGGATAGCTGAGATCATCATCCTCATCCAGATCAGGATTCGCGAGGTTGTTGTTGCTGCTGTTGCTGTTGTCGATCGTGTGATGACCAGAAGCCATGCCCGTACTGTCCAGGTCGGCTGTACCCATAGTCTCGACACCACGGTTGATGTTTCCGAGTGTGATCTGCATGGAGAATTGGCCGGAGGTTTTGTGGTCGTGCGAGATGGAATAGTTGAACCCAGCTGGATCACGACTCCCAGCGGGGTTCGTCATGGCATGCTCAATCCTTACTACCATGGAACCTGGATTGCTACCAGGGAACCCAAAGTGGTGTCCAACGCCAAGGTGGAAGGCCATGATTGCAGGAGGTATGTCGATTTGACTATGTGAGTACAGTGTGGACAGGTTGATCACCATTGCGGAGGCCAGGGCTTCAGTCTCATCGTGGGTGAGAGGAACACCCCGTCCGATCAGTCTGGCATGTGTGAGCTCGGCTGAGAGTGCGCGGACTATATCGTCCATGGCGGGACTGGATGCGGTATTTGTATTATCCGTGGTATGATGAGGTTGGCGACCATTAGCTGCTTCGGCTCCAGAGATGACTGCACCATTGACACCATTGACTACCAACCTCGGAGGAGTAGCAAGTCGTACCGGTGCCCCAGAGTGAAGAGGAACTTGTAATTGAAGTTTGCTGGGCCTGCCTTGTGTAATAGGAGTCGGTGTTTGGTTATAAGGTGGGGTTTGAAAAGGCTGGGGAGGGTTCGAATCAAGCCCAGGAGGAGAAGTCTGAGTGCCAGGGTTGGAGATTTGTGATGATTCTCGACTGGGATTGACCTGAAAGGTAGAAAAGGAGCCCGAGGTCGGGCCTTTGTTTGGAGGCCTGCCTCTACCTTTCCCAGCAGACATGCCACTGCTGCTTGGCCAAGCGGATGAAACTGCCGGACCGTGTCGTCTCCTTGTGCGAGCCTTCTCACCGGTCGACGGAGTCACAGCGGATCGAGGCTCAGCAGACATGAGAACATCCGATGGTAGGTGGCTTCTCGGTATGATAGCGGATTGAGGATAATTAGCAGGGGATGCGTCCCGATCTGGCATTCTCCAGCGGATATCGTGGTTAGACTGATCTGGTCCTTGAGTTGACACTCCACCCTGGAAGGAGGAGGCAGCCGTGATCCATGGGTCATTGGATTCCATGTCATCAGGAAACGCACTGAATGGTATCGCGCTCTGCGGGAATGTGACAGAATGTCCCGGAAAGCTACTATGCTGAAGAGCGCCCACTGTTGTATCAAGCGAAGGCCGCTTTGTTGCTTTGTCTTCCTCTAGGTCCCTATCCTCGGCCCTTTTTCTTCCGCGTTTTGGCTTCCACTGGGGCACCAGTGCCCTGAGCGCAAGATCTTCCTCTAGCGGTACACCATCGCGAGAGTCACTGACAAAAGGACCCGATGGCGGAAGATTGGTGTAATATGGATGATGTAGGTTCAAACAGTAGTTGAAGAATCCGTCTACATGCATAGCTCGCATCCAACGCTGGGCAATGTTAGCGAAAGGGTAGCTCAGTATTCAAGGAAGCACCAACTTTGAGCCGAACAGAGTACTGCTGAACCTTCTGTGTACTCTGCTTCTTTTCCATGGAGGGTGGTTCCACGCCCAATTGAATTGCCAGCTCAATCCAAGTCTTCAGCTCACCATTCTCCTTCTTGCGAATAAGTTCAAAAAGTGCAAAGACGCTAAAGCTTTTACCATCACTTCGTGGCGGAGTACGAAAGGTTTTTCTTAGTTCTGATGTGTCGACAGTTGAAGGAACATTGGGATTGCAATATAGAATAAACATCACATAGGCATCATCGATAGTTTCGTCAGTAACATCCCGCGATGGAAGAACCCGGGTGTCAGCATGGTCGGCAGGATCCTTCATCAGTTGATGCCGTTGGGGTCCAAATACTGGTGGAGACATGGATGGCCCTGACCGAGTAGTTGATGATTGGGGGATGGCAGACCGAATGCCCCTTGGCGAAGATTGTAAGCTTCTTGGGGTTTCTCTTCGCTGCAATGGAGGGGAATTGTTGACATCTAGTTGACTGCGAGCACTCCCTAAAGAAGAGGCACTTTGGAGTGTTGATTCCAAGGTCGGGGGATATCGCGCATATTGCTGAACAACCATCTGCGGTCCTCCAAGCTCACGACTTGAGCGATCACCCGTGTCCATCATCACAGGGAATGATGATTCCATGCGAAGCTGTGGGACCGAAGGTCACCGAGTTCCTTCAATTGCTGTGCAGGGCTGGACGGGTAAGACGAAGAATCATGAGAAACTCGCACAGCACATCGTTATGATCAGCTCAGAAATTATATGTATGTAGCCAGAACAAGGAGTATGGCAACTCTGCAGGATCCAGGAGGTTTCCCCTCGAGGTGGCTGGAAGCGCCCATCCTTAAAGCTCAAGCTGAGTTCTATTTTGGGGCCATCTAGTGCTCCCTAATCAGGACTAGTGCTGTGGCCTGAGGGCGGGGTTGCTGCCTCGGTGAATCACGTGGTCCACGTTTGAGAAACGGGATAAACGGAGATCTGCATCTAAGAGTGTGGTAGTTGTAATGAATGGCTAAAGTTCACCTCTACAGTCTATGTGTAGTTTACGAAGATGGAACTGGAAATTTGGCAATTCGGTAGGCTGTTTTAAAGTTATTTCAGCGCGATTGGATCAAGAGACATATTGAATATATTAACAATTGACGCCAATCAACATCGATGTATACAGTAGGCCAAACCCTATTTCCGATACAAGTAATACAAATACTGCAGCTTCGACAAAGAGAGGGTGGCGTCCCGAACCGGTTAGCGTAATCCTTATCGATAAGCATTATCATCGACTCCTTCGAAGAAACCGGCTTCATCCGGTTCATCACTGCTGTCGATTGATATCGACAGCATATATAACATTGTTCTCGCTGAACTCGCCCTCTCCAAACTCTCTGGTGTGCGTCGTTGCGCGTGCAATGTGGCTCTCGTTGGCACTTGCCATCATATTATCCTAGCGCGGCCCTGCGAGGGTCACAAAGTGAGTCCCCGGTTCCCTCACATCCATGCGCTTTGAGCCAAGCATACCATTGAATGTGGTATGTTTGCTTGACTGCATATTTTTCATTGACTTTGCTTTGCGAGCTGTCAAGGAGCAAAGCCGAAGCTGTTCATTGTACTGACAAGCTCTCCACACACTCAAGAGACCCCACTGCATCCGCCATGGCGCCTCCGAGATCCACTCGCCCGGTTCGATCGAATCGCACTCAAGTGCAGTCCTATCACGAGGAAAGCTCTTCGCACGATGAAGGACGTGCGACATCACGCCGGCAGTCATTGTCTCTCCGTTCGCGCACAACTCGAATGCCACCGTCCTATCGTGAAGAGTCGACGGATGGCTTCGATGAGATTGATGAACCTGATGGCCAGGAGATAGGTGCTGTATTAGTGGCACCCGCCGCGGAACCAATGGCTCCAGGGCCAGTGTCTAATCATCCACCCTCTCGGCCTCAACGCGCAACTCCAAAGCCCAAACCGGCCAAGAAAACTGGGAAACGGAATCGTGGTCAGGTGGGCAAGCCCTTGAGCAAGCGCATCAAAACAGATGCAAATGATGCGATGTTTTTGGGGTCGGGCATTGTACCTCCTTGGCAAACCCTTCCCTACCATATTCTTCTCGATATATTCTTGCGCGCGTCTCATCCACTGCTCGACGAAGGCCGTTCCTCTCGCAATGATTCCGTTAAGTGGCTAGTGAACATGGCTCTCCTATGCCGAAGCTTTCATGAGCCTGCGCTTGCTGCGCTCTATTACTCTCCTCCATTGATACCTCCCTACAAGGCCCATACTCTGCTCAACCTCCTTTCTCATCCCCAAGAGTCACTGTCCATGAACTACTCTAGTAAGATCAAGGAACTGCATGTCGAGGTGGAACCAGTTCTTCAGTACAAAAGTGGACCCACACTCGGCTACTTCGACCTTGCCAGCTTGCTTGAGAGGACGCCTCAACTGCATGTTCTGCGACTATATCACCGGGACGACTTTACCGTGGGAATGCCTCCTTGGCATATTGGTGCGTCAAAATGGACCTATCCTGAAACTATCTTTGCGGTCCTCCACCGTGGGATTCTTCTCCGTGGCTTCGAATGGAACTCTCGCTTCTTGGAAACAGGCGAACTGCTCCAATTCATGAGTTCACAGCATATGAAACCAGCCTTCAGGGGATTGAGGGAGCTCAAACTTCTTCACATTGATGATTTTGATATGGAAGAGACACCTTCTCCCAAAGCAGCAGCCCTCATCAAAGCCGTCAACTTGCTTCCAGAGATTGAAAAACTGGAATTTGTCGAAAGCTCTTTGATCAACGGAGAAACGCTGACAAAGCTGCCTACTACCCTTCGCTCTCTCACCCTGAACAACTGTGATCGGATGTGGTCGGAAGATATTGCAGCATTTCTTTCCTCGCATGGCGCAAATCTTCGAGAACTCAGCCTGAGCCATAATCGTCATCTCAGCATGTCTTTCGTTCAGAACTTAGCACAATTATGCCCAAGTCTTGAATTGTTCAAGATGGATCTCTCGATGCATGACGTGTCTAGTTACCATGATGTCGAGCCACATTTCCAAGAATTACTTGCACAATCCGAAGTGCCCACCTGGCCAGAAACACTTCAGGAAATCGACCTCACTCAATTGCGCAAATGGAACGATGCAACTGCCGAGGTGTTCTTTATGTCCCTGATGAATGCCGCACCTAAGCTCCGTTCCTTGCGCCGACTGGCTATAAGTGCAATTCTGAAGATTGGATGGCGTGACCGCGCAACTTTCCGCGAGAGATGGATTGGCCAGCTTGAGAAAACCTTCCTCCGTCGGAGTGCACCACCAGACCCTAATCTCCGCTCTCTTCGCAGGCGACCACTCCAGCCCACTGTAGCAAGCGTGAATTACTACGCAGAGGCTGGGGAATCATCTGATTCACGTCCGGGTACATCAGAAAGTGGAGCCTCGTCCAAACGCCAGAGTGTTCGTTTGGCGCAGAAGACCACAGAAGTTGAAGACGACAGTGGTGAGCCGATACCGGAGTCGCAGGGGATGTGCGACACTGTCAGCATTCGCATTGATAACCAGCGTCCCACCGAACTGCAGTATAACGAGAACGACTTCCTCGACGATGAGCTGAGTGGCGACGAGGATTGGACTGGTGATGACTTTGAACCTGCCGCTGGACATGCGTGGTGATTATTGATACCTATTTCATGTTTTTTGTGTCTTCCATGACGTATGAAAATCGTTTCTCTTTTTTTTTTCTTAATTCGGCGCTGGTACTGCTTCTTAGCTGGAAAAGGATTGGGACGGGATAAACAGGAGCAATGGGGCCATATTGTTCTGAGATAGCTAATTACGATTTATATGTCAAATTCAAACAACTTTGTAGAAATATGTAATGTAGTATTATCCTGCTGGAGATGTATGGGATGGAGGCCCAAAGATTTAATTCTCGAGACGTGACTCGGTCTGTGCACGGCGATCAAATAGCCAGGCCCCACAAGATCGTCTTATCCGCAAGTTCTCTCCCAACCTCACATCTGTTTACCCTCTGTTGGCATCTCCGTTCTATCCATCGTGTTTGTTTTTTTTTTTGGATGTCTTGAATTTACTTATCGCGATCCTCACTCCGTTCTGACTGGGTTCGGCCATGGCGCCCGAGGCCCCCGCGGACACAGCAGGCCCGTCCTCTCCACCGCCTCGACTGCCAGAAGGATGGTAAGTCGACTCGAGAGCGATCTTTGATCCTCGATCACATAACACCCGACCTGACCACCCGACAGGCTCGCCCAGTGGGAGGGCGTCCAACGAAAATGGTATTTCGTCCAGCGTACAACGGGCAAGTCGCAATGGGACATCCCAACCGAACCCGTCCTCCTCACGCCATCAACGACACCGATACCCGGGCCGGGACCCTCACAAGCGCCGAATTTGAGCCAAATGGGCAATAGCTCGCGGGCAGTGGAGATTGGAGATACAAAGGCGGACATGAATCGTTCTGCGGCGGACAGTGCGACAGTTTCCGTAGGGAATCGCGCTCATTATGTCTGCATAAACCTTGCAAGAATGGCACTGATGGTGGGATAGAGCTCCGGTCATTCCCCGATGTATGGGGGGTCGGAAAACCCTATGCATGGGTCTGCAGGAGTCCTAGGTCCGTATTCGAATCAGACCGGTCAGCACATGCCCGGGGCATATGCGCAACATCATGCCGGGACCGAAGGTGGATATGGCTCAGTATGTTCGAGCCTTATTGCTCCAGCTGGTACGGGTACTAACATTTCTGCAGAGGCCGCTGCAGCACGCTGCACAAATTAACGGTGCCCAGCCCACTTTCTATTCAATGCCTGGGCATCCTGGCTATCAACACGCCCCACAACACTTGAACCAAGGTATTCCTAGTGCGGCCTGGGGAAATGCTGCTCCTTTCCAGAGTTACTCAGGCTTTGGGCAAGGCTACCATTCAGAACCATTCCAAGGGTTTTCTACGGGCCCATCAGCTTCATTGTGGAAAGGAAGCCAGACCCCTCAAGGGCAGATGACAGGACAGATGGCAAGTATAGCGATCTCTCAGCCACAATGGCAAACTGAGTCGCAATCGAACCATTCAAATGGTCACGGTGATCACATCCCAATGAATGCCCACTCGTCAACCCTATCCCAGCCATTCTTTGGATCTTATTCCTCCCATAACGGCCCCGAACAGTCAACGAGGGAGTTCCCATCTAGGTCCTCGGATACATCCCTCCCTCGGGAAGGTCAACCGTCTCAGCTATCCATGGACGGCTTTCCCGAACATTCGCCTCAGTCGGTGACGGATCAAGCGATATCAAGCCACAGCTACCCCGTCTCCCGGTCACAACCACAACACCCTTCTACCGATCCTGCGCTGCAGGGATTCTCACCCTTGCAGCACGCACAAGCTCAATACCAGCAGCAGCACATGTTACGAATCCACCCAGGGCCTGGTATAAACCCTCAAAGCCAGCATGGCCAACAGGGAAATATTAACCAATACCAAAACCCGCTGGGCCCCATTGGTTCCAACGGTTACATGCCGCAACAGCAATTTGGACACTCGGGTGGAGGTACAGGCTTCTCTGAAACGGCGCACCAAATGGCCTATACCCAGTCAAGCCATGCACCAGGAACCACCCGACAGGCACCTTTCGAGTCTCAGTTCGTGAGCGGGCCTTGGAAGTCCACACCCCCCAGCTCTGGCCCGCCGTAAACATCCTGTCGTGTTCATCTCTGTCGTTGTTTAGCGCCGGCACATTTCATTGGCTATCATGAGCGGATTTTGTGGATATTAATTTCTGCGAGTTTCATTTTCTTCGGTATAGATTTCCGGGTTTGAGGTTGTACTTACTTTGTTTACCACTCAATCTTTGATTAACATATTGCTCGAGTGCTACTGATTCTTCGCTATCACGCCCAGTGAACATTCCTGAATATACATTCATAGGCGTAAAACCTGTTCAGGCCGTATCAAACCCCCGTGCCTTGGAAGTTCGTGTCAGTCCGTGCATATACAAAGAGGTACGTATCTCCTGACCGTCCCTCCGCATAGTCTTGACCCCGAATTATGACACTTATACACCGTTGGCTAATAATATAGGCATGTAATACGTAGCCTAGGGAGGCCTTGCACGCAATCAGGAAGATATCCGGAGTAGGTATCTAGGGGAGTATAAGGGTACTACGTGGGAGTACGTTTAGGACGGGGGAGCCAACAGGCTCAAATCAAGTAGAGCACTTTGTAATTCTACCGTTCACATTGCAGAAACATATACTGCAGCCGCCCTCTTAAGGGTTTGACTAATATCGAGGGTGTCAAAAGCAAGTGAAAGAGGCCCTTGATACAGCTGTCTGGAAATTTATCAGTGGCACGTGTTACTTGGTTGTGCCTGTTATAAGTGATCGAGTTCACCATCAAAGAAAAGCGGGTGACATAATTTGTAGTCAATTTCAGTCCTTTTCAGTCATAGGAAGTTCCTAGGTTCATCATGATCACCGAGCTCGTCTAGTACATGGCTTTCGTTGGAAAAGAGAGAAATTTAATGAGAGAAGTATGTGTAAGCGAGCACTCCTCTTACCACTTCGGCGTTACCCCACGCGTGAGTATATTTGTGTAATTTCTTGGTTGTCTTTTCTTCTTTCTTCACTTTTCTCAACATTTAGCTTCGCAGCTACCTTCAAGGAACTTTCACTTTCAGTCCCAGAACTTTATTAAAACACTCATTACAAACGTCAAGATGCCTCAGGGAACCTGGGACGACGAGCGACACAAGAAGGTTAGCTTACAAATCCAAATCTGAAAGGCAGCCGTAGTGAACGTGCACTCTATTGATCACGCCCCCAGACTTTTATACATCGCTAACACGTGACATAATTTGGCCTAGCTCTTGCTTGCCATTCTAGTGAACCACCCGAAGCTCGACTTCGAGGCCATCTCAAAGACCATGGACGATGGTGAGTAATTAGAAAATGAGATGCCATTTCCAAATTGCCCGCACCTCATGCAGCCCTAAGCCCACATTGTCCAAGGTCTACACTGCCACGTGAATACTAGCTGACAATTGAATTCACAGGCACCAAAGCCGCCTCAATTCGTGAGCACATCCGCCAGTTGAAGATGCGCGTCGATTCTACCAACAACACCCCCAGCTCCACTCCCGCCAAGAAGGAGATGGTCATCAAGCCCAATGCTACCCGTGCCAAGGTTAAAAAGACCGAGCCTCGCACTAAGCGCCGACGCATCACATCTACAGTTGCTGACCTCGGCTGGGGCTACGTGAGTGATGAGGCGGAGCTCGAACTTTCTGAGGCTGCAATTCCAAGCAAGACCTCGAAGATCAAGAGTGAGCCCGTGGACGACACCAACCTCACCGACGATCCCACAGCTAAGCCTACAGTTGAGTCTGAGCATGAATCTGGTCTCCAGACCCGAGGAGAGCCCGAGTTTGAGCTGGAATTTGAGGCTTGAGTGGCTTACTCTTCATTTGCACAGCCCTGTCACACTTTGCTACCACTCTTTTGTCGTTGTGACAGGCTTTTTACTCCTTTGCCATGCATCTGGGATTGAATTGAACTCGGTAACTATTTCATTCTGGACTTCGCAATGAACAATCATATTCCCTCAATTGTTTCATGATACAGGTGAAGCTACAGTATTTTTTATTGCAGTTGTGCTGTGACTATGCGCTTGGCTTTCACAGGAGGTCGTTTGGGTATTGCGAGTAGGGCTAAACCATAATATATACAGAAAACAACTTAAATTGTGTAGAAGACCCTATAGAAGAAGCTTCGTTTATATGAAGCACTTTAAAGGTAGACAAGTTGAGCAAGGTCAAGTTGCATGAACGCGTTTGAGATAGACACGCGGAGACTGATTTCCGTTGTGCTTCAGCTTCTGCGCGGACGCCAATATAAATAGATCCCACCTCTTCTCATCCACCTGCGTCCTTTTCGGTCACAACTTATCTTTCTCAACAACTTCGTCTTTCCGCACCGATTACTACCCACGCACAAAGTATGCTGCCCTTTCCTCCTGTGCCATTTGTTTATACTAACCTGGCCTCATATAGTTTCATCATGCCTATTACCTGGGACGACAGAGCCGACGCCAAGGTATGCACCATATGTTCTCCATTCTCTCTATCATTTGCTCTCTCTTTGTCTCATGTCTCATGAGCCTCATCTTTCCTATTCTATTAACCGAATCTCTGGTTTCTGACTTGGAAGGTTTTGCACTGGAGCTACTGGTCTTCGATTCAAGCACCTCTATTACAATGCTCACAATGAAAATAGCTTCTTGCTGGCGTCCTCTTGCAGAACTCTTCGGGGCTCGACTTCGCTGCTCTTGCCGAGTACATGGGCGATGGTAAGTATTTGTATTCAATCAGTTTGTGATTCCACACATATGGCGGCCATTTTTGTCAATCTTCCTTCACTTTTTTGTCACTTTACCCAAGCACCCATGCGAAATCATCCCCTCCCAAAGCCACAGCTCCTCAGACCGCATCACGATTCCGAGGTTCTGCACCTTTGTGAATCCGATCCGGAAATATTCTGAACCTATCATGAACTTCGGATTTTCGTCAGCCTTCGGACATCCGGCGTCTTTTGTTACCAAACGGCGCAAGCAAATTCTTCATGACATCAATGCTCAGTTCTGTGAACTGGCTGCTGGAGCGCCATTCTGAAATTCTTTTTCAATTGTGTGGAGCTCAAAATGATCTTTACTGACGATGACCAACCTAGGATGCACCATCAGTGCTTTGCGTCACCGCATTGTTCGCATCAAGAAGAAAGTTGCCGACGATGAGAACCTGATGAACGCAGGCCAATCCAACCCCGGTACCCCCAGTACCCCTGCCGCTAAGCGCAAGCGTGCTCCGAATGCCACTCCCAGGGCCACTCCCACCAAGCTGAAGAAGGAGACCAGCTCCGATGACGACGATAAGCAGGATCTTATCATCAAGGGCAACCAAGCTGAGGCCGAGGAAGGCGGCGAGACCAAGAAGCTCAAGCCTGAGGACATCTTTTCCGATGAGTATGAGCGCTTTGTCCGCAAATACAATAACGATTCAGAAGACTGATTACGTGAATTCAGGCCCATCGAGAACATGCCCGACACCAAGGGAGCCGATGCCGAGCTCTTCCAAATTTGAACCGTTTCCTCGGGTTGTCGACACAGTAAGCCATGACAAACGCATGGTAGGAGTCCTGGGAGCTATGAACAGGAGATATGCATACATTTGAGACATGGAACCGGGAGAAAGAATCATGAACTTAAGTGCAACGGTATGTATCATTTGCTGGTCGATCTAGGAGGGCATTGAGCATGGCCAAATTGGCGTTCGTCGCTCAGAATGCAACATAGCTACTGGTTGCATACCCGTTCCTGCTCTCGCACTTTGCATACATGAATCTAAATTATTAAGCCGGTCTAAAGTACACCTCTGCTTCATCAGTTCAATCTCAGCCTGTAGTCCCTACACGGGAGTAATAGCTGTTTTTCAAATAGGGGGCGCCAGCTCAGTGACTCCCATAAATTCAGCTAGCTACTATCTAGCTCCCTGGCCGTGAACGGCAAAGTCCAAGCACTGTGTTTTTGTAGTTTCAAATTTTCCTTCTCGAGCAAATTTGGGTCAATCCCATCCCCTGTTAATAATATCGTATCAAGTTCCTCCTCTGTATAATTCGCAAAAACAATTGAATAAGGAAGAAAAGAAAACAAAAAACATGGTGAAATTCTCACTTGATTCAATCCTCGCAGTCCAGTAAAATTGAGAGACATGTTGTAAAAAGCAACGACCGGCTGACAAGATCAAAGTGGAGTGGCCTTTACTCCTCGCGGTCCGAGTCTGCATCCTCCTCCGGTCCGGAAGTTGGCTCTTCCTTGATGCGCACGTCAAAGAGGTACTTGCTCTCGTCACCCTCATTGTTGCTCTTCTCCACCTCGGACTCCTCAGCCGGGATAATACGCTTGCGCTTGCGGGAAGAAGTGGGAGTGGGAGTGATATTTTCACTGGCTTTAGCTCCCTTGCGGACACTGGCAGGCTTTCGGGGCGTAGCTGGCTTGCGGGTCGCAGCAGGGCTCTGAGATCCAGAGGGACCGGTGCTGGCAGTCTTGGCCAGCTCGCGAATTTTGAAAATTCGCTCCTTGATGGCACGGGCTGTGGGCATCGATCCGGGGTCAGCGGCTAAGACAAGGTTAAAAACGTTTCAAACGCTTCCCATCTGAGATTCGTATCACTTATGCCAAGCTTCGGCGACCTTTGCACAGTCAACCGATACGTCGTGGGTGTCCAGTATCTTTGCCAGGAGCTAGCATAAAACATACGCGATTAGCCTTGGTCTGCGATTTACCCCGATATATCGGGGATATAAAGGTCACTTACCACCTGGTCCGCCGCGGCGTCCCACTTGACCTTGCCGCCCATGTTACTGGTAAATATCGTGGAATGGAAAAAGGAAAGTTGGTATGGTAAAGTCCGGGTGTGAATGAATTTTGTGGAGAGTTGAAAAGTTGAAGAGAAGTGGGAAGGGGAAGAAGGAAAACGGAAAACGAGAGGGAATATATAGCGATCTAAATGAGGGTTGGGCTTTCTGTAACCAATATTTTCGGAGCTCAGTTCCTCGTTGACTGGTCGTTGTACTGAAACAACTACGAAGGCTGCGGGTCTATAGCTCATTTTGCACCGATATTCAATGGTCAGGGAAATCTAAAAGTACTTGAATAAGTGTCTAGGCCATGAACTGAGGTCATTTCCTAGACGTAAAGTCTCATTCTGGAAACATGAATTGTGTCGGTCGTGAGATTTAGGGTTGCTGTTTGTCATTTTATATTTACGCTATGCCTGATTAGGAAAGAAATAGTTCTTTAGATCAACAACACCTGTGCATCACAACGCAGCTAACAATACGTTCAGGTAGCAATTTTTACAGATTTGGATATGAAATGTTTGAGGGGAGTTATTACAGCCACATTTCATACTACATGTATCACCGTGAATGTCACGGTCAACGGGCGTTCTGAGTACCAGAGCTTCCTGCATCACCGCCTCAATTTCTTTAACCTAACCTGCCTATTACAAACAGAAAACAGAAAAGAGAGCATCACGTAGACGCTGGAGATTCTCTTTACTGGTTTTCAATTTCTTTCCTCTTCGGTCAGTTTGAGGTCTCTCGTATCTTTCCCGCAGTCCATCGACATTCCGCCTCATCTCTCAACCATCTTTCTCTCTTCACTACCCCGAAAATTCTACAACATCGCATCCTCTCACCACCATCATGTTCGAGAATGATCGCCTGATGGGGGCTATCCTGGCTGCCCAGCCTGAAATTCAGGTAAGTCTACACTTCCAGTAAAAGGGTGGCATTTTCACAAGCTGGGAGCACGTGCTGACAGTAACAAATAAAAGCTGGACTTCGACCTGATCGCTGAGCTCTACGGAGGCAGTGCCACCCCACGCACCGTCCAAAGCAAGATGAACAAGTCCCGCCGCATTGGCGAGAGCATGCTCGCTGCCCACAAGGAAAAGATCCTGACTCGCAAGACCCCAGTCCAGAATAAGCGTGCTTGGATACACGAGAACACTCAAATTGAGGATCAAATTGTTGCTTCTCTGGAAAACCTGGGTAGCGTCAAGGAGTACCTTGGCCGCGAGAAGACCCTCATGGAGTCTCTTCCTGCTGATCTGCCCGCCTTCCGCAACAAGAAGCGAAAGACTGAGCGCACATCCCGCCTCTCTGAGTATCTTACCGACGCTGATAACCCAGAGGTTCATCATATTGACGTCGTTGATCTCTCTTCGGATCATGAGGACATAGAGAAGAACAAGCGCACCATGAAGGCTGACCATGGGTTCAATAATTGGCCACACTGGACCAGTGAGGGTGAGCCTGATGAGCCCGCAGACTTTAGCTGGAACGGAAAGCATGGTCAGAATGCTCAAGCTGACCAGGGTATTTTGTCTAACTGGGGTACCCAGACCAAGGAAACAGTCTCGAGCTGGGGTACACGCCCCAACCGAGAGGCACAGAATGACTGGGGTAACCAGCACAGCTGGAATGAAGAATCCAACCATCAGGGCAAACAGTCTTCCTCAGGTTCTCTTCCTGCCTGGGGTACAGAGGCTTACCAGAACGCAGGCAACAAACGCGAGACCCGTCGTCTTTCCCACCGGGACAATCCTCTCACAGCTCATCAGTCGCAGCAGCGCCAGGAATACGGCTGGAGTGCCCCTTCTACTGCCAATCACAGCCGCAACTCCACCAGGTACATTGGAAGCACCTCTCCCCATCATTGGAACCGACCTGCTAGCCAGTTCGCTCGCTCCGTGAGCCAGCAAAACGAGGAGAACATGAGCAATGAGTGGTGAAAATGAATGATCTACGCTGCATTGGCCTTGTGCGAATTCGAAATGCACATTACGAGCTTACAAATTGCATGAATGGCATTTCTGAGATTTTGGTTTGTTTCTCTTGTTTCTCCTGTTGCATATCTGCCCACACATTTGACTTGACCATGGTGAGATGGCCCGGTTTTGAAGGAGGGTTGACAAATGACCGGTTGGCATTATGCGGTGGGTGATTTTCATTCATTTCCATTTGCAGAGGTTGGCATTAATACGGTTTTCTACGTTACTTGCTTTTCTTCTTCGAATTACTTGCACATATGAAGGAACCTCGCACAGCAGAACATAGGGGCGGGTGAACATACTGGATAGCTGACCCAAATCACAAAGCTTTTGGGAAATACCACACTTTTTCTCTTGTCTGAAATGCGTCTATGATATACCGGTTTAATATTCCTTAACCTAGGTATCCAGAACGTCATACTACTTGAAACGCTCACTGTGGAAACTGAGAGTACAATTGTAAAAACACATGCTGACACAAACAAATTAAACATCGGACGTTATTCAAGAAAAATACAGAGAAACAATATCACTATGGGGGTATCGTGACAAAGAAAAAGAAGAAGAAGAAGAAGAAGAAGAAGAAGCAAACAAATGGGAAGATGCGACATGTGATCTGGCGCCAGAGCCAGATTCATCTTTCTGACAAGACCTCTTCCAGACACTCGACCACAGATCCACAGCTACCACCGATTACGCGATGCAGTCCCCCCAGGATAAATTACCAGAACATATCGCAACCTACTTAGCTTCACGGCACCTTCTCACAATCCGAACGGGCGTTTCCGGCAAGTTATCTTCATCATCCGATGAACTTGAATCGATATCAGGCTGTCCACTCATTGCTTTGTGCGGAGATTCAGAGCCATTTTTGTGAGACAGCGGGTGAATATCCTCAAAGGATTCATGGGCACTGTTTGATTTAAGTGGACTGCGGCACTTCTGAACTACAACATGCGGATCATTGCGACAGGACAAGTCATGTCTTGGTATGTCAGGAAATTTCCGTTTTCTCGATTCAGTCCGTGGAGTCCAAGCAGAGGCTAACTGATCCTGTAGTCGTTTAGAGCGATGCTCCATCCTTCCATTCAAATCTGGTGATCCAGTGCGGTATACGGGATGTCCGTTGAATTGGGGAGATCGTGATTGAGCCCGGGATTTGGTAATTGAGAATGATCTGAATTGTACGGGACAAGGGCTCTGGGAACCAAGTCTGGGCTCTGCGTCATTACCAACCTTGTCTGGAAGCGAGGTCGAGTTGTTCTTTTTGATCCAGTCACTAACAGTCTTCGTGCTTTTATTGGATGTGGATGTGGTCTTTGGCTTGACTCTGGAGCTCTGGAGCTGTACAATTCTCTGACTGAACGTCGATCGCCGTGAAACTTGCGATTCATCAAGATCTTTATGTTCTTCACGAACAGATCCAGTTCGTTTCTCGGGCGTGGGCGCGGACTTTGTTTTGACCTGGGAGCTTTGAAGCTGTTCCAGTCTCTGATTGATTGTCGCCCTCTGCGACAAGCACGGAGTATCAAGAGCTTTATTCTCACTATGCTCTTCACAAACAGTGCCAAATTCAGGTACCGATCTCTCCCCTCCAAAACCATCATGGGACAACCCTCTACCAGACTGCACCGCAGCCTCCGGCGATCCAGCCTCCAGCATCGGCAACCTCGTTGGTCGAGAACGCCATTCCACCGGAATCCCACGAGCAATAAGCAAAGCCACAACCCGCCGCTTAACAGACAACCACGAGTACGAACGCCCAGTCCGCTCTTGAAACTTCACCGCAAGATCCATCCAAAATCTTTTGCCAGGCAATTTGGTTTCGAGGGGGAAGGGATCATGCTGCAAATAGAGAGTCCAGAGGACGGCTTCTTGCGCCGCAGTCAATTGCTTGCCACGCGTTCCTGGGAGAGCATGGTCGACTCTGATATCAAGGAGTAAAGCTCCTCGCGCTGTGGCAAGGCCCAATGGTGGAATCGGGATCTGCGGGGGTGCCATTCGCACTTTTATTCAGACTGGGGTTGGTCTCGTCTGTGAAATCATGGGGATATTATTGGGAGACTGCCATAGATGGGGACGCTGTTTTGCAGCTCAAGTGTCCAGGGTTTTATAGATCGAGATTAGACCCACCGTCTGCCACCGTCTGGGAGGAATGCTATTGGATTGGAGCGCGCTGGACGCGCTCCGGGAGGCGACGCGTGAATTTCGCGTTTGACACGTGATTGGGATACAGAGTCCTCAGATGTAAGGGTCGGCCGCAAGTAGGCTTTTTAGATATGTTGGGCTTTTTTCGAGTCTTGAGCTTTTATGAGTCTGATGGGAAATAAGGCCACGGGTACAGCAATAGGGCTGACGTGCATGATCTGTACCACGTGTTTAGAAGGCTAAATTGACTACACATCTTGGATTTGGAACTATCGCAATTCTTGTTCGAGTCCCTTTGGGTTAAAATGGAATTCTTGCTATGAAAGATTCCCTAATTACCAAGAAGAATGCCGACCATGACCAGCAAGACCACCAGACCATCGAAAAGTGAGTCCAGCTCGATTTCGACTAATGACACAGCTGAATCCACTGCGCAACAATGTCCTCCATATCATGCGCAATGCCCCATTGCGAAGACAAGCAACGGAACAGCTTCTGCATGGAATTGAGCTCATATAGTAGGTTTCTCTTAGCACCGGTCGCAAGCACCTCGGCACCATGATCACTCTCAACGAAACGCCTTGTCTCTGAGCCGGATCGGGGTCGCATATCCTCCGGACCCAAGTTCAGGTCAGCGTGGGATAGTAAGGCATCCTGCCACACGATACTACGAGGCAGATTGACGGTAGCAACGCCTGCAAGCGACAGAACCACATAGATTGTAGCGGCTGCGAACAACGAGCTTGGCATGTGTATTACGTGGGCACGGCCTCGTGGTAGTTGTTCGACAATGTCTTGGATGGCGACAGCGTGGAGAGCGGCTCGGCGCGCATCTTCTGAATTGGCCCATTGGGCGAGATCGAAGCCTGGGTGGACGGTTCGGCAGCCGCCTGAGACATGTTGTGGGATATTATAGCGGGAGCAGACGTGTCGGGATAGTAGGGTTGAATTGATCATCGTGTCAAGGCAGACGGTATGCCAGCGTAGTAGTAGCTCGAGTCTCTCAGCGGCTGTGAAGTGGATACTCATAGAGATTGTTTCGTGGACTTGAGCGAGGGCGCGCCGGACATCGGATTGCCCGGGTACCCCAACGGCCAGTTCGCTATCGTCGCTGTCCGAAATTAGGGACTGAAGTCCTTCGAGAACCACTCGCAACGCAACGGCAGAGAAATGGTAATCCAATGGACGGAAGCTGCCGATTGGTGGGAACAACGAGCGGAAGATCACTCTGAACGAGGTCTGGTCCGGTGTTTGGCTATGTAGGTGAGCCAGCCATTCATCGGCAGTGGCTGCATCGAAGGCTTCTTCGCTGCTGGGGAGTCTCAATGAATTGGCCACATGTCGAGCGGAAGCCCCGTCGCCGGACATCTGAGCGACGAGACCATCCAACACATAGTAGGCTAGCAGGGCGCGTTGTTGGATCTCACGGGCAGACCAAATCCGCCACTGATGCTCTTTTTCTGCCATAGGAGCATCCACAGAGGGCAAGTTGTCCATGGAATAAGCCGGGCTGTCGTACATGCCGCAGTGTCTTGCCCAGAAGAAGCCCAATGGGCGGAAGACTTGGCTGGTAGTTCGGATCGCCCGGTTCTTGGACAACGCTCCATATATCTGACCCAATAGAGCCGTGATCATTAGCTGGACGCCCTTGCAAGCATCATAGGGACCGCTGTGGGTGATGAGGGACTGCCAAGACGTTGCAACGGCAGTATGTGCTAAACGCCACAATGCCTCGCCCTTGGCTACCGAATCCTTGGGGCCGAGGTATAAAGACCCGATAGCGATAGCGTTGAGAAGAAGTGCCTGAGTACATTCTCGAAATACGAATGTAGCGCGGTGTAGGATCGGAAACGTCGGAATGAACCGGACGAAGAACATGTGGAGGCATTCGTCGAGGAAGACCGAGGTGATGGATGTAGCCTTGACAGCGGCGGTGACGATTGATGACTGAGGGTTCATGTTAGTCTCAGGGTTCCAGTAATCCAGTACTCCACCCGATTGATTCAAATGTCGACGAGGCATTTTTACCAGCTTCATTGTCTGTCAAGAGGAATAAGTTGAACTTACTGAACTAGTCACCATTTCAGTAACATCTCGCACTGCCTGATGACCACCCCCGGATGGTATTGCTCCAACAGAAGAACTCCTGTCATCAAAGGAACTAGGAGAACCAAAGTTCATTCCATTGATATCCTGCACTACAGGTGGGAAAGGCAACGTCCCAAGAGGCATCTGCCATTGATCGGTCGTGTTGGAGGACATCAAGCTCTGAAACAAATTCTCTGAATCAGGCCAGACCAATGCGAAGTCCAACTCGGATGCGACATTGTTCATGTCATGCCCCGAAGCGACCTCGTCCAACGACTGACTGGTCGCCGAGGTTGATGCAGGATCAGTAGTAGAAGCGCTGTTCGTGTCCCAAGATGCAAGAGAATCAATTGACGGCGGCTGCAGCTGAGTAGACAATGGTGGCGGCGAAGGGTCATCCTTTGTATTCATAGGCCGAGTATGCAGCTTCTCATGCCGAGTAAGGGCATCTTGCCGGGCAAAAGGCCTCCGACAATCCTTGCAGACATATGGTTTAGAACCCGTATCTAGGTCTCCCGGTCAGCCGGATGGATATTCATTTCGGAGCTTGAGCCAGGATCAAATCCGGTTTCAGCTGGTATTATTAGAACGGATCACATACGGCATCGCTCATGTCTCTGCAGGCACGCGTTAGCTCTGGCATTACATGGCGCAGACAGTCCCCTCTTGCGTGGGGAAGTCTGGATATTCAACAATGAGAACTTACCCTCAAATGTTCAGCTTTCGAGAAGCCCTTTTGACACACTCGACACACCAGCTTCTTGATACCTGCTGCGGACGGTATCATCGCTATAGACGCCATGTTCTTAGTTGTAAGGAGGAAGCTGAAATTGTGGAGAGGCAATTGTGGGGTGTGGCGAACGCTTATGCGAGCACCGGAAATAACATTTGGAGGATTACAACTGTTACATTGTTGGGATATGCAGTCATATTTCAGACTGTCTCCTTGCAGGCACATAGATACCTTGCCTAGATCTATAGAACTCAACGTGGATCGCAAAATTTGTGTCACAAGAAGCGTGAAACGTCCCGTGTATGTGGAAATACACCCGAGGCCGTGTGTATAGCATTCGCCTCCTTTCTCCACCTGTCTCCAGGGCTGGAGAAGGGAACTGTAGGGGCATAAAATGCCGAAGATAAGCAACAGATCCTTGCGTCAATGCTGGTGGAACTTGCATGCTTGTCGGAAGTTGCCGACTAATTTCCACTTCGGCTACGCATATCGGGATATACTTCAATTGAGCAGCCGATGTTGACCCGATCAAAGTCAGTGAGGACGTGTCCGTCAGCAAACTTGTAATGTTTGCCACTAAGGCTGTTGCTCTGTTTGGTACACGTATCGTGGCCGAGCAAGGGCACCCCCCAGTTCCATAGTTGGTCATTCTTTGCCAGAACTGACCTCGAGTGCGTTCCCGAGGCAAGAAAATGACATTATGGAGCCAATTGATCTCCCAAAGACTGCTGTCTCGTGATTTGACTCTGTAACCCGGCAAAATTATTGCCACAAGAAGTAAAACCAAAGATATTATGGGGTCCACACCCGTTGCGCGGCTTGCAGACAGACCTAAGTACCGACGGAGAGCGGCTACCCCAGGAACAGAAGACGTCCCGATGGCAAAATTGGGAACCCATTCGCGAACTCAGGAATCCCAGTGGGAAAAGCGAGAAGATATGGAGTTCGCAGTCCCGAGGACGCTCCGCCAAGACGTCAAAGCTAGTGTTTTTCGGTACTTGGCTCGGGAAGGATGCCGTTTTGTATAGCGACAAGCCCCTTCGGCTAGCCGTGCTCAAGTGCCATGGTGGGCTTTACTAATTTGTCTGACAAGGCATTGCATCTCGCGGCATTGTGACTCGCCGAGTTCCCCCCGCGCAAAGCCTCCGCATATTCTCCACGAAGCCGGAGTCGGGTCAGTCGGAGATGTACCCTGGGGTATTGTCCGTGGGCTTAGCGGCTTGGCTGTGCACACTCACCCGGGAGGATTTTACCAATTCGCCTTTTTGAAAGATCCCCATGCCAGCATTATTCCCCGTCACTTTCCGTTTCATCCCTTATACTTCAGTTCTGGGCTTGGTGCATACTTCAACACACCCCCTCTGACTATCCTGACGATCCTCAACTCGCCACTTTCCAACCCATTTGCCATAAATTCAATCCATTTGGGGTCGTCGACTGCTTGTCTGATCCCTATTTTGATCGGGGAACGAGATCAACATGACTTCTTTGGAATTGCAACCGTCCTCATCTCGCCGAGATGGCCAAGATGAGGTCGAAGAGGCTGGCGGCAAAACCGACATTGATCTTGTAGAGAGCGCCGGACATGACAGGGCAGCAACTTACGGGGAGTCCGTGGCTGCTCGTCTTCCCAAGGCCCATCGTGATTATCTGATGGAACGCCATGGCACATTAGATCTCGACCCTATTCCTGGCATGGGCGCAGCTGACCCTTACAACTGGCCTGAGTGGAAGGTGAGTCCTGATTCCCAGTTACGAGATCTCAGATCGTCCAGCAAGAGATCTAGGAGAATGTATCCAACTGAGACTGATGCGTCAATATATAGAAAATGATGAATTTGATCCTTGTGGCATTCCACGCTTGCATGGGCACTTTTACCGCCGCTGCCATCATTCCTGCTTATTCCACGATTGCCGAAGAACTGGGTGTTGGCCTGCAAAACGCCAGTTACTTGACTTCTCTGCAAATTGCCATCCTTGGAGGTGCTCCTCTTTTCTGGAAACCATTGTCCAACCGGTTTGGACGCCGTCCCATTTTTCTCCTTTCTCTTATTTGCAGTCTCGTCTGTAATATTGGTTGTGCGAAGAGCACCACCTATGCCTCCCTCGCTGCGTGCCGTGCCCTGGTGGCCTTTTTCATTTCTCCTGCTTCCGCCATCGGCAGTGCAGTCGTGATGGAAACGACCTTCAAGAAAGACCGTGCCCGTTATATGGGTGTCTGGACTCTGATGATCACCTTGGGTGTCCCCATCGGACCTTTCATCTTCGGTTTCGTCACCTACCGTGCCGGATACCACTGGATCTACTGGATCCTCGCAATGGTAAATCAAACTTTCATAGAAGCCACACATCTGTTCCTTAGCTAACAAAACCAAGATCAACGGTGGCCAATTCATCCTGTATCTCATCTTCGGCCCAGAGACCCGCTACCTAGGCAGCGGCATCGACAACGAGAAATCAGCCTTCAAGATCGAATACTTGTCCCTGCGACGCATCGATCCAACACCATTCACATTGTACGAGTTTGTGCGCCCACTAACAATGGCTCGCCACCCCTCAATCCTAATCCCATCCTGCGCATACGCAATGATCTTCCTCTTCGGCAGCATCCTCACAACAGTCGAGGTGCCCCAACTGTTGCAAGAAAAGTTCGAGTTGAACGCCGAGCAACTCGGCCTCCAATTCTTGGGTGTAATCATCGGCTCCGTAATCGGCGAGCAGATGGGTGGTGTCCTCTCCGACTTCTGGATGAGCCGTCGTGCCCGCCGAATCGATCGCAAGGCCGAGCCTGAGTTTCGCCTTTGGCTCAGCTACTTCGGTTTCGCCTTGACCATCATCGGTGTGATTGTCTTCCTGGTTTGCACGCAGGAGGCCAAGACTGGTCATTGGAATGTGACCCCCATCATTGGGACCGCTATTAGCGCTGTCGGTAACCAGCTTGTCACGACTGTCATGGTCACATATGCTATTGACTGCTTCCCACAAGAGGCGGCTAGCATTGGTGTATTTGTCACGTTTGTGCGCCAGATCTGGGGTTTCCTGGGTCCTTTCTGGTATGTGTTCTATCCCTCCAGTCGTTTGGACTTGTGTTGCGGCATGGTGGCTAACCATCGAGTAGGTTCTCTCCTATGTTCGAGACTGTCGGCATCGCTGCCAGTGCTGGTATTGCTGCGGCGATGATCGTTGTTGTCAGTGTCATCCCGACTATTTTCCTGCACTGGCGGGGTCGGGTGTGGCGTAGCGACGAATAGACAGCGGGATCGGAATCGGAATCGGTTTTTATTTTGTTGTCTATTGTTTAGACGTGAAGCGATCTTGTTCCTTTTGATTAAGACGATCGGTTGACACGATGGAATATTCGGGTTCGGGGTTCGGTGCGTTAGACTAGACTCGGCTTCGGACACGGCACTGCCGCTCGGGATTGTATATAGATTGACGCATAATCATTGAGCATTTCCATTTCAACAGCATTTGCAGCAAAGATCGAAGGCATCGTAGTCATTAGCAAGACAATGCATCAAGCACTGTAGTCAGATCATCAAAATCAAAACCGCTTCTAGACCTTTCTTGGTGGGATGGGATGTGATGTATAGAGAGTCGGTGTATAAAACTCTGATTGAGCCCTTTCAACACCCACGTGAAAGAAGCATAGAAGTAAAAAAGAAGGAAAGCAACGAAAATACGAAAAGTAACTGTGAAAATATGCAAAAACAGCCAGCGAAAAGAAACAGCCGCAGTCCGTCTTTTAAGAAATCTACTCCCTACGGAAGTTCGCCGGGAGAGAGCTCGGGACGCCGACCCGGCCTTGTCCTTTAGCGCTGGAATGGAGCCATCGCGGGTTGTCGTGCAACAACCGGGTCATGACTTCGGCTTGCAATTGCGGGCTAAGTGTTTTGGATTCTCTAGTCTTACTGTATAGAGTGAGTGCTAGGCATTCAGCTACGGTATACTTAGACATTGAAGCTATTGCTATAGATCTCTATACCATTTCTGACACTTTACTTTTATTTAAAATGAGAACTAGGAGCACAACTCAAAAAAAAAAAAAAAAATTCTGATAAACTGTTCTTAACGAACCAATGAATATCCCTCCAACAATACACAAAAAGTCATGTAGAGCACTTCCACCCCTTTCCAACCCGACCAAAATGCCAAGATATGACGAGGCGGGATAGACATATTCCGCCCAGGGAAGAAGTCATATCCCGTTGAGCTCTGTGATTGGTCAAAGCTCCCAGGCAGATTCGAGATGCATTTTTGAGTCGTCGTTTTCAGGAACATGCACCCCTTGTGTGATATGTTAGGGATCCAAGCGGTCCAGGTCTAGTGATCGTGCTTGGTTCCGATGGCTGTGGGGACTGGGTGGACATGCAGTGTCGACATTTTCAGTCTATTGCTGTGCATGGACTTTGCATGATAGCTACAGTGCAGCTGCATCAATTCGCTTTAACGGATTGACAGCTGTGGGATAGTACGATATTTTCGCATTGGGCATTCTAGAGCTAGAATATAGGAAAGAGAATACTGCATCAAGGGCTCATATTCAATTTTATTTATTATGGAGTCGTTACTGGTGCTCGATCTTGTTGATGAGCGTTCCAACGTGAGGAAGCAGCTCGACGGCGAATTCATCGCCAGCCTTGATGAACTCCTTGGGGTTCTTGGCTGCGCCAACACCAGGAGGAGTGCCGGTGAGAATGATGGTACCGGCAGGCAGAGTAGTGCCCTGGGAGAGGAAGCTGATCAATTGGGGAACGCTGAAGATGAGGTCACTGTAAAAATGGTGATGGTTAGTTCTTCCCTTGTCAGAAAACCAAAGGAAGGGACTAAATATAACATACGTCAGAGGGCAGTCCTGCATGACACGGCCGCTCTTAAGGCCGCGAATCTGGAGCTTGCTAGCATCAGGGATGAGAGCAGCGGAGACGAGCACAGGACCTATAGAGATTGAGTCAGTCAAATATCCCAACTAAGACCATGCAAGCATTCAACATACCAATTGGGCATGCGCCGTCAAAGCCCTTGGAGAAAGACCACTGGCTCTGGTTCATCTGGAAAGTCCGACTTGAAACGTCGTTGGCAGCTGTGTAACCCAGGACATAGTCAAGGGCCTCGGACTCGGGCACGTCCTTGGCATCGCGGCCAATGACAATAACCATCTCAGACTCGTAGTCACCGGTGTTGTCCTGCTGCGTAATCTTAGGCAGAATAGTTGGCGCAGGCCAGGGATCGGCCAGAGAGCTGGAGGGCTTCATGAACAATGTTGGCACCTCCGGGATTGGTAGGGACATCTCCTTGGCATGGGAGACATACTAGCGCATATATTAGAGTCTTGCTTCTGGTCTTGGATATACATTGCCACTCACATTCAGGCCAATGCAGCGAATAGTTCCAACTTCGGCTTGCGCCAGAGGGGACAGAATGCGATCAATGGTCTCGGTCGTTTCGGTAACCTTTCCCGGGTTCAAGACTGAGCTGCCAGAGAATGGGCGCACGGAAACCTCCTGTCCCTGGTAAAGAGCGAGGCCGACATCCAACTTGGGGTCGACGGGTTCGCCGATCAGGATCTTGGAGGAGTTCGACTTGGGGATGAAGCGCACCAGGCCTGTTCGCTTTAGAATTGCTAGGAGCCAATGGGTTCAGAGTACTCACGCGAAAAGGTAGAGGCGATCTTAGACATGTTTGATTGAGTTGGAGGAGCGAAACCCCAGAACCCCCAGACAATATAATATGTAGTCGGAGTTTAGACCGATAGCGGAGTATCTCTGGCCCGTTGGAAAAGCCGGAGGGGCTACTCCCACATTTTGTGGGGATGTGGCGAGGTGGGAGCTTTGAATAAAACCCCGCGGATGTCGCTGTTCTTAACTTCAAACATCTATATCCGTATTTCACAATGTCTGTCCCCAAGGGTCCTTTCCACCTCGTCACTGTTAACACTGCGCCCGAGCGCGCGAAGCGCCTTATCGGCCGCGTCGCCGAGGCATTGAGCGACCGATACACCATCATCCACGTCGACAACTGCGAGAGTAAGCATTGAACAGCTATATGAAATCAAGTCAATCGACTAACTCCCGGCATAGAGATCGAAGAGGTCGAGGCCAAGGTCAAGCAGCACAACCCCGAGGTCTTGGTATGTTGTCTTCGGAATTGCCGAGGGCCGCCAGATGCTAACGGCGCGAATAGTTCAGCGCATCCATGTGGAGCGCCGAAGAGGCTCAGCAGATCCACGCCATTGCTAAGTCCGTTCGTCCCGATATCAAGCTGCACGCTATTCCTGAGGGTTTGCAGGTTGAGCGTGGTCCTGATGCTATTGTTGAATATCTGTGTGAGAAGGTTCCTGTGCTGCTGGACAGCTAGAGGCTTAAGCTATATGATTGATGTATATATCCACACCTGTCTATGTTTCAATAGAGTATGACTGGTTCTACGGTCATGTGATACCATTAAGCCCTTGTGAAACATTGCATTCGTGAATCTTCGTCTTTAGATCGTCTATCCCCTGTTATATTCCTCAGCCCGTTTGAAGATATCAAAGATGTGACTCCCAGACTAATAGCCACCCTGTCCTGAAACAACCTGGTAGCATGGACCATACTCGCTAAACATAGCCCGCAAGTCCTGAACGATAGTCTCAGGTACCTCCCAAGCAGCAAAATGACCACCATCAGCATGTTCACTCTGCCGAACGACGGGTCCCAACCCGGCGGCCCAAGTCAAAGGCACAATCGATATCTCACGAGGAAGATGGGCAATGCCCAACTTCACATGCGGAATATACTCAACCAATCTCTCATATGAACCGCCCTGAGCCCACCCGGTATGCATAGTTTCATAGTATATACGAACGCTAGCCGCCGGACCCGCAGTTGAGAACCAGTAGATTGATATCCAAGTCAGAATCTCGTCGTCGGTCCAGGGGTATGAATCTGTCCAATCGTGGAGCTTCTCGTAGATCCAGGATACCAAGGCGACAGGACTATCTTCGAGTGCGGCGCCAATTGTTTGCGGCTTGGTACTTTGCAAGAGATTGTAACCGAATCCCGAGCGTTCGAACCATGCAGACCGTTTAAACCCTTTTGTCTCACGTTCACTGTATGGCAGGAGTGAGTGTTGCAGGGCTAGCCATGGGTTTTCTGTGAACCGAGGAGGCTTGGCTAAGACCATGTTTATGTGTGAGGCTTTGCAGTGCTCTGGGTAGAGAAAGCCTATGGCTCTTGTAATCCAAAATCCCCAGTCTCCTCCTTGAGTTACTATTTGTGTTTTGAGTTAGCACGGAGCGAAGATGTGTTGGGCAGGTCATTTTCCGCGGGACCTTACCATACTGCTCATAACCAAGCTTGACCATAAGCTTGTGTAGAACTTCAGCATATTGCGCCAATCCAAATCCTCGGCGAGTTACTCCTGAAGAGAAGCCAAAGTTCGGCAGAGATGGTGCCACAACATGGAATGCGGGGTTATTTTCATCACCGTTCAACAACGGGAGGAGTTTAGAAACTTCGATGAATGATCCTGGCCCTGTAAAAATTGTCAGACTTACTGCCGACTGACATTCAAATGTGAGAGATATGAGAATTCCACTGACATCCATGACTGAATAGTAACGGGATTGCGTTCCTGTTTGGGCTGATTTGATGGACATCTGCAAGATGGCCCTGTGAGCATTCGACATGATATCACCGCGATGAGTGAAACAACTTACAGTGAATATCCAAGCTACCAAACCCCTCGACTTCGATTTGCGTTCGATATTGAGGCAGCTCATTCAGCTTGGCCTCTGCCTTCCGCCAGTCAAAGCCGGCCTTCCAGTAGTCTATCAGACGTTGTACCTCATTAGCCGGAGTTCCAGAGCTCCAGGGATCTCCATCTGACGATTCCAGCTGGCTTGGAATTTTAGCCAGTGCTAGACGTTGCTGAAGGTCCTTGAGGCTATCATCGGAAATAGAAATTCTGTATGGTTCTGGTTGATCAGCCATGGCGAGCGATTATTTTGTTTGATCCTCGCCAGAAGAAGAAAAGGAAATACTCTGGGTTTTACGGGCGTCCTTTATTCACAGGGCTCTGAAAAGAGTGCATACACCAAGTGAGATGAAGTCATCGTCATTCGGTTACACACCCCGCGTCTTCCCCAGATATATGTGGATTTGTAATCAAACGTGATAGGCTTCAACCTAAGCCTTTGAAGGATGTTTTCCCCGACTCTCCCACCATAGAATAACTCTCATCATATCAATTGGAGGCTTTCTAGATCAGATTATCGCTGCCAAGCCAAGCGAAATAAAAGAGATCAACACATTCCCAGATTGAATACGTGACCTGTACATATTTCCACAGAATACAGTAACGGAAAATACTCCGATTCAACCAATAATCGTCAGGTATTCAACAGTCCAACTGAAGTGCCCAGACACCCATTCCCGACTCCGGAGCCGCGGCGACACTAATATGATTAGTCATCGCAGATTGTTTTCCCGATCTTCATCGCGATATCAACCACCACTCCTTGATCTATTCCGATTCTTGACACCATGTTCTCCATTCGGACAGCTGCACGAGGCATGTCAAGCTTCCGGGCCTTTTCCACGGCCCGAGTGCTGCAGTCGGAGCTGGCATATCAAGTGTTTGGCCCGGAAAGCGGCCAAGCCGTCCGAAACCCGATCCTAATCCTCCACGGGCTATTTGGTTCGAAACAGAATAACCGGAGTATCGGAAAGTGTGTAATATGCCTGCCCGGTTTGAAATGAGAAACATTCTTACATGTATTCTAGGGCTCTGGCACGGGATCTGAAATGCCAGATTTTTGCCTTGGTGAGTTTCCCGTGCGAGTATCTTGTCTCCGGGGGACATGAAGAGCATTACCGATGAATATTAATACACCTGGATTAGGACCTGCGGAATCATGGACAGACTTTCCATGCTCCGGAGCACAACTATAGCGTCATGGCCGAAGATGTCAAGGAGTTCATCCAGCGGCAGAAGCTGGACAAGTGTGTTCTGATTGGGCACTCCATGTACGTGACGTTGCTCCATCTTTCAACCAACTTCGAAAAATATGCGTTCGCATTTCAAGTTATCTGTTCCTTGGCACTGATAAGCAACACAGGGGCGCCAAAGCTGCAATGGCAGTTGCCTTACAGTCACCCGGCCTAGTCTCAGCTTTGATTCCCGTGGACAATGCCCCTGTAAATGCCGCATTAAAGAGCGACTTCCCCAAATATGTTCGTGGCATGCAAAAGGTTGAGGCCGCGAAGGTCTCCAAGCAATCTGATGCCAACAAGATTCTTGAAGACTACGAAGAGGTATGACTATTCCCTATATAATAGAGCCCGTGAGCTTCTAGTATCCAGGCCCAGTTCAGTCAATATTTAGTGCTTACATCCCCCAGTCCCTCCCTATCCGTCAATTCCTTCTCACCAACCTAGTCCGCTCAGAAGAAGACAACACGCTCAAGTTCCGCGTCCCACTATCGGTGATCGGGGGTTCTCTCGACCACATGGCCGATTTCCCCTTCACGGAATCAGACAACCTTAAGTACGACGGCCCAACGCTGTTCGTCCGCGGAACTAGATCCAAGTACGTTTCCGACGATACAGTGCCGACTATTAAGAAGTTCTTCCCCAATGCGCAAATCGCCGACGTGGAAGCTGGCCACTGGCTTATTTCTGAGAATCCTGAAGCTTTCAGACAAGGTAAGCCCCTATAGGTTCTGGAATTCCGCAATATCTGCTAACATGGTGGGAAAAGCTGTCGTGAAGTTTTTGGAACAGGTTTAACCGGGGGTATAAGAAGCAGACTTTGGTGGTCCAGATAGATAGGTGCTTAAATGTACATTAATTAGCCTAGTGGGATTCCAGGCTCCATAGAGGTATCTTCAATAAACAAGGAAATTATTGATCAAATAGCCCAGCCTGAGAAATGCGCAAAGCTGATTCCTGCTCTTGAACCCCGAGACCCCGACCGGTTGCTGCATCGCGTGGTCGGTTACACATCCACGTCAGCAAGGGGGGAGGCGGTGAAAGTGAAAAATCAAAGGACGAGCCCCTAGCTTAGGACTGGTCCTCAGACTTGATCTTTTTCTTGTTTGGCTTTGTCTCTGAGCTTTCTTTGCTTTCTCTATCCGCCTCTCTTTCCGCCTTCCTCTTGGCCCTCGTCTCTTTCCTCTCCTTCTTGCTAAGGGTCGAAGAACTACTAGGTGCCGGTGAAGCACCAGCAGAGGAAGGGGCTGGCGTGGTTATTTCATCGACTAAGGGCGTTCCAATAGAATGACGTCGTTTGTCCGCTTTCAATGATTGAACTTGCTGGTTTGCGGGCTTTTTATATGACGAGGCCTGACTCTTTGAGCTGCTTGACGCCCCAGATGATAAGCCGGGCTTTGGAGTCGATTGGGCAGGAGTTCCAGGCAGTTGACTAGAACGCGTTCCGTCCTTGCGAACAGAAGGTGAACTGACTGGTATATGAACCCCTAACGTTGGGACCGAGCTTTTGGTGACTTGGGCTTGGCTGGAGGTGTTGGTCCTTGACGCCCCTCCGAGAACGCGCACCTCTGGCTGGGGGCCAGCATTACCGCCAGTATTGACGAGAACGTCTCTGATGACATCTTCAGCTTTTCGAAGACGATGCAGCATGGTTTGAATCGGCTCTCCGGTCAGCCGTTCCCGCAAGCGCTTGAATTGGTCATCTGTCAACTTGATACCTTCGTCTTCGATGGTATGGCATTGGTTCTCAAGCGCTGCAATTTTAGAAGCTAGGAAATCTAGTTGGTCCCTCATTTCCTCAGTAAGAATCTTAGTGGCTGCGAGCTCTGCAAGCTGGTGTCCTATTCCCTCAGCCTTAGATCCCAGCTCCGCCAAGCGGTGTTCAAGCATATCATCCCGTAACTTGGAGCTTTCCGCTTCTACGAGCAGACCTGGGATGTCTCCGAGCTCTGGAATATTGGCTTCCAGGTCTGCTAATCGTGTGTGGACATCTGTTAGATCCTGTAAACCCGCACTTGACCGCGCAGCCTCTGCCCTGTGAAACTCGGCAACATCGTTTTTTAATTGTTCCAACTGCAAGATGTGTTCATCAACCGTAGCGATCAATGGGTCAATCTTTTTCACGGAATCAACGAGTTCCGCAGAGAGCTCTGGGTGGTCCAGGTCATCGAATTTGGCATCAACACTATAAATCATCTCCTCGTTGGCTGTTACTTTGTTGGACAAATGACTCATTTCCTGCAGGAGCTTTTGTAAGCTAGGAGTGTGTTGATTGAAAGTGCTCTGCATGAGCTCGACACGTTCGGAGAGACCGTTCAAAATCCCCGACAGCTTTGGAAACTCTGCCAATGCATTTTTGTCTTCAGACGATAACTGCGATTGCTGTCGTAAAGCGGCTAAATCACTTTGAAGTTTGGAAAGGGTAGCGATAGTTGAATGCATTGGATCGTCCCGTTGAAGAAGGGCTTTCACCCTGTCCATCATCCATGGGTATGCTCCTAGTGCAGTTCTTTCTGCAGGAGACAACTGTGATGCCTGCTGCGCTTGAGCAAGATCTGCCGTGAGAGCGGCAAATCTCTTTTTGGTCTCGGTCACATGCAATTGAATTCTTTGATTGAGGTTGACCAAGGGACCCATTTCAAGCATAGCATCCGACATGGACTTGACCAAGTCACCGGTAGTGATGTTTGACCAACGCATCTCGAGCGATCGAAGGGAAACGCTATGAGTTGTCAGAAGCTCGTTGCACTTTTTCGCCTCCTCGAGAGCTGGTGCCATTGAGTCCATGCGCTTCGAAGCTGTGTCCAAGTCACTCCAGAACCGGTTAACCGTCGCCGAGCAATTGTTACAGTATGTAGTCATATCACCTCGTACTTTGTCAACGGACGCCATTAATTGACTGCGAGTGTTGTCCAACTTTTGCTCAATTCCCTCGATAGACCCTGCGGAAGCAGCGCGATAATTGTCCAGATTCTTCTCGATTCCCTCGATAGAGCCTGCAGAAGCACTGCGATAATTGTCCAACTTTTTCTCAAGTGCTTCGATTGAACCTAGGCAAGAACTGCGATGATCATTCAACTCGGTTTGAAGCAGCGAAATCCTGTCGCCAAAGCTTGTGTGGGAGTTGCGAATTGAATCAATGCTGGAATAAATGGTTCCCAGTTTGTGGATCAGACTCTCGCTTCGACGATCAATCTTGACCACATCTTCTTTGGTCTTCTCGTGATCGTCTTTTAACATTTCGATGGAGTTTTTCACTTTCTCCAGCTCTGCAAAATACTCAGCTGGCGCATCTTTTTTGGTTTTCTCGTGTCCATCTTCTAGCGATTCGATAGACTTGTTCATGTTCTCCAGCTCCGCGAAATACTCGTCTTGTGCATTCCTGTGGATTGTGATGATCCCTTGGATTTTATTTTCTTGCAGCTGGATGGAGGTTCCTTGTGCCTGGACTTCTTGCTCCAAGGAGGTCAATCTGTGATTCATAAAGGACGAGGAAGCTTCAGATGATCCAGAAAGTGGGCCACTGCTGGCGGAGCGTGGTTGGGATTTGAGAAGTGTCACTGCGCGCTCAAGGGGAAACACCCTCCCGCTTAGCTCATTGTTGGCTTTTTTGAACTCGATGTTCACATCAGAGAGCTTGTCTTGGTGTTTCTTGTCGACCACTTTCAAGCCGCTGTCGAGCTTGGAATGATTTCTTTCGATTGTAGAAACAATCCCCTGGAGCCTGGCGACATTGCCCTCGAACCTGGAGACGTTGTCTTGAAGCTCGGAAACGTCCGCGCAAAGATCCTTGTAGGGTTTGGCGTTGGAAACGTCGATGTGACCTAATCGGCTGGAGTGCGTCTGTGTCAAATTTTCTAGCCTTTGCAAACGAATTTCCATCGTTCCAGCGGGGGCCTCGGGCTTTCTTTGAATTGTTGGGAGTGCGGCTTCGACTGTTTTTAATCTCCCTTCGATGTTGGTGACGTTATTGGTTGTCGAGGTATCGGTTTCTCGAAGCTTTGAAAAGTTGTAGTTGATCGCCTTCATTTTATCGTCCGAAATACTTGATGTAGAGGGAGATCGCATCGCTTGAGTTTTTATTTCCTGTATTTGTGACTCCATCTTCTCCATTTTTTCTGAGGTCCTTTTGATCTCAGGCTGAAACCACTGACTGAGTAAAATTTCCTCGGCTTTGCTTGACACTAGCCGGTGTTGGTCGAACATAGTGGTCTGCTTTGACAACTCATAGTTTGCCGTGTCCAGCTGTTGCTGGTACAATGTGATGGCACCAGAGAAGGCTTGGGACTGTTTGGCTTTTTGAACATTACGTTCGAGTGTCGGTATCTCCTTCTCAAGTCTGTCTATCTCTTGTTGACATTTCTCAGCTTTGATCACAGAGTTGATCACATCCAAGAGCGACACAGCTACCCGGGGACTTGGCGGAGGATTGTCCTGCGTGGGCCGATTTGGGGCAGGAGCAGGGGCCGGGGCATTCTTTGTGACTGGTGTGGATAGAGCGGAATTTGTAGAGATCGGAGAAGCATCTGATGGATCAGCCAAAGTGGGAATCACCGGTGCTTTGTAGGGAAGCGAGGCGGAAGGTGGTGGTCGCGAATTCGGTCTTGAATTCGGTCTTGACATCGGCCTCTGGCGAGGATCTTTCGTTGGAGCGGGTGCTGGATTGATGGGCCTGTAGCTATCATAGCCTGGCCTACCACCTGCTCCGCCTCTAGGCCGTGGAGAGTCGGTGTCCATTCTGTTGGCCATGTTCCCTGAAAAGTAGCAGAGAACATGCGCATTGTATTCAGAATGTCAGGTGGCGTATGGATTTGGCTGCTCGACCACGAGCTCTTCTCGACCCAGAGCTTCACCCCTGACCAGTATCACTCGCAAAGTCCGCTCTAAAATTGCAGATATAAGGACGAGGAGCGCAAATCGAGGTATTGGGACGCGTAGAGCACGCCAAGTCGTGTCGTTGATGAGAAAAAGTGGGGGCTAGTAGGTGATAGTGGAAAGGAGTTGGGGGTTAAGTTGAATATAGCCGCAGCGGAAAGCTCGAGTGAGCAAGCGAAAAGTGATATGTGCCGCTTCTAAAACGATTTCAAATGTTACGATGCTTATTTAGAGGTCAAACTGAAGTTCCATTTTCTTTGGTAAATTATTCTGCCGGGCGGTAACTGAGCACTCCGGTCCGTGATCTGCCTTGCCTCTCTCTCTTCTCTTGCTTTTCTGGAGCTCTATCGCAATTATCAAACAAAGTTTTGCTGTCAGAGAAAGGTTTTGCCTTGGACCAATACCAAAATGGCTGTCGTGAGTTACAATTCTGTAATGATATTTCCCCAGCTACTAACTTCAAACCAGCCAATCTCGACCGTCGCAGAGAGCAAGGAGCTCCGCGGATTGAACCTCATCGCCGCCCATTCACATATCAGAGGTCTCGGTGTCGATGTGGATACTTTACAGCCTCGCACATCATCGCAAGGCCTTGTGGGTCAGGAAAAGGCTCGGAAGGCCGCGGCGGTGATTTTGCAGATGGTTAAGGAAGGCAAGATTGCTGGACGCGCGGTTCTGATCGCGGGACCTCCTAGCACGGGAAAGACGGCAATTGCAATGGGCATGGCACAGTCTCTTGGTCCAGATGTTCCTTTTACCATGCTCGCTTCCTCCGAAATCTTCTCGATGGAAATGTCCAAGACAGAAGCCTTGACCCAGGCGTTCCGGAAGTCCATTGGCGTGCGCATTAAAGAAGAAAGTGAAATCATCGAAGGTGAAGTCGTGGAGATCCAAATTGACCGCAGCGTCACCGGAGTAAGAAACATTTCCAGAGAATCATTGGCATTAGATACTGACCTCTGCAGGGCAATAAACAAGGAAAGCTTACAATCAAGACCACCGATATGGAAACAATTTACGATATGGGAACAAAGATGATTGATTCTATGACCAAGGAACGGGTCATGGCAGGAGACGTGATTTCGATCGACAAGTCGTCCGGCAAGATCACCAAGCTCGGCCGCTCATACGCCCGCTCTCGCGACTACGATGCCATGGGTGCCGACACCAAGTTTGTCCAGTGCCCCGAAGGCGAGCTCCAGGTTCGCAAGGAGATTGTCCACACCGTCAGCCTCCACGAGATTGATGTTATCAACTCGCGTTCACAAGGCTTCCTGGCCCTGTTCTCCGGCGACACAGGCGAGATCCGGAGCGAAGTTCGGGACCAAATTAACACCAAGGTGGCTGAATGGAAGGAAGAGGGCAAGGCCGAGATTATTCCTGGTGTCCTGTTCATCGATGAAGTCCACATGCTCGATATTGAGTGCTACTCATACATCAACCGTGCCCTCGAGGCAGAATTGGCCCCTATCGTCATCATGGCCAGCAACCGCGGCCAGGCACGTATTCGCGGAACCACATACACCTCCCCTCACGGCTTGCCCCTTGATTTCCTTGATCGTGTGGTCATTGTTAGCACACAGATGTACTCAGGCGACGAGATCCGTCAAATTCTCGCTATCAGAGCCCAGGAAGAAGAAATTGATATCTCGCCTGATGCTTTGGCTCTTCTCACCAAGATCGGACAGGAGTCCAACTTGCGCTATGCCAGCAACATCATCACTACTTCTCACCTCTTGACCCAAAAACGCAAGGCGAAGGAAGTCAGTGTTGATGACGTGCAGCGCAGCTTCCGTTTGTTCTACGACCCGGCTCGCAGCGTGAAGTTCATCAACCAATATGAGCAGCGCTTTATCGGCGACCAGGGCAATGTTAACCTCAATGCCGGTGCTAATGGTGATGCTATGGAACTTTCGTAGTAATGCGATAACTGCGTTTCATGTGCATGTGCGGTATTGGGGCTATTGGGTAAAAACTACACTTACACTGGATTTCGAGTTACTTGTTTTTTGCTTTCATTTGTCACATCAAACGATGTATGATAGGACTGGCGCTTGTTGAGGTGATTTGGCCTGCGGAATTGAATTAAGGTCCTCTTTTGAGAGCCCTGACATTAATTTTTCATTCCAAGGTATATGTTCGTACATGTAGCCAGATTAAATTGGCTGGCGCAGATGGTCAGATTAGACAAAGGTAACAGTGCTACTCCATGGCCCTGTGTCGCCGACGCGGCGGAACTCGACACCCGCGCCAAAGTAGCCTGCACTGTTCCATGAGTCCATCATGGCACTTTCATAAGGACCATGGGCTTCCCCTCCATCTCGAGCATCAGACCAGCGATATTCCCACATGGTGGGCCCTTGCTCTGTCTCCCCATTCCCTGACTCGGAGGGAGGGTCGACCCATTGTTCGCCTGTCTCATTGCGATATTGACGAGTGAGCATTTCACGCTCGGTATCATAGATCTCGACCTGGCCCCGGCCCATCAAGATATCGGCGGCGCCAGTAATAGCATCAATTGCCTGCTTGCGGGCTACTTCTTCGGGGTTCTCGTCCGCCATTTCAGTATCTTCAACCGTGTCCTTTTTCTTGTTCTTCTTGTTCTGCCACTTAGGCTTCCGGCGAAGACCTTTGCCTAGTCGGGCCAATGCTTCAAGTGTAGTTTCACCGCGTTCGAGATGTGTGATAATAGTCTTGAGGGCATCCGATGTCAAAACGCTGTCGTCCATTCGATCCTTCTCTTTGCGCTCTGCGTCACGCTTGTCGGCAGCCGCCTTTGCCGCTCTGATATCTTTCTTCGAAACGTCATCCAGCCAATTGTCGTATTTCGCGTCCGCATCTGCTGCCTTGCGAACATAGTTGCCTTGGTCATCGAATCGACCTTCCTCCTGTTCATTTTGCATGTTAAAGGCATCAAGTAGAGGCGCATGCTTTTTCTTCGCGCCAGCGCCAAGTTCCTCATCAACATCTTCGTCAACTCGCGCACGCTCTTCCTCCCCAACCTCGCTGTCGCTGGACTCGTTTTCATCAGCCATCTGATCTGCGCCCTTGCTCAGATCCACATTGAGAGCTCCGCCACCCTTCGAAGAAGCGACCTGTCCCTCAATCTCGTCATCACGCAGGAAACGAACATTCTTCTTGTTCTTGTTCAAAACTTCGTCGCCGTCGACCTCCTCCTCGCCAAAGTCTTCTTGAAGCTCGGCGAACATGTCGTCATCATCGGCATCTTGCTTCTCTTGTTTGCGCTTTGATTTCTCTTCTCCGCGACCAGAGAAGCCTTCATTGTCGCTGTCCGAGTCGTAGCCGTCGAGGTTGATCGCTTTGCGTCGTATTTGCTGGCCACGTCGGCCAATCTCATCGGCATCTAGAATCGCATCGTCTTCTTGCGCATCCGCAGCAAGTGACGAGGGATTACGCAGGTCGAAGCGTGGCTTTTTGTTTTCTGAAGCTTCCTCGCCAACGGCATCGTATTGAAAATGAGCGAGATCCTCACCGGCGCGTTTGGGGCGCGGTAGTGAGCTAGACATGATGTGCAGGATATGTTATTCTCACAAAAAGACGTAAAAAGGAAGCTCCGTCGCACGGCGTTCAGAAAGGTGCTTTCCGCGTCTGGGGTCGGAGCGGAAAATCGTAGCGGAGCGAACTTGCGTCACTGGATCGCCGTCAAGTAAACGGCACTTTGTTCACTACACTTCGACATATATTATTCACCATGGTGAGCCACTTAGCTTTCGACCTCCTCTTACTCTCTAAACACTTCTAATCAACCCAGTTCCGACCTGACTACTGGTCCGACGACCCTATGGACGGAGTTCTAAGTGCCGGCATGATGCGTCCCGGCGCAGCAGCTCGCCGTTTCGACGAATACTACCGCTGCTATCCAGTGGCGATGCTCCCTGGTCCTGAAAGAGAGAATGTGAATCATGGCGGCAAGGTCATCATGCCCCCAAGCGCATTGGACAAGCTTACTCGCCTCCACATTACCTACCCGATGATGTTCGAGCTTCACAATGGAGCAAAGGAGAGGATGACACATGCTGGTGTCCTGGAATTTATCGCTGAGGAGGGAAAGATTTACTTGCCGTTCTGGGTAAGTGAGGCTATACCCCTCATGGACCCTGACCCGTACTAAGACTCGTCCTCTACAGCTGATGCAAACATTACTGTTGGAGCCTGGCGACCTTCTCCAAATCAAATCGACCGACCTTCCCCCGGGACAATTCATCAAGCTTCAAGCACAGTCCACCTCCTTCCTCGATATCAGTGATCCGAAGGCCGTACTCGAAAACGCCTTCCGCAATTTTTCATGTCTTACCAAAGGAGATGTCTTCACTTTCGCATACAATGATCAGGTCTACGAGATGGCGGTGCTAGAGACAAAGCCATCCGGGTCTAAGTGTGCGGTTTCTGTACTAGAGACAGACCTGGAGGTCGACTTCGCCGCTCCGGTGGGATATGAAGAACCGCAGAAGACCAGTGGAACAAGCACACCAGGCAGCGTGATCGGTGGAAAGCTTCCACCCGGTGGATTAGTGCATCCTCATGGCACCATGGCACAATCAATCAACTACACCGCCATTGCTCCCGAGGCCACCGAGGCAGCAGCGGGTGCCCGCGCGGCGTCCTCCAATTTCCTGTCCGGGGGTCAGCGTCTGAACGCAAAGAAGGGCAGTAAAGCCCCAACCCCCAACCCTTCGACTCCTACTCCCGGTGCTTCGAATCCTCAACATCCTCCTCCTGCCCGCAGACTCAACGGCCCACAGCCGCTTCGACTCCCACCCAACCAGCTCTTCTTCGGCTACACCATCAAACCCGTCAAGAAGCGTGACGAGAACGGAATGGTCGTCCAAGAAGACCAGCCCAAATTCCAAGGAATTGGTCAGACATTGCGGGGGAAGCGAAAGGATCTTGGTTCGGAAACCCCCACATCGGGAAGCGAAGCTGGGAGCTCAAAGGGCAAGGAAAGCAGCAAGAAATCCCAGGGTCGCACGTTGCGCTAATTGCTGCAATGTATGTTCTCCATCATCATATCTCCGGACGTCCATACAGGGGGAAACTAGATTATGCGGTGGGGATCTCGTTTATGATACAGCAAGGTCCTGGCGTTTAAGGAGGTATCTCTTTTCGGCGTTCTCTCACAAATACATACAATGGCCTTGTAACACACTGTTTTACCTTCATGTGTCTTGTAGACTCCCGATGCTCTCGCAAGACCATTTCTCCGGCGATGTTTGAGCGGGTTTTCTAGGATTCAAATAGCCCTAAACACGTATTGAAAGAGGGGAGCCCGTAGAGAGACCCGATCCTGCCTGTCTATCTGCGAATAGGTCGGCCACTGGGGGTAGTAGGACTATAGGAGAGGAGAATATGTAAGGCTGGTTCAAAAGCGAAGTGTCTAAGTTGCTATCTTGAGGAAAGTCATATATATCACAAAATGCTGAATCATCCGCTGAGCCATCACTTCATGCAGTGAGCATATCCCCCACTAAGTTGATAGTCGGCCATGTCCTAAAACCTGTGACGGGAGTTCCTAAAATCCCATTACCTGCGTGTCTCAGCAAACGTGGCAAAAGAACCTTCTTATAAAACTACCTCTACTTCACTTCCATCGCTATACTTCCACTAGTGCCTCGGCACTTGGCAAGTCTGGGGATCGGCCCCCCACTGCAATATTTGCTTTGCCCACGAGGACGTCGAAACACATACATCATGGTTACAATAGATCCACTGGCTCCATTTGCGAGGCTGGCCCCCTCGGTCTACATCCAAGACCCAGAAACAAACCAAGCCACTCGACCAATCATACTCATTGCATTCTGGATGAATGCACCCCCACGTGCCCTGGCCAAATACGTGGCCGAATATAGACGCATGGTACCAACAGCTCGAATCATCTTTGTCCGGAGCTCCTCAAATGATTTCATGTTTCGCTCGTCCCAGAGTCAGCGGGCCCGCATGGCACCGGCCGTGGAAGCAATGCGTACCTTTGTGGCCCCTGAGAACCCGGTCTACATGCACATGTTCTCTAATGGAGGATTATCCAATATCACCGGTCTACTCCAAGCCTGGAACGACATTATGGGGACATCGCTACCTATCTCTTCTATGATTCTGGATAGTGCACCAGGAAAGTCAACGTTGCGATCTGGGCTGAAGGCCTTCTCTTATGCGCTTCCGAGGATGTGGATCTTGCGCTTGCTGGGAAAAGCTATGCTTTTTGCTCTCTTGGTTTTCTTTAAGCTGGTTCATGTCTTCTCTGTTTCTCTGGATCCGATCTCCCTTGCTCGGAAGGTGATCAATGATACGTCTTTGATGCAGGCGGCTAATCCGGAGAAGGCCCTCACTCGCTGTTACATTTACTCAGATACTGATGAGTTGGTTGACTGGCGGGACACGGAGTCTCATGCTGTGGAGGCGGAGGCGCATGGTTGGGTGGTTCGTCGTGAATTGTTCAAGGGTTCGGCTCATGTTGCGCATATGAAGGTTGATCCGGATCGGTACTGGGGTATTGTCAAAGAGCATTTGGGTCCTTTGATTTCGGGTTGATCTTTATTTTCACACGATTCGTTTCTGTTGGGGATAGTTATGATTACATCCAAGACTTATGGCTCTTCATATATGTTCAATCCTTGAACGCTGCAGTTAGATTCCATACGCGGTTTCCTGATGCCATAACCTTTGGATTCTTAGATCATCATGACTCTATTTTGGTTGGCCCATGGCACTTGTGACTTTCATAATGGCACAGATCTACTGAAAGGTCGGAAGGAACTTCCGTTCTTCCTTTTTGGACATGCGGGTACGAGTGGTGAGGACGACACCCATGCATCATTAAATGTTTCCCTCTACATGATGTGATCTGCATTCTCATTTTGACCACGGCTTTCTAGTATCTCCACCTGCTATAGATTTAATTATCCAGTCTGACAGCGGAAACTATTCAACTTTTCTACCAAGAAGAAATACACCGGTCTTGTTTACCTTCTACCGCAATGGTCCAACACAAGGCGAATGAGGCGGCCTTTCTCAGCTCCTCGAAACTCGAAGACTCTCGCCTCAAACTTCCAGGGTTTGGCCTGCCATTAGATTATGCCCCCAGCGAGAAGAACATCTATGGCGTTCACAGTCGGAGTCTGTTTCCATCTGCACTGGATGATCGGGACATCGAAGCAGGCTATGTGGAGTGAGTGAACGAACTTTCAAATGTGACCCATGCTAAAACATTATACAGTCTGCCTATCTTGACGCTCCGAGAAATTGCCATGTTGGGTGTTCTGGAAGATCTGACTGATATCGATGAGTGGTGGAAAAAGGTGGGCATCTCAAACTCCTGTTGCTTTCTTTGTCCTGCTAAACTATAGCTATAGGTTTTTGATCCTGCCATCCAGGAGCAGTGGAAAAAGGATGCCATGAGCTGTGGTAGAGATATCACGCTGTGCATGGCAGAATGGATAATCGACGAGCTGGAGTTCAAGGCGATGATCTACGAAACCACAGATGTTGTTGCTCTGCACAATGGCGATGTCACCAAATCTGACACGAATATGTCGGACTCACTGGTTGAGAATCTCAGGACCCAGATCAAGATTCTAGAATATGACCAGCCAGAGTTGAAATTCTTTCACCCGGGATTCTTGAAGAAACAGCGAGACTTTATCGCCATGGCACTGTACCCTCTTGTTTACGGGAAAAGTCGTATTCTTACAGACAGGACGATCACACTTGAGAATGCCATTGAGCACGCCGGTCAGGGCGAGATTATACCCGTCCCAAAGGAGACCGGAATTACCAGAGAGGATATCGCCTGGCGAGTGCTCTCCCGGGCAGATATCAAAGTCCATCCCTACAGCCGCAACTACCAGATCCTCCCTACAGACTGGGAATACCGTGAAGATAAGCGATGGCATATAGCCACTTATATCAACAATCTTCACCCGGTCAAGCACCGCAACATATACGAGCTTCTTGAGGAGTGTTTCAACAACATCATCCCTCAATGGAATGCAACGTTGACCCCCCTGAAAGACCAGCTCCATGCGCGTGCCCGCATCGAATATCACAAGGCGGAATATTATCCTATTTCGAAGGAGGTTGCGACACAGGCACCCCTGATAGGTCCCAAGGAGGCACAAAGCGAATTCGACGAGCGAAACGAAATATGGAGAATGGAGAACATTCGCGCTATTCAACCCGATGCAGGCAAATTTATTCCTTGGGCCGTTCCTCCTTGGATGATGGACAAGCTGCCCGAGGATCTACCTGCTCCTGTTCGAATTGAACGAGGCGTTGATCTTGTCCGCGACTACAAAGACCGAGGACTGCAAGTCATCACCCGTCTAATTGGCTGTGATCTCACCCCAGATGATCCGCATTTCGAGACAGACTGGCACGTCGAGGGTCAAATGGTAAGTATCAAAAACGGGCTTCCAATCCACGCCAGCACCACCAATGCATCTGATACTAACAACGGACCCCCAGAACGAACATATCTGCGCCTCCGCATTCCTCACTTATGAGCACGACAACATCGGAGACGCCACGATGGAATTCCGTAACATCGCCGAAACAGACTCACTGTCAGAGGTAGAGCATGACCCAAACGACTTCGTCTGGCTGCGCCAAGTCTTCGGCCTAGAGAACGGTGAGCCAGCTATCCAATGTCCTGGCCTGATCCGCGCCTGTCCTGGCCGAACAATCATGTACCCAAGCACCATTCAACATAAGTTCACGCGGTTCGAACTGAAAGACAAGACGAAGCCTGGCCATGGCCGTGCCGTCGTATTCTTCCTGGTCGATCCCAACATCCGGATTATCTCTACTGCCAACGTTCCGCCGCAGCGCTTGGACTGGACTATGAGTATGGAGTCGTCGGATGAGGAGCTTAAGAATTCGATGTCCAAGCTTGCCCTTGAAAATAGGACGTCTAAGGGGGATATGCCGCTTACTTTGGATGAGGCTTTGGAGCATCGGGGTAAATTCTTGCATGAGATTATGGAGTTCACGCAGTATCAGCATGTGGCTTTCGAGTCTAATATTTTGTCGCTTTAATTTCGGACTTTCTGTCTCGTTGGTCTGTTTTCTTGTTCTTACTCTTTCATTTCCAGATATTAGACAATTGTTCGAAAACGAGTCGTGTTTTGTCTGTTTTCATAGAAAAATAGAATGCTTTACAATGTAGGTGACAATTGAGGATGTCCTCGGTTCATATACCTCTACAGCCGTACCTTACCTCGCCTGATGTCATTTAATGTCTTTACAATTTCGATTACATGTCATAAGTGGAAAAAGTTGAACAAGAATAACAATAAAATCGCCGCGCTATGCCATTCATTCATAAGACCGAGTAAGTATGCACACATGACCCATTTTGAATATCCCAAACACCAACCAAAGTCCACCCCCATTCACAAGCTGTCTTTAACGACCCTTCATCTCAGGGAACTCATCATCAAGCTTTAGACGAGCCGTAACATTCATACTCATCAGCTCCTGAATAAGCAGCTTAGCAGCGTAAGGAATAACCATCTTCACAACAGAGCGAGAAGACTTGCAACCAGGACACCAGTTCAAGTAACCCATAAAGCCACAGTTCTCACAGACATCCACCTCGTGACGATCAGACGAGATCATCAATCGCTCAAGGAGCAACTGGCTGGTACCGTACGCAATCAAACAATCACGCTCCATCTCACCGAGACGGAGACCACCATCACGGGAACGACCCTCGGTGGGCTGGCGAGTCAGTGTAGCACGCGGACCACGGGCACGCGAGTGCATCTTGTCTTGAACCATGTGCTTCAGTTTCTGGTAGTAGATTGGACCGGTGAAGACGTAAAAGGGGAGTGCCTCGCCGGTGATACCGGAGGTGAGGTAGTCTTTACCACCGTAGCTGAAGCCCTTGTCGATGAGGATCTGGGACATTTCTTCGACGGGGCTGCCGCCGAAACAGGTGCCGTAGCCATGTTGGCCGGAAAGGACGCCTGCTTTGCCGGCGACTAGCTCCAGCATCTTTCCGACTGTCATTCGAGAGGGGAAACCGTGGGGGTTCATGATGATGTCTGGGTTGATTCCTTGGTCGCTGAACGGCATGTCGGCTTGATCGGCGATGATACCGACAACACCCTTCTGACCGTGACGAGAGGAGAACTTGTCGCCGACTTCTGGACGACGGGTTTGGCGGGTAAGGACCTTGATGAGTTGGGTTTCACCCTCTGTAGCTGAGACCATAACCTTGTCAATGTAGGCGGGGTCTGGGAGCTTGTAGGTCATGGATGCGTTGATGTACTCGTTTCTGCCAGCGTCGGAGCCCGTGATACCTGTTGAGTTTTGGACCTTGGGTGTGACCTTGTTAACGTAGGTTTCACCGGCGTTGACCTGCTCACCGACGGCGGCTAGACCGTCGTGCTCGAGGAGGGCATGCTTGCGGATTGGAGCGCCATTCTCGTACTCTGGTGGGCGGAGGTCGTCCTTTGATCCGTTGGAGTAACTCTTCAAGTTAGTGACGTACTTGCGGAAGACCTGGCAACGTCCGAAGCCGCGGTCTACAGAGCCCTTGTTAAGAACCAGGGCATCCTCAATATCGTAACCGGAGTACGACATTACAGCAACAGTTGCGTTCTGACCAGCGGGCAATTGGTCGTACTTGGTCAGCTCAATGGTTCGTGACTTGACCATTGGCTTCTGGGGGTAGACCATGAGGTAGAGGATGGAGTCAATTCGCTGGAACTGATTCGAAGCAATCGCACCGATTGCTTGTTTACCCATGGCACATTGGTAGGTGTTACGAGGAGACTGGTTGTGGTGAGGGTAAGGGATCAAGCCAGCGACAGCTCCGAGGACAGTGAAAGGTTCGATTTCGAGATGGGTGTGGGTGTTTCCAATATCCTTCTCGTAGATCGAGATGTAAGAGTCGTTCTCCTCGTTCACGTCAAGGTATTCGACGAGGCCTTGAGCAAGGAAATCATCGAATTCCATCTTGCCATCACGCAGCTTTTCGAGGTGGTGCTTTTGGACCCGAGATTTGCCATTCTCCACGACAATAAGGGGTCTGCAAATTCTTCCATCGTCGGTTGCCACATGGACAGCGCGCTGGTGGTGGTTGATGTAAATGCTGACGAATTCCGAAACACGACCCATGCGGCGCAGTCTTCGGAATGCGTTGAGGAAGGACTTGGGGCGTCTGGTCAATGCAGTGGGAGTACCGTTGATGGAAATAGTATAAGCACCCTTGGCATAGAGCTGCTGTCCACCGACAGTGGCGATATCTTCAACACCTAGCATGAACATCAAGTTCCGTACAGGTCCTTCTTCATCGTTGGTCGTAATATGCGTCATGAGAGCCAAGTTCTTGACCAAACCACAGGCCTCTCCTTCGGGGGTATCGGCAGGACAAAGCATGCCGAATTGGGATGGCTGCAAGGCACGAGGACCAGAGACCTTTCGGGTCTTTTCGAACTGACTGGAAATACGAGTCATCATACCAAGAGCAGCAATGTAACTCAAACGACTGAGAACGTGGGTGACACCTGCACGCTCCATGCGGAAACGCTTCAAACTCCAGTTACCGGTTGAGATGGCTCGGTTCATGCCCTGGGTGATGTGGTTTCCATGCATGGTCACGACACTCCAGGCATCGAACTGTTCAGCTCGGTTGCGCTTGTTCAGGACCTTGTCAATGTTCATCTTAATATCGAAGCAGAACTTTTTGAACAAATCTTCGAAGAGCAGAGCCAACATCTGGCCAGCCAACTCCAATCGCTTGTTACCCAGGTAGTCACGGTCATCCACCAAGGCAGGGTCGTTCTTGGCCATGAGAACGCGACGAGCCATGTGGGCGACATAAATAGCCTTGGGGCGGAAATTCATGTCATGAACCTCAATGTGAGAGATGATGACAGATGCGATGGCCTCGATTGCTTCTTGCACATGGGTGCGGCGATATGCGCTTTGTTTGCGGTTGATCTTGATTCGACAGCCGATCCAGTCGAGGGCTTGCTGTTGGGTGTGGATACCGACATTGATTGCCTCCTCGAAGTTGATCGCGAAATCATCCTGGTACAGACTGTCGTCACCAGTGACCATTTGCATCATCTCCTTATCGGTGTGAATACCCATGGCCTTCAACAGAATCACGATAGGGATGTCTTCATTGAGCACGTTGTGCTTGACGTAAAGTCTGCCTTTCTTCAGGACAATGTAACTCTTGGATTTACGCTCGTTGGAAGAACTAAGAAATATTAGCAGACGCACTCGACTGAAACAGTTGGACTATGCACATACCTGGTAACCGAGGCCTGGACAATTTCCTTCTTGGGGTCGGTTTCAACGATAATTCGATTCTTACTCAACTGCTCCTGCACGAGAATGACCTTCTCTGTTCCATTGACGACGAAGTAACCACCGGGATCCAGAGGACATTCGTTAAGAACACTCATCTGTGCAGGGGTCTTGTTCGCCAGCACACACTTGGAACTGCGAAGCATGACTGGCATTCTTCCGATGGAAACACCTCGTCGGATAACCCTTTGACGACCACGAACATACTCAAAGTCGACTAGAATGGGTGCAGCGTATGTAGTATCTCGCAGTCTGCACTCTTGGGGCGTAATCGTTGACTCGAATTCCAAACCACCATCGCCTTGCTCGTCAGCTCGTCGAGGCGAACCAACGTAGATGTCGGTAAACTTGATGTAAAAGTTGTGATCGATATCGCTGCGGATAGTTGAGCTCGACTCGACGATCTTCTTCAGTTGTACCTCCACAAAATAGTTATAGGAGTCAATGTGCTGCTTCACCAATCCTTTGACTTTGAGGAATGCGGGCAACAGGTTCCATTTATCCTTTGCGGTGTCGATTGGATCAGTCAGACCCTTGTTGTAGTAAAATGGTTCTAAGAGCGCATCAAATGGATCCCTCGGCTTGAACTTGGGAGCGTTTGGATCCGACTCTGGCTCCGGCTGCCGGGGAGGCTCAGGAACTGGCTTGGAGACGGAGGGGCGCTTTCTTTTTGTTGGATCGGTCGCCGATGCATTTCCAGCCTAGTGGAGTGTCAAAGCAGTCAGTGAATTGGTCGTAAATTGGAGACTCGCGACTCGAAAAAAAGTTTTGTTACCTCTGAGGGTCGTCGCGGCTGGCTGGCCGCAGAGGGCTGCGTCCTCTTGCGCGGCGGCATTTTGAATAGACAGTGGATGTGCAGGGAGATTGATTCCAGGTAAAATCGAATCAAACCACACAAATGTCTGGACCGAAGCTCGCGAGGTGGTTTCTCGTGGAGGGGAAAGATTTGAGTAATTTGGAGATTGCTTATTAAGCTGCGGGCCGGAGCTTGCTGCAGCCTGAGGCAGAACTTTATACTTGGCGGCTCTAATTTGCACAGATCGGGACATTGCACAAAATGGGAAAGAATTCTGATAAATTTGGAGATTCGATATAACCTTATGTATGTAGTATCTCTTGAATATCAATCCAGAGTTGTTTGGACTATATTGTGTAGAAAAATAAGGCTATGAAAACTCTGGCTTTAGAGATATATTGTGCACCACAGTACTGTCCTGCTATCCAAAAAACGCTCTAATTAAGATCGTGATGGCCTGAAAACGTAAATAAAAAAATAAAAATAAAAAAACCTTATTAAAAGCATCGAAACGAATAGCTAAACCCCCACATTTCCGAGTGTTCAATGCATATTGAAGAACCGGAGTAAACCAGTCTTAACTCCGAGATCCAAGCAGTCAAAGGGATGTAGAGTAATACCAGCAAGATTATAGACCGCTGATTCAAAAACAACTTGCACTATCTTAAATTCTGTTGAGCGCGCATCATTAGGTTCTGCAAATACCTGCAAGGTTGTTGAGACCTGTTCATCGACTTGGTCCTATTAGTGGGTCTTTGTGCATGCATGTACCTAGTACGCACATGAACGTCCAGCCCCAGCTATGCATGCATCTACGCGACAGCTTCCTGACTGAGCCATTGGTGCTTGAGATGCTCAAACGGGATGCCTCATTGCCAGCTTTATGGAGCGAACCATGCCCGATATGACAGCCATTTTTGACTGTAGATATCATCTCGATGCTTGGAGGCTTGGCTTGTTAGTTTCAGAGTTGTGTGAGATGATTGTACTTTTCTCAGTCTTAATGACATTATTGAGGCAGTCTGCATAAAGATATCCGGGAAGGGATGGTGTATCATCGCCAATCTATACAAGTCTACATCGCCGAGGGTTGACGAAAATGTCTAGGCATAGTATTCACGACAATACCAATTGTAGTAGAGCAAAGCCTTAGACCAAGTGTGGGCACGTGGCTGCGAATCGCTCCTGCGCTGCGGCGCATTTTTCGGAGGGAAGTGATTTGGGACTATCAATGCGGCTGTATCTGATAAGAAGACATTATAGACTTCTGGAAATTGGACCTGAAGATAAGACGTGATTCAAACTACTATGGATGAATGGATAGATGGATAGATGAACGCAAGCCGCAATGAGGTTTTGGATAATATGGAAGTCATACGGCTGGGCTTTTGTTTAATACAGAAGCCAGAGAAAGGGAAGAGAAGGACAATGTTCAGCTCCAAGATGGGATTTCCAGGACATGGATGTCACTATCGTGGGGAACAGTTTCAAGGTGTCCTTGGCGCGTATCAGCGCTTAGATATGATTCAAATCCAGGCGAATCGGACGACACTGGCACCAATGACGTTTTCTGATAGATCGGAGGAACTAAAGATGCAGAAGTGGATTTGGGCCTGAAGGACGACCGATGTTGGGGAAGAGTGATTTTGCGGAGGCTGGGGATGGCAAGGCAGATTTGGTTGGACACGGATCGAAGAACCCTCAGATCCATTCTACCTTGGGATGGTTTGAGTTATCATAGTTTCGGATGTGGAGAGATGAATCAATACTTTCTTATTGCCAGGGTTGAAAACATCACAAAGCTTCATTTCTACTAATCTTGACACAATACTCTCTACTTTGACGTCATTTCATCTGCACGCCCAAGAAAATCACAGAAACAGCCGATCCAGCCTGACCATAGCTGAATCATGCTGTTGCGTACGTATCGCCCTAATGTATATCTACCTCGCACAACAAAGGAGCTACATTATCTGGCTCCCAGACTTACAGCGATTATCCTGTCAGTTTACACATCAAATCGCGAAGAGAGCACTAAACTACTGCAGCATGCATAAGCATCCAGAATTGACATTTTGATCTGATCTATAGAAAACCCCAGGGTCTGAAGAAGCGGTCACGTACATGTATATTTAGAAAGCGCTAGTACTAGTGTTAGCATGATCAAGGGTACTCTGCACATGTATTGATATACATCCATACAGTATACCACAGTCACACTACACCTGTGGCACTGACAGACATCTCGATCGGGCGCGGTACCAGAGACCAGCGATTGAACAGAAAGATATTTATGATGTCTGTGACAAAGGGTTAGATTTGACCGTAACCTCGAATTCGCCACCGAGGCCAGAATACTCCGCAAGGAAGGGCGGAAATATTTATCCGACTCGGGAATGTTGGTGCAAGTATAATATGGGTCTGGGCTAGTTACGAGGTACAGTAGTGCGAAATAAAAACAAAAGCAAAAAAAAAGACAACGTATCCCGATCTACACGTGGTTGGTAGGGCAGGGGTTATCATTTACAAGTACGATACACGGTATCCGAGGAGATCAGAGGCTATCATGCTAGTAAGAGGCGATGTGAAGAGACCGGGGGGGGGGTATAGTCTAGAAGGTCTATTACCCGTGCAGTTGCAGTTGCAGTTGCAGGGCCGGGGTTGGGGACCGGTTTCATAATATTTGCCATCGTACTTGTATTTTGGGGGCGATGATCATAATGGGCTCTAATAAGGGTCATTGACCAGTAAGGTATTGTGGATCGCGAGTCTATCGAGGCAGCCAGTCAATTGTTCCGGGGGCGTCAGGCATTGGGCACGAAAGAAAGGCGGTAATTAAATTTGGGGATTTGGGCGTCAAGTGGGTTCTCTCGACAATAGAATGAATCTGAATGCATAGTAGTTGGGGTTGGATGTATCACTTGAAGATACTGTTATGCTATGTATAGCCAGCACAGACCCTATCAAGTTCCTTGCTCAGATCGGAATTCTAGAAAAGAGGAGGGGTAGAAAAGTGGCTACGAGAAGATCCCCGTAATGATTGACTGGGGTTCGCATGCTCGTCATTCGGTGGATCAGGGGCTCCAAGCGATGCGATCCGCGCTGCCACTTACATGTACACCGCTTGTCTGAGGGTGAGCCCTTATCAGCCGAGGTGGGGGGAGGGGGATGAGTCAAAGTAGAATAGAATAGAATAGAATAGCTAAAGGGATAGTAGAAAAGATAGGACAGGAGAATAAGACAGTGTGTATAAGTTTCAGTGTAGACCAATAGATGATAGATGACCCATGGAACAGACAAAGAAACCCGTCACGAACCAGAGTCACGCGGGATATGAAATAGGGGCTTGGTATAAGCGTATTTTGCACTCATATCTACCATATACCATCTACGTATCTCCAATCTACTATCTACTAATCCAGGAACATAAGCGCCTAACCTCCTTAGAGGGCGATCCGCTGTCACGTCTTCGGGCACTTCTCCACTTCCTACTGCAGATGCCACGCTCTGAACAGCGCATTGAAGGTCCCCCTTGCGCGAGAGGCCTTTGCACTTTCCATTCCCAGCCCATCTTCCAATTGACCATTCGTAGCCAACTGAACACTTCGCTAGAGCTGTCCCATGTCCTATACCCCAGGCTCTTCCCAGAACAAATGCGTTCAAGTAGTACAGAGACCACACATTCACCAATCAAATACAGCCTCGAACAATATCCGAGTAACTTCTGGATGTTGATCATCTGCTGTGCTCGAATTGCGCCTATGATAGCGGTTCTACATCTTGTACCGGAGAGAGGAATTGAAAACCAAGAATAAATCCCCCCTTTTTAGATAGATTAGAAACAGCATTGCCACTAAGTCTAGTGAAAAAAATAAATAAAAAAAGAATGGTGAACAAGGAATAAAAAGAGGGAAAAAGAGGGCAAAAAAAGAAAAGGGCCCATAAGCCAAAAAAGGTATCTCCCCGCTCTGCTCTGGACTCCCAGCCCTTTTCCCCCCCTCTCCTTCCCAACTCCCTTTGTACAACAGTTTTGTCTTCTTTTAGTGTATGCTAACATTCGTTTCGTCCTTGGTAAGTCGCTCCTGGTTCATGTTCACCACAACGGTCCCCCCCCTCCTCCCCCCGACTTGCTGGCTAATCCTGATCGCGTCTGCAGTGCCGACGTGTTTGCCTCCCGAAACCTCTCTTAGATGCCCGGCACCTGTGTTCGCATAGGATTCCCATCGCCGACCTGATTTTTCTCTCGAGGCGTTGATTGTGTGAGTCGGACCCAGTTCGCGCAGATCATCTCCTCCCCTCACCCCCTCTCAAGTTCCCCTTACTTGAGACCGAACGAAGCACACCGCCAGCCCTGTTTCCCCCTCCCCTCTATAATTCGGACATTTCCCTGCCACCAGCTGCAGCTTGTCGTCACATCATCCGGGGCTGGTCGTGATAGCTGCTCCTAAGAAAAGCTCTCGAAAACCTCCCTCTCCGCCTAGTTTCGAAACTCCCCGTATGCTGACTGGACCGTTGGAGGTGTAGTTTGGACAATTCGGCCCTTGCCCACGATGGCCTTCAAACACGGGCTTAGTGAGCGCCTCGACGAGCTGCGATTCCCGTCTCCACGATCCCCGCCCTCGGAATCTGCGTTCCCCGGATATAGCTCGCTTTCGCCGGGTCATTCGAACTTTGTATCGGGCTTCTCGTCTCGTCCGGCCGGTGATGTTCGTGCCAATCTCCAGCGCCGTTTCACCACCGATTCGAGCAAGTTTTCGTCATGGAATTATCTAAATCAGGGCCCGAGCTCGGGCCCTGCGCAGGATCCTTTGGATCTGTTGTCTTCGGTGAGCTTCTATCTCTTTTAGCTATATTTCACATATCTTGAATTTGAAGATTATTGGTCTGGAGGGCTTGATTTGGGACTGGGATGCAATGAGCGGCACTTGGATCGTGAGCATCACGGAGCACAGCTTGTTTCGCAGCAAGCTTGCCATGTGCGATCTCGAGGTTGTTGACGTGAGCGACGTTTCTATGAACGACATTTGAGTTGTGAGAAGCGCAGACTGCCCACAGACTGTCTTGCTAGCAGATATGACAAGAGACAACAAGACATGGCCAACAGGCATGTTAGAACTTGCCTTTGCCACAGCTCTGCGGTGTGTGAGCTCGGGGCTTTCATGGCCAGCAATGTTTCCATGAGCAGCATCAGCTGCGAGAATGGCTGGTCATGGCAGTTTTGCCACAGGCTTGTTGATGATCTTGAGAGAAGTTTTGATGAGCGACATCTCAGCTGTGAGAACGAAGAGTTTCGCCTTGTTTGTCCAAAATCAAGCTCGAGATATTCGTCACTTTACCGCGAGTTTCCCGCTCACCACACCACACATGCTCTTCCCTTGTTCTCTTCCCACTTGCCCTCTTCCATCTTCCCTTCTACATCTCTCTTCATCACAGCCTCCACACCAAATATCTCTATTCATCTTTATCTGCATTCATACCCTCATATCCTCAATACCATATTCTTGCCTCTTTGCGCCTCAAGGGATTTGGATATATTGATCTCTGCCCCGTGGTCCAAGAGAGCCTCTGTCTACCAGAAGTTGTTCTTCGTACCCCGCAGTCGAGGTTATATCCCCTAGGTTCTCGCTCTGATCATTTTTCTATTCTTCTGCCTCACACTTCGAAGGCGTGGCGTTTGTCCCTGCTAAGGTGTGAAATGTTTGCTCTCCCTCCATCCATCACCAGCCCAATTCCCATCCCCCTTGTTAGTCATATTGTCACTTCCATCACAATTCCCATTTTGGTCTCGTTTCGTTCGAGACTGGCGAGCGGTGTTGCCTTGTGCGGGTTTGACATTTGCGGGCTTGTCTGGCTTGTCCATGATCCAACCCTGCTGTCATTTTTCGTCAGGCCGTTCAAGACTCCGTTCAAGACTCCGTTCAAGACTCCGTTCAAGACACTCCATTCATTACACTTCGTTAAGACACCTCGTCCAAGACCCATTGGAGATCAGTTGAAGCCCCGTTCAAGACCGGTTCAAGACCCCGTTGCACGGGCTTCGATCGTCACTTGCGTCGGCTTCGGCCATTACTTGTGCGGACACCGACCAACAAATCTCCGGGCTCGACGACTCACTTTCACGGTTACAAATCGTCATGTCGCGTTCGAACCCCCGAGATGCGGAACGTGAAAGACTTACGGCCAAAGAATCTGCTCATTGAGTCTTGAACGGCGGATGTCTTGAACGTTCAATAAAGCCTTCTCCCACTTCTCCCATTTGAATAACACACAAAACACAAACTACCATGCAGACGATATCCTTTTACCTTTCTCCCTGCAATTTTTCATGGTAAAATTGTCATTACAGACATTGATCTGACTTCTCCAGCAGTTTGAAAAGAAACGTCAACATCTGGAATACATGCGTGAACAGAAACGTCGATTTGAGGAAGATATGAAGATGTTGGACCTACAACATGAGAGGGAGAAGCTCGAGATGGACCAGCTTGCTCGCGACCTGGCCAAGGCTGGACTTTCTGGTCCGGTCAGCGAGCCAACTACCCCGCCAGAGTACCGCGAGAGCAACATGTCCAACGCGTTCAACCGCCCTGCTCGCTTCTCTACCTCGAGTGTCACCTCTTCGCCTGGTTTCTTTAGCGCGTTTGCTCCCTCCAACTTGACATCTCCTCAAGCACCATCCCACTCTGCGCACCAGTCGGTCGACCGCTTTGCTGGTCATTCAGTTCCTGGCTCCCGTCGCAACTCTGAGAAGGACGATTTCCTTGCTGAGCCTTCTTCGCCGTTCCGCCCTGCCCCTTCGTGAGTGGCACCATATATCTAGGCCTTACTTTATGTTTACTTAACTAACAATTGCTTAGTGCCCACCGCTACTCGCTGCCGTCGAGCAACCTGAACGGCCACGCTCGGTCCAATGTCTCGGGCTTTAACAACGGCTCTGGTATCGACTCTTTTGCCGCCGCCAAATACCTTTTCCCCAGTGACGAGGAAAAGTCACACGGCCCTCTCAAAGATGTTGATCGCTTGTCTACTCCGGATATCAAGAGTTACATCAAGATGACTGAGACAGATGATAAATTCCCTACTTTGTCCCGCCGTGGTGGTTCAAACCTCGTGAGTTTCTTTTCACAAATGAATTCAAGAACTTTCTAACTTCCATTTCAGCTGTCTGCTAACCCGGATGCACTTGATCTTGCCAACTCACGCACTCCTGGACCTGAGTCTTATGCCAATCACAACCGGCACCGTTCATCCCATCAGAGTATGCCGCAGAATATCTCGGGCTTGATGCGCATGGAGCAGCTTAGCAGCCCTACCCCCGATGACCACGGTAGTTCAACCCACGCGCCACGCCATATTGCTCGTCACTCCCTGGGAAGCAACATGTCCTTCCAGGATGAACGCCACGACGAGACCGCGACTCCTGTTCCGTCCAGTCGCCCAATGGCTCAGTCCTCATACTCAACTAACGATCTGCCCACCGTCAAGGGTAATGGAATCAGCAATGCCGTCACTCCTCCGAAAAACCACACGGATCACATGCACCACCACAATGCAAGCATGGGACGCATTCCCCAGAATGTAGTGAGCAACCGCCAGGGCAAGGATTCTCCAGAAGCAGATGACACCAAGCTCCAGAACGGCTCAGCTTCTCAGACAACCCTACAAGCCAGTGCTGCGCCTTTCGGACCCCAGCTTACATCGGCTGTTTCCAACAATGTCCCTGGCCCGGTCGCTCCAATGGCTCTGCCTTTCCAGGTCCCGGCTTACAACTATGCAATGCAACCCTACGCCCCCCAGAGCCACCCTACAGGCCACATGTCTACCCTTTCCGCCGGTTACAATGGCTATCCTGCCTACCCTGGCTCTGGTTTCCGCTTTTCTGAGAACAATGCTCGAGGTGGCATGGCTACACGTCGCCAGGAGACTGACGCGAGTCAGCTCACACGATTTGGCAATTTCCCTTTGGAGCACTACAAGGGTGAGCTGTACAGCTTGTGCAAAGACCAGCATGGCTGCCGGTACCTGCAGCGCAAATTGGAGGAACGTAACCCGGAGCACGTGCAGCTGATCTTCAGCGAGACATATATGCACGTCATTGAACTCATGACTGGTATGAATTTAGTTTTGCCCTTCTACTTTTCTGATGATGGCTAACTGTTCTCTTATAGATCCCTTCGGCAACTATCTCTGCCAGAAGTTGTTGGAATTCTCCAACGATGAACAGCGTACTACCCTGATTGACTATGCCTCTCCACAGCTGGTGAAGATTGCTCTTAACCAACATGGAACCCGTGCGCTGCAGAAGATGATTGAGTTCATCTCAACTCCTCAACAGACTCAGACTGTGATCAAAGCATTGAAGCGCGATGTTGTGGAGCTTGTGCAGGATCTCAATGGAAACCATGTCATCCAGAAATGTCTCAACCGCCTTTCTCCGGAAGATGCTGAGTTCATCTACGAGGCTGTTGGTGGCAACTGCGTGGTCGTTGGTACTCATCGTCATGGATGCTGTGTTCTTCAGCGCTGCATTGACCATGCTTCTGGTCAGCAGAAGGCTCGTCTGATTGCTCAAATTACGTCGAACTCCTTCACCCTCATTCAGGATCCGTTCGGAAACTATGTTGTGCAATATATTCTGGATTTGGCTGAGTCTCAGTTCACCAATCCTCTGTGTCAGACCTTCGGAGGAAACATTCCTCAGCTGTCCAAGCAGAAATTTAGTTCCAACGTGATTGAGAAGTGTCTTCGCACTGCTGATAACTTCATGAAACGCCAGATGATCGACGAGATTCTTCGGGGCAATGAGCTTGAGAAGATGTTGCGTGATTCCTTTGCAAACTACGTTGTGCAGACTGCCATGGACTTCTGTGATGCCGAGACTCGCAATCGCATTGTCGAGGCCGTCCGCCCCATTCTCCCGTCTATTCGCCAGACACCCCATGGCCGCCGCATCGCTGGTAAGATCATGGCTGCTGATACCACCGCTAGTCGAAGCAGCAACAGCAGCACTGCCACCAGCGGCCATGTGACTCCCAATGAGATGGATAACACCTCTCAAATCCCAAAGTCCCTACTCCAGAAGCCTTTCATGTACCAACAGAACGGTCAATCCTCCGGCATCCATTCTCCCACCTCGTCCAGCGGATACAGCTCTCAGACCTATGTCCCCCACTCTTCTCAGAGTTCGGTCTCCAACACTCCCTCTGGACACAGTGAGAGCTCTTCTGTTTACTCCGCTCCGAGCTCGCAGCCATCTGTCAATCTCGGCTCGCAGAGTCAGCTTTTCACATACATCTAATTGGTCCTGATCAGCCCAATTAATGCATGTCTTCGACCCAAGTGTACCCATAGTGAGACGATGCGACGAAATCTTTCTTTTTTTTTTCACGACTTTACGGTTACTTTTACAACGCTGTCATCAGACTGGGCCAAACTGCATATGCATTGATCATTTACCCGTGAATTCTCACTTGCGTTTTTCTGCGTCGACGTATGAAACAATGTGTCATGATCATTGCGTTTGTCCATGTTGCATATTGCATTTCATAAAGCGACCCAGCATGAAGACTTCGGAGCCTTGCCCAATTTCTTGCTCCTCTCCTTTCCCCTCTTGTACTTCACGTTCCCTTTGTTTGTTCCAGTGTTTAGCTCGGGCCTTGGTATCTTGCGATAGTTTTAGATTGTTCCCTTGAACGACCTAGCACTCTGTGGTCCTTGGATTACTTAAGGACCAGGCTAAGCACAGGTTTTCTTTCATTATTATCTTCTTCGCTTCCCCATTGTGATTTTCTACTCATCTTTACCCTGCTTTTCGCTGTACTTTTGCGCTTTTCTTTTTCTTCCAGCTGCATTGTGTTGTGCCTGTTACTTCTCATCGGTTCATCGTCGAGTAAGCTGCACCAAATATCGATGGGAATGGCCTTGGTGCCTTTCATGCATTGATAACTCGGTTGTTTGGGGTCGGTTTACTTGTTTTTCAACATCGGAGATGGCCTTGTCGATTGCCGTCTTGATGCATGTTCCTGCACACACGTTCTGCATGTATTCTAGCGCTGGGAAGCGAATCCGGTTTCCACATATTCTTTTTTCTTTAAGTAGACACGTAATTCCCTCCGTGTAAATGTAGTGCTTTCGCTGACATGCGCGATGATTTCGGCGCGAACGCGCGGTCACGTGTCAACATAGGAGCCGCCCTTTCCATCGGAGCTTCAATTTGCAACCTCCATTTGACATCAGATCATCCTGCAACACTGTAAGCAGGAAACCCCTGATCCTTGATGCTTCCAATTGAGGTTGGCCGCTCACTGGGCTCACAGTGGCCCTGCCGCGACGTCCAGGCGCGCCAGCTTGCCAGTCTTTTAAGTGTGAGTTTACGGTAGCAAGCCCGCGAGCTCCGCAATTCCACCGAAGCCATTTAGAAGGACATTTACTGACTTTGACTGTTGCTTGAAATAGCCTCATGTCCCTAGCCCCCCAACAATCGTTGTTCACGGCATCTCTGCGACCTGCAAATCCACTATACTCCGCGGTGTTCTCTCTACCCTTGAAGTGCCACACGCCATTATCCGCAGCTCGGAATGTATCACAGGCCGACACCTTCTGACGAAGATCCTCTGGAATACACTTGATGCCCTGGGCCAGAAGGAAGAGTGGGAGAAAGCCGGCAAGGGACGCTGCGAGCACATCAGTGGCCTGGCTGTTCTGCTGGAGGAGTGTTTGGCAGCGCGGACTTCCGATACCTCCAAGAAATTTGTCTTGGTGCTTGATGAGATTGACAAACAGCGAGAGGCGCCACACACCTTGCTGTCGGCGCTGGCACGGCTAGGAGAGATTGTAAGTAAACCGAGTGCTTTGCGCTGTTGTTACTTGTGGGAAATGTTGCGACTAACCTGTGCATTTGATAGATTCCTTCTCTCTGTGTCGTTCTTGTTCTCAGCTCAACACCGCGGCCCCTGTTCCTTCAAAGTGCTGCGGTTCCCCATATCAGCTTTCCTCCGTATACACGCAAGGAGGCCATTGATATTATCCTCACCTCCAATGCGCCGGTCGTTGATGGCCTGCCTGATGAGACTTCTCTTCGGGTATATCCATACTTCGTTTTTACGGTCTACGACTCCCTGATTGGACCGACGGCAGGCTCGATCCCAAACTTCAGATCTATCTGCGAAAGGCTATGGCCCAAATTCGTTGCGCCTGTGGTGAACGGAGAAGCACCTCCTGGAGGAAACACGGAGTGGGATTTCTCGAGATTGCTGGTCAAGAACAGATCAATCTTCCGGCACCAGGGCGAATCAGCGCTGGTGCACCGCATTGTGCCCGAAGAGACCTCGACAGCCATCACGAAACAAAAGACTCCATTGTCAAATGTCACCATGATGCCCTCAGCCCTCCCATCCCTCCCCTACTTCTCAACCCTCATCCTCACATCCGCATACCTAGCCTCCCACACCCCCCAGCGCCTAGATACAATCTTCTTTTCCAAATTCTCCTCATCCTCCCTCTCAGCCCGAAACAAGCGAGCCCACCACCGCCGCCGCCTGAAAGTCCTCTCCCAAGCGCAAGCAGAAGAAAGACAAGCAGCAAACGACGACCCTTCAACCCCAAACAAACGAGGAAAAGGAAAGCGCACAAAAACCCGCATTACAAAATCAACCCTCTCGTCCGCCTTCGCAACCTCCTCAGCCACGACCTCCGCTACAGGCAGTGGTTCCGGTATAACCGGCCCGTCAACAATCCTCACAGCCCGCTCTTTCCCTCTGGAACGTCTCCTAGCAATCTACCATGCCATCGACCCAAATCCACCCGCCACACCTCTCCGCGTTGCAGCAGTCGCGGATCGAATCTACGCTGAACTCGCTACACTTCGTCGTCTGCGTCTTGTTGTCCCTGCTGCTGGGCATAATGGTGCTGCTAGTAGTAGTGGAAATACTACTGCTGACGCGGGTGATAAATGGACTGTCAATGTCTCTGGGGAATGGGTTGGTGAGCTTGCTAAGGGTATCGGTGTCGAGGTTGGGGAGTGGCTTGCTGGTGGTTTGGATTGAATTGTTGGTTTTGGTTCTTTATGCATTTATTCTGCGGAGTGCTCCATTGTATTGCATTATCTCATATTACCTTGCGTTGCATTTTCCGTTGGGATTGCAATTTATACCCATGTTCATCTTTAAACTCGATCTTACTCATTTGTAAAATAGTAGACTCGAGTATTCCAGTTGTAAGAGTTAAATGCACCCTACGATTGCTCCCATTGAGGCGAGTCCAAGCGAACTTCTACCTCATCTCATGGGTAAATATGACAATATCAAGTGAAAGAAGTGAATATAGATTGCATGAAGGTCAGTACGTAAATTCTTTCAAATTATTGTAAAAACAAAAACTGAAAAAGCCCTCGGGCGCCGAAAGCCCCAGGGATGTGACCGAACAAAAATTAATCTGACAAGAAAAACCAAAGAGAAAAAGTCGCCGCAGGGAAACAGACCCACGAACCAGAAAACCGCAGGATATCACGCACGCCAAAAGACAACCCAGAATACTGAACGCCCTCCAAATCACCAGCTCCACTGATCTACAACGCCGTCAATGCCAACCAGCATACTCAGCGTCTCAGGTCCCTTCCACGCCGGGGAATCGTTGCCAGCCTCGAAGCTTACACAACTCGGAGTGGACTTGTACCTGTGCTGGCTAAGAGGGGAGGGAACCTGACGCCCGGTGTGGAGAGAGAAGACTTGGACGGTGTTGTCAGGCGAGGCTAAAGTCAAAAGTAAGTAAACAATTCATTCAAATGCAAGATAAGGATGACCTGATATATAGGTCAGGAAACATACGATTTGCAAGGAGTCCCAGATCTGGACTGATGTCTATAGTTGGCATTGGCAGTGGCAAATAGTTCTGGAAATGCAGGTAGGGCCGAGTCGCATCTGAGTTGGCGATCAGCGGCTTCTTGTGGCGCTCAATATCCTTAGCACCATTTGGAGCATAACGCAAGTCAAACATGTGCAGCTATTGTTTGTCAGTCAACATTCTAGGTATGATACGTAATTCATGGAAAGACAAGAAGGAAATGAGCTGCAAACATACATAACGAGGGCCAGCGGCGACGATTCGCCAGTCGTCCACCTTTCGAAGTTGCATGGCCGAGTCGGAGTGCTGGAAATGATTCGTGCTTGTGCCAGTTCGCAGGTCGTTGAAGAGAATGGCCCCGTTCTTCCGACCGGACATAATAACATCCTGGTTGAGCCATTCGACAGAAACAACACCGTTTTTATCGGGCCACCAGCGCTTCTTCATCCCGGGAAATCTCGGACCAGTTTCGATCTCGTGCTTCTTCATTAGCCAGCTGTTCTCGCCACCGTGGATGGTATGGAGGCCCTCTGAAGCGGCAATGGCGAAGACGGGATCTGTGGTTGAAGGGCATGCTGCAGTATCCCAGAAGGTCATTGGGTGCGCTGGGGTGATGCGAGTTGGTTGAGCAACTGAATGAGCTTGTATTAGCTTCGCTCTATAGGCGAGCTTGTGGGAGATGACGTACTTGTCGGCCAGTTATAGCCGCCATCGTTATCTGGAGCAGGAAGCCAGTGCATGGAGAAAAAGCACGCGCCATCTGGGCCGTCGTCCATTGTTGCCCTGGAGGTGTTAGTTGATAATCTGTATAATATTGACTTGGTTCGAAAAGCATACAGTAGACAGTCAGTTTGGCTGAGAGACATCGAGGCAAGCTAAAGAGGCTGTCAGTAACGTTGAAATTTCCATTGAGACTGGATTGACTGACCCGGTAAGGCTCCCTGAAGAGAAGACGCTCCATCGTGTGGTTGTAAGACCATTGCTCGTCTTCAATGTCTGGAAAGCAAACCCTGCTTGGTAGTAAGTATCGAGAACGGTTTGTTTATTTGAAAAAGATTCACTCACGAGACGGAGGATTCTTGTCCGCGAGCCATGCCTTGGAAACTGTATCAGTAACGTGAAAGCCAAGAATTTGGAGGGTAATTTACTGGCAATCAAAGTTCCAGAGCGTGGGTTGCGCACGACCTGTCGAATCGTGTTCGCCCTTGGGTAAGGCTCGAACTTGTGTAGTTCCTCTCGGTGCAGTTGGCTTGCTTGGAGACGGGAATACTTCTCACGCATTGCACCACCGGGCATCTCGAGCCCAATCTCTCGATGAACAGTGACCAGGGGCTGTGCCAAAGCGGCACCTCTGGTGACCATCTCATTGGCCGTGCGCTGAGCGAGTTCTTCCTTTCGCTTACGTCTCTGTATTCCCAGTTAGCGAACGGAAATATCATGAAGAGCTAGAAGAACTACGATCTGGTCGCTGGCCTTGCGCTTCAGCACCCTGGCAGAATATTGTGCACCGGGAGGGGCAACATGGTCAGCCTGGACCTGGAAATATTTCTTCTTATCCTCATCTAGAAATCAAAGAGGTGAGCGTTGGGACTTGGTGGAGAGGAAGAGTTGGGTAGAAAGCAAGTGCAGATCGCGATATATGAGAAAGAAATGAGACAATTCGATAGGAGAAAAAGTCGACATGTTGTGGTCTCACTTCCGATGGAGGGCTATACTGCAACTGAGGGCAAACAACTCAAGTCCGACTCACCATAATAGAAGCCAGGAATCTTTGGGGCCATGATGCTTGGCTCAAAACGCGGAGATTAATGAAGGCAACGTTATATCAGGATGCATGTAGGAAGGAATGAACAATGTACGGAGCGGCCATCGAGGTTTTATGCCGGCAAGATATTGCAATGATCAACAGTCTTCCTCTGTGCCTTTTGTGGGAAATCTATGGAGCAAGACCCCAACAAAGCAATTAATTTAAACAGCAGATTGAAGCAGAAGCCATCAATGTAAAAACTGCAAAGCCGAAGGCTTTGAAGTGACGTGAAGATATTAGTCAGCTTCCGCCTCAGGCGCCATTTTTGATCCGCCCTTGCCCTAACTTGAGGGGAGTTGGGGACCTTCCATCATCTTGCTCTTCCAAGTGTAGGTGAAGGAGTCTGTCCACAGAAAATACACTGAAGATATAGTATCCCCCGATGCAGCTTATCAAACACTAGAGTTGGAAGCAAGGCAGAAAAGCATTGCATTATCACATACATTCTAAAATATGAATCGCTTCTGGAAAGCCCATGTACTGATAATCGTGGGGATCTGTATTCGTTTAATATTTCTTGCTGTCGACGATCTGGGGATTGAAGTCCCAAGGCCCAAGTGAAAGATATTGCTTATGTCGTCGACAGGTCTGACTTTCCAGATTTGCCAGTCTTACGAGTCATTCAAGGTCTCGACGTGTTTGTCTAGTGCTATTGATGATTACAACCGGAAGGAAGCTGTACGGATGATTTTACCACTGGGTGCTCGAATATACTATACAGAGAGCATCCCAAACAAAGTCGATACATCATGTAATCCCATCAGAGACGATGTCTTTCAGGCATTGAAACTGCCGTTGGAGGCCGCCATTCTAGTGGTGTCTTCCATCGCTCCTTCGACTTCGATGTCGATTCTCCTTTTCTCCTCCCCCGCATACATCAACTGTATCTTCTTAAGCCCAAGAATTCCATCACTCTCGTGCGGTCGGAAAATTCATGCTACTTTGATGTGAGTTGTTCCTTTTTCTGTTTTGGGTCCATCTCCATGAGACCGGGGCACAATGGAGCAAGCAAAGCAGCATTCGATTTTTGAACTGGTTGCATGTTGTGACCAATTCATTTGCTCTGCAACACTCTCATCCCATGGACTGCAGCTGTCCGTCTTTTTTCGTGGATGCTAACTTTCTTCCAGTATCAGCAGCAGCTCGCCCAGCATGCCGAGGCCTGCGGTTGATCTATCGGATCCTCGCAACAGGGCGCTCCATAGCAACCCAGTCGAGAACTTCCATGGTGAAGAAGACAAGGTTGACAGCCTCAATGATCATGACAGCTTCCACGATCGCCTCTTTGACATCCCCAAGCATGCAGACGCCCTTGGCGGCGTTTCCCCCAAAGATGACCCCATTCCAAGCGATAATTCGAGCGTCCTCGGTCAGCTGGACCAGCCCGAAACCGAACAGTCTTTGAACTTCCTCATTGACGAGCTTGATGCGGAAGATGGCAAGGAGCCTGACCATGATGCGGCGTCAATCCATGCTGGCCATGCTCACGAAGTCTCTTATTCCTGGCTCGGTACCAGCCTCGAGGATGGTCTTAACAACGAGGAGGTGACTGTTCGACGCAAGAAGTACGGGTGGAATGTCATGAAGGAAGCCAAGAGAAACCACTTACTCAAGTTTCTTTCATTTTTTATGGGCCCAGTTCAATGGGTCATGGAGGTAAGCGACTCTTCTCCGATATGCCACGGTCGATAAACACATGCTGATCATATTCTTTTCCCCACAGGCTGCTGTCATACTTGCCGGTGGCTTGCAAGACTGGATCGACTTCGGTATCATTTGTGGCCTGCTTGTTCTCAACGCCACTGTCGGTTTCATTCAAGAGTACCATGCAGGCAACATCGTTGATACTCTCAAGAGGTCTCTTGCACTCCGAGCCCAAGTCATTCGCAATGGTCATCTGGTAGAGATAAATTCCGCGGAAGTTGTGGTCGGCGATGTGCTTCATGTAAAAGATGTGAGTGTATGAGGATCAATGTCACTGTGGCCAGCAACTTACATTTGCTTTAGGGCACGATTATTCCCGCCGACGGAAAACTTGAATCTCAAAACGCTTATATCCAGGTTGACCAGTCCAGCATCACGGGAGAGTCTCTTGCAGTCGATAAGCACAAAGGAGATGTTTGCTATGCTTCATCTGCCGTCAAGCGTGGGACTGGTTTGATGATTGTGACTGCCACCGGCGATCATACATACGTCGGAACTGCGGCTGCCCTGGTCAACAAGGCTTCCAATAACGTTGGACACTTCACTCAGGTGCTAAACGGGATGGCGCATATTCTGCTGATCTTCGTTATTCTCGCACTCCTTGTGATCTGGATTGCCAGCTATTATCGTTCGAATGGCATTGTACAGATACTAGAGTTTACCCTCGCAATCACCGTCATCGGAGTGCCAGTTGGTCTTCCTGTGGTAGTTACCACTACAATGGCTGTGGGTGCAGCTTACTTGGCCAATCGCAGAGCAATTGTGCAGAAGTTGTCAGCCATTGAGTCGCTAGCTGGTGTTGAAATTCTTTGTTCCGACAAAACAGGAACATTGACTCGGAACAAATTGACCCTTGGGGAGCCATATACAGTTACAGGGATGACAACAGAGGATCTGATGTTGACTGCGTGTCTGGCAGCAACTCGAAAGTCTGGCGGAATTGATGCCATCGACAAGGTGTTTCTCAGGGGTCTGCGCAGCTACCCATTGGCCATGTATCAGGTTCCTACGTACAGAACCATCGAGTTTATTCCATTCGATCCAGTTTCTAAGAAGGTTACCGCACTAGTGGAGAACCATGACGGGGAGCGAATGATCTGTGTCAAAGGAGCTCCGATGACAATCTTGCGAACGGTACAGGCAGAAACCACCCTTTGTCAGCCTTTCGTCGACGAGTATAAGGCAAAGGTTACAGAGTTTGCTGATAGAGGATTCCGTGCTCTGGGTGTTGCTCGCAAGCGCACCGACAAGCAATGGGAGATTCTAGGGATTGTGCCCTGCTCTGACCCGCCTCGTCATGACACTGCTAAAACGATCGCTGAAGCCCAAAATCTGGGTCTCTCCATCAAGATGCTCACCGGAGATGCAGTCGGCATTGCTCGTGAAACAGCTCGCAAACTTGGTCTGGGAACCAACATTTACAATGCTGAGCGCTTGGGCGTCACTGGCGCTGGCGAGATGCCTGGTTCTGAGGTCAATGACTTTGTTGAAGCTGCAGACGGATTTGCAGAAGTGTTCCCTCAACACAAGTACAGTGTGGTGGAGATTCTTCAGCGTCGTGGATACCTTGTGGCGATGACTGGTGACGGTGTGAATGACGCTGCCTCGCTCAAGAAGGCAGACACGGGCATTGCCGTTGAAGGTGCCTCTGATGCGGCTCGCTCTGCCGCTGACATTGTGTTCCTGGCGCCTGGTCTGTCCGCAATCATTGATGCCATCAAAATTTCTCGTCAGATCTTTCACCGTATGTACGCATATGTTGTTTATCGTATCGCCCTGTCAATTCATCTGGAGTTGTTCCTCGGTCTCTGGATGGTGATCATGAATGAAACTCTCGATCTGCGATTGATAGTCCTTCTCGCCATCTTTGCAGACATTGCGACGCTGGCCATTGCCTATGACAATGCCTCATATTCCCAGCTCCCAGTCAAATGGAATCAACCAAGGCTATGGGGTGAATCAATTGTTCTCGGAGTTATACTTGCTGCCGGAACCTGGGTAACTCTCGGTACCATGTTGCTGCAAGGCGAGGAAGGTGGTGTGATTCAAGGCTGGGGCTCACGGGATGAGGTCATTTTCCTGGAAATAACCCTAACCCAAAGCTGGCTGATTCTAGTCACTCGCATCACAGGGTCAATGTTTAGCAATCTTCCCTCAATTCTTCTCATTATTGCTGTTCTGGTTGTCGATGTGACCGGGTCTCTGATGGCTCACTTCGGCGCTTTCGGTACACCAACATCGGCACTGACTATCCTACGAGTCTGGATCCTATCCTTCGGGGTGGCTTCTGTCAACGCCATGGTCTATGTCCTACTACACAATTCTGAAAAGTTTGACAACCTCATGCATGGTCGCAGTCTCCGCAACAAGGGGAAGGATCGTTCCTGGGAGGACTTTGGTACGTTGAAACCAAATGTCCCTGAGTGCTTACCCCAGCGAACTAATGATCCAAAGGTCTCGCCATGCAGCGTATGGCAAACAAGCATGAAGGATCCACATGATGAGAACCGAAAAGGTTGACTTTCATGATGCTGACTCGTGCCCGATATGCTTGTTATCGATGCATTTTAACATGGACATATGATATTGAGAAAGGATATGGGATTCGGTACGGAAAGGAAAGGAAGGATTGCGTGAACTGAAGACCCCTCAGAAGGGTTTCTGCATATTTAGCTAGTATTCATAGACTTGGCGCTGAGCCAGAAAACTCAAGCATTTTACCCTTTTCTCTCCTTTTGTAGTTTTCTCTATCGGTTTCTGTAGGTCTTCTGCACAGGCTGTTGGTATAAACGCTGTACCTCGGCTTCCTCTCAATCTATTCCACAGGTTGGGCTCTATGAGAAATGCGCCTATGATTTCAATAACGGCATGGAACTAAAAAGAATTTCTGGTCTAAATTGTAGATAATGAGATGCAAAAAGGAAGATACATCGTAATCAATGAGAAAAAGAACATAACCCAAATATCCACAGCTCTCAGATGTCACGTCGAGATGATCGCACGATGGAAGTAATAGAGTCGACCTGGAACATTTCCAGTGAATTATTCGACCCCGTTATCCCAGCATGATAACCTACCATCGCAGGGCTTCACAGCCTCAAACAACTTCGCATCAAGAACCTGCTCTTCCTCCCGCTCATTGGCCCGATCCTTCATGCATCTCTGTTGCCTTCGATACATGCGCCAGAAGACAAGACTACCATGGATCTGCGCAGCCGAAAACGCAATATGCAGAAGTGGTGTCACAACCTTGAACGCGAGTCTCCACCGACTCCATAATGAGCCAAACAGCCACATGGTCACCACAGTCTCAGAGAGTGTCCCGAAAGCGGTTGAAAAGCAGGAGAGGAGAAAGACCCGACTGAGGAAATGGTGGCGTTTAGGAAAGACGCGGTAGAGGATGATAGCGATGTGAGGGAAGAATTCGGAGATGATATCGAAGGCACCTAACGCAGTTGTCAATTCCCCTGTCATGAACAACAGCTATCACAGCGATGAAAAGTAGGCATACCCCAGACAGTGCAAAGCACGAACTCAATATCGGCATCCGGTTCCCGGACAGATCTCAAACTGATAGCCACAGCCGTCTGCCCAATAAGGATGGTCCCGATATGATGCATGACAGCAACAGGAGACAATTGAACCCGGTAGATCAACTCAAAGATATACATCGCGATCAGCATCTGCGCCACAACAACGAGGATATCACCCAGAGTGACTCCCGAGCCGGGGGCATAGGCAGTTTGGAAGGTGGCTTTGCCGAAGGTAATGCAGATGAACGGGTATGCGGCCACGATGAAAATGATGATTTTGGTGAAACCGGCGATGTGGTGGTTGATGAAGCCGCGGCGGTTGAGCTCGCTCATTTCGGTGTAGATTGACCCGTAGGCGCGGCGGATGAGGAAGTTTTCCAAAATGTAGAAGCGCATTAGGAAGAATATCACTAGCGTTATGGATATTATGAGGGCTGAGAAGGGGGCCAGGATGGAGATTGGGCCTAGTTCTTTCTCTTTGAGGGCCACATGGTGTGTCCGGGGTGAATGCTGCATGTTTGCGTTTGTTCCTAACAATATGTTGCCGGGGAGGAGGGTTTCGGTGGCGGTTTCCTGGTGCATCAGGAGTGACGATGGCACAGATGGAAAGAGTGACGAGGCGGTGCCAATGAAGTTGGAGAAGTCGAGGTGTTGAAGGGCGCTGACCAGGGCCTAAGTATATGCCTGTGTTTCACAGACCTGGGGTGCGGCTCAGCTTTTGACCACAACTTGGGAAAAAGTACAGTTACATTGGTTAGTCTGACATTTACGAATTGCTTCCTTGGTCCTTTCGGTTCTTCTATTTTAATTTTGACTTCCCGATGTGGGAGACATTCGACCCAAAATGGCTCAACTTTTGCATACCAAATTAACTACAGGCCAAGCATTTTGCTCGAAGCTTGGCGGACGTTAACAAACACCGATTGGCTGCTGAATTCTCCATTCAGGGTCCAACACACACGTAGCACATGAGGGTGCTGTCTTCTTGCTTCAGGCAGCAGCGTATAATATTGTGATGCCTACTCAGCCCCACAAATTGAGCGTATAGAGTTTGAGGTATATCGAGCAACCAAGATCGCCCCTGAAAGAATACCAAAGTACCTCGGGAAGTATAGGAATTGAGTTGCCTGGAACTCGAACCACTCAACTGGCTAACTGGCTAAATCATCCTCGGCTAATAAAGCACGAAGAGAGGCTGTTTATAATCTAATTACTATCAACTATTACATAAGTTTCCCCATAAACCCCTTTCAAGCGGCGATTTTGGCTCCCGCAAAAACGGCTCGAGCCCCGAAAATAATGGCGCCTCCAACAATAGTCGCCACCCCAGCGAAAATGATAGCAGGGTGATATGACCCATAGCTATTGATCATAGCTCCGGAGATGGGCGTCCCAGTAAGCGTAGAGATACTCAATACTCCTAATGCCATTCCCATATACGAGCCAATCTCATTGGGCTTGCTCGCAGTCATAGCAATGGTAGCTGGAAATAGACCAATAACGGTTCCAGAAAAGAACCCAAACAACACCGAAAACGCAACCATTCCACCCTGGGATGTAACTCTCAGCCAACAAAATATCAGAATCGCGCAGACAATCGAGGCACCAGTCAAAGTATTGAATCGCCCAATCCGATTCGCCAATGCTCCACCAGAAAGTCGGCCGAAGAGGGATCCCGCATTCAAAATTGCAATGAGATAAAAGGACATGTCAATGCTGAGACCAATAGACTCCGCATACTCAGGGATATAAAAGAACGGAACAAAAAGACCCCAAAAGACCAAGAACAATCCCGAAATCTGCAAGTAATACTCCGGTTGTTTCCAAGCAGCAAGCAAGAACGGAGCCCCACTCTTCCTCTTAGGCGCATTCGATGTGATAACAGCACAGGAGATGATACTCAATGCCAGCATTAGAAATCCCAAAACGCGAACGGACCACCCGAATCCAAGGCTTGATTTGTTGAGCATGCGATTCAAGGCAATAGGGAAGATCACGCCTGCCAGGGAGGATCCACTAGACGCAATGCCCATTGCGATTGGTCGTTTTTGGAAGAAGTATTGGTTTATGGCTGTCACGGCTGGGGTATATGTCAGGCCGTTTGTGAGGCCGCCGAGGACGCCTTGCGCTAGGATGAATTGGTAGTATTCGGTGCAGAGGGAGGTGAGCATGACGGAGGCGACGAAGAGTATTGAGCATGGAATTAGGATGACCTTCATATAACAGTCAGATTGTTTGTTCGTATGGATGAGATGTACGTATACAGTGTACATACCTTTGGACCGTAGCGATCCATCATCGGGCCGGAAATTAGGCCACCGGAGAACATGAAGAAGGCTTGGAGGGAACCGATCCATGCAATGTTTGATTCACTTTGATTGCTGAGAAATGTGACTTTGTAGTACGATTCGTAGATTCTGTTGGGTGTTTTAGTATGAACCACCACTCAACGAACTTGTTGGCGGACTTACCCAAAAGCATTGATATATCCAAATGTGTTGAACATCACACACCAGCCACTTAGCACTGTAAGCCAACCTTTGATACCTCCTTCGGGAAAAGATGGTTTGGTTGGCACCTCTGTTGTTCTGGAGTCTTCTGAGGATTCCAAGGCCTTTTCCGTGTTGCTCATTGTGTATCAGTGGAAAAGAAGAAGCTTGAGATATTTGGGATGTATTAAAATTGACGATGGTAATAGGTTGTCTTTAAATATCCCCATCTGAAGCGAAAACCTTGTCAAGGAGTTATATAGTCTGCAAAGTTGTATAGATGACCTTGGCAGGGCTCGGGACGTTCCGAAAGGGGAAATCAAGCTGAAATGGGTAAGTCCGAGAAAAGAGAAAATCCCCGTCGGCTTCAACGTTGTCTGATGTTCCCCGAGCTTCTCGATCTCCGAGCCTTGGCGAAATGGAAAATGGAAAGAATACGCACTGTAGACAACCATTGTCTAGAAAAGGTATGCAGTAGATGAAGAGTAAAAATACATGCAAACTTACACAGACTATCGGGGAGGAATGGAAGATCTGGGATTGAAAGAGGGCGCCCCAGACATGGGCGTAGAGGCCTGAAGATAGCAACTGTGAGCATCTGGGTTCCTATTCACACAGCAATACATACTTATTTCAAGTATAAGCGATAGAATATAGAAGCTTTCGCATTCCCAAGTCATCGGGTTCAGGACCACCTAATCCGTCTAAATTCCGTCTATAGAAGTGGAGTCCGATATCTGTAATCATGCGATTGGCCTAACAATGTCATTTTGAGGAGCTCGTCTTCTAGTCAAAGATACAAACCATTCCAGTATAGAGCCAGCCTTCACTGCCTTTTTCGATGGCACATTGTCGACCGCCAAGAATCAAGAGTCCTCGGTTAGTTCAAATACTGGGCTTGTCCTGCTCCTCTCAACGAGCAAGAGCTGCTTCGCCTTGTGCATAAAATGCTTTCCCCTTTCTAGGCTAGCAAGCTTCGGATTGCCATCTTTAGTATGACGAGATGCGTGTGCGAAGACGCGTTCAAAGGAATGGTGAGAAGCAGGGGCCACCCAATGCTAAATCGCGATAGAAGCCTGCAAGTCAGCACATATCTTCTCAACTGAGCAACAAAGCTGACTTACGCCAGCGATAGACACAATTCTGCTGCTGTGCCTGCCACGTCCAATAGATCTGCAAAAATGTCTTGCACGCATCCAGATCAGCATCAGTATATTGCTGAATATTATTAAGAGCAGCCTTCTCCAAGGACTCCTCAAATCGGGCATTAAAGGAGAGGCATTTGCGATGATAATTTTCACTGGCCTTGCACTCCTGGCCTTCAGCACTGGGAACTTGCGCTAAGGGTTTTTTTTTTTTTTCTTTCAACAGGGTCCAGAGGATGGAACCTTGACGTGGCACCATAAAGCTGCAATATCAAAATATCAATACCTTGTACACCAAGTATAGAAGCACAAGTAAAGAAATTCGGTATGACACTGAACGGGAAACCGATGCAGAAATATGAAGGCACATGCAAGAAGACATACCGTGCCGTGTTCACCAACACTAAAATACGCAAGTTTCCCAAGCGGCGAATCCTCACTCCCCAAATTCTTCTCCTCATTAAAAGTCTATACAACACGACGCTTAGACTGATGAAGCCGTTGAACCAGATGCACATTGTAAATGGAACTTTCTTTGTAGTTGCAGAGTTCCTTTGCTTTAAGACAGTTCGCACAGTTCGGTTTCTTGCCGTCGCATTTGATTTTCCGCCGTCAGCAGATTAGGCATGCGAACCCGTACCGGCGGGGCGGCTTCCCTTGGACTTTTTTCATGGTGTGCTATAGTTTCTGCATGACGTTAGGAGATGTCGGAAGTTTGCAGTCTTAGGCTCGCAGGGTCAAAGCTTAATCTGGCCCTAGGCGGGTCTTTGGTCTTTTCAGCCCTACAACTTACTATGAAGCATCACGATGCAGTACTAGCCAATTCCTTTGCGAAATCCTCGAAAGGAGTGTACCATTTCATGCATTATTTGGTCCCTAACTTATCCTCTCTTTTTTCGCCTCTTTTCGCCCATTTCCGGGTGCTTCGGGTCAATCGATTAGATCATATAAAGGGGTGGGAAAGGACTTATGTCCCTGCTGTAGTACGATGAGAGAAAGCTGATTACTGTAAACTCGATTATGGATTATCGTTAACTACACTACACAAGTAAAACACAAGAAATCCTTGTTCTGGGCAGATTGGCGGCGCACCCAAAGATCCAATGTAAACAGGAAAGAGACAAGCGATATACACAGCGCTGGAGTCAAAAAGGGAAATATCGATGCAAGAGGGCCCCCGCTTGTGGGTCATCAGGTCCAGTGGGGGGCTCATGAAAGACAGTGGTAAAAGCAGAGTATGTGGGTGAGATATGTGCAGTAGGAAAGAAAGGTGAAAGTGGGTCATGATCAAGTTCTCGAGGTCAAGTGATCCGCAGCCTGGGATAAAGTCAGCAATGCTCATTCAAAAGTGTAGTAGATTAATCACCTTGTCAAGGTTGTAGTCGAACTTCTCGAGGGCATCGAGGGATTCGTCGCGTGTGAAGCCCATGCCAGTCAGACGCTGGAGTATCAGGTCATCCTCGCCAGAGTCGGTGTTGAGGGCCCATCCGGGCTGCTTGGACTTATCCTCGGCGGATTCTTCGCCGGTGGATGCCTTGGCGTTGTCAAGGGGGGCAAAAAGCGCGTCCCACTCGTGCGCAGCGGGCTGGGCATCGCCTCCAGCTGTTGATAGAGCGGGTTGAGGGGTTGAGGCGTGGACGTTGTTGTCAAAAGAGAAGAAGTCGGATGAACCGGCCTGGCCAACATCACCTGAGCCTGTGTGTTGCTTCTGGGCTGGGGAGTCAAAGGAGAAATCAAAGTCATTTGTGTTCTTGGCTTGGGTTTCCGGTTCATCATCATCATCATCTGCTTCAGTCGCGGGTGCAAGGTTCATTCCAGCGAAAGCTGCGTCAAAGTCTGGTCCTCCCACCTTCGCTCCTCCGGCTGGAATTACAGTCTCTGCGGGAGCGTCATGTGCGGACTCATTAGCGACAACTGGTGCTCCAGTGGTGTGGTCGACTGAATGAGGCGCATCAGGGAAAGCAGTAGGATCAGCACGTTCGGGCAAGAGACCATCGAACTGAGGAGGAAGGTGAATGCTGTCTTCCTTGGGTGTCTCATAGCCAGGGGGACTCTGCTGAGCCTCAGCGCTTGGAGGCTGGGACGAAGGGACAGACGCTCCAGGTGCAGGGAAAGCAGCCAACTGAGCGGCGTCGATGGAGTCCTGGTGGGTCTCCTTCTTAGGCACTGCAGGGGTGAAATTGTCATCGAATCCAAAGGGACCTTCGTCGTCGGAGCTTTCATCATCGTCATCATCGTGGTGAAGCTCCTGGATTGGAGGGAACTCAGAAGGGCCAGCTGAGGCGGCACCGTTCGTCTTCTCAGCTCCGGGTCCTTGCTTCATAGAGGCGAAAGCCTCCTCAAAGTCATTTCCCTGCTGAGACTCTGACCGCTTGTGAGCCTTACTTCCAAATAACTCATCGAAACTCAAGTCTTTGCTACCCTGAGCTTGCTCCTCGGTGGTAGGAGATGTGGCAGTTTCGGGTTGCTCAGTCGATAATACAGGGACCTCGGGAAATTTCGAGGCATCTGGTACCTCCTCGAATGGAGATCTAGCCGGGGTTCCTTCAACGGTGGAGTTTGGTGCACGGCTATAGTCACTAGACTCCGTCACAGATGGGGCGCCTTGATCACTGGTAGCCTGAGAAGGAGTACCAAAACCAGATGTCTCAGGGCCGCCGCCAAAGCGACTTCCGGGAGGGGAGACCATGGTCGACGAAGTCAAAGACTGGGTGTCGTTGAACTGCAGGAAGTTCGGGGTGAGCTGTCGAGACTGGCTCGGCGGTGGGGGCTCAGACAAGGCGCCGGGGAATGATCCGGGCAGGGCTCCAGGAGGTGGAGAGACTGATGGAGTCGGCACACCGGAAGTCACAGGAGATTTAGCTGTGGTCAGCGGGGACTCGGAGCGGAATGAAGTGGGCGGTGCGCCAGCAGCAGAGGGTGCGAATGTCTGGCCAAAAAGGCTGTCGAATGCCTTTTGCTGGTCGTTGGAAACATTAGGCGAGCGGGCCTGTTCATTTGCACTGTCCGTTCGTCGGAAAAAAGGATTCGTGTTCTGGCTGGTGGATGATACAGCAGGGCTGGCCACCTCCGGCACGCTGTGGACAGGAGTCACGTCATCAACAGACAGGGGAGTTTCTCTTCCAACTTCGTCAATTTCACCCTGAATCTTGTCCCGTTCGCCCTCAACGGTTGACAACTGCTTCTTGTTGATTGCAACCAGGCCCTTCTGCTGACGAGCATCAGAGCGAGCCTTCTCCAGCGCAGGCTTAAGCTGCGCAACCTGGGCATTAGCCTGGCGGATCTTCTCCTTCAGGCTATTATTCTCCTGCTGGTCAGAAGCCAAAGCTGTCGAGACGTTGGTATATTGGTTGTGCAAGTCTTGACGGCTGCCCTCGATAAGTGCATATTGCTGCTGCAGCTTCTCGGTCTCCGCCTTGGAAGCTTTGAGACGCTCCTCAAGTGCCTTGAAGTTAGTGACTTCTTGCTCATACATCGACCGCGCTTGGGCAAGGCGTGCCTCAAAGTCGCGCTTCTGCTGGGAAGACTGGGTAATGTTCTGCTCAGCAGAAGTTCGCTTCTCCTGTACGTTGTGCATTTCCTTGGCGAGAGTACCAATCTGGTTTGACAGGTTCGCGAGCTCAGTAGTCTCCTGGTTCAGCTTGTTTGTCTCCTCGGGGTCATTATCGCCAAGGAGATCGTCCGATGGAGGTGGGGGGGATCGAACTGTGGGTGTGCCTGCAGATGCACCGGTCATCTGGGGCTGCAGACTCTGGCCGAATGACGAACTAGGAATAAAAGGCTTGAATGTGTTTGAAGCGGTCTGAGGAGACGCTCTAGAGCTAGGCGAGCCAGGAGTGTGGAATGCGGGGTTGGAGCCTCCCGTAGACTGGGGCATTTGAGGCTGGGCAAACGGCTGCACGGGAGAATCAAGTCCAAACAAGTCATCGGCTGCAGATCTTACTGCAGGTGTGGGCGCCGGAGGAGGAGTAGGGGCTGCCATGGGTGGTGGCACCGGTGCCTGACGGCGCATGTTGGGTGGAATCAGGGCAGGCGGAACAACTTGAGGAAGTGGCTCCTTGCCGCTTCGTTGCAATCTGACCAGGTACATAGCCACGGCAAACTCCTCCCGGCTGAGCTGGCCGTCTGCATCGATATCCGCAAGGTCCCAGATCTGAGCAAGAGTCTCCTCGGGGAGCTGAGCCTTCATGAAGAAGCCAACAGCTTGGTCGCCAGTGATCGTTCCGACCTTACCTGTGTCGACGGTCTCGAAGATGGTGTCGAAGTGCGCCTTCTCCTGAGGAGTGATCAACCAGTCGCTTCCGGTAACCTGGGCAGAAATACCTCCAAACGGCGGGCGGTTGGTCGCACTCATGGGGCTGGCGGTTCGCTGGGGGCCCGTGAATTGTTTAGGTATGGCAGGGACGGGAGGAACCTCGGGTCTTGCGCCAAAAGATCCGCGAGCAGATCCTCGTCGAGATGCGGCTTCGTAAAGACCGGGTGGCAGGGTCGCGGGGATGCCGCGCAGAGCGCCGGATTTATATGAAGTGAGGAGATGCATGGCAATGGTGAACTCAGTGGCATCCAAGGCGCCGCGCTGCTTGGTGTCCGACAAGAACCAAATACGACCCAGGACCTCATTTGGAAGGCGGGCGCGCTCAAAGATCTGTTTCGCGATTTCGCCTATAAATTGAAATGGGTATGTTAGAAATGCCCAACATTCGCAACATTGAAGGACGACGTACCTGAGATCACGCCATTGTTGACATCTGACTTCTCAAACAGCGAGACGAACTTATTAGCATCATCAGGCTGCAGAGGCGGGACTCGAATAGGCGGGCCAGCACCAGGCGGGGGGCTAATGGTGCCAGATTCAGGAATCGGAGCGGAAGCATCGACGACGATGCCATCAAAGCGCGGCAAAGGACCAGCTATACAACAAATCCAGAATCAGTATTCCAACTCTCCAAAAGGTATAATTACTCACTTTGCAAAGCCAATTCATCTGAGGGGGCCCGACCAGCTTGCGCATGTCCAATAAGTCGTAGAACAATGCCAAAGCCGGACGGAGTCAGGAGACCCCTGTTCTCTTTATCTGCAATTTGCCATATCTGCGTCCAATGTAATTAGCAACGAAGCTCTGCATGAGATTCAGCAAACTTGTAACGCCCACATACCAATCCAAGTGTATCCGGCGATAGGTGCGTCTTCTCGAAGAACGGAACGGCGATTTCGCCAGTGATAACGCCGAGGTTGGTAGTATCGGCCGCCTGGAAAAGCTGATAAAAGACTCGCTTTTCCTCCGGCGTGAGATTGAGGTTCGGATGCCGTTGTGCTACAGCAGACAAGTTAGACCCACGGCGTTGCGCAAAGGGAACAGGTGCATATGAAAGGAAGGGAAGGGGAGGGGGGCGGGTTGACCATGGCGGAGGCCGGCGGGACTTCTCCTGAGAAGCACCGAAGCTCTTTTGCCATTGCTTGGAGGTCTGGCTGGGCATGTGGAAGTGTACTCACAAGTATCAGCCATTGCTGTGTCCTAGGAGGAGCTTAACTCCCCTCCTTCCAATGAGTTCACTATCGTTGGGGGCCTGGAGGTCAAGGAGACACGGGGTACCGTCAGCTTAGTGAATGTGATGGGACATGAACTAAGCGCGAGATCTGGGAGGGTGAGGGCAGGGAATATAGATAAATCCCAAGCTCCAAGGAGGAAATAGACTTCAGGAGGAATGGGGAGAGAGGCTGGAGTCGATGTCGTAAGGAGGGTTCCTGGGGTCCCAAAGGCGGTCAGTTAACTTTAGCGCCCATTCCAAGATTGACTGCAATAATATTGGGGATTATATTTGATTTTGCTTTGTTTAAGCTATATCTTTGACTTGTCAAGGCTCACCATTCCAATATACCTTTGTCTGCCATTCTGCCAAGTTGGTGGTTGCCCTGATCTGCTGTGCATGACGCGCATCTATATACTTGAACCAAACTCTTACAAATAGCACCCCAGCAGATAGTGACAACACGAAGTGAAATCAGATGAATTTGCGGGGCTTAAAAAATCAAAGATTGAGCAAAATGATTGATATAAGGTATCTTGATATAAGTGAAGAAAGGTAGATCCTTGGTAGCAATTCAGAATATATATCCTAGGTGAGTCGAGAACTCACCATTGAAAGACAACCAGGACTAAATTAGCACTGAAACACAGTTCGAACATACCCAACACATCATATAGATAGTGTCTATCAAAATTTACAGAAATAAACACCAGATGCACTTACTAGAATACCAAATGCCGCCGTATCCAGGGGATAGCTCCAATATAGGACCGATCCACAGACGTCAGTTACGCTGACACCAGCGACAGTAGTATGCGGTCCCGATGCAGGGCAGATATATAGATCTACAATCAGACCCCCTTGTTTCTGGAACAGCAACGGATCCTGGAAGCCGGGAAAATACAAGAGCAAGGGGAACAGTCAAGTCAACCGGGACCGGGGCCGGCTGAAACTGACGATTGATAAAATAGTCATACGAAGGATACATTGAAAGAACGACGAGGATACCAAAGTAAGTACAATCGCAAAATCCCGCTACGAGGATGGAACGGGGGAAATTTCATCGCTGCTTCAGGGATATTAAAGATATATCGAACAACAAAGCCAGAAAATCATCGGCAGCAAAACTTATGTTCCCATCTATTTGCAAACAGCCCGATAGACGCGGGAAGAAGACCAAACTTAAAAACCTAGCATTGGTCCCCAAACCAACGCGTACAAGTCAAATAGCCAAGAGCCACAAAGTCGGTCACAAAACATCCCTAATCTAGTACTCGGGCTCCAGCTCCTCGTCACCTTCGAGGGAATCGGAGGCAACCTCCTCGTAGTCACGCTCGAGAGCAGCGAGATCCTCACGGGCCTCGGAGAACTCACCCTCCTCCATACCCTCACCAACGTACCAGTGGACGAAGGCACGCTTGGAGTACATGAGGTCGAACTTGTGGTCGAGAGCGGACCAGGCCTCGGCGATAGCGGTGGTGTTGGACAGCATGCAGCTATGTATGGATTAGCATCAACAATTGAAGAAAATGGCAGGACGAAAAAACTTACACAGCACGGTTGAGATTGGCGAGGTCGCCGTTGGGGACCTGCTGGGGAGGCTGGTAGCAGATACCGAGCTTGAATCCAGTAGGGCACCAGTCGACGAACTGGATGGTGCGCTTGGTCTTGAGTGTGGCAACAGCGGCGTGGGCGTCCTTGGGGACGACATCACCACGGTAGAGCAGACAGGTGGCCATGTACTTGCCGTTACGGGGGTCACACTTGACCATCTGGTTGTGGGGCTCGAAGCAGTTGGAGGTGATCTCGGTGACCGAGTGGGCCTCGTGGGCGGCCTTGTCGGCGGAGATGATGGGAGAGTAGGCGACCAGAGGGAAGTGGATACGGGGGTAGGGCACCAAGTTGGTCTGGAACTCATTCAAGTCGACGTTGAGGGAACCGTCGAAGCGCAGGGAAGCAGTAATGGAGGAAACAACCTGAGCGATCAGGCGGTTCAGGTTCTCGTAGCTGGGGCGCTCAATGCCGAGGTTACGGCGGCAGATATCGTAGATAGCCTCGTTGTCAACCATGAAGGAGCAGTCGGAGTGCTCCAGGGTGGTGTGGGTGGTCAGGATGGAGTTGTAAGGCTCAACAACGGCGGTAGCGTTCTGAGGGGCGGGGTAGACACAGAACTCCAGCTTGGACTTCTTGCCGTAGTCGACGGACAGACGCTCCATCAGCAGAGCACCGAAACCGGAACCGGTACCACCACCGAAGGAGTGGAAGACCAAGAATCCCTGGAGACCGGCACAAGAGTCGGCAACACGACGAACACGGTCGAGGACCTCATCAATCATCTCCTTACCAACGGTGTAGTGACCACGGGCGTAGTTGTTGGAGGCATCCTCCTTGCCAGTGATCATCTGCTCAGGGTGGAAGAGCGAACGGTAGGTACCGGTGCGGACCTCATCGACAACGTTGGGCTCGAGATCGGCGTAGATGGTACGGGGAACGTACTTGCCCTGACCTGGTGGGGGAAGTTAGAAACGGAAATTCCCACGCGGGGGAACATGGAAAAAAAAAATCAATTTTCATACCAGTCTCAGAGAAGAAAGTGCTGAAGCCGTGGTCGGGATCGGCCTTCTTGCGCTCCTCAGTGAGGAATCCATCGGGCTATCAATATGGTTAGTGCCCCCTCTAGAAAATAGGGGTACGGCTGCCCGAGTCGACATTGGGCGCCCCCCACGAGTTTGATTTGTATTCCAACATACCTGGATACCATGCTCCAGACAGTACAGCTAGAAAATCATGCCTGTCAGTATCATCGAAATTTGTCGGTCAATTGTGGGTATTTACCTCCCAGCAGGAGTTGGCGATCTGGCAACCGGCCTGGCCGACTATAGAGAAGAATCATGTCAGCGCGTCATTCCATCGAAATTATCAAGGTAAACATTGAGTAGAAATGATGGGAGTCCTCGACATACCGTTCAAACTGATAATCTCACGCATTGTGATTCTGGTGTTTTGAGGCTAAAAAATCAGGAGAGGGGAACCCAAAACAACAAACGCGGTGGTCTGATTCAGAGGGTCAGTCAAAGAAGGGGGCGGGGGAGGTGGTGGAGGGGGTAGAATACCTGAAGAATGGAGGAATGGACGAGAAGATGTCGAAAGGAAAACACAAGTCGACAGAAATGTTGTGGAGGAGGAGCGTCTGTGCTGTACAGGGGGGAAGTTCATTGTTGATCCGTTCGTTGGGTCGCGTCAGCCCTTCTGATTGGCTGAGGCCCGCCTGCTCTCTGCGCTGCCTCACCGCCTCGATAGTCCCGTGATGCCACGTGACTGGCCGAGGATATCGAGGTCGGACTGTATATCTATTTCATCATCACTGATCAGGTCTCAATTAAAAAGCTACCGAGTTTTACCGTGATATAATAACCCTGTGAGATCTCATACGGTGCCAAGTGCCAACACCAAATACTCGGTCAAGCGGGACCCACACCGCACATCCTGGACATTCACCACTCACCTGATAAGCCACACCAATAACCCAATATCAGTACAGTATATCCTCTTTCTATAAACATACACAACTAACAATTCCCAGCCCAACATTTCACAAAAAAAAAAGTGCACGTACAGTGAATAAAGGGCCAAGAAAACCACGTCACATCCAAACCTGCAATCTGCAACCTGCACGGCAGAGCTATCACCATGCTCCAGGTCCTCACCCTGGGCTTGATACTGTCCCTGTTCACAGCAGTAGTCCACGCAAACGTGGAAAAAAACATTTTTCTAGCTCCCCCAGAAACAACAATTCCATCAGAGCAGCCAGACCTCGACGACCTAGGTCTAGAGCGGCTATCACCTCAAAATCCCATAGTGCGCACCCGACTCAATGCATCATTCCCAACAACCGATGCACCAAATGGTGTGGAATCATGGTTCTTCCTGGAGAACCTGAATCCAGGGCAGCGGTATGAAGTGCGGGTTTGTTGGTTAGCGACTGTAAGAATCCCCTTCCCCAACCGTGGCATTATGATACATCATATATGTAAAACAAATCCAAAAAGACAAAAAAAGAACGGCCAAAAGTTAACAACGTCAGCAACCAACATCCTTCACCCTATCAACATACCCCCTCAACCAAACAATCTCCAACAAGACCCTCCTAAGCTCCCTAAGCATCTACACAAACGCTCGCCTAGCAAGTCTAGACAACGAACTGCAATCAAACAGCATCCAAAGACACACCATCCGTCCACCCAGCAAAAAAGGCGGAAATGACCCGTTAGACCCATCTCCAACAAGCGACTCAGTTCTATTCCTGCGGATCCACGCCGCGGCTGATTACTTCAGCACTGATGCTGCATTGATGCGTGATGTACCGGCTGTAGCGGTTGATGTTATTCTTGATCCGTTTTTGATGAATGTTTTCCCGCGGTCGCTTGTGCCGACTGCGTTGTGGATATTGGCTGTTGCTTTGCTTGCTGCTGTTGTTTCTAAATGGGTTGCCGGGGAGGTTGGGAGGGTTGTTGAGGATGCGCGGGGGCAGAGTGTTCTTGAGGATATGAAGAAGAAATAGGGTTGAGCTTGGTTGATTGGATGGATGGGGTGGGATTGTATTATTAGTTTGGTTGTTATGAGATTATTGGTGGGATTGTATGTACTGTATGATTTTGTTCAATACAATTATCAATGAGACTTGCGATATGGAAGGAATGTACTGAGTAGTTAGGGGGATGTGAACCCATTTGAAGAAGCTACTTACAGAGAAAAAGTGATGATGGAATAGTACTGTCAACACTCATATATCAAGAACAAATTCCTACAAAGAATTCAGACCGATGTCAAAAGGCAGGAAATGGAAAAAATTCATAGGCGATTTTGGCTAGCATGATAGAAAAACTCAATGCCAATCGCCAGAACAAGAAATCAAACATACAGACATGGGGGATACATGATTCATAACATAAAGGGGGAATAAAAAATAAGTATGGGCAGCGTGTATGGAGAGACGAGTCAAAGAAAAGCAAGAACCCTTATAATGAACGCCGTAGATCAGCCAGCTCTTCCTCTTCTTTACTCTAAACGTCCACATCATCATAGATGGCAATATGTGGCAGTATATCCATAGCCACAGACATCGAGATCCGAAAGATTAGACCAATGAAGCTCATCAAATTAAAATTTCGAGTGCTGTAGCCGTAAATTAATCCTCGAAGAAGTTCAGGATAGCACGGATACCCTTGGAGCCAAGACCGTGGGCAGGGTAAGAGATGTACAACGGGTCCTCGGTGGCACCGAGCTTAGCGCGGAACTCACTCTTGCGAACAAGGTGGAATTGCTTAGCGAGGGCTTCGTAGGTGTGCTCCAGCATCTTGACCTTGGTACCGTGCATGTTATGGCCGGGGATAAGCTGGGAGGTGGCGCCAGCGCCGAAGGTGAGGCCCTTGACACCGCTCTTGGCGGCGGTCTGGATGGCGTGGGTGACAATGTATTCGATGACACCGTTGGGAGCGCCGGGAAAGTCCAGACTGTACTTCACTTGCATGCCATGGGAAGGAGACAGCATGGCCAATGCGACAAAGGCACAGATGTTGCCTTCCTTGTCCTGGGCGTAGAAGTACCAGCGGTGGTCGGAATCGCACCATGGCCGAATCTCTGAGAGGTGGACTTGTGTTCCCTTGCGGTTGGACAGCCATTCGCTGATGCGCTCGTCAATCTTCTTGCGGATGTCATCTGGGACCATCTCGCCTTGGTTGAAGGTAACCAATTTGATGCCCTCATTTTCAGCGCGACGGAGCTTGCGAGAGATCTCGCCGTCAGAGGCAGCCTGGTTGCGCGAGGGGTCGACACGCTCCTCAGCAATACAAGACAAACTGCGCCAGCCGAGTCGTTCACCCAGAATGGTCTCAACTTCTGGTGAACAGAGAATCCACACGGGTTTGAACTTGGTTTCACGGCGCATCCACTGCAAGAATTGAGTGATGGTGCGTGTGTATTGCTTGGGGTCACACGCTGGGTTGCCGGGGATAACAGCGTAGTTATTGGAGCTGGGAACGTAGGCGACGGCTGCACCAGTGGTCATGTCACGCCAGATCTTGAACCGCTCATCGAGCCAAGAAGTTGAGGTGGCATCACCGTAGTTGGCAATCAGCTCCTCCAGCGGCTGCAGCTCGCTAACATCGGAAGCCACGCGAGCCTTGTGCTCGCGTTGCCATGGTGGCTCAATGGTCGATGATTCAGGGTGGCGGAGCTTCTCTCCGACGTGTTTCGCTGGCAAACTCTTAGGATCACGGTGGAAGAGTGAGGTCAGACGAATGTTGCCCAGCTTCAAAATCAACATGACAATTCGCTCGAGACCAACACCGGCACCGGCATGAGGGGGAGCACCCCAACGGAAGCCCTCGAGATATTCCTCCATATCTTCTGGGTTGATACCCACGCGGCGCATGTTTTCCTCGAGCATGTGAGGCTCATGGATACGTTGACCACCTGAGACAATCTCCTGTCCACGAATGAACATGTCGAATGAGTTGGTGAATTTATCATTTTCAGCGTCGGGCATCGTATAGAATGGACGTGCGTCACGGGGGAACTTGTCAAGGACATAGTAATCGGTACCATACTGCTCCTTGACAAGCTCACCTAGGCGAATCTCATCACGAGTGGACAAGTCCTCATCCAGAGGCAACAATTCACCTTCTTCGCTTCGCCAGCCCGAGTCATTCAGCATTTTGATACCATCAGTGAAGCGAATAATAGGCGTCTCATCTAGCCACACGATGTCCTCTGAAGGAAACTGGTGCTTGACAAGCTCCACCTCGCGGCGGTACTTAGAATAGAGACCTTTCAAAATGTTCTTGATGACAGCATCAAGGGTCTCAAGCATCTCATGGTAGTGCTCATTGATTGCCATCTCGATATCCAATCCAGTATATTCTGTCAGATGACGGTGAGTGTTGGAGTTCTCGGCACGGAAAACGGCACCAATCTCATAAACACGGCCGAAATCGGCAGCAATGGCCATCTGCTTTGCCAATTGAGGGGACTGGGCTAGGAATGCAGGGCGACCAAAGTAGTTGACCTGGAAGACACTGGCTCCAGATTCAGTGGCAGCACCTTGCAACTTGGGGGTATGGATTTCGATGAACTCGCGCTCGTCCAGGGCGGAACGGAACAGATTGCAAGTGGCCGACTGAACACGGAAGATAGATTGTGAGGTTGCTGTGCGCAGGTCGAGGATTCGATTGGCCAGACGTGTCCGGTCAGGAATATGGTTGCGACGACCCTCAACCTTGTCTTCTTCAGTGGTCCGAATCTCAGCCTCGTAAACGCTGAAGGGGACAGGCTCCTCGCGACGAACGAGAAGATGAACAGAGTCAATGGCCAGCTCGACATCATGAATCGAGCAGCCAAGCACAGGAACCTCGGGCTTTTGCACTGTACCGCGGACGGTGACGAAAGACCCCACACGGAGGTGCTCCACCCACTGGATCATGGCAATGGATGAGACACCCGGGCGTTCATGCAGAACACCCTGGAAGGTGCCTAGCTGCTGACGGAACACTAGGAACACGAGCTTGGCACTCATGCGACGCACCACATGCAGTCGGGCTGTGAAGAAGACCTGCTGCCCCACCATGGCAGGGGTGATCTCATCGATCGCAGTGCGCACTTCTCGGGGACGCACGGCGGACTGCATCAAGGGAAGCTCGCCATAGCGAGACTTCATATCAGCAGTCTCTTCGGCTGCCGCTTTAGCGATCTCTTCTTCCTTGCGGCGGTGATCGGTCTCGGAGAACATCTCCTCACTGAGACGACTGCGCTCACTGCGCCGGTGTTGACGGACCAACCGCTTCTGCTGGTTCTTGCTCAAGGTACCGCTGGAGGAGTCATCAGAGAAGTCCTCAGAGGAAGAGACATAATCATTCTTATCGCGTAAGAAGTTGCCGAGAATGCTGCGACGAGGGGACGCGGTGGGGGAGCCGGAGCGGGACGTAGAGGTACGAATCCTGGGAGTGAGGGCAGTACGAATGTTGGAGCCAGACGAGTCATCCTCGCCGCCCATATGCCCCCTAATGGCCTTGGAGAGAGCACGTTTAATCGACATATTGAGCAATGCCTAGGACATGTGAAGGAGAGAAGGGGTCAAAGTTGAGGTGGGGTGGAAATGGCTGGAACCCTGGAAGCGGCGTTCAATAGTAAGCAAGGAAGCTCGGAAGAACGAGGAACAGAGAAGTCCGCGAGGGGAATGCAATATGAAAGTATAAGATAGAACGAAATTGTATAGGAGCGTAGGAGTAGCAGCCCTGAAGAATTAAATAAACCCAGTCTCTTCCTGAAAACAACCATGACATCACACCCCTGATAACTTGATTTCTTGGTATGGAGCTACGTTTTGTCTCGGCCTCGGGCTACGCTTCTTTATCTCAACATCTGATTCTTACCCACACTTCGCTTCTTCTGTACTTTACTTGAACTTCAGCTCTACCTTTCTTGTCCTCCCATTCTATCTACTCGTCATCATCCGGACCTTGCGGAGTCCCAAGCGCATGCAAGACCACACCATGGCCCAATCTCGATGGTGGCTGTATGTACAGGCTGTTTTCTGGCGATTCTTGATGCGGATTGGAATGTTTCTGCACGATATTGGTCCGCCTAGCCCACCCCGGCCTTCCTTCACTCGCACCGTGACCTCCGATACCCATGGCCATTCGGTCGTCCTCCACTTTTACTGTCCACCGGACTACCACCAGCAACGCCGATTAGGTCATCGCTACCCTGTGGCCGTCAACTTCCACGGTGGCGGATTCACACTCGGCTGTGCCACAGATGATTCTCGCTGGGTCAAGGTGGTTCTGGATAATGTCGGGGCGGTGGTTGTAAGCGTGAGCTACCGGCGGGCACCGGAGCACCCTTTCCCCGCAGCAGTGGACGACGGAGTCGAAGGTCTACTCTACCTGGCAGCACATGCCGCCGAGCTGGGGTTGGATGTAAGCCGAGTGGCGCTGAGCGGGTTCTCGGCAGGTGGAAACCTGGCAGTTACGGTGCCGTTGAGGCTGCGTGGCCGGATATCAACCGAGGTCAAGGAAAACCTGGGCCGAGCCGAATCAACCCAGAACCTCATCAACCAGACCAGTGATCTTCATATCGTTGCATTGTTCTGCTGGTACCCTATTCTGGACTTCCAGGAATCGCGCGACCATCGCCGGGCGATGAGTCTCATGCCGGACAAGACCCTCCCTGCCTTCTTTACAACCCTCTTTGACGAGGCTTATCTTCCCAACCTGGAGGATCGCGCTTCTCCTTACGCGTCTCCGGTTCGCGCCACCGATCGTACTCTGGCAGAGGCTCTTCCTCGTGATGTCTTCTTGTTCATCTGTGAATGGGACATGCTTATGAAGGAAGGCCAATCCTTCGTGCGCCGCCTAGAGGGTCTTGGCAAACGCGTTCGGGCCATGCTTATCGAGAAGGCCAAACATGCGTGGGACAAGTCACCCAATCCATGGCGGGACCAGAATAGCGTGGATGTGCTTTACCGTGACGCCTGCGCAGACATGAAGGCCATCTTCGATCGGTGATCGTGTAGCTTGTACAACTTCTTTTCTGTCTTCTCTTTTCCTGTTACTATCTTAGCACTGCGATAGCGCTGACTTTGGCGCTTGGGAACCTGGCATTCACGGCGTTAGCTGAACATAGATAGCATTGCTTGAGTTTTATTGCATCCTTGCTTTTGTCAGCCAAATTATACTCGGTAGTTATTTTCTCTTCTGGATACCCTTGTAAATAATGGTGGTGAAAACCCGGATTTCGTCGATGGAATCGCCCGCGGTACTCCAGGCTCTGTGCCATCATACCTACTCACAGCTTTAACGCATTATCCCAATTCATTCAATGATGCGCGAGATTCGCCCTGGCGACATCACTCTCCCAGTGAGGCAGAGGCCGAGCTGCCTTACCTAAATACGTCACAGAATCTGATGCTTCTTGTGGCAGATCGCAAGGCTTGTGAGGAAGGATGGGTGCTGCACTTGGCTGTGAACCAAAAGGGAGAGATTTTGCCGTTTAGAATTCGTGATAGGGCGTCTTACTCGTTTCAAAGAATTGGAAACTTGATGGAAGGTCAGCATTTGCAAGAAAGCGCTTCAGATCCTGAAGTAGACGAGGAGCGCTACATGAGTACTGGTGATGCATGGGCACCAGAATATCTCAAGGAGGAAGATTATGACCTTTAATGGGAAGCTCCTCAGCTTACAAGGCAACAGGGCACTGGAAAGCGCATGTTACATGTGTCTGGCTGAAACAGTGTAAGTCGGCATACGCAAGGCTCACTTGCAACACCGGATTGAGCATGAACTATACCCACGAATTACTACCAAAGGCCTTACAAGCAACTTGTTAGTATCGAAGAATTATAACGTTTCCACAGGCAGCGAGCGCCTGTTTGCTGAGAAGTGCACGATGAAATGGATTTCCACATTGAATTCGGAGGAATTATCATCTTCATCAAAAGTCAACTATGCATTGCTATTGTAATCCATGCGATAGCTATTCCGAATCAAGAACTGCGCTTCGGGAACATAAGAATTCGCCCAAACATATAGGCTGCTTTCGCTGCTGTGACTATGATCGAGATTTTGTGAACAGTTCCGCTTTGGAGTAATATCTCTAGAACAAGATCCACACGCCTATTCGAAAGCGCAAAGAAGATCACGTGTGCGAGCAATAAGGTCGGAGCTTTTTAAACCAATTTGCACTAGACTAACACGGTAAAATCCGGTGTATATGCGACGACATGCCAGGATAATGTCAAGTGGAATCTTTCCTACAATGGCTATCCGCAGCCGCTTTACAAGGCCTGGGCCGGGACGGACTCCGCTCCCGCTCGCTTGGCAGGATCGCTGCGTAGATGCCAGCACGTTCTGATGTGGTCACGTACATGATGACTAATATAGGTCACTCACCTGCAGCCCTATAGTTATGCCCTGGAGGTTGCTATTATAGCCTTTGTATATCTCTCCAGATGGAAAACTATCTTATTTCAAATATCTGTTTCTCCACATGAAATTCCCCCTTATGAGCTACTGAGCAGGGATGTACAAATTATAACCGGCGACTTTAGTCTCAATTTCTTAGTTCTAGTATGATCATGTCGTCGGTCCAACGGACTCCGTATTTGTATATTATCAGACAACACTCGCTTCAAACTTGGACAATTTAGATCTGTGTTATGTTTTCGTCTTCAAATGAGAAACCAGAAGATGTCACTAGCAGACCTTTTCAACCTCAGGTTGCGCACAACAACAACACCGAGAGAACCGAGACGACCTCCACGGTGATGCACGGTTTCAAAGTCTATGCCATATTTATAGGTATATGCTTCGGTACCTTCTTGATGTCCTTGGATATCTTCGTTATCGCAACAGTACTGTACCATTCCCTTTCGCAATTCGAAAAAAAATCCGAATGTATCTGACACCAAGGGTAGGCAATTCCATCCATAACATCCGACTTCAAGGATACATCACAACTGGCCTGGTATCCAGCAGCCTATTCACTCACGACATGCGCATTGACTCCGCTAGCAGGAAAGCTGGGCTCAGCATTTCCCCTCCGCTGGATCTATATTATATTCTTCTCTATCTTTCTGACTGGCAGCTTGATATGTGGCTTTGCACGGGATAGTAATATGTTTATTGCTGGTCGTGCAGTCGCAGGTATTGGGGCGTCCGGCGTCGCCAGTAGCGGGTTTGTTATAGTTCTCACTGTTTCCTCTGAGAAAGCGAAACCATTATTATTGGGCATCTGCAGCAGTTGCTTTGCTTTGGGTCTCATCCTTGCACCCGTTATCGGTGGTGCTTTTACAGAGAAGGCATCCTGGCGGTGGTGTTTCTGGGTCAATCTTCCTCCAGGTGCTTTGACGTTACTCTCTATGCTCTTCTTCTTCAAACCGCCTTCCATACAGCGCGATCAGACTCTTCTCCAGTGTATTAAAAGCTTGGATCTTATTGGATGTGGGATGTTTATTCCGGCTATCTTTATGCTGCTTCTCGCTATGATGTGGGGTGGCACCCAGAAGGATTGGGACTCGGCGACAATTATCGGTCTCTTTGTGGGATCGGGTGCAATGCTCATGGTATTTGTGGCCTGGGAATACTATAAAGGCGATGGTGCCATGATACCGGGGAATCTACTCGGTAGGCGGACAGTCATTTTTAGTGTCTTGTTTTCTTTTTGCCATTTCGGGTCTCTTGGTATCGTGAACTACTATCTTACTGAATGGTTCCAAGCAGTGCAAGGTACATCTCCGTTGGAGAGTGGTACGCGCGTTTTAGCTGCTATGCTCTCTCAGATTGTAGGAACTCTGGCTGCTGGTATTTTGGGTAAGCAATTTAATATCAAAATCTCACCTGCGAAAGTATCAAAAGTTAACACTTTGATATAGCGCGGAAGATAGATTTCTATAATCCTTGGCTATTCGCTGGACCTCTCTTCATTTGTACTGCCACAGCGTTATACACCCAATTCACGGCTTTTAATACACCATCCAGTCATTGGATTGGTTTCCAGGTGATCCAGGGTCTCGGGGTCGGCATGGCCCAGCAAATGCCCTCTCTCATAGTCCAGCTCGAAGTCCACGATAAACCGGACCTCCTGCCCGTCGGAGTCTCTCTCAATTTATTCTTCCAGTACCTGGGAGCAACAGTCACGCAAGTTCTGGGAGTATTGTGTTCCGCTCAGTTCTTGGCAATGAACTGGCCCATCATGCTGGTCTCAGTGCCTCCAAGTCGCCTTGTTATCCGCTGCTGGAACCGCCAATATACGTGAGACGACTGAACAGAGCTTCCACAAACTGTTACGGCTAGTTTTGGAATCTTATAACAAAGCTATTACTGCAACTTTTGTAAGTGGCTCATCTCTGAGGAAATCGTGCAGTAGAATTGTGACGAATTAACTGAGAAATTATAGTTTCTTGCTGTTACTACGTCTGCCACAGCACTATTTCTAGCTTTCGGAGTTGAGTGGATCAGAATTCGTGGGCAAAAGAGTACTGAGCTGGAAAGTCGTGAACTAGAGCAGCAGTAGAGATTTGTCAAGCTTGTTTTATAGTACTGCTAGCCTCAACAACAAGGAACGGAAGTTACGAAATTATAGATTGGAGGAACGGAATGAAGCAATTAATGTTGATGTAGAGGAAGAAGCGAGAGAAAGCTCTAAGTATGGACGCAGGCTTTGGTCATATACGTGAAAACACTCCGTAAGTCAAACCCTGGCCTCTTACCGGTTGATAGAATAATCGAATCTGGGGGCTAGAAGCCGACGCACTTGAATGTGAGCAAAAAAGAAAAGACAAATGATGTGAAAAAGAGAGGCTAAATAGTGTAAGGCGACCAATCTATAAAGCGATATATTTTCGTCCGCATGAAACAATTCAATCTTCTATCAAGGACAGTGTTCATAATACCATTATCCCTGTATATGAAAAGCTATATAGACCTACGTGTATAGTGCAAGAGTACTAAAACGACCAATCCTTTTAATAAGACCCGCTTACTAAAGCCTTGCCTTACAGAGCGCCTAAAGGCTAAAGGGCGCTACAAACACCCTGTATGCCTGTAAAAGCTTAGAAATGGTATACATGTACTCGACAAGATATATCCTAAACGTGATCAACTGAACTCAGTGATCAAAAAGCCACGCGGAGCAGTGGAGCGGAGCCCGAACGCCAAGATGTCCGGCCCGTCTGCAAGCCCAAGGTATACATGCGAGGTCAATTCAGCTAACATGGGTACATTCAAATCCCGCCACAGGATTGGTGGTCCAACGTCCCAGCAATAGCAGCAGAATCATACCCGCCAATAACTAAGATCTTTATGATCTTCATGATCTTCACGCAGCAACCCCGGAATAGCCCTTTCAGTAACCTGGCAGCCGTCAAATGATGTCATTATGAGCCCCAGCTGGCTAGACTGTCTATCTATCCAGGTAATTTAGTGTATTATCACAAGGGTCTCAATAGATATGGTGTCATTTGGTCAATTATCATTACAGTAGAGCAGTTTGTCAAAAAAAAACAAGCTGTGCCTGTGCGTACTGTGCCCTGTTTTGATACCTTGGCGGCACACTAGTGGCTTTCTTTACTTCATCAAGCATATGGCTCGGTCTGCATCCGTGGTTTTACAAATTTACGGAGTCTGGCCCTCGGGTGCTTTCTTCTTTGGTCCAACGTGTTCGTTGAAAATGACATTGCTTTTGAGGGTTAACCCACTGTGCCTTGTTTCATCCGAGTTGGTTGTGGAGATTTTGACCTCATTTGTCCATCTAGATGAGGTATATACAGTTTTGAAGTTCTTTTATGGCGTCATTTTGAATGAGAGCTCGGGGGGCATCCATGGAAAAGCTAGAAATATTCAGGAGCTGCTAGATTGTCCACATGCAGATCCCTTCATCCCTCAACCCCTTTTTGAGGCTATCTTGGCCATTTTCGAAAGGAGCATACATCCAACACTGCAGTAAGGTAGCCCTTAAGCTCGGCACTTATTGAAAACGCAGTGTTTTGACCGCTCGGATTAATTAATAAGTAGTAGTTTAATCCAGTGCAGTATTGTGACGCAAAGATAGATAACCAACTACACAACTAGACTCAATTCCTGGTGTGGTACAAAGAGACAAAATTTATGCCACGTTGACTCTTGAATATCTTGCGGTAATTGCTTTAGTCCATCCCTATTAGCAGTTCTGATTGTGCGTATTTAAAGCTACTGGAGTGGAACCCAATAGCCCTACACATGGCCCTTGCGATAGGGCTACATTTAGCTTTTCTGGCCACGACATGAGACCTACATGCCTACAAGGCTGCCCATCTGTTACTCAAGAACCACGACCTTCTGCTCTCGCTGAAGCCTGGCCCAGTCCCTCAGGTATACCCAACCCAGCTCCCGACGATGTGCAAGACCTCCACTGTTCGCAATCATCAGCACGTTCACGATAGGTACTTTTTCCAATGAATTCCCATCGGCATCAACATAGTTCTTCCGCCCAAGCTTGTCTCTCTGGTAAGACCTGATTGGGGTCCCAGACAAGGAGAGAGCGATGAACTCGAACTCGACGACGGCGTTATATCCCAGGGAAGTGAGCTCTTTTCTCAAATGATCCGCGTCTCCGCAGAGTTCGCCAATTGTATCTCCTTCTGAGTTGATGATATCAATAGTACGAACAGGGCTTGTCTTTGTCGCGATTCGAAGAAGCACAGCTTGGGATCTTGTTGTAATTAGTCCGTTTTTTATCCCGTCCGTTAAAATTCCATATGGCATTTCAGACACATCGATAGTAAACGGGAAGGCTTCTTTGCAGAATGACTCGTAATCCTTCCAACGGGTGTCGACTAGCTCACGAACAGTCAGGAAGCTGTCAGATGCCAACGAGAAAGCGAGAGATACACCTTCCACGCATCGTTCTTTGCTAGCAATCGCCATGTAAACCTGCCAACCATCATTAGGTTCCGTGCCGTCGTGATTGAAGGCTATTATGGAACCCAGAGATGAGACTTCGCAATTTGCATGATACCAAAGGACTAGAGTTCCATAGAAGTCCATTCCTTGGTAGATCGCAGGATCAGAATAGCCTCTTAAGCATGACCACGACCACGTCGGTAATACTTCTCCCTGGGTTTCCCGACGCTCTATACCGTGTGTACCACTTTCAGGGAACCATAGCAATGCGCGGTCAAAGTCTGCTACCGGTAGTCCGTTGACGAATCCGCTGATCTCTCGATAGAAGGACTTAGAGATACCATATAGCGCCTTGTAAGCGTCAGACGGATACATAAGGGTTCGGGCAGTGTAATGCATAAGATAACGTGCAAAAGATTGAAACCGGGATCTGTCTTCGGAGATAGTCAACCTAGTCGAATAGAGTTCATGCCGGATCTCTTCGGCGTTAAACTGATCCTCGTGGCAGACTAATCGTTCACATTCGAAAAAGACGCGAGTGTTCGTGAAGTAGAGCTTCCTGTTCGAAAGAACAGCTTCCTGATATGTCTATCCACGAGTGTCCCACATACTAAGCGGATCATCTTCAACGTCCCGAACCAGATTTGTAAGACGTATATCGAGGATTTCGTCGCTTTGCTGAACTGCTTTCCTTGGGTGCTAATGCCCGGAATCCCAAAATACGTACTATCGCCATATGCCGCCACAAGTACAATCTGCGCGGAAGAATAAATGTCGCCCATTGCCTCAATTTGAGTTCGGAGGTCTTCTAAGTCATCTTGGATAATGCAGAGCCTGTCGGTTCATAGATATCTCTCGCCTAATTGAACACAAACTTGAATTGCGTCCTCTATTGTTTGGGGCATTTTGGAAGCAGGGAGGCTACCATTCTTCTTCATCGCATCGACAGTAGAACGGGTACATGCAATCATAGATGCCTACGGATTCGAGCCCCATACATAACTTAATGCAACAAAACGGCAGCTACCATTCTCCACAAGACAGCGTCTGTTCACGTCGATGACGCGAAATCCGGGAAGGGGGTCATAGCGAGCTTTTGGCTGACACTCGCTGTGTGTTTCGTAGCATTCACTCATCTTGTTCAGCAGAGAGGACCAGGATACCCTTTCCCTAAGAGGAAACTCGGTAGAGTCTTTGGTTCAAGTTTTAGTTAGAACCATATGCCTATTAGAGAAAATAGGATACCTTACCTGATTTAACATCATCTATGTAAAGATCACCAACCCAAACATTCGATAGGCCATACCCATCCGAGAAATGGGTATAGATATCTACGAGGACAAGACTTGACCCCTTTGTCTCGGAGTCCTCACGTAGGCCTAGGTTAAGAACGATATTATAGCTTCCTTTCGTCATTTCAGATAGCTGTATAGGACTAAGTCCAACCAAAAGCATATGGCTCACGAAACGACAAAGCGGACATGTGGTCACAGCAGTATCCTCTACGAGCCCCGTTCTCAAAGCGACGTAAACGCTATTTCGAGTCTCAGGCTCCATGCATTTTACCAGATGCCTGTGTCGTAGCTGCTGGCAGAGGTCACATAGAGAACTTGCGTTGGAGACCAAAGAGCAAGAGGAACATGGTTGATGAAATAGCTCGGTGATTTCCTGTTCAGATGGACTGGAGTCATCTTCAGAATGGGACAGATACCAAGGACACGAAGCAGAATTCTCATCCATTTTCATGGGGTCGCTTACTAGTTCTACATGCAAAATCAGCATTTTCGGGCTTTTCTCACCCCGCCTTGTGGAAACTAACCCAAAATCGCATAGTTCTGCTACTACTAGAGTTGGTGCTTGGGCTCCTGGATAGCTGCCTATCAGCAGGTTGTAAGAGTTGATGGCTTAATGGGCGCTTCAGGGTAGATTCAGATTCGTCAACAACAGCATCGAATTCCTTGGGTTTAAGACAGCCAAATCTTCTTTAGCTTATTCCAGCCTAGCCGCCGCGCCATGAATCCAACTACCTATAAGCATGTAAACAGCAGCCTAGGCAGCTTACAATAGTCATCTCAAAATAGTTCCTTGGCAATGTGCCAAGCTCGGCGGGAAAGTTCTTCCTCCGTGTTAGGTTTCTGTGTCTTCTTCCCCTAAAGTCATCTCTAGCTGAAGAAGCCATGTTGTCGAAACAACTTTCTCCGTTCCACATATTGTCAATTTCGACAATCTTCATCTTAACATGCATATTCTTCATGCTCTTCACTATCTCTTCCATAATGGATGTACCGAGGAATCCTCATCCAGTGGCATTTGACCCGTCGCCAAAGGTCGATCTGAATGCAAAGACACCGTCAACGTTCGAGCTAGGGAGCAATGCCACATTGGTGGCTGCAGAGACATAAAATATCACATGAATATCCCTTCAATAATATGTTTCTTCGTGTCCCATTCCTTGAAACATGCTCGACAAAGTCAACGGTGCCCTGGCTATGGCCTCAGACGAAGCTATTACAGGCATAAAGGACTTCCAGTCACTGCTCAGCGCTTTCAACCTAGCGGCAGCTACCCCCTGACTCGTCGGCACGTGCCCTTAAAACCTTCCAGCAAGTTACTGCGCACGCGCTTTTGTGCACAGCGGGATTTCAGATCTAGAGTGGAACGAACGAGGAGAGAGGCTGGGATCGATTCAATGTCTGATGTGAGAACTGGAATGGACTTATACATGCAACATGGACAAAATCCGCCAGCCGATACCTTAGTCTGAGCCAGCAGACATATACATAAGAGAAGAGGAAGGTTTAATGTAATAATTTCCAATTTTTTTTGAAGTAACTTGGTAGCTGCACTGTAGTAGTACAGATACGATCGATAATCCTCAAGTATCGCACGAAAGTTCCGCAATGAAGCACAATGTCATCAGTCATAAGATAGGAACATGGTATCGGAACTTTTTTGTGCGGAAAAGAGGTTTGGTGCAAGACAAAAAAAGAAATCGCAGAAACGAATTGGAAATCCGGACGCCGCGCTCAAGTAACAAAAATTCAAATCAAAGATCAAGATCGAGAGATGATGATTTCTTAGGCAAAATAATAGGACATGGGGAGGTTGGTTTACTCCTCGTCTGTCTCTGTTGCGTCTTCGCCGTCTTCATCGGATTCATCATCGGCGCCGCTGTCTGAGTCGTTGGCATCGTCCAGACCGGGGATACCGCGCCATTCGACGTAGTCACCTTCCAGCCAGCGTCGGCTGCGGGGCAGCTGGTAGGGGTCGAAGGGGAAGTATGCGTCGAGTTGGTAGCCGCTGTTGTCGCCAGCACGGATCTCGCGGCCGACTTGACTAAAGCGAGGGTCTGCGAGGGTGGAGATACTTCGGAAGGCTGTGATGCGAATGCGCTTGTTGGTCTCGAGGAGGGGGTAGACGTAGAGAAATTGGAAGTGGTGGGCGATGCGGGCGAACTCGGAAACGATGGCTGGAGAGCACACCTTCAGAGGGTTCAGACGCGAGTAGATGGACTTGTGGAGGAACTCTTTGATGTTGGGAGAGGAATTGGATCTGACCTGGCTCGAGCTCGTCCACCTGGTCTGCAGTGTCGCCGTCAATGGCAGCGGTTGTTAGGTCGCGCCAGCGGAAGCAGAAGATGTAGAGTAGTGCTTGAGCGGTGGAGTAAAAGGGGCCATAGCGACGGAGATCAGGGCCGCGGCAGCTGACTTCGTAATCAATGCGCAGATTATTCAGGTGGGTGAGAAGCAGGTCAAAAACATCGCGAACGACATCGCCAGAAATGTGAGCACCACGAGCAACGAAGCTGGCAAGGTATGCGGCTGCGGACTGGCGCAGGATACCAGGCTGAAGTCTGTTGAAGATCAATTGCACAAAGGTCGAGGCGAAACGATCGACGAGCACGGGAGAGGACTGAGAAAAATGGAAGAGGAGGAATTGAGTGTGGCGTGATCGGTATGTTGGGAGGATGATGCTTTGGAAGTGGCTGAGGAGCAGATCCAAAGCGTTCTCCTTGTCGTCCAGGCTGCCAGAGGCGAAAGGAGGAGCAAAGTATTCGAAGAGAATATCGATCATTCCATCAACCTTGAGGATGTTGTCCTTAATCTTCTTCGCACCCTGTGTGTCGTCTTCCTCTGAGTCATCGCTTGCAACAGACTCATTGTCATCATCGACTTCGTCGTCATCAATGTCGTGAATGAGCTCGTCGCCAACCTCCTCCTCGAAGTCTTCCATGTCTACTTGAATCTGAACATCCACTTTTACAAGTTTCTCGGTGATCAGAGCAAGGATGTCGGATTGCAGTTCGGGTGTGTAGTTGATAATTTGAACAAGGTTGCGAGTGTAGGCGACATTGGCACTAGCGGGGTCCGAGTCGAAGGGGAACTGCGCAGACAAGATTGGAGACAGCGAACCACTAGCAGCTGGGATCAGTCGTAGCAAATGGCGGAGTGCCATGTGAACACGAGTGTGGATTTCAGAGGGTGAAACAACAGCGTAGCCAGGGAGACGACCGAGTCCTCGAGGGACGGTGCTGAGGTTGGTGGCGAGCATCTTCAAGACAGGGCTAAGGTAGGTACCTTGTGCAGCAGCCAGATTGCCCATGAACCGGATATAAAGCTTCACGTATGATTCATCACGACCAAGCCACTCGCTGTTGATGATAGCGTGAACGAGTCCGCTACATGAACGGTCGAGAGAGGCGACATGTGAGAGTAGACCGAGGAGGTGGTTCTTCAAAGACGTATGTGTTGGCAAGTCGTATGCAAGTACGGCGTCATCACCCTGTTTCTTGGGGTCGGCCGTGAAGATTCCCTTGATTCGGTCGTACCCCTCGCTTTCTGACATTGTGACATGGCGGTGGATAGCACTGCGCACTTCTTCCCGAACGAAAGCCAGGCTCTTTTCGGACGAGGCATCGGGCCCAGAAGCATCGTGTAGCTTCACATTCTGGTCGAATTGAACGCGTGGTCGCTTCTTACTGGGGAGCTCTTCGGTAACGTCATCGCCTTGGGACGACGAGGGGGAGAGGGCGAGGTCAGCGTCGCTCATCTTGCGTTTCGTGCCGGCCATCGGGCGAGTCGGCTTGGAGGTTTTGAGGATAGGAACGGGAGAGGAGTTGCTGATCATTTTCGATCGAGGAATTGCAGGGTTAGGCGGCAGCGCCGAGTTGCGTGAAGTCGTGGCGGCAAGGGAGACCATGACCGGGTGTTGAACAATAACAGATTCTAGAGAGAGAAATATGTCCACATTTGTTGCTCTGCTCTCTGAACACAGAACACTGTCGACGTTGATTCAATATTGGGACTTGAGCTTATTGAAGCGTGATCCAAGCACACGACACTCTCACGTCTCGAACTTGACGTTTATGCTACAGGTTGAAGCGGGAAAAAAGGGGAAACATCTGTCTGCACCTCTGGAGGTTTTCCAGTCGCTTGGAGGAGATGATATCAGATGCAGACAGAATGGTCGAAATAGCCAGGTCTGAAGGCAAAGCAAAAGTGAAATTTTTCCTTCATTCGCTGTGGAGCCTTCGGAGCACCCGTGAACCCGTGACCGTGTCGGTGAGCCCTACGCTAGTCCATATTAGGTGGTTTTAGCTTATGTCATCATTTTCTCATCGCCGCGTCGCGTGCAGGTATACGAAGTTGGGTGTCTCCAGGACAATGGCTTTACATTTGTCTCGTCATTGTCGCGACATTGTCAATGAGACTAATCTCAGTCTCAGCAATCAAGCAAGACACTTAATCTACAATTCAGCAAAGACATCCGCAAGCTTTTATCGTGCTTCTATTGACAAGTATGATTTCAAAACCCGAATAGAACCTGAAATAATCTAGATGCGAATCCCATCAGTCACGTTGAAAAATTGACGGAGATAAGAAGGCCGTCAAAGACGGGAGAAAGAGAACAATGGAAGAGGCAGAAGGGATAGAACAAAGACCGAACGCAAAACAGAAGGGTCCTCCCATGGTATCGTGCAAAACAAGGAGAATAGTCGTCAGAGAGAGAGAATAATAGTTGGTCGTCGCGGCAGACTCAGCAAAAAAGATCCAGTTCTTTGCAGGCTGCAATCTCGTGTCTAATTTCCCCGGATCAACCGGGGCGGGGCAGTATTAAAGATAAGTTAGAACCAAGACGTAGTGTGCAGAGGTCCAGGCTTGTCCTCAAAAATGCTGCCGTAGAGATCTTCAATCTCCACAAGATAATCTTCGACGGTGAACTTCTTGAGCCCCTTGTCATACAAAATGCGCTCTTCATCATCAAGTAGATTCAAGCCACCGAATTCCTCGGCCACTTCGTTAACCTGCTCCAATTCCTTGCTGAATGGATGCTGCTCGGGCTGGAAGAAATCCTGGGACGCACGGACGGTAGGGGTACTGCGTGGGGCGTTCAAAGGAGGCGGGGACATCCTAGAGACGGAACGCTTGCGAGCGAGCTCCTGGTGCGAACGCTTGGTGTGGGATAAAGCGCGCTTAGGAATCATCGGGGCGTCCATGTTTGACTGGGAGGACGAGGTCGAGGAACGCGGATGGCTAGTCACGGTGGCTGAGCGCTTGGGGAAATAAGATGCCATAGGGTTGGCCTCAACAGGGGAGCTCTCATAGGGAGAGACGTCGGGTGAGGTCATAGACGAAGCGTAACTTTGCGGGGAAACAGCGTCGTCGGAGCGCAACGAAGATGACGAAGACGAGGATACGGCTGAGTGAAGATCCGGGGCGTTGTAGGCAAGCATGTTGGTGGTGGACAACAGCTGGACAGGGCCAGATATATTGCCACGCTTGATATTTCCCGAATTCAGTCGCACATGGCCTTCGCCTCGATACGGCATGGGCGCAGATACCTCCGGGCGCTTGTTGCGCCGGGTAAAGGCTCTCGTGAGGTTCGACATGATGAATTCAGAAGAGGGTTAAGACGGAGACGGTGAAACGTCAAGTCAGGAATGAATTTTAGAGGTGTCGCGTATTCTTATTTTGGGCGTCTTTGCGATCGGATACCGTCTCGCGTGGTAGACGATCGCGGGATGAAAAGAATGGAGGATCAACTCCAGGAATGTCCGGTGTCAGATAATGAAATTCTATTCCAACAACTGTGTAGAAGTGAAACTGAGTCGTTTCAAATGAATGTCGAGGTCTCGTAATTTTGCGCAGCAAAGTGGGAGATGAGTGTAGCCTTATTTGTGGGCTTAAAGGAATGGAGCGCACAACCAGGCGCTAGGTCGATAGACAGGAGTGATCACAGATCACAGAATATCAAGGATCAGAGAAGGAGAGAATGAAGGAACTAAAAATGAGAGGTTGGAAAAGAAGAAGGGGGTCCCTTGAATGAAGAGTGTGACGGGGGGGGGTCGGGCGCTTAACACGTTTGGCCACTCCGAGAACCAACTGTAGGCCGATGGAGCCCAACAGAGACCGCGGATTGGGGGTCCAGAGTTCTTCCCAGTGGTTCATCCAGACTTTTACACTTTGCCTCTTCCTACGGTATGTTCTCTACGCTGATTTGCTTCTTATTTTTTGAGTCCCTGTGGCCGTCCGGCCGAACGGTCAGGGCCCAGACGTGGTCGACCCTGGATGGCCCTGGGTATGGAGGGGCAGTCCTGGTCCTGGTCAGGCGCGTTGGTCGTCGGACACCGGTTATTGACGTGTACAGTCTTTACTCCAGGTGACCCTTCGAGGGTCTCCCAATTCACGTGAATGCCATCCCTCATTGTGTGATGCAATTATTTTTCCGTGTAGAATTTGGCTGAAACAGTTGAACGCAGGTCCGGGCCCCAGTCTGATGGCACGGGCGTTTCACTAGCCAGTTAGACTCGTTCCACACTTAAAGCGAAGCTCCGTGTCCCGTTGGTGAGAATCCAGGGACTCCCGCATATCCAATGAAGGGCCGTTCGAGGAAATGCACAAGGGTCTAGTTTGTGTGAAGAGATTCAGCTGAAGAGTTCAGATTCACAGAATCTGTGGGATCGTTATCTGGGCGGAGCGTTGTGGACTCAGTGGACTCGGTGGACTCGGTGGACTGAGTGGAGTGGTGATTTAAAAACCTCATCTCGGACTCCACCGGACAAAGGCTTGTGGAGAGATGCGCTCGAGCCCCGCCAGGGCCCTATACAGAAACCCTGCACTCTATTCTGCATAGAGTGCGTCAAACTGGCGCCTTGGGCTGAAAATAAACCTTTCAAGGAGTTGGGAATGTGACAAGACGTTCTTCTTTCAATTCCACGTGATAGCTTGACTGCTGATTCCTGAGGCCAAAGTGGCCCGTGTTCCCAGTTACAGATATAGTGTCCAAGCTTTCAGACCTCTCCTATAAACGATGTATTTTGAACAGATCAATTCAGAAATATAGACTCGGATTCTCGTGTGATAGCTCCTCAGCCCTCGTCGATCGCGGCTCCACACCAGCTGCTGCTTTTGAATGATCCATAACAGAAACACTGGCATCATCCACCTCATGTCGGGAACTTCTAGCTGATGGAGACGGCAGGACCTCCAAATCAACCGCAACTTGCCTATAATACGCCGGGGAAGCCATCATTCCGGGGCGCGGCTGATGGGTATCATACGGACTACCTATACTGATTCTGCTATCCCCAGGCTGCCATGGAGACCGCACAGTCCCCGAATGCGGCTCATCAGATACACCTAAAGAACGCGTTTCATCGTGAATAGGAGTCATCGGTATTGCGTAACCGCCCCTTGATGTCTCGGGGATCATCTCTCTTGGCTGCTCCATGTTGAATTGGTCCGACATCACCGTCATCCATCGTTCCATGTCCGGCCACTCTCGGAGTGGGAGTTGGGACCACTCTTCCATGCGTGCTGTCTTGTGTTTAGGTGCTGTGTCGGTCTTGGCCGAGGCTTGTACGGCTGATGATCCCATTGATCGGAGGGCTGTGAGTGCTCCATATAGGGCGGACTCGGTTTCTGCTAACCTCTGCTCAAGTTGATTCAGATACCCCAATGGCAAGCCTCTATATTAACAGGTCAGTTTCTATGCGTACCTGCGTGCATTGGACATTTTACCTCTTGCCACTCTCTAGGTAAGCGCATTTTGACGGTTCACCTGCACATTGAGAACAAAACGGCCTTGGTGACAATGAAAATTAGAGATGGCCCAGGTCTCATCTCAATTTTTAAATTCCATGATCTTACAATTTGCGATCGCACTAAGCTAATCAGCATTCATGTATATTCATTTGCACAAATTCCACTTACTTTGCATTTCCGCTGTCTGCATACTTCACATGAAATCGAATGGAGGTTCTCCTCTTCTACATGCGGATATTGGGTTAGTCGAACTATGCGTTAAATGTGGAGGCATTGAAGTCTCACCTGGGATAGTACCCTCGGACGCTTTAGCCCGCTTCGATCGCAATTGCCCCATCTGATTATATAAGGGCTATGTTATGCAGAACGCAGTGAAACGTCTGTGCATGCAGAATATTAGGCCGGCCAAGCCATTTTGATAGATCTAGCTGATATGTATGAACGTTGAAAGTTTCGGAGTTGGAAATGTCCGGCAGATATTCCCTGCACGTGACGCCCCACGAATTGGCCGTCCGCCATCAATCTAGTTGCATGCGTTTACATATGTCTTGCTCATTCGTTTCTTTTGTTAGAAACAATAAAATGTTAACTGTGATCAAAACTCCTTCGACCGGGCTGGCTGCGACAAAGCCTCCGATCGTCGGTCATAGGAGACTTTGATGTCTGTCACCTTAGTGATCCCATGACTATCCCTGTGACCATCCGGGGTAAGCATCTCAAGACCATACTTGGAAGAATGATCATCCCGCCACGCATCATCTTGGGCGCTGGTGAGATTGCGTTCGGAGGGGGTGAGATGCGGAGTGTGACATGCACCATATGGATTGTAATGGTCAATATTAGACTGAGAGGCGAAGAATTTAGGAAAGAGATATTGTAGCGGATGTCTGAAGACTGGAAGACAGGTGCAGATAATACCGGTATTTGCTTCGATCACACTCCAAATCGTAGCAGGTAGAGGACCACCTGTCAGTGTTAGTTAACACTTTCTCCAGTGCATCAGTGGAGATTAAGAAAAGGCATACTAGTTGAGTCGGAGTTCTCGGCTGATTGAACGAGTGTTGTAGTGCGGACGATAGTCGTCACGCAGACACTGGATGCGTGAGATTTTAGTGCAGGATACGAGATTCAAGCAAGAAAGGTTACTCACAATGCTCCCATTCCAAAAACAACCAGAAGACCAATCTTTTTAAGGCGCTGTAGACGTAGTCGACTCAATGGGTATATGGGTAGAGCAATAATAGCTAGATCGAAACCGATATTGATGAGGGAATATGACATCCATAAACCCTTTTTATCCAGACATTGCGGATTTTTGATTGTCACATCCCAAAACGAAGCTATTGGCTTGCATTGAAAGATAGTAGCGAAGAGATATGCCAGACCCCATCCGGTTATTAATCCAAAGCCGATATAGCATGACCACCGGAAGATTCGCTGCGGGAAGATGCGGAGGTAGAGACAGAGGAAAGAGAGTTTATTCACGGCGATGACGATCTTGTACATGATTTGAGCGCCGAAGAACCACTTGCGGGCGGTTACTCGATTGTAATGAGGCAGGTCTTTAGCATGTTTTCCGTAACCATGATGTACCGCTGGCTGTGTATTAGAGACAGTCAAACTGGTAGATAATCCGTTTAAAGGATCGACTCACCTGAGCATTCAGTTATAGTAAGAAGAACAGAGCAAATCTGTGAAGTTTCGATTAGTAGATACAGATGTCAATTTAAACTGATACACTTACCAACGATGTCAAAATCATCCAATCATCCGATCCTAATCGATTATGATGATAACGAATCGCCAGTCTGGAGAGCACAAATAGCCCAGCTGTAATAACCATCACAACACTACATATCCACAGTGGAAAACCTCGATTGGGCACGTCAGGCGTACTCAATCCAATTTCGTAGGCCATGGCACAGTGGAATAATCAGTGAGAATAAGAAGAGAAGAAAATGGCACGATACTCGTTATAAATTGAAAAGCATTGTGGCCCCCAAACCCTTAGGTGTTCGCGACCACACCAATACTGATCTCCAGGGAGGGGTCTCCACTGGATTCTAAACTACTTGAAGGATCGGGACTAGACCAGGGTCATCGTTGGATTTTCCGACGTTGCACTGAAGTATCAGGAGTCTGCCCTTTAAGTTTGAAGGATTGAGAGCAACATACAGTACATTATACACTCCGAAGTACTATGTACTGTATTGATGTTCTACCAATACAATAAACGTCAAAAGTCCTTCTATATCCCAACCTTTACGTGATATAGATGGTCAATCCAAGGCCCTCAAAAATGAACAAAAGAGAAATGAAAAATGAGAGTTCAAGTCATGGCATAAACAAATGGTACACTAGCTTCAAGATATTCGTATGAAGACCGCCTGATACTTTATGGTACCGTGAATGGATTTATGACCCCTGTTGTATGTACATGCTTGTGCAGTATAGGTTGCAATGCTTTTGACGCAAGCACGACAAGAGACTCATTATCAAACTTATGACAGGACAGGTCACGCACATAACTTCTAATATGACTCTAGTCTCCATATAGCAATACAGTTATATTGGACCAGGACTGCAGCTGAGAAACCGGCGTTGCCGGGTTAGGTCAGGGATGTATAAATCCATGTGGGCCAGGATCCATGCCTCTCAGGGAATATAACAAGTTATAATGCTCAACACTTGAACTAGATATGCACCTGAACTCTTGGCATAATGAATCTAATGCAACGTGAATATCCTAATTAGCGCATCATATATAATGTAGTAGCTGTGGAAGATCCACAGTTAATGTTCCTCATTGGTCGTGGTTCCTCTACAGTATGTTTTCGCCCTTGGCCCCCAACCTCACTTTATGAACGAATGCCGGTGATTTCCCCGTTTATCCCCCTCAACCTGCGATCGGTACCTTTGCCGCGGATTTAAGCGACCGTGGAACGTTGATGTCTCAGTCGACTGATTTCTCAACGACTCGTGCAGCTCTTATATATACCGGGCGTTCCGTAGCCTTATCTATCCTCCTCCTCTTACCGGAATTAAACTTCAGTAATGACTGGGTTTTGGAAGGTAACTGGGTCTGCTATCTTGTTCGCAGCTTGTCTCCCCGTAGCTTACGCCCAAAAATGTTCATCCCATCCAAAAGAGCACGTTGGTGCTTCGGTGCGAACTAGTAGTGGGTTGATCAAGGGTCATCCTGCACCTTACAGACCTGAAGTATCAGAGTACTTGGGCATCCCATATGCCTCTCCACCAACTGGCGACCTCCGATTCGCACCTCCTGTCGCCTTTGCCTCTGAGGATACCATTGAGGCATCTTCGTATGTATGTATTCCCCCTTGCTTTCTGGACACCATGGCCAATAATGCTATTTACAGAGTCCGTACGTATATAAAGTCTTGAATATGACCTTTGAAATACATCTGATCAAGAATTAGTGACTGCCCTGCAAACACTGGCTCAACTCCAACAGATTACCCTGGGTACACTCCGCAGGCTATCAAGATATTGAAATCATTCAGACAAGAATTAGGGACTTTTCAAAGCGAAGACTGTCTTTATTTGAACGTGTGGACACGAACCACTGTTTCTGAGTCCAAACCAGTCCTTCTCTGGATCCACGGTGGACGTAAGTCCTTAGTGTCAGAATTCACTATACTATCGATGACTGACATTGGTACCAAGGTTTTACCAACGGTGGCGCCAATAACCCGTACTATGATGGACAATCTTTGGCAGATGAGCACGATGTGATAGTGGTTACCATTAAGTATGTGTGCTCACTCTCGCGTTTACGCTATTTCTAATTGGTGGCAGCTATCGATTAAACATTTTTGGGTTCTCGGGTGCACCGAATCTACCTCAGAATGTCGCCTTGCTCGATCAACGTATGGCAGTAGAATGGGTTCAACGCAATATCGCTGTGTTTGGTGGCGATCCAGAACGCATCTCCATCTTTGGCCAATCTGCCGGTGGATCTTCCGTTGACTATTACGCACATGCTTGGGCTGAAAATCCCATTGTTGCCGGACTTATCTCACACTCTGGAACGTCACTTAGCTTCGTGCCCAATACCGCTGAAGAATCCGCCAGTTATTTTTACACTGTCTCGAAAGCTCTGGGCTGCGGCGATGCCGACAGTGACGCTGATGAGGTTGTCAAGTGTGTTCGCCAGAAGCCATTTACTGATGTGGTCAAGGCTGCTGGTAAGGTCTCAGCAGCATCATCTCCGGCACTTCCACAGCCTGTTTTTCATCCCACTGAGGATGGAGTGACAGTGTTTGATAACTATGCTCAGAGAACGTCTGCTGGCAAATATGCTCATCTGGTAAGTATCAGCTTGGTCATATTAATACAAAAGTTATATAAAGCCTGACGCATTGCAGCCATACCTCATCAACAGCAACAATTACGAAGCAGGATACTACCGCATCAGCGCATATGGAGGAAACGTCTCGCTCACGGATGACCAATGGGACAAGTACAACCTAGCAGCATTCACTTGTCCAAGTGGAACATCGGCAAGAGGCCGTGCCACGAATGGAGTTCCAATCTGGCAGTCCCACTACTTCGGTGACTGGGACAACCTACATCTTTACCCTGGCAGTGGTACCTACCACGGCGTTGATCTCCTCATGCTGTTTGGGACCGCGGAGCATGTCAGTGGAATCAGGAATTCTGACAAAGAAGACGAATTTGCCCACTACATGGCTTCTGCCTGGGTGGCTTTTGCTAGTGATCCCCGGGAGGGACTGACCAAATTTGGATGGCCCCAGTACAATGCTGATGGTAAGCTAACGGTTAGTGTTTCGTATGTTCATGCTTCTAACATCTTCACAGAGAGTACACTTGTCGGACTGGCCTACAATGGGAAGAATGCTGAATTTCTCAGGCCTTCAGATGTTGAACAGGGCTGTGCTGCTTTGAAGGGGAACAACACATACGGAAAGGGGGCGTTTTAATCAGTGATATGCCCATAAAAGCTATTAAAAGGGGTCAAAGAGCTTGGGTATGATTATTATAAAGATGATTAGACATAACGAAATGATCATTACCCGAGGTTTTTCTATAATGTCATAGGGTGGTTTTCATACTAAAGGTACCGTTTTATATAGTTCTGCGCCCTGCTTTCTAACCTCTCTTTTTTGGCCTCTTGTCTGCCCATCTTTGAATGCACCAGACTGACCATCTAGATCTCAAAAATATACAGGATATGAAAAGACTTATGGCCTCTGTGTGTTTGTTGAAGCGCGGCAACATCCATTATAGATCCCTTTTTGGAAGCTGACGTAATATCCGACTAAATCCCTCGGCCATCCTAAGGACAAACGACCATGGAAACTTGACATGTTCAATACCTCAATTTCAGATAACGTGATAGAAAATATGGCTTCCCCTTCATCTAAAAGCACTCGACTCGAAGAAAATGAAAGAGAATGGCCATACCCGTCTCGTGCAGCCAAGAGACGCAAGCGCACTTCCGCTGCGGGTACTTCAGGCCCATCGCCTCGTGAAATCGGATTCATGAGAGAGTCCCATGATGATGGGTCTGCTACATTTCTTGGAAGCTCAAGTGGAATTCACTTCATTCGACACGTTTACAATGCTTTCGCGCGCCGTTCAGCAGACCTGGGCCAGACACGAGCCCGTGACCGAACCTCGGTCCCAGGCGAAGACGACCGTCTACGGCGAAACGCAGGAAATGTTCACAGCCCCGATGACTTGTGGACTCGAAATGAGCTAAACTTCGCGCCCAATGCTTCATTCGAGTTCAATGACATTGTCAAGTGGACGCGTAGCTATTTTGAGAATTGGCATCCAATTTTCCCCTGTCTCCACGCCCCGACTGTCTTGAATCTGATGGAGACAGTGAGCCAAAAAGGAGTGGAATCAGCCAGTCGACTTGATATGTTGGTCCTTCGATCTATCGTTTCCATCTCCCTTGGCGATAACCGGCAAACGACAGCATCAGAATCTAAGCTGGGCCCAATTCCTTCAGTCTTGGTCTTTCGAAATATTCTTCATGTGATGCATGAAGTACAAAGTCTTCTTGAAGAGCCCACCGCACTTCCTCTACTGCAAGCTGCATTCACCGCACAGCTTGCCCTTACTTCGCTTCTCCGCCTAAACGCCGCTTCGCGTGTCGGGGGAGTCATCACTCGAACTGCCTTTCATCTGGGGTTGCATCGTTGTCCAGGGCGATTCTCATGCTTCAGCAATGAGGAGTTAGGTATCAGATGTCGGCTATTCTGGTCGATCTACTCCCTTGAGAGATATCTTTCCCAAGCTCTTGGAATTCCCCTCAGCATTCGAGACGATGATATCGATGTCTGCTACCCGGGAACTGAGCGGCACTCTTCTATCGTTCCGAAAAATCTCGAGAGTCCACGACTAAGACTACTATGCCATCTTGCAAAATTTGCACGGGTACGTGGTTTGATTGTGGAACTTCGCAACAAGTCTATTCTGCACAGTCATGCCAGTCAGGTTGAGGCAACCTACGTTTCTGGAGAACTCTCTAAATGGTGGAATGAAGTTTATGATGACGCAAACCCCATCGAGGATTCTACAGGTATTGAGCAGGAGATACTCTTACAGCCGTATCACCGATTGCTTCTGATGATTCTACGACACGAGGCTATCATCTCCCTAAATCGGCCTCTTTTAGCTGCCGAAAAACCCAGCGCTGATTATCAAAACGCGTTGCAGACCTGCATCGGTTCATCGCGATCTATACTTGTAGCTTTGAAAAAACATATATCCTCTCCGACCGAATCTCCGCTGTCCTGGCCATGCTTTACGTGGTCAACTTGGATGGCATGTCTGATTCTGATGTATGCAGCATCGGAAGAAGAATTTGCCGCACCCACCGCCATCAAATATGCTAAAATGGGGATCAGTATTTTGGAAAACCTGTCATTACGCGGTAGCAGCTGGCCTGAAACCTGTATCGAGGCAATCAAGAGCATGGAGTCTGCCTTGACACAGACACCGAATGCTGCTCAATTCAAGATCCCTCCCACATCGAATGGACCGGAAAGGTCCGCTCCGCCTGCAAATCCCGTCGACAGAAGAATGTCCCAAATATCGCCAGGTCAGTATAGAACCCACGAGATTGGAGATGCAAGTCTCACATCAGCCCGTCCTCCAGACCAACGGATAGATGCATACCAAGAGCGTCCGGCTTCTGTGGGAATTCAACCTTTCGACTCTTCTACCCGCTTGACCGCGGGTCTTGCCCCAGCAGAAAATTACCATTTGGCTATATTTTCACCCTCAGACAACACCTCCAACTTTGCTGAGGCACTGGACTCCATTGGAAGCAACTTCAATGGACAATCGTCTGCTGGCCTGATATTTGGCAACACAGCCGATAACAATGGTGTCTTCAACCCGAGTTTTGCAGGCCAAGATTCCTTGCCATTGACATCATCTACGTTCATGAACGACTTGTGGAGTGTTGCCGATGGCCCATGGATAATCCATAACAATTTTCTTTGATTTTTGATACTTGGTCCTTTGACGAGAAAACCGTGTAAATTTGTTAACGGATCCTGTAAGATCCCTTTGATTTCCTTCAATTTACGAACTATACTCTAGAAAACCTTCGATCTCTCTGTCCTGATTTAAAAGAACTTGCACTTGGCCCTTGCTCTTGTTAACGAAGAATCCTTGTCGCAATTGATCCCGCATCTAATCCAGTTACAGATCGTACGCCGAAATATACCCTTTCAAAAAAAGAACGACCCTTTCGTCTGTTATACCCTCACCCGCTCGCAGACGAAGAGCATGATCCTGCCGGATCCTCCATTTATACACATTGACCAAACTTGAAGTATCCAAATGGAAGAAGAGGTCCAAGTGTTGTCGCCCCATAAAGTGATTACAGTATTGACGCAGTCAGTTTCTCATTCGCTCCCAGCAAGTGCTCATCCTATTTCTGTCATATGGCAGGCAGCCTCGTCCAGTGGCTTGAATCCGACGCACCACCCTTCAAAATAACAATATCGACTTTTGTCCCCGCTGGAATGCGTTGCCATGTTTCTTTTGATGCCCCTCCGCCCTCTCCATTGAACTTGCTTTTGTCAAATGAGGGAATGAAACTTCAGAGCGATTGTTTAAATTCTGGAACTAAGAGCGCGCAAGCTCCATATCGTGCGTTCCGGGCTGGCCGCGGAATTGGGCAAGTCTGTTGTCTGGGTTGGCAAGGCGGAGCTTGACAAGATCATCGTAGTCAAGGTACAGATCGTCGAGTGAGATATTTATGGTGTTGGATTTGTGTTTGTCATTCAACCCTTTCACAGTTGCATTGGTACATGTTGATTTGCTCCTTCCCTGAAGGCCTGTCAGGCCAAAGATGAATGGTCTTTTGGTTGGAGTGGTAGACTGGCCTTTAAAATGGCGATCAATGTACCCAGCAAGGCTGTTCACAATGTATTCGATTTTCTCTTGGGAGACAGGCATTGTGAAGAGATGTTGCTACTCGAATCTCACTTGGATTCTGACTGAACTGAGTGTTGGAGCGGAGTGAAGTCATCCAGTCATGCAGTGGTTGTCTTTCACTAAGCATCACTAACTCTGGTTCAATGTATGGACCCTCTTTCTTTGATGCCATTCGCATGACGCATACTATAGTTGTTGCATAGTTGGGGTTCGCCGGACATGTTTTTGTCCGAGGAATCCACCAGAGAGTGGATACCCGACACACCACAACCGGACAAGTCAATCTCCGCACCCCGCGATCAACTTGGATGAGCTCTGAGGGGTCATGCGATAGGTTGTGAATAAATTTGATGCGAAGAAGCAACTCTTTAGGCTAAGAACCAAAATCCCTTAAGATCCGTTGAACTCGATGACTTCATCTATTCCTATCAACACTCAAACCTGTACAAGAACATCACAAGTCACAATGTCTGCCTCAGTCACCGGACAAAAGACCTACAGCATCGCATCCATTCCTGCCGACGGAATTGGACCGGAGGTCATTGATGCTGGTATCACCGCTCTCAATGCCTTGACTGATACTCTCAAGACTTTCAAGTTGGACTTCGAGAACTACGACTGGAGCTCTGAGACTTACAAAAAGACCGGCAAATACATCCCCGACGGCGGACTTGAAGAGCTTAAGAAGCACGACGCCATTTTCTTCGGCGCGGTCGGCGCTCCGGGTAAATATATATCACAATCGCATTGAAATATAGTTCTAACATACCCAAAGACGTCCCGGACCACATTTCTCTTTGGGGTCTCCGTCTGGCCATCTGCCAGACTTTCCAGCAGTATGCCAACGTGCGCCCAACCCGCGTATTTCGCGGCACTGAATCTCCTTTGCGCAAGTGTGGTCCCAACGACCTTGATTGGGTGATCATTCGCGAGAACAGCGAGGGAGAGTACGCCGGTCAGGGGGGTCGCTCTCACGCTGGCAAGCCATGGGAGGTTGCGACTGAGGTTTCAATCTTTTCTCGCCATGGTGTGGAGAGAATCATGCGCTTTGCCTTTGAGACTGCTCAGAAGCGTCCTCGCAAGCTTCTGACTGTTGTCACTAAGAGCAATGCTCAGCGCAATGGAATGGTTCTTTGGGACGAGGTCGCCAAGGCTGTTGCTGTTGAGTTCCCTGATGTTACTGTTGACAAGATGCTTGTTGATGCCATGACTACTCGCATGGTTCTGAAGCCCGAGAGTCTGGACACCATTGTGGCTACCAACCTGGTAAGTGGTGAACGAGAATGACAGTCAAATCTGGGCTCGACTAATAATCATTTAGCACGCTGATATCCTGTCCGATCTTGCTGCCTCTCTGGCTGGTTCTATTGGTATTGCTCCTACTTCCAACCTTGACCCTACTCGGGAATACCCCAGTATGTTCGAGCCTATTCACGGTTCTGCCTTTGATATCACTGGCATGGGTATCTCCAACCCTGTCGCTACCTTCTGGACTGCTGCTGAGATGCTTGCCTGGCTCGGCGAGGAGGACGCTTCCAAAAAGCTCTTGGATTGCGTTGAGAATGTTTGCGAGCAGGGTGTCCTCACTCGCGACTTGGGTGGTAACGCTACTACCAAGCAGGTCACTGATGCTGTGGTTACTGAGATCCAGAAGCTTGCAGCCAGCATGTAAACAAATGATCGATGGAACGTGAAATGAATTTGTACAAATTATACTAGAATGAATCGAACTCATATGAGACCAAAAGGTATTCTGAGCAACAAACTATCACAAATTAGAGAATTGATCACCCTTAGAGTACTGCCACATATATCGGCCACTCAACCATAATTTTTAGCCTCATCAGTAGAATGAAATCCTCCAGCCCCATACGTCATGGTTGCGCAACGGTCAAAACAACACATCTTTATAGATTATGTGTCGCCTCTGTATAAATCCCGCATTTTGCGGGGGGTGTACAAGTCCGCTTCCCAATTTTACGGGGACCCCAGGCCAAGCATTAATGCAAACGTGAGAAATGAGCTTGTCCTCCAGGAATGGTATGATTTGTGAAAAAAATGCTATATAGTTCTGTGAGCTCAGGCTCCCAATGTTGCCCAGACTCAAAGTGCCTTTCTTTTGAATTGCACACCAGTCAACCTCCGTCATGTCTTCATCACCAATTGTGGGCCTAACCAGCCGCGGCATTTTGTCTCGCCTAGATCATGCTCATCATGGCACCGGCATGTCTTCTGTTTGGTTGTATCCAGACTGGTACTGGGCCTCTTGCAACCATCCCTAGTTGGGTCATGACATTCCCTCAGATAGACACAATTCATACAATTTTTCCAGAAAGTCCAAAACTAGGTTCCGGTCTCTCAAAGATTCTGGCTGCCTGCGCCTTGACATGAAACCGTCTCGGTCGGCTAGCGAAATTCATGGTTAGTGAAGCTAGCATGGCTGTGACAACGAGCTTTGGCTCCGGCAGTAAGCACGCATCTATCGCATCAGCCTTTTTTTTATCTTCCTCTTCAATCTCTTTATCGCACCGGCTTCCTCGGTGGTAACTTCCTGTACTGCACCGAAGTCGTCCCAGTACGCCTGTGACTTAGGATGGCAGCAATCTCTACAGCAAACCACTGGCTGTCGAACTTCGTCGTGGTTATGGTGACCCCTGTGGCACTAGACACGATCGGATACCAGTACTATATCATATATGCAGTTCTATCAGCATGTATTCCTGTACTCGTGTACTTCTTCCACCCGGAAACCATGAACCGGATCTTGAAGATGCTAGATCATGTTTTCCGAGATGCGTCGTCGCCGTGGCAGATTGTTTCTATGGCGCGTCATTTGCCCCAGGGTGAGATTAGCCCAGCAGAGTTGATTGTCCGAAACAAGGAAAAAGAAGACTCGTGCTTGGTCGAGATGAAAGAGAATATTTGAGGGTATCACCGCAGTATTGGGGTATTTCATATTAGCGTCTGAGTTTGGAATCTATGCCTGAGGGTGTATGTTTGCTATAGTTGAATACTATGTAAGAAGATTATAGCCATAGAGGCCTTTATCATTTCGCTCATGCCTTCAAGGACTCAGTTCCTATTTACCAAAATTTCTCTCCAAGTCTGTCCCGAAGCGATGTTTATATACCTCGGGAAGAGCCAAGATGGTATGAAACAACTACCGATGCAACGACCGGATCACGTCCCTAGGACGATTGTCCCGCTTTCTCGGCTGAGACTGATGAATCCGCGAGAAATCGGAAAACTCGCTGCTATAAACCAATACAAAAAATCGGTTGGTCATAGTTCGGCGCAATCGGAAGCGTGTCTCCAACGCCCATCGGAATGCCGATACGAAAAACGAAAATGCCGGCTTCACCCGCAAATCAGAAAGCAGCAATTGCCCGGCATGAATCTCCACAATTTCGGCGTTGCAATGATAGCTTGGAAAAAAGTAGAACAGACAGCCATGATTGGCTCAATCCATTTTCGTGCAAATATAGTCAACCCCGACCGCGAATAGCAATTAAACGCCATTCCTCCGTCTATCGGTACTTTACCCCGGAGTCGAAGCCCCAACAAAACCACGGCAAACCCGTTCTTGGGCCCTTGCGTCACGAACTTGCCCACCTCCGCTACCATCGGATCGTGGACGCGGGATTTTCGGCGGAAAGCTTCATTTTCATTGGTTGTCTCCTGGCTCTAGGGCTCCGGTATCCGATGACGGCAGAGTGGCCCGGAGACGTCGGTTCGTTCTAGATAGCTGAGTGTCAAGGAAATGAAACAAATACCTCGTTATCAAGTAGGCGGACATGTTGGAAGCCGATTCATTATCCGTATGACGGGTGGCTCCGGGTTGACACAGTGGGGGGGATTCATGGAGTCGGTTGAGGTTGAAACTATACTTATAGATATTGGTCCTCGATTGAAGACTTGCTTTGAATGAAATAGGTTAAGCATTATCAAACAGAACAAAGCATCCACCTATTTTTGGTTCTTTTTATTCCACTTTATACTGCCATCAGCTTTCCATATGGCTCCTTCCATCGATGACGCTTCCCATAGCCAGGTGCAGGCTTCTCCTGCCTGCAAGGTTGGGATCAATGGCTTCGGTCGTATCGGTGGGTGAAACATGAACTACGTCAAAGCTCAAAGTAACTCCGTACTAATCATGTATACAGGTCGCAATGTCCTCCGCGCAGCCCTAGTCCGCTCCGACATCCAAGTCGTCGCAATCAACCACACATGTGTCACCGTCGAAGACCTGATCTACCTAGTCCGCTACGACTCTTCGATGGGTGACCTAGACGAGAAGACCCCCATCCACGCCCTCTCCGACAACCTCATCTCCATCAACGGCAAGCACATCGCACTCACATCCGAACGTGACCTGAAGAAGCTCAACTGGGCCGCTCTCGGAGTCGACTATGTCCTTGAATGCACAGGCAAATTCACCAAGCGCGATCTCGCCCTCGACCATATCACCCACGGCCAGGCCAAGCGTGTTCTCATCTCCGCCCCTAGCTCCGACTCGCCTACTTTTGTCTACGGTGTCAACGAAGAATCGTATACTCCTAATGAGGACTGCCGTGTTGTTTCGAATGCTAGCTGCACTACCAACTGTGTTACTCCTGTTCTGAAAGTACTTGATGGATCTTTCGGCATTATACAGGGTTTCTTGACTACTATCCATGCCGCTACGAGATCGCAGCAGGTTTTGGATGGCTACAGCAAGAAGAATAAGCGCCTGGGTAAGTTAAATTGGTAATGCCTTGACTTGGACGTATTAAGCTAATATCACATACCAGGTCGCGGTGTCTTCAACAATATCATCCCCACAACCACCGGTGCAGCCAAGGCCGTCGCCGCTGTTCTCCCCGGGCTGAAGGGCAAGGTGACCGGTGTCTCTATCCGTGTTCCGACGTGAGCTTACTTCCACATGAATCTAATAAAAAGAATCGTATCTAATGGAACATACTACAGCCCCAACGTCTCAATGATCGACCTGACAATTAGTACCGAGAAGCCAACCTCGCTGGCCGAGGTTATCTCCGCCTTCCGACGAGCTTCTAAGATGGAAATGGCCGGTGTTCTCAAGGTTGCAGATGACGAGCTTGTCAGTAGTGACTACAATGGTAGTCCCTACAGTGCTATTATTGATGCCCCTTCGTGCATGGAGTTGAACCCTCAGGTAAGCCTTGGCTAATTCGTGTTTGATATGTGTTTTTTACTAATTCTGCTGCAGTTCTTCAAGATCATGGCTTGGTATGATAACGAATGGGGATACTCTAACCGACTCTTGGATTTGACCACTCATGTGCACGCCCAGGAGGCTGTTTGAGTCTCTTTGTAGCATGGGTATGGCGTTTTTGGAATTGGCCTGGACATGGAAATTGTGTTCACTTAGAATAGTAATGATGAACTGAAGCAAATACACACGTTTCAAAGCAAACGTTCTTTTCTCTTCTTTATGGTCACGCTTTGGCTTTGTTCAAACTGACTTCGATCTCAGTCACCCCTTCCATCACCATGCAGCCTTCTTGCAGCTGTCATGCCGCTGGTTACGACAGAGTCTCCTGTCCTCAATACGTATGTAGTCAAAGACTGCAGCTTTCTGTTCTCACCGACGCCGAAATCCATATCAAAGAGGTCACGGAACACTTTGATCTGGTCATTGTAAACACGGGACTCAAATGCGACTTTAAAGGGAATTATGCTCTAGGGGACTGTCTGTAAGTTTAAGCAACAATTGGTATGACCAACGGAACAGAGCCTTCGAACCTTAGCACCAACAATAAGAAGGGCCTCGATGGAATGGTACTGATCGTCAAACATGCGCAAGGCTGGGTTAGCAGGATGATTGAAATATGAGATATTACCATTTTCTATTGAGAAACGGCTCAGAGAACTTGGCAAACAGCATGAAACGCAGCTTGACAATCTCCACAGAATCTGCCCAAACCCCAGGCTGTTCGCCATGGGGGTTAAAGAGAAACACATTCACAAGAAACGAGCTGATTGAGTACATCATTGGGGTGGACTTGATGGGACATAGTTGTGTCATAGTGGGCAAACAGGATAGACGCAAGTCAAGATGAGTGCTGCTGAGAAGAAGAGAGTAGGTAGAAAGAAGAGGGTGAGCGACTACAAGCTGCACATTTGAACACATTGACTATTGACATTGTTTTCATAGTGATAATTCATAACAAAAGATGGTCATTAACATGCAAAACCTAACGAATCTATTTTTTGACGCATAAACAACATGATCCAAGGGTATCAGTGTCCATCTAGTCTTCATCCATCGACTCCCAGCCATCGCCACCACGAGGCGCACCCTCATCAGCCTCCTCCTCACCCTCATCATCAGACTCCTCATCGTCAGCAGTGACACCAACCATGCGCTCCTCAACCTCATTAGCGAACTCAGGCATGCGAGACACGAACGCACGACGCACAGCGCCGTTAGTTGAGGCATCCCACACCTGCACATTGCCCTGGCTACCGGCAACAGCAATGCGGAAGCCGACTTCCTGGTCAGGGGCGAAGGCAGTGGAGAAGACCTTGCCGACCTCCACCTTGCGCGAAACAACCATGTTGGGGCGGTCGTTCTCGATATTCCAGAGCTTGACGGTCTTGTCTGTTGAGCCAGTGACAAGGAAGCCGGGGATGTTGCGGTTGATGTCGAAGGAGGAGACGGAGGAGTCGTGGGCTTGTAGAGACCAGACGGGCTTGGACTCGGCTGGGCTGGTGGGCACGTTGCGCATATCGTAGCGGTAGACCATGCCGGCGTCGGTGGTGACATAGAAGAAGTTGGGTTCGTGGGGGTCCCAGCGGACACCCTCGACGTCGGCGTCGACACCCCAGCGGGCTTGGGAGTCTGGCGCACGCATATCGGCTGCTACCACTGTACGGTCGTAACTGCCGCTGAGGAGGATGGTGGACTCGGTTGGGTGCCAGTCTAGTGAGCAGACCTTGTCCTTGTGGTGGGAGTAGGACTTCGCGCAGGTTGTGGTGTTGAGATCCCAGAGCTTGACGGTCTTGTCGGCGGAAGCAGAGGCGAGGAGGTTACGGTGAGCTCGGTTGGCGGCCAGCGCCAGGACGGAGTCGATGTGGTACTCGTCGTTGGCCTTGACCTTCTTCTTCTGCTTCTTCTTGGCCTTCTCGGCGTCCTGGCCGCCTTGGCCGAGGATGGCGTTGGGGTACATGCAGTCCACGACGTCCAAGTCCCAGATCTCAATGTCAGGCTCCATGGTTCCGACGGCGACGAAGTTTCCTTGTGTGCGGTTGTCGGGGTTGTTGCCAACGGGAATGTCGAGCCACTCCAAGCAGAGTGGGATACCGGGAAGCATGATATCGTGGTGAACGTAGAGGTTGTCTGCGCGGTCTTCGTAGACGTAGACCTCGAGGTGGGCAACTTCATCCTCAACCTTTCCGGCTAAGAGAAGGTTGTCGACGGGCATGATCTGCAGCTCCTCACGTTCCTCATCATCCTCATCCTCGGGCATCACAAGGTAAGGGTCGGCCTCGTTGGGCTGGTGGTAAGCAAGCGATTGGACATTGCCGAACATGGTGATCTTCTCTCCATCCTCATCCTTCTCATCGCTGTCATAGTGGTCCATGTCGAATTCCTTAAGAACATCATCCTCACTATAAAGCGATTAGCACATGTCAATCTCAGGCTTCAATACTCAAGCAACTCACTCGGCACCTTCCTTGGTCTTCTTTTCTTTATCATCATCCATAGCATCAGCAGCACCATCCTTCCCATCCTCATCCATAGCCTCATCCTGAGCAGCGCTTAGACCCTCCTTCGCATCCTCAAGCTGCATGCGCGCAAGCTTGGATATCCGGCCCATTTCCGCCTCGTCAATCTCATATTTGGTAGGGAACTGGGCAGCGACACCACGTCGCACCCACGCTGTAGTCGTGATCATAGAGGACATAATGAAAGCGTTGCTCAAAAAAACGATCACCTTCAACTTTTTTTTATCGCCGATATTTTTTTATCGGTGAGAGGGGCTGTCCGCCCGGCAGAAACAGGCCGATCATTTTACCGCCCGGGCATTTTGCAGACGCCGTTTGCTTGTCGGTGATTGATCGTACGATTGCTCTGACATTACTTCACTGTTCTCGAGATTTATTGTTTCCTGCTTTGACTCACATACTACCACCGCAACTATGCATTCGCATCTGCACACCCCCTACAACGTCAGTATGTTAAACCCTCTCTAGCCGGTCAACCCTCCTTCCGAAACCCCAATACTAATCGAAAAACCACAGACTGCGAGGAGATCATGACTGCCCTCGACGAATGCCACGCCAAGGGATTCATTCATAAAGCCATCGGAAGCTGCAACGATATCAAGCGCGATGTTAACAAATGCCTTTCCGGAGAGCGCTACGAGCGCGCAAAGCGCAACCGAGACCAGGCCCGTGGAAACCGCAAGCGTGTTGAAGAGATATGGGCTAAGGAGAGAGAGTTCGAGCAGGGCCCTTCCAATGTCGCCGCCGCCGCCGCCGCTGCAGCAACCGCCACAAATTCCGGTGCAAAGCAATAGATGCGCTTGGGTGGTATATGGCATTATGCTTGGAACTGGAGTTTTGGTTTGCTTTTTGGCCGTTCCGTGAGAAATTCCAGAGCGTGTCTTATTCTCTCTTCTCATTATATCCAGAGAGATGGATTGTTTGTACGATATTCCGAAATGTAGCTGTACATGTGACCAATCTTTGATCTACTATATTATTTGGTTTACTGGTATCACTAATAAGCAATGGGCTAATCGAGATTTCAATGTAATGTGAATGATATTGGATGTACATAGCTAGTCTACACCAGCTGGACTTTTGATATAACCCATCCATGATGAACGCCGTGTCCGGGAAGAAAGAAAGATGGAATGCATAATGATAACCAGCATCATGAGTCTAGGCCGTAACGATCAAATCAAGCATCAACCTCCATAGAAGTAGGCGCATCATTTGACTCAACAGGCTCCTCATCTCCTTGCCAACCACCCTTGTTGTGACGGCGCTTCCGCTTCGGCTTAGCAGCAGACTCATCGCCATCGGGCTGCTCAGTAGCATCCGCATCCTTAGAGACATCCGTGTCGACCTTCTTCTTTGGTGTCGGTGCAGGCGCATCGGTTCTCTTCTTGGGCTTCTTCATACTAAGCGGGTTAGGACCCTTAACCTTCGGGCCACGCTTCTTCTTAGGTTCGGCCGACTCTTCGCCTTCACCCTCCTCTCCATCACGCTTGCGCTTTCCAAGCATAGGATCGGCATCCAGTCCAGCGCGGAACTTTCCTCGCTCAACGCCATCGCGGACCAACTCGGAGGGGTTGCTCATAGGCTCGAGGACCATGACGGAGCGCTTGACGTAGATGATAGGCACACCGGGGATGGAGCGGGCCTGGGACCGTAAAGCCCGAGAACGGCGCATGGCCTCTTCTTCTTTGCGCTCATCTTCGCGCTTGTATTTCCGCTGCTCATCGTTGGGGGTTCGCTTCTTCAAAATTGGGTCTGCGCTTGCGAGTATGTAGTGCTCTTTGTTCTTCTTTGAGTCTGCATTCGGGGATAGCAGAGAGAGGAGACATTCGATCTCGTCGATTGGCGTGTGTTCCGCGTTGTGAGAGCAGTGGCGGAGAGGCAGTTCCGTTGGCGGGGGGAGGAACAAAGGTCTGTAGGGCTTTTCTGTTTTCGGGTTGATGGGCTGCGCGGCCATGATAGCGGCGAGTGAACATTTCGTCAATACTGTAAGATGTTAATTTAGTTGCGTCTTGAAGATCGAGGATCGGGTGGGACTAACGAGGCTTGACTTTGCCCTGGACTGTTCGCTCAAGTGCAGGAATCAAATCCATCTTAAAGGAGTCAGTGGCGCGGAGGAAGTTCGAGTCCACTGTTCAAGCGCGGGTCAGTACTGTAATGTACATCGGAGCAGAGCATTGAAATAAACATACCCAGCACCTGGTAAGCCTCACGGAACCCGAAAGCGAGTTCATATTGATGCATAAGCTTGCGATACTTCTTGGAACGTTTGGCCCTCATTGTGAATGTTGAAGGTCAAAATATGGGTAATTTGAGGTGTCGAGCATGAGCTTCTGCGTCGACCGAAACTTTTTTCATTTTGCCGGGCGGCGACCAAGGCGGCGTTGTGGTCCGTGCTGAGGATGTACCCAGTACTTATTTTGAGTGGGGCTACGCAATCAAATTGGCGTACCGTGTACATACTATCACTCACATTTTATGGTTTATCTACTTGACTCTCATTGCATTATGGTATGTATATTTAATCATAGAGATATTAGGACATAAGTATTATTATTGTTCAATAGACTAAGACCTTCGTAGTTCAAGGCAGATCTACTTGGCCATCAAGTGGACAGGAGAGCCAGCTCTTGCCGTGATAGTATGATTGAGTAATGTGCATGGCACCTCTGTTTAACCAGATGCTAGCCAAGGGCATGTTATGCTAGCAAATTGCAGGTCGACTGGTATACCCTCACTGTGTTCATGGCCATCACTGTACAGTTCTCCGTTGGGAAGGGCAGGCAGGGTTGGATGAGTCTTGAACTCTCTGCGCGGTATGGTGCCGAAGAGACTGGCGGCTGCAGATTTCAGGTCTTTAGGTATGGACAGCCATAAGCGCAGCGCGTGTGTCAGCCCAGTTCGTGAGAGCATTTGCTCAAATTGCGCTGTGTCTGGAGATAGTTCTGGTGGGAATCTGATGATATGGCATCGGGGCTGGATCCAGTAGCCGGGTTGCGTTGTTCGAAGTTCCGTATCGAGGAGACCTGATATTCAAGCATGGCAGAGTCGCTGCGCCCCAGATTCGTGCAATTTAATATGAAAAGTTGTCTGGATAACGCTGGTTGTATCTCATCCCACTCGTTTCTTGCAGGATGCAACCACAACGGAAATGTCGTCCATTTTTCCTGTTTGGGATTAATATGTAAGAATAACAACGTCCAGGGGCAAGGACAGATCGTACCTCCTTCTATAGCAAGTCCCTCGTCCACGGCTTTCTCCATAAATGGGCTTTCTGCGAAAGGATCCCGGGCAATGGTCAGAGCAGCATTGAGCAACTCCCGGGCGGCGTATACATTGCGTTCCTCAGACAGGCCAGGATTCTGAGCCACCTCCTTAGCCACAGCTTGTCCCTCGACCCATTTATTGATGCTGTCGATGATGACTTTCAGAACCTCGTGTTCCCAGAGATTATCCATGACACCGTCGGACAAGGCCAGGACGATATCGTCTTCTTCTAGCGCAACTTTTGATAAAACGGCATCTTTCCTCGGTGTGTCGACGCTGTTTGTGCCGAGTTGCATAGGACAATCGAACCAGTGCCATTGCTCAGCGGTTCGGAATACGACTTTCTCCTCGCTAGGTCGAATCACGAGGATCTTGCAGTCGCCCAGGTTCGTCACGTATAACAGCGGCTTCTGTGTGCCATCCTTCTCATTCGTCCAGTGTAGAATAGCAGTTGCCGAGGTGGTCGTTCCTAGCCATTGTGTAGGTGATGTTGTCGCGCGAATAGTCTCTTCGTATGCAGACTGCAAGTATCCGACCGGGTCGAGACAGTTGGTGCTCTTATCAATATTGCGCTCGACCTCGAGGGCCCAGAAATGTAAAAGGAGTCTAGACCAGAGACTGAAGGAAAGTTAGCGCTCATCCAAAATCCAACCAGGGGATCACTCACGCAGCGTGGCCATGGGGTCTCGTGGCCCAAGCGCCGACGCCATCGTCGACGCCTAGGAAGTTCTCCGAGACAAGGATGGCATCGTCCCCGTTGTTCAAACCCCGGACTAGCTCGCCCTTGACGGATAATCTCTTATCCTGACTCAGTTGAGTGGTCAAGGGATCGGAGAAGGATGTGGACGGTGGAGACAGGAACGGCGGTGGAAAGGGCCGTGGGGGTCGTTTCGCACACAGGGCATATCCGGTCTCGAATCTAAAGGGCGATTTTCGGACTTGCGGCTGAGGGACTGGGGTGGTGATGCCGTAGGAGGGCCACACTGCCGCGTGGTATGGCCGTGCCGTGCTCGGATGCCGACTCGAGCTTATATTCGCGATCCACTTGCTAATAAACGTCCAAGGTGATGCCTTGGTCACCATGACTCGGCGAAGAAGGGTATGTTAAGTCATGGGGAAAGAAAAGAATTGAAAATTGAAGGTGTTCTGAGTCAGGGCTTGTGCACTCACCGGAGCCGATCGAGGTATCTCAAGTTTTCACTGGTCTGCGCCGCCGACTGTTCCTCGCCCTACGGAGTATCTCTGATCATCGGAGTTGGCCGTGACATTCCTACTGCGTACCTATTTTGCTTGCCTTATTTTAGAAACAAAACAAATCCGAACTATATCTAAGACTATAAATGACTATCTTGACTATACAAATATACCCCGTTCCCTAGTTCATACGGTTCTGATCGTCACTGAATAATCCAGGCTGGTGGGTCGCTCTTCGAGATTCTAGACAAGTTCCTATTTTCTTATGTATAGTTTCTTAGAATATGTGATATACCCCTGTGATATACCCCTGGTTTATCACATATATTACACTTCTCCTTATTTTAGCCCCGAAACATCGATGGTCAGCCCTTTGGGTATAATAGGGGCTGTCCATATGCTACGGTGCAACCTAATCTATACACTGCTACGCTTCAACATTCAACCTATTTTCATATCGTACAAATCTATGGAACAGGACATGAGATATTCACTGAATGGAATTTGACTCGGTTTATCAATGAACAGATAAAGTAAATGTGTTTTTCTCGCATCTATCAGATTTTGACCTCCCGCCGAGCGGGAGAAGGATGCTTCTTAGATTCATTCTGTTCTATATCGCTAGTTCGCTCTCTTTGCTTATTTTAAAGCCGGATACACTTTGAATCTACTATCCCCCTGGTTATCTATCGTTCATATATTGTCATACTAGCTAGTTCGAATGATGGACAGTTATAAGGATACCCCTCATACGGCCAAGTGAACTATGCTGAGAACAATGCATTGGCCCTTCCGTAGATTATTTCTAGATCATTGATGAGTTACCTCAAGTACAAACTTTCATTGCAAACAGATGACGGTGTTCATTATATGAAGCTTCAATCGTTGAAGTATCAGACCCCGTCAAGTGAATGACGTATCAGTGGCTTTTGCACCGTATTGATCCATCCTGTCCGCATACCGTTCGTGCAAGATACCTATTGGCTTCTTTCCACATAGAAAAAGAAACAAATATGCCCATAGACGGAGTTACAGCTTCTCAATAGTAGTAATTTCCGCTACCTCCGTGCGGTTCCCCGCTATCTCCGTGAACATACATGTATAGGTTCAAGCTAACGTTAGTTGTACTTCGATAATTACTATAAAACTCAATACACCGTCTCTTACAGTCAACTGATCAAACCGACAATGTCCTTCAAAAGGCTCACCTGGCTAATAACGGGGTGCTCCTCCGGGCTCGGCCTCTCCCTCACACGAGCCGCACTGGCCGGCGGTCATAGGGTCATTGCTACCTCTCGCAATCCTTCTCGTACTCCTGATCTGGTTGCGGAGGTTGAGGTAAAGGGAGGCAAATGGATCCGATTGGATGTCACTAGCTCCGAAAGCAGCGATGTGGTTGCAGAGCTGGAGAAGGACGAACATATTGACATCCTTGTTAACAATGCTGGGGCCTGTATCTTTGGGCCTATTGAGACCGCCACCGAGGAGGAGATCCGTTCCCAGATGGAGACCATGTACTTTGGTCCGTTACGCCTGATTCGCGCTGTCCTTCCTTATATGCGTCAACGCCGGTCTGGCGTCATTGTCAACATGAGCAGTGGTGCCTCGCTCGATGGAATGCCAACTATGGGTGTCTATGGTGGAGCTAAAGCTGGTTTAGATGGTATGTGGAGCCCCATGCTAGTATTCATGGGTTTTAGTGGATCTATGTGACTAACTTTGATATTACAGGTCTCACCAAGATCCTCGCTAAGGAGATCGCTCCCTTCAACATCCGTACATTGACCGTTGTTCTGGGAACATTCAACACCAATATGCCTAATGATGTTGCTTTAGGCAAGCTTCCACTGCCTGATGACTACAACGGTACTTTCACCGAACAGGTCCAGCAGCTTCTTGTGAGTGGACACATAAAGCTCAACGGTGACAAAGATAAGGCTATGCAAGTGCTATATCAAGTTGTGGTTGGGGAAGGCGTGGGTGAGGCACATGAAGCAGAGAAATTGCTTCCATTGGGAAGTGATATGATACCTCGTCTGAAGGGAGTGCAAGACCAACTATGTCATGCCTTGGAAGTGTTTGGTTCCGTTGCCAATATTGTTGATATTGATAACTAGATTTGCATAGTTCTACAGTGAATCAACTCGAGGTCTCTCAAATCCGTACAGTTTGAGTCAAATGCTGCATGCAATTAGAGTCTAAATACATAGCCTCTTAATCAATTCTACTTGAAAATATTCGTTTCTCAAGTGCTCATTAAACCACTCAACGCCTTGTATGAAAGCGCTTCGCTTCGCAAATCTCACATCTGGAATGGCTGGATCACCTCGAACCGTGAAGCCGTGGTTTACAACGCTATACAGATTGATCTGATATGGAACCTACAGCCCTTTTAAGATTGCCTCCGTTTCGTGCCGCTTTGCAGCCGCAATCGCCAATGGACATTCAATGTCCTTGATCTCACTTTCATCAACATGCGACGGATGAGCTGTATAGCCAATGTCCACTCTGCCTGGTTTCAAATGTCGTATGAAGTACTTTCCGCCGAAGCAGTATCTAGTTGCGCCAAATTTCTATTGTAAGGTCAATGGTGGTGCTTTACTTGGCTTCACGATTTGCATACCTTGCAGCCGAGCTTTCGCATCACAGTTAAACAAGTCTCAACTACTGGATCAACTGTTTCAGGCAGATGATTTATGCCTTGCGGGTGATATCCCCCTATCCTCCACTTTTGCATATCCAAATCTCCGGTTCTGTTCAATGGTACTGCGTAACCGTAGAAAATTTCTGGCATCAGAACCACGTAGCCGTGCATTGCAAATTGGTCTGCAATGAGTTGGGTATATGTGAGCCGACAGCCGATGATATCAGTGAGTCTGCTTTCAATTAATGGGTAGTGTAGAATTTGATACGTATTGTAGCAACTTACATCAGAAGGCCGTGGTTCGAGTTATTTGGAGGATGACTGGTGTATACTTCGAAGTCACCCAACGTTGACAATGTTCCTTTTGGCTGTCCGTCATATTTGACACCTTGGTAACAGCATGATCCAGCGGAATAAGAAACCATGATAATCACAATCTTGTAATTTATTCAGAGTGCCCCGGCCTAACCTGCGAAAAATCCAAAGCTATCTATACATGGCTTAGTCGACAAAAGGAGAGAACAAGGCCGAATCCCATGCCCGATATTTCCGTCTAGGCAAAAGAATTCATTGCTGTTCTGTTATGGTTTAAATGTAACTATTTAGTTTATGGCTTCTTTCATACATACTCAAGAATCACCTCCACAATGGCACCAGATCTAGAAACAGCTGAGCCGAAAGCTGCCACGGAAACGTCCCAGCAGTCGCTCATATCAAATCTCCGATTGCGTCTTCCTGGTCAGACAGCCCCGTTCACTCATCCATTTGGGCATCTCAAGTCGATCGAAGGCACAATTGTTGACTTTGACGGGTCTGATATTCGAGCGCGCGGCAAATGGTCTCGGGCTTTTGTTCACGGGCACTGAAAGCTTTTTCATGCCAGTATCTCATTCCACTCGCGAAAAGTTGATGTTGATATCGGTGGACCGGTTAATGATTCGTGATGGACAAGCAGCGCAGAATATATAATGTTAAGAGACTCAAGCAACGACAAATTTTAGACAGTGCAGAATTTATTCAGTTTACTCAAACCGTACGGGCCTATTTCACTTAATGACACTATTTACATGATCTTTACATGACCGAGTGTTAGCGACGAAGGCACCTCGGGTTTTCCACAGGTACCCCATGAGATATTCCACGCTAAACTGCATTCGGTAGCTTGCAGCCGCAGCCCTAATTTCTAATTGGAATGCGGTTCAATCCATCAAAATTAATAGACAAATAACAAATTTGATTTGTACTGACTGAAGATACCATACGGTCAAGATTGGCTTTCTATTTATGTAATCTAGGTGACGGTAAAACTGCCGCCTCGGGAAGTGATCGGCTCCCAGAGCACAGGGTGAGTTAGTCACCCCGCCGCCCTGAGCGGCTCACGGAGCGACCATGAGCAGCTCACTGAGCAACCTGATCGCTCACCCCAATGCTCAGGCTGATCGGCCCATTCAATCTCATCTTGTCTCTCCGTTCTTTCAAATGCTCCGACAATAACCGCTCTATTGCCTACTTGTTCCTGGGAGCGAAGGCTAGGAAATGGCGTATTCTCACGTTGCTATAGTAACTTCCTCTCAATCTTTGAAGTCCTAGTTGGTCGACTTAACCAGTCTTTTAACTTGTGTGAGAGATTGAACATCTTATCTTCCCTACAATTTACTATCCAATCTTTCCTTCACAACGCAGGCTCCGTCCGGCCGTCCGTTCAATAATCCTAAACATAAATTCCCTTATTATCCCGATTCTCTATATTCGGGGCTAACTTGACCCTAGGACTATCGTATACTGCGATAATCGGGCAAAGATTTTCGCGTGCCCTACTATAGGCCTCGAATATATTTATATACCGTGCTACGCAAAATAGGGAAATAAATCATCGGTCTTAGTATAACGAGAAGTTCGCGTTATAGTCTATATTATACTAGTGTTCCTAGGATCACTTCCTTTAGCCGATCCACTATAAGGTTAAATAGCTTTTAATTGGCCATAGCTAAGGGTCGAGAAGTTGCACTAATTAACGTATATCGTCTTATTTTTATATTGCGTTGACTATAGAGCTAGAAACTATGCCGATCCTCTTATATTACGCTCTATAGTGTAATAGGCATAAGGAGACAATAAAGCCTAGAATATAAATAGTCCTAAGGATACCTTCTTTCTAGATTTCCTTATATATTCTCTTAAATCTAGTCCCGCTCCAAATATCCTTGCTTTTACTATAGTCACACTAAATTATTAGAATTTCTAGTAGCCGCTAATAACGAACACCCCGTAAAAGTGCCCTTCGATTTGTTCCGAAACCTAAACTATTATTATAATAGAGTAACTTAATACCTTAGGAGGAAGTCGCGAAGGAGGTTATTATAGGCTCGAAAATAATATACCATAAGAAGAGTATATAGCAGAGGACGTAGGTAGGTTATATTAATAATATTTGTTTTAACACCCTTTGATTTAATAAGATATCTCTAGCAGCGGAAATTGGCCGGCTTTCCCTATCTATTTCGCCTAATATCTATCAAAACAATATATTAGCCGCCGATAATTACCCCGATTACCCCGAGGAGGTTACGCTTTATCCTTCCTCTCGAGTTAGTAGTACTCCCTCCGTGACTAGCCTAGATAGATGTCAGGACCCTCGACTACTTATGTTGGTACCTGAGGCACGAGTGGTGCCTCAGGAATCGTGGCAGTATAGTACTGCTCACCGCCCGGAAACTGGGCCAGCCTGTATTTAGTTCATCCCCGCTAACCCTGGGAAGGGTCAGCGTTCAGTCTCTTCTACAATAGAACCATATTGTACTACACGTCAGCTGAGGCTTCTACTTCGCTTACCTAACTAAACCGGAGACTCTGCGTGGTCTCACAATTCTGAACGCTCACCGAAACACGGTTTGCCCGGTAGAACCTCACCAACAAGCCATGAACTCGCGTCGCTCCTAACGCCTCACCGAAGGGCTTTAAGCGAGCCAATCTAGTGAGGACCGCTTGAATGGGCCAGCTAGGCACGACCCTAGGCCTTAGGTCACCGAAAGCGTTGAAGACTCGACCATGGAAACCACCCAAGAACCGACTGGGCCATTCCCGCCGACCGAACCAATACCTCTCCGGGTACCAACGCCAATAATCGAACAACAATCTTCCACAACTAGGGCAGCTTAGGGAGCGGTCACCGAACAGGAGATACGAGAACTAGAGGAATTGGAGAGAGAAGCATATAATCTACGGAGAGCCCGGGTCATGGAGCAACTTCGCCGAGAGTAGGGCTATCTCACGCAACAAGCAGAGATAAGACCACCTCCACTCGCACCTAGCAATACGCTATTTACTACACCTAGCAATACACCGACAAGGGCGTCTACTCTAGCAAGTACGTCGCAATCGGAGACAACCTAGCCGCCTATCGCATTCGGCGAAGAAGCTATTATACCACTAACTAGTTTCCCCGACGAGCTATTCGAGCTCAATGACTATCGACCGCCACAAGCTACCGACCAAGAATCTAATCGGAAGGCCCTGTTCACCCTACGCCGACGTAGTATCAAGAAACCGCGGGATTAGCCTAACCTAGTGATCTACAAGGCAAAAGACAACGACAAGTATCGAAGATAGGTCTTCTCACTAGAAGAGTTCTTCGAGGCTGACCATACTTGTATAGACTGGTTCGAGTACCAACCTTATCAGACGCGATAGGCGCTGGCCTATTGCTCGAACTAGGTGAAGGAGCTATACAAGGTCAAGTTTCCCTACGATACCCCTTATTTTAGGGATATAAAGAACTAGGCCATTGGATTGATCAACAAGCACAAGAATCTACAAGAAGCTATATCTAAGCAATTCGACCTAGCCACTCAGAAAGAAACTAAGTCTGTCTGCGAATACGCTACGCGCCTAATCCAGTACTAGGGCCAGATAAAAGAACAAGAACGGATAGGCGATATTCAAATCTACACCCGGCTTCGTAACTCGGTGTTACCCTCTATCAAAGAAAGGAGGGAGTAATTCGACGTCCAGAGAGAAATAGACCTTACAGAGTATATCGACTATCTCACTACTATCGAGAATAATATCCCTGCCCGACAACTAGCCCTGTCTAACCGAAGGAAGGACGCCAAAGGGGCTATTCCACCGGACCGGGGAAATCAGCCCTAACCACACACTTTCGGCCGTAACCCTACCTTCCGGACCAAAGGTCGAGGACGAGGAAGGGGCAGTTACGGATCACGACAGGATCCGATACCACGATATAGCACTTCGACTGACCTAGCCAAGAAAAGAAAGGTACAGGATAGCGCCTATTTTAACTACGGAGAGATAGGTCACCTCGCTAGATCCTACATAAGGAAGAAGACGGACCTTAGAGCCTCTACCGTCGAAGTACCAAAAAATAGACAGCCCTAGCGAACCTTGCCGCAATCGCACTAGGGGCCGCTAAGACTTATTTAGATAGAGAAAAGGCCTTTGTCTACGAAGCGGTTGTTATCCTGGCCGATAGGGACATCCCTATAAGCGTCCTTATGGATAGCGGCGTAGAGGCATATTTCGTGAACCAAAAATAGGCTAAATAACACCTCCCGGATAGCGAAGCTATACCGCGGACGGTTAGGGCTATCAACGAACAGACTCTGAAGATGTCAGGGTTATAGGATCATGTGATAAGAGGAAAGGAAGTAATAAAGAAGAGAGTAAGAAGAATAAAGTGAGAGAGAAGAGTATAGTTGTTTATTTCAGTCGGGGTATCACTCTCTATTTATGTTATTTCCCCTAGGTGGCAAATGCTCTTGCCACCTAGTTGATTTATCAGCATTGGTAATTTGATTTATCAGCAGATGCTTCTAGTTCTTTCTATTAGCTTCTATTGCCGATAGTATCCGAAGGTATTCGGTTATAGCCGAGATCTCGGTTCTTATTGGTTCGGGATCTTATCTTATAGATAAGATCCACTATATTATAATTGGTCTTATAGGAAAAAGTGGCTTTTTCCTACCCTCCATTATAAAAAGGGTTCTTTTATAGTCGTATAGACTTCTTATATTGATACCCCCCCCGTAAGCTATATAGGGTAGGGTACTCTATATAGGTTATAGTATATAGTATATTGGCGTATTATTATTATAGTAGTATTTTTTATGGTATAGCACTTAGACCTAGTAGGTTTAAATGATATTGATATAATGGTGTTGCTAAACACTTAGTGAGTGTATCTGCCAGTTGGTCCTTTGAGCTTACGTGTAGTAGCTCAATTTGGCCAGTAGCTATAGCATTTCTTGTAAAATGATATATAAGCTCAATATGTTTACTTCTTTTGTGGAACTCAGGATTTTCAGCCAACTTCTTCGCAGACATACTATCCACTAGTATTTTTGGAATAGAAGTGGAATATCCGAGTTCTAGTTTCTTATTGATATAGTTGAGCATATTAGCTAAGTAAATAGCTTCTTTTGTGGCTTCTTTTAGTGCCATATATTCTGCCTCGCAACTACTCAGTGCGGGTGTTTTTTGTAATTGTGAATTCCACGATATAGGGTTATTTTGTCCTATAGTAGGACTAAGGCTAAAGATATAGCCTGTTGTAGATCTTCTAATATCTAGGTCATTCGCCCAGTCGCTATCAGAGTATCCTTTTAGTATAAGGTCTTCTCCAGCACAGTTTAGGGTAAGCCCTAGATTAGGGCTTCCTAAAAGGTATTTCCAGATTTTATTTAGTGCCGTAAAATGCTCGCTATTAGGATTGCTCATATAGCGTGCACAATAGATCACTTTATAGGTTATATCAGGCCTAGTTTTTAGTGCTAGGTATAGTAGTGAACCAATATGTTTTTGGTATATTTTGACGTCCTTAGGGTCTGCTATAGTGTCATTTTTTCGT